CCCGCCCAAATGCCCGGGGTCTGGGAGTTTAAACCCCCCCCCCCCCCCCCCCCCCCCCCTGGCTTCCCATGTAGCTAGCTAGCTGCAGAAAAAAGTCCCCGGAGTAGAAAACCGACGGATCTTGCCTTCTATCCGATCCAGTTTCAATGACAGAGAACGTTGGAATTTTGGATTCTCAGAAAGGCGAGAAAGCGAGACTACGAGCCCGGCCGCAGATGATGGAAGGCGAAAGATTTGTCGGCGGTTGGCTTTCCGGTAGAGATGTCGATGAGCTGAGAGAGGAGAGGAGAGGAGAGGAGAGGAAAGTTGGAGTAGACTGAATGAGAGGATGTGGGCGGTTGTGCGTGATTTGTATGTCGTGTGTTGTGTGCTGGATTGGCAACCTTTCTGCCAGCTCATCCGCTCCTTTCAAGTCCAAATAGTGGAAGGATTGAAGATGTGCATTCAGCTGGAGAAGCTTGCTAATGATCTACCCGAGACCCACGCCTACTAACGCCAGCTCATCCGCTCCTCCAAACCCACATTATGGAAGGAAGGATTGAAGAGTTGCATTCGGCTAAAGAAGCTTACTGAGATCTACGCCTAGAAGATTCACCAACGCACAACGGCGGCGTCCTGTATGCCTCATCTTAGCTTCTCTCCAGCAGCAAACAGATAACACGCGCGAAAGCCTGAATGATTGAATCGGGGAGAAGTGTTATTTTGAGACTACTCAAGTTGCTAGGTCAGTCGGAGCATCGACCTCGTAAAACAGCACCGTGTCCATGCTCGCTTGTGGGATGAATTTCGATGGTTGACTGTTGGGGAAAAGAACAAGGGAAAAGGTCGAAGCTGTGTGAGCCTCGAATGCCTGAGCTGCCCTGCTGAGACAGCAAGCAGCAAATGTTCACGCTGCTCGTCCTTCACAAGCCCGGCCTCGTTCCGACGTATTCGATCTTGTGAATACCCGGGCGCTCTCCGGCCTTGACGAGTTCCGTGCCTGTTGTGGGTGGCCGAACGATCTTGGGGACGTGCTTCTCATGGCTCGTCAAGAAGCCGCCGGTCATGTCATCCAGGAACTAAAAACCCGGATCAGTAATGCGCACATCAAACATTGCCAAGGCGCGCTGGCGACTCACTCGATTGAAATCTTTGCTCTGGGCGATGCCGCACTTCTTCGTGCTCTCCGCATGAGCGACCAGCCCGGCCACAGACCGGAAGCGCTTGGAACAGTTCACGCAATTGAGGACGCGCATGGTATGAGCCAAGACGATGTGATGCTCGAGATCCGTATGAGTGTCGTACTCCGCCGGCATCCGGCTTGTGGTTTCGGTGCAGTCGGGGAATGGACAGCAGTACTTCTGGATCAAGGCATTGTAGAATCGGTGGGCGCTGTATCCTTCGGCTTGGGGGTCCCAAAAGTCGACTTTGAGGGCGTTGGTGGCATCGTTGGCCGCCGCTTGTTGCGCGTGATGCTGCAGAATGGCGTCGTAGTCTCCAGGTTGAGGCGGTGTGGGCTTTGCGTTGGGGAAGAGTGCCTTTGAAGTGCTCTTTCCCCCCCACGCAGCAATCTTATTGCTGGACTGCGAGGAATTGTGACCATCCTCAGCCGCAGAATCACGGTGGTATAGCTTCGAGCTTCCGCTAGCACTTGCAGACTTCAGCGACATCTTGCTCATGGCGTTGGAAAGGCTGGGCTGTGACATATTCGACTCCTGCTGCTTGGGCAAGCCAGGCCAGTCTTGCTTGACCTCATACGGATCCTTCATGTCGATCAAGTCGACCTCCGGTTGCAATGCCTTGTGCCCACCTTCTTGCTCATCATCATACTGATCCAGCAGCATGTCACGACCTTCCTGATGCCCCTTGTGCTCATACCCAGAATGGTCAAGCACACTCTCGTACTGCGCATGTGACATTTCATTCAATTCCAGGTTCGCCCGGAAGATGTGCGGGTCCTTCATGATCTGCTTGATGATGCACTTCCGGTGAATACTGCGGATGAAGTCTATCCGGCGAATCACAGAGCAGTGGTCCTCCTCGATATGCTCAATCATGTTCGCTGCGCGGATGAAAGTCTGGCCGCAGCCGGGACAGCCGACGTTCTGGTCGGCCTCGTGCATGCGCTCTCGGTGGATCTTGCGCCCTCCAAAGCTCTTGAAATCCTCGCCGCAGAACTCGCAGACGATGTGGTCTGGCATGTTATCGGGTGTCGGCTGTATCTTGCCCTCCACGTAAGGGGCCATGTTGTCGACCTTGTGTGCGGTCAATTCTTCCCAGCTGTCGCAGTCCACGTCGCATCTCTTGCAGTAGTAGTGATCGGCATAGTACTTCTTGTGGCGCTGCATGCCTTTGAGGGTCTCGAAGCGGTGGGGGCATTCTGGGTATGTGCACTCGAACGGAAGCTCCTGATATGGGGTATGTTCTATGTCAGTGTCTGGCGAGAGCGGTCTGAGTGATACGCCGCCCCTATTGCCGTTATTTAGAGCCATTGTTGAAAATGATTGATGTTGTTTGTGGATGTGGTGTGTTTGAGAGGAAGTCAATTCTGATGCGCGTTAAGTAGAAGTTGACTTGGTCAGTGCACCTTCGCTTATTCTGGAAGGCACGATCCGCCCAGCATGTGAAAATGGTATGCTCCTCATCCACGTTTCCAATCTCACGAACAGACACAGCATGCCGCCCCGGTTGCCCTCTTCTTCTTTCCTCCCTGTGAGATAAGTACTTTAGTACGGCAACTTCTCCGGGTAGTTCAGGTTGCGTTCACTCACCTTGCTCTTGCCCTTCTCGACGGCCTGTGCTCCCTGCTCCTGCATCTCTATTGGCTCGTCTTGAGCCGTGTCCTCCTCAGCAAGAGCCGCTCCTGCTAGGAAGCGCTCAATGCTGCGCCGTGCGAACATTTGTCGCTCGTGCTCCTCCTCCTGCTCCTGCCGCTGCCGCTGCTCGCGTTCCATTTTCGCTCTTTCCTCCTGCACACGCTGCCTAATCTTGGCCTGGCGCTCACTTACCGTCATTGGGCGGCCCGGAAGAGCCGCATACTGCTCGCGGGTGATGAAGTCGCCCGTAGGCGTGCGAATGAGACTGCCCGGTGCGGTGCGGTCCAGGATGTCAATTTCTGACCAGCGATTGATGCGCTCGGGTGCTGCCGGCGAGCTGATATTGGGACTTTCGGCCATCTTGCACGGTTGTGATTGTGTGAGAGTGCTTGCTTGTTAGTGTGGAAGGAGCTACCCTGTTTGAGATGTGATGTCGGAAGTGATTGTGGTGTGAGTCGAAGTGAGAGTGTGGAAGCCAGCGTTCACATGGGATTCTCGGCGGCTAATCCACGGACTCGCTTGGACGCACGGACCGCTTCCCTGTAACTCCAGGTGGTTGCCAGCTAATATGGTGCCATCCAACTCCCCATTGGCATGTAACCCAACGATGATTTGGAGATGAATTATCCTCAGCCTGTTGATCTTAACATAGTCTTATTGGGCTCCCCGATAGCATCATCTCCATCGAAGTGCCGAAGAAGGGATGTATCCAGCAATTTTCCTTTCCCAGTCTAGTGTCGCACAATTCTCCGTTGGCATTCCCATGGACATACCGGGAAAAGGAGTATCTCGATAGCACATGTCCTAGATTCGGTCTCATCCGGCTCTCCAGTGGCCTGGTGCATAACATAGTATTAGGGACACAGTCCTTTGATGGGTCCTTGCTACGTTCCGGTGCTGTCAGACTCCCTATCGACTGACGATGCCAATCATTGCCCGGGAACCGCATCTCGAAGACTCTGAGCGCCGGTCTACTCTGCTGTTGCGAAGCTCTGTGGCCCTTGAAGATACTAGAGACGAGGAGTGTGGCTAGGCATTGCCTATCAGTTCGGTACAATCAACCTCGCGCAGACTATCTCCTCTGGTCTCTCTGCGAATGCATCTCCGAGGCCCTAGGAAGTGGTCTGGTGTTGTCGAAACATACCGGGATCTGCTACCATGGAAGAGCCGGGGACGAAAGATGTCCGTGACAAACTTTGCTGACTTGAGACTTGCTGCAATTCCTGGTAAGCATCGTCGTCCACGAGATGCTGCAGGAAGCCACGGGCAAAGAAACATCCCCTTGGCAAGCAGCACCGATCTAGTGCTATCCGAATCGCCAAAATCTTCGTAGGTGCTCTACTTCGAGAAACGTTGGAGAAGAGCGAGCGTCAACGCAAGTAGCCTGAACGGACTATGTCAAGCTCTCCAGAGGCATCTTTTCTTACCGGGATAATCGACCAGGCAAGAAATCGCACCTAGGAGGTAGGCACGTCTCGGAGAGCATCTCCATGCAGAGATATCAGACTAGCCACAGGCGCTGGCGATAGTAAACACGCCGGGGGGAAGCATGTCCACATCACAGAGAAGCAATCTGGTAAGGTCGACCTCCCAGTGGGCTCAACCGTTCGGTCATGGCAACAGCGGTCATTACGTAGAGACCTCGTTGTTCTCAATCCCCGGCCCAGGTACCAGATCGCTGGCGCTCTGTGGGACAAACATCCAATCGCAAAAGTGTTAGCCGTGGCTGGCAAAGGTGTCACGCATACGTACTAGCCATGAGCTGTCCAGTGAACACGTTGATGTCGCTATCTTGTACAGGATCGCGGGAACAGGTCTGCGGGTTGGAAGGGAGCGAGACCGCGAAATGAACTTTGCGTCCTCCTTCAGTCTACAATCATTCGTGGTCCGCGGAGGTACTATGCAGCCGGATGATGAAGGCTCTCCAAGAGTAGTCATTCCAAGTTGTCCAAGCACCGTCCAATGTCAGCTCGCATTGATGCCGTTGGACTCTGCTTCCCCAGTCGTGGACGATGATCAGGAAGATCGGCGAAGCGCTGGAAGCGGAACGAAATGTGAACGTGAGACTTGATCGCGGCGTCATACAGCACTATCTCCCAAACTCTTGGTATAACGAATTCTCTCCCCTCGTGTCTGAATCTAGAAGCGGGTGTACGGCAACCTACACCTCGTTAGCAGCAATTCCAGTCCCCGTCAGTCCGAAGCCGCAAAGCACGATCAATACACACCACTTTCCCCTCAACGTAATCTTAACCCAATCCCCCTTCTCATCCGTCTCCTTCTCCACCTTGGTACTGTAAGAAATGGCACTCATGATGCCATCCCCAAACTTCTCATTGATAACGGCCTTGTACGCATATCCATAATTCTGCACAATCTCATACAAGCGGTACATCAGGGGCTCCTTGGGCGGCATCTCCATCGATCTTCCGCGGTCGGGGAGGCCGATGATTTCGGTTTCGCGGAGCATGGCTTCATTGATCTGGAGGAGTTTGGCGAGCTTGGCGATGTCTTCATCGGTTGCGTTGGCTTGGCCGTAGAAGATGGCTGCCACGGCTACTTCGTCGCGGCCGAGGGCTTGGCCGATGGTTTCGAAGGACAGGTTGTGCTTCTTCTTTTGGGCGAAGAGGATGCTGCTGTGGGCGGGGAGTTTGGCGGCGAGGTCTTGCTGCGGGAAGCATTAGCTTGGAAAGGCGAGGTTGCAAGCATTGGAAGTGATGGTTCATACAGTGAGGACGGCGATGGGGTGTCCGCTGGAGGTTCCTTGGGCTGCCATGGTTGCGATTCAAAGGGCGCTGTCGGTCAGCTTTGTGGTGAGGGTGAATTTGGTCTTTTGAAAGAAGCAGAGCGTGGGGTGTAGGAGGACGAGGTCGAGTACTTAACCACCTGCGCAGGAGCTACTTCCGCTGGTGCAGAGAGGAGACGTCGGATGGTTCTAGAGCTCCCGTCTCTCCGATCATCATGCATCATGGTCAAGGTCAAGTGGAGCAGGGCCACGCCTTGTCCTCTTCACATCCACACATCTTCCGCACCAGCCAAACCAGACAACCAAACAGACCCTCTCCAGCACGCTGCTGGTGCGCACGGTGGTGTGTCATCACAGTGTTATCACCGTCTGGTGTAGTGGAATGGAGGCGAAGGATCTCCTCGGCGGACGTGGACGTCAGGATGAAGCAGATCCGCAAAAGCTCCCTTCCAGTTCCCTGCGCTTGCCTGCCCCGCTGTTTCGTTTGACTTCCCGGCACACCGGCAAAGTGTGACGTCCCGGCCCGGAGCCGGCTGCTTTTTGGAATTCCCGTCACCTGGAATCCTTGGCACATACATGTCTTGGCATATACATATTGCGTTCACGCGTAGAAGTCCACATCTCTCTGCTGTCGTGGCATGGGATATCTACGACAGGGGAGCTGGATATGTTGTCATGGTTGACGACGTGAGAATCGAGCCGATGGCGAGCTTCTTCTTGGGCTTCACAACCTTTCCAAGACGCGTCGCTTGACATTCATCCCACGATGCGTGAGAGACAACTTGGTATACCATCTGACCTCGAAAACAGCCATCTACAATCTGGGCCTTGTAGAGGCAGGGTATCTTCAATTCCAATTCCACAACACAGCCCAGACGGATTCAACGGGAAAGCCATCCGCCAGCCATACGGGCCTGCTCGACATCAGCTACACTTCCTCCGGCATATCCTCAAACAACCTCGCAATCTCCACCCGATACCTCTCCGCCGTCCTGCTACTCTCCTCCACCGAATACTTCCTCGACCGCTGCCAACTCACCCCCCAACCCCGCGCCATCCTCTCCAAATCCCCCATCAAGACCTCCCTCCTGCCCAACCGAAAAGTCACAGTCCCCAACCCATCCACGAAAAACCGAAACCTCACGATCGCCTTGGGGTGAAACAACCCCTTGATGACCCTCATATGCTCCCAATCCAACTTGCCCACATCCCCTCCACCACCACCCCCGACCCCCCTCGCGGCACCTTTCAGCGCCGCAAGCGACACAGTAACATCCCGGATCTCCCTCGCCTGCTCCCTCCCCACCCTCTCCACCCACTCCACCAATCGCCCCATGATCCGCTCCTGATGCCTGCTCTTCAGATATTCCATCTCAATCACAAACCGGTTCAGCGAGAACCACAGTCTCAGACTCTCTTTACGGATACTCTTGCACGTCAACGGGAGCCCCGTCACCCGCAGCGGTTCGAGGGCGTGCCTGTGGCCTCCGCCTGTCCGCGCGGGCTCCATGATCTTGGAGCGGTGGAACGGGCAGTCGAACCAGCCCTGTTCGAGGTTGACGGTCTGCGATTCCGGGTGGAAGGGGGAGGTGGCATCGCCTTCGAGCAGGGCGAGCTCGTAGATGTGATTGCGCAGTTCGCCGGAGAGTTTGTTGAAGAGGGAAGTCTCCATGGTTCTGAATGTATGTGCCGTGCTGGGAGGGTTTGAGGTGGAAGATAGAGACGGGCGTTGAGATCCTATCTTGTTGGTGAACGGGGAGCTTTAGGCTTCAGCGAGGAGATATCTTCATCAATGTATTTGGAACAACCCCGAGAGGGAGACGAGAGATAAAAGGAAGATAATTCGCGCCTCTCAGCCACGGTAGCGACGCTAACAGAGAGCAATCCTCATCAATGCACCCTGCACCAAGAAAGATGGTATGAACGAGCGAGCGAGCGAGCGAATAATTCTGACTAGAGCATACCCGCCAGTGAACCCCGAATCAAGAACTGCCAACATCTTTTTGCAGCAAGGATCTCCAGCACACACGATCCTGCCAGCCTGCCAGCCTGCACCCTGACTCGATCCCCGCCGTGATAGGCATCTCCCAGTACTCCCGAGAGATGATCGACTGGTACTTCTGTGCTTCCAAGACAATCGAACCCTGAATTATCGATAGTCTGCCGATGCTGATCTGCAAAGGGTCCTCAGAGGTCGTGGAAAGGCTGAAGCTTACGCACGGATCATCGTCGTGATTTGCCATCACCATGTCGGATTTGAAAATCCCGTGCGAACGGTCTCGCGCACGTCGGGCAGAGGCGTGCGGGAGGCCGTAACGACGTAGATAGATATGGAGAATGGATTGCATGGTGTGGGAGCGTGCGCTTTCCGACTTTGAAGGTGCTACGGCCCGGGAGATCGGTTGGCTCTCGACGTGGAAACATATCAGACAAACATGATGAAAATATGGTGGGAAACAGGCACACTCGGCTCAAGAAGACGGCGGGCGTCCCTTCATACAGTAGTAGTGTCAACGTACAAAGTCCCTGCTGTCCCAGGCATGCATTTCAAGAAGAGTGAAGAGTCGCCTTCTCCACGCTTCCAGGTCTCCTCAATGTCCGCCAAGCTTTCTCAACACAACCACTTTCCTGAGCGTCACGGGCGCCCATCCAAAGTCGTCGTTGTGCTTGTCCAATAGAAGAGAGCTTCATGGCATGGCCAGCGCGAGGCGCCACAGGCAGAGGATGCCGCCGTCGAACTCTGCCATGTCGAGTGGGTCGTGAGGGCGCATGTTGACCTCGTTGTAGACCTGTCGAATGCCAGCGAGGGTGCCGCCTTTGTCGTATGGGTCGAGGATGATGTCGAGGAAGGCCTCGCTGGCGCCAGGCTCAGGGTTGGCGAGGCGAGCCTTGACGGTGATGGTGCAATCGATGTTGAGATACTGGTACAGGGTGCGAAGCATGTACCAGTCCACGGGGTAGGGCGCTGGGCGTGAGTCGTCCGCAATACCGAGATCGATAGTGATGTTGCTGATGAGGCTGGAGAGTGGCATGCCAATGCGGACGCACTGCGTGACCATTTTCCGAATCCACTTCGCGCTGTCCACGACACGACCGATGTGGTTGACGTAGATGACCAAGTCATTGTTCCCAAAGAACATGGGAAGGACGACGCTGCGAATGGCCTTGCAAGTTTCTGCAAGGTCGGGGGGGTTTGCGATGTTTACCTTCTGATCTTTGTAGTCATCCGTAACCACGAGCTCGAAGATGCGGTTGAGCATCTCGTTCGGGATCTTGGACAGAGGAGAGCTGTCCATCTCTGATGAGCGTGTTGAAAGAATGTGCTGTGACGAGTTAGTACCTCCGTGAGGTTGTGCTTTGCCATGCTACTCACGAGGTTCTTGAAGGAATGTTTGGGATGCTGGTCTAAGAGAGGGTGGTGGAGCAATGCCGTCTATCGAGGGTCGGTTGGTGTCGAGGAGAGAAGACGGGAGAAGATTCAGTCGAGTGGGAAGAAATAATTTTGAGCTTCCCAGTGTGTGCGCATGGGCCACTCGGCTCAGGCCGTGCGGTCGTCACTGCAGCAATACTGCCGTCATAGCAAACGCCGCCCATGGCGGGAAGGAAGGAGCGACGACAACTGCCGGGACATCGATGCCGAATTCGATGAGCAGCCGTTCAATATTTGAAAGCAAAATGAATGGGAAGCTGTGCCAAGCCTTTCACGTGGGAAAGCCCCCTTTCACAGCGGGACAGCACCCAGCTTCAAAGGTCAATATCTCGACCGCGACGCGTTCTACGCGCATCAAATCTTTTCGAGGAGATCCGTTGTGGCCGTAAGATACTCCTGGACATGTTTACTGTTCGGTTCAGAGTGTAGTGTTGGCGTAAACAAGGCAGTCTGGTGAAGCTCATCCCGAGCGACGACAGCCGTCGCCCGACCAATCGCGAACGCTCGGCTTGTCTTTTTTCATCCGAACGCGGGCAGTTGCATGGATCTTACGGCTTTAATTCCCGGAACGCTTCCGCCGCGACGCGTGAGAGCCTGAGGCGCTCAAATCATGGCCACTCAGGAGCCAGCAAAAGTTTCATTGGGAAGGAGCATCGCTCGCTAGCGTCGCGTCACGGCTGAGCGCCGCAACCTCTCCCCGCAAGGTACTGTTCGAAGCTCTGGACAGGAGGAAGAAGATGTTCCACGTAGCTGACATGGTAGAGCGGACACTAAAGAATTGTTGTGTAGGGCCGAAGTATGCCGGAGCGGATGTCGTTTAGTCATGCTTTTCCGCGCGTTCCTTTTACAGTGGCGCCTCGAGGCTTGCCAGTACTTCCTCTATAACATCTTCGACTGTCACGCCATCCAGGAGCTGTTTGATCGCCTCCGGATCGCTTCCCCACAGCAGACTCTTCTCATTCTCGGCGGTCGCCAGCACCAGGCGATGAGGGTAGATCTTACGTGCAGCCAGCGCAACAAGCGAAGGCGGCACATAGTTCATGCCATGAAGCGGAGCAAGTGCTCTGGAGATGATGCGAAGTTGGCGAGTCGCAGTGGCAGTGACGCCGCTCTTGATGTAGCGACTGTTTCGCATGAAGACCACAACATTGTGGAGATACTGCGCGATTTCGGCAGAGAGAAGCACCTCATCCGTGAGCTGTTTGAGAAGCTTGATGTCTCCTGAGAGAAAGGTAGGCTGCTCGCCTCTGATGACCGAGCCCTCGAGATGGGGCAGACCGTCATCCGCTCCATGAAAGTGGTACATGCAGAAGGAGTCGTTCAAGTGGCGAGTCAACCGTGCTTCAGGCTTTGATAGAATCGCGATGAAGAGGAGGTCCTTAGGAGCCACGTGCATTGACGACCTTGTAAATATTCTTCTGGAGCGGAGCAGCTCGAATGCCTGGACTTGGACGTGTTCATCTGCTGAATCCAGTCCAGTCGCAATGATGACATCTGCAATTCTGCGGTCTTCCAGATTGTCGACGACGCTGCCGAGTCTGGGCCCAGTAGAGTCTTTGGTAGAGGCGAAGTTGACCGAGGTGGCAGGCCTAGCGACCAGTCCATGTCGATCTCTAGTATCGTCGAAGGTGTCGTCGACCTGAATGAGCAAGCCATCGTTGAATTCGTCGACAGTTGTCTTTCTAGAGCATTCAATTGTCACGGGATGGAGGCCAAACGTTTCCGTGCAAATCAGGCGTATTTCTTGTTCCAGACCACTGATCGTTTCCGGCGCAGTGGCAAAGATGCAATGCTCTCCGGCGACGAGAGAGACCAAGAGTCCGAGTTCGAGATCTCCCAGGTCCTGCAGGCGTGAGGCGTCCATTGGAGGTGGATGGTGCGCACTGTGAAAGTTGAGTCGGATTGCGATATCTTCTCTACTACCTCGCCCGCTCGCACATGAAGTCGCGCATCGCTCGTGTGTTCATGTGCACTATGCTGATGGAGTTCATCGTCGCTGATGTCGTGAGAAAGAAGATCGCGGCCAGGTTGGATGGAGGAGGTGAGGCGATGCGACGCACAGACCATGCGTGGGCTTGCACACGTACGGCATCACATGCTACAGTACTCCACATACACACCCTCCAGCATCCAATGCATCTCGCGACATGAGCACGGCGTCGGTGCTCTGGGAGGATGTCGAAGCCCACCGAGAACTGGTCGCGCATCGGTGACAAGTTCTACCGCCGCGTCCAGCTATATACCAACCCATTCGACCCGGACCTTGAGCTTGAGAACTACACCGTCGCCGGCGCTTCCTACAGTGGTGCTGTAGGTAAGCACTGCCCACGTCTTCCCACAGACACCCGTCTGACACATTATAGCTCTCCGTCGCGATGAAACGAAGGTCTACGCTTTCCGCGGGAACCAGGCCGCGAAATCCACCATCGACATCTACAGTTGCGCCGGCAAGCTGATCCGCCAGATCAATTGGGACAGAGGCGTAATAAAAGCATTCGGGTGGTCCGAAGATGAGAAGCTGCTGGTGGTAACGGACGACGGGAATGTGCGCGTTTACTCGGATCTCCAGACCGATTTCACCCCCTTCTCGTTGGGACATGGAGCTGAAGAGCATGGGGTACAGGCATGCAAGTTCTGGTCAACGGGCTTCGTGGCATTGCTTGGGAACAACAACATTGTCGCAGTCACACGCTACGACGAGCCACGCCCTCAGCTATTGGCACCGTCGCCTCAGGGACAGGTCATATCATGGACCGTCATCCCACCAGAGTACACGTCATCGCGGTCGGTAGAGGTGCTGCTGGCCATCGATCGGACCGTCTATGTCGTTGATGCCGCAGAATGTGAAGATCGCGGCTTGGAGGCTGGACCGTTCAGACATATCAGCGTCTCACCGAACGGAAAGTTCATCGCGCTCTACACAGACGATAGAAAGGTGTGGGTGATCAGCAGCGATTTCCAGGAGAGGTTCAGCGAGTATCAGTCCAAGATCAAGACACCTCCGAAGGACCTTCAATGGTGCGGAAATAATGCCGTTGTACTTGCATGGGAAGACGAGATCCATTTGCTAGGACCGAACGGAGCCGCAACGATTTATGACGACTTCAACTCCTTTGTACATCTCCTGCCGGATATTGACGGTATCAGAGTGCTGACTACGAGTGTCTGCGAATTCTTCCACAAAATCTCGGAAGATACGACACAAGAAGTGTTCTATCTCACTTCGGACCACCCCGCCGCAGTTCTCCTGGATGCTATTGATCATTTGGAGAAGAAGTCGCCGAAAGCCGACGACAATATCCAGCTGATTAGGCCGAATCTGGACGATGCAGTCGATGTCTGCATCCGAGCCGCAGGTCAGGAATACGACATATACTGGCAGAAACGACTGCTGAAAGCTGCATCGTTTGGCAAGTCGGTACTCGATTTGTACAACAGCGATGACTTTGTCGACATGACAGAAGTGCTGCGGGTCCTCAACGCCGTGCGATACTTCGAGATCGGTCTGCCTCTGTCTTATGAACAGTACATCCGTCTCACCCCGGAGCGGCTGGTGCAGCGACTCGTCAATAGACAAGAGTATCTTCTCGCTCTCAAGATTTCAGAATACTTGCATCTGGCTGTCGACCGAATTTACGTTCATTGGGCACGGCAGAAGGTTCGCAGCTCAAGTACGGACGAGGACAGCATCTGCGCTGAGATTGTACGCAAGCTGAATGGCAAGCGCGGTATCTCTTTCGAAGAAGTTGCTCGTGCAGCATACGATGAAGGGAGAGGCTCGCTTGCCACCGAGCTGCTTGAACACGAGCCGAGAGCCGGCAAGCAAGTCCCTTTACTACTGAGCATCGGCGAAGAATCCATAGCCTTGGACAAAGCCATCGAAAGCGGCGATACAGATCTCGTCTTTTACGTGCTCCTGCATCTCAAAAAGAAGATCGCGCTTTCGAGCTTCTTTCGAACCATCAACAGCAGGCCCGTGGCGACAGCTATTGTGGAATCATCCGCCATCGACCAAGATCAGGAACTGCTCAAAGACCTGTACTACCAAGACGACCGCCGCCTCGACGGCGCAAACCTGCTCACGTCCCAAGCTCTATCTGCCAGCGACATTGGACCCGCCACAGACAAGCTCAAAATGGCCGCACAACTCCTCCGAGATAATAAGGAATTCGCGACTCAAGTCTCTGCTATCCACGACACCCAGAAGCTCCTTCGCTTGCAAGAGACTTTCGAAAAAGAATTGAATGAGCGCTATGTGGGACTCTCTGTCAACGAGACCCTGAGCAGACTGATGAAAATTGGCCACATGAAACGCGCACTGAAAGTACAGAGCGAATTCAAAGTCCCCGAGAAGACGTTCTGGTGGATCCGTCTCCGAGCCCTCGTGAGCCGAAGGGATTGGAATGAACTGGAAGAAGTTTCCAAATCGCGAAAAAGTCCCATCGGTTGGGAGGTATGTCTCTTCCCTCTCCTTCTCCTCCTCCTCTTTCACGGTTCCTCGACTAATCTTCATCCTCTCCGCTCTCTTCTTCTAGCCCTTCTTCAACGAAATTCTCGGCGCGGGAAACCCGAAATCCGCCTCCCTCTTCATCCCCAAATGCACGAATCTCTCCCCGTCGGAGAGGATTGAAATGTGGGTCAAGTGCGGTCTGGTCGTCAAGGCCGGGGAGGAGGCTCTGAAAGCGAAAGACCGGGCTGCGTTGGAGGAATTGAGGAGGAAGGCGGCCGGGGGCAATCATCAGGTCATGGTGGAGATTGAGAGGATGATTGCTTTGTTGGCCAAGGGGAGGTGAGGTGATGGGGATGGGGGGAAGAGGCGAGGTCTTTTGACTCTCGTGATGTGATGTGGGATGGAAGTGAATGAGTTGATTCCTGGGACGCGGTGGCGAGGAGATGTGATGAATGAATGGATGGTGAATTATAGATGCTCTTCTTCATCTTGTTCCCTCCTCAACTGTTTCCAGATCATCAGCTAGTCGTTCATCTATCTATCTACATGCAGACACAGACACACACACGCACACATCATACATAGATCCCTTCTTTCCCCTCCGAGAGCCGAGCAGGTGGTATCATCGATGCATCTTTAATAATTCATAGAAGAAACAATACTTTTCCCCACCCCGCTCACGCCGATGCGTTCCATTTCCCCATCTTCTAATCCCATCTTACCAAAACTCCAAGAAAGGGAGAAGAAAACCAACAACTTTTTGACCCTGCCCGCCAATGCAATGCTTCTCCATAGATCCCAAGAAAGAAAGGAACAAATCGAAGTGAAAAGCCAGCTCACTTTCTAGTAGTAGTAGTAGTCGTAGTCGTCATTGGGGCACCAGCACCAGCACCAGCACCAGCATCAGCACCAGCAAGAACACCAGATCCAACCTTGGTGCCCTTCGCAGACCGCATAAAAGGGCTTCTCTCCCTCAGATCGCGACCCTTCCAGATGAAAACCACAGGCGCAAAGCCCAAACCCAAAGCCAGGAAGCCAATCAGCGTAGAAGCCCACTGGAATCCCAGATTGGTATACATCGACTGACTGGCCAGCGGGAGGAAAGCACAGATGATATTCTCCCCGAAAGCCACGGCCGCAAGGGCAGACCCGGCGTAGGAAGAATCCGCATAGGCATCCACGACGTATTCCGCGGCGGCGTAGACGACGATCAGAGTTCCGAAACCGTTGACGGCGAGACCGAGGGTGGGGAAGATCCAGTGGATGTGAGGGTATGAAGTCCAGCCGTAGAGGAACATGCCTCCCGCGACGCCGAAAAAGGATCCAAAGACAGAAGTGTAGAGTCGTGCTTCGGGGATGGGTTCACCGGGGAATTCCAAATTGCGATCGGCGGATGAGAAGAAGAACCTTTGGCCGTAGGTGGAAGCGCCCCAGCCGAAGAGTTGTCCGATGAGGACGGCGCCTTGGACGTAGCCGCATTGTGCTTCGGTCCAGCCATAGAGGCCTTGAAAGACCTGTTCGACGGACTGGGTGAAGAGGAAAATGAGACCGAGGGCGAAAGCGGACCACAGTGTCGCGGCGAAGAGGACGGGCTCGGTGAAGAGGAGGTACAAGGGACGGGATGTGGACCTCCAGAATCTCAACATGAAAGGTATTTTGGTCATTTCTCCCTCATGAAAGTAATCACGGCCGGTTTCTTTTCGCATCTTCTTGGATCGGGTGCGGAGTATGACTTCGGGACGGACTTCGCGGAGGAGCCAGTAGAGGAGGGGGAAGGGAGCGCCATATATGATCAATTGTATGTAAAAGATCCTGTGGGTAAGACTGTTAGCAGACGAGATGACTGGGGTAAAGGGTTATCGATACGCACCATCTCCAATTTCCAATGTACTCTGTGACAGCGGCGAAGACTGCGGGGCCAGCACTGTCTCCCCAAACGTAGAACAAGATGTAGATGCTCACGGGCAGAGTGCGGTCTTTCTCGGTGTCCCAAAGGTCGGCAATCATGGCGGAGACACTGTTGGCAACGGCTGCGACGGCGCCGCCAGTAAAGAAACGAGTTATTATGAGGGTTGCGTAGTTTGGTGCCAGAGCCTGGGGAATGATCATGAACCACATGAAAGCGTAGGACCACAGAAAGCCCGGCCGCACACCCATGTCCTCGAAGAGGGGGAGACCTGTGACGACGAAGAAGGCACCACCAAGGGCCCAGCTAGACACGACCCAATATGAATTTGAGAAGTAGGGGGTGTCTGTGATGCCAAAGTCGTGGCTGATGGCGTCTGCAGCGATGGTGATGGAGGTGCCATTCAAGGGAAGGGCAAGTGTCGCGTAGAGAGCCAGACAAACCTGGAGCCATTTCCGGGCAGTGCTCCAGTTGTGGGGGTCCCCGGGGTCGTTCGGAGCGAAATCGATGAGAAAATGGTCTTTGCCAAGGACTCCCAGATGCGAGGAAGCGGTGGACTCGGGGTTGTACTCGGATATACTCCAGCCATGGGGTTGCGAGAGCGGCGCATGTGAGTTTGCCCGCGAGGCTTCAAGCGAGGGTGCATGCTCGTGAGCGATGTCTGTGTCGGGACTGGCCATATTCTTGGCGTCTGGTGGTGGTGGTGGGAGTGGCGACGAGGGTAGGCGAGGGTAGGCGAGGGAATTTTGGACGAAGGCAAAGAAATACCGCACGTCAACGGCAGCGGTAGGGCACAAGTAGGTAGAGAGGAAGTCCACCGGCCGGAGAAGCGAGAGAGAGAGGACGATTGAAAAGGTTAAAGTGATGAAGGTAGCAAGCAGCGCCGTCCAAAGGATGTTTCTTGTAGCTCGCAGATGGCAAGCGCAAACGGGGTATCTACCCACTTAAACGATCACAAGGTAGGCTCGTGCCGTAGCCGCTTGGTGGCAGCAATTGCAGGTCCGTGTGGTCCATTGCTATGGATCATTTGTGATGCCTCGTACGGCTTCTTCAGGCGTCTGCTGTTCAAGTGCGTGCGAGACGGAAAGGCACTGCGCGTTGAGGCCGGCACGCTCCCGTCATCGCCTGCTGCAACGAGAGGGAAGGCGCAGGATGCGAGCGGATTCCCGCGCTGAGCGAGGGAGCAAGAATAATGTCATGGCAGCGAAGAGATGGATGGATCGAATCGAGCGGAGTATGAATATTGGAGCGAGCCGCGTCAAGCGCAGGCATGTGATGTGAGGAGGAGTCTGCGGAACGAGTGCCGAGCCGCCGACGCCATACCAATGCAAGTTAGCGAAACTCTGCTCCCCGCTATCCCCCAATCTGCACAGTTATGCTCCTCCAATGCCAGCACTAGCGGCTAACATCCGTCATCTCGTATCTTCTTATCGCTGGGGTGCCCTGCTCTCTCCCAGACGACAACGTCCTTCCCTTCGAAAACAACAATCCACCCTGCCGTGCTCGCCCAACTGGGCTCCGTTTGCATATCACCGTGACAGCCATGCCTCGAGACTTCGACCAGGCCCGACGTCGGATCTACGCCGCCCATGACGAGGATCCGAATAAGCACACCACCGCCGATGGAGCCAGCACGCCCTACGAAACTCACTACTCCCACAAGATGGAGAACTACCTCTCCAAGCGTGCACCCGATGCTTCCGACGCTCTCAAGCTCGCCATCTGCGGCCAGCATTTCCGTCGCTGGGAGGTACCTCGAGACTCCTATCCCATGACCAAGATTGGATACCATAGCTGGAGGACATATCTGAAGAAACGCCAGGCGCAACTCGTGGGCGACATCCTGAAGGATTCGGGGTATGATGACGATGAGGTGAAGCAATGCATCAAGTTGATTGAGAAAGAAGGTCTGAAACAGGGCGAGGAAGAGGTACAGGTCCTGGAAGATGTCGCGTGCCTCGTCTTCCTCGACGACCAGTTCGACGAGTTCAAGGACAAGCATGATGAAGAGAAGATGATCAATATCCTCAAAAAGACGTGGGTCAAGATGTCCAAGCAGGGGCAGCACATGGCGCTGGAAATCCCCATGACGGACGAATGCAAGGCTCTGGTCGGTAAGGCTCTGGGCGGGTGAGACTGTGAAAGCCGGAAATTGCATCCACGGACATGAGCTGGCTCTTTCCACCTCGCCAGGAATCCGGCCCTTGTGTCACGTTTGGACGAGAGGCAGCTTCACGCGGCCAGAGCAGCAAGCACACAGGATGGTCTTTCTTTACTCCGGGCGAGGCCGGAAGCTGGAGCGTGGAGTCGTCAATGTCCCCTTTACGCAAAGGATTGAAGACAACCACACTAGCAGCGTCCATGCGCCATCTCCCCGTCCTCAAGCTCGCACCGCCCAAACACTCGGCTCTTCACTTCACCATACCCGATTAGAAATGCGGAGTGACACGGTCCCTGGAGAAGTTCGAACAAAATCACGCAATCACGCACACGCAAATCAAATTTCTCTTCAGATGTTCGTCTTGGACAACTCCTCGGGTGATCTGCCCGGGAACATATACGCCGCTTGGGCCTGGCAAACTCTGTTTGAAAGAAGCTTAATCTTATCATCTTATGGACATGACCTGGAGGTACACGGTACTCGCCACAATTGGGCGATTCGACGGTGGTTCTGATTGGATGGACTGATTTTTGGTTGGAGGTTGGTGACGAAATAGACAGACTTATGATAGAGATGATGATCAATGCATGAAAATGATATCGACGAAATATATCGGAATGAAAATGTGATTCGGACTTGACTTATCTCTCCCGTCTCAATGTTTCAATCGCTTGGTCCATCGCATGCTAGATTTCAGCAGTGATTCTGCCTTTACTACACCTGACATGAACGGAACGATGCCACCGAATAGGGCCTCGAAACCAAAATCTCTTTTCCAATCTATATACCATCTACCCCACGCCAGCCGTTCTCCCATAACCCCAGCCTCAATCCTCAGAGGTAACCGCTGTCGTGACCAAAAACTGCCCATCGTCCACAGAGAGGAGCAAAACTTACTCGGGCTTCCTCGGCATCTTATCCGCCAAAATGGTAGCAAACATCGCCATGGCCTGCACATTCACCTCGGCGGGAACGGGCTGATCCGGCTTCGCCAGCTGACTCAGGAGCTTGAAGTAATTGATATAGAAACTCGGAGTCGAGGTGAAGAGGATCCGGGCTTCCTCGTCGGACGGGTTGCTGAAGGTGTGTGGAGCGCGGATGGGGACGACCATGTAATCGCCCGTCTTTGCGTCCACGATCTTCTTGTCCTTGCCCGGGGTGTTGGAGGTCGTTTCGGGGACGTGGAAGCGGACGGTTCCCTGGGTGATGTAGAATGTTTCGTCGTGCATTTCGTGCCAGTGGGGTGGGGGGCCCGGGGTTTTGGGGGGCATGATTAGTTCTGCTACGCCGAGGCGATTGTCTGCGGGTGTCGCGGGACTGTTAGTTTTTAGTCTTGGGGTGGATGTGGGAAATATGCAGTGCAGTGGTTTTGGATGGATGGAAGGGGGAATGATGAGCTGTCTGAGGTGACTGATGATGGTGATGGTAGGTATGCATCCGTCTGGTGTCATGTTGAGCATGCTGGGAGACGTGATGGCCGCAGATGGCGGCTATTGAGAAAACACCGCGTCGGACACGGTGAAGCTGCTCGAGCACTGCCATGTGGCGAGGCGGATGTTGTGCGAGCAAGCCCGTGCATAGGCAGGCTATCGCGGCTATAGGAAAAGGGAGAGTGCTCGAGCGGTGCCATGTGGGAATCCGTCAAGGGCCGTGAGATGAAGGGGAATGCAGCGTACCGGTGTTGGAGCCATCTTCCATTACACGACAGGTGATGGGGCCCAGTTTGAAAGTATCACCGGCCTTGGCTTCGATGAAGTGGATGTCCTTGTCCGGGACGGAGACGAGTCCTGCCATTGTGTCGGTGTTGGCGGGCAGCGGCAGAGAGCGATTGGAATCCAAAGTGGTGTGCCGTGTGGTATGGATGTGGTGGAACGGAGAGTGTCACTGTCAAGAAGCTCCGGATCGCTCCTGATGCTGAAAGGTGAAGGGAGTGCGGTCGGACAAGGCGGGGCACGTCGGCGGACCGACTTCTCTCTGCACTCTTTGTGCTTGGAATTTCTGCTGTCGGTGCGTCGTCCGCTTTATTGCCTCCTGTGTCGTGTGAGATCTCGCGATATTCCAGCGTGCATCTCTCGGTACCGAGCAGATGGACTGATACCACTCCGACGCCTGCTCTTCTCTAGCGTGAGGTTAGCAGTCAGAATGCCCCTTCGGCAGGGTCGGCAACCCGTCAACACCAAGAGCAGAATCTCCTGCATGGAGCGCTAAGCGCTTCTGCTCGGACGACATCTCGATGCGGTACATTATCTCTCATGTCTCGCTTGATGTTGGAAGGCAGGTGCCAGGAACGATGTCGGGAGAAGGAAGTTTGTCACGTGGTGGCGTGAACTTAAGCATCGCGCTAAAATCAGCCGATCCCGGCGTTGACGCGCTTCCATTTCCTCGACGCGTCCGATAGAGCTGACTTCACTCATCAGTACACTCTAACACCCCCGGTACCAATATCTGATGGTAAAATGAAACCACGATGACGCCCTTCAAGCCGCCGACATTCAAGCCGCCTACCTTCGTCAAGACACCACTCCACGACGAGTCGCCTGCTGAGCCTCCAGCAAAGAAGCGCCGCATCAGCCAGGATGACGAGACTGTGAATCTTGAGGCCACCAAAGCCGCCGTCCAGCTGCTGAAGAGGCCAGCTCCGCCTAGGAAATTTGTTCCGCCGCCAGCGAGACAGCCTCTGGCCCCAGTCAGCAATCCCAGCACTCCGTCTCAGAGCGAATCTTCAGAGACCTTGCTGAAGACCTACTACACAGTCCTCTGGCGGAAGTTCACCACGAAGAAGAACAAGACTTGGGATGGCGATGGTGTGTTGACGGTACTTGGATCTTCCGCCGTTCTCCAGGACGATGCCGGGAAGGAGCTTGGCCGTGGCACTTGCAAAGGCCCGCTTCTCGTCGGCTCCGAACTGTCTGTTGGAGGCAAAGATGTCCAAGTCGAGTCGATGATCCCCAAGGAAGAATACACTTCGGGACGAGTCTTTCTCGCAGCCACCAAGCCCGCACCTGCACAGTCACTGAAACAGATCAACGGCACAGCCAGAGTCACCAACAAGGAACAGGCGAAACACGACAAGATCGCCGCAACGCAGAAAGAGCGATTGGTGTCAAGTGCAGTCACCAGCAAAGCCGGTAAAGCTTCTTTCAAGGCGCCGCTGATCGTCAACACCGTTCAGGTGCCCAAGAAGAACGCTACCATCCCAGTCCCAAGACACGACCCGAAAGCCGAAGATGCTGTGTTGATGCGGAGGCCAAGTAGTGCGCCAAGAGGCAAGCAGATTGTTGATGTGGTCGTGGACCCATTACTCAGCCGCAAGCTACACGCACATCAACGCGAAGGAGTCGCGTTCATGTATGAGTGTGTAATGGGCATGATGGACTATGTTGGCGAGGGTGCCATTCTCGCCGACGAGATGGGCCTCGGAAAGACACTGCAGACCATAGCACTGCTGTGGACCTTGTTGAAGCAGAACCCCATTTACGAGGACGGCCCAGTCATCAAGAAAGCTCTCATCGTGTGCCCGGTGACTCTCATCAATAATTGGCAGAAGGAGTTCCGCAAGTGGCTTGGCAACGAGCGCATTGGTGTCTTCGTCGCCGAGAATAACAAGATGCGCCTCACAGATTTCACCCGAGGAAGAGCATATCATGTCATGATTATCGGGTACGAGAAGCTCACCAAGGTACAGGATCAGCTCAAGGGAGACTGCGGGATCGACATAGTCATTGCAGACGAGGGCCATCGACTGAAGGCGGAAAAGAACAAGGCTGCTGCCGCCATCAAGTCGATCAATACAGACAGGCGAATCATATTGAGCGGGACTCCCATTCAGAACGATCTCTCTGAGTTTTACCAGATGGTGGACTTTGTCAATCCCAACATATTGGGCAAGAAAGCTGCGTTCCGACGAGAGTTTGAAGACCCAATCGTCAAGAGCCGACAGCCTGGTGCCTCTGCATCGGACGTGGAAAAGGGAGAGGCGCGCAGCGAACATCTGGCCGGACTCACGCGAAACTTCATCTTACGACGTACTGCAGATGTCATGGCGAAGTTCTTGCCGCCGAGAACTGATTACGTGGTCTTCTGCAAGCCAACCCCAGTACAGGCTTCAGTGTATCGTAGCATCATCGGCTCGCAAGCATTCCTGGCGGCTATGCACAGTCCAAAGTCAGCGTTGCAGCTCATCAATGTCTTGAAGAAAGCTTGCAACAGTCCAAGTCTACTACTCAAAGCCAACGATGAAGGCGAAGGGCGCGTGAGCTCAGAGCTTCTGGAAGACGTGTCGCCGAGCGACTTGAGGTTTCCAGGGACCAGTGGCAAGGTCCGAGTACTCGACTCGCTGCTCCGTGAAATCTACACTGCGACTGATGAGAAGGTCGTCGTTGTCAGCAATTACACTTCGACGCTAGATGTGCTGGCCAACCTGATGACCTCGATGGACTACCAATTCCTTCGCCTCGACGGTGCCACACCAAAGAACAAGCGACAAGAACTGGTAGACCGCTTCAACAACTCTCCTCAGAAGGCCGCATTCGTCTTTCTGCTCTCTACAAAAGCTGGAGGAGTTGGAATCAATCTCATCGGAGCTTCTCGATTGATTCTTTTCGACTCAGACTGGAATCCTTCTAATGACTTGCAAGCTATGGCTCGCGTCCACCGCTTTGGCCAGCGCAGGACTTGTTTCATCTACCGACTGCTGGTACAAGGGGCATTGGACGAGAAAATCTTCCAGCGTCAGGTCAGCAAGACAGGGTTGGCTGACAGCATTGTCGATCGGAAGAGTAATGCCAGTGGCTTTACTCAGGCCGAGCTTCGTGATCTCTTTACTTTCGATGAGAACGACGACTGCCAAACGCACCGTCTATTGGGCTGCACTTGCGGTGGGAATGGGTTGCCGATAGGAGAGGCAGCTAGAGAATCCGCAGAAAAGGCTCAGGTCGCCCGTAATGACTTGGTAACCCTCAGCGGTAACGATGAGACGGAAGTGCTCTACCTGGCCGATAGCGACGAAGAAGCGAATGTGAATGCCTCGAAGGGTGCTTGGAGAGGGACTGCTAAGGATTACGACCCCGATGCGGTCGAGGAAGAGCATAGACGACAGACACAGGAAGGGAAGATGCTGAGTCTGATGCAGTGGACTCACTTCAACACGGGGCATGTTACCGCGAATGCGTCTGATCAGGACGACACGGAGGCTTCAGAGCTGGATGAGGTCGGGATCGCGGTGGAAGACGACGCTCTTCGTACGGTCATGCGCGAGCCTGGTCGTCGTGTTGGCTACGTCTTCGCTAAGCTCAGTGCTTCCACCACTGCTTCGCATGAAAAGCCAGACGCGCAGGCGAGATGATTGGTGCTTGCATCATGATGATGATGAAAAAGAGAACTGACAGCACTACGTTGCAGATATGATTACTGTTTAGACATAGAACTGCTTCAACGAACAGCCGATATTCGACGAGTCGGGCTCTCGCATTGTCAACTTCCGACTTACTTTTCTAATTCTCGCAGACATGGCGTTCTCGTTGACCGAGTTGGAAGTCACTACGAGGGGGAAGAAGCACTTGTGGATCGAAAGATTCCATCGAGTTATGACGGCAGATTATAGCGTCGGCTTTGGGGGTTTTTTTTAAGATCCGCCGTCAGTATCCCACACAGCGTTACTATATGGCTCGCATTGCGCTTCTGTGTTGTTCAAAGAGATGGAAGCTCGCAGGTTGTATTGATCCTCGTGCAGGATGGTATCACTCCATTGGGAGTTGAGGGCAGGCTTCATACGTCGGGGTTTACATGATGGGCGGTGCCTTCAAGGAAGTGCGATATTCTCAAGACTGACTTTCGTATTTCCTCTTCAACTCGTCCGCTCCATCTGTCGACCTTGAACAACTGGTGAAGTCGATGCCCTAGAAATTGGTTGAGCCTGCTATTCAAATATTAATTAATCCCTACTCAGGCCTTGGCGTCCATGGATGTCATCTCGAACATCGACATGCGCTTGGTATGTGCATTCTGCATCTCCTGCCATCCGCCATCCTACCGAGCAGTGTTGCGACCTCCACATATCATCCCGTGGAACGACAAATGCTGAATAGCAGGGATCGGAATGTTGGCGGATGCCGTCGAGATATCGCCACAGACAAGCTTTGGCCTTCCCTGACATCAGCAGCCAGGCCTTTCCATGATGCAGTCGATCCAGTCGTCCACTGCCCACTGCACAGCTCACCCGCGTTACTCATCAGGTGCGCGCGAATGACGAAAAGGATGCTCTCACAGCTGCCAACTCCCAAAAGTCCTGGGAGGTGCAGTGCGGTGCGGTGGCATCGGAAAGGCCGGGGCTGAACTTTCTCGAACGCCAGGCCGTCAATGGTCCATGACGACGATGGCCATTGGACAATGCAACCTCCAGCGTCAGGCAGAACAGTAGGTCCACTCTCACTCACTCTCTGCTGCTGCAGGAGAATCTCATCGAACACCCATCTCTTCGCATTTACCCTTCTTGGACATCTCGCCCTCTTCCTCCAGACCTAACATCCCAGCTCCCTACGCCACGACTCGAACAACAGGCAACCTTCTTCGACTGAACAAAGACGACATGTTCGAGATCGACTTTCAGCACTCTTCGCAAACACCTCTCCCTCCAAACCTCCCGGTCGATCAAGGCATTCGCATCCTTCACGATTTCGAAACCGTCATACGCCTCAGTCCAGACTGTCGAGGATGTAAACCGATACCGCCTCCGAATGGCAAGAAGAAACCAGCCACTACGAATACCACCTCGGTAGATGGAACGCCACAAGAGCAAGCACAGATGCAACACTACGAAGTGGAAGACGACCTCCCCTTCATCCCCAAAAAACTCTGGGCAGGAGGCGTCAAATACGTCGCGGACTTCTTCCCCACCACAGAAGGTTGCGACATCACCGTACACGCCCCCGGAGGTTTCACATCTACCAACCACTGGCGGATCCTGCGCGAGACGATTCCTGAAGATGAGGAGATGCAGTTGGAGCGAGTGCGGACCAAGGACCTGATGCACGCGGAGACAACAGGAGGCACAGGCGGTTGGTATGTCCAGATTGTCAGCGACGCGAGGTGCAGCAGGACGTTTGCGGGCTTTGTGAAGGGTTTCCTCAAGAACAGTCATCAGCAGCTCCAGAGGGCTTTCATTGAGAAGTTGCAAGCTACTCGGGCGCAGCAGGGAAGTCGGAGGCCCACCATCGGAAGGAGGAGATCGAGCGAGTTGTAGGACGACTGCGGAAATCATTCCTAGGCGCGGAGCTTGCCTCTGTCATGCGCGAACGATCGAGCCTGCCTATCTGAGTTACCCAATACTCTGGCCAGAGTAAGAGATTAGGCGAGATAAAAGACGACTAGAGAGAAAGCCTGTCACGCGTAGATGGAGATAATCTATGAATACTAATCCACGAGAAACGGCACTGCACCATAATGTATAGTTAGGGACAAGTACATGCGCCGCGTAGAAAGAGAAACAAGAGTTCTCAATGAGAGACTGCGTTTTGACTTCCTTTTCATTACAAGCATGCGTGACGAAGAGACCTAGCTATTGAAGGGTGGCCTTCTGAGGAGATTTTTACGTTTCCAGTGGAAGGTATCTGCACTGAGCCTCGTGGAGCAATGTTCATCGGCCGATCTTACTGAGAGCATTAGATATAGCGTGGGAAACCGGTTTTGGCCTGGTGCCTCAGGCATTATTCTAAAAACGCACGGGCCACAACTCATATCTTTCAACGTCTTGTCTGGTATGCCTCACACGCTTTCCCACACATATCATAAGGTATCTCATCTCCAAAAGAGACGCTTTATGATCCGAGGGGTCCATTTGTGTTAATCGCTTCCAAGCGATGATTCTTTCCGCCGCCCTCTCAAGAATGCAGTTCGGCATGACCACGAGCAGGAGTTTCCCAAGCCTGGCGGCCTCATTCTGGATATTCACATTAGAGAGGACAGGACGCTCAATTTTCGAGCCGCCAATTCGATCCTTCTTCATCGATGGCAGCGGCTTGGATACGTGATGCTCGGCGGACGGTTCGGTAGCCTTGATGTGGAGCTCTACTGCTCTTTACGCCCCGAAGACGAGGCTGCGCTTGACCAGGAACGGCTTGCTGGAGCGACACGTAGAGCATGGCTGCCACTGAGAGATGCGTGGACTGACTGCCGGGATGCATCGGTGCCTCGAATATCAACCCGAGGCTCAAGACTTGTTCCATTCTCTTGGGCGGGTGCACACCCTTCCTTCAGCCTGGTCGCGAAGTATCCTGCCTTTTCCCAACATGCCCCTCGCCGATCTCTCTTGTGATCCATCTCTCGCCTTGAAGTTCCACTGAGGCATAAGTCTGCATTCTCCAGCACGTATGGCCTGTTGTGAGGCTCTGCACGCGGGTCTGTCAACATGTTACGCCGGACCTTCTCGAAGCTGAAGCTCAGACACAGCGACGAATCTGCGCGCAAGGAATGGAGCGAAGAAAATTACCACGATCGCACGAGGACAACTTCCCATCTCCAGTCATGGAAGTTCCACTGATTTTCCCTATGCTCCGATCAAGGCCTGCACAGATGTGTACTTTGACAAGCGCGGTCTAGATCACAGACTGAGGGAAAGTGTGTGCTACCACAGGGTACCCGCCTCGCGAAAACTCTAGCTTCTCGGAATTGATGAGATGGCTCAAGGATATGCATGTAATCTTCAGCAACCCTGAAGGCGCTGCCGCTCTCAGCTGGATGCAACAGCTTTCACGGTTTGAAAGCATCCCGGACAAGACCCGAGTGTCTATGAGCTCTTCTATCATGCACATATTCACTCTTCTCAAACCGGATGAGCCGTTCGCATCGTGTCTTCTCGGAATTTTCATGGAAACCGAATGCGAGAATTCGAAGGGTCGGAAAGAGCTGATGGGACAGCTTTTATCGCGCTTTAATGGCAAAGATCATGAGCTGGAGGCAATTCGTGAGATCTTCAACGAAATTTCTAGCGACCCGGGAGTACATGCCAGCAGGAAGAATGCCTCAGATGAGGGATTCGCTCTCTGCCAACGTTTGGTATCTCTGACTAGAACAGAGACCGTTCACGTTGCTGCGGCCCAACTCAAGATCTGGGAACGTCGTTCCAACGCCGGAGACTCCTCCAGCTCGCGCTCACTTGCCACCGTTCTGCAATTCCCAACTTTGGCGAAGCCAGAATTAGCTCGAGAATTCTTCGACCAAGCGGTCGGCCGCATTCTAGAAACAGCAAATGAAGTGGAGGCTATGGTCGTTCCAACCGCGCGAAAAGACAGGGAAGGAGCACAGAGCGTTCTTGATCGGTTTTGGATAGAACCACAACTTTCATCTCCAGCAGAAGAGATGATTGTGAACAGCTTCCTGCAGATCTACTCGCTCATGTTGAAGAAGTGGACGACAGACATTTCGAACTACAGTTCCCGACTTCTGACTTGAGTGATCTGGAGGCACCGCTATGGTATGCGAAAAGGCGATGGGCTTGCTGTACGACTACGGATTGACGAGGACGGCGGCGCTTGGCAGAATGCATTCTGTGTACATGTTATCGACCCAAGCACGGACCTGGTCGCATTTCCTCACAATCTTTAGAGGCTGAACACAGCACCAATGCCGAGTCGTCCTACATGTCAGACAAAGCACACTCGTCCTGAATACATGATAGCAACCTGCTGCTGGAACACACTCGAGGCACGGAAGGCCAGAAGACTGGCGGCGGTCTACAAAGCCAGCTCGCGTGGCTTGAGCAGCTTTGGCAACCATTGCCTCATTTGCAACCCAATGTCTGTATTCGTCCATTTCCCTGGGTCTTACGCTGATATTTGAGTGATAACCGCCCCCTTCCTTGATCCGAGCCCGAAATCTAGTATCAAGGGGCGCTAAAGTATCACAACCGAAATGGCTCACCTACTTCTGGCATGAACCCTGCTATAGGGCTGTATGCTATTACCGCACGGATATGGAGCACGAAGCGGGGCACGAACTTGGACGAGTCTCCTTTGTACAAGAAGAAGAGCCGATGCCCATATTTGCCGTCTTTATTGTCGCGATTTTGATTTGCTTTTGGCCAAAATTTGGTTACCTGCGTGGGACGGCTCGCCATATTCATTATTTCCTTCTTTTCAAGCTGTAGCCCTACCTGGGTGAGCAACTCGCTACCGTTTACGCCATCGATTTCCTTCTGAGCATTTGGACTCAGACGGTGACGAGCTTTCTGCTCAAAACAAGGACATTCGTCTTCTACCTGTCAAGCCCACAGCGCCAGCACCTGGGGAATCGACTATGGCCTCTCAGCCTCAGCCGGAACAGCAGCCGGCTGAGGGCTCTGTCGCAACCCTGCCGACCCCAGAGACCGTGCCAGAAAGCACCGAACAAGCGACCTTACGAATCCTTAAAAGAATACTTGCCCTGCAGGAGAAAATGTTGATACAGAATCGTGCCCGCCCTCCTGCTCCTGGCTCTCCTGGAAATCCTCTTTTCGACGGGCTCAACGCCACTGCTCATGTGGAGAGGTTTGAGAACTTCCTCATAGATTACGATCTAGAAGAAGATTCCGAGGAGAAGAAGACCCGCCGCTTCCTTGGTACCCTTTCAGAAGCACGCCAGCTAACTGCGAGAGGACTTGAGGGTGCACCAGACAAAAGCAATCCGGAAGCCACCAGTTGGGAGCGTCTCAAGCGAGCCTTCTTGAAGAAGTACCGAGACTATGATGAGCGTCAAGTTAGGGCCACTCGAGCGTGGCTCGAGAACCTGTGTCAAGCTACAAGAACCCGTGAAAGCGACCTAGAAGGGTACGTTTGCGACTTCGTTGCAAGCTTGAAAGACATTGGGCCCTCGTGGATCAGCAACACCGAACGGGTTCGCTTGCTTCTGAGGGGTCTACCTGAGGAGATTTGTCTTGAGGTCTACATACAATGTGAACTTGATTTTGTCGAGGGTATGACGACGGAGGACTTCAGGCGAGTCCTTGACTGCGTGAGGAATGAGGTGGACTCTCGTGTTGATGCTCGTGAGTGGTTGTCTTGACTCTTACGAGCCGCCTACGGGTCGCGCAGCTAGTCTTGGGAAGAGCAACACTTAGACTTATTAAGCAGGCTTTCATAATGGATCTTGTATAGTTGAAATGTTTATGTATGGTTTTTCGTATACGCCTAGACCAGGGGTGAGGGAAATTGAGGCGGCTTTATACAGCCGTCTGTCGCACTAGACCTCGCATAATATGGGATCGATGTCGTGCAGTTCATATGCGGCTCCCAGGCCTGTTTTTGCCAAACATCTACAGTCTAACGCCCGTCTTCAGATCTGCGACGTTGGCCTTGACACGGCAGTGGTGGACTTGCTGCTCTCAGCGGCGTACGCAGCAGCACAAAACAGCCGAGGCCAAGATCTGCTACCAGAAAGACCTGTTCAACGCAGCAATCAGACGCTAATCGTGGCACTGAACTACCTGGATTCGTACGCTCGATGGGCCCGGAGTCAGTCGAATATGACCGCTGACAAACTTTCGCGACGCCGTGCGGAAACGCTCGCAAACTATCAAAGACGCCTTACCGTCCAAGAAAGCTTACATCGAAGACCAAGCCTTCATGCACATGACATGGAATGGAACACGAAGTCCACGGCAGGACATAGCAAAACGAAGGCGGACGAACAATGCTCCCCGACCCCATCGCATCGATACCTCGGAGTCATTTCTGAATGTCAGAAGATGGCTTTGCATGGGACATGGGAGAGCTCGCGGGAGCATTGGAAAGTAACAAAAGGCAGCATGAGAAATCCCCTCTCGGAGGAAATGTACACCGCGGACGATGTACGCGCTATCGTGCAGCATCCATCCCCTGGGCAAGAACTCGGCTACTCTACAGCTCAGACAGCAGGAACTCACCAGTGGCGTCCGAGCAGATACGATCTCGAGAAAATCGAACAGTCATCTCAGGTCCTGCTCGCTGATCAGACCGCCGATGCTGCTGCGAGTCGCAAAGCCGTGGACGAAATCCTTGGATACCTGGCGATTTTGCCGGAGACGGAACAGCTTAGGTTGCTTTTGAAGGATTTGAGGGTTCCGGCTTCGTGATAGTCATACTGAACAGGCTTTTGATGGGGGTAGTAAGTGCCTCTTTGAACCAGAACCACCACCATTACTTGAGACATGTCTTCGAATGCTCTGCTTACTTCGAATCGCAAAATGTAGTCGGCGCCGCTGGAGTTGACGCGAAGGCCAATCGGCAGTGTTTTCATAAGACGGGAGATTCCCTGGGACATGCGGCGAGGCATTTGAAGAGTCTGCAGGGTGAGAAGAGGTCCTGCATTCCCGGGGTGTGGGTGTGGGGGAGTGCGGTCTATTGCATGTGCTATAGGTCACAACGCGTGACTCTCCGCTGAGTTGAAGGGGTGAGTCTCCGGTCATACGTCTCTTGCATGTGAGCCAGCTACCGAAAACTGAGTCTCCGCGGTGGCTCGAGTTTGGCTTCTGCGACTCTTGCTTAGGCTTCTACTATTCTTCTCCAGAGCCCGACCCTCAGGTTGGCGATCTGATGAAAAAGAAAATGAAAGAGTGCCCCAAGCATGCCAAGAGACACACCGCGAAGTCCGCAGACGACGCTCCCGCTAACCCACCCCGTAGGGCTGCACTCCCAGAGCCCTCGATCCCAAATGAGCTTACACCCGTATCCGGCCATGCCTCAAGTACGTGCCGAAGCATGCGGCAAGAGGAGGATTTCAACAGATGCAAACAGACCAAGAAATAATGCTACCGACTGGCTTGATGCCGCGGTATCACATTGCATAGAGGCTTCGGAGCAACTCTATGAGGTTCGGGAGCAACAGTCCCGTCTTGGCAGCATGAGCAATATCGCACCGGCCGGAGTGTCGTGCCACGGCTGCTGCGGAACTTTAACGGTCTTGTCATGGGATCCTCCGTTATTCACAGACGAGACCGAGCTGCAAGTCGCTGCCGACGACGACTGATGCCACACTCGAGTCTCCGTGGCCAACGAGGATCAAACCATGAGTAGATCCCTCGACCAGACATCCCAATCGGTTGCCATCGCTCCCTTCGCTTGACACACCCCTCTCGTATGCGATTTGGTGGACTAGGTGGGTTCGGCGGGTTCGGCGGGCTCGGCGGGGTCGTTCGTTCGGTCGGTCGGTTCGATTTGGAGGTCGCTGAATCGTGTGGTGGTGTCGTCGAGGTGTGTTGTGACGGATTGGTGCGGTGGCGAAAGTCGTGCGCGTGACAAAGACAAAGATCTGGGTAAGAGCGTGTGTGGTGGTGTAGAAGAAAAGAAGAAGAAGGAGGAGGAGAGGAAGAAGAAGGAGAAGAAGGAGAAGAAGAGGAGGATGTACAGGTTCGATTCGAAGACGAAGACGGGTTGGAGGGGAAGGAAGAGGTACAAATTGAGGGTGAGGTTGAGGTTGAGTCAGAGGTAAAGGTGGAGGTAAAGGTGAAGGTGAAGGTGCAATTGGAAGTGGAAAGAGCAATATTTGTGTGCGCGCACGGCTGCGAGATTTGTGTCGTCATTATCGGCAAGCGCGACCGCGTTTGTTTGCTGTTGGCGGCCGGCTATTCTTCGGCATTTTCACATGTCCGGATCACTTTCCTCGAGGGCACACCCTCGAGCGAAGTAACGTCCTCTGGGCCAGCCAACTCCTTCAAACCGGTCAGAACCATTGTATGAAAGTTCTCATAGGCCAAAATGCTGGTGTGAGAGACAGAGAGAGAGGACGGAGGGGCAATTTTTTCGCCGGCCCCGCCCAAGCCAACGACTGTGCAAGACCACACAAGCGAATTTAAGCCTTGAACAAACGACAAGACCCCACTCACCGAAAAGATTCGCCTGAACTCAGATCGGCGTGCGCGTTTGCAGTCACGCCCGTCGGCTAGGAGCGCTGCGTTTGAATGCTTCTGACTTGCTCGGCAAGCCTGTTGACATTTCGAAACTTCAACGCGTACACGAAACAAGAAGTCCTCCACACCATGGCGTCGAATGTATCTCAACATGGTACTTTACGCGACTGGGCTCGTCCTCCCGTCCCGAAGGGAAAGTCTCCGCCTCCCAAAAGGCAAAGATGGCACAAAGGTACATCCCAAAGCGACTTCACGCAATTCTTGCTCGAGAGAGATGATAATACTAAATGTATTTCCAGAAGTGGTTCGATGCGGTCTTCCGGGCTCAACGCGCGCAGCTAAAGGCCGACAACCCGAGGACAAAGCGCCACGACGAAAAGAAATCGATCTCTCTCCTGACCTCCAAGGTCGCCAGTACCCACAAGCCGAAATGCGACGATCAACCCGTACTCGATGAAGAGGAGCTGAACGCCGGAATCAATGAGCCCGTCACCAACAATATTGCTTGGTATCTCCCTTTCCCATACGCTTCCATCGACACCAAAGGCCGCAACGTGTTCTTCCTCGCAAGTGAGAATGCTGAGGAGGAGCAGAAGGACTCTGCAGAGCTCTCTGAGGACCATGACGCCAAAGCATCAGCACCGAAGCAGCCCGCGCGACTTCAGCACATGGATGAAGCAGAATACGCGCTGTATCTTGAGGGACTGGGATCGAAGGTTCTCGCTAAGCAGGCGGAGCACTTTGAGAGGACGGGAGACGGAGAGATCTTCAAAGAGGGACTCATGCAGACGGCAGACGGAGATGATGAGTTCTCATCGGACGAAATGTTGGAGGGTTTCGTGGTGGTAAATTCAGGAGTAAGATTGTGACAAACTGCCTTTCGCAACAATATCCTGGCATAGCGGAGGTATACCACTACCGCATGTCATCCGGAGCTAGATCTTCAGCGGGGCCATATGTCGAGATAGTGTCCGTCCCTCGATTACGGTGCAAGAATTTGGATAGAAGACGGAGCGGGTTTATATCTTCGTCCATGATAGCTGGCTGCTTCATTGAGCTCAAGCTCGACCAAAATGTCAAGCCTGCTAGTAGGCTCACAGTATTCAAGCGAAATGAGAAAGACCCCAATGGAAATCATCTTTTGAGGAATTCTACCAATATAATCGCCAATGTCGCAAGCAAGGTGAAGTGACTGGGGAAACGCGAACCCGAATCCGAGACCCCGTCATCAAAATTTCAAGACCCCCTCCATCAAATTTACCTCCGCCACCCGAACGCGTCGTCCCCTGCTGCAAACACTCTACGCGTCTGCCTCCAACACCTCACTCACTTCCACTTCCACATCCACAACTACGCCTTCAAAACTCCTCCTCCAAAACACCACAAGATAATTCGCACTGCCCACGCTCAATAATCATGGCCGAAGCAACCCCCCGCATCACAGCCCCCTTCCTCGAGCAATTCTCCCACCGCACCGTCCGCATCCTCGGTAAAGTCCGCCAACTGCGCGGCGAAGAAGCCACCATCGACGCGGGAGGCCAGATCCGCGTGCTTCAGATCAAAGTATCTCATCTCACTCCCTCACTCAAACCTCGCCCCCAATCGTCAAGTTGGATAAACTGATCGAATTGGTGAATTTTTATATTTTTTTTTAGGATTCCAACTGGCACATGAACCACGCCGTCGAGATCATCGGCAAAGTGCAACAGGATCTGAGTGTGAAAGTCATGGCGAGCACGGATATGGGGCCGGAGGCGGGGATCGGTATGGGCACTCCCACACTCACTCATCCTTTTCTCCAAAAATTTCCCCAAGGTTGTTCAATGTGGCTGATTTTTGGGGGGGATTGTGGGGTGTGTAGATTTCAGCGCCGTCGAAGCCGTTGTGGATGCTACACATCGGTATCATGAGATTTTCTACGAGAGGCAGTATTAATTTACACCAGGAAAATTCGTTGCGATGTTTCCCGATGGGTTGGGAGCTGGGAGCTGGTCTGATGGAGAAAGAAAACGTGGCGCTGGGATTCCTGCCGGAGCCATGGAGGTGGTATTGTGAACATTATTCTGGGAGCGTTTACGACTATCGAAGGCACGATGGTTATGGTGATGTGATGGTGATGGTGATGAATGGCTCGGGAGGGAATTATCGAGACACAAAGTCTGCTGCTAGCAGGGTCGTCCTCTTCGACGAAAAGCGCAGATAATGACGAGGAACACCCACAGTGTAGCATCATGGCAGTAGTGAGAGCTCCAGAGATTTTTGGAACGCTGGACACTACTCTCGCTAGAAGCAGCAAAGGAATCCCCCAAACACAGGCCGAGATCCATCTCTCCTTCCTCGCTTGCATCACCAACATCTCCGTCAAGCTGCAATTTCTCCTGCGATCGCTCCTTTCTCCAAGTCCCCCTCCCTGTCCCTCACCACCGCCGAGCCAGCCGTCATCCCGTGATCCCCAATACTCTGGCCCTTATCCGCCGCATACCTCTCACTCCTCACGACCACCGCCTCCCTCAAATAGAACTCATCCAGAATAGGATGAATCAAGACATTCTGGTTATGAATCGTGAGCACACTATTCGTCGGTACCGTAACCCAATTGTCCCTCTCAAACGTCAAAGGCTCCGAAGCAACAAGTACAATGTCCGCTCCCTTATCGCGGCGTTCCATCTTATATTCGCCTTTCCCAACGGCAGGTCTGCGAGAAGCGTTCGGGGTGCTGGAGGGAGGCGGCTGTTCGACCCAATTGGTGCCCGAGGAGAAGAATAGAGAAGCCGCTTCGTCAGTTCTGCTCGAAACATAGCGCGTGCAGACCACGCTCTTCCCATCCGTGACGGCAAAATTCAACAGGGACCTCACATCGTGTCCTTCCAGCACATCCCCCGGCAGACTCTTGATGAACCCATTGATCCTCTCAATCGTCTTCAACATGCCCTTTCTCAGAATGACATGCCCAAACCCTTCCCGCTGCTTGATTTCATCATCCGCATCCACACCCAGCTCTTCGAGGGAATCGAGGAACAGCGCAAACGCCCACTCGCTGTCCGTGGAACCCTGTACGCTCTCGAACCACCGGTCCCGCACGGAGGACACGAGTCGTCGCTTGACGCCGAGTTTCCACCCCCCGATGCCGCCGTTGTGCATCCACATGAGCGCGCCGCGCGAGAAGGGATGGCAATTGCTATCACTCAACGCACCCTCCGTCGAAGCCCGGACGTGTGCAAAGATCAAGGGCGAGACCGTCTTGCTCGCGAGCCGTTCCAGATTCCTGCAATTCCACGCCGGGATCGTCGAGGTGAAGATGCACGGCTCCGGGCCGAGATCGACGAGTTCCTCTTTCCTGTCCTTTCCGCTTTCCTCGCTGCTTCTTCGCCTCCGCTTCACGGGCCCGGAAGTGTAGTATCCCACTCCGAACCCGTCCCCATTGTGCGGCCGCGTGGTGTCGAGACGGAGGCGGGAATCATAGCTCTGCGTGAGGATGCTGTGCGTCGGACTGGTGATGAGATGCGAGAGCAGGATGGGGCTCTGGCCCGAGTAGATGAGGAATCGACACATCCCACCACTCCTCACAGTAGTAAGGGATGTGGTGATGTGTTCTTCTCCTCCCCCTCTTTTCTCCCCCGCACGCTACCTCGATTTCTTATCTTCTTTCCGGTGGGGAAGATGTGATGGTGATCTCCCCCACTCCCTACTCCCACGCTTTCTCGCTCGTAACGACACCTCACTCCTCGTCCGGAGGTGGAGGTGGAGGTATCCCGCGTCTTCGCGTGAGGGGTCGTTCACGGGCCAACGTCGCTGGTACCGCGGCGGACTACACCTGTCGGTACTGCGGCCGTGTCGCGTGGGCAACTGGGTCGTTCGCAGATCTATCTGCGAGATCTGTTCCCTCCGTATCCAAGCCGTTGGGATGCCATAAGGCTGATGAGGGGTTCTTCAGGTAGTGCGTGGTAGAAAGTCTAAAGTTGTCTTGCTGTACAGAGATACGTTCGTTTCTGGGCTTCGTGTCAGGCTCGAGGACATCACGTGCCAGCCTCGGCATGACATGCGCAATTGAGATGCGATGTGGTAGGATCAAGTCAAGGTCGTCGTGTGCGGCTTCAAAAACAGCCTTTGCCATTTCTTCATGACAAACAACTAGAAATAGATCCCCGAATACCAGCTCCTATCTCCCCATCTCATCAAATGCTTACAGATTTCATCAACAAGAACCCCTGCTGGAAGCACCTTTTCCCACATTTCCTGTCCATGCTCCAACGTTTCCCCATCCCGCCGCATAAATCAAGCCCATCTCATCAAGTTCCAAAAGGGGTTTTTAGCGATATTTACTAATGCTTTTCCTGTGCGTGTGTCATCCACACGCCGATACTCCGCTTTTCCTCATGAACCCTTGCAAAAACATCTACACTTTGCTTTGCCGCGATCGTGGTATCTCGAAAATGAAAAGTTCCCAGTAGATCCGCGCCATCTCGTATGCTCATCTCATGCGTTGCGCATTGGTGGTAAATGATAGCGACAGGCAAATGCGATTTTGAATTTGAGTTCTCCTCCCACACCGCTTTTTGGCTTGGTTTTCGGAAGACCTTCGAAATCAGGTCTCAGCGCGTGCTAAAGGCAATTGGTGTTCCGTGGTTTGTACATCCTTTTCGTAATTGAAGCGGTAGCGATAGTCGTTCGTCGGAGCACCTCCAGAGTCGTTGCGGTAAGTAACAGCGTTCTCTCAAAGGGCTGTTCGTCGTCTCATTGCGTGCAGGAGGCTGCAGCGCGGCGGTCCATATGCGACGCTTCGGTCTCGAGAGCTTTCGCCATGACGTGCGTGACTATAATCTGTCAGTCTCGTGCAATTTCAAAAGGCCAACGGAAACTTACTAGGCCAAATGACGGCCTTCTCCAACATCATGGCCGTCACTCTCAGCGCCTTGCTTCCTAGGCCACAGGAGCTGAGATCCACTCCATTGATCATGGAATTCGTCGCATTGAAGTTGTTCATGTCCATCGACAGAAGGTTTTCCTGCTGAAGACGCTTCTGCTCCATGTTGTGGCATATCTGCTCAATCTTTCGCAAAAGCTCCACATCTTCGGCCTCGAGCAGCATGATAGCGGGAACTTGACTGTAGTCGATTGCATCCCGTCCAAGAACCCCAAGATAGCGCCCTGCCCGCTCCTGAACAGTCGTACACCATTCCGCCAACACTTGGCAGCAATCAAGGAAGCAGATTGCAGACTGAATCGGAAGCTCGTGGGCGGTCGCATCAGCGTAGGTGAGATTGTAGGAGCAAGCGATGGCCATGGAGTCTGCAGCGTAGAAAGCCGCCTTGCGAAGATGGCGCTCACGCCTCGACGAGGCCGGCTCGGATATCTGGAGTTGTGATGCCCTGCGCTGCCCGGCGCCGTTTTGATGTGCGGGAGAGTCCGAGGCCAAGCCCGCGATCAAAGGCTTGCGGTCTGCGCCATCTTGAGGAGATCCCGGAGTTTCCCTGCCTGCAGCAAGTTCGTTCGCCATCTGGTCAAAATCGCGTCTCCAGAATGCCTCAGCCGTGCGTCCGAGATTTACGTACAAGCGAACAAATGCCAAATCCAGTAGCGGAATGCTGTCCGCCGACAGGGGACCAAGACCAAATGGATTCGGTCGTTCAAGCTTGTGGTGTTCGTTGGCTTTCCAGGCTGCTTGCCATGCATTCAAGGCCGGCTCAATGTGCGCCACCATCGACTCCGTCTCTTGTGTCGTCCAGTCTCTGGCACGATGGCGACTTCTTGTCTCCCAAATATAGTTGTGAAGAGCGTTGATCAGGACAAGACATCCGAACGTACTCGGCCGCAATTCGTCCTCGCCGGAAGGCGTCACGGACATTCCACTGCTGCTGTTGTAGGCGCTTGGCGCAAAGTTGTGCGCTTGACGTTGGTTCGCAGTCAGAAGTGTGCTCAACGCGCTGGCGAAGGACGTGGAGCTTGCATCAGCAGCAGCTTGACCACCACGGCTCTGCCACTCTTGTGCGCTCTCCGCTTTGTACAGCTCCTCCTGGCAGGGAAGATCCAGCAGAATTTCTGAATTCATAATGGTCGGTGTCTGATTGTAGGCGATGGTCAACAAGCTCGACAGGATGAAGATCGCAAAAAGGCAGCGTTTCCTCTCCTCGCCTGTCTTCCACTTCATCCATTGTGCGTGAAGATCAGTCTCTTCGGTTGGGCTTGCATTGGTCCCATTAGGCTCGCCCATCTCAACATCCGGTTTGTGGTCTTCTTCGGAGCCATCTCCAGACGCTGAGGGCGATGCGTTCGTGGGAGGTTGTGCTAGATTGGCTGCGCGCGCCAGGCTGACCAAAGCTGCGATGTGATTACTCGCGATGTCAGCGGCGAGTCTGTCGCCACAGTGATGCCCATAGATCACTGTGAGCAGCATTGCCTGCACCAGCCACAAAGGCGTTTCGCTACCCGTATTGGAGCCGTTCGCTGCTGCGGATATGTCGGCTCGACGCCGCTCTTCGAGATACAAGCTGATCATCTTCTTGGCCGCATCGAAGAGCTCTTTTGATGCTGGGTGGTCGTATTCGTACAGTGCGCCAATGGCTGCCATACCCAAGATGAGACACCTAGCTCCTCCCGCGTTTCCATGTTGAGCCGAGTTGCTCGACGGAGGTGTGCCTCGTGGGCCGCTGTTCGCTTCAATGACGTCGAATGAGAGTGTCGGGATGTGGCAGATAGGTAAATGTGGGTGAGCAAACTGCAAGAATGCTTCGATGTATCTTCGAATATCAGAGGCGCTGGGGAGGTTGGGGCCCTGCATATTACCCCTAGCTGCTCCAGGCGAAAGTGGTGAGCTCACGCTGGGTTGGGAATATTTCCGAACGGTATGGCCGCCCAGACACGAAGGCTGCGAAAGGCTATTGAGGAGCGCCTGCCGTGTGGAGTCAGTGATCGAATCGGTCGACATGGATGTTACGGAGCTCTGTCTTGCGCTACCATTCATTGACGAGGATGCGATGCTGGGACTGTTTGAATCGAAATTCGACAGCGGATGTCCAAAGAAAGCACCGTTCTGGCCCGGCATGATGTCTGAATGTGAAGGCTGATGGTGATGCTGTCCAACAGCATTCTGCTGCATCATCGCATGATGGAAGTACGCATCGCCAGTAGGAGTGGGATCCTGTAGCGTAGACGGAGAAATCGTGCCGTTCGGACCGTCAAGATTTGGGAGTCCAGAATTGAGCGCCTCCAGCTGGAATGTCCCATTGACTGCACTGTGCGGAGATTGCAGGTCCGATTGTGACCATTGTTGGAAGTTTTGAGGCACGGTGATGGCAGCCTGGCTATTGTTCATGCTGTCTGCGTAGTCTCCTGGGCTATCACCACTGCTCATTCTCGACGGCGATGACTCGTCAATGGCGTTTTCATTTTCGCCCCCATTCTGCATCTGCGTGTTCCAATTACGCATCCAGCCGAAGTCATCATCAATTGAGAAGTGCTGATTGGAGGAGGGGTCAATGCCAAAGGGAATGTTCGACGATGGTATAGAACCAGCTCCGCCAAAGTGGAGCGCAGCCGGGTTCACTGTGGTATGCGGTGTGAACAGTTGGTCGATGTCAAAGCCTCCAAAGCTGGCCTGAGGTGGTGCAGTGCGCAAAGAATTCGTCATGTCGAGATTGGTGACGTGGTGAGTGTCCAGCTTTGGCAGGCCATGAATGTTGCCGTGGTGTCCCATCGCCGTCGACATGCCTCGATAATCGAATCCTTCTGGTCCCAGCATACCAGCCATGGCCATATTGTTGCCGAAATTGAGGTTTAGGGCATTCATGCGGTTGATGCTCGGATGGTTGCCATTGAATAACCCTAGGGACGAGATGTCGACATGGCTAATTGTGTTGGCTCTTGGTCGACCTTGGGCTATGTTGCCTGCAGCGCCTCCCACGTTGGCATTTGCTACAGAGTTCTTGCGCACTCTGCCATTGCCATTGATTGACGCCCCACTGACACTTTCTCGTCGGCCTTGGCGAGGCCGTGTAGTGGCATTGGTCATATGGAGCTTCTGCTGGTGCCGTAGCAACAGATCTCGTCGCGCAAAGCATCTTGAGCACTCCGGACACTCAAACGGCTTCTCTTTTGTATGTGATCGTTCGTGTCGTTTCAAGTGCTCCAATCGGGCGAATGACCGACCGCAGGTATTGCAGACGTGGGGTCGCGGTTTGTCTGTCTTGGGCGGAGGAAACTGGCCATTGGTTGCGCCATTTTGGCCGGAGCCAGCTTTACTATTGGTCTGGGGCCGGCCTGTCACTGCTTGGTCAGTATAACGAATTTGAAGGCTGCTCGGTCAGAAGACAGCATACCACTCGCGCCACTCGTTGTAGTCGATAAATTAGCACTCGAAACCGGGGAATCAGTCTCGGGCTCCTGTTTGGTGACTGTTTCCGCTTGCATGCTCTATGTTTCTGCTTCAGTCAAACGATTTCCAAGCTCTTCCCAAGGTCGCAGGTAGGAAGGTGGGAGAGGAGGGAGGATGCAGGTCAGATGGTGTCGGAGGCGAAGGATCGCGACAGGGTAATTGCTCTCCAGTTGCAAATGCTCATCGAATGCCTTGGAAGTCGGACCAATCGCATTCGCGCACGGGAACAAAAAGGCCTGAACGCCTGGGAAGTCGCAGAAGCACACCGGTCTCCCAGACTCGGACTCGCTACCCTTGTTAGCGGGCTCGGAAGCTATGGTGGTCAGACTTGGCAAGGACGACGGCAGTGTGTGAGTAGTGAAATGGTAGGGTGGACAATGCAACAGAGGCGCCTGGACAACTCCGACGACTCCCAATGGGGGAGGATAGCGTGTACGGGGTGGAGTGGGAGGTCGTTGGAGGTGGAGAGGTGTGCGGAAGAGCCTCGTGGATCGTGTGTGCCGGTTCGGTGGAACAGCCAGCAACAGTAGTTCTACCAGTACCAGCACCAGCCAGCAAGCTAGCAGCACAGACCGAGCAGCAGAGCAGACCTGCACAGTCGTTGCAGGCTACGCGGAAAGGGTTTCGTCAGCTGGCATCCGACGAACGAGCTAGCAGAATAGACTTTTCCGTGACCCGTCGAGCTAGACTCACACGAATGATCTGGAGCTGGTCGAGGCGTCTTTGGTACAAGCGACTAACTCTAACATCGAGCGGCCCAGGAGCTGCCCGTTCGGGCAATGTAGTTTGATTGCGTTTCGTTCCCGACGCGGGACGCCCAGGCTCTGCTGTTCTGCGAGACAAGAGCAGTGCAAGGCGTGGCCTGGCCTGGCCAGACAAGACAGGAGTGGACTGCTGCGACCGCTGGCGAAGCTTCGGTGTCGGAAAACAGGTGAGGTTTGTCGTGTGTGCAACAGATGTCAGAAGGATATGGCGGGCAAGCTGCCAATGACGGGACGAGGAGTGCGCAAGTTTGGGGAAAATCTGGGGTCTGGAGAAGATTGGCGTGTGTGTGCGTCTTCTTGAGGTGTGATGTACAGCACAACGGCCGGCAATACCTTCCGAGATACAGACGGCGTCAGGGCAGCACGCAGTTCGGGCACAGATTTTAATAATGCGTTTCAGGAATTGACAGCTGGCTCGGCGCAGATTCCTATAGAAGGACAGCGATGCCAGGCGGGATTGCTGGGGGTTGGGTGCTGCGGACGGGAGTGGACTCGGTGGAGCTTGGGGAGAGCTCTGGCTCGCAGCGCAGTGTGTGATGAGTGTCGTTGCCGAGCATCCAGGAAGAACGCTGCAGACGACAGGCGGCCGGCGATGGTGGGCCGCTGGCGTACGGGAGCGGAAGAGGGCGAGGGAGAGTCGGGACGTTCGGCTGCTAGTATAGACTAGACCCGCTGGCTGCACCAGGAATGTGGGCATCGATACCTTACGCCGGCAGCTGTGGCACGCTCGGTGGTGCAGGTAGGCAGTAGTAGGAGTGTGTATGATAGTTGGTGGTGCATATCCGATGCAGCTCTCGAATCCGCAGTGGACTCTGCGGACTGAGATGTTTCGTCTGGTTCATCCCGGCGGCAGCCATGCGATGATTTGCCAGCGGCCAGAATGATGCCGGGAGGACAGTGTCAGCAAGGACGGTGTGTGATGTCGCTGGCCGGGATCCCACAGCCCGTCGCCGTCCAATGCTGCTGGTACTGCCGCTGCTGTTGCTGTTGCTGTTGCTGCTGGTGCTGCTGATAAGGGCGATGATGATGATGATGATGATGATGATGATGATGATGATGATGATGATGGTGGTGGTGGTCGTGATGGTGTCTGCATCTGCGCTGCATCCTCCTGGCGGCTGATGATTGATGCTTTCACGGACTTTGTGGGGCAGACCTTGACGCAGCGCCGCCTAGTCTCCTTTCGGACTAGCCGCGCAGGTTCCTGTATCATTTGAATGCAGGTTGACCGACGCCGGCGACGACGACGCCGTCCGCCCGCGTTCATCATGACCACCATCACAGCCATGACAGAGAACGAGCGACGAGACGGGAGGGTTCTTGATGCGCGAGCGCCCGTGACTGCCACTGCCACTGCCACTGCCACTGCCACTGCCACCGCGACTACATGTGACCCGGTGTGATGTCTCCCAACCGCGATCGAGATGGCCATCACACCCCGACCCGATCCTTCTCGTCCTCCTCATCTCAGCAGAGTACGGTCGTCACATCTCAACCGTGGGCAATGCCCAGACATGGACATGAGAAGCCGGCGTTCGGCTCGTCTACCAGACTGACATGAACCAGCGGTAGCGATGGCCGCCGGCATCACTACGGCTCCAGGATCGCACTCACCAGCTGAGTGGGTCGCCGTAGCAGCCCGTACGAAGGTACCACTGCCTTCACTGCTCGTCATCATGCACCGATACCACGTCCGCTGGGAACGCTGCGACCCTTTCCGACCTCACCTGCCTGCTGCCGTCGCTGCTCAGTGCTCGTTCGCCGCGCCGACGTCAATCCACACGCCAACTTGAGCTCCAGCTCGCCGTCAACTAGTTCAACTACTGGGCGCCTGTGCATGGCCATGCGAAGGGTCCACAAACATCCATCGCCGAGCACCTGTAGCCTGTAGCCTGTAGCCTGTATGCATGCATGGAGGTCATGAGTATATTTCCTGCAGAGCCCGCTGCTGCACCACGTTTCGCCGCACAACGGAGTCCACTGCTGCCACTCCAACAGGGCGTGCACGCTCCAGACCGACACGACCAGGGAGACAGCTGCTCGCACCCATGATCATCTAATTCAAAGCCACCTCTGGCCGCTTCAACCCGTCCGCGGCGTCATCGTCAATGCCATTCCGACACGCTGGATGCGCTGACGGACTTTGGTTTCGAACTCAACTCGACAGACGCGCCCTTCTCCGCCAACAAGTCAGAGCTGCCCAAATCTTGCACGATGATGCGATCTTCTTCTCCAGCTGACCTTCGGAGCCCACAAAAGAAACACCGAAAACAGCACCCAAGACTTCAGGGTCCGGGATCTCCCGGAGAAGCACCCAAACGCCGTTCGCTTCTACTGTGACTCGACGCAGTTGGCAGCAGGGCAGAGACCAGCAGCCGATCCACAGGCCCTACGAGCGAGGGGCATCTTGCCGCGCTTCCATTCGTGACTCGCGAGAACCAGCAGCACTTGACAGTAGCGCTGCTCGAAGGCTGTGACCCTACCAACCTACCTCCAAGGCGCGCTTTGCCTCGTGTAGCTACCATCCCCAGATATTTCATGCAGGCCCTCCGCTAGCTCGTGCGCCTCGCACTGTGGAGAAATGCAGGTTGCGTAAGACTCGCGCCTTCTGATTGGTCCGACTGCTTCCTTTCATAAATCCGGCCAACTGATGAACAGCGAATTCCGTCCGCGCATCGCATTATGCCACAGCCTGCAGAAGCATCTCGTCCCTGGAACACAGTACAATGAGCGGCTTCTCACTCGCGCTGTGCCGTCGATCGAAAGACTATCCAAGGCAGGTCAGACGACTGTCAATCATCATGACTACTGCTCCATCAGACGAGAAGAACATGCTGGAACCGCCGATCGCTGCCTGCGCCGCCGCAGCCACCAAATGCTACGCGAACACAGAACGCAAACGCCTCATCGCGCGAGCGGCACACGCACAAGCACAAATCTGAACACCCTTGTGGAGTCCTTGTGGAGTCCCCACACAAGAACCCTGACGCGAAAAGAAGCTGGAGAAGTCTGGTCGCTGCGATCTCCCAGGACAGGCTTCCTGTATAGCATTCCGCCTTATTTCCAGGATCCTTGGTCTTCCGAGAAGGCTTGAACCCCGAGACTGCGTCTTCGGCGGCAGCTTCTCAGGTCAAGATCTCCCGTGCCTGGTCTTTATCCACGCGCCCACGCGGATATCCGTCGTATGGCTCGCTTGATGCCGAAATCCATTACCGTCTCGGCATTACCGTCTCGGGTCAAAAGTAGCGCATTTGCAGCGAGCGAGCGACGACGACGACGACCTCGCATCGCCTGCTCGAGAGGCGAACGGCGGCAGACGGAATGGTCTGGGCATCCGAAAGCAACATCAGGGATTCCAGATCGGCTTCTCCGGCCACATCATGTGCGACCACCCGACCTACCCGTGACACTTGCTAGTACTAAGCGCCGCAAATGTCGTGTCCACGCTACTACCGAGACATTGCACATCTGGGACACGTGAGAAGGCGCTGCATGTGAGCCGCGCGGTGTCATCTAGATATTCCCGTGGGAAAGTGACGATGGTGATACTGCTGTCCGTTCGTGCTTCTCCTACGAAAGACGCTGCTGTGATGTCGATGGATGCGGTCTTCTTGCCGCAATACCATCGTGTCCTGTCCTGTCCGTCTGTCCAATCCGTCCCCGCCATCGACGATGCCGAGAGCTGTCATCCTGCGCCGCTTCAATGCACGAAATCACGGAGCGCAGCTCCGAAGCACGTCGATCGCCACCTAGCACACGGCGAAAGCAGCATCCACACACGTTACATTTCCGACTGCATGCTACATTCAGGCAGAACCATTGCATATCGCGTATTGCAATATTGATGCTTCGCAATAGTAAATGCGCCGCTGATGATTGAAGGACGAAAGACGAAGGCTGATCGCGGGGCCATCTCACGATGGGATGGTGGGGCACAGAATCGAGAGCTCCTTCCTACCTCAGCAGGGATTCTACACACGAGTCTCTACCCTAGAGCACCGGCAACGCCACCGAACTCATTGCTTGTCTTGGCCGCAGAATTCTGGAGGCAGAGCGCGAATAGTTCTCTCTATGTGCTAACCCCGCAGTACCACGCCGCAGACACCGCGGTTGGTGAGAATGTCACGCTTCACTCCATTCGGTTCTTGTCTGACACCCGCGCTGTCAGCGACAGTAGTGCGTGCATTCTAGGTGGTACCGTGGAAAAGGCTGCTGCGTGGAAGGCAATACGGAAGTACGGTTCTGTCACAGAGGCTGCACTGGCTGACCTGCATTGCCACGCTTTGTTCGAGATGGGTACGACAGTTGTCGTGTGGTATGGCTGCCACGCAATGTGGCGTTTCCCGGGTTCGGATCGTTCGCCATCACTCGGAAAAGGTCGCGGAAAAGTGATTTATTCTGGAGACGATGGTTTGTGCTCATATCTTCATCGTGCTTATCAATCGACTCCAGAGGTTCGGGCCGATTCTGACTTCATATTCCTCTTCTAATTCCGGACAGCGACGGCAAGCATCTCGAGAGCAACGGAATCGCTTGACGTGGAGATGCCGTTGGGAATCTTCGCGCGACGTGATGTTGTCCGTGGAGCAGTTCATGCAGTTGAGCGTTATTGGGGCGTTTCGGTGACATTGTGGAGTGCTTGTGTGGAGTGCCGGTATGGTCCCAGAATGATCGTGAATGGCTTGGCATTTGTTCACCCGTTTCCATGGAAATCTGCGGTGGAGGCAATCGGAACATGTCTTGCAGGGAGGCAGGCGAAGGCTTGCAAGGTATAGACGTTCGCACCCCTTTGCGCTCGCCACGAGGTGGTGGCCAGCAGGCGTGTGCAAAGATGCCGAGGATTCTGCTCAATAGTATTGTCTGACGTAGTAACTGCCAAGGTTGTACCCACATGCACTCTGCGCCCTCCAGAGACAGCGATGCCTGCTGATTCCTGTGGATTCCGTAATTCCTCAATGATGACGTTGGATTCTGAGGACTGGCACAATTACCGGAATGGCAAGTGCACTTGGCCGAGCGCATCGAAAGTCTGTGGGTGAACAAGTGTGGAGGGTCATAGTACTCCGGTTGTTGCATTCACCTGACGAATATGTCCACAGCGCGGTCCAGCTCTGTTCATTTCTTATTCTTCTTTTTCTTCTTGCCGCCTCCAGCGCCTTGCTGTGGCTTGGAATCGGCTGGGACGGCCGGTGCAGTGTCCTTTGAAGCAGTCGTGGTCTGCTCTGGCGCTGCGACATCTTCTGTAGGCATGTCTTGGGCTACACCACTATTAGCCTGTGTTCGTCTTATCCGTGTCTCGATACGCACCTTCTTCTTTCTCGGGCAGAGCAGCCATATGTCTGCCTACACGCCCCAGTCCCGTGATCAAGCGTCCGACTTCTGCGGCTCGGTCTGTCTTGAATTTCAATGTCACACCGGACTCTGGATCGAATGTCTTCAGAGTGAGCGTTGCTCGTGGGACTTTAGGCGCGGCTGCGGCATCCTTGTCCTTCTCCTCATTCTCTTCTTTCCGTTTTCTCTTTAATGCTTTCTGGTATCTGGGTGAATCGAGATTGGGGATGTTGTATTTCGTGGTGATTCGTGTCTGTAGTAGGAATCAGAAATGTCCCCTGTAAGTCGATGATCGTTGTACGAACCGTAGTAGGCCGGGCTTGGAGCAGAAGTGATGACTGGCGCTGCCATTCATCGCTGGTGCTGAGATACACCATCTTGAAGACGAGTGCGGTGTCGCGTGTGGTGTCCAGAACAACTTGCATATCTTCCCAAGCTTCGAGCAAGAGCGTGTCTTGGCGCGGGCCGGGACGGATCGTGCCCAATCGGGAAGCAGCAGCTAACGATCTCGACGAACTACATCCATCATGACTCCTCGACTCACGCGATATCTGATTCTGACAGCACTCTGCCTGTTCTGACAGCAATATCTCTGGCGCCCTCTACAGTCAAAGGCTGACTTCATGGAATACTGCCCATGTCCTTGTCTGACCACGCGACATACGTTCCAAATCAGCAGGCTTCAAAATGGCCACACAGGAGACAGACCAAGAAGATGTCTCGCAATCGGTCCTACCTGTTCTGAAAGATCTCACAGACCGCGCCAAAACACTTCTCTCGGAACTGGAGACTTTCCGGGCACACTTGCGAACGATTCGTCAGGAAGGCCAGGTCGAAATCGCGTCGTTCAGAAGTACCGTACAGTCGGAGCTCGGCATGCTAGAGCGGCTTTCCAGCAAGCCTGACAATGCGTCAACGAGCCATATCGCAAGATCATCCAATCTGCCGTTTTTGGAGACTGTCTGGAACGAGGCAAAGAAGTCAAAGCGGGTGGCAGCCTTGCAGAAACGAGTCTACTATAACTCGCCGAGCAAGTCTTTATCACAGGCCATGACCATGCGTCATGTCACTCGTCAAAAGCCGAACAAAGAAGGCATGAAGAACGCAGCTGTTCCAGTCGACGCTATCACCGACTCAGGGCTCACGTGGCTCAAGGTATCTCTTGTTACCAACACAAGACTACTGTTCGATCTGGCCAAGCAAGGCTGGCAGTCAGGGGGCTCAGAGGACGAAGAGGGCCCTGCTTTTCCTTCAGAAGACGATGACGACGACGATATCCCTCTCGTGAAGAGCGCCAAGGAGATTTGCTACGCTGCTCAGTCCTTCCGTATAAGGACCAGGACACCTGTCGTCCACCTGATTTTGCCTCGAGTGCAGCCCGGAGAGACGGATGAGGTGGATGGGATTCTAGATCAGTGCCGAGCAGCTGGAGCATTGGTCTTTTGTGGCGAAGATCTGAAACCAAGTGTACCGATTGACCAGGCACTTGATGTGATGGCCTCTAACCCGATCTCGACCTTTTCAGAAACGGTCAACATCGATTGCACTATTCTCCTCGCCTTGGTGTCGGAGTTCTCTCACGCACGAGTGTCAAAAGAGCCCTGGTTCCACAGAGCGTTGCAACGTCAAGTGGAAATCGAGGGAAACGAGAACCTTCTACCGTCCTTGCTGTATCCTGCTCTGGCGAATCATCCGATGGTGTGCACCTCAAAAGCAGCCAAACGTATGAGCGAAATTGTGGAAACGATAGGAACTCCTTCTGAGAAGGCTCGCACAGCCATCCTCCTTGCCGACGAGAAATTAAAATCTCATCACGAACTTGTGCAAGAGATGCAGGCCTGGTCGGCATATGAGGTGCCGGACTCCTGGCGACTTCCGATTCGAATTCTGGACCAGGATGAAGAGACGGCGATGTACCCGAATCTGCCACCTGCAGCTACTGCGGCCAGCGAGAGTATGACATCCATCAATAAATCTGTCTTTCTCTATGGCTGGGCTACCGGTGTTACTACGATAACTAGCAATCGGACGGTCGTGAAGCAGCTCGAAAGTGACTTGGATAAGCATGAAAGCTTAGACGATGCTACCTGGCCAAGTATATGGCTCTGTCCAACTGCACGTTCACTTGTAGGCAAAGAGAAGAGAGGAGTAAAGAAGGAACACAACAAGAAGGATGGCGTCTACTCTTTACCCGACCCTCTGAGACGAGAAGCGCAAAGACGCAATGGACTTGACGTACTTTCTGCGAGAGAAGGACGTGAAGTCGTCGACCTGCGACCAGACGGATACCCTTGTGAAGAGGTCCTGGAAGCTAAGAATGCCGCAAGGCAGGCATCCTCGGCACCTCTTGAGGCCAGAGAAAAGTAACACCCTCGCATGGCAAGCTACCTCGTGACTTTCGCACAGCTCCGGCATTTTGCATGTACCCAACTAGCACACGGTCTCTGAGACTCGTATGTCATCGGCAAACATACGCCACAAGAGGCGCCTTCGTCAGTACGTCCTGGTCCACACGGAACTTTCCCTACACCGACAGCTCTTCTCGCCAACAACTCGCGGGACATCACTTCCAAGTTACATCTCACAGTTCAAAAAGTTTCACTCGTCACTCCAAGAGCTCCAAAATCTGGATCGACAATTTCAAATCGTGAAGCCTGGGAATCCTTGCTATCTTTGACTGGGATCAACCTCCCAACTCCTTGCCCTGGAATCAGGGTCCTGTCAAGATCCGCAATGCCATCTGAGATTTCAAGCGAGAGTTCAAGGCCTGATCGAAACTCTCTGTACCCCACAAGGCCTGGGGTCATGGTATCGGCAGACTTTACCAGGTAGTAGCATGGTGGGAGCTCTGGGTATGTGGGCACCCGGGTCTCCTCGGACCTTCCTTGCGGTAGATTCCGGAGCCTCGTGGGGTCTCATGACTGAGAGCTCATGCGAGGCTGAAGAGATCAGGAGACATTGGGAAGGAGCTATGACCGCCGCCGCTGCTGCCGCGTGGCTTGCGAGAAAATGTTATGTACAGGGACATGGAAGCAAGAGATCGATGTTGGCCGCGTGTCTTGCCTTCTCGTCACTGCTCTCTATTTTTGCCTTTGGGCAGCTTTCGAGATGTCCAAGGCCGTACTAGGGTATCTATGTTTACGCCGGACATGCGGTGAGCGTGGTTCAGGGTAATGCTTTAAGAAGGCCAGGTCGAATGGTCGGGAAGAGTGGTGATGCCCACAAAACGCCCAACGTCTCTCAATGGCTCGATTCCCTGTCAAGATGCCATCGAAATTGGAGTCTTGCTCTCGTTAGAGCGGCAATCAAACGGCCACCAACAATCAAGACTCATTCGAGGTTGATCCAAGACATTGGGCAAGCTCAAGGATCAAGAGTGATTGTCTACAATTTGTGTAAAACACAAGAACCCTTTGACGGGGAGGGAAGAGGTATGACCGCCAAATGTGGGGATCACGGTGCTTTCGAGGTACCGGTGGTAGTCTATATGGCATTGGGACAAGAGTCAGAGTCTCCTAAGCAATATCCAGGCGGAACTCCCCTAAGGTTGGAATGCTTAGTTGATATCATGGCCGGCTTTGCATTTCGCTTGAACATATGTAGAATGAAAGAAACCTTGAGCAGAACATTCTGAAAGAAGAACATCTTGAATCACATTGCAGAATCACACCCACTCGTAAAACCTTTCTATCGAGCTGGTCCGACTGATCTTCTCTTTGCTAATCCGTCCCTTTACTTCATACTCGGAAGACTACGCAAGTGGTATTATTATGTACTCGTGTCTGCCCGACTCTTCTCTTCAATCCCAATAATGCATTCCCAACCCAAGCAAACAGAGGAGAAAAGAGATAGGCGCCTTTCTCCATACCTGCTCCCTGCCACAAAGATACCACTCCCAACTAACGAAAGAAACTCTGCCTCTCAACTCCAAAGAGCAATATTCCTCTCACTTACCCCAAGAAAACGGAAGATGCCTACGCGCTCAGAAGAACAAATTTTCGTCAACATCATCACCACCACTGGTACCAGACCAAAAATCGCTTGCCAAGAACTCGCCCATATCACCATAACTACCGTTCATGTTGAATCCGTCGTCAGGCATCATGGTGAAGAGATTCTGCTGATCTGCAGTCCCGTCGCCGAAATCGAATCCTGCGACTTGCGATGGAGGAGTGAGATCTCCGCGAACCAGGATGGGGTTGTAGATTGGCTCGTTGTTTCGTTCAAAGCCGGCGACGTGGGATGGTGGAGTGAGATTTCCTTGTGAGGAATTAGGAGCGCAGACAGGTTCGTCGTTCTGGTTGACACCTCCTGCAGTATCCCCAGATGCCATGTCAGAGCTACCACCGTTGTTCACGGTTGGAGAATCGATATGCTCGGGCTGCAGAGACGTATCCTGCTGGTCCGAGTTGTTTTCAAAATCTTGAAGAAAGTCGCGCAGTTGAGCCTCCATCGAATCGACAGCAATCGATACCAGGTGCGTTTGAGCTTGCAAAACGTCATGGTCCTCCAACGTCGGCTCGGCCATCTGCACATACGGCTCTTGATTCGGAGCAGTCATCGGGCCTGGAGCTTGAAAGGGGATCCACTGGTTCGACTCCCTCTGCAAAGCGGTCTCGTGGTACTTTTGCAGCATAGCGATCTGGTCCTGTCGAAATCCAGATTCCTGCTGGTCCTCGCCAGGTCGTTGAATGTTTGTGGTAGCTGGTAAAGGATTGTCGAACTGCTGCTGTTGTCCGTCTGGTTCATGCTGCCCACGCACGTCAGGGTGAGCAATCTGGAGGTGCTCCATAGCGCTTTGGTGGGGTTGCAGTTGAGCACTGCAGTCAGATTCGGAAGGCTGAGGCCAGGCGATTGATGGCTTCTGTGTCTCGTTGGCCGGGTAGGGCTGAGAAGTCGAAAGAGGTGTCCGCTGCTGCTGAGTCTGTTCGCGTAGCTCTGCGGCTATATCTTGAACGATTTCGGGATGAGCAGCATGATAGTGCGCATCAGCCTCATCTTGAGATTGAAGCACTACCTCGCAGCCTCGCACGAAGCAGGGCTCATTCCATCCTTGTGGCTCGTTCCGCATGTCGTTCGGTTGGTACTGCTGAGGTACCGCTGGGGGTATCTGTTGCTGATGCCCCATGGCTTGTCGTTGCCCCTGATCCTGTTGAGGGAATCCATATGGATACTGCTGGACACCCACGGGCCGAACGTGCCCCTGAGTCGTGCCAGTGGGTTGCGCAAAGCCGTCTGGTCCGACTAATTTACGCACAACAGGCTTTCGTTCCTTACGCTCGACTGGATCGGCAACCTTGTGCGTCAGGCGTAGGTGTCGATAGAAAGTGCCTGGCCTAGCAAAAGACGGTACTGACAATGCGCCATTTTCCTCACAGATATAGCAACGATGTGGTCGCTCACCGGTGTGAGCTTCTCGGACGTGCTGATCAACGTCGTGCTGACAAGTATACATACGCTGACAGCCACGGTCACGGTACGGGCATGGCATATTCTTAGATCTCTCCGACTTGTACTTCTTAGGCTCGGGCTGGGTGAAGTCGCCCTCATCTTCGTCATATGGTCTCTTCATCTCGTCCGATATGGAGAGAGAAACGTTTGGTTAGCGTTGGGTAGATTGGCTGGATGCAGGTCGAGGACACCAGTTTGGAGTGGTCCTGTATGAATTCTTTCCCGTTCCTCTTCGGTGGGACGTATGGTGCGAGGGTGTTAGTCCGAGTGGAAGGGGATATCGAGGCATCGTGCCTGTGTCCCTATAGCCGACCGAACGATGCATTGCTGAATCTTCACTCACCAATGTGTTGTATAGCGTGAACAAAGTCATTGTGAGGAGAGGTGAACGACCTTGTTAGCATAGTAACTCGTATTGCCGATAAGGGGTCAAACAAGGCTATTGTTCATTTTCTTGAGAACAAAGAAATCCACCTTACCCGGGCCCGCAACGGAAGGCTTGATCAAGAGTTTTCGATGGCACAGCAGTTGAACGCGCAGGCAGAGGTCGTCGGAGTTCAAGTGCTGTACCAGTCAGAAAGTTTTGGTGGGAAAGCAGGCGAGAGAAGCTCCTACTGGAGGGTTCGGGGGTATTCGGGAGTGCGAATACCACTGCAATAGTTCTCGAGCCGTGAATTGCAGCAGTAGTATGTCCATTGAATCACTCATAATGCCAAGCATGAAGTCCCAAGGGACAACTTGATCAACTCTCGCTTCGAAAAGTCCAGAGGCGTACCGCGGTGGGCGATTCTATTTGCTGCTCGCGTATAATCGCGCAGAGCTTGTGGCACAAAGCAGTATGCGCGCCGCAAGGAGCCCAAGAGAAGTTGTAACCGCAGGATAGATGGAGAAGAATTCCCCAAGTCCGAAGCTTTGATCCTGAAAGTTTTCCAAAGAGACCACGAGCTTGGAGGCTCCACAGCTTGACGCTGGTTTGCCTGGATTCCGGAAGTCGATGAACATCCATGATAGCTTTCAGGCTTCCAGCCACGTATGGATACCTTGAGGAGGGCAGCGCCCGCTCCTGTGAGCAAACGTCGTGGCTGAAGCTGGAGCGTTGACTTGATTGCCGCAATGTCGATTGAACCTAAGCTGAAATAATGCCGCGAGATGCCATGACCACAGGTCACTGTTATCGAGTCAGAGTGACTTCTCCCGTGTCTAATCTTCTATATTCCAGAGTCTCGCAGCACAATATCCTTACACTCTTGGCTCTTGAGAATCAATAGTGTAGTCAGGGCTCGAGTAAGGTAGCTTCGAGCGCCACCCTTGTAACAACAAATGTGACTGGTGTGCAGCTGGCTGATCAGAAGCGTGATAGCACGAATCGATGGCATCGCTGGATTGACAGGAAGAACAGCCAGAGAGGCAGCGACGAGACGCTTGCATGTGAGAGACTTTAGCGCGTGACGGGAGGTGAATGAAATTGTTGTAGCCAGGAGCGGCCTACATCAAGGTACAATAATTATAGTTGGAGGTAAGGGAGTAACCTGGTGCACGGGCCTCTTCCGCGCGTCTCGTATCCCGACCCAAAACCTCGACCTTGAGTGCAATCTTCAACACCAACATCTCCGCATAAGAAAGGGCCTGTTATCGTCTCGAGCCATTCTTCTTCTGCTTCAAAACATGCCAGATCAGTCGCTATGAAGACGACCGCGTCAAGCCATCGACATCGCCATCGCCTCAAATCACAACCCAATGTCCCACCCTAAAACCAACGCTTCCTCCTTGGCGGCGCTGGGTATACGACATCCTCCCTGATGATCCGCCGTCCGTCCACGCCTCTGCCCACGCTCCGTCGCGTTACGTATCCTCCGCCTGTACCGCCCATCTCCTGGCTCTTCCGATATCCAGGACTGACGCTCCGTGCGATCTTCACGTTCCGCTTTTGGTCATGACGGATACGCCGGCGTTGTCGATAAGATGGGAATTCGAGGATGACAAACCAGGCGTGCACTATCCCAGGTATCCATCCAAGCAAACAGAGGCCGATGTTGATGAGGATATCGGCTCCGCAGCCACGACGGATGAAAACTGCCAGAGGTGGGAGGATGATTGCTATTATCCCCAGGATCACACCGCCCTGTGAAGAGGTTAGTGAAGAGGCGATGTGACAGCTGTGAAATATGTGCATGCCAAGGTCATGGTTGTTGTGTTCGATTGCTTAAGACTTGGTTGTCTTGAAAAGCTGGCTGATAGAGGTGAGGACCTGCTGGTTGATGAGGGAAGAAAAGGAGATTGAGTTGGTTTCAGAGTCGCAGTCGACTGGCTCTTACACAAGTTCTGCGCAGCCTCGTGATGTTCGTGTCACCGGTTTCGCGGCCGATGTATATTTCACATGGATGGGCTGTATAACATGCGCCAAGCCAGCTGTCACATGACGGCCATGACGTTTGAAAGTTGACGTTCCGCGATGCGCCTGCTATCAGGCTGCCGGCTTTTTGTAGCGAGCTTTGCGTGTGCACAGTGAATGTGTCACCCGATGCGGCAGTACCGGTAAGCTCAACTATTGTAATCAGCTTACGTTCAAGAACAGTGATGGAATCCGCGGACTCGAGCGATCAGTACCACCTCTGACAACCTATGTTCATCGCTGGGCAGATGCGTCCTTGATCGTGCAGGACGGCTGCAACATCTGACTCCATGAGCGCATCATAACCTGTGTCTCGCTCTGCTCTTTCCCAGGCCTACGTACACTACATTACCAGGATTAGCAGGCGAACACAGGATCAAGGTGCGACAACGCTTGTCATTATGGACATACCCCCTTTTTCGCCGATTTGAGGCGCTGCGACTGATGTGGCAAATACCTTGCCGACAGTGAGTACTGGCACATGTGCAGAATCTGCGACCTTGGATTGTGCGATAGTGCTCTCTCAGGAATGATGCAGATCCGGGCCATCAGCAACATGCGCCCCGGGAAGTCTTGTCGGTCAAGATGTATATAGCTCCGCAAGCAATGTGCAAGACTCGCATCCCCAGGCCGCGCGGGCAAACGGCTGTGAACTCTGCTTCACAATCTATCGAGGCTTAAAGGCAGCGAATTTAGGGTTGCACCCAAATAACATGTTGTGTTTGACATGGAAGCAGGCAGTCTTTCCGTACAGACAGCTACATCGTTTCAAAGCTGGCCACGCATTCGATATCAGATCAATAGTGCGTCCGCCACCAGCGCATGGGAAGGGCTCATCACGAGTGATCGGCAGCTGAGCAGCAGCCTAAACTCCCCGAAATGCTTCAACCAAATGCGTCTATGGCTGCGCAACTGTCAGATTGCCCATCAGCTCCATCGATGCCGGGACAAGAAACCCCAGGAGCTTCCGCAGCGAGTCACTGCCATTGATGGCGGCGTTCAGAACCCTTCACTGACACTCTAGGAAACAGGGGCACAAGGGGAATTACGCAGCCCTTATTCATTGCTGGGGTCACGCCGAAGGTCACCGCAAGCTCGTTAACAACTATCAAAGCCACATTGCCTCAATGGAACAATGGAAACGCCCACAGACATCTTGCGATGCGACATGATGTGCGCAAGAACTTTTTATTCAATATCTGTGGATTGACTCGCTTTGAATGATCCAAGACGACGGGCTTGGGTTGGAATAGAGAGGCTGCAAAGATGTCTGACATATATTCGAACACCAATGTCGTCGTCACGGCAGCCTCTGCGGACGGAGATGACAAAGGGTACTTGTTAGGTCCGCCGACAGAATGTTGCGTCCATACCTTCGCTTGGACCTGCTTTCTCGTGGGTCTTCACTGGGCAAAGCGTGCACTACAAGATTCCGCGGAAGACCAAGGACCGCGAATCGAATTGGTGTGGGACACTGGACGTCCAAAGTTCCGACTACGCAGTCGAGCATACGGAACCAATGCATTTGTTGCCGTCAGAGAAGCCTGTATCAAATTGATCGGTCATGGTCGTTCCTTCACGTTATCTCAGAATAAGGACACAGTCTCGAAGATCTTGGCAAGAGATGAACCCCTTCTTCATATCACCTTCGACACTCGCCTCCGCCAAGTTGTACTCGAAGAAGGAAGCTGGTCTTTGCAGCGAGCCGATTCAGACAAAGATCCTTGTCAAGCGCATTCAGCTAAGGCCACGGAATCCTTAGTGCCGACATCCTCCGGGCGAATAAGTTATTGATACAGCCGCGACATCAAATCGCTGTCATTCTTCTGGGCAGACACTCGATGGATTCAGAGCGATATTAACGAATTGGACAAGCTACCCTTCTTCTTTGGCCAGAACACGCGGAAAAGTTCACGCGTCAATCTCAAATGTGAGAGTTCTTCATCAGATGATAGAAACATACTTTGTACATCAGTGATTACCTGCTTGCAGTTGCGCTTCTACCTATCTAATGAGTTTTACAGCTTTTCTAACGATTGAAGCCTTTGATAATCCCTCCTTCTCTTCAAATTGTCTAGCAGTCTGGCGAAGTCCTTCTTCAATTCACCTGATCAACCTGAAGGAGGCGACAACCATTTCTTTGGACCTCGACATTGAGTACAAAGGCGAATGCGATCCTGACCAGTCAACGCGGGCGGTCGAGCCGAGTTATTAACTTGACAGCTAAATCGACGAAGTGGGCGAAAGAGACAACTCTAATGAGCAGCAGCGTGGTTGAGCCACTTATCTTCGATGTAATACCGGCCTACTGACATGTAAGTTCTTTCTACGTGCGGCTTTTTCGGTGAATGCTACTGACCTCCAATTAAGGTCAGTGATCTTTCCGACCGAATATCCGAAAGCGCGTTTGCGAGTTGTTTCTGGTCCCAAGTGGTTGAAATCGTGGGCAAGGGCACGTTATTGCTCCACAAGCATTTCGTTAACAAGTACGATGCGAAGGCACTGCGGTGACTTTTGGTTCACCTCTGGCTGCTGGATGTGGAATAGCTCGGCTTCAAAAGGGTTTTGATATGATGAAGTGTGTCTCAAGTACAACTTAGCGATACTTGTTGCGAAAAGGGGGGAGTTGGCGCAAAATGGGAGTGGGAATGAACTCTGGTGGTGACAACCTTTTGCTTCGAATTCGACGAGCAACATGCTTCAGCGAATGTATTGATACACACATGGCGGGGATGATGTTTACAGGGTTGATGACAGGCGTGATATGTGAAGTAGAACTTGAAGTTAGCAGGTGAGGTGAAGTTAAGCCCCTTTCTGGATGACTAATATTAGAGCGCCCCTGACGAGGCTCTCGCTAGCCCGACCTCCTTCTCGTTGGAACATTATCACATGCCTCTCTATTTACACTTTTTGCACGTAGCGATCGCTCGCGTTCTAGGTGCGGAATCTGGTAGACAGTATCATACCGGACCCATGGGCGAATGTTCACCTCAAGAGACCTCGCCGAAGACTTCCTAGCCCCTACGGGACGTAAAGGGCATAGAGACCGGCCGAAGTTGTAAGGAAGCTGTGAAGAAGGCTACGGCCAAGCCGTTAGATGGAGTGGAATAGTACAGCTTTGTTTCAGCGCTCTCGGTATCTATTTCTTACAACCAAATCATGACCAAGCCTCTATATCAGACTGATTGCCTATTCCTCATGCTAGGCCCTGGCTCTTCTACTCGTGCTTCCAGCTGCACCATCGCTGCTTCCCGTGCTTATGCATACCCATCGCGCAGTTCTGCACGAGCTTTGCCTTCCTCAGTAGCTTTCGCAGCATGCATCTTCTTGGATCGCATATTCTGCTCCATACTCTACCATTCCGTTGTAATAGCGCCGAAAATTGCGAGACAAGTCATGATGAGGCCGACCTGGAACACCAACCTCAGAGACTCGTTGTAAGCCACCAAGGTCTATGAACGGAATCGGTCCGCAATGCTGTTGAATATATCCGTCACACCTGTGCTCGGAATCGATGCCGGACTGATGTTCGTGAAAGCAGCCAGAAGGTCAGCGAGTTGGTTGTACAGAACATTCTGTCCGATAGAAGTGAAAATCGTACCAAAGAGTTGCTGGCCAAACAACATGAACGAAGCATCAATGGCAACTTCTTGCCGCGCCAAGACGGTCGGCGCCGCCATATCGGGTGTCTGTCCGCAGAGTCCAAAGCAGGAACCGTAGACGATCTGGTAGCCGATCCACATGCCCGTGGAGGTGTTGACATCGGAGGTTGTGATCAGACCGGCGGCGATGGCGGTGAGACAGGCTCCCGCGATCGCGAAGGGCGTGTAGTAACCAGTCGACGAGATTAGCTTGCCAGTTACTACCGAGGCTATGACGACAGGGATCACCATTTCAAGTAGTCGAATACCGCTTCCAACGGCTGATGTGCCCTCAACGGCTTGGAACCAGATGGGAAGGTAGTACAAGAAGATCAACTGGTGGGCGCCCAGACAGCGGCTTAAACAGAACGCTGCAGCGATGCTGCGCTGGGAGGTGGTGCGCGGTGGTAAGATTGCTTCATCGCCCCTCCAGATTTGGAGTCCAACGAAGATGATTAGGAGCAGTAGACCCAACGTCAGCGTGGCGATGGCACGTCCGATACCCCAGGCGTAAACAGTGCCACCCCACTGCATTGCCAGGCAGAGGCAAACGACACGGGGAACGAGCGCGAGTAAGCCAAGCGGATTCGATTTGCGAAACTTCTCCACGAGGCTGGAAGACGTCTTCGAGGCTTGAGGAATCTGCAGCGGGAAGGCGATGACCACCGAGGCAGCACCACCGATTGAGAGGTTTATGTAGAAGCACCACCGCCAGGTGACATTAGTGGTGAAGGCACCTCCGACCAGTGGCCCAATTATCGAGGACACTCCGAAGATGGCACCAAACAGTCCTTGAAAGGCTGGCCGCTTGTGGAGAGGTAGTGGATGGGCGATGATTGCGAACTGCAAGTGCCAATGTCAGAAAAATCGATGCATGAATAGCAGTTGTCAGAGCAGCCCCCAGTCTCAGCTCGAAGTCCTGCGATTGCTCGACCGATAATGAAGCCAATCGAATTCGGAGCGGCTCCACAGACAGCAGAGCCGAACTCAAATAGGACATTGGCCGCAATGTAGGTCGCCTTGATGTTGGAGAAGGAATGAAGCTTACCGAAGACCAGCTGAAAAGCACAGGATGTCAACATGTAAGCTGTGTCGTGCCAATCAATGTCGCCGGCGGAGTTGGAATTCGTTTGTGATTTCTGGGATGGCGGTGGAGATGATGAGGCGGTCCAGAGACATCAGAAATATGGCGAGAAAGACCGAGATCTTAACGAACGCCAGCCTCAGACCTGTCGGATACTCAATGTCATCGTCCACGTTGGGTATTGCTTCTGCGTCTGGCGTATTCGATCGACTCTGGCGAGGTCGGCCACTGCTCTCGCTCTTCTGCGTCTGTTCTTTTTTGAGCCACATGGCGGGAGCCGTGAATTTCTAACTCTGCGGATATCCGTTCTATTGCCCAGGAACAAAGATTGGACCTCAACGCTGCTCTTCGAACTTTGGCGAGTAGCTTTCGACCCTTGCGTTCATGCAGAAACGAAATGGAAGAATGGAGACGATGCGAATATCAGGATACTTGACTCGTCTGAGACGGCCGCAGTCGCGTCTGCAGTGCACAGCTGGTATGCATTCGGGCAGTCCATTGATGTCTCTTCCGGACATAAGAGCATCCTACGGGTCCCTGAAAGTTCAGTGCAAGATGAAAATCGCGGCGAGTGGCACGCAAAGCACCAAAGTCCGCTCGGCCGAAGCTCTCGCGGCGCCATAGGAGTACATGAGGGTACTTCAGCTCGCTGGGCATCAGCCGAGCAACCAGACCTTTCTGTTTGTGGATCTATTCTGGGATGCCTGAGATTCGTCCAGGTGCTCGATTTGCTCGCAGACTCAGTGCTCAGAGCGCATTTGGTGTGATAGGCTGACAAGTTGAAGGCCGTCAAGAAGTATTGAAGCCAAGTTGTGATACCTCAATAATGGAAAGAAGCTGGAAGTCAGTTTGGAGTTGAGCGCTAGCGACCGGGTAGTCCGGCTACTCTGTCGGCTTAATGGATGAGAGAACTGACCGAGTATCCGAGTCAACACCTCCACCTTCTTGTCTCCAACAATAATATCACCACAACAACTTTCAACCGGCCCAACAACAACAACATCCATCGTTGCATTCAAGATGCCGGGATACTCGCTCTGGCTCGTGCCCAGATCCGACAATCCATTCAACAAGACCGCCCAAGAACTCATCTCGGATACCGTTCCTCGAAACTTCGTCTCGCCTGAAAAGACGAACCACTTTATTCCACATGTGACGCTCACGTCAGAGATTGATCCCGAGAAGGTACTGGCTGGAAAGTCGCCGCAGGAATGGTTGGACAGTCTCTCCATGCCAGAAGAGTTCAAATGTGGCTTGGAGGTCAATGAGGTTCTACTCCAGCTGGACACCGTGGAAGCCGAAGAACCATTTTTCCGGAAAATGAACATTGCCCTCAAGCAAAACGACAACTTGAGCAAGCTTGCGGCCCTATGCAGACAGAAAGCTGTACTTCTGGATGCTGATGATGCGAAAGCCCAGACGTGGGTCAAGAGCGACTATCGCCCTCATCTCAGCTTGTTCTACGGCGACGTGCCAACGAGAGAGGTCCAGAGCAAAGTTCCACTGGTTGAGATGAAGATCGGTTTTGCATTTGGAGATCTCTTTGCTTGTTGTGGTGGAGCTCTGTGCTTGGGTGGCGAAATGGTTTTGGTGGATACGACCAAGGCGATCAATGAATGGGAGATCATTGCCAGACGAGAGACCCCATGGGCAACGTGGAGGGCGACAAGGAATCTGCTCTAAGGCTGATCTTCTTTCCACGAGCATTTTGCACTTGGACGAAAACGTAACCGGACGAATACGAAAACGAGTTGCTCTTTAGCAGCGACGAGCGACAGAATGCAGCCCAGCAGCTTGGCCTTGGTGGCAATGCAGCAGACCCTCTTCAATGAACCGCTGTACCACGAAAGTATAGTAACAAGTCACGATCACAGTCCTCACACTTAACAGCAACTCTCACGAAGCACCGCTCAAAAATGTTTCGCTAACAGAATCACGTAAAGGTAACGTAACTGCCACACGCACCTGACGAACACTTGCTTTCGAAACTTCGCTGCCACATGTGACCCGGGATTGAGAGTCCCAGAAAATCAGTACCAAACAAATGCTTCTAAGGGTGACGCCTCCGACGCGTGCGATATGCCATCCCCATAATTCAGCGCAGCCACAACAACACCCCAGGTTATGCTTCTCACATGGTGGGACCACTCACGAGGTTGCGTATCGTTCCGGAAATAATCGATTATCCTTCCCAAGAGTCGAGAGGCGCTTTACTAGCGCCCTCGATCCAGGGACATCAATGATTCTCGCGAAACATGGCTGTGGTAAGACATCTTGGCATCGATCTGCTGCCAGTGACCTACGCAAGAACATCACGCCTCATGCCTGTTACGTGCGCTCTATCGACTGTGGTGGATCTCATGCTTCAGAAAAACATCCGAAGAGAACCTAGCGAGCTCCTGCCTGAGCTCTACTGTCTCAAAATATCGTCACGCATGCTATCCAGGCTGGAGGCTTTCTGACTTCCTCATGCCTTCCAACAGCGATGGCGCCCAGTACGTGAGGTAAACAGAGGCCTGGCATCACCTGCATCGAGCTCGTCCTATGTCTCTCGATGAGCATACCCTTGGGCTCCACAGTACCTCTTGGCGGGCAACGGCGACCATGGGTCGACTATATTCCTCCGCCAGGTCTGTCTCATTGAGCATTACGTCGAAGCGTGAAAATCCTCCGCCACGTTTGTCCAATTGAGCATTACGTCGAGGCGCGAAAATCCTCCAGGACATTGATTTGACCATGTCTATAAGAAAGCACCTCATATCCTCCAAAGACGAACAGGAAAGCATCAGAACAAGAAACAATCTCGACTACAACGCACTCCAGCAGCAGCACGCTCATCACCAAACCAAACAAACCCGCAACATAGCAACAATGAAGCTCCAACTCATCCTCCTAACTTCAGCAGCCTCCGCCTTGGCCCTGCCAGTAAGACCGACCTCCCTCTTTCCCCATAAAAATCTCACGAAATAACTCTCCCTTACCAGGTCGCTCAAGTCGCCGGCGTTGCAACGAATGGTGCCACCGACAGCACCGGAACCGGAGGCGGAGTCGCAGCCGCAGCACCTGCCATCGGTCTGGGAGCAGGTGGTGGAGCAAACAGCAACAGTGCCGGAGGCGGTTTGGGTCTCGGCGTTGGCGACCTTGTTGGTGTCGAGGTGGCCGGTGGGATCAACACCGCTCCGGGAGGTGGTGTAGGTGAAGGTGTAGCCGTAGCAGCTCCTGGCGTTGGACTAGGAACTGGCGCCGGTGCTGGCGGAGATGGAGCTGGAGCCGGAACTGGTGCTGGTCTTGGCTAGAATGAGAGAGAGAGAGAAGGTCGGGAATTGGTTCATTCGTTGAAACAAAGGCTCTAGGTTTGCCAAATGCTAAGGTTTTGAAAGATTTGTAATATATCTATATCGCCTGCGATTCTTCTCGTCGTATTCTCTTCCTTTCAGCCTCCGCCATCCCACAGTCTGTTACACTGAAAGGCAGCCGCTAATAAGTGCCAAGACGCATGTGCATCAAAGCCAGCTCGACCCGAAAGCTCCAACCCTGTCCACCAAGACCACCAAGCCCATCCACAACGAATCAGCCAAGCCAAACAAGGCGACAAGACCGTTACGAAAAATTGCAAAGCACCGGGAACAACGCCGCGCTCAATGCCAGATGACTGCTTATTCTTCCTCGTCGTCTGCGCACGCACGCCCAGGCCAAGACATGTGTGTGATATGCCGCTTGTTGGGGCCGTTTCACTTGGTATGATACTCGAACAGAAATGAAGCTCATTCCTCTGAGTCTTTCTCTCCACCATCACCCCGATACAAAGAAACGAAAATCTCACACCTTCAACCCCATCTATCTACTTCTCCAGATGATCCACGAAACATGGCTCCAAGCCTCTCCTTCCTCCTGCTCACGGGCCTCGCATCCGCATTGATCGTCCACCCTGTAAGTCCTCCTCAGCCATTCTTTTGATCTCCTCTTCTAATGCAGCGGTTCGTTTGACTTGACAGTGGCATCCACATATCCCACATACCCTCCCGAGTAAGAAATGCCGGAAAAAGCAAAAGTAGTGGGCTGCCCCCCCAAAAAAGCCTCACGGCCATTTTGAACGTCAACGTTGAGGAGGAATCCAGGAATCACTAGATCTCAGGATTTTTTGAGCGAAAATTTGAAGATTGCTCGCAGGGATTGAATGATATACCTGCTGGGAAGAAATAGGACGTCTGGCTTGGTTGAAGATTTTTTTTTACTTGCGTGTGGAAATAGCGTTGATAGAGAGGGAGGTAGATATGCCGCGCTCGGTGTGAGATGATGAATCGCTATTTCTTCCAAACGATGAATCTAAACTTGAGCTTGTTCTCTTGCGAGCGATTCTGGCTGCGGGCGGCGGGCAATGAAATTCCTGTATCCGTCAGCACTCTTCCTGCTGGATCTGGTTTCCTGCTTTATCATGAGTGAGGATCCTGACAAAATGTCCTCGCCACATCAGCCTTCCATAGCTCCCCAAACTCGTGGCCGCCAGACGATTCGGACCACCACAAACATGAAAGCCTTGAATAAGGGGGTGAAGAGCATGAAGGCCTTGCATTCCGATAATGCATGGACTTTCGTGTCTATGTTGTTAACAGGTCAAGTCTGTGCCTCGACCCGACCGATGGCAAAACCAGGCATCTCATATCATACAGTCTTCACAACCGTACGCTGTGTCTATCTTCATGACGTCGTCTAGAGCTCGCTCTTCTCAGTCTCCTCGCCCTTGAACACTTTCAAGATGTTGCTCCTGCTGATCAGGTCATCCTTCTTCTCCGGCGCAAGATTACCCTTCGCAATCATGTTTTGCAGCCGGGTGAGTTCCTTGTTGACGTATCCAGCGTTCTCTTGCAACTTCTTGCCGACCTTGGTATAGTATTCGGCGTATTTGTCCTTGGCCTTGCCGGCTTGCTTGAACAGCTCTTGGTATGCCTTGTCTCCTCCGCTCTGCAGGTTCGCGATGGCGGAGTCCAGGGATGGAATAACGCCAGCGAGTGCGTTAAGAGAACCACCTGGAGCGCGGAAGGTGCCCGCCTTCTCGTTCATGAACTCGACGATATCCTTCTCGGCACGGCCGCTCTCGTATGGAACGCCAGTCTTGGACTTCTTGGGGAAATACTTGATGGTTGGATAGGACTTGACGCCCTCTTTCTCAGCGGTGGCCTTGGCGTTGGGCGCTTCGCAGTCCACCTTGGCGATGGTCACGCCGGTCTCCGCGGCAAAGTCCTGAGCAACTTGTTCCCAAACAGGAGCGAGGCTCTTGCAATCTGCGTTTCCACCATGTCAGTGTTCAGAGCTTGACAATGGCGTGCTTTGATTATACTCACGTCCACACCACGGCGCAGTGAAAGCCACAATGACGTCCTTATCCTTGCCAATTTCCTCTCCCCAGTTCTCGTCCGTCAACATCTTGACTGCGCTCTCCGGCTTCTTAGCCGCCTTTGCCCTCACGCCCGTCTTCTCGGTGATGAAAGCGCTCAAGCTCTCAATATCACGCCCACTCTTGTAGTCCTCTGGATCAACCTTCTTGCCGTCGAAGAACTTCAAAGTAGGGAAACCAGAGATACCGAATCGTTTGCCCAGCTCTTTCTCTGCATCGGCGTCAACTTTGGCGATTGTCACCTTGTCCTTGGCGAATTCGAATGAAGAGGCGAGCTCCTCGTAGATAGGAGCGAGGGTCTTGCAGTGGCCGCACCATGGCGCAAAGAATTCGACAAGTGTCGGTTTGCCAGATTTGAGGACGACATCGTCGAAGTTGTCGGGCTTGAGGTCAATGACTGCAGAGGCCGATGTGCCTGCATTCTATGTTAGAAGCTGTCGCCGTTCTATGTCGTGGCATTGGATCTTTCGTCTGGTGGGGATACTGGAGATTTCGACATACCAACTGCTGCCAATGCGGCGACGAATAATTGCGTGAGTCGAAACATGATTGTGGTGATGTTGTGAGAAGAAAGCAGGAGGCTCGATGCTTCCTATTGACGCGGTTGGATTTCAGGGTCCAGCTTCTTTTGTCAGCGGCAAGGAACATGCCACTTGTCAAGCTTCTGATCCTTTCGTTCGCTCATCAACACACGCCACCGACTGCCACCAACATCCTTCTCACGTGCTTATATCTGGTATCGACGCTCGTCTACTGTGTGTGATCGTCATGTGATTGGGTCGCCCACACAAGACCACCCGATCCGAGTGTGGCAGGCGAAATGAGACACTGCTGTAGCCCACACCTCTAGTGGAGGCATCTCACATGCAATCATCGAAGAACCACTAAGGCTATATACTGTTCAATGCCATGCCGCTATCTGTACTAAGCCACTGATCAAAGTGTGTAATGTCGTCCGCCAGGAAAGGATACTGGAGAGACTGAGAATTCATATCGAGCTCCATCAGCCAAGGCAAAGTGTTGGAATTCGACATGTCGTAGTGTTGTTGATTTACCTCCGCCGTTCTGGTAGCACTTGGGGCACCCTGGTTACTGTAGCTCTGTTCGGCCGCTTGTGCCTGTTGCATTTGTGGCATAGCAGCTTCGTGGTCCTGAGGCTGGTTGGCTGTCGCCCCTGAACCAGAAGTTTTCTTTCGGCCAATTCGTACTTTTCCAAGTAGCGGGATTCGAAGCGTGAGACTTTGCGAGCTCGAAGATCCGTCCCGCGCAAGAGCGATGAGGGAGCGAATAGTCGACGATGCTCCACTTATGAATTCCACGTGGGAGGTACGGTTTGACACAGCATCCATCGTCTCCAGAATAGTTTGTGCCATAGCAATTTTGCGCGGATCCGTCGCATTGGATCCTCGCATGCTTGTGAGTAATAGGAAGGCCACGGCAGTGTAGATCTGCATGTCGATGATGCGGCAGAGGAAGAAGCCAGAAGGAAGTCCGTATCTGAGACCAGGGTAGAGCCGTGACAGGGTCTCGCAGGCTTGCTCGCATGCTGTGCGACTGTAGCTGAACTGGTCCTGTTCGTCCGGGGACATAGCGGCATGAAGATGGATGCGAGCGGTAAGATAGAAGTGCCAAAATTGGACCAGCGAGGCTGAGGATGCCTTGTGAGGCCAGTCATTCCACCAAGACTATAATCTGTCAGTACGCTCATACGAAATCAGCACACGTGGTATTCGTACTGTCGGAGTCTGGCTCTTCAGGGTTCGCAACCGGCAGTCGATGGTAAGCACGTTTTGGTACGTTTCTTCAGCGGATTCGTTCATCATGCACGCTTCGTCCAACGCCTGCACTTCCAATGCAAGGCTCGACAATTCGAAAAGATGAGACGCCACCAATACTTCACCCTCAGGCGTCATTATATCCTTTCGCGGAAAGCGATGGCTCGAGGTGGCAGCGGGGAGATTAAACATCATGCTGGAGAGCCTATCAGTCAAGCAAATAGCTGTCCAGATTGCAATCTTCTGGGTGATGCGATCACGGGAGCTGGAGGTGGAGGATCCGGGAGTATATGTGGCCGGGATCAGATCGTCCCTTCGTGAGTACCAGAAACGGGGAAGACCGATGAGTTCCGCCAAGGCGACAGTCCGCCGCAGAGAAAGCCAGAGGCTTCGAATTGCTCCTAGGCCGAGCTGTCTGTGGGAACAAAGATTAATATCTACAACATTGGTGGTTGTGGGGTGGGAAACCATGGGGCAGCTTACAGTCGAAGCAACAAGATAGCCATCTCGATGCCCTCAACGGTCATAGCAAGCCCGGTGTGAGAAATGATCGTTGCTTCAACCGCTTGAGCAACTTGTCGCGCATAAGTCGGAGCATCCTTCCAGTTCAAAGGTGGCGACGTGTTTTCCTGATCTGGAGGGACTTGTTGCGCAGTAATGGCGAATGTGCATAGAAACATGGCCATCGTTACGGGGTGGGCGGTTGGTGATTGCATCTCATCATGCTGGGAGATCAATTCTTCTTTAGTGTCAATGGGGGATGTATAGGGAAAGATGCTCATGTAAAGAGACATCCATGGCGTCGCATAACTCGCGACAGCAGTCAGCCATTCCCTGGGGTTGTTCAGAATCGGACGCAGACTCGGAACCTGATGATAAAGCTTACCTGCAAAACAGTCAGCCAGTCGCCACAACGTGCGGTTGCGAATCTCGTACCTTGACGGCATAAGCCGCTGAAGCTTCAGCCGTGCCTGGTCCAAGTATCGCTTTGAGACCTTGGCCTGGCTAAGATAAGTACCGACCTCCTCATCGTAGCTCTCTGCAGGGTCAATGACAGCATTGTCGAAAAGGAATCTGATATGATGTGGAGGGGAGGCTGCTGGCCCTTCGACTGAAAATTTGTCGTCTGGCTCTTCTTCCAGAGCTCCTACTTCGCTTTCATCGTCCTCACACTGGGTTGCGAGGCTGGCTAGGCTGGCAATCTGTGCCTCTAACCGGTTGATACGATCCTGGGAGGACAATTTGGGAACCGCAGTAGTTCGCCGATACTGTTGAGGAACGCACTCTTTCCCCTTGGTCCTACACCCGGCACAGACGGCGTCGCTGGGCGATGTCCACACGCACCGGATCTTCCTGTGGCGGCCTGCAGAGACGTTGTGAGGCTCACGCCGAAAAGAGGTGACGTCGTGGGTGCTTACACTCGACGCAACTTCTCGTGCCCTTTCTGGTTCCCTTCACGATCTGTCCGCTGCTACTCGAGGACGGTCCTGCTGGCGAAAGGGGGTCCATTCTTGGTCTGATAAGATCGGGTGAAATGCATGAGGTGCAGGTGTGCTTCCCTCACATTTGACATGGTCCGAGGCTTCGAGCGGCTACGGCATGGCCTGATGAGACATTAGTGTGCAATATTTGTCAAGGTTTTTATCAGGCCATTGGCGCAACTGCCGCTTGCCGCATGCTGATATGAACTCTGATAGTTCAACTATAGTCTGCAATAGAACTGAGTTTGATTACCAAGAAACATCCTTTTGGTGGCTTTGCGCGACTACGTCAATGGACGTAACAAATATTGATTAACCCCCTGCCAGCGGCAATGGCCGAAGCCTACGATCTTGATACAACTGAAGTTTCGGAGATGTCGCATTCGCTAACTCTCGTCGTCAGCTGACTCTTATCATATAGTACCTTCTATACTATCCCTACAGCATACTAGTTCGCGCGCCGCTATGATCGGGTCATTCAAGAGTATATAGTGTAAAGTAGTAGAAAGTAGGAGGCAAGGTGGCTCTGACCGCCACATGATAGCAGTCAGCTGACTCAGCATTTCCGAAACTTACCTAATCTTGTCAGCTCTATACCTTACGCCTAGGCCATCGCCCAGCGCACCACTTCCCTCCGCCAAGTTGCTTCCGATGTCTTCTCCTTCACAAATATCAGACCAAACGAAACAACACTCCACGTGACACGTTGCACGAAACAGATTCACATCGTGCCTCTGAGCGTCCAGTACTGCCAGAATCGCCAAAATGGAACCAGCAGGAGCATATTGCATCCCGCCGCCTCTGACGCGAACCGACTCCAAGCAGCTCCATGTGGCATGGAAATTGGCCAGACACAATCCCAGGTCCTGAAGAGAACAACAAAGAATGCCCAGAAATCATCGCCCGGTTGCCCACTATGTCTGGGCACTCGATACCTGGGCATCGACCGAACGGCACAATGCATTTAACAAGTCCGGCGAATTGTGATATTTTGTAACATACACAAGGCTGAGAGACCGGGCCATCCAACGCTTCATGGAACACGATTTATCAATCTTCCGCTTGCTATTCACTGCGAAGCACAGCGACTCGTTCTATTGACGTCAAAAAGCAACAGTGGAACGCTATATGGACCACAACACTCCATAGCATCTGGGGCGCGACTTCCCTCATAAATACAAGGACGCGGCCATGTTCCACCAGCAGAGTCATCGACCATCGACTCAGCGCGCAGCAAGCAATACAGGCTTGGGTACTACTCGACAGCAAACGACAATTGCGGAACACCTGTTTTTGCCAAAAAGCAATCGATACAGTCTCTAAAGCCAGAAAGTTATGGCCTCAAACGCAGCCCAGGTCCAAGGAGTGAGCCAAAGTGCCCATAGCTATTGCAAATGTACTTGATATTGACGTTCCTATAGCCTCCTTACCCACCGACCACCGCTGGTCCAGGCGGTGTTCCATCGATCATTCCGAATGTTCCCATCCTTGCGATACTCCTATGTTTATACATCGGAGCCGCTGTCGGCCACATGGCGACCCTTCAAATCAACCTTCGGCGACACCGACACAAGTTTCTGATCTCTGGTGCGCTTTTTGGTTTCTGCATATCTCGCATCACAACATGCAGTCTTCGAATTAGCTCGGCGGTCCAGCCCGACAACGTGTCCCTATCTATCGCGGCGAACATCTTCGTCAATGCAGGAATCCTGATCCTCTACATTGTCAACCTGATCTTCCTGCAGCGCATCGTTCGAGCGAGAAGACCAGAAGTCGGTTGGCACAGGATCCCAAGGATACTATGCAAGGTATTCTATGGCCTTGTGGCTTTGGCACTGGTGCTGTTGATCACGTTCATCGTGCTGAGCTTCTACACGCTGGACGCTGGATTCAAGCGAGTCGCACGGGACATCCAGATCGCCTGCCTGACTTACTTCCTGATCATCGCCGCCCTCCCGCTGTTCGTCCTTGCACTCATCTTCGTCATTCCCGAATCGCCTCGGGCGGAGACATTCGGTCAAGGAAGCATGCGCACAAAGGCCCTCATCCTAGCATTCGCAACAACCCTCTGCACTCTCAACGCAGGCTTCAAAGCTGGCATCACATGGGCTCCACCGCGACCTCTCTCGGACCCGGCTTGGTACCAGAAGAAGGCAGCTTTCTATGTCTTCTACTTCGGGTTGGAGATCATCATCGTGTACTTGTTCCTGGCTGCGAGAGTAGATCGACGTTTCCATGTCCCAGATGGCAGCAGCACGAATATCACATATGCCGCTCAGTCACTGGAATCCATGGAATCCAGGCCCGACACTGGGACAACGCAGGAGGAAGGCCGGGCGCCGGAGATGCAGCAATCTGGGCCTGCGCAGAATTACTGACCTCGCGATATTCTGTGCGAACTGTGTTTCTCAGCGTTGGAACGGCAAATTTCCATATCATGTACAGAGTGTATTCCATCGATTGCGCGAAGCATGAGGTATAAGTTATACACCACGAGAACCGAAAGTCCGAGCCGTCGGTTGAGACATGATCAGCACGGACAGCCGCACGGACCGACGAAATCTCGGCGTTGCTTGACGCTCCACCTCATGTCTCTCCTGCCGCTTCACTCCCTGCGAACATCCGTGGCTGTGTATCGACCAAACGCCAACGAATGGCTACCGCATCGCGTGCTGATTCTTCTCTCAATGCCCTGGTATTATTCTCGCTGACGCAACAAGCAAAACATTGATGAAGAGACTCGCGGCATTCGGCAGGAACGCTTTTTACTGTCATACATCTTCGGCCACGCGTTCAGCGCCAAACAACGCGGGCCGAAATCCGCCTCCCTTCTCCGCACCACCTTTCAGATCCCACCAACACTAGCACAGCTAGTGCCGGATACGGCGCACGCCAGCAGTCGTTCTCACACGTTGACTTTGGGGGTTTATTTGCACAAGTGCGTGATTTGAGTGGATCCAGGGCCCCCGTCTAGGACGCTAAGGACGCGTCACCTATCGCCGCTTGCTTGCTGAGACGACGGCTTGCTAGAGCTTGGTGTGCTTGTTCGTCGCCTCTCCCTATTCTTCTTTCTTATTAGTGAAGAGTGCTTTCGTTCTGCGATTACGACTTTCTCCAACCTCCTTCTTGACCTCTTCCTTCTTGCCTCTTTCTCGTAATTGTCCTTACTCTCGTTGTCTATTGACCTCCAGACGCTCGCTTTTCAATTGCCTGCACTTCTTCTCATACCTCTTACCATCGATTTTTGAGCCGACAGAAAGGGTCAACGACAGCAGCTTTCGACGATTAGAGAGACGGCGATGCACGCGGTATCGACTTTTGCGCTCGCTCTGGGCGCTGCTTCTCTCGCAGCCGCTGGTCCGGCCAAGATCGAGGCTCGCGCGACCAGCAGCTCCAGTGCGTCTGCTTCTGGAACAGCCTCGACTTCGCTTCCGACAGTCACAACCAAGGGCAATGGTATGAGAGCAAACCGACAACGCATCGAGTCGTGTACTGACCAAAGCCAGCCTTCTTCAAGGGAGAAGATCGATTCTACATTCGCGGCGTAGACTACCAGCCTGGTGGGTCTTCCGAGACCACAGATCCTCTAGCCGACTACAGCACCTGCTCGCGTGACATCCCATACTTCAAGAAGCTTGGCTTGAACACCATTCGTGTGTACACGGTGGACAACAGCAAGAACCATGACGAATGTATGAATGCTCTCGCTGAGGCAGGCATCTACCTCGCTTTGGATGTCAATACTCCCAAGTACTCTCTGAACCGCAATACCCCGGCCGAATCGTACAACCCGACTTACCTTCAGAGCCTCTTCGCTACGGTCGATGCTTTCGCGGGCTACACCAACACCCTGCTCTTCTTCAGCGGCAATGAGGTCATCAACGCCAAGAACAGCACGACGGCGGCACCTTACGTGAAGGCTGTCACTCGCGATCTGAGACAGTACATCGGAGAGCGTGGCTACCGCTCCATCCCAGTCGGCTACTCTGCCGCAGACGTCTCGACCAACCAATACCTCATGGCACAGTACATGGACTGCGGCGAGACCGCGTCCCGCAGTGATTTCTACGCCATCAACAACTACGAATGGTGCGATCCCTCCTCGTATTCCGAATCCGGCTGGAGCGCCCTCGTCGACATGTACGGCAACTACTCCATTCCTCTCTTCATGTCCGAGTACGGCTGCATCACCAACACCCGCAAATTCACCGAGACCGCTGAGCTCTACAACGAGGAAATGACCAAAGCTTTCTCCGGCGGTCTGGTATACGAATACTCCCAAGAAGGAAACGGATACGGTATCGTCACCATCTCCGGCGACACCGTCACTCCAGTCGGCAACCAATTCGACTGGCTACAAGCTGCTTTCTCCAACGCCTCGGACCCAACCAACGGCGGTGGCTATTCCACCACTGGTAAAGTGCAAGACTGCCCTGCGCAGCAAGACGACTGGGACACTTTGCCTTTTACTGGCAGCGCCCTTCCCGCCATGCCCACTGGTGCAGAGAAGTACATGAAGAGCGGAGCTGGTACTGGTCCTGGTCTCTCTGGCGATGGATCGCAGGATGCCAGTGGCGGTAGCTCTTCGACTGCATCTGCCAACGCGGGCGCTGTCTCTACTACTTACGGTAATGGTTTAGCCTCGTCTACTGGTTCTTCCAGCAGTTCGTCGAGCAGCAGCGCTGCGGGACCTTCGCCGAGATTGGCACCTACCGACTTCGCGCCGCTGGCTTGTGGAGCTGTGGTCTTTGCTTCGATGGTCTTTGGAGCCGTCTTGTTGTAGAATGGAGGAGAGCTGGAATGTACATGACCGCATGCTTGTGGGGTTTTGTCGGCGCACCAGGCTGCAACGGAAAGCAGTCGCTTGGTTTGAAGGCGCTCGCGCGGGGAAGGAAAAGGGACCTGTTGGTTCCATTAATACATAGAGCCAGTTTCCTAGCCCGATGCTCGTCCTCTTTGGGCTTCTCCGCCAACTCTTTGACTTGATGATCATTCACTATTCTATCATGACAGGCCAAGATGTGCATGCATCCAGTTGATACTGTTGTCCCGAGACCGCTCACGTACATCCGAGAAGAAAACCCTCGGTCATCATTGCCTGCCAAAGGGTTGAGAAGGAGTGTGATTGTGAGTGAGAGGTGGCGTATGTCGAAGGAAGACAATCACTTTCATTGCCTCAGCTCACGACCCTGACCGAGGCTGTGGTTGGTTGGACGGCCCGGACCGTTAATTGTTCCCGCAACGGAAGGTGAAACTCCATGTCCAGGAGTGAGTTCAAGACTCAGGAGAAGGGAACCGTGGCTTGCGCCAACACTTGGCTCGCGGGCTCCTGCTCCTGTGAAATGGACAGCAATACGGAGGCGACTGCGACTGCGACTTCGTCTTTTTTCGTTCCATTGTGTCTGATGTGTGCCAGCGGGAGACTCGAAGCTGGAAACGGGACCTGCGCTTGCGTGAAGGCGTTGGATGACGAGATCATATGCGCTGAGCAGAGACTCTCGACTTTTGAGTGAGATCATTGTGGATTGAATAGACTGTCAATATCTCCCGGACGGCGTGGCAGTACTGGGGAAGACTGCTGGATCTTGCTGGAGCCCTACTGGACGACTTCAAAAGCCTGCACTGCGGAACGAAGAGAATTCTTGGACATTGGTGCTAGACTGGAGGCAGATGACAGAGCTGCTGAAGTAGAAGGCATTCCTCACAATGGCCCCGATCTGGAAGTTTGTCTTGCCAGGAATATACCACTTGGCCTTTACAGCTGCTCAGCTGGATTTAGTGGAAGAGACTGGAGAGTTTCCTCCCGATGCAGCTATTGCAGCCGCGATTGAAGCAGCAGAAGATGTGACACCTGAGCCTTCTCCTTTTCCAGCTACGGGAGGTCCAGCCCATGATGACTATTACGCAAAGCTCCATGACCGAGCAAAATGTCCGCACTACACGGCCTGGGTCGACAAAGGCATGTTTCACGAGCCTCCATCCGGCGGTATCTACAATATGTCCTATTCACGTCCTGAACCTCAATGTCGGACCTTCAACAGCTCCGAGGTTGAAGACGCGATGCGGGAGACTGCGGCTTCTATCAGCGACCCGGACATGAGGCGACTGTTCGAGAATGCATATCCGAATACACTGGATACGACAATTCGGTGGCGTGGTTATTCCATGAACAACTCGGAAGAAGAGCTTGCCTTTGTAATCACGGGCGACATTCCGGCGATGTGGCTCAGGGATTCCGCGAACCAGCTGCAGTCTTATGCTCCAGTTCTTAAGGCTTCGGATAGCAGCGACTCGCTTGCGTCCTTGTTCCGAGGGGCCATCAATCTTCAAGCCCGCTACCTGCAGATCTCGCCGTACTGCAATGCTTTTCAGCCGCCTCCAGAGTCGAACATTTCCCGCATCCACAATGGAGCTTACAATGGCTACGATATCTATCCTCCTTATAGTTGGGACGTCGTCTTCGAATGCAAGTACGAGCTTGATTCACTTGCCTCATTCCTGCAGCTCTCGCACACTTATTATAGCAAGACTGGCGACCTTGAATTTTTCCGAAAGTTCGGTTGGGTTAGGGCAATTGGATCGATCATGGAAGTCGCTCAAAACATGACGGATGAGTCCACTCATGATGCGAACGGCCGAGAGATTCCTGGCTCATACATGTTTTCGCACTTTCCCAACCATGGACAAGGCAATCCGGTCGCTCCCAACACGGGTCTGATCCGCTCGTTCTTTCGACCCTCTGACGACCCGGTCGTGTACCAATTCTTCATACCGGCCAACATGATGTTCTCCCACTTCTTGGGCCTGAATGCCAAAATCATGTCCGAGTTGGGTGCTGATCCAGCACTCGCGGCCCGGATGCAGAAGATGTCGCAATCCGTTCGCGAAGGGATTGAAAAGCATGCTGTCACTCATACGAAGAAGCATGGCGACATCTATGCTTTCGAGATTGATGGGTACGGTGGGATCAATCTGATGGACGATGCGAACTCGCCTTCTCTTCTTTCGGCGCCGTTCTTTGGGTTTCTGGATGCAAGCGATCCAATATATCAGAATACAAGGAACCGAATGCTAAGTATCGACAATCCGTATTGGATGCATGGTCCAGCGATGTCAGGCGTCGGAGGTCCACACTACGGACAGGAGAAGCCATGGCCCATGGCTTTGATCATGCGGATCTTCACCACCAACGACACGGAGGAGATTCTACAGCAACTTCGTCAACTGGTCAGCAGTACGGATCAAGTCGGGCTCATGCACGAGTCCGTACGCAACTACAATGCTTCCGACTGGACGCGACCGTGGTTCTCGTGGGCCAATGGACTGTTTGGAGAGATGATCCTTGATCTGCGGGAACGCAAGCCTGAACTGTTGAAGATGAGTTACCAGGGGGAGTAAGTATCACCCCACGATATGATGAGCATAGAACAGCACACTCACGGTGAAACCACGCAGCTACACCACCGGCAACGACGAAATCGGACCTCCGGCTTCGAGCTTAAAGTCTCCCAACGACTACGACGGCGAAGCGGATGGTGTGACGAAGAAGCCCAAACCAACGGATGATCCGCATTTGCCCGTTGGAATCGAGGAGTTGGAACTCATCGTCGACCACTCTTCGGGCGGAGCCGGTCATGCACACCCAATGCCTATGCCACACCCTGCGGATCTTAACAGCACAGGCTCTTGGGGGGATATGCATTGGTTTTGGTCTTGGACGGGTTGGCTGGCTATCAGCTCTGCGTTGATCTGGCTCGTCTTCCGCGGCATTCGACGGCGGAGGGATGTTAGAGGTGGTGGTGGTGGTGAGATGGGGATCCTGGCAAAGTAGAAGGCGACATACATATCGACAACAGAGGAGCCTTGGCTTGGTTGACTACTATCGGATGCTAACTCGTTTTGCCTGCAGTCGAGATCTTCCCGCGTTGGTTTTCGAAGCGGTGTACGATACTACTCGCGGTCGAGTTCTTGCTCAACCGTCCAGAGCAGATCCGGATACCTTGCTCAATCATCCCATCCATCCTCCGAAATCTTTTTCGTGGCACGGATTGGTTCATCGAGGTACGCTTTCACGATATTCGATGCTGAATAGTAAACGTGTCTCTCATCCCACGGTCCCGAAACTTGAACGAATGGTTTCTAATGGAGAAGATCCGATTCGCTGGGATGCGCGCATTTGTGAATGTATCTGGGTTGGGAGGGAGGGAAGTGTGACGCGTCCCGGTGACGTTTCGCTTCGGGAGACTGGCTGCTGGAGTGGAGTGCGACCTGGAACGGAGAGAAGAGAAGGAAAAAAAGAAGCAGACCTTTCCACTCTTCTTCTCCTTCTTCTGCTCCATAAACTTCCGATTTCGTTTGCGCTCACTCGTATTATTGATGATGAGCTCGCAACGGTTATGGCTTCTGATGCACGGTGTCGACAATTCGGAGCCGATCATACCTTGGAAGAGAGAGAGAGAGAGAGCAACACACAACCTCATCATGATGATGATGCGGGCATCAGCTTTCCCCCGATGATACGCTCGCAAGGCACGGGAGCTAGCGGGTGCACCAATCTTCGCGGAGATACGAGATGGTATGTTGCGCTGCCAGTGGCTTTGAAGTTTTTTTCGTCGGAGAAAAAAAGATAAAGATGCAGATGCTAATAACTGCTGGAGGCGTGGATGTAGAAAACGATGGATAGGGTCTGACAGTCGGAAGTAAGGCCCTGGGGTTGACTCCCTTGCGATATGACTTCGTTGGACGGAATATTCTGGTACTCCAATCTGGGACATGACGGGCTATTCGATCGCAGACCGTCCAGCAATTCAACCTTACAGATCGTCGCCCGCTCGGTTTCTCTCCGGTGTCAGATTTGATCACTGGGCGACAAGGCTGGTTCCGTGGACTTCATGGGACGCTTTCTCATGCGCATCGATGTGGCGCAAAGGCTTCAGTCGAAGCTGATCCAGCAAGAGCACATACATGCACGAGCCGCACTTTCGCTGTTGATGACGAGATGCAAACATGCTGGAGCAGAGGTACGAAATGGAGCAGGCGTTCGACGGTGTCCAGGCACGTGCGTCTATCTGTTTGAGATTGCCCTCATCTAACGACATTGTGTTGGCTTTGCAATGACTTGTGACTTGCGCAGGTATCAGATCATTTGTCATGCTCCAACAACTCGTGCCCTCCGTACAAAACCGTTCCGCGAGTACGCCGCAAACCTACCTCTTGGCCGTCCAATCCAGCAATGCGACGATGTCTCTTCTGCACGACTGCATATTCTCCGACCAGCCAGAGCACCACTGGCAGCTGTTCGTGCGCGTGCTCGATCGATTGATTGATTGCGCGCGAATAGAGAATCAAGGGAGAGCCAGGCATCTATGACCAGCTCTTGCCTTGCTGGCATTGTTCTCGACGACATCTTGTCAATGGCACGAAGGCAGCCGCCAATCCCGCCAGCGGATGCATTCATCTGCCCGCGTCACTGGCTGTATCCCCAGCCCTCTGTCGTAGTTGGCGTTCATGGGAAAAGCAGCAATGGATCACCAGGACGAGGTCTTGTCAGGAGCTAATGTGCCCAGTATCGAAAGAGGATTCCGCCTACCAACTCCGAGCATGCGGCATCTTCCATGCGAATAGCAGCACAAGTATCTGCTGCTCGTCAGCGAAATCGAGGAAGAATCGCGGGGGGTCGTAGCCGCGCAGCCGGAAGGGTCACTATCCGAGCTGACCGGCAGCTTGCCAGACCGCGCAAAGGAGTTACAACTAGTCCACATTCATCGCAGGGCTGACTCCATGGGGCTTAACGACTTCCATGTCGGGTGAGCAGCTTTCCGGGCGATCGTTCCAGCCAGTGAGCTTCACGGAGCACGACAAGCTCGAATCATTCTGCCAATAATGACGTCGTGCTACGCAGCTAGTCCCGAAGCATTTGCGGGGTTTCCAATTACACTTCGAGCCGTTCCTGATTAGCTTCAAGCAAAACAGTATGCTTAACCTTCTTTCTCATTGCAGGACGCCAATGGGCCCAGGCCTTGCAAATGAGGAAGCTGATGGTGAGGAGGATTTCGAATGATCCAAACGGACGAGACAATGACACAAGGCCAAGAGGAGGCCACCGCGGGCGTGGAGCGGGCGAGGTACAGGCATAAAGTATTGCGGACTCGCAACCAGTTTGAAGTATCTCGCACAGCCTTCGCTTTGGTCCTTCGCTCCCGTTCAGCAACCACATCATAATCATGAAGTACTCTCTCGCTGCTGCCGCCCTTGCGGCCACTTCCTACGCCGCGCCCTTGGAGGCACGCCAGGCCGCCCCAACCGATGCCCAGATCCTCAACTACGCGCTGACTCTGGAGCACCTCGAGAATGCTTTCTACCAGGCGGGATTGAAGAACTTCACCTCGCAGGACTTCTGCAACGCTGGGGCTGAGGAGAACTTCTACGCCAACCTGAAGGAGATTAGCAAAGATGAGATGAGCCACGTTGCTTTCCTCTCCGGCGCTCTTGGTGGTATGTCTCATACTTCAGTTCGTTACCTGATGGTTTTGTCGCTAACAAACACTTTCCACAGCCGGCGCTGTCCAGCCATCCACCTACGACTTCGGCGTCACTGATGCGGCTTCTTTCTTGGCCGTCGCCAATGTCCTCGAGGGTGTCGGTGTCAGCGCCTACCTCGGTGCCGCCCGCTACATCATGAACAAGGACTACCTCACCGCAGCGGCTTCCATCTTGACCGTCGAGTCCCGTCACTCCGCATACATTCGTCTGAACCAGAACCCAGCCCAGTCCCCCTTCCCTTACGCATACGACACTCCACTCGACTTCGACGAGGTTTACTCGCTCGCCGCCCAATTCATCACCTCCATGCCAGCTGGCAACGCGGACAAGCTTCCAGCGCTCAAGGCATTCCCAGCCCTCACCGTTACCGCTCCCGCGGGTGTGGTCAAGCCAGGTGACAAGCTCACCGTCAAGTCCGCCAAGGCTGTTGATGCTAAGGCTGCCTACTTCATCAACTCCCAGGGCAACGCCAAGGCCGACCTCACCGGCTCCGGCGCTGACTACACCGTCACCGTGCCCACCGGCATGCCACCAACTGCGGGTGCTCAGCCTGGACAGGGCTACCTCGTGCTCACCAGCGACACGGCTGCTCCAACCGACGACAACATCGTCGCCGGCCCAGCTGTTGTCCAGATCGCCGACAACGAATACGGCCTGCCAGCGGAGCACAAGGGCGGCTACGGCGGATGGAACGGCGGCAGCTGGGATGGCAAGCAAGGCCACTGGTAAATTTTGCAGCCAAAGCCTCAATCCTACCGTCACTGGCCAGTCCAGTCCGGCGCCAAAAGTAGCTCAGCATCCCTGCCTATGTCGCAGGAGAGTTCGCAACCTTACGATTAATGTATATATACAATGACCTCGGAAAAGTATTACCACTCAATGAGATGGAATTTCGTATCAATATAACAACATTGTTGTTTTCGTTTTCCCCCCAAAGGAAGAAGGTCGATCTATCCTTGTTCAATGCCTGAGGTTTCACGTTCAGCTGCCGTCGCTTACCGATCTCACCTTGGACCTTACCTCCTCCTCCTCCTCCCATGCCACGACACCCAGGAAATCGCGCAGGCACTTTGGCGAGATAGATAAACACCCAAAATCATTCAAGAGATACAACAGCAATTCCCTATACAAGATCCAAAAACATGGGCATCCTGCGATCAACCTCAGCCGTGGTACGTCACGCGTCCCACCAAAGCTCTCACCCAGCTCGCACACACACAACACACACACAGCATTACTAACGAGCAACAAAAGCTGGCACTCCTCCTTTCCATCTTCCTCTACTACCGCTCCAGCGTCCTGCTGACCTTCTACACCAACGCCCCGGAAAGACTCCCCCGAGTGAACAATCTCGGGCAATACGATCTCCGCTTCCAGCATCTCATTCGCAACTGTGAGGATCTCGCCCTGAATGAGCAGGAGGGCTGGGTGCTGTTGAGTTGCGACCCGGGTAGGGATGAGTGGAATACCGTGATGGTAAGTACGTATGCGTGTGTATGCATGTTTTGATTTGTCTTTCTCGACCAGACTTAGTAGCAGTGGTGTGCTGATATCTCTTTTCTTTCTTTCTGCGGCGAAACAGGGCACATTCCTCAACCCAACCAAAGCCCTAGGAACGGGCCTCTTCCTCTACCGCTACGCGGAAAACGCCCCGGAAACCAACACCCCGGAAATGCTCCGCCTGCTGCCCTTCGAAGACGGCCATGCAGATTTCCACCCTCTGGGTTTAGACCACCACGCTGCGAGCCAGACGCTCTTCGTCGCCAACCATGCCGCTTCCGGCTCGAAGATTGAAATCTACCACTTCGACCCCGTTCAGGTCTCGGCGACTCTGCTGACTACGCTGGAAGGAGAGGATTCCCAGATTTTGACGCCGAATTCCATCGCCGCCATCAGTGGGACGGAATTCCTGTTTACGAACGATCATTACTTCCGCGTCAGAGATCATCCCCTGCTGGCCAAGGTGGAGACCTACGCCGGGATTCCCGGAGGCGGCGTGGTGCATGTGAGACTCTCACCGGACGGTGATGGAAGAGAAGTGACTCCGTTGGCGAGGATCGCCTTCGCGAACGGCGTCGTGCTCCTGAACGAGAGCACGGTGGCAGTAGCGAGTTCGGGTTCCGCGGCGATATTTCTATACCACATGACGACGACGACGAACGAGACCACTGCAGCACCACCGAAACTGACGCCGACGGGGCGAATCGCCCTCCCGTTCATCCCGGATAATCTGTCCGTGGATGGGAAGGGGAAATTACTTGTAGCGGGCCATCCGCACGCTCCCAGTCTGGAAGCAGTCGCGAAGAAGAATCGAATGTGTCACGATCAGGACGGTGATGGTTGTCAGCTGAACCGGTTGAGTTGGATTGCGGAATGGAGTGAGGCGGACGGGCTGGAGACGTTGTATGTCGGGGATGAGTTTGGCACTTCTAGCACTGCGGTGAGGGATGTTGGGAGGGGCATTGGGATTGCGAGTGGATTGTACGAGCGGGGATTGCTGGTGTGGAAGAGCTAAGACTAAGGAAGGAGAGATGGGCTTTCTTCTTCTTCCTCCTCTCGAGGCAGAAGGGCAAAGCCGTGATCGAACTCGCAACTGCATTATCATAGTTTGATACGTCGAGTTGTTATTATGGTCGCCGCTCACTTTGTTAGTAGCTAGACATGAACGTGTACGACATGAAGCTCGTTTCTTGAAACCTAAGGTAGAGCTCTCTTATCAGCGCAATCCACACACCTATGCACCTCACTTATCAAGCCTCTCTCTTCCTGTCAAAATTCGTCTACCTACCACTCCTCTTTCATCAGCCCGCCCTACTCCCCTCCTTTAGCGCACCAAATTGCCACATCCGCATTTCCCAAACCAACACTCCCATTCCTCGTACCACTTTTTCTCACAGCTGACCGGACTGTGAGATGAGATGAGGAGCGCTGTGGCTGCAAACCAAGGATGCACTAAGAAGCGGTTCCCTCGCGCATCCCCATGCCAGATAAGCTTCCCGGTCAGTAGTTCGTGAAACTCGACCAATGCATGCATGCGGTGGAACGGTTGATAGGGAGAGATAATAAGTACACAAGTAGGAAGGAAGAGAAGCTGCGGTGTGACTCTCTGATTGTGTACCCTGGTGGCGGGGATGTTGTTTCCTTCGTAGACTGACTGCTTTCCCCAACAACCAAAGGACTGTCGTTTCCGCTGCTGGTGCTGGACCGCTTGGTTTTTGTCCTTGGCGACGACGACGACAATTACTCGTGGTATTTGTTTGGAGTGAAACGGCCCGGAAACTACCCTTTTCTTTTCTTTGAAAGAGAAAAAGTCGCACGACATGGCAGCAGCAGCAGCCGCGACGATGCTGCTCGCACGAGCAGATTCGGCGATTATGCGCACCAAGAGAGACGCGACGAATGTCTCGATTGCGGAAATCGACGCGCCGACGACGACATACCCGCACCGAGACCACCCTATCGCCCTCAGAGAACCCATCGCCAAGGCAGTCGACGAATACGTACTTCAGAACTGGGACTTTGAAGGGGACGAGGCTTGCAGACGGAGATTCCTGTCTAGCGGAGTGGGCAGTCTCGCATTCGAATACTTCCCGTCAGCGCTGGAGGAGCGGATAGGTCTGGTAGCGCGACATCTCGCAGTGGTGTTCCTCATCTCTGGTAAGTTTGTCCACAGCCCTATACCGGAATTACCTCGATTGATGGGTTGTCAGATTCGTTGTCCGAGTACGAAGCAGAAGATGGCGAAGAATATGTCGAAGCTCTAGAAGCCGCAGCGAAAGGGTACTGGATGCCTGATGAAGAAGTCCCGGCGGTCTGGATGCTCTGCAGCTTATTTGACGAGATGCGAACGATCGACTATGTCCTGGTTGACGATGTGATGGAGACGACATTGGGCCATCTACGAGCATGTCTCTTCAGACGTGGCAGGACGACAAACAGAGGTGATGGGAGAAGATCGCCGGGTTTCCGGATAGGCGCTGCTCTGGTCTCGTCGCTGTCATCGTTTGCGACGGGAATGGAGGCTGATGGGTGGTGATGTTAATGTTTCTTGGCGATGTTTTGCAAGATACCCAGTATGCTATGGTAATGGTAATTGTTCGTGCCCTGTTTTGGTCGTCCTCCAATGTCAGTCGCGAGGTTGCTCGTTGCATAATAGAGTGCAGCTCTTGAGCTCATCAGCTTGCCGGGGCACTATGAGCGGCATGTGAATGTCTGACCGGTGCTTTAGCAATAGCCGGACTTCAGGAACTGGCAGTTGCAGACCCGCGATGGAAAGAGGCCGGTCCTAGTTCACACCTGGTGTGACTGCCGAAGAGAGCTGATGGTGTACATGGGTCCCAGGCAACTAGCCTACTTTGAGAAGTAGTTGGCCTCGAACTTCTGCCACCCTGCTGTACTGTGTACGGTCTGCGCAATAGCGAAACCGCATTCGGAGCGTGGATGAGATCGATGATGCTCTCGGCTTGACCGTCCAACGCACCAAGGACTTGGCGGAGAAGTATGGGGATGCGCCGGAAGACAAGCGACCGGATCCTCTGCCCCTCTATACACTGTACACTGTACACTGTTACACTGTACAAGATGGAGGGTGGCGTCGGACGCGTCAAGTGGCTGCTTGAGGCGTGAGTTGTCTTGATCGTCGTGAGAAGTAACCTTGTTTGCTTGTATCCTCCGGGCCTCGGCACAGCGGTATGTCGTGTCCTTCTCCTCTGCTGCGCCGAATCTGGGTGGATCGGTCGGCGTGATATCGAATTTGGGTACCGGCGAGTGGTGCGCCGAGTCGAAACGGCGTCACGTCAGTATGTTTTAGTCGGTGAAGGGGCTTGTGTAACCATGCACGTGGTGATGGTTCTCCAGCTCGTGGCAGCACACAGGACCAGGCCCAATCGGGAACGAACTCAATCGGGCTCCTCTCCGCTCACGCTAGTCCCGATTGGTAATTGCGCCAACCCCGGGTGAATATTCCCACCTCACTCGTCGTTTTCCCTCGTCAGTAGCTACATCCAACACCACCACATCGGGAACAACGTCCGCCTCGTGCCACGAGTCACGTTGACCGGCAGAGAGCACTCCACGAGCCTGATGTCGGTGGTGGTATGTTCCGTTGGGCGACGCCGCGTTCTACACTGGATAGAGGTACCGATCGCAACAGGCCCTGGATATCCTCGGTCGGTTGTAGTCCATCACTGCCAACTCGGGTCTCAATGGCTCGTCCCCGCAACATAGGGTTCGACGGGTCCTCCGCTTGCATTGCCATGCCTTCCGGTTATGCAGAGAACCTGCATGGTGCTCCTCTAACGAGGCATTCAGCCACGCCCATTGGCGCATCTCGCCGCTTGCCCTCCAAAAGTGGAAGAATGAACAGCGAGGTCAAACGGTTGCAAGTGTCTGTCGACACCAACGGAGACTCATGGCGCGTGGAGTACCCGTTGACTGACCGCCGTGACGACACCTCGGTCCTCAAACTTCTGTTCAAGTGCTCTCAGACGCTCGTGCTGTTTCCGCCGAGCTTGCTCAACTTCACTTCGCAAATCGAGCATCATGGCTGCCAAGAGCTGGATTTGTTTCCTTTTGTTCTCCCAGGCGTTTGCTGGCGGGTACAATTGGATGTACAACAGGCAAGAATGGGCCGAACGACAAGGTAGTCAAGCAGACAAGCAACCTGCTCCTCAAGGGGAAGAACAGCAATCAGAGGCAAGGCATGTCGTTGAACAGCAAGCATCGGTATCATGGCCGCGAGGTGGCTCGGTCTCAGGCCAGCCCTCCGTCGTGCCATCAATGCCACCATCGGTGCTACCCTCGGTGCCATCCTCGATCCCCTCCTCGATGCCATCCTCGATGCCATCCTCGATGCCATCCTCGATGCCCTCCTCGATGCCATCCTCGATGCCATCCTCGATTCCGTCCTCGATTCCGTCCTCGATGCCATCCTCGATCCCACCGTCGAAGCCAAGCACTTCATCTCCCTCGAAGCCACCTACTCAGCCATCTATCCCGCCAAAGAGCTCCGGGAGCCTACCAGCCAGCTTTCCTTCGACGAACAAGCCTAGTCAGCCATCAACCAGCAAAGCACAACCGTCATTCCCGTCAACCAGCTCCGGGAGCCTACCAGCCAGCTTTCCGTCGACGAACAAGCCTAGTCAGCCATCAACCAGCAAAGCACAACCGTCGTTCCCGCCAACGAGCTCCGGGAGCCTTCCAGCCAGCTTTCCGTCGACGAAGCAGCCAAGCCAGCCTTCTTTCCCTCCGACGAGTTCAACTCCTGTAGCAAGCCTTCCTTCCACATCCAAGCCCGTGGCGCCGAGCTCAAGCGCTCCGAAGTCAGGCTCAGGCTCTTCGCCTGCGGGATCGCAAAGTGGAAGACCAGCTGGATCATCATCCGCTGCAGCAGGGACCTCTCCGGCCGCTACTTCTCAGGCACCAGCTGGATCTTCATCTGCAGCAGCAGGGAACTCTCCGGCCGCTACTTCCAAGGCACCAGCTGGATCATCATCTGCTGCAGCAGGTCAGCCACAACTGACCCCCGCGGTTTGCGAAACGATATGCGCCACCCAATGCACAGGTAGTGGACCGACAGCAACACTTGGATGTGGCACAGTAACTGGGACCACGACCTCGCTCCCAGCGGCGACAGCCACAGTCAACAAGTTTCTGGGCGTTCCCTTCGCTCAAAGCCCTCCTCGCCGCTTCTCGCCGCCGCAGAAATACGGAAATTGCAACATTGAAGCCAAGGCGTGGAAGCCAGCCTGTATCCAGCAATTCGTCTATCCGCAAGCCGAACAAGCCTTCGTGAAAGGCGTTTTCAACAGCCCAGGCGGTACCCCACCAGTAGAAAGCGAGGATTGTCTCTACTTGAACGTCTACGCCCCAAGCTCTCCTCCACCTGCTGGTGGGCGGACTGTGATGTTCTGGATCTACGGTGGCGGTTTGCAATTCGGAACAGCTGGCCAGCCAGGCTACGACGGCAGCTCCTTTGCCGCATACGAAGACGTAATCGTGGTCACCACCAACTACCGCACCAACGTCTTTGGCTTCGCCACTTCGCCTGAAATTCCCATAACGGAACGAAACCTCGGCTTTCTGGACCAAAGAGCTGCTCTCGAATGGGTACAAGAAAACATCGCAGCGTTCGGAGGCTCACCTGAAAAGGTCACCATTTTCGGCGAATCCGCAGGTGGATTCTCCGTCGATGCTCTTCTCACTTCCTACCCAGCGGGCAGCAACCCTCCTTTCCGAGCTGCCATCATGGAGAGTGGGCAGATCAGCTACAATCCGGAAGCTCGGCCTAGCACGGTACCGCAATGGAACCAACTCGCGGCATTGTTGGGATGCCCCGGAAACTATGGCAGCAATCTGACCTGTCTCCGAGCAGCCAATGCCACCGCTATCAAGAACGCCATCGAGATGAACATCTTGACCTTCAACCCCGTCGCCGATAACATCACACTCGTGTCAAATCCTATCCAAATGAGACTGAGCGGTAACATCGCTCGTATCCCCGTGCTGGAAGGAAGTAATGCGCAGGAAGGCCGGTATGTTCACATCACCTCCCTCTCCCACTTCTCCGCCCATTCACTAACCTCTGCATCTCCCCAGCGTCTTCGCGGTAGGCCAAAACAACCTAACCGCCTACCTCCAATCCTTCCTCGGCTCCACCGGCACACCCGCCGTCATCAACGCCTTACAATCCGCCTATGCAGCCTACGGAACCGGCTACACCGCCATCTCCCAACTCTTCACCGAATACGTCTTCCAATGTCCCTCCGCCCTGCACGCCAACGCCACCGCCGCCCTCGGCATCCCGACCTGGAGATACTACTACAACGCCTCCTTCATCAACCTCCAACCTTTCAACAACGCTTTCAACCTAGGCGTCTACCATTCTTCGGAAATCGGTCTCGTCTTCGGTACGTATCCCCCGGTCAACGTCACGACGCAGGAACATGCTCTCAGCAAATTCATGAGCACCGCCTGGGCGCGCTTCGCTCGGAACCCGAACGCCGGACCCGGATGGAATGCTGTCGGCACGGGCATGGAAGGTCAAGTCCTCGTGGGCGCCATGTCCGAGGCGGAAGGCGGCATTTATACGGGTGCGAACGGAACGGCATTGACGGGGTCGTGGGACCTGGCCGTCTTGGGCAATCGCGGGGATGCGCTGGGATCCGGCGCGACGGTGATTGAGCAGGGCGAGGTGGATTTGAGGTGTGGATTGTATACTGCGGCCTATGAACGGAATGCGGTGATTTGATTTGATTTGATTGGAGGGTTAGCAAGTCGAGCGAGATCTACTACGATGGGATGGGATGGATCCTGATGAATGAATGAATGAATGGAAGAGGAAATGAATAACACGACAGACGGTAAGTAAGTAGTAATGTATACAAAACACAGCATCAGAATGTCATGTCATGTCGAAAAGATTCAAAAAGTCAATTAATACTTGGGCAAAAAAAAAAAACACCCTGCTATTCGAAAATTTTCAATACCTCGCTTGCTTTCCTCTTCTCAGGCGCTGATTGCCCCCCCTCTACACTTCAAACCGGCCCCGTAGCAGAACTCCTCTTGACACTCAACAAGAAACCCCAATACCCACGCACCTTCCACCTTGCACCTTCCACCGCATGCCGCTTCCCCCAAGGTATCCATCGGCAAACCCCCCATATAGTCAACATCACAAAAAAAAAACCCCTTCCCTTCTCCTTTCCATCCATCCATCCATCCCCATCCATCCCCAACCCCATCCCCTCCGCCGCATTCCTCCTCCACGTCATCTCCGTATCAAACAACGCCAGACGCAACCAACAGGCATTCATTCACTCACCCGAATCCCCCAGAGGTCCAGATTGCCTCGCCTCGCTTTCGCCACCATGGATCTCGTGGGACACGTAAAAACTGCCAATGTATGCATGCATGCATGCTTGCATGCTTGCTTGCTTGTTGAGCTGTGTGTCAAGCAGCGGGAGAGACCTTAAACCCCCCAACCGCGCGCCTTGGATGCCATGTATAGAGGAGACAGTTGACGTTTGACGTTTGAAGATACATGTACTGCCTTTTTTCCGTCTTGCTCTCTCTCTCTCTCTCTTCTGAGGCATGGATGTCAAGATCCAGGATTCCATCATTAATTACGTTTCGGAATTTCATGCACTGCGCTTTAAGGCCCCCCTTTAGATTTGATATCCATGACCCAATCGCGTTGGTCGAGATTTTTTTCAACTTCGAAGAGTTCGCCGGGAAATGAAGAGTTTCTCACACCCGCGACGTGGGCTGCGCCGTTCAAGTGGCTGACTGTGAAGAGTGTCTGCTCTAGCCAGATGTTTTTTTTTTCCGCGCGAGAATTCGCGGACGTCGACTTGGCAAGCTAGCAGGTTTTCTGATCTCAGCTCTGATTCTGCTCGACTGAGGCCCTCTTTCGAAATGTCGCAGATGGAGGCGCCACCCGTGATGGCGATGATCTTCCCGTCCATACTGGAAGCCATCGCATTCGATTGTGAGTGATCCTCTCCCAAGCGTGGTGTTTGGCAGGCCCCTATGGCTCCATTGGCGAGTCGATATGCGATGATATACGACATTCGTTCCCTAGCATGCGCCATGAGGCACAAGTCCACTGGAAGGATTCCGCAGGCTCGGTAGCCTCCATTCAGCAGTCTCCCTGGCAGGATGAGGTTACCATTGTTGGAAGCAGCAGTGTAGAGGGGGACTGCAGGCCGTATTCGCGTCTGGAGAAGCTTGTCTTGCAGATTCCCACGTATTGCTCATTCGACGTATTCCTCATGAAGGTCTCGGCTTGCTACTCATGGGAACAGGCGGCGGAGCAGCCGCGAGAGCAGACTCCGAACTTTCCCCTCCAGCGCTGAGCGCCGCCCTCTTGGGTGGAGGAGGAGGAGGAGGAGCTTTCTTCTGTGCTGCTCCGGCGAGACTTGCGCCGCCGGGACTCGGCGAATGAATAGGCGAGGAAGCTTCGGACGCAGCACCGGTATTCATCCTCGCGAAGCGTTGCTGTAACTCGCCCAACTGCCCCGCGGGTGGACCCCTGGCCGACGCTGGAGATTCTTGAGATGTGGTGTTTGTGTGGTTGTTCCCAATCCCAAAGCCAGCAATGGAAACGCCTGCTTGTCCGAGTCTCTGCGCAGCTGCTGGATTGATGAGCGCGGGATCTCTCGCAGCAGGCTGATGCAACGCTTCGTTGTAGCTCGGCGGCGGCGGAGGAGTATGTTCGTCTGGGTATTCATTCTGTCGCGGGGGAAGCGAAGGCGGCGGGGCGATCTGTCGAGGTGGTGGTGCGCGAGGAGGGACGACGGCAGGAGATGCATTCGACTGTCGAGGCGGAAGCGAAGGAGAAGCTGTCCTCGCGGGAGTTGCGCTCTCACGCGGTCGACGTGCCGGTGGCTTGGGCAGATGATCCGTCCTCAAACCCGTGGTATCCGCTCTGTACGGTCCTCTCATGCTTGCTTGCTGGGCCTGCTCCGCCTCCATCTGCTGTCTCTGCAACTCTTCTTGTTCCCTCTTCCTCTGCGCATACCCCGGCTCAACCACCGAACTGCCCCATCCGCCTGCAGGGCCACCGACGCTGGATGAGCCGGCAGAGCTCGCGGTGCCAGTCCGCGATATGGCATTCGTTCCCAGGCCGTAGTAGGCGGAATGTTTGGGCGGCGGCGCAAAAGTGGCCGGATCGCGCAGAGTCGTCAGGGGCGCCGATTGATGGCTTCGTGCCTCTTCGTATGGATCCTTCTTCTTCCCCGTTGCCATGCCCTTCAGATCGCTCTTCCATGTGTCGCGATGGATCTGCTTGTCGCCGGACGGGTGCCATCCGCCCTTGGCGAGGCCTTTCATTTTGTCCATTGTGGTGGAGAAGAGTGTCCCGCGTTGGGATGTCCCGAGATGGGATGGTGAGATGACAGACAATGTAGAGGGTGAATGATTATGATTGTGAGAAGATGGGGAGGAGATGTCAAGGCAGCCATCCACAATCTACATACAGTACATGTATCTACGCAGCCGCCAGATTCCGCGCGAGCGCTCATGACGTCGGCCTGAATCGCCGAGACCCTTTCATCACTCACCACTCACGCGTGCATGTGTCGAAACAAGGATCATGGATCGTACTGTTAACAATAATCCCCAAGGATCGTGACAAGCAAGCAAGCACACTCTTCACCACCGGCCTGAATCATCGCGACGTCAACATCGCCTCTCCAAATTTATCACTGGCAGCAGAGAGAACTTCCAAGCCGACTTCGATCATCCCCATCGTAGGAAGAGTCAATACCAACCTGGAAGGAGCTTTACGAGTCTGAGGTATACGGATTGACGGGTATCAGAGGCATGGCTGATGGTTCTATTGTTGGGTGGCAGATGGGGCCCGATCAGCGGCTCTGACTTTCGGGGAAACCTCACTACGCCGTTCCGTCTCGGATAGATGAACGCCCTACATATACTACTGATGGCGCAGTTATGAAACCCCTTCGTACACCGTCGTAGGGGGGATGCGTTCCCGTTCCGAGCGTGAGCGTGAGCGTGAGCGTGAGAGGGAGGGGAGGATACGATGGACCGGGGTCCAAGAGGCCTTCCGGTTTCTCCGGATTCACAGCACAGGTACTTGATCGAGCCACCAACAGCAGCGGCAGCGGCAGCACAGCAGCATGATGCGAGATCAACGGCATTTGCTGCTTCATCGTTCCACAGCAGCGAAAACGAGGAGAAGAGCTTGTGTCCACTCCAGAACGTCGTTTGCGAAGACACACTCCTGACCTTGCGCTTTGCATGCAAAAAATGTCACGAACGATGCAGATCCCCAAGACAACTCTCAAATCACTGGGAATCTACTTCTGCGGTATCTTCGCTCTGCTGCTGGTAGTCCGGTTCGCGGTGGACATGGGAGCATTGCGGAACTATCAGCGCCCCGGTCCACAGACGCATCCGGTCATCAACAGAGCCATTTTGATCTCGACGACTGGCCTGGAAGTCATCGTCCTGGGGTTGGAGTATCGAGGATTGATCCAGAGCCATGGCCGACGAAGCGCGAACAGTCTACTTCTCGGTGCTACTGCAGCACTCTTGTGCAGTGTACTGCTGTTTGTAGCCGCCGTGGGACGCAGAGCAAGACTTTTGGATTGGATGGCGGTCAACTGGTTCGTGCTACTCTTGAGTCTGCTGGGTGTGGTTGAAACATTTCTTCCTCGGGGCGAACAGTCGATGAAAGCGATCAACGAGCCCGATGGATGAGACTGCGGCAGACTCGCCTCGCTCTGGTGAACAGAACGAGTGAGAGTGGTGATGCATCTGGGCTCCCAAGACCATACAATCCCGGATTGCCCATATCCCATGGACTTCAGCTCCAGCCCGAAACGAAAAATTCAAACAACAACGCGAGTATCGCGGGTATCATTAGCACGCGCGAGAAACATCGGAGGGCTCAGATTCCCATGCAGAAATTGCAATGCCAATACTAGGATCCCAGATCGGCGTTCTACAACAAGACACGCTGCTGCCTCTGTCCTTCTGCGCTCCCTCTCCAACCCGCCAACGCTGCCTGCTGTCATGGAAGCTTCACAAGATATGACCAAAGACTCGGGACGGAATGGAGGAGAAATTCTCCCACGCAAGAATGCAGAAGGATCTAGTGCCTTCTTCTTCGCGAGAGTCGAGGTGGAAAGTCGAATTCGAAGAGCACTTTCTTGCCATTGCCAGACCACAGTATTCGTTCTGGGGTTGGCGATGGGAATCGTTTGCTTTGGGGAGACCAGTTGCGGTGTGTTTCACTGGGCCTGGGAAGTTGGATCGGATGTGAATCCTTCAGACATATCAGACACATATATGTACAAGAAACGTGGGCCCTTTACATGTAGATAATGTTATCATGTCGCTGCTGTCACTTTATATCGAAAGCGACGCGTCGTCGTGACACAGACTTCCGTCATCGCAGCCGGGGGACAGAAGTCGCTGTATCAACTTCGTTCCTCTCTCGACAATGCAAGAAGAAATCGACAGTCACATCAGCTTTTCCATCTCTCTTCCTTTTCCTTCCCTCCCTCCCCTTTTCCTAACACCTTATCACCCAAACGAAAAAAGAAAAAAAAAACCATGTCCTCCCACCACTGCTTGAACATCACCTCCACCCCGGCCCCGGACCCTCACATCACCCAACACCCAACCACGGGCAAATTCTACCTGACCTTCACCGCCGCCGACCGCATCCCCCTCTGGTCCGCCCCGGACCTCCTGTCCTTCTGGGAAGAAGCCCAACCCCCCACCACCACCACGGGTCCCATCTGGAAACCTCCCCCCGCCGAAGAAGACACGCACGCCTCCGCCCAGCTCTGGGCCCCGGAACTGCACTGCCTGCGCGGCCGCTGGTACATCTACTACGCGGCCGCTCGGGGGCCCCAAGGCGGAAGAAGAAGAAGACCTGCACGCGGGGCCCTGGGAATTCTTGGGGAGTATAGTGGGCATGGACCAGCGGCAGTGGGCGATTGACGGGACGATCTTTTCTCTCGACGGGGAGTTGTATTTCGTCTATTCCGGCTGGCCGATTCCGCCGGAGAGAGCTTACGAGGCTTGCGATGAGAGGCTGCAGTTGCTTTTCATCCTGCGCATGGCGAACCCTACCACCGCGGCCTCCGAGCCGAGGGTGATTTCCCGCCCCGAGCGGCCGTGGGAACGAACAGGGCACGTCGCTATCAACGAAGGCCCGCAATTCCTCTGCTCCCCCGACGGGACTTCCTGGCGCGGCATCGTCTATAGCTGCGCCGCGTCGTGGACGAAAGACTACAAAATGGCCACCCTTACCTACCTCGGCGGCGACCCGCTGCGGGCCTCTTCGTGGCGGAAATCCCGCCAACCTCTGCTGCAGACTGCGAAACATGGTGAGGGCCCTTTCGGGCCGGGACATGGGAGTTTTTTGTTTTTGGCGGAGAGGGGGGAGACGGTGGCGTTGTTTCATGCTACGGATGGGGCGGAGGAGGGGTTTCGCGGGAGGAAGTGTAGGATGCAGGCGGTAGGGTGGACGGCGGAGGGGCCGGTGATGGGGGAGGTGGTGGGGAGGGCGACGAGGGATGTGGAGAGGTTTAAGGGGGATGGGGGTGGGAAGGTGGGAGGGGAGGAGAGGGAGGAGGAGGAGGAGGAGGAGGAGGAGAAAGATGGAGGCGGTGGTGGTGGTGGTGGTGGTGGTGGTGGTGGGGTTGGAAGGATGTTCAAGGACATCTTGCGGAGATATAAATGATTCACAGTCCAGGACATATCATATGCCGCTGGTCTCTTGCCTTTTTATACACGGCATGAGCGGGACCTACCTATCTTACCTGTCGATATCGGAAGAAGATATCCAGCTCGAGCTCCATCTATCTTTCAACATCCACCACCACCTTCATCACCACCATCACCTCCAACCCCCAGCCAGCCGGCAACAATATATCCCCCCCCAAATAATCCAACCCAACCCAGACCCATCCAGAACACCGGAATCCACCACGACCAACCAACCAACCTCACAGTAGCCCTCATCACCAGCACGGCACCAACCAACGACATCTCCGCTTTCCGATTTCCACCTCACCAAAAACCCAAACACCCCAAAAACCCTCGCCGCCGCCGCCGCAGCAGCAGCAGCAAGCCCTCCACCACCAATACAAAGCTGGAAGAAGCTCTCTTGCCTCCTCTCCCGCCGGGGGGAAACACCCAAGATCACTCAAGTCTGGGAAAGCCCCTCGGGGGGAGGAAGAGGCGAAGAAGGAAGGGCAGGGTGGTGGAGTTTTCTCGCTGTGGATTTTTTTTTTTTTTTTTTTTTTTTTGGAATTTGGGGGGCTGGAGGCGGCGGCGTGGAGGGCATGGCGGGCGGAGGCTTTTGGATGTTGGGCGGGAGGATTGGAGGGGGTGGAGAGAGAGGGTGTATGTAAGTCTTACTCACACACACACACACACACACACACACACACACACACACACACACACACACACACACACACACACACACACACACACACACACACACACACACACACACACACACACACACACACACACACACACACACACACACACACACACACAAGTGAACAGAACAGTACATCCCCCTCACACATCCGAAATGCTTCCTTCCTTCAAGACTAATGAACATCTTCCCCGGCCGACCAGCCCGCCTCCTGAGAAAACTTTCTCGGAGCCCTCCCCAGAATCTCGCATCTCACTCCAACAGGGATTCCTCCTCCAGAAGGGGCGCAAAGCATTCCGGTTTCCCCATGGGTCCGAGCGACGAATCCTTCGTTTTTGCGACGGATCCCTCGCGTCATGCTCGAGAGCAAACTTTTGCTATTTCCAAGAGGACTTGCTCTACGAATACTGCCAAGACACCGGTGCAGCGTGGAATATCATCCGCCCGTCGTATATCATCGGAGCCGTGAGGGATGATTACTTGAATTTCTGGCGCGGAATTGCGGTATACGCGGCCGTGCAGAAGCATTTGGAGAGAGCGTCATTGTTCCCGGGTGATTTTGTTGCATGGGATAAGGAGTGTTGTCGTAAGTCATATGCGAGAGCACAGGTTGCGGCAAGTATTACTGACATACCGAAGAAAGCACAGCTACACTGAATAGCTACTTTGCAGAATGGGCCGTCCTTACGGATCATGCGGCAAAAAAAAAAGCATTCAACATCCATGACGGCCTGAATTTTACGTGGTCGAGATTCTGGCCGTATCTCGCCAGCTAGTATGATCTTCCCTAGGAGCCGCCGAGTGTGGACGAGAAAGCGTACAGGACGGTGGAGACGAGGCATGAGGAGGCTCCGAGAGGGTGAGCTGTCGTCGTCGTCATCTTTCGATATCGACCCCGCTGATGCAGAACAGGTATGGCTGGGCGGTGACGCGGTCCACATTCAGTCTCCAGGAATGGTCGGAGTCGGATGAGGTGGTCAAGGCGTGGGGAGGACTCAAACAAATGCACGGTCTTGTCTTTGATCCTTTCCACGACAGAGCAGAGGTGTTTGGTATTACCGACTCCGCCATCTTGGGTGGATGGCCACTATCTTTGAGTGTGCGGAAAGTAAGGAAGTTCGGATTCCATGGCACCGTGGATTCGTATGAGTCTGCTTTTGAGACGCTGCAAGGCTTGGCGAGGATGAAGGTGGTATCGCCCATGTCGAAAGACAAGTTTAAGGAAGTTGTTTGGATTCGATCTTTGAGGATCTCGTCACTCAAGAGCGAAGGAGCCATAGTAGACACAAAGAGCCTTGCTCGCGCCGTGCATACAGTAGTGAATAACCTTCAACTTGTCCTCGACCTTTGCATGCTTGGCCAGCTGGCGAACGTCGGACGTGCGCGGGAGATAGAGCACGACCTCGGTCGACACCTTGGCGAAGGAGTCGTAGAGATGTTGCAGATTATACGGTTCCATATACGAGAGGTCGAAGACGTCCCAGTCGGTGTACGAGGGACCCCCCCAAGGTGGACTGGCGAAGATGACGGCGTTCTTGGTCAGCGAGCTCAGACGCGTCTTCAGCATGTGGAAGACGTCGCCATGGATCCACCAGATCTTCTTGTCGACGCCGTAGATTGCTGCGTTGCGTTTGGCACATGCTAGAGTCTTGGCATCCTTCTCGATGGCGAAGATCTGCTTGAAGCGGCCCGAGAGGGCGAAGGCGATGACGTTGCCGCCAGCGCCAGCAAAGGCATCGATGAGGACGGTCTTGGATGGATCTGCAGTAGCGACGTGCTCTGCAATCTTCTGCGCGACGGGCTCTGGGGTCACGCCAAACCAGGCATCACTGGTCAACCAGACGCCTTGGTCGTACTTGGAGAAGATCTTGTGTCGCTGGTGCCAGTATTTGGCGATCTCTGGGGGGACGTCCTCGGCAGTCTGGTAGAAATGAACGCCCTCTGGCGGTTCCGGTGCTGCCATGATGGTTCTGATGATGTTGATGTTGACGGGAAGAGGTCGGTCGGCAGGACGGGAGTGTGCCGTAAAGTTTTAGCCGAATCCTTCGGGAGGGGCCGAAAGTCGAGCCGGCCCGGGACCAGGGTCTGATGCATAGGGGTACGCACCAATCACGGAGTGGAATCGGGACGTTATGCAGGAGCCGGGAAGGAATCACAGGGATGTGTGGTTCGGGGCTTGAGATTGCCTCCTGGATTTCCGCCGGGATGCTTCTTCAGCTGTGGTTCCGCAACGACGACGCGTACATGTACATGTATGTACATGTATCCCGGCAGTAGCACAGGATCCCAGGTGTAGCAGGTGCAACACTGGCCCACCACCGAGGAGAAAGACTGCTCGTAGCACCTATTCTATACCACAAACAACAACACCAACACCACCACCACCATACAACGATACACCCATAGCCATACATACCCTTCCCAGCACCGCTTCGCCAGCTTAACTGCAATCGATCGAATACACGCCGATATCCACCGCACACGATTGGGACGAACAGTCAACATGAAGTTTGCATCAACACTCCTGCTTGCTGCAGCCGCCGTGCTGGCCGGAGCCCACGAGGAAGAGCCCACGGTGCCCCATAACATGACGGCCGGCTTCGTCATGGAGCCATACCTGGAGCATGGCAACCACCTCGAGTAAGTCATGAGAAATCTCCGTCGTCATCGCACTCCCCTGACATGCGTCGCTAGACTCCGGCAGGACAAGGACTTGAACAGCGCCGCGACCCAAGCAGCCACCCAGCAACCTGCCGTCACCACCTTCTACATGGAGGCATCGGTCGGCGCCACCGTCACCTACGCCGCATTCGTCTACACCCAGACCTTCGCGGCCGTCCCCGATCAGTGGCCCTCGCCCAGCAGTGGAAGCATCGGACTCGGGACACTCGTCAAGCAGGGCAATGGGAAGAGAGATGCACACCCGACACCTGCTCCTGGTATCGCTGGAAGAATTTGGCGTTGAACCAGTGCGCTAATGTGGTCATGATTCTTTCAGGCCAACCTCTGGTGCTGGTAGAGCCAACGGAACAGGTCACCCAGTGGCTCCAGCCCGTGACCCGGGTGACGGAGATGGTCGAGATCCCCACGAGCGCTGCTCCGGAGACTCCCCCGACCCCTTCGCCGAGCCCGGAGGAAGGCGACGGCCCAGCCGACATCACCACGACATTCCTGTGGATGAGTACCGGCTCCGCACGCGTCTTTCCCGGACAGATGAATCCCGAATACCACCGCCCGACACCTCGCGCTGCTCGTCGATGAGTATCGACTTGTGTTCAGATCTTGATTCTCCACCATGCGTTCAAGCGACAGAGTTGGATATGATAACCAAGACTTGCATCAGGAGTTCGGGAACAGAGATACTACGGATAGCCATCTACAGATCTTCCATCACCGTGAATGCATCCAGATTGGTGCCACTGATGCTGTCCCCATCCTGTCCCGAAACACTCGACTCAAGGTGCATCGCTAAACACCGATCAACTCTGATCGAACAAGGATGAATAGGATAGGCGTGTCCCGTGTGTTGAAGCTGTATGGCTATTTTGCAGATGGAAATTATCGTATGCAGAAGTTGTCGATAGGAAAGATGAACGAGATCGTACACCAAGGTTCTGATGAGCTGGGAGAACAGCTAATCCTGAGCATCCTCACGACGTCTCTGAGGTGAAGACTTGGTCTCGGTCAGGCAGGTATGGGGCAAGGCAGCGAGCGCATACGAGGCGTGCGTGGCTAAAGATATGTAGGGAATGGAATGATGATTAGTATCGTATACAATGTGAAGCTACAATTCCTTCATTTCCAGACGGACTCCCACTTGGTTGGGCACAGGAAAGCAAGCAAGCAAGCAAGCAAGCAGCAACCTGCAACACAGACATGCTGCAGTGCCGTGGAACCTCCCTCCCTCCCTCCCTTGTTAGAAGCCAAAGAGATTCACGTCCTCTTCATAGCCCCAATCTGCAGAATTTTTCAATCAGTCAGCGCACACACACACACACACACACACACATCCCTTTCGACAGAAGAGAAACAGGAGAACACGGGACGGGTTGGGGGAGAAGAAGAAGAAGAAAGAAGCAGAAAAACTCACCTCTCAAAGCAGGCAGAGCAGCCTTCTGAATCATGCCCGGAGGTCCACACAAGAACACCGCACTCTCCCCTCCATCCCCTCCTTCATCATCATCAAAAGGAGCAAACAGCTTCTCGCGAATCATAGCCGCATTCACATGCCCCCTGAGCCCCTTCCACCCCGCACTCGGATGACTCAGGACATGCGCGACTTGCAAGCGTCCCTGACTTTCCGCTTCCAGATGCGCCAGTTCCTCTCGCAATAAAATATCCCTTTCCGTTTTGTTCGCGTCGAGCACGCGCAGCTGCACCTGCACACCGTCGGAGGAGGAGGAGGAGGAGGAGGAGGAGGAAGAATCGGCGAGGATGGAACGGGCGAGGAGGGCATACCCCGGCGTGATACCGGAGCCGCCGAGGACGAGGGAGATGCGCTTGAAAATTTTCCGTTCGTGGGAGATGGTGAAGGCGCCGGCGCCGTGGTAAGTGATTTCGCCCGTGGGGCCGCGGACTTCCAGTGCCTCGCCGAGGGGCAGGGTGTCGAGGATGTTGGACATGGCGCCGCCTGGTTGGGCGGGGGAGGGGAAGTAGGTTTTGACGACGAGGGTGAAGGTGCCGTGGCCGTCTTGGAGGGGGGTGAGGTCTTGTGACGAGGAGGAGGGGGGGGAAGAGGAGGAGGGGGAGGAGGAGGAGGAGGGAGAGGATGAGGAGCCATTGGATTGCGCCTTGCTGGGATCCGGAAGGAGAGGCTTCGTGGGCGTGTACGACCGGATGAGCATCTGATCTTTCATGTGAAAACCCAACTGGATATGCTGACACGTGCCCAGTCCGAGATCGCGCATGCCGTCGGGCAGGGTGAAGGTGTACTCGCGCGTGTCCTCGGACAGCGCCTTGCGATCGGCGAGCGTGACGGGCACCCAGCGATGCTTCTGCAAGACGACATCGTTGTTGCCCTCCAGCTGCGCCTTGGACGAACTCGCTGCCAGTTCCTTGCGGGCGGCTTCCGCGTCGGCGTGGATGTACTTTGCCGCTTTGGCCGTCACGACGCCCAGGATGCACTCTTTCAGTTTCTGGTACGCGAAGCCGTCGTGGATGGAAGCGAATTCCTCGCTCGTCTCCTGGTGGACTTTGCCCGCGTGGCCCAGGATCGCCGCTTTGCCGCCCGGATGCCAGGCCAGGACGGACGTGGTGTCGTATACCTTGCCGTCCACGACCAACCAGCAATCGTCTTCGCTGCAGTGCTTTTCGATCTCCTGCCGCGTGAATTCCTTCTGCGGCGCACCCGCTGCCTGCTTCGCGCTGGCAATCTGGTTCTCGACGCTCGGCTTCATCCAACCCCCCTCGCCCGTCCCCGGCTCGACGGGGTGTCGGAAGAGGATACACGGCACTTCATCGTCTTTCTCTTGCAGGATTTGCGTCTGCAGCGTGTACCAGCAATTATTCATCATGCCCATCGTGTTCCAGCTCGGCCTCTCGGGCTGCGTGTTCTTGAAGACGTTCCATGCGCGGACGGAGATACTCTTCGCCCCGAGCAGATGCACAATCGACACGTCGACGTGCCAGTGCAGCCAGGTCCAGAACTTATTCCCATGCCGGATGGGATACTCCGGCAACTGGCGAATGCAGTAGAGCCACGACTCTCCGCCGTCGAGGCTGATTTCGATCCTCTGCACTTCGTGCCCCCCACCGTCATACGCATATCCCTCAATGCGATACGTCTTCCCGCGCCGGGCGGAGGAGACCGCGATCTTCTCCCCCTGGGCAGGCTTCACAATCACCGAGTTGAGATTCTGCTCGTTACACGCCGTATCCGGGTGCGAGAACATGGCCGTGGCGAAATCCCCGTCCTTCTCCGTGATGAAGCTGGGCAGCACGCGGTTGTCCCAGATATGGTAATGGCTCTGATTCTCGTGGTCCGTGACCCAGATGCGCGACAACCATTTGACGCACCGCCCGCCCACGTAGCCCGGGATGAGCAGTCGGACGGGATATCCATGATCCGGCGGGAGGGGGACGTCGTTCATGTACAGTGCGAGGATAACATCGTTCGTCGCATCCAGGGCGTATTCGAGCGGGATGCACGTCTGGTATTTGCCCTCGCTGGGCTCGTCTGCTCCTTCGAAATTCACCCATCTCATCTTCCCTTCGCCGGTGTATTTCCCGGGCTGCACCCCGGCAGCGAGCAAGACGTCGCGCAGGAGTGGTCCCTTCCAGTAGGCGCAACCCGTAGCACCCGCACCCCAGTTGAATCCTTTGCTCTTCTTGATCAGGTTCAGCTCTTTCCGTCGGTTGCCATCGCACGCGAGCGCAACGGGGATGTTGATGTGCTCGAACTTATTCTTCATGTCGTCCATCGAAAGCACGAGTCTTCCATTCTCAACGTCCAGCTTGTGGAACTCCCAGAGAATACGAGGCACAGCACCATGGTTGCGAATGTAGTGGAGTTCGTTGGGAGTGATCAGGCCGCCTTCGAACAGGGTGGAGAGTTCGGCTTCAGCATTCATCGGATGCTTGCCCGTCAGTCTGATGAGATCGGCCGACCGCGGGAGCCAATTATCAGGGGAGAATTGATCTTGCTCATCGATGGAGATCTGCGTCCGGTTCTGCGTCTGCGGACTCTTCCGCTTGCCGTCGTTTTGCTGCAATGAATATCGATAGTCCTTCTCGTGCTGCAATGCCCTCAACAGAGCAATCTCCTGCGGCGTATACCTCTCAAGAAGCTTCTTATATTCCGTCTGGTCCTCGCCCTCGCCCTCAGACTGCTCATCATCCGCAGCATAAGCATCATGGTGCTTCGAATTCTCCCCTTCTTTCTGTTTCCAATCATTCTCCTGCTGATCGGATTCCTGATGCCGCTTCTCCCCATTCATCAACAACACCCCATCCGCAGTATGCGTTTCCTCCTCCGCCTTCTGCTGCTCTTCCTTCTTCCTCCTCTCCACATTCGCAGGCCATTCCTCCTTATTCTTCACCCAATCCTCCGTCGCCTCGAGCACATACCTCCACCCCAAGCTCCGATTCTGCGGATATCGAAGGTGGAAATCCTTCTCATTGGCAATGAGGTCCCGGAAATTGATCAGTTCGCCCTTCTCCGCGCGCGATTGCAGCTCTTCATATTCCCGCTTGGCTTCCCGGTCGAACTCGAGCTCCTCTTCTTCTTCTTCGCGCTCGGGCTCAGAGGAGGCACTGGCGGATCGCGTCAGGTCCGGAACGTCGTCGGCGGCGTGGGTCACGCCGGGCACGCGACCCTGTCTGTTGCGGAAACCGATCCGATGCTGGTGGCCACTCGTCCATTCCGGCTCGTCTTGGACGTCCTGGGCGGAAGAACCCGGGTGCTGTGTGACCTGGACGTTCCACGGGATATCGGAAGGCATGGTGTTGGCGAGTTAGCCAAAGCGAGTCGACGCCTGCTGAGAGAGAGAGAGGAAGAAGTGAAGAAGAGGGCAGAGCAGCCAACCTAACGACTTGGAAAGGAGCCATTGGAGCCATTGGAGCCAATGAACCTACCAGACGCGCCTCATGACGTTGCCGTCGACCACGCAAGGAACGCGGCAACACTCCGTGGAGAGTTCTAAGCCGTGTCAGACTACTAAATGACTCTTACCAACCTTCGCGTTGCGCCGTTTAGACGAAAAGCAGCTCTGCTAATGGTTAAGGATGGAATAAGCATTTGCGCCATCAGCTTGTCCGCTTCTGCAGAGCAAATACAATGGCACGGCCATTCTTTCATTCAGAGCATTGTCTGGTAAGAAGTCTTGACTGTTGTTGTCTGCCTGAGTCGATTCGATGGGGAGGGATATCGCACAGGAGATGCGTGAAGAAGGATGCGGCCCGAAGTCGACGGCGAGCTTGCGGTTACGTAACGATGTTTGCACGTGGCTGGGCCAGATTGACTTCGGCTTGTCGAGCTGTTCGAGGCCTCCCAAGGTTGACATAATGCGTGCAGAAAGCTACTGCAGTCCTCGGAGGAACCATAAAGAAGATGGCTGATTGGGAGAGACAGGAGAGGGACCATCCAATGTCGACCGAGGTTGCATTTTTGCATACCAAAAAGTACATATAATACACTGCAGCAGTCGCCTCCAAGGTCCGATCCCCCTAAAAAGAGACAGAATCCACGCTATGCATCCCCCGTCCCATATTCTGCGCCACTGGAAAGCGCGTGTGTCCGGCAAAGTAAGCACGAAGCAAATGCAGATACACGCACATGGTATATAACAGGAGAAACCAAAACCAGTAAAGGGAATAATCAAGAGTTCGAGCCCCGGCCGTCCGTCGAAAAGTTCCCATTCCTGCGGACCAGCCGTTTCGTCGAGCCCTGCTCGTGTCGTCTGGCACGAGAGGAAGCTCGACCATTCATTAGTTCCATGGTGGGATCGAATCTCCCACCGAGCAGCCACGATGCCGTTGCCGTTTCCACCACCATACAGAGAGAGTTCCGGGAGAGTAGGACTGCCGATTAAAAGGAAAGCTGTTGCCTTGTTGCTGGTGTACAGAGAAAGCCCAGCGTCCAGAAGCCCGGGACGAAAAGGAGAGGGAAATTAATACAGGTTGGGGATATAAGCAACCGCCGAGGTGCGAGTGGTATCAATCTATTAGGGCGGTGCTTTGGGGGAGGTCGTGAAGTCGTGACGTTTCAGTAGGCCGTGACTTCGGTAGCGTGGGGAGCGATGACCGCTGGGACGGGTTCGTTGATCTGATCGTGCATCACAGCATCCTCATATCCAATCAGAGACTGACTGTGGAGTTTGAAGGACTCGCCCATGAGCTTGGTGATACTATAACAAAAGTCAGTACGCAGATCTAGAGTATGGTCGGGCGACTGCACTTACCCCCAAACAACTACCTCGTCGATCATGCTGCCCCAAAGACGCGCCACCGTCGAGCTCAGCTTGGAGCCGTAGCCATCGACAGTGTCGTCGTCAAAGAGGCTGCGCAGCTTCTGGTACATGTTCTTCTCGTCCTCTGTTGCGGGTTCTTCGTCATGCTCGACGCGCCACAGCCAAAGGCTCAGAACAACGATGAGGTCCAGCCCGCAGAGTGGGTGCTCGATACTCCAGTTGGTAGCCGAGGTGCGCGCAACCCAGCGAATGCCTTGCAAAGCTGCGACCTCGATGCAGTCGAAGCAGTTCTGGATGACGGCGAGCATATCTCCGCTCCGCTTGACCTTGTCGCGTGCATGCGTCATGGCGGCAGCGACCTCGTACGAGTCGTGGTAGCGAAGAGCTTCCTGAACCGTCTTAAGGTCGACCAGCAGTCTCGCACGTGTGTTCCTGTACATTGCCATTGCGTTGAAGATGAGGGGATGTCCCTTGTGAGGGGCGCTCAGTTGGACAACCACGGTCTCCGGCTCACACAGCTCCAGAGACTTCTCCCAGAAGTCGAGGGCCAAGCGAAGCTTGTACTCCGTGACGATATCTTGGAGGGCTTCGGGACTACGCTTGTGGTACCACACCTCGAGGAAGAGTGCATTGATCATGACACGTGTAGCGAAGGCGCTGCAGCGAGCGGTCTCGCCTTGGAAAAGGGCGTCATGCGCTTCGCGGAAGGTGATGATGGTGGAGGCGGTCAGATTCTCGGTCCAGCTGTCATTGTCGTTCGGATCCAGATTCCAGAGCGTCTCCGAGGAAGGCAGCTCAAGGGTGTCGAACTCGTTGAAGCTGATGGCCGGAGTGTGGTTGTACGTCAGGGTGAGCAGACCAAAGAAGATGTAGACGGCGTAATAGGTCCGTCTGCATCCCTCGTCTTCGATCCACTCTTCGTGAGTCGGCTGTCGACCCTCCCTGCCCTCTGTGCGCAGCTTGAGCTCGTACCGATTGCCGGCGACCATGTTGGCCAGCAGACTCTTGATCGAGCATGCCCACTCTAACCCCTTGGGATCACCACTCCAGCTCGCGAAGCTCATGTTGAGCAGAGAGCTCTGCATCATCCACAGAGGGCACTTGCGAGAGCTGAAGTTGTCCTTCTTCTGCAAGAACTGGGTGACGAGCACCTTGGAGCCGATGTGCAGCATGTAAGCCTGGTCCTGATCGAAGGTGTACAGAGCACCGATCGACAGGACCGAGAGCAGAAGAGGCGCTGACACTAGGGCAGGGTTGAAGGAAGCCGGGTGCAGGAAGGGTAGGTGGTGATGGAAGAAGTTGAAGTAGGTCATCAGGTATCGGTTGAGGACCGAGGTGGACGGCAGACGAAAGGTGTGCTCGAGCGCGCCCTCGCTGTCGCAGCGGCGGATGTTGTCCACAATGCGACTGACTTGCTCTTCCGTCTCGACTTGAGGTGCCCGGGCCATGGTGCACTGCTGAGGCGGGCCGGGAGATCTCCTATAGTCGACCGGTGAGACGGGACCGACCATCGAAGGGAACGGCGATAAGGCGCCGGGAGTAGCCAGACCACCCATCATCGAACCCGAGTTGAAGGAAGGAAGTCCGTCCTGCTGGCTCTCGGTACGCTCCATCAACGGCGCGAGGTTGCCGCCCGCCGCCTGCAACACATTGCCGTTGGGGTACGGCAGCAGGTCGTGATTCGCATCGGCGCTGGATGTGATGGAGGGAGCCTTGGTCTGAGAGACACTGTGAGGGAGCATCTGGTCCCAGCCCTGCATCTGTGGCAGGGTCATGGAGCCTGGGTATGTTGGTATGCTGGGCTCCATCATGGGACCAGATGGCGAGATGAGTGGCTCGGCGCCTATGGTAGCCTGGCCCTCGCCCGACATGGCCGCCTTCTGCTGGAAGTTCTGCATGAGCATGGCGGCTTGTTCGACGTCGAAGGGATGAGGGCCGCTGGTAAAGTTGTCGAGAGAGGCGGCGTCGTCGAGGTCGGCAAGCTTGCCGTTGGCGGCGTGACTCTCGCCATTCGGTGACGCCTTGGAGGCGGCGGCGGCGGCGTTGTTATGGGAGGCGGACTTGGAGGCGGAGGCAGTGGCGGTGGTATTGGTATTGTTGCTGCCGTTGGTGCTACGACGCTGCTTGGCCTCACTCTGGAGAGGCTCGCCGCCGTCCTTTGCGTGGACGGTGCGGTCGTGGCGGAGGAGCAGGTCGCGGCGCACGAAGGTGCTGCGGCATTTCTGGCACTTGAAGGGACGCTCCTTGGTGTCTGTGATGACGGTGGTGGTCAGCTCATGTTCCTACTCGAAGTGCTTGATGGCGGTGATGACGGGAGGTGGTGTGGTTGTTTGGTGTGCCCCGCCAGCCCACTTTGCGTTGGTTGCTGCTCTGTCGCGCGCGTGTGGCAGCTCTCACGTTGCCCCGCCAAACAACTTTCTATCACAAGCACACGCATCGCATCGGCGACTCTTGCATGGGCGTCTCCCATCGAGGGGTATCACTTACGACTGCGCTCGTGTCGCGAGCGGTGCTCGGAGCGCGAGAAGGCGCGATTGCAGAACTGGCACTTGTATCTCTTCTCCTTCTGTTTCTCCTCGCCGCCCGTCGCCGCCGAGGCCTTGCGGGCGGCGGTGGTGGTGGGCGAGACGTGCGCGGTGGGGGGCTGCATGGCGCCGGCCACTGCAGACATGGTGTCGTCGCTGGGGGGGGCGGGTGCGAAGTTGATGCGCGGCGCGGACTCCAGCGACGGAGGATGGATTAGTGCTTGCTGGCTGGGCGGGTGGTGGTCTGGCTGATGGAGCGGCTTTCTGTGGACGGCATAGAGGGCGAGGAGGGTCGGACGGGCCTGGCCGCACACGCTTGGCTATTCACCTCGGCGAGGCGACGCGGGTAGCAGTGGTGATGTGATGTGGTCGGTGGTGTGGGAGAGAAGAGAGGGCGAGGGGTAGTGGGATGGAAGTGGACGGGGGAGAAACAGAGCATCGAAAGGGAGAGGCGAGAGGCGAGAGGCGGGCCAAGCAACAGAACAGCAAGAGTGCAGCCACAGCCACTTGGAACTCTCGGACACTCGACCCGCTGTACCCCGAGTCGCCCATCAGCGCAGCACTCATCAGCACCTCACCACATCACTCTCTTCGTACCCACCGGCCGACTGACGTATCGCCGTCCTGTTCTCCGAATGATAGATCTCACACACTCATCCCCAAACATCCATCCATCCATCCATCCATCCATCCATCCTCTTCCACGGGCTACCGAGACAGACAGCCGGCGATGCAGACGAACATGAACAGGCCTCTCAGCCCAAACCTTGCCTCCTCCCTCTTTGCTGGCACCACATGCCCTCTGTACCACTGCTGCCTTTCCTCCTCCTCTCGTTCCCACCACTGCTGACCGCTTCCCAATGCGTGCATCACCAAGCCCACCTCACTGCTACTACCGCTGCACCAGCGTCGACTTCACCGCCAATAATAATGCATGTCACATGTGGCCGGGATCAACTTTTCTGCCAACCGCTGCGGGGACGGGGGGGGGCCTCGAGCGGTGATGAGAGCTACAGTATACGTATCGTATACTACCGCCCGCTCGCCGCTCGCAGTTCTTCAGCCCAGCCCAGCCCCCGGTGAGCATCAACTGGCCTTGCGTTTGCGCTGTCGCAGCCGGCGCGCGGCAGCTGGTTCCTGCATCCCGCCTCGGTATCGACCACACCCACACCCACTAGACGATCCGTTCCGTGTGTCTGTCGTCCAACACATCATGCTCCGACCACTAGGATGTTTCATCTGGTCAAGCGGACGGCCGTCTGCTTTAGGCTAGCCCACACGCGCACAGCGCACTTCCCCGGCCGCGACGCCTCTCAGGAAGCACCGGATGGGTCCTGGACGACAGAAGCCGAACGCCTGGCAACCAAGTCGGTTAGATCGAGACGTGAGAAGAAGAATAATACTAATAATAATAATGAGCCGGCTCACATGCTCGCTCCATCGTGGCTTCAACGTGGAACTCACTCACTCACTCATCACACCTTCTCGCGCACAGCATTGGATTCCTCCACCGTGGTGGTACGCACTGATGAGCATGGCAGGCAATTCGATTCCAAACACTCCTACCGCCACGACCATATCCTCGAAACGTCGAGCGCGGCAAAGATTCATGCAGCAAACGGACTCAGGTCCACCAAGATTTGACCCCACCCCTCCATGTGACCAACGAATGGGAACACCCGCAGTCTGGGTCTGATCGGATTGATTGACCTCTCCGACTCTTCACACATCCATACCGATACCGATACTCCTTTCCGTCTTGCCGCGGCATGGTTCGGCGCCGACTCCTATCCCAGAGTACAGTACAACTTGTCGCTTGTCTTCTCACAAGCTCATCGGCTTCTCCAGCTTCACACAGGCGAGGATCGGAGGGGCCCCGGCCCCTCCATCCCACCGAGGGGTTGCCTGTCCCGACGCTTCACGCCTCTCGGGCATTGTGCATGCATCGAAGATTCTCAGGCGCAAACGGCTGATTCGATGTGACGGAGGGGTGGCTTCCCCTGACGGGGATCCCATTGATTGAGGCGACGGGGAGTCGAACGGCTCACGACGTGATCTTCCCCTCGCCAGCCACCATCTCTGCTTCGGCTTGCCGTCCGTCACAGATTTCGTCCCATCCGGCTAGCTCTTCGTCCTCTGTCTCCACTCTCCAAATGCCAGAATCCCGGCGCGTTGTCCCGCCCGGCTGCTAATATCGAGCTAGCTGCGCGGAAGCCCGTCCCCGATTCCCAAGCGCCTTCCTAGTGTTGAAGGAGTCAACGCCTGGAGCCAATTTGCTGGAAGCCCTTCACACCACCTTGTCTTCATCTCGTATCGCGCTTCACGAGCTACCAACCATACTAACGCGACTGCTGCGGGAGACTGCGCGCAGAACTTCCAGGGTAGAGTCGGGATTTTCCTACTTCTTCCGCAAAGTTCAAGGTGCGGTCGGCTGCCTTTCCGTGGCCGTCGCTTCTTCAAACAACGTCTCTTTGATGAACCGGCTGTTCAAGACGAGGAGCTGACAGCTGAGTCACCGTGCACATGCATGATTTGGTGGGTCATATAGCACACAGCCTGTGCAGCGACAACTTGCTATCGATTCGAGGCACATGAGATCACGACAGGGCAGCCGCTGCCCTGCAGGTTCAGGGTTCCAAGCACATGCACATGCACATGCACGACAGGCTCAAGAGGCTCGGAATCCAGCAGTCTCCTCTCATAACCGACCGGCACGATGAATTTGGAGGGCCGAGTCTTGTTCGGACGTTAACGCTGGGATGCCCTGCTTCACTCTCCAAATCACAGTCGATTTCCCAAGGTGTGTTTCTGGCATTGACTTTGAAAAATCTCCTTGTAGAGCAAAGTGACGAGGGCAAATGGGTATCGTGTATTAAAGGCCCCTCACTGGATCCACAATTGACTCTATAGAAGGCTATTTGGAGGGCTCGAATGGTACAAAAGGGTTCATGGTTGTTCTGGCTGTGTGATGTTACGTTGGGTACCAGTTCTGAATGGTGCTCTCTCTCACTCTCTCTCTCTCTCTCTCTCACTCTCTCTCTCACTCTCTCTCTCTCTCACTGTCCACTCACTGCATGCTGCTGTCTCCCGCGCCACCAACGACGACGTCGTCGAAGTCGACAGGTTACTCGTTTCCTCTGAATACCACCACCTGCTGCAACTGATGTGAGCTGAGCTGGCCTGCGGCTGGCCTACCTCGCACAGGCCGATTCGCGAGCTGGTATCACGTGACCGAGCCAAAGCCTGAGCCAAAAGCCAAAGCCAAACGTTGGCGCTCGCTTCGGCGCTGTCCCTGTCTTTCCAGCGCGAGAGCCCCTCGCCGAATCACATCCTCAGAAGGGCCTTAACTCGCCCATTATTGCCCTACACGCCTCCCCGTTGCATCGCCCTCGACAGCAAATCGTATGTTCACGCGCGACCGGAGTGGTAGTGCTCACTGCTCGCTTGGCGGCCGCGGGTGCTGCTGCAAGCAAGGAATTCGTCCAGCGACTAGTTCTTCCGGCCGCCTGCATTCCAGTCTGATCACACCCGACACCGCACCGCACCGCACTCCTCCCCGGCGCCTGGCGCGAGTGAGCGAGCGTGAAAGAGAGGACGGACCACACGAGCCAGCGACGCTAACGACATCTCTCCCGACCGGCCCACCGACTGACCAGCGGCACACTGTCTGCTTTGAGGAGCCGTCCATTGTCCTGAGCATCGCATCGCTGCGCCGGCCACCAACCCTTTGGTCCGACGCCGACCTCGACTGGTCCGCCGCGCAAGATGAACGGCCTGGCAGGCAGCATCTCGACTGCTGGCCAGCTGTACGTCCGAGCACTCTACGACTACGATGCCGACGACCGTACGAGTCTGAGCTTCCGACAAGGCGACATCATACAGGTCATCACCCAGCTGGAGAGTGGGTGGTGGGACGGCGTGATTCACGGCGTGCGAGGATGGTTCCCCAGTAACTATTGCGCGGTGGTGGCGTCGCCCTATGAAGATGGCATGGGAAACAGGATACCCGGCGATTCAGAAGCGGAAGAGTCGGAGGAGGAGTACACGGAGCATGCACACGACCACGCTGCGAACGGCGTCGCCAGTCAACAGGAACCTGCGCCTGCGCCTGCCAATACCCAGGAGGAAGCGGCATTCTGGATACCGCAGGCCACCCCAGATGGAAGGCTGTTCTACTTCAATACACTCACGGGCGAGAGCACAATGGAGCTGCCGCTGGAGGCGCCCACGTCCGTCAACGAGACGGGACCGCGCGACCGCACCAACATCTTCATTCCCGACCAGACGCGACCGCCCGCCGAGTTCATGGCAGCGGGAGGATATGAGCGTGACGACGAGACCGACTATGCTTCTGCGTCAGAGGCTGAGGACGCGTCGGTAACACAAGGATCGAAGGCCTCGAGCGTAAGTAACACTTTTGCACGTGCGGTCCACCTTGCAATCTATGTGACACTCACTAACACAGCCAATCTGTCAGCATCGACGCAGACGGTCGTATCTGTCCGACGGTGTGTCACCGGCGACGTCCATGGATTCTTTGAGCGCAGCGTCCCCGATGAGCCGCTCTCGCACAAATCTTACAGAAGCAAGCAACACGTCGCTTTCGGCCATGCAGCAGGGGATCCCGCCGGTTGGTACCACTATGTCTTCCTTCGCTAATGCGCCTACTGGCACTTCGAGCACCTCGTTATTACCGCGGAGGTTCTTCGACGATGCACACGCTGTCCCGTTGACGTGGAACACACTCGTCGAAGATATGCGGCGCGCTGTCCAGAGATACCGCGAAGTCATCACCAACGGCGACCGATCAGAGTTCGTCCACAAAGCTGAAGACATCTCCGACCATTTGCGCATGCTGCTCGCCGCCGGTTCTGGCACCACCGACAATCATTCTGGCAATCCCTCCATCATCTCGACAAATAAGGCATTGTATCCGCACTTCAGGGAAATGATGTCCAGATTCTCGAAGCTCGTCCTTTCTTCCCACATCGCCGCGGCGGACTTTCCCGCGCCGGATTCTGCACAAAAGTGCTTGCAGGAAGCCGAGGGCGTGCTTCATGGTGTATACGGCTTTGTTGAAGTCGCGCGGCAACAACGTGGCGAGGAGATACCGAGGCTGACGCCTGGCTTTGTTGCTGGCAGTAGGACCGCTGGAAACTGGCAAAGCAACGGCTTGAGCTCCAAGGATCCTCTTGCCTCGACGTCCTTCATCGATGATGAGCACGAAACCTCCACAGAGGCCTCCGCTGCACTGGACCCTGAGCTGCTGTCTCGACTGGACGACTTAAAACGTCTAATCGTATCCAGTATCCGACGTTTGGACGAGCACTTGGTCCTACGCGATAAACTGATCACCCACCACAAGCATCGGCAGATCGGCGACGCTATCAATAAGTCGGGCTCTCGAGTCGTCGAGGTCTGCCGACCGTATCTCGCCACCGTCGAATCCGTGAATCTTGGTCCTCTCACCTCCGCTTTCCAAACGCCGCAGCTGAACGATTTCGCCGAGCACAAGCAGAAGCTTTACGACTCCATCACCGACCTGATTCTGGCATGTCAAGTTGTCGCAAGCCCGCTGGGAGACGAATGGTCGCAAGTTAGGGGTCCTTCGTTGGAGGAGAGGCTGAATCGCGTCAAGTCGGTGGGAAGAGAGCTGGACACTGCTACCAACCAAATGTTCTTCTCGCTGCAACTGCTCTCGGAGTTAATACCTCAAGACTCATCCAACAGTCAGCAGCATCGCCTGACGGATGGCGGCGCGCCGTACGAACAACACATGAGGAACAGCTCGAAGCACCTTCGACCAACGCTGGCCGATGTCGGGCAGTCGAAATCATATTCAGAAGGGAGCGGACCGCCCGCGGAAGCTCGCAGCTCAGAAAGCTCAAAGGTCAAGAAATTCTTTGGAGAGGTGCCGACGACGCCATCAATAGCAGGTCGCGACTCGGAGGAATCGCCGGACTATCTGAAACTCGACCACGAGGGCGAGATCGCCTACGATGCCAAGGTCGATCCACCCCAGCTTCGTGGAGGTACTCTGACTGGTCTCGTCGAACAACTCACCAGACACGACCGCCTGGACTCTCCTTTCAACAATACCTTCCTCCTGACGTATCGATCATTCACGACGGGATCAGAGCTGTTCGAGATGCTGGTGAAGCGCTGGACAATACAGCCTCCTGGAGGCCTCGCTGGTCTCGACTTGCAGACTTGGACGGATAAGAAGCAAAAGCCAATAAGATTCCGCGTGGTCAACATCGTGAAATCCTGGTTTGACAACTACTGGATGGAGCCGAACGATGATGCCAGTCAACAGTTGATGCAGCGCGTGTATGGCTTCGCCAAGGACACAGTACAATCAACGAGCACACCTGGAGCTGGACCTCTGATTACTGCCATTGAGCAGCGAATGCGTGGCCACGATGCGTCAAGCAAGCGACTCGTCTTGACGCTCAACTCGCAAGCGCCGCAGCCAATCATACCCAAGAACATGAAGAAGCTCAAGTTTCTCGATATCGATGCATTGGAATTCGCCCGCCAATTGACTATCATCGAATCAAAGCTCTACGGCAAGATCAGGCCTACAGAGTGCTTGAACAAGACCTGGCAGAAGAAGCTGGCACCGGATGAGGCCGACCCTGCAGAGAATGTCAAAGCACTCATCCTGCACTCCAACCAGCTGACAAACTGGGTCGCCCAGATGATCTTGACTCAAGCAGATGTGAAGCGACGTGTGGTCGTGATCAAGCACTTCGTCTCGATCGCCGACAAGTGCCGAGGCCTGAATAATTTCTCTTGTCTGACCTCCATCATATCCGCCCTGGGCTCAGCACCGATTCACCGACTGAACCGAACGTGGTCTCAAGTGAACGCCCGAACCACGCAGACCCTGGAATCCATGCGCAAGCTCATGGGCTCGACGAAGAACTTTTTGGAGTATCGAGAGGCGCTGCACAAGGCGAATCCGCCATGCATTCCCTTTTTTGGCATCTACCTGACGGATTTGACGTTCATTGAGGACGGTATACCCAGCATCATCAAGAAGACACAGCTCATCAACTTTGCCAAACGAGCGAAGACTGCGGAAGTCATCCGCGATATCCAACAGTACCAGAACGTGCCCTACGGCCTGCAGCCTGTCCCAGAGCTGCAGGAGTACATTGTGCGTAACATGCAGAGCGCTGGAGACGTGCACGAGATGTATGAGCGCAGTCTGCAGGTAGAACCAAGGGAGCGAGAGGATGAGAAGATTGCGAGGTATGTCGAGAACCATGATTCCGAGGGAACAAATTACTGACTTGTCGAAATAGACTGCTCTCAGAATCGGGCTTCTTGTAGTCTAGGAGCCCAAATCCTGAAGCATCCTCGCCTTCTCTCTCCAGCGGCAGAGGCAGTGACGAGAGAACATCAGCATCGTCAGACGACCCAGCCGGCAAATACCTCACGCCGCCCAAGACGCCGAAGAAGGACAAGGAGAAGGAGGCATCCTTCTTCCTCGGTCGAAGTCGCATCTACGAGATCGACGACCCCAAGCACGGTATGTTTCAGATGGAGCAGCGGATGCGTGAGCGCGAGAAGGCAGCAGCAGCATCCCCCGGATTCTGGTTGGATTCTGCAGGTTGATATCCCCGGCGGCGCACTCGTCGGAAAGGGCAAAGGAAAGGACATGAAAAGTCTCTTCCTTCGGCATGGCATATTTTCTTCCATGATGGTTGCAATCATCTTCCAAGATTCGAAAGAGAGACATTGAGACAGTAAGCGAGAGTACAAGAAGAAGAAGAAGAAGATGCAGCCATGTTTTGGAGGGGGTTTCTTTTTTTTTTTTTTTCTTCTTCTTCTCCGATCTATGGCATTCGGGAGGGAGTGGAGGGTGAGGGAGGGAGTGAGGGGGGGATCCATTGATTGGGTTAGTGGGTGCGTGAGTGTGTGAGTGAGTGGGCTGAGAGATGGAGCAGGGAATGCGAATGGAATGGAATGCGAATGGAACGGAATAGGAAGGGCTGTGATGAATCGGGATACGGACATGGACATGGACAATGGTGGAACGAAAATGAATGTAATGACACAGATTCGGACAGAGAGAGAGAATGAGAGAGAGTCAGAGAGAGAGAAATATGTGTGTGGGTTTGTTTGTTCCTGCTGCCTCCCTTTCTTTTTTTTTTTTGTTTTTTTTTTGGTTGAAACTTTCCTACCAACTTTTTCTTTCTCTTCTCTTCTCTTCTCCTTCTCCTTCTCCTTCTCTCCTTCTCTCCTTCTCTTTGTTCTTCCTTTTTTTTTTTTTTTTTTCTTTTTTTCTAAATCCTTGTCTCTCTCACCACCCCCGATGATTGCTTTGCTTGCTTGCTTTGCTTTGCTTGCTTTGATTTAGTGAGCGATCGATTCCAACAGACAGATGGATGGATGGAGGGATAGATAGATAGATAGATTAGAATTAAGTGGGTTTTTTTTTCTTTTTTTTCTCTTTGCCCTTTGCCTAAGACTGACTGCTATCTAGATAGCCTGGCCGTTTTTGCAGTGGATGGAGAGAAGAGGAGAGATGGAGATGGAGATGGAGATGGAGATGGTCTTTCTATATATATATATGTATCGATCGTAAGGTAGGTCCATTCTCTACTGTTTTTTTGGAGATTTCTTTTTAAGCTTTGGCCCTGGCTTGGCGTTCACATGTCATGCTATGCAAAGACTTGAACTTTTTTTTTATTTGCTACAGATTTGGGATATGAAAATACGGAAATAGAGAGAGATCGGCCTTTGAATGGCATCTACCTAATTTTTTTCTCCGTACGATAATGCCCTCTTCTTTAATAGCGAAGATAGTAGTAGTAAGTTACACTCGTACTTCCCTACCGCTACCGTTATAGATCGGTCCGTGCGGTTATACCCTCAATATCAATTCCGACCTTCTCAGTACTTCACCTCCTCCAATCCGCGCAACGGAGATTCTCTTGCACGTCCATAATCTCTCCTGAACAAGAATCGGAATTCTGGATTCCGCAAGTTTATACCGTTCTCCTCCCCCCCTTCCCTTGAGCAAAGCGAAATGCACCTTTTGAAAGACTTATAGAGGCACGAAATCCCGTATACAGAGAGTTAGGGTTTGGGATAGCGAGGGAGTAAAAGGAGTAAGAGATGCGGAATTGCAGATATAGCTGAGGAAACCAGAGGCAGAAAAAGATGGTAGTGGGGGATGAGAGAGAGAGAGAGAGAGAGAGAATGATTCCATTCCGGGGGGAGAGATTGTACACATGGAAAAAAAGAGATTCCGGATTGGCATGAAGAAGAACTTGAGCACGAAAAATGAAGTGAATGGGGACTTTGTTAGGGGCGTCGTTTTTTTCTTATCTTTTTTATCAGGCGGGATAATGATAATAATAATAATAAGGACGAGATTTCGATCTTGTGAGAATCTATCCAGACAATTACAACAACACATTACCTTTTTGACAGATCATGCATCATGGATCATCTACTTTATTAGATACTGCTGGACTTGTTAATTCTCGTTATCCGATTTTCCGATTCTGCTCATCAGTAGGGCTAGATATGTCTCCTATTTTCAATCTACCATACTCCCCGGGTTTTCTTGTTTCTGAGGGCTATGGCGAATTTCGCATCGATTTGGCTTTCCAGATTCCCAAGTCGACTCTATTCTCTTCTCCACCATCACGCAGAATATACCCTCCGCGGCCGGAAGACTTCATGTTCCTCACTGGTCCCATGGGGATTCTAGGTGGAGTGCGGGTCCTCGGGGGGAAAGCTGCCGTTTTGATGGGTTTATATGTCCAGGCTTATTTCAATACGATGGAGGTCTCGGAGAGCAGCGGAGCAGGGGATCGTGGGGTAGTGGTGCGTGGTTCCGGATCAGAGGGTCGCGCCGGATCCTACGGGGCCAGATGGGAATGTGACAGGGAGGACTTTATTTTTCGCTGATACGATTGGAAGTGGAAGCGATAACGGTGGAGTGGGAAAGGCGACTTGTCCGAAGGAGGGCTCGGCGATGAGCAGCAGGCAACTACTCACAGTTGTGTGGATGTTGCTCGTGTTGGTAAGTATCTTATTGTATGAGCTTGTGGCTTGACAGCTTTGACTCTGCGCGAGAGCTGCAAGTAGGGTGTTGATTCTCCTCTTGAGGCAGGCTCTGGCAGAGAGGAGATTGGTCATGTACAGGGCACCAGAAGACGACGTGAGGCAGTTGTATAGAAGCGATGAAGACTTTTATTCGTGAGCAGCTGCTACAGCTGCAGTCGTATGCGCCGCGCTAAATCCATGCAGCCAAACACAAGCCAAGCCAACGTGCTTCCATGCTGACGCCCACGTCTAGTAGAAGAAGCCGAGGATCTTGCCAGCGACGTGCTTTCTCCTAGCCTCCTCGTGGTCCATGATGCCGGCGGAGGTGGTGAGAACGACGTAGCCGAATTGACGCGATGGGAGGAGCTTGGTGACCCACTGCTCCATGTCCTTGAGCTGGACGTTGTAGCGGGGGGAGATGACACCGGTCTTGTTGAGGCTGCAATTACACGTTAGCATTTGGAACGTGTAGGAAGATGGCGGCTGTCCCTACCGGCCGTTCAGCTGGATGACGATCTTGCCGTTGCGGTGGTCATCGACCTCCTCGAACTCGCCAATGTAGCCTAGCATCTCAAATCAGTACATGTCGCGAAAGATTAAACGTTCCTCTTCAGCCAAGTTTTCCGAAGACGTGTAAGATCCTCGCCAATATCTCAATCTTCCGAGCACTTAAAGGGCGTTGGTCGTGGGGCGGTGTGAGACCATTGCCTAGTTATCAACCCGGTTCCATCCTCGTCTTTACGTATTCCTTCCCCCTCTTGCGCTGTATTGAGGCGTACTGTTGACTCACCGTGCTTCTGCATGACCTGAAGGAACTTGACGATGACCTTGGAGGAAGGACGGATCAGGACCTGGCGCTTGCCGGTCTTCTCGGCGTTGTTGATGGACTTGAGCGCATCGTTGAGAACGGAAGTCTTGACCATTTTGGCGGTGTTGTGAGATTCTCAGGGCGCGAAGTGCAGCGGCTTGAGGTATCTGCAGTAGAAATTCCTGTGTTAGCCCTCAAGAGCCATGTTTGAGCGCCAAGAGTGCCCTGTCGGGTTCTTCACGCCGGCGCTGCGGTGTCATTGCCATTGGCAGATGATCGCAGGCCTCTGGCTACCTGAAGGGCGACTCTGTTGTGATCAGTAACATACCTCAGATGTTCAGCGGCGAGCTATTCGTGGAGGTGGGATGGTTTGAAGCTGTTGGAGCGCGAAAATCCAAACTTCGAAGGAGAAATTGGCGAGTGTCAGGTTCGGCCCGTTCCTGCCTCTTCTTCTTGGCACTGAGGTCTGTGCGTCGTGCTATAGGCAAATTGGACCCTCGCTGTTCTGCTGCCCCGCCGCGGCGGGCTTTTTCTGCGCTTTGGTCGAGAAGCGCAACAACAACACCACCACCTCCCCCCTTCCTCAACCAACACTCGCTCTTTGATCCCCTCTGAACCTACCTCTCCAACCGTCAACACCGCCAACATGATTATCTACAAGGTGCGTCCTCGCGACATTTCGAATGGGACCGGGACAGCTGCAGAGAAATTTCCAAGACTTGACTGACAGCACATGCACAGGACATCATCACCGGAGACGAGATGATCTCGGACTCCTACGACCTCAAGGAGATTGACGGTGTCGCCTACGAGGCCGACTGCGGCAAAATCACCATCGGCGGCGAGAACATCGACATTGGCGCGAATCCTTCTGCCGAGGATGGCGGCGGTGACGAGGGTGCCGATGACCAGAAGCAGCAGGTCATTGACGTCGTCCACTCTTTCCGCCTCAATGAGACCAGCTTCGACAAGAAGGCATACCTCGGACACTTGAAGGACTACATGAAGAAGGTCAAGGCCGCCATGAAGGAGAGGGGCGCAAGCGATGAGGAGGTCACTGGGTTCGAGAAGGGCGCTCAGAGTTTCGCAAAGAAGATCGTCGCCAACTTCAAGGACTACGAGTTCCTCATCGGCGAGTCCATGGACCCTGACGGAATGTAAGTGCATCACACTCACTCATGGCGTCCAACAACTGACATATCTTCAGGGTTGTGCTCCTCAACTACCGTGAGGACGGTGTCACTCCATTCGTTACCCTCTGGAAACACGGTCTCAAGGAGGAGAAGGTCTAAGCAAGCGTGAAGAGACTCATACAACGGAGACCGTGGGGGTGTGAGTGAAAGGGGAGGTTGCATCACGGCGGCGCTGAGACACACATCTTGTGCCATGCCTTCTCGGCCAAAATCATGTAGACACGACTTATTGCATTTTTGAGACTTGCCCGAGTCTCCAGCGAGATACCATCTTCTCTTCGCCTCCTTTTCCATTTCTTCTCAAGCTCGAACTTGTCATACCATTAGAGTGAGGGAGCTATCCTGTTCACATGTTCTGCAATTCCTTTTTGGTGAGAAGACTGCCTTTGCATAATGGCCAATAGATCCGCTGACTTACTTGGTCCATCGATACTCATCTCAACACGTGTCAGCTGACCAGCCGCGGGTTTCATCTGCAAGCACTCTACGCGATCAAGGCTGTCGCGTCGCCTGAGCTGACTTCAGGCATCAGCTCTCCAGGGTCAGGCCACTTCGTCCAATGGCACGCGCGGGCGGCACGGCACTATCCCCATCTCGCGCCGACGTTCCCGCACGGATGTACCTGCACCTCCAGACGGATCTGCGTTCTGTTTCCTCGCTCTGTTTCTCTCTCCTTCCTCCCAACGCTCTTGTTTAGCTCCTTCTTTGTTGGATGACGGATGATACATCTCTTGGTAGATTGGAATTATGATTTGAGGAAGGAACGATGGCGAGGAAGCGGAAGAGTTCCGAATTGGAGCCTAAGGCTTCGGCGACTATCATGGCCGTGAGGAATTCCGAAGCACTCACCCGTGATCTTGACATTCTTTGTCAGAAGGCGGATATCAACTTGTCTTACAAGGCCAGGGAGTCTCCAGCGACCCTAGACAAATACAACATCAAGCGCCGCGTATGCAAGAACTACGAATTCCTCTGGTGGAGGAATAGACCTGCCCTCGCTGCAGCAGAAGAGGATTACCTGCAGACTTTGACAGATGCACCGCTCGGAACTTATTACAGTCAAGGCAGGAGGATTGAATTGCTTCTGGAGAAGCTCAAGGCTCCGGCAGCCGCAACACCAAAGAAGGCAGCCAAATACCTCGACAAGATCAATGAGCCGGAACCGGACCCGACGCAGGTGCTCCCTCCTTCACCAGGTTCACCATTGCTGAGCAGAAGCAACAGCACTGCCGCAAGACCACACGATGCGAAGAAGAAAACAGTCACAGGCGTCTCTCGACTATCATTCCCAAAAGCCATGCATCCTGCTACAGATCTTAGATCTGCCTTCATGACGGCAAAGGCGGACGCTTCGAAGCCAGCCGCTGCGGCCAACATCTCCTTCAAGTCTACCACAACGGCAACAACGTCTTTCAATCGATCGTTCCAATCATCCCAGGGCTTTCCAGCTACGCAGGACACGGCAGCTACTTCCTTTAGCGAAGATGTCCCTCCTCCAAAGCGGGAATCAGATTACTTCTCCTCTCTGTCCACGGTTGGGATGGAGAAGCTGAACGCTCTAGCAGAGCAGACGTGGCCGCCAACCCAAAAGTCCCATCTCATGGACGAGACGATTCGGCCGAATCTCACATCGGACGCAACCTGGCTTTCCGCCCCGCGTGACTCCCAGTCGACCTGTTATGGGGAGTCTCTTGCTCCCACTGATTGGGACGATGCCTTTGCCAGGCTTCCACCCACATCGCAAGACGTGGAAATGACGGATGGAGACATTCAGGAGGTACCGTCATATGTCCCCACAGGATGCCAGTCACATGAAGTTCCAAAGCAGGTGAAAGCGAACCCACTTCAGACAGGGTCACTTTCGAAGACTGTTCAGAGTCCTCGAAGTCCCTGTAAGCCCCACACACGCATCGGCAGAGACTTCGCCCGCTTGAATCTTCCAGAAACCTTCTCAAGCGTGCACTTCGTGCTCCAGTGGGAAGTTCAAAGGGTGTTGCAAACAAACATTTTCTCTGCCGAAGAGCTGGGAGATAAATGGAAGACGCGGACTTTATCAGGATTGTACGAGCTTCTCTCCGAGCATCGCGTACGTTTCACGCCAGGGTTCGACCCGGACAGTTCACAAGACTTTGAAGACGTCACTTTGAGCGCGAAGCTACAGTGGACCGAATCGAACAACGCGCCCCTCTTCAACCTGGTGCTCAATGGCCCAAAGAAGGAGACTTCGTGCGCTCTACAGCGTCGTCTCGGCGCAGACCGAGTCCTCTATGTGGACCTCCCAGTTCTCGAGCATCCGCCGACGGCCCATAGTGGCAGGCACGCACTCGACCGTTTCCAAAGGTTTTGTCGAACTCCTCAGACATTCCTCGGCCGCAGATGGATATGCTACTTTCTTCAGCCCAAAAAGGGTGAGCGCGAGTTCCACCGGCTCATTCTGATTGCGGAGAGCAGTCATACCAGCTTTATTGAGGCTCTTTTGTGGGCTCTGCCTATCTTTGGGAATACGCACCAGATGGCGTGCAAGGCTTACATGAGAAAAGAGCTTCAACTTTCCCGGACCATCGTTGCCCTAAAATTGTTTCCCAAGGACATCGCGTATGACATCGCAGACCTTACAGCGACCTCCGACGCAGATGATCGCAGGTTCGAAGACCCAATGTTGGGGGATCAATTTTACGAAAAGTTTGATCCCAAAATTGTCATGAACGATGGCTGCAACTTGATGTCCATCTACATTGCCGCGGAGTACGCCCGGATCATGAAGCTAGACACTATTCCTTCAACGCTTCAGATGCGCGTCGCTGGCAGCAAAGGTATTTGGTCAATCATAGATGAAGATCCTCGAAGCATACACCAGCGGCCTGAGGGACCGCTCATCTGGATCTCCAAGAGCCAGATAAAGGTACACAAAGATCCTGCATTAGATTGCGACGAGCATTGGCTCTCTGCCAATGTCGTCAGGCCGAACATGGTGCCGAGAGAAAGTTTCCTGTACAATACCTTCTTGCCCATTTTGGAAGACAGGGGCGTGCCGCGTGATGTCCTTTACAATGTGGTTCGATCTCAGGTGAATCGTGACGCAGAGGAGTTCCTAACCGCTCTGGCACAAGGACCTCTTCCACTACGCCAATGGATGCAAGCGCACATGGAGTCTGGGGAGTCTAAGAATCGGGACGCCGGTATCGGCACCATTGGCGGATTCCCAATAACTCGCGAAGAGAAGATGATTCGCATGATCGAGAGTGGCTTCGATCAAAGGGAATGCACGTACCTTGCCAACGAAGCCATGGAGATGGCAAAGGACACTTTCGACTTGAAGAACAAGCATTTCAAGCCTCGCCTCTCCCAGTCCCTTACCTTGACAGGAATGGCGGATCACACAAACTCTCTGCCGCCTGGTGAAGGGCACGTTTACCTGGACAAGGCCTTCCTCGACACCGCGACATGTAAGTCCCTGGTGATGTTTGACGGCATGGAATGCCTCGTTGCACGCAATCCCGCACTCGGACCTTCGGACATACAAAAGATTCGTCTTGTTTTCAAGCCACAGTTGGCGCGCTACAAGAACATGATAGTGTTCTCTGCCAAAGGCATGCGCCCATTCGCCGGGAAGCTTCAAGGAGGAGACTACGATGGAGATACTTTCTGGATCACTTGGTGCGAAGAGCTGGTAAGACCTTTCAAGAACGCGCCAGCTCCGTGGATGCCGCTGAGAACTCCGGAACACTACGGCATTGTAAAAGACGACAAACGACTGTCAGACTATATTGACAATCCGCTCTCCATCGACCAATGGTGTCGATTCCAGTCCGACATGGCCGTCTTCAGAATGTCATCAAGTGGCACTAACATGCTTGGAAATGTGACCTTGCACATCGAAAGTCTCGTTTACAAATACGGAACCGTGGCCCATAGGGACGTGCTGGAACTCATTCCACTGCACGACTACCTGGTAGATGCTGACAAGCAAGGCTATCGGTACAGTAGTAAAGCATTCCACACTTTTCTTAAGCGAGCTGGCATCGATGAGCATCCTCCTGTGCCTAAATATTGGGAGATCACGAAGGCTGGGAAAGATGTCGACAAGGAGAAGCAGCACAACTCATACAAGCGCCGCTCCTCAGAGGAAGTACATGGCAACATCATCGATGACATGTTCTCCACGGTTGTTACACCGATCTTCAACGAGACGATCCTTAGAGCTCGAAACATCGTCAAGCCTGCGGGAGCATATGATCCAGACCTGTACAGGTTCTACGATCAGACCATGGCGTCCGTCGTTGAGGGCTCTGATATTCACAAAGAGCTCAAAGCTCTTGAAAACGAGAAATTCAGGAAGCTGCGAGACATTTGGACGGGGCCCCGACTAGGCACGAGGACTGAGTTTCGCCGCCAGATGAGGAATGAGTACGACCAAATGCTGCCGCAAAACACCGAAAATCCCGCTATCAAGGAGCTCTTGAGACGACAGGGCCACGCGCCCAGTCCTTGGGACCTGCTAAAAGCGTCTTGCCTCGCCAAGTTCCAGCATTACGGGACCAAGAAGGGCGCCATGATGTTCAGTGTCGCAGGCCGAGAGCTATGCATTCTGAAGGCGAACGAGCTGGATCCAGAGGTGCACCACATGCTCCAGTCGCACTACCATGCGATGAAGCTAAGGAAGATGAAGAAGCCACGGCCGACGGACGAGTACGATAGCGACAACGTTGAGAACGAGGCGAATGATGACGATGTCAACGACCGCGACGACAGAAACAACGACGAGATCGGATACTATTAAGGTCTGAGAAACGTCTGCCAATCCTGCAAACCCACATGACGCTGTTAAGATCGCTAGATATTACTAGACGAGCAACAGGCGCGCACATGACGGGAATGAGGGTTAGGGTTAGGGTTATACTTCAATTGCTTCTGATACGGTAGAAGTATGAGAAAGAGAGAGGAGAGAAGATCTTGGCGATCTATCTGGGTGATCTTATTCACACGATTTTGCGTTCTCTTGAGATACCCATTTTGCATGATGAAGCGCGACTAGAAATGAGAGTTAGATATTCGTGAGCCTTGCGGGCGTGCGACTCGTCAGAGTATGTATTCAACGAAGCTTATGACATGATTGCAAGTTTGATCCTATCAACACTCCACGCACTTCCTCACCTTCGCTCTCTTGTTGCCGACCTTTCCGAGTCGCCGGTCCCATCATGATCCGACAACTCCGTCCGAAACATATTTCCTTGGTCATGGCCATGAAGCGCATCAGTTCAAAGGCTCATCCGAGAAGAAATCTCCCACTGCCCTTTTTCTCACCTACCTACGCATTTGCCGCTATTTCAAACTCGCACCAACTCCACCCTCCGTGCCGTTTGCCCGCGAATAGCTCAGACTAAGACTGAGATTAAGACAATAGCTTCCTCCTCCATCGAGTTGGTGAAGACAAATCGAATCGCCCTGTGGTGAGAGTTGGTTGAGGACGTGGAGGAGGGTGGGTGATTGTGATTATTGTACGGTTGAGATTCATTGTTTTTTTTTTTCTTTCTTCTTCTTTTTTCTTCTGGAAAGCGTTTGTTGTTGTTGATGAGGGATGTGATCAGTGAGAGGGTGGAAGAAGGTTGGAAAGGGTAGGGTAAGGTAAGATGTGTTTGTTCTTGGCGTTTTGCATGTGAAGATGTGGAAGGGGCGGTTTGGAGGTGGTGTGGGCAAGAGAGAGAGAGAGAGAGAGACAGAGAGAGAGTGATGGGTGTATTTTGGAGGTGAGGGGGAAGGCATGGCTTGGGTCTTTCTTCACCTTCGATGAGTTTGGCGTTTCGAGGAGTTGAAACTGGTTTTTACATTGTGTGGCTAAAATCATCTCCTTTCCTTCCATGCCAACGGGGCGGTTGAGCGCTTGCGGATTTCTCTGTTCTCTCAGACATGATCAGTAGGTTGCGAAGCACATGCTGAGGACTTTTGCTATCGATGTCCAAGTCAGGTATTCAAAGTGTGCACTGTCTTGTAGTCGCCAGAAGCAATACCGGCTCGAGGTCACGTGCCGTCATTGTCTGGTGGAGTGGCGCTGCACTTCCCGAAACCCGCAGAACACGGTGTATTGTCAAGTGCCAAAATGTAATGGAAGTCGTTCAACGCTGAACTTGATGACTGGATTCTGGCTTGGCTATCTCAGCATGTCCTTAAACCCGTCAGACTGCTAAAGCACCACCAATGCATGATAGTACGCCCAAAGCCATGAGCCTGATGAAGACGCCGTTCCCACCATCGTCGCACCGTAAAACTCGCACACCCTTATCCCTTCTTCTTGCTGACACCGACAGTCCTGCCGCGACGGCCAGTAGTCTTGCTGTGCTGTCCACGGACACGCAGACCCCAGTAGTGGCGCAGACCTCTGTGGGCGCGGATCTTCTTCAGTCTCTCCAAATCCTCACGCAGCTTGCTGTCCACACCGTTGGCGAGGACCTGGTTGTCCTTGCCGTCTACAATGTCGCGCTGTCTGTTCAGGAACCAGGTTGGGATCTTGTACTGGGTTGGGTTCTGGATGATGGTGACGATGCGCTCGAGTTCTTCGGAGGTGAGTTCACCGGCGCTGTAAGAGTTCGACGTCAGTGTGCTTCTACGCCATGCGATGACACGCCATCCATTCGAGATGCGCTGGGCGGCCGGGAGCTTTACCGCTTGTTGAGGTCGACATCGGCCTTCTTGCAGACCAAGTTGCTGTATCGGCGACCGACACCCTTGATCTTGGTCAAGGCGTACATGACCTTTTGCTTTCCATCGACCTAGTACTGCCTGTCAGTCCATGTCCTCGATGTTTCAATGTCGCCTCCTCATCCTCCTCGATTGCACGTGTGCTCGGTCGCTGGATCGGGATTTCGCAGGGTGGTGGATACGCACGTTGGTGTTGAGCAGACGCAGAATGAACTGGAAGTTCGACTTCTCGCCGGAGACGAGCGACATCTTTGCGGTGTTGGCGAAGGAGATGTCGAGATGCGATGTTGGTGCTGCTACCGATGAAGTTGGCGAGCAGAAAACCCGTGCGGCTTAGGCTTGGCAGAGATGCGGACGGCACGTCCCGAGATCGGAGCTTAGAAATGCCGACGAACGTAATGAATCCAGCTTCGGTCTCAACGATCTTACACTTTCTGGGCCTCTACATTCGCCTGGTCGACGAGGCCGACTTCCATCATCGACATATCTTTCTGTCGTAACCATATTCCAAGCATGTACACGAGAGAGCCATGACAAATTCGCCAATTCTCGCCCTCCCGAAGGAGCTCCGTCTTCTTATCTTGGAGCACCTCTTCGCCGACCATGGACCTGTTTGTATTGGCTTTGCTTCTTCTTTGCCATGGCAGGGCAAGCCACGGGAATATCATCCACCTCTAGCACAAGTCTGTCGACTATTTAGATATGAAGCACTTCCAATATACTACAAGAACTCGAGCCATGTTGTCCTCCTACTGCGATACCACGAAGGCAGGGGCCAAGTTCAGCGTTGGATCAACTCGACACTCTCAGAAGATCGACTCCGTAAACAAATCTCTCAGATCTCTATTCAATACTTCGAAGACGCTCATATGTCGACGTCTATCCTGATAGACCGGAACTTCCGGATACTCAACAGTGCAAGTTGGATCCATCCCTTGACCTTGCGGCCTTTGAACATGCTCGGTCAGGCAGAATCCGTTGTTTCCAAAGTCAAGGCGTTCGAGGAATCTACCATCTCCTCCAACACCGCGTCAGAGTTACTGCGTCGCCTAATTGAAGTCATGCTGGCTCCCTTGAAGGAGTCCAAGCTGGTGTGTTGCGAGCGCATGTCAAATCTCCGGCTGCACGGATACTCGGACTTCCAACTTCGATTTGAAGTGATCAGTATCCTCTATGGCAGCGGAGGTCGCTAACGAGCTCGATGGTCGAGGCCCGGTGGAGACTGCACAAATCAATGCATACGTCTCATGACATGATCGGTCGTCGGCTTGGCAGTCGGAAGACCGAGATGGTCCGATCTTTCTTACAACCTATCACACCACAGTCGAAGAGGCGATTATATAGTCGCACGACCTCCTCACCTTGTAGCCTTTCGTGTGGCAAATCCTGGGAGAGTGGAATGCCATTTCAAGCTGAAAATTTCAAACAGCGTACCGCAGTCCAAAACGTCCACAAGCTCGACATTCCCATCAGAATCGATTTGAGACTCCTTCCTAGCTTTCTGCCATACAACTTGACGGCTTCTACAAGAAAATTAGACTTGACGCCTGCAGCTCAGGATGTGGACCTCTCAGTTCACGACCATGTACCGCAGCTGCGGCGAACCTCCCCTGTCTCTGATCGATCACATCGACGACGAAGCCTACACCACCAGTTGCATGGCGAGCTGCATCGATCATGATTATCTCGACCGAGTATGGCCCAACAAAGAAACCCAAAGCCGGGCTCGCTGCAATCCACGTTGTCGGCTCTTGGAACTCCCAGCAGAACTCCGCATCGCCATTTACGAATACGCCTTGGGGGAACCCTTCCAACTCGGCGTCGGAGGCTTCTATTCCAAACCAAACACCGGCACACCGAAAGTCTTCGGCGGCGATGCCGTCAACGCGGCTCTCCAACCTTCTTTGACCCGTGTGTCACGACAACTCCGCGAAGAGTCTCTGCCTCTCTTCTACCGGCAGAACCGCGTCATGCTGGCGATTCATTATCGAAAAGCGCGAGGCGAGGTCGACGAGTTCTTGCACGTGGCGTCGAGGAATGGCGCCGTGCGAGCCAACCTCTGCAATGTGACGATCAAGCATCGCTTTGGGATTTTGGACTTCAAGGGCGTTATTGATCTCGATCTGCGGAATTTCAGAATCTTGACGGATCTCTGGTATAGTTCGATCCCTCCCATGATTGCTAGAGAAGTCGTTCAGATTGTCGACAAGGCTCGGGGAGAGCAGAGGAAGCGGCCCGATGAGTTGTTGGTGGTGGAGACGCTGCGTCTTTTGGTCGAGGCTCTGGGTGTTTCGGCGTCGTGAGGCGGCCTATCGAATGTAAAACGCAACTGGAAAGGAAATCCCGTGCCTGAAAGGCGTTTGAGGGAAGGAAAAACACAAGACTTAGTTCCTGAGCATGGATGGACTCCAGACGCCTCGCTGTATTCGCTTCATTACATACATACATCTTCGTTCGCTCATACCCAGCCGTCTCTCATCATGCGCTCGGAACGCATCAACATCAATCACCCCCGGGACTGCTCTACTCTGGCTTCGCAAACATTTTCGCTGGCATAGCTTCGTTCACGCATGTTCCGACTGCCGGACACACTGGCGCCATCTCCATCAATAGCCTCCCATACGAGGGACAGACGGCAGCTTTTGGGCGTTCGGCTTCGGGTCTCACGTGCGAGTACTCGATCGTCTCTGCACTTGGAGTACCCTGAGACTCATCGAAGGAGCGCTCCATGGTCGGAGAAATTGGCAGCTCTTCTGCATCCAGTACAGGGTCCTGGGCCTGCCCTGACTGTTTCCCAGTCTCCGCCGGGATCTGCTCTGTCTGAACGTCGCTGGGCGTGTTGGTGCCGTCTCCCATCCCAGACGACGCCTCGGAAGAAGCTGTGAGAGGGTGAGATGACTCTAGGGCGGCCGTCTCGATACTGGCGCTAGGGACCCTCAGACTGATAGTCTCGTGGAGTAGCTCGAGTGGTGAAGAGACATTCGCGGGCACCGTCAATGAAGGAGGGAGTGCCCGTGTGGGGGCCACGGCCACGCTCAATCCAAACCAGATGGCGAGGACAGCGAGCACGAAGATGACGATGTTCTTCGTATCTTGGGACAGCAGAATGATGTAGTTCCGAAGCAGTAGCGACAGGGGGATATCCTTTGGTCGATAAACCTGCGGCAGATCATCGAAGGATGGAGGGATCTTCTGCGTCGGCGGGGGCGGCGGCGGCGAAGACGAAGGCTGCTCGACCGTTGCTGGTGCTTGAGTCAGATATAACACCTGCCTCGTCACACTCGCATGTCTCTGGTACTCCTCCTCCTCTTCGACCCTCCTCCGCTGTTCATCCGCAATCCTAGCCTCTTCCAATTCCAACTTCTTCTCCGCTTCCTCCTCCACCGCCTTCGCATCCAGCAGCCTGCGAAGCGCCTCATCCATCCACGGCATGATTTCCACATCTACCCTTTCCATCTCCGACCAAGCCGCCGCCCACGCCGAAGCCCTCATCAACCCATTCGCGGCATAGACTTTGATATCCCATTTCTGCCTCGACGCGCACTTCGTCGTCGCCGACGGGCGGAGATGATCCTGACAAATCGCACAGAGATCTTCCACACTCGACCCGAGACCCGAATCCACGCTGTCTTCCGCCGAGGAAGCCGAACTGATGGATTCGCGGGTGCGGAAATGACCGCGGGGCGTGATGCGTTCCTTTCGCAACTCGAGCGCTTCGAGGAGGCGTTCCTCTAGGACGTCGTATTCTTCGCGGGGGTGCGGGATGAGGATGCCGCGCTGGAGGATTGTTTCTGAGAGTTTGGAGCGGAGGAGTTGGAGGTTCTCGACGGTGTTTGGGGGCAGGAGTTCTCGCATGTTTGCCGGGCTCCAGCGGAGTTCGAGGGGCAGGATGGTGATGTGCAGGAGGACGAGGGGGTATTCTTTCCTCTCTGCTTCGGATGGGTCTTCTAAGGCGTGTTTTCGCGGTAGTGGGCTGCCTTTTGCGGTCGTACGGGTTGAGCGTGGTGTAGTCGTTCGTGATTTCGGTAAGGCCAATCGCTTGGGGCTTCGTTCGAATGATGAGCCGGCTAGATGTCGCCGAAACGAAGGTCGGATCATGCTATGAGGCAGCGACGGTTCCTGGTCCGTCTCGGTGGAGGACTCCGGCAGGGAGGAAATGGCCGACTCTCTTCTCCCATCGCGATCAATCTCCGTGTCTGTAGGCTGGAAGTTCGCTCTCCCAGCTTCGGTCTCTAGCTCTTGCTCATCATGAACGATCGTGGTGTTTTTCCCGTCATCGTGAGGAATGCCTTGCGGGTCCGGTGTGGGAATGCCGCCTTCGTCGTCGTAGATGGCGAATTGCGTCTTGCTTGGGCGCGCCATCTGCGCTGCCTCTCGGTGAGTACTCTCAACTCTCGACAGAAGTGTTCATGGTGTGGCATCTCTCCGTCGTTCGCTTCTAAGCGCCTTCGTAGAGAGGTCGGTGGAGAGATCGGACCTATTTCGGAAGCTAATAAACACCGTTTCTGGGGCAACGGGGAAGGTCGCCCACTCCAGCGACGTGCATTCACCGCCCCCTTCGCGATATCTTCCCCATTTGTCGAGATACTTCATCTGCCTCTGTATCACAAACTTTTCCCATGATGCAGGGAGTGCGATATTCCCTTCTGCCTAAATGCCAGAATGATATGCCGAACTCCCGCTTCTTCACGAGTTTTCCCGACGTGGTGACCGTCCACCCAATGACGACCTAGACCCATCGAAATACATCTTTACGCTATATGCCACAGCAGAATCGACGAGTTCAACGATGATTTATGATTGTCAAAGTAGCCAGCTGCTGCTTCCTCCCACACCGAGCAGCTGAGCCGCCGGAATGCGTCCTCCTCCAGCGGCCAGGAACCGCCATCTTGCTCTAGCAAATATTTCCAACTGTAGAAAGCCTCAAAGCATAAGCTCCTGTGGCCCTGTGACTGGCTGGCCGTTGGAATCCTCTCCCTTTGGCGGTTACTGATGTTTGTAAGGGAATCAGGCGGCCTGGATCATGAGGGCAAAGCAAACAGAATCTCAATCAGACACACCGTATATCTTGCCTTCGAAGTCGAAAATGAAGAGGGTAAAGACTAGCGACAATTTTCGTGCGAATCTCACGTTGAAAACGGGGGACATTGACACTCTCAGGGCGAACAGATTCGCCTGTGAAAGAGCACACACAGACACACACACATCTCAAAGCGATAAAACAAAACAAGAATGGACCCGCACGCCGCCATCTGGGAACCTCCCCCGTCCCCATCTCCATCTCCATCTCCACTTCCACCATCCAAACCACTAGAAGGGACCCGCCTCTTCGACAACGTCCGCAAAAATTTCGTCCGCGGCATCGCCCTCCTCGAAGACGTGCTGCATCACATGCAAGAAGCCAAGAGACCCCCGAACCTCCAAGGAAGACAAATTCCAACTTTGCTGGATGATCTCCTCTCACAAGCGAGATGGCTGGTGAGATTCCTGGAAAATGCACGAGACTGTGATGTCGCTGGGTCTTGGTGGATGAGAATGGCCATCGCGGGTCTGAGGGTGGAGTTGCATCGGTATTCCTGGACGGTTATGAGGATGGCGAAGGTGGTGGCTGGAGGGGATGTATGAATCCCCCATCTTTTTTTCGCAGAGATGAAATTCTCGACAATTCTTTCTTTCTGTCTTTCTTTCTTTGCTGCTTTCCTTCTTTCTTCAACCAGCAGCAAAAGGATATCGACCAAACTGCCTCCTCCCCCCCATCACCACCCCACTCCTCTGCATCCTCTCCGCGAATCCCATCCCATTCGCCTCGTATTCCCCCCTCTCAATCTCCCCCTCTCAACCACCTCCCCAATTCCATCGCATCATACGCTGCCTGCCCCGTCGAAGCAGCAGTATGCGGCCGAAAGCCCGCCAAGGCATCCCATTCCCCACAAGCACCATCTTGCCGTCCAAGAAACAATTCCGCGGGGAGAAATCACGTCCGTGATGGCCGGGATGAAGGAAAATTGAGGAGATCTCGGCTGAGATGAGGAGGTCTGCGGTTGCTGAGCTCTGGTGCGAGAGGGTGTTGGGGTGGGTGGGTGTAGGTTACTTGTACGCCTGGCTCTTCCGAGATGGAAGTGACGGGGTGCAGTTGTTGAGATATTCCGCTTTGTTCCCTTCTTCTTTTCCTGCCCCCCCCTTTCCTGCTCTTCGATATCCTCACCCCCCACCCCAACCCACAGACTCTCCACCTCACACCTTAGAGGACACGAAAACAGAAAATCCCAACTCGTCGTCATTCACCGCTCCCTAGCCTCTAGACTCACTACTCCCTCCTATAATCTCCCCCTTTGGGAATCCAGGTCTTGGCGTTGTCTTACTCGTGACTACCATTCCCTTTCCCTCTGAACATTTCAGGTACTTCTGAATGTATTTTCTGGACCTCCGGAGCCGGCTGGCTACGATTCCCGCTCCTTGCATTGGTTGTGCAGCAGGGTTATAGGGGGACCGAGCGGTTCGAGGATTGTGATTTTTTGGGGGGGAGGGAGAGGAGGGCTTTTGGGCGGGCGTGTATGAGGCCGGCGAGGGAGCCGCTGATTATGAGGACGGTGGTTGGGGTTGATGAGGAGGTTATGTGTTGGAGTGACAGGGTTCGAGGAGAGTGGTGATTTTGATAACGATGGTGGTGGTGAATGGCGGCAAAAAAGAAAGAAATGCTGAAGTAGTTCGGTAGATCGGACGTCGTATCACACACAGCTTGTGTGCTCTTTGATTTGTAGCTGGGACGTATATTCCTGACTCCAGCGTTTTTGAGTGGAATGAAATCGGATTGGGTAAAGGCGACGGGATGGAAGATAACCTAACGTAAAGTGAGGTTTAGAGCTTGACCGAGATTGGGAACTACAGTCAGAGAAGGGGAAAAGAAGTTACACGGCCTGTTCCACGCCATCGCCAACGCTCAAACCATTCCTAATAACACAGACGCTACACTGGTATCTCTTTTTACGCTGTCATCCAATGAAAAAAAAAGCAAATCATCCCAAATCATTCCCCATCAAACATCATCATTATCAAGTCAGCGCGCGACATCCTGCTAGAACGTCTTGGCCAACTGAGCCTTCGTCTTCGGCTTCTTGAACCAATGCCACCGGTTGTTCGAATAAATCACCTGATCCGCAATCCGCTGATCATGCAACAACAACCGCTCCTCATAGCCCCTCTCGGCAAAGACGTCCTCCTTCATAATCTGTGTCGAAGCTGTCCCGTTGCCATTATATTCCCAGTGGATCTGTTTGATTCCGCCGGGAGTCATGTCGATTTCGTAATTCGGGTCGTCGTGGTATTGGTGGCCGTCGACGAGCTTCCAGCCTTCGAGGGGACCGCCGCTGTTTGGGAGCATACCGCTTGTTCGGTGGGGTTGGTAGGGTTTCACGCGCTGCTGGCCCGTCAAGGTGCGGTAGATCCAGGAGAGCATTTGCTGGTACCATTCTTCCGGTTCCACCTCTCTGCCGTCGAGATCCATGCGGGCTCGCACGGAAGAGTGGATGTGCTCGTGCGTATTCTGTAGCGGTACGGTGGTGTATTTGGCTGTTTGGTAATTCGTCCGCGGGTAGCGACCGGGTGTTCTGGTCCTCGCGCCCGCCAAAGCCTGTGGAAAGGTGTTGCTGTTGTACACCTTACCCATCGCCCAGCCTCTGTACGCACTCCCGTTCGAAAGCGTGTTGTAGAAAGAAGTCGTACGTTTGAAGCAGTCATCGATGTAGTCGTCATCAAACTTGATCCAATCTACCGGATCGAACTCTTTGCTGGGGTCTCTGGTGTTGCCGGCCATCTGGTCCATCATCCACGCGAGCGTAATATTCGCCATTCCGTTGTCTTCATAAGAGCCTCCGCAGTTGGAATGCGCTCCGGGAAACCAGACCTGCTTGAGGTTTGTCTTGCAGCCTTCATCCAGCTCCCACACGGCAGGGGAGAACGGGAATCGGTGCTCATCGAGAGCTAGCGCGTGGAAAGCATTGTCGACGGTGTTGGAAAGCCTGGTGTCGAACCAGCGGTATTCTTTCACGAAAGCTGCCATGCCCAATGTGCGCTGTAGGAAAGGATTGATCGGGATGCCGAGAGCTCCCACTGTGTCCCACACGCCGATGCACTTGATCTGCGCCATTTGGGTAAGACCATAGGCAAGCAGTTGGTCTCGGTACCTGTGCATGTATGCATCGATGGCTTTGGACGGATCAGCGCTCATCTCCTGAGACTTGGGTGGCTGTATCTCTGGAATGTCGCCGACTTCCGGATTCTCCTGTGCGTAAAGCTTGAAGAACATGGGCTTGTAGTTGCGCTCGCCAGCGTTCTCCCAGTCCTTGAACAGATCGTAGAAGTAGGGCATTGCCTTCTTGGTCAAAATGCCGACTGCGCCGATGAAGCCGCCCAGTGATCGAGCGGTGAAAGCACCTCTCGAGAAGCCCAACAGAAAGATGGAATCCGGAGCGCTCAAGTGGTCTTCGAGGGAGTAATTGCTAGCGAGGAAAGCGTAGGCCTCGCGGATGTTTTCGCTGAGACCCATGCCCGTTCCGCCGCCAACCAATTGATCGTAGAGACCAAGCCCCGTGCCGACGCCAGCTTGATAGTATACGATCTGCGGGTGCTTCGCGTCGTCTTCGGGCATCATAGCTCGAGCGATTCGGGTTACGTTGGTGGGGGTTTGAATCTTGCCGTCCTGAAAGCCATTGTCTCTGTCCTGCCACGTTCCTACCGCACATCAGTATCGTTCCATGTGGCCTTGCGAAAGCCGACACACCATCGCAGCAAACGATCAGCTTCTTGGGTAGTCGAGGTTGGTGCTTGGCGACCTCGTCCGCAACGACTGAGTGGTGGCGTGAGTGGCCGTTCATGACGCCTGGAGAATGCCTAGTGTGTTGGAAGGTGTCCTTGCTCAAGACAAAAGGTCGTATCCCCTGTCTCTGCAATGTCCTGTATGCGATGACAGTAACGGAGGAATAGAACGAGCTGTCAAGGAGAGGAAGGATATAGGGGTGCAGACCGGGGGAGCAGGGAAAGGCGGCTACAGCCAGCGCTCTTTAAGGCACAGTCAGATGCGGCCTCATAACTTGGGATGGATCCATCCTGACGGACGGTGGAGCTGAGGGCGGCGACCTCTTTCCCAACACAGCAGCAGGGCTGAGAACTAAGGCGCGGCCGAGCCCGTTCCCGTTCCCGTTCCCGAGCGCCCTGAGGTGAAGGATTGTGGATTGAAGCTCCAGTGCAGCAGAGCAAGCCACCTCGACTGTCTTGTGCGCCATGTGTCGGGGAGAACCAATGGATGTTGTCAGACATGGCCGCAAACGACAACTGAGTTTCCACCAAGATTCAGCTGCTGGTGAATGGGGTGAATGAATGCACCAATGTGTGTGGTGGACCGTCAAAAGTGCCTGGCTGAGGGCAAGGATCCCGTCACATCGCAGCCTCAGCCTCAAATCCCGTCTCTCCCGTCCCGACTTCAGCTCTTCCCCCCACTTCTCTCTATTTATCTATCCTCCATCCTCTACTCCACGCCTCCGCCTTTGTTTCGCGACATATGGTACATCCCCCGCCCATCCAGCACGAGCAGAGTGATGGCTTCCTCCTTAGACCGGGATCAGGTCATGCCGGGGCCCTGGACCTTGGTGGTGCCGGGAGATGCGGAGTCACTGCATGTCCTCAGCCAGCCTTGAACCGGTCTGGCCATGTCCACGCATGCACCTCCCGTGGCTTGCTCTGAAGTATCTACGGATTGCGCATCGCCAGAGATGGTGCGGGGGCTACTTCGGGAGAGGTCGCAGATGCTTTCTCGACCTTTTGTGTCTTGGCATGCCTGCAGGAGCTGGAGATGACTGACTTGTAGTACACGAAAGTCCCGCGACGACCAGCACTGGTGAAACGAGAGTCTGGATATTTCTGTACCGTCACACCGTTCTCCCCGTCGGAGATCGATCCCAAGCACGCACCGCGCGACGATCCTTCGAAGCTGCCCTCTGATGCAATTATGGCGAGGAAAGAGCCGCGAATCCGCCTGTCAATCTTGGACTTGAACATACGGAAGGAGATGCTGTGAAAGAGTAGTGATACAATAGTGAATGTCGCTGTGCACGCCTGCGCGTCGCTGCAAAGCCTGCATTCACGTGTGCACGTGGCAGAATGGTCACGGCGCTTGTCTAGCCTTCGCTATCGCCGGAGCGAACGGGTTTCAACTACTACAAGTTACCTACGATACGCAATCGGTTGCCCTCGAGAGGAATAGTAAAGCCTAAAAGACGTCCGAATCGACTTCCGTCGGCTTCCTCTACTTAAGAAGAATGCGAACACTAATAACTAATCGAATCTCGTCGGTCGACACCAGCGATTCACGAACAAGAAGGACTGCCAACGTGGAGCGAAGACCTTGGCATTGACATAGGACACCATTTGCAACGAAAGATTATTGCTGAGACATGTTTTTACGCATGTTCGATTTCAACTCTGATGCGTGGGATCTCACTCGCTTGCCACAATCAGGCTCGAGCTATACCACGCACTCATGACTAAACAGCATACTCGTCTGTTATGTCGTGCGGAGGACTCCAAACGCCATTTGGTTATCGGCTCCTCTAGCGAATCAATCACCGCACCATCTGACACTCCTTCTCGCGCTCGCGCTGCTGCCGTGTGGATTTCATGCCCTTGTGTCTTCTGGGGAGATTCTCGAGCTTCTCTGTCTCGGCCGCACCGAGCAGAAATCCTACCGCTCCTGCTTGCATGTTCGTGAGTTCGTACATTCTCCAACCTCAAGTGCTTCTGGATGTGTTCCCGCTTCGGAACTCCTCGATGGCCTTGTCGTCCTCCTCCAGGGCGTGATCCTCAGCGCTCCTCCAGCGAATCGCAGCCCTCGGCGCTGCTTTCCAGCTTCTCAACACGTTGCGCCCAGATTGGTTAACTTCGCCTTTCAGATCTATTCCACTGAGAAGGTGGAGTAGTGTTTTCGAGATATACCAGTGGATGAGAAAGTGGTTTGTTTTGCTAGCCTCGCTCCCGCGATGCACTCATACATATACACACACATCTCCCGTATCATACGTTGCGCATTGCTTCGTTAGTAGTACCCAGCTTTGTAGGTAGGGTCATTCTAATCATACCTGCTAGCATAGAATACGGTTAGTTTTGCCATTGGCATAGTTGCCGCGTGTTTGTGTAGGAGTGGCTTTCATCGGATTTCCCGCTCTACCGCATTGGAAGCTGCAGACTTCAATTACCGGTGAAATGTGTTGAACACATTGCTTCACACATTCAGCATTGTCCGTCTGAAGTCGATGGTGGTGAGAGTAAAAGTGAAGTGGTCATCAACATGACGTGACGTCTCGGAGCAGCGCGGAGCGTTCCGTCTTCGCGCTCCAACCTCCCCCGAAGCTGCAGCTCCTCCGGACGGCTTTCTGACTTTCTTCCCACCAACGAACGCCATCGCCTCTCCCACCACGAGCCATTGGCCCCTCTCATCATGCCCCTGATACGCGCAAATGCTCTCCGGAGCATCCTACGACAGAGCGCTGCGCGGGCGACCTCACGAGCAGCCGGCTCGGCGCGGACAACGCTCGTTGCCCGGCGCTTTGCCAGCAGCGGAGGCCACGCCGGCGGTCATGGCGAGCCGAGCTCTGACCTTCCTTGGTGAGTATTCTCGGGAGAATTGTCAAGAAAAGGTCAACATTGACGACGGAATTCATCAGGCTCCTTGGAGCTCTAACGGTCACTCCGATAGCTTGCTGGTACCTGTGGCCTGACACTGCTCACGCCGAGCACCACGACGACCACGGACATGATGAGCATGCGGAGGAGGGCGGAGAGACAGAGGAGGGCGGTGAAGCGGAGGAGGCCGGAGAAGCGGAAGAGGGCGGAGAAGAGGAGAAGCCTAGCGAAGATGCGCAATCGAACGAAGATGAGGCTGCACAAGAGGCATCGGCACCAGGCGAACAAGCTGGCGAGGAGGGTGCCCCGGAGAAGGGCGCAGAGGCTGGCGAGGGCACTGATGAGAGCAAGGAGGGCGGTGACGACGGAGAGGACGCCAAGAAGGGCGAGCAGCCGGCTAAGCCATCTGGCTCTCAGGGCGAAGCTCAGCCCAATCCCGCTCGCAGCGAAGCACAGGGTACGACCGAGCAGAAGCCAGGGAGCGCTGAGAAGGACAGCGACATTGAGGGCGTTCAGTTCAAGGGCAAGATGGCTGAGGGTAGCGCTGGTCTTGCCGATGAGCGCAAGAGCGAGCCTGTGCCATCGAAGGGCTCCCGCACGAAGCGTATCGACTCGGGGCTGGGTAAGAAGCTTGGCCAGGGCGAGACTTATACTGAGGATGGCCAGGATGCGGTGAGTACACATAGAGGTCTGATCATTGGCTGAGTCTAACGATGGTCTAGCAAGCCGCGAGCAAGGACGTCAGTTCCAGCCAGGGCGACATTTCCAACAAGCAGAAAGGCATCTCGACCACCGACGCCAAGCACTCTCACCAGATCGACCAGGACCCGGAGAAGTCCAAGAAGGGTTCGGGAGGGCCAGAGACCGCCAAAGCAAAGGGTACCATTGATCCCCGCGCTCCTGTCCGGTGATTACCTATCGAGAAGAGATCCTTTTCTATGTTTGCAGATGAACTCCACATTTGCGCCGCATGAGCTGGGAGCAATGAGTTGTAAATATGTATACCTAGAGAAAAGCAAGCCAGGTGTTTCTCAAAGAACCAAATCTCACAACGCCGTCTGCGTTAGAGGGCAATCGGATAGTCGAGGGTTAATGAAATCCCAATATTGGATTAAACGCAACCAGAAAGAGAGACATGGTTCGTAACGTCTTGACTCTTCAACGTCCTGTGTCGATGTCCGAGTTTCAGCCGAGACTGTCCGAGAAATTCCCTTGCTACCCCCACTTGAGACAACAGACAAACGTCATCTGCCAATCACATCACACCTCACAGCAGCACAGCACAGCACAGCGCAGCACACGATGAACGAGTTGTACCTCACCTGATTCAAGTTGCCTAAACCGATCGCAAGTTTGTGTGACCTGCAGCTGCGCAAAGCAAGCCACCGAATTATCAGCTGCCCCGCCAACAGATATCGAACTGCTGGCAAAGCGCGCTGCGGGCAACACTGGATATCAACGACAACAAAATGGCGGAAGCAGTACCGGCAGCGCCTCATACGGAGAACAGGAGCGAGAATCCACTCATTGCTGCTCTGCCTCCAGTCTCGGACTACATCACATACCTCACCATCATCGAATACAACCTCACTCCCGAGAATCTACCAGTCTTACAGCAAGTTCTCAAGGATGAGAAACTCACGACCAATATCGGATGGGACCTCGTACAACTGCTTGTGCCTCATCTGCCGGACTCGGAGGGCTGTCTGAGGGAAATCGCACAACGCGGAAATCCGCGAGAGGTGATTTTGAAGGTCACGGAGAGCTTGAGATTGATTGATTATGATGGCATCGAGGAGGAGGACGAAGATGAAGGTGGCGAGGATGTGGCGGCGGTTAGGAAGCGGTAGGTAGTGGACGTGGTGAATGCGAGAGGGTTGCTGACTTCTTGCCAGCGCCGACAGCTCGACATATCCGCTCAAGACTGCTTCAGCGACCGGTGCTACGAATAGTACCCAGATGGTAGAAGTCCCACCCCCGTTGCCACTGCCAGTCATCCAGTTCGTGGCGCTGCTGAACATGCTCGCCATCTTGCATCCCAGAGTGAAGACAAAGTACCCAAGCCGATTCTTGAGTACCACGCTGCAAGCCATCCTGGCGAGCTTCTCGCATGCGCCAAGGTACCGGGAAGAAATGGTTCAGGCGATTGTCAAGACACTCAAAGCCGTGACTGGAATTCAGAGGCCGAACCTACCTACTAGGAGTAGCAGCGGAATGCTTCCATCTAGCGCCATGGCTGGGAACGAAGCACTGCGACCAGATCCTGAAGCTTCGGCAGTCGACTCGAGTGCCGAGGAGAAGGCGATGCAGATGAAGTTGTTGCAGTCGTTCATCACTCACATCTTTGAGGAGTACATGCTCAACTTTCCTCCCTATGATGATGTTCCAGGCATGGCTTGGTGCAGCCGTGTCGTGGAGAAGTTGCAGCCGGAGCGAATCGTGCCAGGAACCCAGACCTTTGCAGACCGATTCGCGAACGAGGAGAGGTTGCAGAGGAGGCTTGATGCTTTAGGCCAGCTCGGGACACTGGCGGGAGACTTGAAAGTCACCGACGAACAGTTGCTGGATGCTGCGATCACGGTTGAGAGAGTGCCAGAGACAGGAGGGGACGAGGACGATCCGCCGAACTCGGCAGAAGACATTCCGCTTTCTAGACTGGGATCGCTCATACTGTACGCCGCGCGTCAGGCATCTTCGATACTGTACGACAAGCCGGATACGAGCGCAATGCCATTCGAGATCTTCCCGGATCACCAAGAACTACTGAAGAATTGCCTTTCTGCGCACGGTATGGGAACTGGACAACTGGGTAGCGAACCAGAAGCTCTGATCGATTCGGTCTTGGTCCTTGGAATCGTATGCCTCGAGCGAAACGCAATCGGCGAGCCGGCTACCGATGAACAGTTTAACGACTACCTTCAAGTCACAGCCCTCCTATCATCGAATTGCCCCAACTCCAACCTGCGTGGCCACGCTCATTACCTGACGAGCACAATCCTGCGCTCGCAACCCGACGAACAGGTGCGGCTGGCTTTCATCCGCGACACGCTGGAGCACTGCCCATTTGAAAACTTGAAAGTCTCGGCTGTAGGTTGGATCAAGGGCGAGACGATCGAAGCAAACCCACCCACGCCTATACCAGGCCACCAGGGGCAGAACGGAAGCGATACGACATCCATCTTCGCCAAGCCACTCGCTCTGGACTCTCTGGCGCCCTACCTGTTCCCTTCCCTGGACGCCGACCTGATCATCGCGCCCCTCACGGAAGCCTGGCAAACATTCCAAATGAACGCATCCTTCTACCTCGCCAGTCTGAACTTCCTCTTCCTCCTACTCCAAGCGAAACACCTCCACAGCATCCTCGACGTCCAGGATCTGTGGAGCAACAACGACGTCCCCGGGAGCTTTCTGCAGCCTCTGCGAGATGCCGCGGCGCGCTTCACGAAAGCCATGGTGGAGAGTGGAGGCGATCTGGCAGGCGAGAAGAGCGACGAGACACTGGCGGAATTGAATCTGTTGGAAGAGACGGTCGAGCGCGTCACGAAGAGCGTGGTGCATTTGAATGAAGCTTGAATTTATTTTTTTTTATTTTTTTTTTCATGATTTGATTAGAATGAGTCGAGATACCACCACCAACCACGTCTTTAAGTCTTTGGGAAATTTGCAACGATTCCGTCCACGGTGCTCCCCATCACCAACACCCTCTATCTATATCTGTCTCCTGTGTGAATGGTAAGGCTACGTTTTATGAAGGCAACGCTATGATTGAATATCATCCATCCCTCTCACCGACGACTCCCTGCCCCGAACAGATTGGTAGGCACCACCCATCCATCCATCCATCCATCCACACCAGACAGACAGACAGACCCTCAACATCCCCCTACGGAAATCCCGAGAACACTCAACTTTGCCTGCCATACCATGCCATGGCATGATGATCCTCTGTCTCGAAGTTAAAGTTAAGGTTAAAGCGTCATACGAGATCAGGAAGGGATACAAAGGATGCAAAGGGGGGAGAGAGAAGGAGAGACTCCGCCCTCAATCAGGGTCGTGGTTCTGGTTCTTATCTGTTCTGCCTGAATTCGTTTGGATCGATCGATCGATAAAGATTCACGGTCACGCAGCTGTAGTTTGCTCCCCTCTTCTCTTGGCTATCATACTCGATGACGCCCTTCCCTTTTCATTCGTGGAATGTACAAGATGCGGTCGAGGAGGTCGAGGATGTGGATGTGGATGTTGCTTTGGCTGGCTAACGCATCTCAGCATACATACCTTATCTCTTGCATGCATGCAATGCACGCATGCTACGAGAGAGAGAGAGAGAGAGAGGGAGAGAGAGCTCATAACACAGGGCGGACGGGCGGGCCCTAGCCGCTGTATATATAGTATAGTATACTGCGTTGAGAAATGGGTAAGTTGACGTGAAGATGGACACGCGTGGGGAGCGAGGTAGCACGCGTGGATTTGAGATTTGACCTTGGGCTTTTGCTCGTGATGACATGCTTGCTTGCTTACTATCTCACCGCAACAACAAGCAACGGCCAACTTCGGTCACGCCATGAGTACTGCAGTCGTTGGGGCGAACAGAAAAGTCTCGTCTCGTCTTTCTCTGTACACTGTCCATAAAGCCAGCGCTACTCACGAAAAGTATCCCTCATACCATACCGCTGCCTCCACAGAGGGAACGTATCATCCGCGCTCTACACATCTCCACCAACCAACCCTACGACCAAGTCAGAATCGGCTTGATCGTCTCCCCCGTGTGCATCTCATGCAGCGCCTCGTGGAACTGATCCGCCGGTATCAATTTCATCAACCGATCGATGGGGAACTTCCCCTCGCGATACCACCGGATCATCTGGGGCACGTATTCCGGCGGGTACGCGCCGCCTTCGATGGCGCCAATGTACTGCTTGCCGGAGATCATGAATTCGAACGCGGAGAGATTGCCGAGCATGTAGTCGAAGGGGGGAGAGCCGACCTGGATGTATTTGCCGTGGTTGCGGGTGAATTTGGTGCCGGCGTCCATGAGGACGGGCGCGCCGGTGGTGTCGATGGTGATGGTGGGGCCTACGCCGTCGGCGATGTCTTGTACGACGTCGGAGAGAGTTTTGCCCTCGTCGAGTTTGCTTCCGTCGATGACGTGTGTGCATCCCAGCTCTTGGGCGAGTTGGAGGCGGCTGGGGATCTTGTCGATGCCGATGATTTGTCTGCAGCCCATGATCTTGGCGCCCATGACGGCTGATAAACCGACTCCTCCGAGACCCATGATGCAGATGGAATCTTTCGGTCCAGCTCCACTGACGTTCACTACTGTTCCACTGCCCGTCTGGATACCGCATCCGAGAGGAGCGAAGAGTTGTAGATCCTTCTTATCTTCCACTCCGATATTGGAGGCGTTGACGACGGAGCATTGCTTGACTATGCTGAAGTTGGCGAAAGAGGATTGCCCAAAGAAGGTGCCCCCTACTTCTGGTTCGCCGGATTTGCTCGCGAGGTGGAAGACATTGGCAGGACCGAAATTGAGCTCGTTGAAGGAATTGCAGTTGCTGTGGTGCCCTGCTTTGCAAATCTCGCATCTATTGCAGAAGGCGAAGGAGCAGAGGACTGCGTCGCCCGGCTTCGCGCAGGTCACGTTGGGACCGATTTCGCGGACGTAGCCAGAACCTGCGCAACATCAGCATCATGAGCTCCAGGATCGCAAGGAAAGGAAGTCGACATACCCTCATGTCCCAGGATTCTTGGATAGAAAGCAATGGGACTGGATCCGCCTGGGAGACCTCCAATGAGAGCATCGGTATGGCAGACACCCGTCGCTACCATCTCCACGAGCAGTTCCCCCTCTTCCAACGGTCTCACGGAGACCTCTTCCATCTTCCATCCGCCATTGTCCAGCGTGTCATGACACACGATAGCCCGGGTAGAAGTCATATTGAAGCCCGCAGACTGGTATTTCCTCTGTAGATTCTGTTCTTCGCGTTGCCAGACTTTGAGGATGGGAGGTGGGATGTTGCTCGAAGCTCGACCAGACATCCGGAGAGCGACGGGGACGTGTGGAAAAAGTAAAGAGGAAGAAGAGGAGTCGAGAGGAAGCTAGCTCCGTGCTGTTTACCGCATTTACCTCGTACCCGAATGCCCTCGAGTGGTGTCCATAGCGCCTAGTCTAGTAGAGATACTAGTAGAGATACGAAGGCGGCCGGAAAGCAGCCACGGGAAGCCGATCTGGGGGTAGTATTGATCTGGGTTGAAGCGGAGATGTTGTGACGATTGGTGGCTGGCGGGGTAGTATGAGGTTTCAACTTGGCGCTTGGTCCGGAGAGGTGGGGTACTACTACTTCACTACTGTACCATCGTCACTCTACGCTCCTTTTCCTCGTGATGCCGCCCGATGCTGCATCTCGACATATTCCTTGATCGTGCGTGTGCCTTGCATGGCGTCTGGACGTCTCTGCTGTTGACATCTCGTCTCGTCGGTCTCGTACGTGGAGCGGGTGGCTTTGTGCAACGACAAGCTGTACGGCCATGCATCCGGCGGGTTTCCGTAGGCGACGTCGTCGTTCCTGTATCGATCTGAGCCGGTCCATGTCCGCGGAAGTGTTGGAAGTGCTCGTTTTGCCGGTGAACAGGGACAGGGCAATGTGTAGAGGGGGGAAGAGAGCCGCGGAGAGGTGAGGTCTGCGTCGGGAATCTCGGGAATCCAGATGAGATTCTGCCTCAGGCATCTTGTCAAAACGATGTATGGCTCAGGGGGACGGCGATACAGAAATACCCCTTCTTAACAATTGCATCGCCCAATCAAGGTGTCTTCACCATCGTCCCTAACCGCTTCTGCTTGAGCTTAATCAGACATCCAAATTACACCAAAACAGTAGTGTGCTTTAATATCGTATAATATCCATACTAAAAGAAAAGAAAACAAAAACCTACTCTCCTTCGTCCGCTTCATCACCACACGGTATGCACGCACACGCACACGTCTTGCCCCCTCAAGGCTCGTGACATTCCACCTTGAAACCCAAAACATACTCGCACTCCTCCGGCAGCTCCCAACCATCCGCGTGGATTTCAAAGCTCTCCGCCGCACCCATCTGCCAATAGATACATTGGGCCAGGTATCCGCCCGTCCTGTAGTAGGCCATATCGTAGTCGGGGTAGTACCCGGGGCTCTGACCCGGCTGCGACGGGACGAAATTTCCACCTACAGCAGCGGGAAGGCAAATCAGTATTTTCGATTCATTCAAAAAATAGATGAACGATGAGATGGATGAGGACTCACATTCCAACATGGTCCGGTTGTAGAAGAGGTCGATGCAGTCTAGCTCACTGATGTCCGTTCCGATGGTGACGTTGTGGTTCGTCTGGTCTTCGCAGGCCCGTTCGTCGTATTCGGCCACCATAGCCAGGTTGTGTCCCTTGAAGGGAAAAGACACATACTTGCCGTTCTCCCTGTCGCGACCGTCGGCCCACCAAAAGCGACCTGTGGAAGAGAAGAGAGGTCAGCAAATTGAAAGCAACCGCGGAACCAAGAGGGGAAAAAGCACACTTACCAACGAGATCGATCTTCACTCCAGGGTAAAAGGCAACCTTTTTGTCCGCCCAGTCTTTGCACGTCTTTCTTATGGCATTCTCGAGGTATGCACCTTGAAACCCGGATTGCAGCTCCTTGCGATCGGGGCCCGCTGGCATCAATGTCGGCTCACAGTAGGCGGAGCTCACCGTCACTGCCGTTGGCTCGGCTCCAGCAATGTAGGTCGCGTGAGGGTACCGGACATTGGAATTGGTAGTCCACGTCGTTATCAGGGCGGACAGGGGAGGCAGAGAAGTATACCCGCAAGGCTTAGTGGTGGTGTATTCACGGCCCTTGGTACTCTGGCTTGTGACAATCGGGCTGGTAATGTACGGCATATCACCAGGGCAATTGCAGTATCCGGTAACGCTGAGAGTGGTCGAAGGGACGTAAGTACAATAGTCCGGAAACCAATCGAGCGACATCGTGGTCGTCGCCGAGGTGGGCGATGGGAAAGAAGCCGAGAAGTAGTACTGGAGCCAGCTGGTCATTGCGGCGACCTCTTGCGTGTCCATGGTTGTGCCACGCTTTTCAAGATTGCAGATGAGCCGGTAGTAGAGCGGTTCCTGTCTGATGTTCGTCAGCTTGTGTGCTGTGTTTTGCATGCAAGCACATGGGAGTTGCGTCAATAATGAACTTACTGTGGATTGTCCATATCCTCCAAAAGATTTTTCTGAACTTCCGCCAGCTGCCCCAGATCAAGCTTGACCAGATCGTCTATCTTGAGTCCATGCGATATATTGTACGCAAAGCTCTGCCCCATCGCATTGGTGAGAGTATAGTCCAGGAGGGCTGGATTTTGTCGAATCCGAGGGTCGATTGCCAAGACCCTAGGATCGACTTGCGAGACATCGATACCATTCATTTTGTAGTCAAGTCCTTCTATGATTTGGTCAACTCCCCAAGGCATCAGGGTGTCGGGAGCGCAGGAGGGATAGTTGGAGTCGACTTCTACGCAGAGTTTCTTCGATATTTCCCACATGGTCTCCTTTCGAAGGTCCGAGTTGAGCTTGATCCATACGTCGTTCGATCCTGGACTGGCACTGTAATCGGTCAGTATGCAACGATATTTGGAGAGTTCGAGAAGCGACTTACCTGGCGGTTGCACTCGGCCTTCCGCTTCTGACCAAACTAGTCGCGGTGATCGTTGGCGAAGTCAGTATCGTTGTAGCTCCAGATGCCCACGACACCCACGTCTCCGTGATCAGAGTGTATGTTGAGGTCGAAACAGCTTCCTCCGTTCGGCTGTCGCATGTTGACGAGATAGGATAGGAACTTTTTCCGTCTTCGCCTCGGAACGGCGTCTGGAAGAAGGTGTACCACTTTGTGCACGTGGCAATCGTGGATGGCGCCCAGTCGGTGATTTCGATGGTATCGCTCCAGCATTCACGTGGCTGAGATCTGGATGTCCAGGTACAGCCGCTCGGTCCCGTACCAGACGGCGGATTAGTCCTCGTGGGAGTGATGATGGGCGCCGGACCGCTGACCGTTATAGTGGCAGGAGTTGTCGCAGGTAGTCCAAAGCCCGGAGTCTGCGTAGCCTGTTCGAGAGGAACGCAGCTCGACGACGTTCCGTAGGTCCTCCAATAAACACACGGTGGTGTACTGATCGTGAGCCAGCAACCCCACGTCGTCATCCATCCGGTCTGAGACGATTCGTCTGTCGTCGGCATGTAGTACGTGTATGTATGGCAGGTGATCAGCTCCTCATCTGCCATAGACTGCAGCGACAAGGACCCCAAGTCAGTCACGGCGCCTTTGCTTAGAGGCGTTGCGACTGTGACCAGAGGTGTCGAGGTTGCCAGAGACGTTGTGGTTGTGGCCAGAAACGTCGTGGTGGCCAAAGGCGTCGTGTTGCCGAGAGAGGATGATGAACTGCCCATGATGAGTTCTTTGGATGTGTGCAGGCGATTGCGGAAGTAGCATGTGTGTGCCCGGTTGGACCAAGTTCGCAATCCTGCCAGTCGTATCGATCGACTTTTATTCGTGTGGAGATGAGCGTAATGTGTCGTCTAGATTCCAGAAGGCGAATTTCGTGGATGATGATCTCTATCGCATGTATGTTGTTGTAGCAACAGAGGGGGAGTAGACGCTCCAAGTCGCCGACGAGCGGTGCTGCTGGAGTAGGTCTCTATTGCGTGTTGATTGTTGTAGCAGAAGAAAAGAAGAAAACTTCGTGCAATGCCTTAGATATAATTGAGGGCATGCGTGTCGATAGAAGTATTTGCATCTGAAGAAGGGGTGAGCATCAGCATATGAACGGGGCAGGGACAGCATAAGCCCATGAGACTGACATTTGCATATGTCTCGCCGCCTACGGCCATACCTCCCTTGCCATCATTCTGACAATCATCCTCTGAGAGCCCTCACGTGCTTTCGAGAGCCTCTTGCGAGACGAGCTCCGTCGAGACAATATTCTGCCTGGGCGTCGAAGTCTTTTCGTGGCCTTCTACTTCGTGATGCAAGGTCTCCCCCCTTGGTAGGATTCGATGAATATACCTCCCTTCACGACATCTTGTTGATTATCTGGCCTTGCCAATCGCCTACAAAGTGGCTTTCACCGACTCCGATGTTGCTTAGCTAGTGCTGATCGAGATCCAGCTTTTCATGGCATTTACAACCACGGCGAGGCCGGCAGCCAGCCCATTGTTTCGCTAGGAATGCGGATCAAAAGCAATACCCGCGCGAAACGAGGCTGGCTTGATGAGGTCTTCAAGTTATGCGTGCAGTACATGGGCCGAGCCTGATGATCGACTGGAAGATGTAAGCGACACACCGCAATTTCCACTTCGAAGTCTTGCAGATCGTCTGCATATTCGAGCAGGGCTCTAACCGACAGATGTAGGCGGTGCCCAGATCTTCGACACCATGGCCGACAATTCAACAGGCAGTAAAGCCTCTCATGATCGACACATAGCGTATGGGGAACCAGAAGATCTCGCTCGAAGAAATAGACAGCATCTTTCGCTAATCAGTTCGCAAGGCCTGGCACCCGAGAGATTCGAGAAGGACAGACTGAGCAAGTCTCGCAACTCTGCCGTAGAAGGCTGATGGAGGACTTGATTCCCGGACCAAGCACCCAGGAAGCCGTTGGAGGGGAGCAATCGCGCAGCAACATACGCACAGCGAAAGCTATCTCCTCTAGTAGTAGCCGCGGTTGAATGCCCAAAAAGTACTCTCATCCGTATTGTTGCCGGAACGAATGTAGTCTCTGCCCTGCTCACAATCAGCGACTATGACTGGCTCGATCTTAATAGAAACGCCGCACCGCGGACTATCCCATCGCAGCTCTTGGATCATAAGCAGAATCTGCGCAAGAAGGGGCCTCGTATGGCGGATCGGATGGTGCGCTAGGTGCGATGCGGGCTACCGGCTTGTGACGAGGCTGCCTTTGGTCAAGCAGTTTGGCAGTCGGCGGTCAGGCCACGCGCAGGCTTAGCCTCGCAACTGTATAGCGGCGCCATTTGCAGATCTTGCTTGATATTCCCGGATTCAGAGTCGAGTGATGGCGTGTAGCGTTCGTACTTTTGAAGCTTCATCCAGCCATATTATAGTGAAAGGCCAGGACAGGCCACCGGCGACAACGTCGATCATCGGCAGTGCTAGAACGAAGAACAGGTCGTCGGCTCCTCTGAGGGCAAGACGAAATTGGTGTCGTTGATGAGTAGCTCTTCCTGTCATTGTCATGTTAGGCGGAACAGAAAAATTGATTGTCGATTATGCCATCGGATCGGGACGATGTATCGGTCCGAATCTTGATCGGTTGTACTAGCAAGCATTGATCCTCATTGAAAGCTGGTCAGGCGTGGTATCTTCATGTTATGTTCGTGTTGTGAGTATGTCCAAGTTGTGAAAGGAATGTTGGATACTACTGTATCAGGAGGCGAATAGATTCGTGGGGTGCATAATTTGCGCCTCAGGCCACCGTCAAACGTCATGTGCTTGCCCGGACAAACACATCTTCTGCCGTACATCTTGCTGTTCTCTACCACACTTGACCTCGTTTTCTACTCTTCACCGTACAAGAGCTCGTAATACAGGACGTCACTACCAGACAGTACGCCTGCGAAGATACGACATGACATCAGCACTCCTCGAACTCCCAGTCGACATAATACACCTCATATTGCCCTACCTCGATGTCGCGAGCTTCAACCACTTCACCTCGACCTGCTCCGCCCTGCACAGTTTCACCTACGATGACACATACTGGTCCGCGCTGGTGCGGCGCGATTTTCGCGTGCCCAACCAGCCCGTTGTCGAGAACGATGGCCGTCGGTGGCGCCGGCTCTACAAGCGGTTGAGAACTCAGAGCAAGGTCTTCACGTGGGGCAACAATGACAAAGGATGCTGGGGACACTCGTACGAAACCGGTCGACAGCCCATGCCACTGCGGATGCGCGGCGGCAGGCGGATAATTGTGCAGAGGCGTATTAGGCACCACATGAGCTGGCCTGGAGAGATGCAGGGTACCGAAGAGTTGGGCGTCATTTCCGACCTGCAATGTGGCGGCTGGAGCACTACTCTCTTGACCAGTAAAGGAGCTCTGTATACCGTTGGCGTGATGGACGGCCTTCACTTCGTGCCTCAGTACGGAGTTCAGACCGAGAAGCTGCAGCTGGCGCCTCTGCGATTTCCTAGTGGTATGCTGCAGCCCACAGATACCTACGACCCATCGACCGCAACCAGGCAATTCTCCTCAGGCAGGTCTCATGTGCTTGCGCTGAGCGACAGTGGCAGGATCTGGAGCTGGCAGAACATCGACTATCCCGCGCTACATGTCAAATTCATTCACCACGAGACGAAGGAAGATGGACGGGAACGTGGGAAGGCTGTTGTGCGGAAAGTTGTAGCTGGCTGGAACAAAAGCGCTGCACTCATTGAAGGCAGCGGCATTGTGCTGTGGGAGCCGCTGCGAATGGAACCGAATGAGACTGAGGCATTGGATGCTGCGCTGGTGCTGGAGACCGCCGTCGTCCCTCAGACCAACTACGTGATACCGCAAGATCGGAGACAAGGAGATCCAGACGATTATCTAGCTACGGCTGTGGGAGAAGTACAAAGCTTCATCGTACTTGAGCACTCTGTCCTGTTCAATACTTCCCTGGGCAAGATTTTTGCCGCACAGATCACCTGGGACGATGAGACCCAAAGCGTTGGCGATCCAGTGGAACTCAGTGTGCCACGAGCAAAAGATGATCCTGGAGAGGCCTCGTTCGTTACCGACGTCCAGGGCTCGTTCCGCAACTTTGCAGTCTTCACCAAATCTGGCGCTGTCTTGACGAGCCACGAAGATCGCCTCGTGGATGTTTTGACAAGGCAGAACCACAGTCAACGCGGTCTTTTCCGACGAATACCTGCTCTACAAAACAAACAAGTCATATCACTTGCCTTTGGCGACTATCATTTCCACGCGTTGCACTCGCCTGGCTACATCACATCTTACGGGTATGAACCGCAGAATTGCGGCGCTCTTGGCCTCGGAGGGGGTGCAGCTCCAGAAAGTCGACTACGTGGGATCCGAAGCCAGGGAATTGGTGGCGACGGACACCTAGTACCGCACGCATACACGGAGGGTAGAAGAGTATGGTTTGAGAAGGAGAAGCGCGAGTGGCTGACGTTCCTCACATCGGGCGCTCTCGATGAGGCGGAGGCTGCTGAGAGAATGCGAATGTCAATCGGCAGCCCGAATGTTAATGCGCAGGGCGAGGTTAGTGAGTGGATTGAGCAGGAATCTCGAGATTGGGAAGGCAAGTACGGCATTCACGAGGATGGCGGAGATGGACTCGGTGCTTACTTCGCTCTAAATGTCACTGCAGCAGGCTGGCATAGTGGTGCCTTGGTGTTGGTCAATGAGGACATGGTGCAGAAGCTGCAGGAAGCCGTGGAGGTTCCATTGGAGTCCGAGCAGCAGGCTTTCGAAGCTTCTCCGAAGCACGAGCCTGCAGAAGGCGAAGCTGGGCCAAGCGCCAGATCAGACCCAGCTACCAGCAATGAGGCACCCGCCAATACGTCTCTCTTCGACCGCGCCGCTGACTTCGGACGCTTCTTTCTGGGTCTACCGCCGTACAACGTCTCTTCTGCAAGTTATGACCCGAACGCGGTCCGTCTCCCCAACACTGCCAACCCACGACACCGAGATCCTCAGCCGCTGGATTACGGTGCTTCTCCAAGAGAAGGCTACCGATATGTGTGGTCACGAGATCATTTTCCCCGTCTAAGACTGAGCGATGGCACCGAGATGCCCGGTACAGTTCCATTTGACGAGTGGAGGTACGGGCGACCAGAGTGGAAGCTGGATTGGGAGCATGAGGATCTTGCACCTCCAGAATAAGGGAAGACGTCGCCAGACCGTCGGTCGAGAATATGAGCACGAGCGGGCAGACAATTGCATCGAAGGCTGGCGTGGCGGCATTCTCGATGAATAACCCATGGCTGATCTCTTGCGATTGGCTGCTAGGAGTCGGCTGCGCTCCGAAGTCTGGGTTAAAGCGGCTCTCTTTCGGCATGCCCCTGTACTTTTAGTATGATAAACGACAGATATGATAATGTCCCAGAATGGTTGACGGAACTTCGCTTAAGAATGTCCTGGCCGCTCATCAGAAATAGAGATGAGCTGTGGCAGTGCAGATGTACAAGCCTACGACGTAGTAGGCTACACGCAGCAGCGTGGCGAGTCTATCCGCTAGCGCCGTGTATAGGAGCGAGAGAGCGCGCGCGCGCGCGCGCGAGAGAGAGAGAGAGAGAGAGAGAGAGAGAGGGAGAGAGAGGGTTTAGAAAGCAGTAAGTTACGCCAATTATAGCGAGAAGTCGTAACGATGAACGATGACTGTCTAGAAAAGAACTTGTAAGACCACATGGCTATGCGCTTTTAACCCGTGGAAACTCGTCAATCACCACTACAAGCAAACGCAAACGGGCAATCAAGCCAAGCAAACGATCTGTCACCATTGACGAGGCCTTGTACCAGGACAACAAAAAAATTGGACATGAGAATCACCTCGCTGATATTCCCTGTCGCAAAAGCGCTGGCCTCTCGGCTCCCTGGCAATTCCTCCTCTGCAAACCCCCAAAAGACACCCACTCCGACCGATATGGACAACAACACTGACACCGGCACCAAGTTGAAAGCTGAGCTAAAAGCCGAAATAGCACAAAAGCAAAAGGCAGTCAAGAAGATGCTAAAGAGACTCGATGCCAAGGAAAGATCCCTCCAGTATGCAGCGAGAGATGGGGGGCCTGCTCTTCAGAGGCTGGAGGGCTTGATGGCCGAGGCCGCGCAGGTGGTGAGGAGCACCGGTGATCTGATTGAGGCGGCTGAAAGATCTTGTCAAGCTTCTAAAGATGTAAGAACAGATTATGAGGAAGAGACAGGGCCGTAGAGAGAGAGCGGGCGGACGGGTTGGAGGTGTGCAGGGAGAGAGTGTGCAAGGGGAGCAACGGCGGGAGGAGAGACACAGATTTTGATTTCAACATATGGAAATCCCTCAAACTTTCAGGGGAGTGTTTGGAGGGCTTGGGGCAAGTTTGTACTTGAGAACAACAATAGAGCTCCGGAAATCCCCGTTAGCGCCCATGTGACAAACGCTAGCTGACGCGTCTAGAATTTGCGCCTTGCTTTCTTTCCGTTACAAAAATTTGAGAAAATAGCTGTGTGCTTTGATCACGTCCGACGGGAGTGTGAACGCTTGGAAACGCACTTACAGACAAGCGCCAAGTCTTGGCTTGTGAGAGCGCATGGACTATCGGCCTTTGTTATGATCCGTTGTTGTGGTTCGTATCACATCGTGGCCGTGCAGACGAAGAAATGCGTAAGACCGCTCGAAATTGAAGGCATAACTGACTTTATCCTGAGTATTGCCATGACCGAGAATGTCTAAGACTCCTATTTATTCCAGATAAAAGGTTTGCTATATAATCTCAGACATCAAAGCGATGCTATGGCAATCGCAACATTCAAAACAGGCGGCTCTGGGTGAACGTCTCCGTGTCAAAGCCTTCCAGCTTCCACTCCTGATGCCCTTCATGAGCCAGCGGAGCATCCTGCAACTGCTCATCAAAGCCGGAGAAAGACTAGACGACTCACAAGCGAAATGGAATGACACAGTCCGATCCGCTCGGGCAAATCTGTCACAGGAACCACAAATCAAACCACACACTACATTACCAGACAGCATCACCATCCTTGCAGATCTCGTACAGCAGACCAACACACGTCGAAACTTCCTCGAAGCCCATCACCATAGCTTCTTCCCGCCGCCACCGCGGACAGTCTTCGCGCTCCTTTCGGCGAGCCACGAGCCCCGAATCTCCACAGAGACTCGGGAATGGAATTTGCGGCGTAATATGGCCCGGGCGGAGCACAAGATTCGCGCAGATCTGGGAAGAATCAAGGTGGGGGAAGATGGTCTGTTGCTGGCAATAAATGCGTTTCGAGCTTTGCGGGGACAACTTCTTGCCCAGCAGCAGGCGCCTGAGTTGGTGACACTGAGTAAGCTTGTGGACGCTGTTGAGAGGGTGGAGATTGCTTTTCGGGAGGTTGGGGATGAGATGCCTTTGAATATCGAAATGCTAGTGCTTGGATCGAGTGTTGCGGACGGTAGGAAAGTCATCGGTGAGCAGGAAGAGCTGGTACTGAGATTTTTGCATATGTTAAGGGATATCGGGATCAAGATGGGGAGGCAGAGGATGATTACGGAATTCTTCCATCGCGTCTAGGAGGAGAAACCACCCACGGCAGCGCGCTTCTTGCCGTATCGTTTTCCGTGTCATGATGGGTACAGGAGGTCAAACTTCAATACCTTGTGGACGTTGAATGTCGGAAACTTCTTCTTGGAAGATGCAGTGAGGTGTATGTAACTCCTCCCGCCGGGTGATCTTCGGATGATTGGCGCACAGGCCTCAAGCTCCCGTATATCTTGGACACTAAACTCATCTCTATCGACACCGATCTCTGTCCGACAATGTCTCAAGCAACATGAACGGCGTCGTGAGCAGGCTCTTGCAAGGCCGCAAAAAACACTCCAAAGAACCGTACGCCCGTGAACACGATGTGCGCCCCGGCGACGGCATCGGCTATCCTGTACCCTATGAGGACCAGCGCATCGAATTCAGTCACGAGCTTCTGAAGAGATGCAAAACGTTGACTCCATATTCTGGTGCCTACCGCATGAATGAGACGACTGTCGTCAAGACTGGAGACGCCGTGAGAATGGCAGAAGCGGAGGCAATGCGGCTCGTTGCGGAGAAGACGTCCATTCCGGTGCCTAGGGTCTTTGATGCCTACATCCAGGAGAGCGACGGCCATGGAGTCATTATCATGGAGTACATCCAGGGCGAAACGCTCGACAAAGCATGGCCTAGCTATTCAACAACACAAAAGGATGCCCTTCTAGGTCAGCTACGCGGCTTTCTCATGGAGCTGAGATCAATTGGTGGCAGCAAGATCAGTGCAGTGGATGGTTCTCATTGCTCTGATCAGTTCTTCGACACCGACAATCCCAACTGCGGCCCTTTTGATGACGAACGAGATTTCCACCAAGGTCTAGCAGATGCGCTCCGCAAAAGGGGGGATACCACTTGGTGTCAGATGGTGTCACGATTCCTTATCTCTCTCGGCGGCCACGACATTGTCTTAACACACAACGACCTTGCGCCGCGTAACATTCTCGTTCAGGGTGGCAGTGTCGTGGCCATACTGGACTGGGAAATGTCAGGCTATTATCCCGATTACTGGGAATATGTAAAAGCGCACTTGTGGGCCGAATGGACCTCAGAGTGGATCGCGGAAGGCATACCTGACCAAATACTAACGCCTAGACTACCGGAGCTCGCATATCTACTACACGCACGCGACATCGTCTGGTCATGAATACGATCTTGCATCAGCAAGGAATCAAATTGGATAGGCTTGAAAGCATAATACACCATGTTGTCCTACATCTAACCGTTGCCAATGCATGGAACAAGCCTCAGCAACTCGATTCACATCACAATGCAACAGCCTTTGCTCTGTTTCGGCCTCTTCGCCTGTTGCGTCGCCGGTGGTCCTTGCTGGCTTTGCTGAGTTCTCTGGGGACTGGTTCGGCGGCCACTGGTGGAAGGTCCAGCGATTGAAGGAGCAGCGGGCACATACGCACCAGACGGATGCTCAACCGGATTTTGAACTGCATATGCTTGAGCAAGCTCGGACATTTGGACTTTGCCGTTGAGGCGGACCGCTTCGCCCCTATTTATGAGCTCCTTCTTTTCCAACTCGTGTACGACAGCAACAACAAATCGCTGGCATTGCTGGGGCTTGACACGCTGGGCTGCTGATTTGAATTTGTTGACGTCCTTCGGCATGATGCTGCCGATGAGCTCGGTCGTTTCAATTCCGTGACTATCGAGTCGCTTATCGGCCTGTACGGCAAGCGAATAAGGTGCATGCTGGGTAGGCCCGCCGACAGCATGGTACCAGGTTCCTCGCTGTGCGCCTTGAGATATGAGCATCAACATCCAGTGCGGGTACCGAGTTCCTCGTTCTTTTCCATAGCAGACCAAGACATCGATGGGAACATTGGGCGCGAACGACATGACAAGCGAAGAACTCCAAGAGAAGTACTGACGAACAAGACGGAGACAAGTCTCCCAAGGCTGGACCAGACGAAACTATACGGTGGCTGATCACCAAAAAGGACTGAAATCATGGCGACTATATCTTTGGTCCGTAGATGCTGCGCCGCAATCAGCGCCTCCAGCTAATGACCACGTGATGCCAAATGATGAGCGCTTCGATCTACTGGATCAGGATTCTGCACACCTGCAATGCGCGCGCGTGGCGTGCTTTGGACGAGCCAATATCAAGCGGAGCCTTTCCTCTTGCTTTGAAAGAGGCGCTCAGATTTTGCTGCGCCCCGCTCTAAATTCAGCACCACGTCTCCTCACCTGAGATCCCCAGAGACATGACTCTATTAAACTTGTCGAGCACTTCACCAGATGAGCTTCGACGCCCTGAAAGCTCATCATGACATCTCTAAAAGCTCGTGGGGCGGCACCTCAATACCCCCCGCCCTTGGTCATCCAGCCTACAAGCGGCACGCATCTGCAATCCTTTCTTATACTCCATGGGAGAGGATCCAATGGCGAAAAGTTCGGCCTTGAAATGATACAGACTACCATCCCCGGCTTCGAAACCCTACCCGACGCCTTCCCAAACGCCAAGTTCGTTTTTCCAACGGCGGCCAAGCGACGAGCAGTAATATATAAGCGCACGCCGGTCAGTCAGTGGTTCGACAACTACCACTTAAACGCGGCTACAGAGCGCGAAGAGCTTCAATTTGATGGACTCCGCCAAAGCGCATCATTTGTGCACGAGCTAATGCAGAGCGAGATTGCTACGGTCGGCGCGGAGAATGTAATCTTGTGGGGACTCAGTCAAGGCTGCGCCATGTCTCTGATCAGTTCTCTGCTTTGGCATGGTCCGAGATTCGCTGCCGTGATTGGCATGTGTGGCTGGCTGCCATTGCGAAAAAGGATTGAAGACAGCCTTCTTGACGAGAGTAGGGAGCAAGACGATGATCCATTTGGCCGTGACTCAACAGAGCAAGAAAAGTCGAGCCTTCAAGAAGCCATTGAGTACTTGCGCGAAGAGCTCGAGATCTCTGGGTCTGACGCCTCACCAGAGTCAACAGCGACAGTTCCACGATTTCTTGGTCATGGCACTGAGGATGATAGGGTTCCGATAAAGCTGGGCAGAGAGGCCGCACAGCTCTTGCGAAGGCTTGAGTTGAATGTGTCTTTCAAAGAATATGAAGGCCTGGGCCATTGGTATTCCCCCCAGATGCTCACCGACATAATCGAATTCATTGAAAGCTCTACGGGCTGGAAAGCGAAGCGCGCCGAGGGAACTCGGGCGCTGCCAAAGGCTGACGAGCAGATTTGATCTTGCAGAGTTGTACAACAGCCTGGTCCAAAGAACACCTCCGCAGCAATACCAACCACATGACGGGCATTAGACCTGAATATAACAATCGCCGGCCTTCTTCCAGAATTAGACATCTCTCCTGATGCTTCGGATTGCTTTTCTTCGCGCTGTGTCAAAATTGCATGTGCGGCGTCCTACTTGCAGGCTGGATATGAGGAGCCGAGTGCATTCTGCGTAAAGGTCCGAATGGCAACGGTGGGAAGCGCCGCGCAATGCAATTGTATCTTGCCCTTCAAAGTGCGCGGTTCCACAAGCCAACAGACTAGTGATACCATCGAGGAGGACGCGGTCATCACGGTACCAGTTTCCGGGTGATCCTACTACTTCCAAAACACCAGACGGAACAGGAAAATTCTCAAGCCCCGGCCGGACGCCTCGCACATGTGATGGCGCTTTTGATCGACAAGCGTGGAGACTGGAAGCGCATAAACAGTCGCCGGATTCTCTTCAGAACCAACTACCGATTTTATGCGTCGTGTTCACAGCAGAAAACCGGACGCTCTGTGCCCGAAGTTCTGAAAGCAGTACTGAGTCATTCCTAACTAACAAACGCAGGTCCAGCGGCCGGAACTCTTCTATGCAGGAACGTCACATGCTTCCTGTCTGAACTGCTACCGTGTGCCTACAGGACCTAGAATACGTCACTAGTCTACAGATTCGCTCGACCCGTTAGTCTTTGTGTATTTATGATAAGAGGTTCAGACTGAAAATTCCTACACTCTCGTACGTCGAACCCTCATGCGTCCCACCCTCACACGTCGCACCCTCATCACACGTCGCACCATATAATGGCAGATTATCCACGTTTCACGCGGGTGACTCTCTCATTCTTTGTGGGAACATCCCATGCTTCCGGTCTTGATCACTACTAAACCCTTTCTAGACCTCGAATTTTTCTTTTTTATTGAACATGTATTGGTCGTGCAGGCTTGGGCTCGAGCAGGTCGGGATAAAAGCACTGAACTGCATTTCCTTCCACCCAACGAGGTAGCAACTTCTCATCCGGCGCCATGCTGTCTCTGTTGCGTCTTTTGGCATTCCTGCCCCTGGCCTTCAGCGACCCGACAAGTCATCTGGAGCAGAGACAGATCCCCACGACTCCCGATAATGATCCCTTTTACGATCCTCCGCCAGGCTTCGAGTCGGAAGCCCCGGGCGCCATCCTCAAGACCCGTACCATCACGGCCTCTTTCCTAGGAATCATTCCCGCAGCAAATGTAGAGACCTACCAACTCCTCTATCGCACGACCGCAATCAACGGCTCCGCCATAGCAGGTGTGACAACCGTCTCCAAGCCACTGTTCAACCCGCTCCCGGACCGTTTCGTCTCTTTCCATACAGCCTACGATGCCTCGGCGAAAATCTGCGATCCCTCCCACAACTACCAACTCTTCGCGCCCCAAGCCGACCTGCTCTCGGAAATCGAAGTCCTCATATTGGAAATCTACCTCGCGGCGGGATACATCGTTTCCTCTCCGGACTACGAGGGCCCCGATGCTGCGTTTGGCGCAGAGCGTCTCGCGGGCATCGTGGCATTGGATAGCATGCGCGCCGTCTCCCATTTCCACGAAACCCTCGGCATGACCACCAGTACCCCGAGCATCGTGGGCTACGGCTACTCGGGCGGCGCCATCGCGACAGGCTGGGCGGCTGGACTCCAACCCACCTATGCCCCCGAACTCCCCATGAGAGGCTGGGCCTTTGGGGGCACACCCGCCAATCTCACCGGCACAATCGTCTTCGTCGACAACACCGCCTTTTCCGGCTTCCTACCCTTTGGCGTCGTGGGTATCTCCACTCCCAGCGCCTACGGAGCCCAATTAACCCCGCTCTTCGACGAGATCCTCACCCCCTACGCCCAATCCAAAGTCGCTTTCGCGAGGACACATTGCACCATTGCGGACGTGTTCAATTTCTTCGAACAGTCGATCCTGAGCCCGCAGTTCTCGTCTCTCGGGGACCGACTCCTCTACCATCCCACGGTGAGCGATGTCTTGGTCTTGCAAACCATGGGCGTGAGACGAGACGAGACTCCCACCGCTCCGGTTTACATGTACCACTCCGCGGTAGACGAAATCATTCCGTATGCCAATGCCTCGACGCTCTACGATTCGTGGTGTTCGTTTGGCGCGAGCGTGGATTTCGTAACGTTCGGGAACGGAGGCCATGTCGGCACGGAAATTTTGGGGTTAATCGGAGCTTTCGACTTCGTTCAGAGCGCTTTTGCGGGTACGGTTGCGATGGATGGATGTAAGGCTTCGACGACGTTGGACAATACTCTCGATCCGATTGCGTTGGGAGTTGATCTGGAGCCGGTATTGCTTCGTTTGACCAATATGTTGGCGCATCTAGGAGAGAATGATGAGAATATGTTGGGGATCTTGAGGTCTGGAACTCGACTGTTTTGACTTAAGAGCTTCTCCGGTCAGCAGCTATTAGATGAGGGAGGGTGTGTGGAGTGATGAGAGAGGAAGAGGTAGAAAAAGAACACGAGAATTGATATCGACAGATTTGAAGAATGAGATGGTATTCGAAATTCACTCAGCTGAGTTTAGCCGCAAATGACGCCTTCCTTGGGTATCTCTGCTTCGACTCTCTCCTCTGCGCCATTGTTGGCATGCTTGTCGGCAGTCTTGACGACTTCGACTTTACCATCAGCAGGCAGACCGGCCTTTTCTTTTTCGTCTTTTTCTGCTTGCAGCCTCGCCTTTACTTTCTTGCTCAGCTGCAAGCTACCTTTTTCGATCGCCTCCTTCGGAAGAGGACGAATGTGAGGCTGACAGATCCAATATGGTCTCTTACATCGTCGAACAGCTGCGGTACTGTAGAGTTCCGGATCGGCTTCCTCTTCGCCTTCTTGAGGGTCTGGGTACTCGTATTTGCTTGGGTCCTTCTCATAGTCGAGGAGGCCTTCTTTTACAGCCTCTTGGGTGAGTTTGAGCACGTTTTCGTAGGCGTCAATGTCTCCGACTCGGGATTTGGCGAGTGCATCTCTGACTCCGTGGTGTGTGCTAACGAGTGAACGGAGAATGTGGAAGCAGTGCGCCTGCATAGCGACCAAATTGGGATTGGTGCACTTCTCCTGCTTACCGTTCCGCTTCTCTTTCTTTTCCTTTTCAGATCCTTCGCGCTTTTGCTTCTTTTTGGGCGGACCATCCTCTCCTTGGTCCTCTTCCGTCTCGGTGCATTGTGTTTCGATCTTTGCAGAGTCTGTTTCAGGTCTAGGGTCGGTTGGGAGAAACAATGGCTCTCGCTCTGGTGGATCCTGCCCAAGAACGTGCTTGTGAATGATGTTCAGATATCGTCGAAGCACCGCATCTGCTCTGTAGCCACCTTTACCATCTCGGCCGCGCCAATACTCACGCCCTTCTTGACCGACTGGCGGAGCAGGCGCGAAAATGGACGGATCATAGAGGTTGCCTTCTGCGCTCATGATGGCGTCTGCTTTGGTAGCATCCAACGACTTCTGTAAGTCATCATACCGCAAGATATTGCCATTTGCGAAAATGACAGTCTCTGGAGGTAGCTGTTCCCTCAAGTATCGTATCTTCGTCCAATCCGCTAAACCAGTATTGTGGCCCTTTTGTTCTCTCTGCCGACCATGTACTGTGATGATGCTTGCTCCTGCGCTTAAAATCATCTTGGCATAATCCAATGTCCTCTCTTTCGTCTCCAGTACTCGCATCTTCGCCGTCACGGGGATGTCTAGCCCTTTGTGCAGCGTGTTTATGAGTTTGTAGATGGTGTCCCAATCTTCTTGCAAGAACGCTCCATAGTGCCCTCTCCTCGCAATACCCTGCGGGCATCCCAAATTCAGGTCTACCGCATCGCAGAAAGGCTGCACGAGCTTCGCAGCCTCCAGAAGCATATCGGGTTCGTTGGCGCAAAATTGGACGAAAAGCGGCCGATCGATTTTTGGATTGCCGTCTAGATATGCATCCTCTTCACCAAACAAGTTCTGATGCTGGACATCTCCTGATGGCGGTATCACGAGCGGCGGCTTGAGTGGTTCGAAGTGGGCGGCTCGGTATTTGGGTGCTTCGGCGAAGAGTTTGGCGTGGAACATGGGCGAGTATGCCAGTATTGTTGTCCGTAGCTCTGGCGGGAGGAAAGAGCGCGTGAGAAGACGCCAGGCGAACTCGGACTGGTCAACCATAGGCGCAACGACATATTTGGGCGAGCCGATGCTCTCGTAAAAGGCGCGGCCGTGGAGCTTTTCAGGCGCCATCGTGGCGAGCGCTCGGAGGCGGAAGCAGTTTTGGTTTGGCTTGAAATATGGACGCACACAGGAGCGCCATGTAAGTGAGCACCGTGCTAGCAACATGCAGCAGTTGAGTGGCTTTCACATGTCATGAGTGTAGTAGCTCGAGACTTTTTCATTCACTTGACCACGAAAATTGGCCGCGGCAATGAGCACGGACCATACTGCGGCTTCTATTCCGCCTCCTCTCCTTCTTCCTTCGGATCGAACATGCACTCCATCATAACATATCTTGCGGCTGAAGATATCACATCCTCCCTGGAGCTGTTTTCTTTGCTTGCTTGCTTACTCTACGCTTGGCCGCTCTCCCAATCTTGCACGCCTGGACGACATGTATCTGCCAGCTGGTCTACAATCGGGCACTGCTGTTGCCATATCTCCTCGAGATGGTGGCTCCTTAGCGTTGCACGCGGTACATCGCGGCAGGGTCCGTTGCATGCGTTTGAGCATGCGCTAGGAGGTTATTCCAAAACCTCGAGTCTTGTTATATCCTCTCCCAATTATGCCGCTCTTCTACGCTATCTGTCCCGCCGACATCATCTGAGCCTTGCCACTGGAATACAGTACGATGCCGCATGATTCATGGCGGGGCAGAATGATCCCAGCGTAGAGTCCAATGGCCTTGTATGTATCTCTGTCAACTGAGGACGAGAAGTCGACACTGAACCACTTTCTAATTCTACCAAGATCGACTGATCGATCACAGCTCCTCAGTTTCACCTCCAACTCGGCCTCAGATCCGACTCTTGTTCATCGATCCTGCCCCGTCTGGTGTCCTGATACAAGGCCGTCTCGAAACGGTCGATCTGGAGGACGAGCCCTCCTACAAAGCTCTCTCGTACTCTTGGGGTGATGCTGCCGCCTCATCGATTATTACGCTTGACGAGGATTTCCGCTTCTCAGTGCGGCGCAATCTGGAAGACGCATTGCAACGAGTACGCCGTGCTTCCGAAATCATCTGCATATGGATCGACCGAATCTGCATCGATCAGGCAGATAGTGCTGAGCGTAACAGTGATAAAAGAGGAAGTGCCGGTCTCTGCTAAAGGTTGAGGACGGGCTTTCCGCTGGGCTTGTCCCAAGAACCCGTTTTTACAACGAATACCGGAAGTGGACGTCCATATCTCCCCTCTCCGGCTCAGCAGGCAATGGAGCACCCGCATCTTCCGCCTTCCTCAGCTTCTCGCTTCGTCTTCGATTGGCCAAAGCCATGCCGACCATCAACGAGACCACCATTGCCAGCGCAACGCAGGCGAGACCCAGAGCAATCGACATTCCCTTGATGTAACGAGGCTTTGATTCGGTCACGAAGATCTGGCCAACAGCAACACCTGCTGTGTTGCCCAGAGTGAGGGTCAAGCCGACCATGCTCGCTCGTTTGTAATGTCGTGCTACGTTGTCTTGCAACCACATCAGGGACAGCCCGGTTGTGGGATAGATCCCAATAGCAGCCACTAGGGGATGTTAGCAAGTATATCAGAGGCAGGGAAACCTGTTTGTAGCATACGGAAACAAGCGAAATAACGGACACCGAGGCTGTCCGCTGAGATCAAGATTGCATATCCAACGATCAGGCATATCAGCGGTCCGATAAGGAATGGACCGCGCACGCCGAGTCTGTCGGAAAAGAAAGCAATGACCAAGAAACAGACCAATGCTACCATGTACACCGGCACCGTCTGGAAGTATGTTAGCTTTACCGGTAACTAACACATTGACAAGGGGAACCCACCATTAAGTTGGCATGGACGCCACTGTATCCCAAACCGCTCACGATCGCCGGCATGAAAGTAGTCAGGCCATAGAGCGAAACATCTGTGCAGAATTGATACACCCAGAAAGCGTACCATTTCGGATCCGTCACCGCTTTTACGACTTCTTTCCACGAGGAGACCTCATCGGCGCCCCAGTGCTGCTCACACTCATATCGCTTTGCGATAATGACCTTCTCCTCGGATGTCAGGAACCAGGCCGTCGCAGGCGTTTTGGGGAAGAAGAAGAAGAAGAGGGGAACGAGGATCAGAGTAAGCATCCCCTCCACAACGAACAGCCACCTGATGAACCATATCAGCATACGGAATGGTACGCCAAGATGTTATCGGCGACTCACCGCCACCCAGCAAACCCACCCGGCCCACGAATCTGCGTCAGACCAAACGCCAGGATTCCGCCAAATGCGCTGGAAAACGCACTGAAGGCGAAAATCACGGCGGAACGCTTTCCCCGCTCTTCTTTCTTGTACACGCTCCCGATATACACATTGATGGAAGGGATGAGGCCACTTTCGAAGAATCCGATGAGCAATCTGCAAGCGTACAGACCTTGCCAGTTCTGGATGAAGCCCATTCCGAGAGTCGCTAGACCCCAGCAGAAGGCACAGCTTGCCATGAGGTACTTGGGGCTGAGCTTTTTGAGGGCGAGTGCCGCGGGCGCTTCAAAGGGAACATAGGTTGCATAGCTACCGCCTTCTTTAGCTGGAGAGTAATCTTGCCGGCAGAAGGAAATCGACTTACAGCAATGTTGTTGCTGTGCCAAATTGGTTTCCTACGAGACCGATGTCTTCGGGCATTCCTGCTACCTGAGCATTGCCCAGGTTGCTGCGGTCGAGGTTTGCCATCATGTAGAAGAGACCGAAGAGGCCGATTGCGAAGATCTGAAAAGGCCGTTAGCATTGTCTTCCACTGCGAGAGGATGGACCAGACGTACGTCGAACTTCCGCATCATCTTGCCCTCTTTGACGGGATCGATGTAATGGGTCGATGACCCGAGACCAACATCGGCTTGGACATTGTACGCAACGGCAGCCTTGTCGTGCTTGGATTCATGCCTGGTCCTGGTACTGATCCCGTTTGAGTCCATGACGTCCGTCCAAAGTGAACAGTTAGTGTTTCAGACAACAGAGCCGTCTCGAATTGGGGCGTTGACATTGGCGCTACGCTCGCATTGAAAACGAGCGGACTGATAGCCTGCTACATCGGCCGACGCTTCTCACGTTTGCAGGACGTCAGTCGGGCAACAACCGGCCTATCTAACTCTATCCCAGCTCACATCGATTGATACCGGTCATTTTATCCAACGCCGGTCCAGCTGAAGCTTATCAGTCGGCGCTCGACTTGTCAGCCCGAGCTGTCTACGGCGGAGCTCCACTTTTCGCCTCCATCAAGCTCTCCATCAACACCACGGCAGGCAATTCCGAGGCCGGCATACATATTGATACAAATGAGAGCCATTGCGACTGAACATTGCTCTCGCATTGATATTTCCTACCCGGTCCGGTCTTTCCGTAAAGAGTTCTGCTCTAATCTTCATACCTAGCTCTCAACATGGCCCAAAAAGGCATCAGAATCGCCATCGATCGAGGCGGTACCTTCACGGATGCTTGGGCACAAGTCCCCGATCGAGAAGAAGACATCGTCCTCAAAGTCCTATCAGAAAGTCCGGATGAATACGACGATGCACCGACAGAATGTATCCGTCAGATCCTCGAGATTGCAACCGGAGCCACCATACCACGGGGAGAACCCTTGGATATCAGCCCCGTGGAATCGATACGCATGGGAACCACCGTCGCCACGAATGCTCTGCTGGAACGCAAAGGCGCCCGCGTCGCGCTGGTGACGACGCGAGGGTTCCGGGATATTCTCCGGATTGGAAACCAGGCTCGGCCGAATATTTTCGATCTGTCGGTCCAGAGACTCAGCAAGCTGTATGAGACGGTCGTAGAAGTCGATGAGAGGGTGACGATTGAGGGCTTCGCCGAGGACCCAGAGCCCATGCCGATAGATGTGGAATCCGATCCAGCGCTCACCAAGGGTCTGACGGGAGAGGCGGTGCGGATCTTGAAGAGACCGGATGTCGAAGTCGTGCGAAGGGATCTGCAAGCATTGTGGGAGGCGGGCTACCGCAGTCTCGCAGTCGCCTTCTTACACTCATATACATTCCAAGACCACGAAAATGCAGTTGCGGATCTGGCTCGAAGTATGGGCTTCCGAGTCTCCGTCTCGTCGGAATTGCAAACGATGGCCAAGATTGTCCCCCGAGCGCAGTCTGCCGTCGCGGATGGATATCTGTCGCCCATTACAGAGGAGTACCTGCGGAGCTTTCGGAGCGGCTTCAAGGGCAGACTGGAAGATGCCAACGGAGAGAAACTTTTCCTGAATCAATCGGATGGAGGTCTGGTTTCGTTTTCGAAATTCACGGGTCTGAGGGGCGTTCTTAGTGGGCCGGCAGGCGGTGTGATTGGTCTTTCGAGGACTTGTTTTGATGAGAGGGACGGGACGCCTGTTCTTGGCTTTGACATGGTGTGTGCAACCGGAATCCTCTCATTCTGGATATCTGCTAATGTGAGAGTCTGCAGGGCGGCACCAGTACAGATGTGGCGCGGTATTCGGGCAGCTTGGAGCACATCTTCGAAAGCACGATTGCTCAGGTCACGATTCAGACGCCTCAATTGGACATCAACACCGTGGCTGCTGGAGGCGGTTCTATGCTCTTCTGGGAAAATGGCCTCTTCAAAGTCGGCCCTCAGTCCGCCGGTGCCAACCCAGGACCCGCGTGCTATGGCAAAGGCGGACCTCTGACTGTGACGGACGCAAACCTGTTCCTTGGAAGGATCATACCGGAGTTCTTCCCGCGACCCTTGGATCTCGACACCGTGCAGAAGAAGTTTGAGGAGCTGACGGCGACGATCAACCAGGATACGGCAACGGATACTACACTAACAGCTGAAGAAGTCGCTCTTGGATTCTTGGCCATCGCGAATGCTACCATGACGCGTCCGATTCGCACCTTGAGCGAAGGCCGTGGATTCGAGACTGGGGCCCATAATCTCGGCTGCTTTGGTGGTGCTGGAGGGCAGCATGCGGTCGCAGTGGCCCGCGACCTTGGCATTCAGCGTGCCATCATTCCCAGATACTCCAGCATCCTCTCAGCCTATGGTATGGCTCTGGCTGATGTCGTTGTGGAGAATCAAGAGCCCGAAGCAGTCGCCTTCGCTCAAGACAGTCTCCAGCAACTCCAAGCGCGCTTCGAGAAGCTCTGCAAGTCAGGCACCGAAGGTCTGATCTCTCAAGGATTTAACGACAGTCAGATTGAGCATACGCTCTTCCTCAACATGCGATACCAGGGAAGCGACACAGCTCTGATGATCAGCAAGCCGGAAACTGGTCTCGAGAGCTTTGGAGAGGCATTCATTGCACGTCACCACCGCGAATTCGGTTTCACTCAGCCCCGTGAGATCTTGGTCGACGATGTCCGTGTCAGGAGTACTGCCAAAGGCATGCAGGTGCAGCTTTCCAGTCCCTTCGAGGAATTGCGACGGACGCAGAACTCGCCGCCTGTCAGCCCAACAGCACCTGACTCCCGGCGGAAAGTCTTCTTTGAGAACCATGGTTGGGCGGACACTGCTGTATACTCTCTGAGTACTCTGCCAACCGGTGCAAAGATTCACGGACCCGTAATGATCATCGACAAGACGCAGACTATCGTCGTCGATCCCGCCAGCGCGGCAGTCATCCTGCCTGAGCACGTCTTGCTGGAGATTTCCAACATTGACAAGCCGGACGTAGGAGTCGACCAACCCGATCCCATCCAGCTCAGTGTGTTCGGGCATCGCTTCATGAGTGTAGCCGAGCAGATGGGTCAGACCATGCAGAAGACTTCCATCTCCGTCAACATCAAAGAGCGACTCGACTATTCATGCGCCGTATTCTCTGCGGATGGAGGCCTCGTTGCCAACGCTCCGCACATTCCGGGGCATTTGGGCTCTATGAGCTATGCCATTGCGTACCAGGCAAGGCTCTACAAGCCGGGAGAGCTGAAGCCGGGAGACGTACTGCTCAGCAACCATCCGTGTGCCGGTGGCACGCATCTTCCAGACTTGACCGTCACCACGCCTGTCTTCGACGACGATGAGAATCCAAAGGAGATCCTCTTCTTCGTCGCGAACAGAGGGCATCATGCAGATATCGGTGGCATTGCTCCCGGATCCATGCCTCCGAACTCCACGGAGCTGTGGCAAGAAGGCGTCGCGGTGGAATCTTTCAAAATGGTAAAGGAAGGCGTGTTCGATGAGAAGGGCCTCACGGAGATTCTCTACGATATCCCGGGATCTTACCCGGGATGCAGCGGCACTCGGACACTACGAGATAATCTTGCTGACCTCAAAGCTGCTGTTGCTTCCAACAACCGCGGGATCCAGCTGATCCAGGCTTTGGTGAAGGAATATTCTTGGCCGGTGGTGCAGTTCTACATGAAGGCGATTCAGGACAACGCGGCGCAGTCTGTTCGAGAACTGCTGAAAGCGTTCTCGGAGCGGTTCGCTGGACAGTCGCTGCAGGCAGTCGATTATATCGATGACGGAACTCCGTTGGCGCTAAAGATTGATATCGACAAGGACACTGGGAGTGCTGTGTTTGATTTCACGGGGACTGGGCCTGAGCATTTCGGCAATTTGAATTGTCCGCCAGCGATTATGTATTCTGGCATCATGGTAAGCCATCGTCGCCGCTCCCTCCTTCAACGTCACGCTGACCTTTACGACTAGTACTGCCTCCGCTCCATGATCTCCTCGGACATCCCCCTAAACCAGGGCTGCCTGGCTCCAATCAAACTCGTCTGCCCTCCCAATACCCTGCTCTCGCCCTCCCTCAAAGCCGCCACCGTCGGCTCCAACGTGGAAACCTCGCAACGCATCGTCGACCTCATCTTCAAAGCCTTCCGCGCCGCCGCCGCCTCCCAGGGGACCTGCAACAACATGACCTTCGGCTACGGAGGCACGGACGAGTCCGGGACCGTCACCAAGGGCTTCGGCTACTACGAGACCATCGCCGGCGGCTCCGGCGCCGGGCCGCACTGGCACGGCGAGAGCGGCGTGCACACGCACATCACCAACACGCGCATGACGGACGCGGAGATTTTCGAAAAGCGGTACCCCGTCATCCTGCACGAATTCTCCCTTCGCCCCGGCAGCGGCGGCGCCGGGCGCCATCGGGGCGGGGACGGATGCGTTCGCGATATCGAATTCCGCCGGCCCGTGCAGGTTTCGATTTTGTCGGAGCGGCGCGTGATTGCGCCTTATGGGATGGACGGCGGCGGGGAGGGACAGCGGGGGGTGAATTTGTGGATTCGAAGGTATGACGATGGGACGACGAGGACGATTAGTCTGGGCGGGAAGGCTACGACGCCGATGGGCGCGGGGGATCACATTGTTGTGAAGACGCCTGGTGGTGGGGGATATGGGCAGAATTGAGGAAGGGAGAGGTCGTTTGGTGCGATTCAGGCGCATAGGGAGTTTGTGAGGAATCATGCATTGTTTCGGGCGCAGGGTAGTATGGCGAAGAGGAATGCTCAGGTTACGAGCAATTAGATTGAACGAATAGGATGTCGTCTATGAAGGAATGTGAATCGAGCCCAAGAACGAGATCTTTTTGCAGACGTTGAAACGTGATGCATTTTCCCGTTGGGTGCAGATACCTTAGAAGCTGAGCTGACGCCCTCGGTGCAGCTCAGATTTCGGCTCTACCTCCACGTCGCACACGTACAGCAGCATACAGCAGCGGTCGTCTTACTATCATTACGACTATAGACTTCAGGTCAACAGCTCTAACGGCATCGCTTTGAAATGTCGTTCCATGTAAAACGCACGGACACGACAAAGCAGACGGACGCGCTGCTGCAGTACCATGGGATTTCATCGACCGCATGGGTCCAGCCGCCTTCAGACAAGAGCGTCCTTGAGATACAGACGACGTAGCAAGCTTGGAGAGAAGAGCGACAAGTCGAGGCAAACAGGTCTTCTTGTCGACGACGTCCAACAAGAGTGCCGTTTGGCGGAGGGGAGAGTGATTGCAGTCAAGAATGAAAGAATTCCAGTGAGGCTTGGCGTGGCTCGACCCGATTGTGTATGCTTGATGACGGTTTTCCATTAGAACTTATGTTTGCGAAAATTAGCTTTTGGAGGTGAAGGCCGGAAACCTGTGCAGGAAGGTCTGTCGACCTATGGATGAATGCATTTGGTAGAAGAAAGTTCATACCGGAGTGTTACGCTCACGGCTTCTTTTTTGCCCGTTACATCTGATCTCCAGTCTCCCTAAATTTGTCCGCAGCCATTCGATCGTAGGTAGCCATGCCTGCTGATGAGTGGCATTGAGATCGGAATATTTGCTGTTCGACCAGGACAGGACTAGTTCGCCTTGCCTGCTCCACCTTTGCTTCCTGACCTATTTCTCTCTCAATCGCGTAATCCTTCTCGTCCTGATCATAATCGCTTCATATGGCAAACACATGGCGACATGGTGTCTGCGGGTTTGCGTCATCGAGCACTAATTGTCGAGACATGTGGTCCGCATGCGATCCAGGCAGTCAGTGCGAAGAAGATGAAAGAGATCAAGACGGATGCTCTCTACTCGGTGGACGGGTTTGCTCTTAAATTGCCAGGACGCATGTTGAGTGCTCAGTGCCGGAGGAACGCCAATAGCTCAGGTTCAACCTCCGTGCAAGGTCGAGACGAAGACAATGTTGTCTCCTTGCTGGATCTCGTACTGGTCTTCGCCTTCGAGTTCCCAATCTGCGTCATTGATCAAGACCAGAATACCAGGCCGTCTGGATATATCAGCTTGAAAAGTTGGTAGTCTTTCAGGATCAGTCAGACTTACACTGAGTCTTCCAGAACAAACATCTCTCTCCTCGGGTCTTTCATGAGGTTCCTACAAAGCCAGGTGATGAGGAACGCGACATTCGAGGGCTGGCCCTGTTCATCGGTCGCTGGAATTGCTATTTTGTGTTTTCGTTGATCGGAGAAGAGCATTTCAAGTCCGCCGCTGGAAATGTCTTAGAGATTGAGAATGAAGAAGGTGTATGGTATGACCTACGTGAACTCTACCGTGAGTGTGGTTGTTTCGGCCATTGTCGGGGGTAAGACGGGCTTCTTTGGTAGGTTATTGTTGTCGAAGTGTTTGCTGGTGTTGATGCATGTGAAGGAAGTGGAACGGAACGGCGAAGACGCTAAATTGGACGAGGAAGGCCCTACTGGTCTGTGCGCAAACCCGAAACCGAAGACGCTAGGGTACCTAATTTTGCATCTTCTATGGTCTTGCTCAACTTTCACTGACAATCTTCAATGATTTCGGACGGCGAACAGTGAGACACAATGACGGTGGCGCTGGAGGCTGTCGTAGTAGGCGGTAACAGGCATTCTTCCGCTGCGGACTGGGCGCCTTCTCTTCTCGCCTTTGGAGCCGGCAACAACGTTGCGCTTTGGAACCCGGATGATGAGAAAAATGTCGGCATTGCCGCTCTCCTGGCCGGCCATACCGACAACGTAAATGCGGTACGAGTCTACGGAGCTGTCAGCCGCGTTATACTCAGTGGCAGCTCAGACAAGACAATCCGCATCTGGACTGCTACCGCGGACAACGTTGCGGGCTTCCGGGAATCGCAGTGCTTGACTGACCACACGAGCTCAATCAATGTTCTCGAGGTCTCGCATGACAGTGGCGTGCTGTACTCAGGCTCCGCGGATGGCACGGTGAAAGTGTGGGACTTGAAAGGATCAAGAGCTAAGCTAATTCAGTCTATCTCCTTGAAGCCTCGCTACCTCCCACTCGCGTTAGCAATCACTTCGCTCTCAAATGGCGATTCTGTTCTCGCAGCTGCAGGCACTTGCAATTACATCCAGCTGTACGTGCGGCCGGTCCACGGCGACCAGTACGAGCTTCAAGCTACATTGACCGGCCACGAAGGCTGGATCAGATCTCTTGACTTCACCACAGAGTCACTGGCGGCTGACAGCGACATATTACTCGCCTCTGCTAGTCAGGATAAGTACATACGGCTTTGGCGGTTTCATCGCGGCCAACAGCTTCTCAGTGCAGGTGGGGACGCCGCCACGGATCTGTCTAATGCATCCGAGAGAAAGTCTCTATCCAACAAGGTCCATCAGGTCGGCGGCGTGGACTCCAAATACTCCGTCACTTTCGAGGCTCTTTTGATCGGTCACGAGGACTGGATATACACAGCACGATGGGAACCGAGGACTGTCGCAAGATCAGCACCAGTCCTTCTCTCAGCATCCGCGGACAACTCGTTGTCCATCTGGGGTGCAGACTCTGCGTCTGGGCTATGGGTATGTAACAGCAGACTTGGCGAAATCAGTGGCCAGAAGGGTTCCACTACGGCTACTGGAAGTACAGGCGGATTTTGGGTGGGCCTATGGAGACCCGAAGGTGGCTCAGTCGTAAGCCTCGGACGCACAGGAAGTTGGCGGCAGTGGCGCTATGATCAGAACTACGACATGTGGAAGCAACAAATAGGCATTGGCGGACACGTCCAGGAGGTCCAAGGACTTGCTTGGTCACCCGAAGGTAGTTACTTGCTTTCCACAGGATCAGATCAGACCACAAGATTATGGGCCGAGTGGCACAGAGATGCTGCATGCTCTTGGCACGAGTTCTCTCGGCCGCAAATTCACGGCTATGACCTTAACTGTATCGACTCGATCAGCGAGAATCGATTCATTTCAGGTGCCGAAGAGAAGTTATTGCGAGTCTTCAACAAGCCGAAAGCCGTTGGTCATTTGCTGGCGAAGCTGACTGGTGCCGCAAGCTCGGCCACTGAAGATCTCCCTGATGCCGCCAACATACCAGTACTTGGGCTCTCCAACAAGGCAATGGACGCGCCTGATGACGACGAGCAAGTGAATCGCCATCCAGACGGCGAAGATGCTGGAGTCGAGGTTATTGATTCTGCCGCAACTGTCCACAAGTCGACAATTGATCTGCCAGAGCATCCTCCTCTTGAAGACCACCTAGCAAGGCACACTCTCTGGCCCGAACACGAGAAGCTGTATGGACATGGCTACGAGATATGCGCCGTAGCTACTAGCAACGACGGCTGTCTGGTCGCTACCGCATGCAAAGCCAGCTCTATTGATCATGCAGTTATCAGGCTGTACGAGACATCGGAGTGGCGTGAGGTTAAGCCGCCACTCGCCGCGCACAGCTTGACTGTCACGAGCCTCGCCTTTTCACCAGATGATGATTTCCTGCTGAGCGTGGGAAGAGATAGGCAATGGTTCGTATTTAAAAGGGGCGAACAAGATCGAAACACGTACACGCCGCATACCTCGAACCCCAAAGGCCATTCAAGAATGATTCTAGGATGTGCTTGGGCGCCTGCTTCCCTCGGCCATATCTTTGCGACCGCTGGTCGAGACAAGAATGTCAAGATTTGGAAGCTCGACGGCGAGAAGGCTGATTGCGTTTCGACCATTCCCGCAAGTGCCTCAGTCACTGCCGTGTCTTTCTGTCCCTCCGTCGAAATGGACACCGCCATCGTCGCGCGCGGCACCGAAGATGGCCGCATCACACTCATCAAGCTTGATGCTACCAGTCTCGCCGTGAAGGAGACGCAATATGTCGACCAATTAATTGCACCTTGCAAAGCCGTCACGGCGTTGCGTTGGCGACCAGGGAAATCGCAGCTGGCGGCAGCCAGCGAAGACTATTCGGTTCGAATTTACAATGTTTCATGAGGTGAAGATACGAGCCGCGGTGCTTCCAAGTCTCGAACTGCAAGTCTGAAGCACCTTCAATCAAGCATTCTCACGAAGTAGATCCTCGTTCGTCGGCGAGCCATGGACCAGCTGCCCACAAGGCTTTTAAACTCGTCACCAGCACAACAACATGGTCTTGCTTGCGCCATGATGAATGACGCAATTGGATGCTTTTCGGGTGCTTGTGAGCAGGGCAACGACCGTCGAAATTCGGCAAGTCGTTGATTGGCAAAAGGAGGCACCTCGTTCGCACTGTGGTTTTCCCGCTCCATCCGGTTCCTAAAACATTGCTGAAATTGCTGTTTCCTCGACGCGAATTCAAATGCAAATCTTGTGGTTGGGTCGACAGCACTGTGAAATCACAAGCTGCACAAAAGGACGCCTGACAAGGGGTGCACGTGGAACCGGAACCAATGGCCGCGCCTCCGGAATCAATACAAATAATAATGAGGAGCAGCCGCTGCTCCGAACGTCGGATGCAGCGGAACACGACCTGAACGTTTGGATTGCCCAATCACGTGATGGCGAAATCTTCTTGTTAGACTTTCCGAGATGATGGTATGAGCCCGCTTGGCCATCAACAGCTGTTGGCAAAGAACGCTATGATTCAAACTCAGTGGAATTCGAGCTCCGTCGTCATCATCTTGCCAGAAGCACCTCAAACCGCCTTCCATTTCTGTACAAGCAGCCCACGTCGATGGAGATATTTGAGTTCAGCTGTGCTTCGGTCTGGAAACCAAGGGCGGCCCGCAGGGACCAGAGAAGGAGATGGGCTGGCCGATCACGGTGTTAAGAATGACAGCACAGTTCCTCTCTTGTTGGGGCCGCGTTCGCCACGCTCACCCAAGGGCACATCTCCGGCGCAGCCACGCCAGAGAAACAGCATCAGGTGAAGTCTGGAAGTCGTCGTCCTAATGCATCGCTCCCCTTCACACTGTTCTTTCAAATTATACCTGTCAGACACCCGGCGGCCGTGGCCTTGTACCTTATATGACCTAAGGCTTCGGATGTCTAGAAGTCGTTGCTTGCAACGCGGACAGCATATCCGAATAACAGCTTAGTTGCGCCGGAGCCAGGTCCTTTCCAGCTCCAACGAGATAATCATTGGACATGCCCAACAATCCGCCTGAGCGGCCCAAGAAGCTACAGCGAATATCCCAAGCTTGCGATCTGTGTCACAGGCGAAGCATTCGGTGCCGGCCAAGCTCTGAAAATCCTCAGCATCAATGCCAGAACTGCTATGACTTCGCCGTCGACTGCACCTACAACCGTCCTTCCAGGCGAAGACGGAACCAATCCGTTCCACAGATATCGCCTCCTAATCTTCTTCCGTCGCAGCAACAAGGAATATCTGTAAGCATTTGGCCAGTTAGATTACGTTCACACTAGACATGCTGATCAGCATAGCCATCATCACCTGCTGTCAAGGTCGAAGGCCAGTTCAATGACCAGAATGAAACTGCTTTCGCAGGGCTTGGATTCACTGACCGAACCGGTGCGTACGTCGCTGTACGTGAGGGTCGGCCAGAAGATCATCTTGGGATAGCATGGCGCTCATTTGCATCTGCGAGTCTCTCGCCGATTGAGCGCTGTCTGGAGGTGTACATGGAAATACTCTACCCAATGTTCCCATTCTTTCACGAGCCAACGTTATGGAGCAGGATACGGAGGAAGGATCACCTCACCGACCGTGGGTTCTTTGCTTCGATCATGGCGGCGTGTGCTCTCGCGAGCGCAAGAGCACGGGATGGAGCTATCAGTACGAGACGCGGCCTTGACGAAAGTATCGAACAAGCATCGGAGACGTTCTTTTCTGCAGCTCAGGACGTGATTTACAAGGATCTCGGCAAGACAATGGGACTGGGATACGTGCGAGCTTGCGCGTTGCTGGCTCTGACAAGCATTCAATATGGCCAGAAACAGTCGATGCACCAGTTCATGGGGCATTACCATACCTTGAGTGCGATGCAACACCTCCACGATGAGGATCAGTGGCCGGCAGAGATACCCGTAGAAGAGAGGGAAGAGCGTCGTCGGCTGTTTTGGGCCATGTACTCGTGGGACATTTATACCTCTGTTGTCTTTGACAGCGTAATGAGGCTCGGGGAGACACACTGCAATGTTCGCTACCCCATCGAGGTCAACGATGAAGAGCTCTCGCCTAATGTCGCGTCTCCTCCCAACAACGAACTGAATTGGCTGCGAGGCTGGAACTTCACCGTTGACCTTTACCGGATTCTGGAACATGCAACTCGACGATTGCGAAGAAAGAAGTTGGGACAACGGGAAGATCGTGTGTCGGTGGTACATCTTATGGTCGGCGACGGTATCTCGGACGAGCGGCTCATGGAGAATGTCTTGGACCTTTACAATCAGTTGCCTCGTCGATTCAAGGAATACCAGGTCCCCGCGACAGGTGACAAGAGCCAGGACTTGTACGGCTTTCAAGCAGCGAACATCCAAGCCACGCTGCTGCTGGTCCGAATCACGCTCTTCGATGCGAATAGCCACGAACGCAGTCTTCACCAGAAATGTGATGTCGCGCGGGAAGTCCTCCATGCTTTTGAGCAGATCGACCCGACCTACCTTCGAGCGCTGTCAACTCCACTGGTTCACCACATTGGCGGCATCGGTAAAATCCTGGGATCCGTGATGCAAGGTACACTCACTGAGGACTCCTACCAGCGCGTGCGCGGATTAGTCCACCAAATGGCCGATCTCCTCGGCGGTCTTGAATCCGGTCTCCATCCCACCACCAACGTTAGCAGAGACCTACGACAGCAAATCGACAAGATTGATCTCTTCATGAGTGGGCAGCGACAGATACTGGCTTCATTTCCGCAACAGCAACAACAGCCGCAGCAGCTGGCGCCTAACGGAATCGATCATGGCTTTTCGAATGGGACAGCACTGTTGCATCATACGAATGCGTTGGGCATGTCTACTCCCCTGGATGAGTTCCAGCTTCCGGCTGATGTTGTGGACGGGTGGCCTTTTCCGATGGATTTTGGTGCCGTTCCGGAGGGGCAGTATCAGATGCCTAATGGGTTCAGTGATGATAGACAGGGGCATCATCATCGGTAATGTTAATGAGTTTGCGGTTGCGATGATAATCTATGCCTGGGCGGATTGGGAAATCATACCAGAAAAGTATACAGTTGTACAGGATAGCGCACGATATTTGAATACCACGGTTCTCAGGACAATAGGAGTTCCTTGATCTTTTCTGGTGTTGCGGATGTATAGTCGTGCATACCGCAAGGTGGGAAGGACGCACAGTGAGTTCTTCTTTGAGCTCACGTGCTTCGGTCTTAGGGAGCTTGGCGGCCAGTCTTCGCTAAGACGTCGTATGGTATTGATCACTATACGTACATTTGCTGGTCGGTCGCCATAGATCGTAAGATAGACTAAGCATACGAGAATGTTTGGAAGGTGAAGTCGTTTCCAAGGACCAGGGGGTGAAGGTGGGTTTCCCAAGCTGGTCTGTGCTTCTTTCCGCCGATTCCTCTCACGTCTGCTTGCGTCTCTCACTGGACACAGCAACCCCGATCTCCGCAGTCCGCACGCGCATGAAACTGCTATCGCTGTAGGTACCTACCTGTTCCTTTCTTTTCCTGTTCTTCTTCCTCTTCTCGTTCCTTCCATCACTCCAGAACCGAAACCATGATCATATACCGTCGCAAAGAAGAAAGCCTCCCTCCCAGCACCACCACGTTCTCCATGGATCAATCGACAACCTCCCCCTTCCTCGCCCTTCCCGCCGAACTACGATGCCAAATCTACGAGCATTTGCTCCTGCAAGGGCGAGGGCATCCGATCGGCGCGAACATCTTGCGGACGTGTAAGCAGATCTACGCAGAAGGGATGCCGATGTTGTACGGGGAGAATACGTTCCTGGCGCATCCGAGTCTGTTGGCTAGCTTGCCTACGTTTCTGGTGGGAGTGAGGCCGAGCAAGATTGTGGCTCCGATGCCGGTGAAGTGCGAGAGGGTGGTGGGGATGATACGTATGTTCTGATCCAGTTCACACACATGCACCGAGGAGCATAGGGACTGACGAGTTGTCGTTTTTAGGGAGATTCTATCTCCTCGTCCGCCTCGATTGTGACCCACGGTTTACTTCTCTGCAGGCGCAGGAGTCCTTCTCCGGAGTCTCGAATCTGGAATTGGAAGTGTTCCAGGCGATGTACGGGAGTTGCGATTTCTCGGTCTTGAGGTTGTTTGAGGGTGTGAGGGGTGTGGGCAAGGCGAGGGTGCAGGGTAGTATTGGGGATGGGAAGTATGCGCGATGGTTGGAGAGGTGTATGGAGAGTGCGGAGGGGACGGAGATGGGGTTTGTGGAGGATTGCCGTGCTGGGATTCAGGGCTGGGATGCGTGGGCGCAGGGGAATCGGTGAAGAGGTATTTCCATTCTTGGGTATGTGAGGAAAGAGATGGGATTTCAGGGGTAGAGATATAGTCATGAGCTGGACGCTATCGCGCCGCTGTGGTGCTGAAGCTCGCGGCACACTGGATATGGCAGCATCGATCGACCCCGGGAAATGGACAGCGCAACGCAGGAGCACCAAAGGTTGAAACGACGCCGTAGATGGCCAATTCGAGCAATCAGGTCGTCGGCTAAGAAAATCTTCTTATCGAAAAGAGCCGCTGTCTCTCGGTTGGACATCTTGACGCTCCCGCCTTGCGAAGCCCCGTGATCGGCTAACTGGTTGCCCCAGTAGTCAGATTTGGCGATCTCAGTATGATTATGCCGCAGCGTAGGCGTCATATGCTCAGGCGACGAATAAGTGTATCTCGAAGGAGCCTGAGACGGCGATAGAGCATAAAGACGGTTTATGCCCACGCGGTGAAATGATGAAAGCTTTCCCCTAGAGATGTGTTCTTCAACTTCCTGTGCACTGCCAGGCAACGAAGCGTTCACGTGTAACAAGCTTGGCGAAATGCAGATTATCAGGCAGCTTGTGCTTGCAGACCGAACATCAGTGAGACTTACCTTAGAGGATCGACCCATAGATCAATCCTACTAAATCCTCTTCGGCATCTTTTTGGGGCACTACAAAGCAGGTTTCGCTGGGCATGGCGACAAGGACATGTAACATTCTTGAACATTCACCCACCATCTCGAGACGGGGCGAGGCTCGGCACGCGCCGAGTTAGCTCAGTACCCCGCGGGTGCCTGTTCCTTGCACCCAGCGTGCACTCTTTCCGAGCTCTGAGCTCATCTACAAACAGTCAACCAACTACATCGCGACCACGTTTTCTGACCCATTTCCTGCTCCAGCAACACACACCACCACCATCGACTGACGCGCTCTACCGCAATCAGGCTGCGGCCTAACCACTATGTCTTCCAACGGGGTCCCCGCCAACCCAACATCCCACAACGTCGCCGCTCATCTGCCAAAGCTTCAAGATGCGGACCCAGATATCCGGTTCATGGCGCTGAACGACCTTAATCAGATGTTCATCAACGGCCACGGTCAATTCCTCACACATGACTACACTACCTGCGCCAAGGTGGTGGAAGGTCTACTACACACGCTCGCCGACACACACGGAGATGTACAGAATAATGCCATTCAGTGCCTGGGGCCATTTGTCAACAAGGCACCATCCAGCATCCTCTCGCCAACGATCGAGAAGGTCAGCAATGTCAAGACCAACTCCTCCATCGACATCACCATTCCAGCACTCGCTGTGCGGGCTATCGTCGTTGCTCTGCCACACCCTGTTCCTGGCATGCCAAGATCAGACAAGGTTACTCAGGCATACGACTCGATCTCCAAGGCGCTGATACCGCGTCTCATTGGAAGAGTGGTAATTCCACTGCCAAATAACAACAAGGCTCCGCCCAAGGGCATGTTGGAGGAGGATCTGGAGACGGGAGAGGACAGCAACAGCCTTGATCTGGTGGCGGAAGTGGCGCGGTGCTTTGGTTCGATGTTGCAAGAGCCGGAACTGGAAGCCTTGGAGCAGGCCTGCATGCAGGTATTCGAACAAGACAAATGTGGGACAGTGATGAAGAAGAAGGTATTTTAGGCCAGCACATTGGTATGGACTGAAAGATGCTGACTACTCGTGCAGGCCGTTGCAGCCATTGCTGCACTCGCCCCTCACTTTAACGACTCCCTCCTCGCAAGCCACGTAAGCGACACGATCGAGCGATTACGACAATCCCATTGCACCAACCAGCAGCGGAAGCTGTATCTGACTGTGTATGGGAGCCTGGCGCGCAGCATTCCGCAAAAGTTCGGTCCCTACCTGAGAACACTCGCCCCTTTCGTGCTGGCTCCTCTCAGCCAGGAAGAGCTTGATCAGCAGCGGGAAGCTGAGGCCGAGAATGAGGGAGAGCGTGACGTACAGCTAGAGGAGGTTCGCGAGGCAGCGCTCATTGCCATCGAGAGCTTCTTGGAGACGTGCTCACAAGATATGAAACCATACACACCTGAGGTGATACATGCAGCAACTCGCTTCTTGAAGTACGAGCCCAATATGGCGGATGACGAAGACGAAGACATGGAGGAAGAGGAGGAGGAAGACGATTTCGCCGGAGACGAAGACTTCGAGGAGGAGACTGGCTTCGAGGATGAGGACGATGTCAGCTGGAAGGTTCGGAGATGCGCTGCCAAGACGCTGCATGCTCTCATCGCTGTACTTGATGCGAACGACCCGGCAATGTACGGAGTGATCGCACCTGCACTCGTTGCCCGCTTCAAGGAGCGAGAAGAGAGTGTTCGCACGGAAGTCATCTCCACGCTGGCATTCCTCATCACAAAGAGCGGCTCGAGTTCAGCACACCAGCGCCACGCAGAGCACACCATGCAGACCTCGAGCAGGAAGAGGAGACGAGGATTTAGTGACTCCTTGGGCTCCGGTCTTCACGCTAAGCAGGCGATTATGAATGGCTACGCATCACCCTCCACTCCACCGCCGGTCGATAATGCCACCAAGGAGCTAGCCAAGCTCAACCCAGACGTCGTCAAGGGTTCTGCAAAGCTGCTGAGGTCGAGTACTGTCCCGACGAAGCAGGCCATCATCTCCCTGCTCAAGGATATGGTGGCAGCGCAAAAGGGCGGGCTCTCTGACCACGCCGACCTTGTCATCGACCCCGTCATCGAAACCATGACGAGCGCGGGATCCAACGTGGCGGGCAATGCACTTCGCGTGGAGGCGCTAGCTCTGCTACGTGTTATTGCAGAAATGCACTCAAGCAAGGTCATCCAACCTCACCTAAAGAAGATCATTCCAGCTCTGATTACTGCAGCTAAGGACCGCTATGCCAAGGTGGCTGGGGAGACATTCTCGACGATAGAGGTCTCCATCAAGGCACTGACGCCACCACGGTCTGCGGCAAGCAAGACAGGTGACGTGCTCACGCAGCTATACCAAGTGATTACTGCACGTATCACGGCTCAGGATACAGATACAGAAGTCCGACAGAAGGCAGTCCAGACACTTGGACTATTGATTGGCCGCACTTCAGGCTCTGCTGCATCAAGTCTTCTCTCACAGCAAGATCGATTCGATGGACAGCAGCTCATTGCCGATCGACTGAAGAATGAGCTCATTCGGTTGGCTTGCGTTCGAGCCATCGATACTATTGCTGTGTTGGCCCAGAACAAAAAGGATTTCAAGCCCGACTTTGTCAACACCGTGGCGCTCGAACTAGGTGCTCAGTTGCGCAAGTCGAGCCGTTCATTACGAGGTGCCAGCTTGAGTGCGCTCCGTATGCTTGCAATCAACCAAGCATCTCGAGAGTGCATGAGTGATGAGGTCATTACTAATGTGACTGCGATGTTGGTGCCGTTGCTGAATACAGACGATCTACACATGATGGCTCCTGCGCTTTTCGTGCTCTCTGCATTCGTCAAGGACAAGCCGCAACTTGTCACAACTCAAGAAGTCATCGCAGGAATATGCTCCATCATGCGGTCCACTCTGGCAACTCCTGCTCTGGACGCCTTGACTGCCTGCGTGGAGTCGATTGGGCAGGCTGGAGTCGGCAAGGCCTTGATGTCTGCGTTGTTACAGATCGCCCCTGAAGCTGACACCGACGTCACGGGTCAAGTCATCGGCGCTCTGCTTGTGTCTGGCGGCGACAGCGTTGGCTTGCGACTCGATGCGTTCACCAACGAGTTGCAGAAGCAGGCTGATGAGAGCAAGAGATGTCTTGCTCTGTCGGTCCTCGGTGAGGCTGGTCTGCGCATGGGCAAGTCATCTCCGCTCCAACCCCAGACCTTCACGACGTACTTCAACGACTCTTCAGAGAAGGTCAAGCTTGCTGCTACTGTTGCTCTTGGCCGCGCTGGAGGTGGCGACGTCAAGCAGTACCTCCCCAGCATCCTCGAAGCCATGTCCCAGGGCAAGCAGTACCTGTTGTTGCACTCTGTGAAGGAGCTCTTGCAGCACAGCCACGCCGAAGACGAGATGCGACCGTATACGCAAGGGCTGTGGGATAACGTCATTGCATCTGGTCAGAACGAAGACAACAAGGTCGTTGCTGCTGAGTGCGTCGGCAGACTTGCCATCATCGACCCTACTTCATATCTACCGCAGCTGCAGACCTACCTGCAGAATTCGAATCCTACCATCCGTGGAATGGTCATATCAGCTCTCCGCTACGTCTTCTCCGACACTGACGACTCATACAACCCGAACCTGCAGAGCAGTATAGTTCCACTGCTCGCAACGATGCTCGGTGACCGCGACATTGACAACCAGCGCTTATCTCTGACTACATTCAACTCGGCTCTACACAACAAGCCCGGTCTCGTTCTACCACATCTGTCAGAGCTGATTCAATACCCGGTGCAGGCCTCGGTCATTCGTCCAGAGCTCATTCGCGAGGTAGCCATGGGCCCCTTCAAGCACAAGATCGATGACGGGCTAGAGATGCGCAAGTCTGCATACGAAACTCTCTACGCACTTTTAGAGTCGCCAGCTTCGCGCCAGCGCCTTGACATGACATCCTACTTCGATCGTGTTATTGCCGGCATTTCTGACGAACACGAGATCAAGATTCTGTGTTGTCTCGTGCTCAGCAAGCTTCTAACAGTTGCTCCTCAGGAGTCTGCGCGTCGCTTGGAGGTTCTGGCACAGCAATTTCGTATCGTTCTTGCGTTCAAGCCGAAAGAAAATGCCGTCAAGCAGGAGCTTGAGAAGTTGGCGGAGGAACAGAAGGCTATCGTCAAGGTCAGCCACCAGTTCAACAAGGCATTCGGATCGGATGCTGGTGGGGAGAGCCGCGCGTGGAAGGAGTACTACGAGTGGGTCAGGAAGGACTTTGCTCAATTCCTGCGGGAGGCAACTGCATCTCTGGAGTAGAAGATCATCGCTGTATCGGTCAGCTCCAGATAGCAGGCGGGTTACGCGTGTCATGGAATCGAAATGAGACATATGAAGAACCACACACGTATTTGTCTGCACCGCGAATGTCTGCATTGCAGATGCTGGTTGCTCAGCTGATTCTCTGACTGAGTCTAGGGCTAAACAGATTCCTCCGTCCACAGCAGCATTGGCGAGGATCGTTTTCAATCAGAATTTAATGCGAGGCCCATCAGAATTTGATTTCCGCGCACACTCCCACACACTGTTGATGCGCCAAAATTTCCCAGTATCCTCTACCCACTCAATTGGATCTTAAAATTACCTCCGCGCGCTCAATGACCTTTGCATATGTAAATACCTCTTGCATGGAGAACACAGGCCATAATTTAATTATGTTTGAACGCCGGTCCACTGTTTTAAGCTATAACTACGTTGTTGCGGGGAGCTTCTTAATCACGTGGATAAATCCCGGTGATATCCAGGCTCAATGGTCTAGGGGTATGATTCTTGCTTTGGGTAGCAATACTGTAAAGTTGCAAGAGGTCCCGTAAGTTGTTCTCACACACCACACTCCGTTTGGAAAAGCGAATTCACTCTAACATTCTCTCGCAGGCGTTCAAATCGCGGTTGAGCCCAGATTTTTTTTTTTTTGGCTGTGATTGCGGAGAGGCTTCGAGCTGGCTTGAGCTCCTTTTTTTTTTACTCTTTCGACACTCCATGCATGTTCGATAATGATTCGTGTAAGTCACAGGTGTGCATTTTTGCCGCTTCAAGAGTGCGCGACGCGGATAATTCTTGGCGTGAGTGAAAGGATGAGCAAATTCAACGCCAGAATTCGTGTGGCTGCACACTAGATATTTGTATAATTTATGAGGATGACATCCAGCCGCAGCTCTTGTACAAAGTAGAGAGGACAAGACCAAGAGTGCAACCATCACATGTCAAGGCCTTGGCTTTCAAGAGTCTGTTGATACCAATACAACCATACGAAGACCTCTGTTATCAGTACCAAAGATGTTGGCTGTTGCAAGAAAAATTTCGAATCAGCATCATCCAAATACCATCGCAAGCACCGCCACCGCTAGAATCAATACTCTCGGAATACTTTGATGCACATCGGCCACACCTCCGGTATATGCTGCAGGTGCGGTTGGACCACCCGGGGGACTTTGTGGTACCGTCTCGGGCCCGTACGGATTGGGTGGGTTGGAAGAATTGCTGGGCGCGGAGTAGGAGGGCGGCTGGGCTCCACCAGAGGGCGATGCATTTGAAGCACTCCCATAGGCTGGCGGAGTCTGTCCAGTAGGTGTCTGAGGGCCACCTGGCGGCTGGGTTGGTGATGATCCATAGCCAGTGGGGACTTGTGGGTTTGGAACTGGAGCGGTTGGGCTGCTAGGTACGAACGCACTTGGTGACGCCGGCCCTGGGGTCGATAAAGTTGTCTGAGGTCCGTAGGTAGGCGGATTACCTCCTACACCACCGGTGGTACTTTGAGCCGGTATCGATGGGGATTCTGAAGGATACACGATGGGTGAGTTCGGCGCTGGAGGTGTCGAAGGCGGGGATTGAGAGCCATAGACAGGCGGAATCGTTCCTCCACTTCCACCCGTGCCAGGTGGAGGTGGATTGGATGCGTACTGCGACGGCGACGTGACAGGTGTCCAAGGCTCTGTGCAGGTAGTGGTGATGGTGGTACCGCTGATAGTAACGACAGTCAGGGGAGGACTTGATTCATATACAGAAGGGTAGCTTGGTGAGAGTTCAGATGTCGGAATTGTCGAAAGTGTTGATTGAGAGCCATAAACAGGCGGAGTGGTTCCTCCAGTTCCACTATTGCCAGATGGAGGTGGACTCGATGCGTACTGCGACGGCGACGTGACAGGTGTCCAAGGCTCTGTGCAGGTAGTAGTGATAGTGGTACCGCTAATAGTGACGACAGTCAGGGTAGGACTTGGTCCATATACCGAAGGGTAGCTTGGTAAGGGTTCAGATGTTGGAATTACTGTTGCTATGTTTGAGAGCGTTGGGTAGATCGAAGGCGGTATTGGTGGGAACCCATTGCCACCGTAGCTTGCTGAAATGTCAATGGTTGAAGATGTCGAGCATGTCGTCGTTGCAGGGAGAACTTCTGAGCTGGGGCAGGGCGTAGTCGTGGTGCTAGAAGAGCTTGTCGAGCACGGCGTCGTTGAAGGGAGAACTGATGAGCTGGAGCAGAGCGTAGTCGTGGTGCTCGAAGAGCTATCCGAACAAGACGTGCTGGCAGAATAAGGGAGACCTGGATCCGCAGGATGAGTCTCGCTAGCAAGGGGGTCAACGGAGAAGGAGGAAGTCGGTGCTGTGTAAATAGGCGGTAGAGCGCCAGAAGACGCCCAAGTCGAAGCATTTCTTCCACCAGTCGCAAATGGAGCTCCTGAAATACCAGCAGTTCCCGTCCCCCCCAACGGCGAAGTGCCATTCGTAAAGCCTTGCCGTTTCCATTGCAGCCGATTGCCAGAATCTCGTGCAGAAGCGAAACTGCCGAAAATCGGGAACAAAATTGCCAGAGGGATCTGCATTGCGCAAGCTCAGTCAGATGGATCCAGTCACAGCAGTCGGAGGAGAACTAAAGAGCAGAGTCAAGCATAGCGATGAGAGCCAGAAGTACCGAAACCACGCCTCTTATGTTTACTCCGTGGCGTTCCACCAGAACAATAATCCAGATGTTTCAGCCTCTCAGCCTCCCGGACAACAAATCTCACGCCGGATCTTTTTGTGCCTGGTCCTGACATCTCGTGTATGGGCGTGTTTGGATACGCAGAAAGCCATCCCATATGAATGAAGCGTGTTAGTACAGACTCTCAGTCCGTTTGGAATTGATCGATGTACCACCAGTCTAACCCGAGAGGGACCCTGGGATGCCTGCTGGTTGTCCAATGCGCTGCCGATCCTTAAGACGCTTGACATCCGGCGCACGACCTGGTAAGGACATTGTCACACACAAATCTCCGAGACCAATATTGCCAATAACGCCATAAGAAAATAAGAGACCCCAATTGAGATGTTTACATCGTACCGCAAACGTACGCATTCTGCAGTATAATCCGATCTGTTGCGTGATAGGCTGCTGAATCTGCCATAAAGCCCGATTTGAGAACTCGCATGATCTGCGGCATTGGTCTGATATGCTGTAGAGTAGTAGGGAGGAGAAACGGGCCTCCCGTGCACGAGCGACCCCTGCGAGTGGCGGTCGTTGAGACCATCAACAGACACAGGAATGCCGCCGAGTCAAGAGTTTGCTTCAATCTGAAAGCCCTACTAATTTGTAACGTCAGCCGCGATAGCAATCACCGTCGTGCGACAGAATAACGATAGAGGTTGCCAGAACGCGGCCCCGGGAATTTCATTTCTGGGGCCAGATCCATTGGACGGTTACCTCACCGATCAGCGCCAACCAAGACTTCTTCTCGCATGCTTCTCAACACCTCCTCATATTTGGCCTTCAACCCTTCATCCGAGTTGAACAACTTCACTCTGCCAACCTCGCCTTTCCTTCTGACATTGCTAGCCTTCGTGATTTCATTGACAAACCATCTCGCTTCGGGATGCGTGTATAGGGTCCAGGCATCGCCCTCACGGCCAGCTCTCGCTGTTCTCCCTACCCGATGGACATAAGAGGTCACAGATCGTGGAACCTCATATTGAATGACATGCGAGATTGGCCTGCCGCTGATATTATCCAGTCCACGAGCAGCTCGATCTGTGGAAATGACTATGACCGGCTGAGACTTCTTGGAATGAATGCGAATCTCGCTGTTCTTTCCAGGCTTAGCTGATTTCACCAGAGTGGTAATGTAGCGGTCCCACTGAGGTTTGAGCTTCTTTAGCAAGTGCGATAGACGATTCGCGGATTCGTTACTTGCGGTAAAGATGAGAACAGTCGGCGGCCCAGCGAGCTTCTTGCTGCCTCCGGACTCTTGCGCAGATATGGCGGCAAGTCTTCTTGAGAACGCTTGGTCCAGAGCAGTCCGGGTCTCGTGCTCTTGCGAGTCTGGATCATCGCTCTCATCACTGACATCATCCAAATCGCTTTCGCTTGAAGACGAGCTGTGGTCCGACGAGATATCAGAGCTGTCGTCTGAAGCTGAAGACGACTCCGACTGGGCGTCAGCATTTTCGGTTTGTAGTCTTGATGGCTCTCCTGGGACATTCGTTTCCCGCAGGATCCTGGAAGCAAGCAATTCGATCATCACCAGAGGTTTTTCACTTCCATCTCCAACCGGCACGCAAAATTCCACCAACGCTGGTGGAAGGTCAAACCCGCCAGCGCTTTCTTGGACTCTGTCAACATCTAGCGTGGAGCCTGCGGTAGCCTGTTCTTCCGATTTGCGTTCTCCGCGTATCACAATCATTTGTGGTCTCCGCAATTGTAGAGAAGTAAGTTTCGATATGTCTCTGGTCATCGTTGCGGATAGCACTGCCTTCCTGAGACGACGCTCTCTCCGCTCATCCCAATAGCCCTGTTCTCGAAGGTATTGCTCCCTGGCATCCTGTTCCTCTTCGGTTCGGGGTCTCGATATCTCAGCATTGAGTAACTCCATGAATCCTTCATATTGGTTGTCAAGAAGCTTATCGGCCTCATCAATGACGAGCCACTGCAAGTGGACAAGACTGAATCCCAGCGTGTTGCTCAAATGCTCAAGTAGGCGACCTGGCGTTGCCACAAGTATGTCCACGGCGGCATCGTAAGTGGGAACATGCTGAACAAGGCCATTGAGTGCATCATGTATGCGTCTCCTCCATTTCGGCCCTTGTTCCTCATACACAACTAAGCTTCCATCGAACTCTTCCGTGTCATCATCGCGGGGATCTTGCAGCCGCTTTGCTCGCTCCATGAGCTCTCGATAGCCGGAGGGATCGTACTTGCGCCCTCGTCGAATGAGCCTTTCTTGCTCGTCTTTGAATCTGCTGGTGCTAGTGGCCATTCCAACTTTCACTTCACTTCCTTTAGCCAAGCTCTCCGCAACAGCAGCTACTTGCAGAACCAGTTCCCGAGTTGGCACGACAACCAGAACGCTAAGCTTGCCCGCTTGTCGAGTTTCTCGGAGTGCTTCGACAATAGGAAGCAGGTACGCGATCGTTTTACCACTTCCAGTTGGGGCACTGACAGCAACATCGGGCAGGATATCCTCGGTTCCGGGCAAGAATTGTGATCCAGGCTCACCTGGCTTCGAAAGGAGTGGGACTAGAGCCTTTTGTACCGGTAAAGCATGACGGAAGCCCAGCTGCGATAGGCGTTTCGTGATGTTGGGGTTGAGGCCAAGCTCGGTGAACGAGGCCTGGCTATTGGCAGAGAGTATTGTAGGCTTCGCAAGCCAAGGTGGAAGAGCTGCTACTTCAGATTCGAACTCGGGGGATGGCTCTTCGCCAGGCTCAGGAAGCTCTAGATCTTTTACGACTGCTTGCACAAGCCGGGTGGGGCTCCGTTCTTCTTGCTCTCTCTTCTCAGACCGGTCTGGCTGTTTCAGAGACTTCTCAAACTTGCCCAATATTCCTGTGTGCTTGCGGAGATGGTCGTTGGCATCTTCATTAGGCGGTTCCTCCAAGACTTTCTCCAGCTTATGCCGCCGCTTCTTGAGCTGAGATTCCTTCGTTGTAGCTTCTACCTCCGGCTCCGCGATGTTGACCTGTCTGTCCGCATTTGCCCTTGTGACTCCGATAGGCAATGAATCCCGATCTGGGCTTTCCGAATATGCTTGCTTCTGATCCTTCCGAGAGGTTGATGCACTCTTCGATTGGCTTGTCTCTTCACGTGCTTTTTCAGAGATCGGAATATTGGTCCCATTGCTTCCTTCATCTCCTTCAGCCCCGACCTGTTTCGCCGCTCTCTTTCGAGCCTTCTCCGCCTCTCGCGCCTCCTTCTCTAGCTTATGCCGCTTCTTCATCGACATCTTTGGCGCAGCGCCATCACCTCGTCCCGGAGCATGCTCTGAAATCTGAGCAGCTTCTGCGTCGGGTACGAAGCTTCCATCTTCTTGTCCGTCCTCCGTTGCTATGGTCGTGTCGACATCTTCGACTGGAGTACTCCCACTCTGGACCGTAGCCGGGTCGATGCCTTTCTTCTTGAGCTTCTTTGCCTTCCTTTCCGCGACTTCTTCCTGCGTCCGCTCTCGTTTTCGCTTCTTCTCTGGCTCCACTGGTTGAGGGGTGTGGATCGATTTGGCTGATGGAGCTGGAGATAGTACTGATGCTGACTCTGTGGACGGGTTTGGCGGTATGTACCGCTTGTACAACGGAGCCATTGACCTACAAACCAACAGACGTAAAGTTGAAGATTTCCATGTGATTCGGAGTTCGGCTCTCGGGAGTGGGACGGCACGGGAGCCGCCGTTTAGCCGACATTCACCTCCTGGTTCCCTCAGGAGGCAAGCGGCAAGCGGCAAGCGGCAAGCTTCCACCCATCAACAAACATTGCTCTTGGCACGTCGTACTGATCGAAGGCGACAATGTCAGGGGATTATCATACGCTCTGGTCAAACCGATAGCAGGGGACGAGGAGAAAACAATCCTGCTCAGCCGTATTAGACGCGCCTGGCGCGTATCTTGCAGCCAAGATGCCATACAATATCGCGTAAGTAGTACACTTCCATCACATGTAAAGCGCGCGCAATGACTCTGACATCAATATAGAATGGTGTCTGATTTCTTCTACCCCCAGCCGGGCGGAGTGGAGAGTCACATCTATCAACTTTCCAGCGTACGTCCACCATACTCAGCCTCCCACCAATGCTGTCGGAGACCAATTTCACATTACCAGGATATCGAAGCAATCGTGAGCGTCGATGCTGACTGTACAAGAAACTGATCGATCGCGGACACCGGGTGATCATCATCACTCACTCATATGGCTCGCCCTACCCAAGCCGGACGGGTGTGAGGTATCTCACGAACCGCCTCAAAGTCTACCACCTCCCGCACTGGGTCGTATACAGATCAACGACATTTCCCACTGTCTTTTCGTCCTTCCCAATCCTGAGGCAGATCTTTATCCGAGAGCAGATCCAGATCGTTCATGGCCACGCCTCACTCAGCAACCTGTGCCACGAGGGGTTGCTGCACGCTCGGACGATGAGTCTGCATACCGTTTTTACGGACCACAGTCTCTTCGGCTTCAGCGACGCTGCTAGCATCATGGCGAATAAGCTGCTCAAATTCAGCCTGAGCGACGTCGGGCATGTCATCTGTGTCAGTCATACGTGGTACGTACGATGCCTTTACCTTAGGTGCTTAAAACAAGACTGACTCGTGAATAGCAAGGAGAATACTACCTTGCGCGCTTCTCTCAATCCGCTCGCTGTGTCTGTCATACCAAACGCTGTCGTACCCAGCAACTTCCGTCCACTCCAACCGCACGAGGCGAAGGCTTTTCGCGACGGCGACAAAGGTGCCCTCCTCCCGCCTCCGCCAGATCCAACTCAGCCGGTTGGCTCCGGCGATCCAATCACCATCGTGGTGATATCTCGTCTGTTCTACAACAAAGGTACCGATCTGCTCATTTCTGCTTTGCCATTGCTGCTCCATCGCCACGCCAACCTTCGGTTCATCATTGCTGGCAGTGGACCCAAAGCCATCGACCTCGAACAGACTCTCGACTCTTTGCCTCAGCAGCTCGTTTATACGCCCTCAGGCCAAAGTCGCGTCGTCTTGCTGGGCAGCATCCGCCATGAAGAGGTTCGAGATGTCATGGTCCGCGGCCACCTCTTGCTCTCTACCTCATTGACCGAAGCCTTCGGGACAGTGCTGGTCGAGGCTGCTTCTTGTGGTCTCATGGTCGTGGCCACCCGCGTTGGTGGTGTTCCGGAAGTCTTGCCCGGCAACATGACCGTCTTTGTCCTACCGGAGGTGGAAGATGTGGTACGAGGTGTATCAGAAGCGGTCACTCTTCTGACGAGCAAAAGCAGCATCAGGCGAGACAGATTTCACGATCTGGTCAAGAACATGTATTCGTGGTCTGACATCGCACGCCGCACGGAACGAGTGTATGACCTGATCACTGGCAGTCCTCCAGCTCCTGAGACCGAAGGCTACTACGACGAAGAATGGATGCAATATGGACAGCCTGCACACAACTCCTCAGCGCTCATGGACCGATTGAAGAGATACTTTGGCTGCGGAGTGTGGGCAGGAAAGCTGTTCGTCATCGTTGTTGTGGTAGATTATCTGATCTACTGCTTCCTGGAGTTCATGTATCCACGGGACAAGATCGATACCTGCAAGCCGTGGCCGTCCCCTACGACCCCGGCTGTGGCAAGGGAGGAGAGGTTTGGCATGGGTATTGAGAGCAATGGTACGCTAGAGAGAATGGGTACTGTAAAACCTAAGGGCAGCAGGAGGAGGAAGGAGGGTATGGTGGATGAGATCGGGTGATGTGGATATGTAAACTGTGAGTCTTCTCGTTCCCTTCTCGTTGATACCCCTTTTGAATGTTATCCTGACTTTTGGAAAAGGTGCGCAATCGCAGGCATACGTTCTGGCCTAGCGCTGGCTCTCGACCTGGCTCGTCGTAAGATCCCCCGGTGTGATGAGCCTTGTGGTTCCGCTCTTTAGCCTTAGGGGCCATAGCTTGGCCACCTTGTCCGCCGGATCCTCTCCTTGCGGCTTCTGGATACTGGTATCGAGTGCCGCAAAAATCCGACTCGAAAGCGTGGACGCTATTCTCCAACGCCCACTCTTGTCCAAACCTTCCGGCGGCCTTCCCACCTCTTGTGTTGCTGTGCCGTGCCTGGAATACTCCCTGGCCTTCCGTTGTTGTATTCGGCTGTTGGGTCTCGATACTGTCCTTGCGTCCAGTGTTCGAGTTGCCGCGGTGTTTATCGTCATCATTCACGAGGAGAGTGTATGCCTTAGCGCTGCATGAGCGTCCGAGCGCGTGAATGCGTCCTTCGGCTCGTGGTCCCGGCGGCGTTTGCTGTGGGAGAGCGTGAAGAAAGAAAACATGAAAGCTTTACGCAAATTCGGCACCAAAACAACAAACAAATCGAACTCACCGCAAACCGCGTGCCACATCATCTTAAAAGTCGCACGACGTACTGTGCTGCTGGAGGTCAATTCAGCTTGTTAAAAGTAAGTTTATAACGGAGATCGAGTGGCAGCATACGAGCATGGCAGCACCGGGCAGAGGCGAGACCCTTGGCATGGAGGCGGACCCCATTGTCCGCACTTTTGGCCACCTATATGAGGGGCAAGAGTTAGGGCTCTCATCTGCGGAGAATGTGGCTCGCAGGCTCGTTCTTGTGTCGCGGTGGGAGCGCAGACTCGGATTGGCCATGTTGGCTATGCTTCCGGAGGGGTACGAATGGACCAACCACCTCCAGACCGGGGAGGTTCGCAGCGTGATTCTTCTAACTCCACCTAACCGGGTGGCTATACGACTTGCCAATGGCACTTGGAAGCGCGACTACCGCATCCAGGAGGTTCACGGCCCAGCGCCATACACTTGGGAATGGTACCTTGAGTACCTCCACCTCTCTGGCCTTCCTCGTTGGTTCCTCTCGCTTGGACATGCTGAACTGCTAGGGAATCGCGCGGAAGCCTCTGTTCTAGGACAAGATCTTCATGTGCGAACACCAGCAGTCAACCCGCAATACCTGGAGGCCCGCTATCCTCACGAGCCGCGGTACCATGCATTCAACGACGACAACGGCAAAGAAATCTACAAGTTCAAGCCAACGCATTCTCAACAACTTCAACTGGCACGAAACTTCCCTGCAACAAGCATGCCGAACAAAGATAGGGAGGTCCTGCTTTTGCCAGGCGGATACATTCAACTACACCACGATCCTGACTCTTTGCCCTACCGATCTCTAGCGTTTGAAGAGATACCATGGAAGCGCGGAGCATGTGCTTCATACATCCTCGAGCCGCTCAACGAAGATCTTGAGGAGCTCTCGATTTTAGATCTTGACAACAGAGAGTCTCTCTTTCAGCAGGCCACACAGGGAGGCGGTATAGTGAACCCTTTCTCAGAGCCCAGAGGCGAAGGTGAGTTCCGTTGGATTGAGGACGAAGATGAGATGCGCGCTCAACTCCTCGGATACGTCGACTCTGATGGAGAGCCTTCCCCCATTGCAATTACACGTGCACGGGAGATTGGCGCGCTGGCAGCGGGAATTCACGCTAGGGCTGCTCCTGCTGTGGTGTTCGTCCCAAATCAGCGGTACTTCAATCCACCAGAGCAGCCGAAGGGACTTGGTCACTGGGACTTCTTCAACAAAGAGTCTCGAGAGCTAGCCCGAGTGCAGTTTGCCGGCGAAATCGACTATAATTTTGGAAATATCACAGACGTCACGGCTGAGCAGATATGGCGTCTACGTCAGGAGTACATCGGAGAGTTCGAGAATCCAACGGCCGAAATTGACCTAGTCTGGATTCCAGCAAGCTCGTTTAGTGCCGCAGCAGATGCAGAGCAAGAAGATGAAGATGCTGAAGAAGCAGAAGGACCACTAGAGGAGGATCTTGGCTTTGGCGTCGATTCGAAGTCCGGCCTTGCGCACTGGCCGCCGAACGACAACCTTTACGACCAGACCGCCAACGAAGGCGACGAACCAATATATCAGACTCGCATGATACGCGGCAAGAAATACACCGTCGATCGCGCTCCACCAAAGGCCAACGGCATCCCACAAGAAGCCAAGCTCTGGATTCCCGAGAAAGTCGGCCGCTGGACCATCTATCACAAGAGGGACGCCCTCGACTGGTCTGACCAGAAATCCCTCGACGCGCTCCACAAGTGGCGCGACCAAGTCGCCGCCCGCCACGGCTGGCCAGGCAAGCGTGCCAAGCCCGCTCTAGGCTACACCAAGGAAGAAAAGAAGTACATCGAACAAGCAGTCGAAGCGGCTGGCGGTGATCGTTCGAAATTGAATACTTCCAACATCACGAATGCTTTCAATGAGCATTTCAAGACTTCGGGCGCGCGGAAGCGGGATGCAAATGCTATGAGGCAGCAGATTACGTTGGCTATCACGGCGTATCGGAAGAACAATGGGATTGAGGTAACGCCGAAGAAGCCGAAGAAGAAGACGGAAACGATGGAGAAGACGGAGAAGAGCGAGACGAGGGAGATGAGCGACAAGGGCAAGCAGCCCGAGAGAGTTGAGGAGGGTCCCGCTCGGAAGAAGCAAAAGAAGAATGACGATGCGAGCGGTTCCCCTTCCATGGGCGGTGGAATGGGCGGCTTTCAGACCTAGTTCTGAGGCTAGCCGGAAGCTCTCAATATGAGGTGTTGTGGATAAAACATTGCAAGACAAACGTGGAGAAGCACGCGAGACAATGCGGAAAGCGAACTAGCTTGGACCGGGTTGCAGTTGAGTCTGCCGCAGATAGGGAATTGTGCATGTGAATGGCTGGTCGCAATGAGCAAGTCACTATGAAGTGAAAACACAGTCCGGAAAATTAACTCTAGTACTGTGCCTGCCTCGTGTCTGCGCCATCCGTTCGTCATTATCCCCAATTGTTGTCGCTGAAAAGCAGGAGATTGCTCGTGCGACCTCAGCTCCAACAAAACACCCTGGCAATGCTCCCAAATTGCCGCAGCGCCATCGCTTGAACACGTCCACACTGTTCGAGGTCCACATACTACTGCAACGGCTCGAACCTCTTCTTCGTCAAAGTCCCAATCACGTGCGGCAAAGTATCATACGGCCCTTCTCCCTGCCCGGGTCTCAAATTGACTTCTTCCCACTCACCGCTCCGAAGCAACCACTCGTCCGTCGGACGACAGATATCGCATCCGTTGAAGAAATGTGGCCAGACTAAGTTGATGAGCTCTGGAAAACCCAGATCGTCAGTTCCTCGCGTCACGAGAAAGTTTGGGGGATGGGTGGTACTCACTCTGCCAATAATAAACAAAATCCCCCGAATACTTGGTCCGAACATGCTCATACACCAACCACCTCCCACCAGGCTTCAACAACGGATATAGCTCCTTGATAATAACCTCCGGCGTCGGAATCGAACACAGACACTGCACCGTGATAATCGTATCGATACTATTCTCCTGCAACCCGCCTTTCGTTCTCAATGCCTCCGCGCCGCACCCAATCACCTCATAAACATCCCCCAATCCCGCTCTCACCGCATTGGTCCGCAAGTCGCTGTGCATGCCCTTATTCGGCTCCACCCCGTAAATCTTCGTGATATCCGGATTTGCCGCGCGCGCGAAGAGATCCAGCCATTGTCCCGTGCCAGGACCGATGTCGAGACAGACGCCCGTGGCGTTGTTGTGGATCAGAGGCACGACTTTGGGGCCGGCGACGTCGCGGGATTTGGGGCCGAAGAAGACCCAGAAGCGGGCGAACCATTCGTCTTTGAATTTGGATGGGGAGGAGAAGGGGGTGAGGTTGAAGGTCAGGAGGAGGTTGATTATGGTGGGGATAATGTAGTAGCCTGACCATGATAGAAGGATGAAGGGGCGGAGGAGCTTGAGAGGACCGGATTGTTCGACCTGGGCTCCTGTGGATGAAGGGGGATCTTGTTTGGGTTTGGGTGGCATGGTTGAAAGGTCGGCTTTGGGAACTCGATGACTATCGTTATTGTTGGCTCTGAGTCCTGATTGAAGTGTCTTCAGAATTCGATCCTGTGCCTGTATGTGGTGTCGATATCGGAAGGAAGAAGCGAGATGCAACAGGAAGTGATGTCGATAATTAAGCTAAGCTCGCTCCTCAGCCGCTGGCCCGCTTCACGGCCAAGGGCGAGCCAATATTAAAGGCTTCCCTTTGAAAAATTCGATTAGCGTACGGCTCGTTTCACCAACTTCCTCTCGCTTCCATTCACATGCAAGGGCTAAACGATATATGGGGAAGAGATTCGACCAAATCGATCTTTTGCTGGTACTGAGTAATTGTACAATTATACACATCGTCGGATTTCACCTGCAAAGGCGACACTTCATCTATCCTTCCGCTGCGCCAGACGGCAAAGCCGTCTCTTTAGGCGATGCCTCCTTTGGCGGTGCGTACGCTTCCGTATTCAGATCTTCTTTTTGCCATTGCGCCTTTGCAACAGCTTCCATGGCTTCGCGATGAGCATCGAGAAGCTTCATACCGAGCGCGGACGAAGCTTCCCCGTTGCTTTCCTGCACGCGGCGTTCTTTGCCTGCTTCCAATGCGAGCTGCTTGTCACCTTCTCCTTCTGCGACCTCGACCGCCTCCTCTTCCTCTTCATCCATATCGTCCACATATTGTTCCTTTGGCTGATACTCCCCTCTTGGATCGGGATGCTGGCTGCCCAGTATACGACCTAAAGACTCGTGTTGCACGTTCGGGGGCCATTCCTGTGCGAACTCAGCGTCGAGGGGATGATCCCAGCGCACGACGATGCCCTCTGTTTTCCATTTTGGCCTCCATATCCTGCGATCCATGATCTCTCGCAGAATGAGGCTGTCTTTCGACAGAAGCTTGATGTCGACCGTCAAAGGCGCAAAATCCAGCGGGATGGGAGGTATAAACCTGGTGATTTCCAGCCGAGCTGTACCTGGGGCACTGGCCCCAGATTCACGGGCCAGCACATCATTCTTTGACAACGCATCGTTGGGCGGACCCTCGTGAGAGTCCTTCGAAGCTGGGGCACTAGCCTCAATGTCCGGAATCTCGCGAGGTGGAGTTGACCCAGGCTCTGTGGACTTGGATCCCTCGACGGACCTTGCGCGTGACGCCGCGAGGTCTTCCAAGAACTTGTTGTTGTGCACGTCGTATCGGTCGTCGACCGTGAGAGAGTCATCAGATCCGGTGTCGGTGATGGGCAGTATAAGGGCAGAAATCGCTTCTTCATCCGGATGACGAGCTTCTACCTTGGCGGCAGCAGCAATCCTGGCCCAGCTACACCCTTGCTCCCTCAGAGCGTGAGCCCACCAGGCTGATGTCGATGCATCTTCTTTGCTCGTATGTAGGTCCACTTTGGTCTTCCAATACAATTGCAGTTTTGTCCGCTCGGTCTCCGGCATGTCCATCAGCTCTCTCGCAGCCTTTACCATAAGTAAAACGTATTCGGATTCCTTTTCTTTTCTCTTGAGTTCCTCAATCTCCTTGCGAATCGTTCTCCTCCGGCCCAATGTACTGTCATCCTTCAGTGAATCTTCTAGCTCTTCCCATTCCTGCCTCATCCAGTTCAGCCCTTGGGTATCGGCTTCCTCCGCAAGCTTTGTCACGATCATGGACTCAGTTTGCTGATCCCGTAGCTCATCCCTTTTCCCTTGTTCTTCGAGGTCTTCTTGCTCTAAGAACACAGCTGCAAGGTCGGCGATACTGTTGGCCTTCTGGTTCATAATATGGTTCACCCTCATCTTCCATTTCTGCCTGGCGATTACATCGTAAACGGTCTCCTTCTTGCTGCCGCCACGTTTTTCGAGTCTTTCTTTCATCCGTTCAATCTGCTTCTCGGTAAATTGCCGCTCTAGCTCAGGCGGAGGCTCCCAATACAGCTCATGTAGCTTTTTGTAGTTGAGCAGTTTCTCGTATGTATCGAGACATTGTACTTTGCCGAGGGGTGTGTCTGGAAGGCTGACCGAATAGAAAGGCCGCCATGAGTCCCGTCGTATTGTAGGAGGTTTGGAATTCGCGCCGAGATCTGGAAGTTGTTCTAGTGCTTCATTCTATCCTGCTATCAGCGCAGACACACATGTATTCGTGGTTCTGAATCATACACGAAGTTCGTATGTTAACGAGTAAAGGACCTGATTCGTCCTGAAGTTGCGGTACGCGAAGATGTGATGTCCGGTTCGGTACGGCGCTGGCAGCTTCTTCAACTTGACTGGCTTGCGCATCTTGGTCGCTGCGCTCTCACCAGGTTGCAGTTGTTTCCAATGGCTATCGTTGGTTCATGTTGGGTGGTCAATGGTGCACGTGAGCCGTCACGACTTTCTCCTACCAATTGATGCAGGACTGCTTACGTAAACCTCCGAAGCGCCGCAAGACACATTCACTTCGACATCGCTGTTCACATGCTACGTATTTCACGTCCTAATTCATCACGCCATTCTTCCGATCAACTAGTTCTGCTAGCTATCCAATGATTGAGAATGCCTGAAATTGTAATAGAGATGACAACATGAAAGCAACTGCCTGGAAGTTTGGAAAGCCATGTCAATTTCTATTGCCTGTACCCTTGTATGTGTCTGGAACGCTCAAATAGCAGCGCATGTGTTATGCTGAAGCTTCGCATGAAACCCCTGCGGCTTGGACCATGCTCCGTGCAGTCTGCAGCCTCTCCTGTGAGATCACTGCTCCTCCACAAAGTCCTTGATAGCGTTGAAGTATTTCTCAGGTCCATCCATCAGGAGAGCGCAATGGTTTGCTTTCTCATACACGACTTCCTGTGTCCGATATCCTCGCTTTGTAGCCTCCATCGCATGCTCACGTACAGCCCAATGGTGGATGAGAGCATCGTTCTTTGAATACATGTACAGCCGAGCTGCACCTGTGTAGAACAGCTTTGGATCGTTCAGGCGGCGACGCAGCTTCGAAATGTCCTCCTCTCTACCGATCAAGGAACCGAGAAATGAGAAGAAGCCAATTCGGAAGTAGACATACCACCAGACCAGAAATCGCAATACCGGGCTCTTGGGGAGGTGGTTCATCGAGACGGCGGTCGTAATTTGGCGGAGATCGTAGATTCCTGGAAGACAGTCCAACACAAGCTTGTCAAACACTCTTGTTTGCCCCCGGTCGTGGAATATCTGGCCCATGCGTGCTGCCGCAACCCCGCCACCGTTCGACATCGCGTGCAAAACAACAGACCCCGCGTTCTCTGACTTCTTATGGCTTGAGACAATGTCGCAGGCTACTTTCAGCCGGGGTGCTTGCAGCTTGTCGCTTGCGAAGACATCCTCGAGTCTTGACTGAATGACGAGGATTGAGGCTTTGGGATACAGCTTCTTGTAACCGCTGGTGTATTTGGCCACATGCTTGGACGACGCGTTCATCCAAGCACAGAGAACTATGAGGGATGGCATGGTGCTCGTGGTATTCGATGGATCTCTTGTTGATTGGTAGATGTAGACTGAGTCGGCAAGCTTGCTGTATCCTTCAAAGCCTGTCGGGAGGGCAGAGGCAGACATCTTGTGTAGGTGGAAATCCGTGAGGAGACACAAGCTTTCGACACCCTCCGAAAATACGTACGAAGTGCTCAATGTGTGTCCTGTGTCCTTATCGTGTGGCGATTCAGAGTCGGCGAAGAATTCGTGAGCCGTTCGGGCTGGGCGCTCGTTCTTGCGAAATTGCTGTTGAATGTGTATGTGTGTAGGCAGTGAGATCGCGCATGTGTTAAGGTATTCGGGTGGAGGTTTGCAGACAATGTCTTTGATTGGCACGGTTGCTCCCACGGGCGTTAGCGAAGCTTATTCTGGCCCTGCGCTGGGTCGCTTGTAAACAGCTGACTTTCCCTGTCGGATAATCATTGAAGCAGGACATCATGTCACCGTCTAGGAGAGGCGAATTCATGAAGACGAGAGACCATCCTCACATTTTCAAGTCGGTGTTGCCATGGTTCAATCCGAGCTCCGAATACCTGGGCTTCCTCTGTCGTTCAAAACTTTCAATCTCGCCTCGACGGTCGCTTGAGATCCGAATTGACAAGGCCATATATTCACTAGCTCCGTTTCGACAGCTTCCAATCTCCGCCCGAACTGTTGTGCCGTCTTCTCTTGTCCTGTGATGATCATGATGCAGAAATGAAGTCAGTATATCACAAAGTCTTTGTCCATGTGCGATCTTTCCGGGAGGGCGAAGTCGCCAATGAGCAAGCGCGAGGTAGGTCCCAGGGCGCTAGCAATAGTTCTGAAAGTTTCGACGAACAGGCACGTAGAAGTCGTGGAGTATACGGCGAAGAAGGTAGATATGTGCGTCTAGGAGCAACGCAGTCAGCAAGCAGTCTTGATAGTGTCTCGAGAGGCCTACTTTTGACAGGCTGCGGGGCGAACAAATCATGCACCATCTTGATGGCGTACGGTATGCTCTCATGTGGTATTGCCTCAATGACTCCCGATCGATTCTGCAACATCAACGGCGTTCCAAATCTGGCGGGCGCTTCTTCTTGGATCGACATCAGCGAACTTCCCAATCAACCGCCCGCATCGACAATGAATGCACGATCGGATCCTGCCCCAACTTGTTGCTTAAGGGAACCAAACGGAAAGATTCCAAGCATTTTCATTTGGGCACCCATGGCAGCAATCCTCTTGTTGAACGTCTCAAATCGTTCAGGTGTGGCAGAGACAAACTCGTTGTAGGATTTGCTCTCCGTGTTGGGTACAAACGCGTAAGGACACTTGGCACGATCACGCAGGTCCTCCTTCGTGTCTTCTTTGAGATAACGAGGCAGTTGCATGATCTCAAAGTCCTGGTGCAGTAGCATTTTGAAGAAGTAATGGCCAAACTCGTGCACGTAGGTGAGTGATCTGGCGTTGTGCTTCCAGACGGCCATCTCGACTTCTTCAGTAATACTTAGAGCAGCAGCAACCCTATTGTCCGTTGAATGGTAGTCTCACGACATCCACTACATCGGCAATTTGAGCAAACGTTACAGTGCCTCCAATGGGAAGGCCTTGAATGCACCGTGGAAGTCAGAACGTCCAAGGCTCCTGTGAGGTGTATACACTGTCGTCAGCAAGTGTAGATTTCGAGAGAATTTTGCTGACCGCATTCCGCTGTCTAAAGATTGATCCAAAGCCATCTTTTGTAGAACAACGCAGATTATCTGCTTGCTAGAGCGACGATGCCCTGGCGTTCTGGATTCCGTCGAAAGCCTTCGCAGATGCTAGCAGCTCCTCTGCTGCCTTGACGAGAGCGGCTTTGTCAGTAGCGATCTCGTTCATTCTGGGCTGGTTACAAAGTGGATCCTCTCCGTGTCCGGTGCGAGTGATTGGGATAGGAGCGTTGAAAGGAAGTCAAGCAAAGATTGTCAGACGCGAGAATGGACGTGTTTCAACGTATAGATTCCAAAAATGCTTCACACTCAGACAAAAGACCCTGCAGGTCATCCCGACTAGGGACTGGTCTATACCAAGGAGGCTGCCTGCAAAGTGAGGTCTCTGGTAAGAGAGTATCAGTCGACGTGATGAGCGAGCGACCACGTAGAGCACTGGCATTTGATACGACCAAATTGAAAAGATCGTACTATTTTGTATGTCGCACACCAGTGTTTCCAAAGCAGAAAGGGGATTGAAAAGGAGTTTGTTATGTTTCTTCCTGGGATCCTCCAATTTCAGGCTACAGTACGCCGGCTAGATCCGCTTGCCGGCCGTCGATAGCGCCGAGATAGAGTTGCGAGACCTTGTGGAAATTCTGGACGAAGAGAAAATGAAGACGCCCTCTTTCATTCCCACGGACAGGTAACCGGCTGCATATAATGAAGCGCAAAATCGGAGCGCTCGAGAAGGTGGATGCCGACCTACCCAACCTGCAACACAAAATCAAAAGCGATCCGCCCTCATACCGAGAAGACTTCATCAGCCAGTATTCCCAGTATGCCTCGCTACTCGAGCTCTTCCTCCAGTCGCCGACAACGACAGACGACACCGGCGTTGTACGACTACGAGACTTGGTCGATTTCATATCACACGTCGCCGATTGCTACCCGAAAATAACAGTCGAATTTCCCCAAGACTTGATCAAGGTGATCTCGACCCATCATACTTCGCTAGATGTAGAATTGAGGGACAAGATTGTGGGTAGCTTGATGTTACTGCGCAAGAAAGAGATTATTAATTCAAATACGCTTCTGAACACCCTTTGGCCGTTGTTGATCAGCACGCCCTCGAAAGCATTGCGAGGACTATTGTTCCAGAAGATCGTGTCGGATTTGCGCACTTCGAATAGTAAGACGAAGAATCATAAACTCAATCGCAACATTCAGACAATATGCTACGACCTGATTGCATCCGACCCTGCTTCACCAAAAGGTCTGTGGGCTGTCAAGCTTACACGAGAGCTATGGAAGAGACGGGTGTGGGAAGACGCGAAGGCTGTGAGTATAATGGAGGCGGCTTCGCTGAGTCAAGATGCCAAGGTGGTTACGGGTGGGGTCCGATTCTTCTTGGGAGCCGATCAAGAGCGAGAAGAGGCAGCCGAGGAGGAGAGTGATGACGAGGAAGAGATTGACATGCGCAAGATGAAGCATCAGGCTGGAATCAACAAGAAGAATGCCAAGCGGGAGAAAGAGCTTAAGGCGGCCGCCGCGAAAGTCAAGCGAAGAGAGAAGAAGAAGAACCAACATACCACCTTGAACTTCAGCGCATTACATTTGCTACACGATCCACAAGGGTTTGCGGAAAAGTTGTTCCAGCAGCATCTCCAGCCCTCACAACCGAAAGTGCGACTGAACCTCGAGCAGAAGCTGTACGTTCTTCAGCTTATCAGTCGGCTTGTTGGTCTCCACAAGCTTACACTGATTTCGTTGTACTCCTACTTCACCAAATTCCTCACGCCAAAGCAGCCTTCTGTTACAAGTTTTCTAGCAAATCTGGCCCAAGCAACACACAGCCTGGTTCCGCCGGATGCACTGGAGCCTCTGGTGCAGAAGATCGCGAACGAGTTCGTATCAGAAGCCGCAGCTTCAGAGGTGGCATCCGCAGGTCTGAATGGAATTCGAGAAGTTTGCGTACGGCAGCCGCTAGCCATGACCGAGACTCTACTGCAAGACCTTGTCCAATACCGGAAGAGCAAGGATAAAGGCGTGCAGATGGCAGCGAGAGGCCTCTTGTCGCTGTATCGAGAAGTGGGAGCTGAGATGTTGAAGAAGAAAGACCGAGGTCGAGAAGCGGCGATTTCTCTCCGGACCGGCGAGAGAACTGGTGCAAGATTCGGAGAAGTAGACGGTGGAGGTATCGAAGGGATTGAGTTGCTGGAGAAGTGGAGAGAAGAGCAGGGCATCGGAAGTGATGACGACGAGGAAGCATGGAGGGCCTGGGACGCTCAAAGCAATGACAGCGAGAGCAGCGGCGGCTGGATCAACGTCGAGAGCGAAGGTGAAGACATTGACATATCTGACTCGGATGATGACAAGCCTAAATCGAAGAAGACCAAAACAAATGGCGGGACTAAAGATAATGAGAAGGAAGGCAAGGAGGGAGACGCTGAGGAGGGCGAAGAAGGACATCGAAACACGGCGTCTCTAGAACCTGAAGCCGCTGTCAAGCGCGAAGAAGCCCGGATATCCAAGCTCGCAACCACGAGGATCCTCACACCCGCCGATCTGGCCAAGCTCAACGAGCTACGACAGAGTGCCGCGGTCACCGCCGCTCTTCCCGCCAACAAACGTCGCCGATTGCAAGCGCAACAACAAAACGCCCAACGCCATGTCGACGACGAAGTCACAGCCGACCAAATTGAAGGACTCGCCAAGCTCTCTCACAAAGCCACCAAGGAAGAGAAGATTCGAATGGCCAAGGGAGATCCTGGAGAAGCGAACGATCACCGGTCAACGACTGCTAGACGAAAAGAAAAGAAGGCTGCGGAGGGTAAGAGTACGACGAACAAGGAGAAGGCGAGGAAGAAGAATTTCCTCATGACGCTGGGTAAGGCGAAGAGAAAGGGGAAGAGGAGTCTGGTTGAGGAGCGGAGGATTCTGAAGGCGCATGTGGCTAGGGGCAAGAAGGGTGGTAGGAGAGGCAATAACTAGTTGACTTGGAACGTCGATTGGGGTGGTAAGGTAACATATCCCCGGAATCGTGGTCGTCGTGCATGCCTCCCTCGCGTGGCCTATTCGAGCTCAATTCCAACTTCAGGCGCTCGGTTACATCTTCGTGTGCGAGCTGCAGTAATTAAACCATGCCATACCTCACATCTTGAATGTCATTCCCTGTGTCCTTTCTTCATGGTCGTCAAAAAGATGAAATGTGCAGAATGCGCCTTGGCTTCTGTTCTCATGGTGGAACGTGCTGCTACTGCATTTTGTTCTCAAAAACTCCATTTGATCAAGACTGCACCTACAGATTTTCATCCAGACATCGCTGTATCTTTGCAACCACTGACTTTACATTTTCTAGCGCGATATTCCTCTCGGCATTTTAATTCTTAGTTCCCTCCAAAGATGGAAGATTTATATTATTTCTAGTGTCTAAGCCAGCCAATCACAGGCTGGGTGGTTGGCGCAATGGTAGCGCGTTGGTTTTCGGTGCCCAATCCGCTTGGATTCTAGCTGAGATCACCAAAGGTTGTGGGTTCGAGCCCCATGCTGCTCGCCATAGAGACCTCTTCTTTTGTTTTGGGAACGGTACATCTTTTTATAACTCGAGCCCCTTCAAGGCCTGCTCGTCAACTTTTTGCTGTTCCCTTTCGGTTGGTGTTGGTGTTATATCTACATCTTGTAATTTCGGATAGTGAAGGTGGTGAAAACATCGATATGGTAGAAAGTGTTTCTACCCGGCGGGAAGAACATCTTTGTTGTTCAAGAAACAGCGAGCGATGTGTTGAGAGGCAGCGCTTCAATGCTTTTCGCATCTGAGGAGTTCCCGTGGAGAGCGCAAATGGCCCATACAGACAGTTGCGTTGATTCGTGGTCATTGAATATTCCCTGATAACTAACAGCAATCGAATCTTCTATTTCGCCAAGTATCGATAAAGAAGTTAGGAGACTCTAGGAAACGTTCATAATCGATCAGGTTGGTGGTATCTGCGCCCATCAACTATACTACCTTTCCGGTCGAGGCCGGCAAGGAATGTCACTGAATCCATGCTGGCTTCAAATTGAGCCGGGGAGGCCAGTGCACTGATCATAACATCAACAGACTCTCAGCGTGATGTGGCCATGTCTAGTGGTTCCATGCCGTGTTACTGCAGTTGGAGCGCCACACTGTCACAGGGATCGGCTCTGGAGAAGCAGGTGAGGTCTGGCCAGTGACAAGCCGCACCACCAAGCCGTGAACTTGCCATGATGGTAGCTCTTCTTGGCAGCTAAGGATTGTGTTGAACAGAGTAGAGATTACTGGGCTTAGGGAAAGTGTGTTCATTTTAGTTAAAGGACGTGGCTATGGTACAGTACAATGGAGGTCGAACGCGCATTCAGCCGAGGAGCAGCCGGGAATAGAGCTAGCGCATTTGGTGGCCCTTCCTATGCACGCACAACGACAGCGCCTCCCACAGGTCGTCCCCTACCGGTCTGGTGTAGGAACGCGATGGTTAACATCTATCAGCAAAGACCTGCAAGGTCAGATTGCAACACGTTGAGATGTCTAGACACCGATATCCCGCTGACAGCTTCCAGGTGCCTTGGGCTTCAGTCTCAGCGAGCAGAGGTGTGTAAAGGGGATATCTATCTGGCCAATAACTACAGGCCTGGAGATGGAATCTTCTTGTTTGGATCCTCTTACGGCGCATACAATGCAAGGTCTTTGGCGGGCTTCATCTACCAAGTCGGTCTCCTTTCACTGCGCATGCTGGACTATCCTGATGAAATCTTTCAAGTATACAAGACTCGCAAGAATGGACAGAGTTTTGCAGAGACCGAGTGGATGACTAGCGAGACACCTATCGAAGAACTAGGTCGGGCTACACATCAAGAGCCGATGACCAGGGCTCAAGGACTGGCTAGATGAGCGCACAATCACGTAACTGTCAGAGTGGTTGGCGCATTCGACACCGTCGGTAGTGTGGGAATGTCTGGAAAGGTCGATCAGCCTGGCAACGACACTGACTGCGACTCAACCCTGCTGCACCCCAAGATCGAGAATGCCTTCCAAGATCCGGTTCTTGACGAATCTCGCGGAAACTTTCCACCTACTCGTTTCTATCTCAACAACGAATGCAAAGCCGCCGGAACGACATTGAGACAGACTTCGTTTCCTGGGCATCACGGCGGTATTGGTGGTCACACTGACGTACCCAGTGATACGAACAGCTTTGGCGAGATCGCGTTCGCTTGGATGATTGATCAGCTGGGTGGTGTTCTTCAAATCAGTCAGGCTGCGCTGGACTGCCCTATCTTGCATCGTCTTCGCGAAGGTCAGCCGAAGAACATGCCGGGCGCCTTACAACCAAGTAATCGAGGACAGGCAAACGAGCGGCCCATCACATGGTCTGACGGTATGCTGAATGATAACAACCGTTGGTACAGCGGGTGGTGGCAGCGACAGAAGCTACCACCAGAAGGCTGAACTATCGTGGGGAGCCAGGCAACTGGCGGTCGTCCAGGAGATTACAAGTGCCGTTCGAAGACCTGCAGGAAACCACCCACGCGTGCGTCTAGCACCGTTTGCAACAGAAGGAGCTTGCGTACGAGCCAGTCTTGTTTGCGCGTTGGGTAATGAGCTTCGACCTCGAAGGCTGAGCAATGGCTCGACATCCTCAGCTCTCAGGCAAAGTGTATGCATGTTTCCGGCCAATCTAATCCCCACGTTGTCGTCGATATCGCCGACTTGGCCTCATACAAGATACGCCAGGCCGGCACCAAACGCGACGCTTCCCGATCTCAGACATGAGCTGCCTCGTACGCGCCAATTGCCGTCTTGAGGCGTAAGTACCGACGGCTCGTCCGTTCAGTTGCCCTGGTGCAGAAGTACCACGCATTCTCGTCTGCAATACCCAACCAATGTCCGCGTTCTCGGTCCGCAAGGCAAACGGCTGCACTTGTTCACATCGCTTGCATTGCCTTGCTGTCTCCTGCCATGCAATGCAAGATTGTGACTCCTCCCACATGGAGGGAGAGTCTGCGTTGGCGGTCGGAGAGTCGTCGAGCTGTCGAGCTGTCGAGCTGCTTTGACTGCTGCATGAGGCTTGCAGAATGCCAGCGCATGTGGGGCGTGCCGTCCACTCTCAGCATCGCTCAGCCGCAGCGGCCTCTCGGTTGAATTCCAACTGACACGCAGTAGGCGATCGAGCAGCCGTGGTATACACGCCGGCACTGCATTAGGAACACCACAAAGATGGAGAGATGGTGGTGGGCCGGATCACGATCACCGTTCACTTACCTTATATGCAGAAGGCGATCGAGCGCGGAGCACACCTTCTTTCGACGACAACTCATGAATCACCGGACCGCCTGACAACTTCGACCTCGTGTACGACGCCACGGGGTTGCCTGAAACTTGGAGAGCTTCTCGGTTGCTTCATGGTGTGAACGGGGCAACGACCAGGCTGCCGAATCCCTTAGGCCGTGGCAGACCGTGAAAGCATAGCTCAAAGCATGGCTCCCGGTGAAGACGTCGAGCTCTTGCCTGGCATGATTGGTCAATGGCTCCTACTTCTCGGTACCACCAGGCCTCGCCGAGTGCATCGCAAACTGAAGCTATACTCTGAAGGACGACGCTCGTTGATTGGCCGGACGAACTGTTGCCCCCACGGTTCTGGGCTCCTACGGCTATCTCGCAGATACAAGCTAGTTCTCCGCCAACAACGGCATTGTGCTGACGACTCCGGCATATCATTTGCCTCATGGTTTACAATGCCGGACGGTTGTGCGCCATGCCGGGGCTCCGCCCTGCTGTCGTACAACCGAGTTTCCTGATCCTCGGGGCGGCCTCAGCAACATTATTGAGATTGATTGCTTGAACCTTGCAATCCACGCATCACATGTGGCAGCGTCACCTGTCGTACGGGCTAGTGCGCGAGAGAGCTCTGCAGTCTGATGCATCCGGGCGTGTCTTGTACCATTGTGCTCGAAGGCAACCAGATGCCCCAACGGCTCAGGCAAGTATAATCTACCCTCCGCCGCCTTCTCTGGACGTTCGTCCGTTTGCCTTCCTCTTACGCCTTTCCTCACATCACATCACTTTTTGGAGCCTCATCTCCGTCAAGAAGGCCACCAGCCACCCTTGAGCGAGTTACTCATTGCTCACATTGTCTCACTTTCACACAAGCCAAGCGTTATTGTCGAGGCTGGCAAACATGGGTCATCAGTTCCCAGAAACCCTCCGTCAGGGCCAGTTCTCCGATCGTCTCGCCGGACCGGACGTCAACTTGAACAATGCTTGGGATACTTACCCAAACGACAGCCGTGGACTCGGTCAAACCGACGCCAGGTATCGCGGATACGTTCTCGCCAAGGCGGAGTCTCGTAACGGCGACACACCCAGCTGGTCCCGAGCTAGCAAGCAGCCATTGCCCGGGTCTGACGAGAAACTTGCAGCTATGAGCAAGAAGCATCGACTGGAGACTCGTAGAGGTCCTATGGCGCATTTCGCGGAGCTCTCTTCTAAGCAACAAGCGCTGATCAATCGCCTGAGGGGTATGATCCAACAATCTGAGTGGGATGCTCAGGCCGAATGGGTCCTCGAATGTGTGAAGAGGTCCATAGTGCGCAAGAGCATCTTTTCGCAAAAAGGCGAGACTCGCAAACTGGTCGTCATCTTCAAGAAGCAGGACAGACAACTTACCAGACCTACGCAACGTCTGCCATCTGCAGATTTAGGTCAGATTCCGCTGCGCGACATCATTGATATCAATGAGCCTGCGGATGTCGATGGCCTCGATTTCGGCTATGGTCCTGGACGTGATGTTCATCATGAAGGCCAGCGCCACGTTTTCGACGACCCGCTCCGTCATGATGTCTACCATAATCATCGGGATGTCTCGTACGATCAGAACCGCCAGTTCGTTCAAGAACCGCTTCATCACAACGACCATCAACAACAGTACCATGACCCTATCCAAGGAGCTATGCAAGGCCATGACGACCAATTCGACCAACCGTACGGAGGCCACGATGGTGGTATGGATCAGAATTTGGGCTATGAACCTTTCGCCGGCGATCAACCAGTGAAGAAGAAAGGCAAAAAAGGCAAGAAGAACAAGAAGGATACAGGTTTGGGCGTGCAAGAAACCGACAACCAGGGTGCCTTTGACCAAGCAATTGGAGACCAGCCATACCAAAATGGCCCTGCTCCTTACGATGGAAACCCGTTCCAACCTGAATCTAGATTCAATCAGCCTGGCGCCTTCGAACGACCGCCCGGCATGGAAGCCCACGACCCAAGATTCAGCGCCCGCAACTTCCTGCCCGACCATCATCTCTCTCATTCGCAATCTCGCTCTCGCTCCCGCTCCCGGAGACGAGACGCCGAAGCAGAAGAAGCCCGTCGGGAACGTGACAGGCTCGAGCGCAAAGTCGAAAGCCTGCAAGACAACATCCGGCTCACCGAACGCCTCCACACAAACGAGAAAGCCATGAACGAGAAATTGAACGAAGTCATCCACAAAGTCGACAACTGGAAACCTTTTCCCTCGCAGCAGCGTCCGGACAGCTCGTCCTCGGACCATTCCCTTCGAGACCGCGATCGCGACGGCTTCTGGAGCTCGCCATCGCCCTCGGGAGGCTCTTTCACACCCCCTTCCTCTCCGCCTCTCTCCGCCGTTCTCGAAATCTCCGGCGCCCCCCGCGGTCGTCGCAAAGTCTACCACCCTCCTCCTCGACAGGACCCCCGCGGCTACCGCAGCAAGCGCTACCAAGACGACCGAGCCCTCATCGAACCACACTCCAGCGGCCAACAACGCCGCGTCGACTACCGCGACCGCGACGAGCGTCGCCGCAGCGGCAGTCTGGGCCGGGCTTTCCCGCCTGTGGTCCCTGGAGTCAGACATTATTATTCTCATCGTCGTGACCAGAGACCTGTGCTGCTGCATCATGCTCGGACGTATAATAATGATTATCCTTCTGCTCCCGTGGCGGATTTCCCGGCTGGTGCGGAGGCATTCGGGGGTTATGGGCATTTGGAGGGGGAGAGGGAGTTTGATCGGCGGAGGGCGAGGAGGGGGGAGATGTTTGAGGAGAGCAGGGGGAGGAGTCGGAGGGGGGAGAGTGTTTGGGTGTAGTAGTCTTGATGATGATAAATGTCGTCGTGTTGAGAGGAAGGGAATGTTTCTCTGGTGAGAATGTCGTCTGCGGAATTTCTGGCTATGGGATTTCATGGTACTACATCTATCTGCCTTGACTTTCTTCGATGTGATTTTGTTCATGTCGCTCTTCCTGTGCATCGATCTCTTTCTATTTCTGTGAGCAGAGTGCCGCGCACGAGTTCCATCCAATGTGGACCGCGCTAGCTTCGAGCCTTTTTGCTTTTTGAGCAAGTGAGCGGAAGGATGGTCATAGTTCGAGCATAGTTCCTTTTTGATCCCATCCCAGTAAGTCTGCCCTATGTTCCCCCCGACCGCGTGTACCTCCCAGCCCCCTGAGCTGAGCCAAGATTGGAAAGGCGGGTCAGGATTCCGCGCGGACATAGTCGAAGAAGAAGAAAGTGAAATCCACTGCAATCCGTGAGTACTCCGCCCCAATGTACTCGGACAACAGATCGGCTAATTCTCCCAGCGTGAGGTTGCCGGTCAACTTGCTTCTAAGCTTGTTCGCGACAGCAAAATTGGGCCGATGGGATGGGTCTGAGAGTACACCGTAGCTGTTCGAAGGCACCTCGGGCAGGCCGAGCACGACGGAGCGCCAGCTTGCGGCAGACCCCGAATTGCGGCGGCCCTGGAAGTGGCAGATTTTGAGAATGTGGTGGTCCCCCCGGAAGTTCCAGGCGAGATAGTTGACCGGGCCCAGCTGGCTCGTAGGGGTGGCGTGGAAGACGGTCTGCCCCGGTGGCGGGAGGCGCATGGGCAGGCGCTGCTGCACTTTGTGGGATTTGTCGTAGACGGCTTTGAAGGCCTTGCTGACGCGTTGGGCGAGGATGATGTCGCGGCGGCGCAGGTCGAGCATGATCTGCTCGAGGAGTTCGTAGGTGCCGACGACTTCCGCTCCGGGGCTTCTTCGAGGTTGCGCGGTTTGGAACTGCGCGGGTTGAGGCTCGACGGTGTTCGGGTCATCGCTGAGGGTTGCTTTGGTCTGAGGGACCGCTTCTGCCTCCTGCAGTACAAGATTAGTCTGCGATCTGATCAGAGGAGAGGGGACGGCTTACCTGGAGAGTGGAAGAATCAGCTGTAACAGCATCACTGATCTTCAAGTTAACCATTTCGTGCGACCACTGACGTTCATTAGCTTGTTTAGTCGTGACTAGGTTGATGCAGGACCTACCAAAGCCCTATTGACCTCGGGTCCACCCGAATCTGCCATTCTTGGTGAGTGTGTGTTGTTGTTCGTATGTTCAAGAAGCTTGCAGAAATCTAGAGAAAACAAGCAGGAGCAAAAGAAGACATTAGATAAGCGAGGACCTAGCTTTGAGTTTAAGCGGAGTTTAGCCGAGAAAGCATGCATGTGATACGGAGAAGGGGGACGAAGAAAATCACGGAGAAGTGAAAACTGAGCCTTCTGTAGACGACGATACAGCAGACATGCTGGTGTTACGAAGGCTCGATGGAGAAGAGATACGGAGTGGCCGCCGATCGCCTTTGGGGTCTCTGGATCGATTGTTGAAGTATTGAATACCGGTCTCGAAGCAGTTGGCTTTCGGGGCGGGACATACGGACGGCTGTGAAGGGACACAGAGGATACAGTACTGGAGAGACAATGCCTTCAACGGCACGTGGTAGCATGCGGGTGCGGAGTCTAAGCAAATCGTTGTACACCCCTTTGAATCTTTCGCTGATCAGTTGGGACCACATCAAGTCGCGAGGAGTCGGATGCAGCATGGCCTCGAGGCACTCGTACGTCCCAGCGACACGCGCTCCAGCGGATGGCGCGGTAGGCGCTCTCTCGGAGTCGGCGTCGTTCGTTGCAGCGGATGAAGGTGTGCCAGGCTGGCTCTGGTAGAACTAGTAGCCAGTGATTCAACGAAAATCAGACCGCTTCTTATAGTGGCGACTGTCACGCCTTGCATGTGTTTGGCCAGCGCATCGGTGGGAGCGGGTGGTGGAAGTCTCGTCCTGTGTCGGGGTGCATCAGCAACTAACATGAACGCAAACTGCATAGGGGACGTACTATAGCTGTAGTAAGCTTCGAGTCCTCACTGCTTGAAGTTGATGATCCGCACATGTCGAGTGTGTTCTGTGTTGTCTACCAGTTGTCGAGGGTCGTCCTTACAGACAAGCGAAGGATTGCAGCACGATGAATAAGCATGGCGCTAATGCGGACCAAAATTCAGCCGCACATGTGATTCAGGCAGGAAGGCAGCTTGGTGATGGATGCGCCGGCCCTTTTGGTGCGCGCTCGCTTCTTTTCAGTTGCCGGAGGGGGGCCCACGATGTCCGGGTTTGGAGCAAGACCAAACGCACCATATGCCGTTGTGGAACAAGAAGACGACAGGTATCATTTCCGCGGGCTTGGAAAGAGCGGACGGGCGCTAGCAAGGAGATTCTGGACGTAGCGCCGGTATTTCTCCGACTGCCGTCTGGTCGTGGTTTGCGTAAATCAGGCCAGACCTGAGATAGGGTACCGATGCATTTTAAAGCCTTGAAAGAGGCCTGTACACAGGTCATCTCATTCTCTGTCTGCTATCTTACAATGCCACGCTATGCCGTCAGATCATAGACTTCACGGATCGAAGAGTACTAAAGGTATCTATACACGCTTTTCGAAAACGCCATGTCGATGATGGTAGATCTCAATGCTCTACATTCTTCCAAGCCCCCACTTAGCAATCCTTTCCTGGATATTGCTCCAAGGCAAGTTCTGTAGGGCGACACCCTCCTCTTTGCCCTGTTGCAGCACGACAGTCGGCGCGCCAGAGCCGTTGCCTCGGTTCTTCACCTGTCCGCTGAAGACCTGCTTGGCAACCCTCCTCAAATCAGTCATGGTCACTTTCTCAATGCCCTCAACCAGCTCCTTCACAGGCTTGACACGACCGTGGACCTGCACTTGCCTGCCGAGATCCTCAAGCTCGACCATCCGCGATTCGAGGTTCATGAGCAAGGACGATCGAAGCTGATTCTTGGCCCGCTTGACCTCAATCTCGGATAATCGGCCAAGTCCAGTCTCGGTGCTGAGGAGGCTCAGCTCACGAGCCATAGTGTCTAACATGCGCGGCACAAATTGGGTGGCACAGCTTGCTGAGATACCGAAAAGGCCAGAGTCGATGTATGCATGATTGAACGCATGGCAGTTCTCCACCCAGCCGTACTGGTTGAGCACATTCGTGTAGAGACGACTGTACATGCCCTTGCCAGGACCACCGGCGGAGAAAGATCCACCTCCTCCAAGTAGTGTTTGCAGCGTTGCGAGTGCGTATATGTCAGGCGATCCAATTGGGAAGGATTCGAAGGCCAAGTGAATGTGGGAGACTCGCGGAAGCATGGGGCTGGGAGGAATTTCCAAGGGTGGCAGGGTCAAGAAGCCACCTGTGTAGTGCGACGGAGCATCGTAGTCAATGGGCTGCTCCAACGGATCAGGAATGATTTGAGATGGGTCAAGCGGCGACACAGTCGCCTTTTGCGAAGCCGAGGTCGACAGATTCTTCAAAAACGGTATTCGTGACGAGAGCCGCGAGTCGTTTTGAGGAGGAACTTGTGAGGTCGGATAAGGAGGCTGCACCTGTTGTGCTTCTTGCGCCGAAGCCGATGTGGTAATGCTCTGCGTTGCCATATCACCGAAGTACTGCTCCGAAAGTTTGACTGCAGTCTCATGTTGTACGCCAGAAAACGCGACGACGATCCTCTCCGGCTTGAAGAAGGCCTTACGATATGCTTCCACAGTGCGCTGATTGATGCTGTCCAGCCTCTCCTTTGGACATAGTAGTGGGAGGCCCAGGGTATTGTCCTTGTACGCTGCCATGTGTACCAGCTCCGGCAGTATCAGCTCCGGCTTGCCCCAAATCTCGCCGATCTCATAATCTGCTGTCTCCAGCTGTCGCGCAACCTCCTCTTCTGTGATGTTCGGATACCGGATTGTCTCCGCGAGTAGAGCAACTGCGTCTGGTACTGCAGAGTTGAATGTAGCGGATTGGTACATCAGAGCTTCTCTGGATGATGCGCACTGGATGTTGCCTCCCAACGACTCCATCGACTCCAGCATCTGATCAGCGGTTCGCTTTGTTGTCGATTTGAAAGCCAGCCGGTCGATAATGTGTGAGACTCCCCGTAGAGCGTCGGTCTCGTACCGTGATCCGGCATCGATGTAGACTCCAATACCCGAGAAGTGTCCCGGCTGAGCCTCCGTGGCTACTCTAATGCCATTTGGTAATGTGGTTATCTGCTCGAGCTCTGCATTATCTCGCTCGGCGGGATGTCGCTCGGGGGCGGGTGAGACTGTCGCATACTGTCGCAGGCATGAGGGATTCCGGAGAGCGGTCGTTGCGCTTCGTGAGAGATGCCGCGGGAGGGAGAGCGCCTTGCTCATGGTCGGGAGACGCAGCATGTATGGAAAAGCAGAGGTCGTGTGGTGGAAGGCTTCTCTCACAGTTTGCTTGACGTGAAGCCACTACAGTGACTAAGTTATACGCTGGAAGTTCCAGGTCTGCGATGTTTCTTCTTTTAGCGTTGTGGAGCACTCGGCTGGCGCCGAATACGCGTGAACCATGAGGTGGGTGACCATGAGCGGCCGCTATGACGAATGCACCGATATCATGGAGGGAAGGCGCCGTTTCATCGACTTCACGGTGTTTCCTCTGCTTTTTAACCTTCCAAGTTGGTTTCTCCTCGTCGCGCGTGGTCACATTGCCGCTTCGACGTCGCTTCCTCTCATTCACTGCGGTATACCGTGCAACAAGCATTCAAGTGGCGCCACAGAGCTGATGCAGGACACTACCTGGTCCCACTACCTTATTATACACAACGCCGCGGTGCTCGACACCCTCATCAGTCCTGCAATACAACGCCCAGTGCTGCAACATCCCGCTCCTTCCATGCACCCGTCCTGGACCGCTGGAGTATCACGTTCACGCCTTCTCTAAACGACCCGAGTGTCTGGACTCGGCCGGTGATCATGTTGGGCTCGGCCGCTCCTGCTGCTTCGGTCCATACCTCGACGGCGACCTCCAACGCTACTTCTGCCTCGCTGCCCCGTCCGTCGCGCCTGCGAGGTCTGTCGTACCTGCGATCCCTCCACTCCCACTCCCACCCCCACCCGGCTCGCTCATCCTCGGACACTCCGCCGCTGTCACGCTCGACGTCCTATCCTGCACCCGCCAATGCTCCACCAGCCGGCACAACTCCGCATCGCCCAACAAACGCGGGAGAGCGGGGTGCTAGCGGCCTTGGTAGCGGAAGCGGGTGTGGCCAGCCCGTCTCGCCCTCCCAGAACGGCGACGGCTGGATACCTACCATCCAAGGCAGGAGCGGCCTGAGCAGAGAGTCCCTGCACCCGACGTCGACCTCGACGGCCTCAGCTTCACCGGAGCCCAGCACTCCAGGCGTCATGACTCTGACCAGGAGTCGCGCCGTCGGCAACCTGGCTCCTACGCCCACGCACACGCACACGCACACGCACACGCCCACGCCCACGTCCCCGCCTGCAAATCACCCGCACGCTTCATCGCAGCGCAGAGCCTCGTCCGCCGCCGACACGACTTCCACGCCGCGTGCCGACATGCCAGAGCCGGGCTCCAGTCGCGACAACTTGCCCTCGATCCGTTTCATTCCACATGTCGAGACGCGATCGTCCCGACCGTCTCTGCAGTTCACTGCCCTCTCACGTACCTTGAAGACACCCACGCAAGTCGTCAAGGTAGGCAGGTACAGCGAAAGAGACCACCACACGGGAGACCCGGCCACTTTCCCGGTCGGCTTCAAGTCCAAGGTGGTCAGCAGAAGACACTGCGAATTCTGGTGCACAGAAGGGCAGTGGTACATCAAGGACGTCAAGTCGAGCTCCGGCACGTTCTTAAATCACGTGCGGCTGTCGAGTCCCGGCCTCGAAAGTCGCCCTTATCCCGTGAACGATGGAGATGTGGTGCAGCTGGGCATCGATTTCAAGGGAGGCGAAGAGGTCATATTCCGCTGCGTCAAGATCCGCGTCGAGGTGAACCGCGGCTGGCAGAAGAGCTTGAACAGTTTCAACACTTCGGCTCACAAGCGACTGCTCAAGAGCGCAGTCGGGGCCAAGAATCGAGACTCCGACGCCGGAAGCGTGAACAGCTCCGAGTGCTCCATCTGCCTGAATCCAGTCGCCCCATGCCAGGCCTTGTTTGTGGCTCCCTGCAGCCATGTATGGCACTACAAATGCATACGGAACCTGATACACAGCCCGCAGTGGCCCAACTTCCTGTGCCCGAACTGTCGCTTCATGGCCGACCTGGAGGCCGATGTCGAGCAGCCAGAGGACGAGGATTGGGACGAAGAATCACCCGAGGAGATGGCGAGGTCACAATCACACGCGCAAGGTGAGCCAAGTGGCTCGTCTGACGAGAGCGCTGAAGCTCAGCACAGTGACGATGGCGAGCACATACGCACGAACGCACTCCCGAGAAACAGCAGTCGCAACCGCAATCAGCAGACAGACGAAGACCTGGCTGCGCTTATGGGCCACACGGCGCTGGACACGCCGTCTCCAATGCATGAGAACCGACCGCCTCGGCTGAACCATGGTGAATCGTCATCCATTACACAGCCTATCAACATTGCGTCCAACGGAGGGTCGCGGACTACGAGTGACCCTATCGGACCGAGGTCGATGACTCCAACATCACATGCTCCATTTGCTCTGGCTGCTGGTCCAATTGTGGAGGGGCCTATGACTCCGCGAAACGATGCTGGACCGTTCATTTTGGACGGCACCGCTGGGAGGGAGAGAAACGTGGCACCGCCGGTGCAGGAGGTCAGCGAGCCGGCGTCACTAGAAGAAAAATCATTGAGAAGGACATAGTGTACTCCTCAGTGTAAGATGCAGTGAATCTGCGAAAGCTCTACGCGAGTTAGGGGGAGACTTGGGCCCTGGGAAAGTTATAATGGTTTTGACGTTACTGTCATTTTCGCAAAGCATCTTCGATCTTGAGCGTGCATTGGAGCGAGGCGTTTGGTATGTGTGGGTATATTCTGATATGCGGCGTGGGCATCGGGCAAGGTCATCTAGGTATCGCCGATATGAGCACTCTTTGACAAGTGCGAACACCAGTTCCGATCCTTGCTGTCTCTGCCGTGTTTGTGCTCCAGAAGTGCCGAAATTCGTGAGGCTCTGCCGGCGGTGCGTCTGCTTCACTCGCTGTTCTCCAACGCGGTGGCAATCTCGAATACCCCAATTCCCACGTGATCGAGCCGTGTCGAACACCTCCCACCTCCCAAACCAAAAACCCCATCCATTCAATCCTCCAACCCCTTCAACGCCTCCACATCCCTCCAATCCCCCTCCCCATCCCCCTCCTCCTCCCTCTTCTCCACAACAATCACCTCCACCACATTCCCCCTCCCCAAGCCCCCTTCCGACCCATGCAAATGCGGACACCCCTCCATGCCCTCCAAAAATTCCACCCTCCCGTCTAAGTCTTCCACGCGCAATTTCAGGAGCCAGAGTTTTCGGTGGCCGGAGAAGAAGCTGTTTGCCGTCAGGGGGGTTTGGGTTGCCGTGGAGAGGTGGATGAAATTGTCTTTTGAGTCGAGGGGGCTGAGGGGGAGGGTGGGCGGGAGGAGGGAGGGGGGTGCGGTGGGGAGGATTTTGTAGAAGTATGTGTGCGTGGAAGTGTGAGGTGGTGGTGGTGGTGGGGCGGCGGTGGTCGTCATGGTTGGGGCGGGGTGGGGTGGGGTGGGTTGGGTTGGGTTGTTTGATGGGATGGAGGAGGGGTGGGAGTGGTGGTTTGTAATGGAGAGAGTTATCAGGTTGCTGTTCAAGAAGCCGCACGTGCGGTCGGGGAAAGCTCGGTGATAGCGTTCATGTGGGTCTCTTGTAAGATGCAGTGGTCATACAGCAGGGCTGCCGATTGTAATTATTCTACCATTTACAAGGATTCGAGTTGTTTTACAGAAGGCTTGCGACTTCCGTCGTAAGGCTGTCGTGTCCCTTGGAGTTCATGATCTTCGCCTTGGCATTCAGAGCTCCACAGAGATCAAAAAGCTCTCCGTCCTCCGGGGCACAGTAGATCAGGTACCCAAATGCCAACAACAATGCTTTAGTAGCATCTGCACTGTCTTCGTCGGAAAAAGTTTCCAGAAGTGATGCGGCCAATTCCACCTGCTCAGCTTCCGCCAACGCATCGTCTCCTTCTTCCCGGCGAACGCGATAGTTTGAAGTAGCCAGATTGAAAGCTAGAGAAGCAGCAGCTACACGTGTCGTTGGATGTGTAGTATCAAGTAGCGAAGATGTGATGAGTTGGATGAGCTGGGATATTGAGGTGTCGTCCGAATGGAAGAGCTCTCTCACATATAGTGGAGAGGCAAAGACGTTGCACGCCAGGTGTATTGTGACCAAACGCAGATTATGCGGGCAGTCTTTCAAATTGTTGACATGCTCAATCAACGCCGGTACGGTCTTTGGCTGATTCTCTTCGGCGAAATAGCCCCCCACTCGTGGATCGACCATAGCGCATCTCAGGAGATCGACGGCGGCGAAGCGGACTTCTGTAGGTAGTGCAAGCACGTTGGATTGGAAAGTCTTAGACATGCTGTGTAGATCAGGAAGGGGTGCCTCTTTCGGATCTTCGCTTCGCTTTTCCAAGAATGTCCTCAAGGCAACAAGATCTTTCTGCGTTGAAGAAGAACCGATCTTTGCCATCAGCTTATCGAGAGGCGGTACCTTTGCATATGTTACCGGCCGCATCGAGCCAAATTGTAAGGTGGGCACCTTCAACGTCAAGTGGCGATGCGGAGGAAATGTCGCTTGAATGAGTCGCTCGACATGCGATTTTAGCACATTGGGATCCGCTCCAGACCACTCGTCTTGCTTGGCGCCCTTCGAGAAAGTCATAAAGGTTGGAGTAGCCCGAATTTGATATCTCATCGCGACGTCTTGCGCTGCGTTGATGTCGACCTTGACGAAGAGTGCTTGGGGGTTTTCGCCAGCTAGATTGTCGAACATTGGGTATGCCAGTCTGCACGGTGCGCAAGTGGAAGATGTGAAGAAGATCGTAACGCATGTATCGGAGGCTGCCGCTGTGTGCTCCTGTAGTGTAGTCAGACTTGACAAGTTGATCACCTTGCCATATCTGCTCGTCGATCCATTTGTCGACACCTCGTTGTTCGTAGCTACTGAAGGTACTTTGGAAGACCCAGATGAGGAAGACGCGGCACCATTGGGAGGCGGCCTATTAGGCGCAGGAACCTCGGCTTGTGTAATTGATCTCATGCTGGCATCGATCTGGGGCTTCAACATCTGTCCAAATGGCGTATCCAGCACCTTCTGCGGGAGGCTCGTGATATGACCAGGTATTCCTCGGCCAACTAAGAACATGGCAAAGTCGTTTGTGAAGTTGTTGCCTGTGGTAGAACTTGTTTAGCCAATCGAAATATCTGTTTGAACCATCGTTTGATGATACTTACAGTTGTGGGCGAACAAGTCATAGCTCTCGGGGGTGTAGACTTCCTTTAAGCTCTCAAGATATTCCATGATCGTTTCCATCGGTAGGTGAGTAGTCCCTAGAGGTATTATCTCCATCGGCTGGCCATGATGTGTGGTTCCGGGGTAGCAGGTCTGGACGCCAGCACCAAAGAAGTATTCGATGTCGCCAAATACCAGGGAAGTATGATAGACTGCTTCGATGTGGATGCCGAGAAGCTGTTGAGATATGGCTTTCGCCATACCTCTTGTGAGGTCGTAAACGTATAGCTGGACGTCCATTGTAGGGGTGGCAAGCTAGCTCGGGATTCGTAATTGGAAGTTGGAGAAGGCAGGATATTGTTGATCACCGCCTGTTCAGTATTGTTGGTTCATGTACCGGTCCGTCGATTCAAGCCTGTGAAAAGGAGTAAAACTGTACATATAACACTGGGGAAGGTAAGAGAAAGTGGCAGGCTGCCGCTGTCTGACGTTTGATATCATCCCGTGCGAGAAGCCTTTAGTGGCCTAGCATGCAGATCGTCTCGGGCCGTTCCAGGTACCAAGATTAGGGGTCCAAGCGGCGCAGAGGCCTATGGCTGGAGCGAGGGGCGAAGTTGAGAGCGACTCGTGTTCACTTTTCCATCTCTCTTTCCCTTGCAACACCACCTTCCTCCAGTAACGTACGCGAATCGATTCTCACCAAGTCGCTCTTTCAACGGGGACATTCGCGACGGCATTGAGTGCAATGACTTGAGAGTTGGGCCAACTCACTACTTAATGTCAACCACCACTGGTACACACCAACGACCTTCGCTCTGGTCGTACGTGAGCTTCAGTTCCACGCCTCGTCGCCGTTCCTCCTCCCTTACACTACCGAAGAGGGAGTCACAGGAGCCCCACGAAAAGCGCAACCGCCACGATTCGTTCAGCAAACGCAAATCGGGATCAATGCAAGAAAAGGTACAAGCCGCGTGGATGAATCAAGGCACAAGGGCGCGGTACATCAAGACCGGCTGCTTGATCTTCTTCGTGCTCGCAGTTCTATACTACATCGTTCCTGGAGGCAAGTATGCTGGCACGGATTCTCTGTCCAGTGCTGGGAAGTTTCCAGGAGGAGATGTACCCAGCGACCCTTCGATTTCTACGACAAGGTGTACGCGTAGCTATTCAAAGGACAAGCCTCTGATTCAATATGCGCTCATGATCGATGCGGGAAGTACGGGCAGCAGAATACACGTCTACCGATTCAATAACTGCGGGCCAACGCCCGAGCTGGAAGATGAGAAATTTGAGATGACAGCGAAGAAAGAGGGTGGTTCCGGGCTGAGCAGCTACAAGAGCGATGCTGAAGGCGCGGCTAAGAGCTTGGATGTGCTCATGGAAGTTGCGATGAAGCATGTGCCGGACAAGATCAAGGGATGTACTCCGGTGGCAGTCAAAGCCACCGCGGGCCTGCGCAAACTTGGGCCCGAAATGAGTGATGCCATTCTCAAGGCTGTTAGGAACAGATTGGAGACGGTCTATCCGTTTCCCGTGGTCAGTGAGGAGAAGGGCGGAGTCGAGGTCATGGATGGTAAAGATGAGGGTGTATATGCTTGGATCACCACCAATTATCTCCTGGGCAAGATCGGCGGCCCGGATAAGAGCCCAACCGCTGCAGTTTTCGACCTTGGGGGCGGTAGCACTCAGATCGTCTTCGAGCCGACATTCAAGCAGGCTCCGGACGGAGGTATGCCGGAGACACTCAAAGAAGGTGACCACAAGTACGATCTCAACTTCGGCGGACGTGACTTCACCCTTTACCAGCACTCCTACCTCGGCTATGGTCTTATGGAAGCACGCAACAATCTGCACCGGGTGATCATCGAAGGCATGTATGAGAACAACGAAGCGTCGAGTACATGGCTGAATAAGCCCGTGTCCAACCCTTGCTTTGGCATTGGCATGAGCAAGGAAGTAGAGGTCTCTCTGGGCGAAGGCCATGCTCTCGGAAAGAGCGTCTCTGTCAATATGACTGGTCCAGCTGTTGGTAGCCCAGCGCAATGCCGAGCGTTGGCGGAGAAGACGTTGAAGAAGGAAGCGGAGTGCAAGCTTGCTCCGTGTGCATTCAACGGCGTCCACCAGCCAAGCCTTGAGAAGACGTTCGCCAGGGAAGACATCTATCTTTTCTCTTACTTCTACGACCGTGCACAGCCATTGGGAATGCCGGAGTCATTCACGCTTCGTGAGCTGAAGGACTTGACCGCTCGTGTCTGCCAGGGTGGAGATGCCTGGAACGTGTTCGAATCGGTTCCTGGCGCCATGGAAGAGCTCAAGGACCGACCAGAGACATGCTTGGACTTGAACTTCATGTTGGCGTTGCTACATACCGGCTACGAGATGCCAATCGACCGAGAGGTCAAGATCGCAAAGAAGATCAAAGGTAATGAGCTGGGGTGGTGTTTGGGTGCGAGTTTACCGTTACTTAGCCAGGAGTCAGGATGGACGTGTAAGATTCAGAAGGTGCAGTGAAGGACCCGACCCGTAGGGCGCGGTCGTGCATTGGATGGCGTTTTGGGGGAATATGACAGATGCTATTGTGTAGATCTGCGTTACATTTCCAACACTGTATTTCGTTCTGAGGTAAACATACTTCTATCTGTCGCCCTGGCGGTCGCGCATCAAGGTAGCTTCTCTGGATTGGGACTAGCGCGGCTGTACCTGCAGAAGTAGCGCTCGGGCCAGATTATGGCACTCAACTAGCCTCGTCTTGCCCTTGCCCTGCTTCACTCACATAGCAACGACCAACGACCACCCAACTCTCCGTCTCGACTTGCTCAACCTGCCGTCGCCGACACCATCACCTCCCGTCGGCCATATCGCTACTCTTTCGAGATTGCTCGGTCTTCTCCCGCATAACACCTATCAGGGTCAAGATCCGCCGCGCACAGAAGCAGTGGACCATTTTGTTGGCCACGCACCGAAGCCAGAGCGGCCGCCGCCGCATGCTACTCTTCGCGGAGTGAGCTTGGCCACATTTTCTTAAACCTCATACAGAAGGCACACATCTCATCGGAGCTGAACACTATCGGAGCGCGCGGTCAGTATGGAGTCGATTGCCTTCAAGGAATGGGCGAAGTCGGAAAGCCTGGTGCTCAACGCAAAACTCCAAGAGTTCGACGGCGCCGTCGTCGGCTTCGATGGCGAGGACTACCTCCACACGCTGCTCACCAATCCCCAGACCCGCGAGCCTCTTCTTCCGGCGCTTGGCGGCCTTCCATTTGCTCTCGAACAACATGTCGACAGCGATCTAGAGAACCTGAAGAAGGCCGGCATCAAGCCCATGTTTATTTTCAATGGCCTCGATACAGCATGCAAAGATCGCAAGAGTATTGCGAAGGAGAGCCAGAAGGCCATTGCTGGTCTGGACGAAGGTGCGGCGACCTATCTCCTTCTGCATTCCCCTTCCTCCCTGACGAAAAGCTGTGTAGAATCTAACATATTACAGCGTGGCGAGTATACGATCTTGGACGAGGCGACGATGCAGTTCTGGCATTCGGTAAAGCATGCACGTACCGGACATCACACATCGTGAGATCACTTCTCTTCCACCTCCACCGAAAGGGTGTGTATGTGGCGGTAGCGCCGTACAGCGCTGCCGCGCAGCTTGTGCACATGGAGCGGGAGAAGTACCTCAGCGCCATATACGGCTCCGCATCAGTCCTGGTCTTTGGCGCTGAAAAGGTCTTGATCAGTTTCGATTGGGACAGTAAGCGCGTTGCGTTCATCTCCAAGGATCAAATCCTTGCGAAGCTTGTGCTGAACCAGTCACAATTCGTGGATCTGTGCCTTCTCGCCGGCACAAGCATATTGTCGCCTCTCCCGGAAATCGACATGGATTCGACGCCCAAGATTCCTGCCGCTCGAGCAGTAATGGCACAAGCCGGTAATGACGGTCACGCTGTTTGCGTTCGAGCAAAGGATGAGGACTATCTCGCACTTTTCCGCAAAGCGAAGGCAGCTGTCAAGCACATGGTGATCGTTTTCGAGAATGGGGAGATCAAGCAACTTGATGCAGAAAACGTCTCGAACGATACTCACGAGTTCATTAGTCAAAGGCTGCCCGAAGAGATCTTTGCATACCAAATGCACGGCTTCGTGGGGCATCGAGTACTCAACTGGCGCACGCGGCAGGAAGTCTTCGAGACTCCGCCGTTGGATGGAGGCAATTCCCAAGTATACAGGGTAAGCATGCCATTTCACCACTAATTGGGCCCTACTGACTGGCAATAGGAGCTCGTACAAGAGAAGCTGCGGCCTCTACGTACGCGAACACTTGCTCTCCTGACCCAACCGCTGCATAGGTACTTCTCCAAGAAGGAGGTGGACCTGATATGCTGGTTCAACGAAAACGGTAAGCGACCACTTGGCGTGAGCGACGCTTTATCTCCAGACAACACCAGAGACGCCGAGAGCTGGCATGTCAAAGAATCCCTCATGTCTCAATCCGCCGAAGCGAAGCAGATCGACGTGAACACATGTCCGATTCAGTATGCAATCGCTGTGCTGTCTGACGAGACACTGGCAAAGAAGACCGTTACCCGGAAAAACAATGGAGAGCATTCTGTTCTCAGTCATCAAAAGGAGCTCCTGTCAAACATCATGTGGCGATTCCTGCAAGACAGAAACTACATCAATTCGGACCATACGCTCTCGGCTTGGGGCAAAGCGCTGAAGACGGCTTTTGAGCAAGCAAGCAGCGACGGCTATCTAAGCAAGACAGGTATGTGCGTGCCCGACTTCAATCTGCGCGTCTCTGACGATTTGCAGATCCACCTGGCGAGGCAGAAGAAGCGATATTCCTAGCGTTCGAACTGCTACGAATGGATGTACTCAACAACAAGCAGCTCTTCCTCACTCCTCCGTATAGCGGCGCTCCAATGCGTGGCAGCGAAAGCGACAAGGCGAATGTGCTATTAATTAGCCGCGTCGCTTGCCTCGGAACTTTCCAACACGATGCGATTGGCTACACAGGACCTCTGTCAAGACACCTGCTCGCCTTTCATCAAGTGGCAGCCGCAGTGCGCAACAGCCTGCGTGACCTTACGGAGATCCATGGCTGCAATATGATGATGAGTGGAAGTGCAGTGCGTATCAGGGACAATGCCGACTTCACGGATGTTGGTGCAAAGCTTCCTTTTGGCAAGGAGCCTGATCTTGGGTTGGCGCTTGTGGTTAAGAGCCACTTGGATGAGCTATCGCAAGAGCCCTCGCGCCGCGCGAATATTGCACAATGGTTCAATCACGCGCTCGACATCTCTGCTGATCTCGAAAAGGCGTGGAAGATGTGGGACGCGATCAATGCAGGAGTCCAGGCTGCTGACAGTGCGATATTATCGACTGAGATCAGGAACATGTTCGCGAACGCAAACACATGGCTGCAGGAGAAGACGAAGGCTTCACGAATGAGCAACGGTACCGATGGAGCCTCGTAGAATGAGGTCCGGTCTCCTAACTCACCCCCTGTCAGCTCATCAAGCAGTAGCTACTATCCGCCTTCAGAGGAACCAGATGAGGAGAGCGAGAGCCTAGCACAGGCCCGCGCCGCCCGTGCTGATAGGTGGCTGAGCCAGTTCATGGATCCTTCAGCTGTGTAACAACATGGAGTTTGGACGTCTCTATCGCGCTCTAGCTCTTGTCACATCGACAGAAAGCTTGAAGGACTTCTGAGTAGTTAGTTCTCGTACACTCTGTGCAGTGTAAATTGAAAACACGTGACTATCATGGAAAGTCTTGGCAATCCCGATACCTTCTCCGAAGTCATCCTAGGATAGTTCGCTTTCTCCAACTTATCCAGTCAACATGCCTTTGCAAGCCCTACGAACAGTAGCAAAGCCTCAAGTGTGTCTTGAAACATATGCCGCGCTGATCGAGGGCTAATGTGGTCCGCAGAATGGCGTTGGCGCCTTCATCCTCCAATGTAAACGCCTCGATTTCTACTACTGCGACTGGGCCGGCAGCAGCAGAGGCATGAAGTCAGTCACTACCCCCTTTTCCCAGCGTAGTATGTCAGACACTGACGCTACTGATCTGTGTAGCGACTTCCTCAAGAAGTCCCTCCCGACCTTTGCGCGCGAAAACCCCAACATCGAAATCACCGTCTCTCCTCGACCCAAGAAACACCCCGTCGTGACAGGACACTACATCAATGGGCGACAAAAGGCGATATGTGTGAGGAATATGACACCGGGTGAGATACTGGGGAAGGTGCAGTTGTTGAGGGGGGCTAGCGGGGAGAAATTGAAAAGGGTTGTCGGGAGTGGGAAGGTTCGGAGTGAGAAGGAGAGTGTGCGAGGTGTCTGGAGTCCGTTCCATGGGAAGGAGATGTTTAGGATATGAAGAGAAAAGGGAGCAATTGGGGTGGCATGGACGAGACAGAAGAAGAGATGGAGGTGGAGGCGGCGTGGACACGGGTTATGTGTACGATACTCTTTTGCATTGGGCGGCGCACAACGAACGGGACAGATACCCGCAATGGAAGATTTGACATATTGCACAAGAGCTGCGGATATGAGTGGGTTGCAATTGTGAGAAGAGACTGCATGTGATGGGTATAGGAAGCACAACACATCCGGGTGCCGTATCGCTTCCCAACGGAACTCGAACCCTCCCTCACGTTTTTGCGCTCCGTCGTCTCGTCAAGCTGTCAATTAGATCAGAAAAAGCACCTCTGAGCCGCCCTGCCCGTCAATCCCAACAGGATCAAACTGCTCGTCGCAAAAGCCACGAACCGCCTCGGAATCACATTCGTCGTCGCCTGCAACAAACTGTGCACCACCCTCATAGCCACATATCCCCACGCCAGCCCGACCGTAACCCGATCGTCCGCCTCCATAAACGCCAAGCTCAGAGCCACGGCGTAGAAAACGGTAGGTTGCTCGTGGAGGTGGTCATAGTTGTCCGCGGGGAATTGGCGATGGCGCGGGATCTGGCTGTTCATGTCCGCCTTGGACATGCTCGGGTTGACTTTGACTTTGTATTTCTGCAGGTCTGGGAGGCGGTAGGCATACCTGCAGAGAAGAAGAAGAGGAGGAGGAGGTTAATAATGCTGTGGATATATATCATGGAGAGCTTGGGGGGGGGGGGGAAGATTTACATCCAGGATTCCATTACGAAGGTCCATCCTGCGAGACCCAGGACCGGCCCGATCATTGGTGGGATATTTGGAGCCATGGTGAGGGAATTGCACTGTTCGGGTGAGTGTTTGTTGGTGGTTGGATTCAATTTTTGTGAATTCGGGCGAGATCGACGGCAGAGGACGGCGGAGCTTTGTAGCTCCACACGCTGTTGCGTCCCAAGGCTACCTAGTAGCGACTTCAGCTTATGTATTGAGACCGTGCACAGTGCTTACATACAGCGACATGGCTTGATGTAGATAACGAAAGGCAGCAGCCATTGTTCTTCTCACATTGCAAAAGTGAAGCCATGCGGCTCACTGTTGACCAGGCATCCAATGTCCCCATTCAGCATACTTGGGAATCAATTCCAACGCCCAATGCAACGGATGGGTAAAAGTTGAAACGCGCATACCTACCTTTTTGGTTCTAATGACCTGGTATAAACATTTCCAGAACCTTGCAATGCGGAGGCCAGTTCCTACCATATTTCAACTCCTCCTTACGCGCCTGGCGAAACATACACTTGTAACCAACATTCATTTTCCAGCCTATTGAGTCTCAAGATCAATCGGATGGGCAACATCCACGCAGACTTATATCTGCTTTCGCCGATGCGGCTGCTGCTCCTCGTGATTCTACTCCATGTGTTCCTGCTCTTGCTTCCGCTCCTCATTCCGCATCTGCTGCATTTCCTCCAGAAACTTCGGACCTCCAAAGCGTTGCGCTGCTCCTCGGTCCCTCCAGTACGCCTCTCGTGGCCTGCGCGTCCATTCGCCTGGAGGCCACATGATCGAGGGTGTGCTTGGGTGTATCAACGTGAAAACCAATTGTGCTCGAGAGTATGAAGCCTCGTGGTGAATTCGAGTTACGGCGTCGCTCGCTCAGTGCGGCAAGTTCCGAGTTTGCATGTGAATTGCGCCAGACCGGTATTGGCTTTGTTTGAAGTCCATGAAAGCAAAAGGCGCTGCGCCGTGAAAGCATAGCTGCGCAACTGTGTAGCTTAGAGCCTTAGATGTTTCCTGGAAATATGACCAATGAGGGAAAGTCCAATGGGCGCTCGTTGCTGAGGACAGTCTGGTAGCTGTTGAGTCATCCGGGTACCGATCTTGTGTTGGCTTTCATCCCTTTTGAACCCATCTCTGGATTTCTGCGTCCTCTTCAGGATTTCCAACCCACAACAACATCATAGATAGCATATCCAACCCCAAAAAGCAAAGCTCAACTCAGGATGGAGCATTCACGCCGATTTCGTCGAATTGGGCAGGGCCATTGCGGCAGCGTCTGGGCCGAAGACACGGATATACCAACTCCGACAGATGCGATCAAGCGCGAAGACATGGGCGAAGGTCGCTCACTCCTGAACGACTCAATCATGCACAAGCGCATCGAGTACAGTCTGAAAGAAGTTCAAGCAACCCTCGGATTTCCAACGCATGTCAATATCCCGGCACACCGAGAGTACATTAGAAACGACGATGATGCATGGTGGAGACATCACGCATCGAGTTTCCCGTCTGGTTATGAGCACTGCAACACTCTCGTCACAGAGCGCATCCTGCCGTTTCAAACCCGAACGCGCGAGAAGTTGATTGATCTTTTCTGTCCACGGGATAGCAGAGAGCTGGTCAAGCGAAACCCGCAAGATACTGATTGCATAGTGCGATCGTACCTTGGACGCAGAACACACAACCCTCGCCCGAGCAGGTTCTTCAAACTGCGCAATAAGCCTCTCCACATGGACCAGATGGAGAGCATGAGCCTTCCGGTCGAAAGCTACGCGCGAGTGATGGCTGAAGCCTTGGCAGTCATCTACTGGCACGCGAAGACAGATGCCAGAGACGTCGAATTCGTGCTTGCCCCAAGCCGACCAGGCGAGCAGACATTCGGTTCTGACATCTTAGGACCGCACAGAATGTGGATACTGGACTTCGATTGCGTCAGGGAAATCACCGTCGACAAGGACGGTGTCGAGAAAGCTGCTCAAGCCTTCTTGGGCGACCATGGGAATGACCCTTACTTTCCACGTCCCGGAAATGAGACCGAAATGGATCGTAAGCTGTGGACCATCTTCTCAGATCGATTTCTGGCGTGCAGCAAGATGATCACAGGAGACAGCGAGCTGCCAGAGATGTTGATCCACCGCATCGAAGAGTTCGGGGAGGAGAGAAGGGCAAAGGTGAGCACAGCCCGCGAGGAGTAGCGAGGAGCACCGGAAGTGCATGGCGTCCGCAATCTTTCACGAAAGTCGCAAAGTACCCTCTCGTTTTCATTTGTAGCCGTTTCGAGACTCGCTTGAACGCTTCCAGCTCTATCATCATACATTTCTCTCATGACGGTCGTCTAATCCTCATGCGTAACGGCCGTATCAAGCACTTCGACCCTGGCTCTTCCTTTCGCTTGTGCGCTCGTAAACTCACTGAGAGTCTTGAAGCTGCCTGGCTCCACGAAACCCACACACTCCCATTCGTCTCCCGCCACGTCCTGGTTCTCGACCTGCTCCACGAAGCTCAAAATCTTGTCCTTGACCGAGCTCGATGTCGCCTCTTCGCCTTCTGACTTGGGCGCTGACTTCACAGTCTGCTTTGTGATGCTCGTTGGGCAAGTGATTCTCAGCCTCATCCTCGCCCGTGCAACTGGAATGGGCTGGTGCGCGATCAGAGCCTTCATCGCTTCCAGAGCCTGCGACTTTGCACTTCTTGTTGTAGTCACGCCCGTCCACTTTGGCTTTGCTTTCTCCGTCTTCTCTTCGCTGCCGTTCGCATCGCCGTTCGACTTGGCCGGTGTGCTTGATCCAGACTCAATTGGCGCAGCGCTCTGATCTCTGCTCTTGCTCCTATCGCTTCCTTCGGCACTGCCTTTACCAGCGCTACGTCCGGCTTGTCCTCCTTGACTGCTAAGCTGATCCAGCGCTTTCTCAATCATACCCGTTGTATACACTCTTTTGCTCTTTGGGTCGACTAACCTGCCTGCAACGATCTCGATCACCTCCTTGTGAACTCTGTCCAACTCTTGTGACCGCTCCTTCTCACCAACCTGGATCTCTCCCTTCTTCAAAATTTCCAGTACCACTTCGTCTCTTGTCATGCCCGGAAAGGCCTTCTTTAGTTCCTCATTCGGAGCAACCTGGCCTTTTGAGACGTTCAAGAAGACGTTGGGTATTTGCAGGACATTGTCGAGGTCTGTCTCGTTGCCGGCGCGGAAAGACGTGACTGTGTTCTTGTAGCAAGCGACTTCGAAACGCTTTTTGCCCTTCTTCATGCGAACGAGCGACACATTGGTTAACTTGATCTGGTTTGACGGCTGGTTGATCTGCGCCGACGGCATTTTGACTCTTTGATCTGTGACTGTGTATGTTGTGAAGGGTCGCTCGACTTGCGTACCGAAAGTGTGAAATATCTCGCGGCTTGGAAATTCGACTCACGTTCACTCATTTCATCATCGGCACGTGATAGGGCGGCTAAACATCGGCGATTTGCGATAAGGTTCACGCATGATGCGTTGCTGTGGAAGGCGCTTGCAGGCAGGTTGGCAGGCGGGCAGCGGAGGAGGCGAGACAAGTAGTCACGCACGCCGACACCTGACTGCTCCCTTTGCTCTACCATCCTGCTTCTCTTCTTCCCTCCCTCTTCATCTCACAGCTTCTCTCTCTTCCAATCCATCAGAATCCCGCTGTCTGGTCATTTGCGATACCAGCAGCTTCATTTGTAGCTTTGTCACTCTTCCTGTTCCGCTTGCGTCTCCAAAGCCACCCTAGCTCTCCACAGTCCCACCGCGTTGGGAAGCTGCTCCTCTGAGCATCAACTCATCCACCGACCATCATCATGAAGGTCGCAGCATCGGCGCTCCTCGTTGGAGCTGCCGTGGCCTTCGTCCCGCAACAGCAACAGCCATTGCAAGCTCCCGAAGCCGTCCAGAATGTCCTCAAGACGGCAGGTGATAAGGCCTCCGGCTTGTCCAAATCGTGGAAGAACCTCCAGCATGAGCTCAAACATCTTACGGAAGAGGCCCGTCAGACCTGGGATGAAGTCGCGATGATGTTCCCCGAGGCCATGAGCCAGACATCCTTCTTCAGCAGCCCGAAGAAGCACTCTCGCAAGCATGACAGGGAGTGGGACTTTGTCACCTCTGGCAAGTCTATTCAGGAGCTGTACACTACCAATTCCAAGGGAGAGAAACAACGCGAGATTGATGGCCACCTCGAGAACTTCAATCTCCGCACGAAGAAGGTGGACCCTCAGAGCTTGGGCGTAGACAAGGTCAAGCAGTATTCTGGATACTTGGACAACGAGGAGGACGACAAGCATCTCTTCTACTGGTTCTTTGAATCACGAAACGATCCCAAGAACGACCCTGTGCTCCTCTGGTTGAACGGTGGTCCAGGTTGCTCTTCGCTTACTGGCCTGTTCATGGAGCTCGGCCCATCTTCAATCGAGAAGGATGGTAGTGTGAAGTACAACCCGAGTAGCTGGAATGCGAATGCTTCGGTAATTTTCCTCGATCAGCCTGTCAACGTGGGATACTCCTACTCTGGAAGCAGTGTGTCAAGCACCGTCGCAGCTGGGAAGGATGTCTACGCTCTCTTGACTCTCTTCTTCAAGCAGTTCCCAGAGTACTCTCACCAGGATTTCCACATTTCTGGAGAGTCGTACGCCGGTCACTACATCCCCGTGTTCGCCTCTGAGATCCTTTCTCACAAGAAGCGCAACATCAATTTGCAGTCCGTCCTCATCGGCAACGGTCTGACCGATGGTCTCACCCAGTATGAATACTACCGCCCAATGGCTTGCGGTCAGGGTGGCTGGCCAGCTGTTCTTTCTGAATCAGAGTGCACCAGCATGGACAATGCTCTTCCTCGCTGCCAGAGCTTGATCGAGTCTTGCTACAATAGCGAGTCTGTCTGGTCTTGCGTTCCGGCCAGCATCTACTGCAACAACGCTCTGATTGGCCCATACCAGCGTACCGGGAAGAACCCATACGACGTTCGAGAGCAGTGCAAGAACGGAAACCTCTGCTACGATGAGCTCGACTGGATTCAAGAGTACCTCAACAGGGCAGAAGTCAAGAAGGCTCTTGGTGCCGAGATCGATAACTACGACTCCTGCAACATGGACATCAACCGCAACTTTCTTTTCAACGGCGATTGGATGCAGCCATTCCACCGCCTGGTCCCGGGCATCCTAAAGGAGATCCCAGTGCTTATTTACGCTGGTGATGCTGACTACATTTGCAACTGGCTTGGAAACCTGGCCTGGACGAACGAGCTGGAGTGGTCTGGCCAGAAGGCTTACCAGAAGGCTTCTCTGGAAGATCTCAAGCTCTCAGATGACGGCTCCAAGATCGGATCTGTTAAGTCGGCTCAAAACTTGACTTTCACCCGCATCCATGCTGCGGGACATATGGTTCCGTACGACCAGCCTGCTGCTTCGCTTGATGTGCTCAACCGCTGGTTGGCGGGCGAGTGGATCGAATAGACGGCATCACGAGGCTGTAGGAATGGAGATTCATTGATCTGTGAGGAATGGTAGTTAATCCTGTGCGAAGATAGATAGGCTCACAATGGAATGCCTCAATGGCCGTGGCGCACTCAAAATTGTCCATTTTCAAATTGGTGAGACTTCTATAGAGTACGAATGTGGACGCGCCCCTCGAGTGATCGTAGTTGCAGCAAAGTCTATCCGCACCTACCTCCCTATGCTATTCGTACAAAGGAGTCCTTGCAGACCACGCGTGCCGTACAGAAAAGGGGAGCAGAAAGCATCCAACAAATAAGCAAGAAGGAAAAAAGGAGCCTCCCCAGCTTTCCTAAGTCCGCCTGTGGTCGTCTCCTTGCTGATCGTACAAAGTCGTGTGCGAGCCGGTTCTTACCCTTGAGGAGGTAGTCCGACTCACCGTTGTGTCTTGCGTGTTTTCCTAGTGGCTCGGTTCACCAGCTTGCTGTTGCGGTTGGCAGCAGCTTCGTCCGAAACCCGGTGTCTGCGGGTGAGTTGCTGTAGTGAGTTGCGCTGATCAGTATACTTACCCAGCGCGTAGGATGCTTGTGTCGGGATGCCTTACCATGATACCCGTCTTGCGGAAAGCACGCTCAGTAGCGGCGACGAGCCTGCCTCGGGTCATCGTAGCCGCCGCCGTCGAATGGGCGCTTCTGCCCGCTATTGTAGTCTCGATCTCTGTCGCGGTTCCGATCGCGGTCGCGGTCGCGGTCTCGGTCTCGGTCGCGGTCCCGCTCGCGGTCGCGATCACGATAGCCACCACGCGGTGGAAGTGGCTCGAAGTTGGCGTTGCGAGAACCGCGATCATTGAGGCGTGAGCCGCCGCCATCGCCATGTCCGGTTCGCGGACCAGAGGGAGCGCCAGGAGGACCACCATTTTGATAGCCTATGCCACCACGACCACCGAAGCCGCCACGACTTCCTCCTCGAAATCCTCCCCCTCTGCCACCTCGGAAGCCACCACGATCGAAACCTCCGCGGCGCGGGAAGCCGCCAGCACCCGGGGGCAAGCCATAGCTTCTCTGTTGTATCGCCTTGATGTAGTTGCGACCTCCTAGGCCACCACCAAAGCGGCGCGGCCTCCATCCCGGCTCGGTCCTGCCTCTCTCGACGTCGACAATAACTTCTCTGCCCCCGATGCTCATGCGCTCGGCGGCCTTGTATGCGGCTATGAGTATGTTAGCAATGTCTTAAGATCATTGAAGAGGGGGCCTTACTCTTTGCACCGCGCTCCGAATCGTACAGAATGAAGGCATAGCCGCGGGGCTTTCCCTTCGTCTTCGGGTTGTTGCCTCGGTCCTTCACAATGCGAATCTGTTCAATTCGGCCGAAGGCTCCAAATTGTGCTTGAAGGTCCTGTTCCCGGCAGTCGTAAGGCAGACGGCTCACAAAGATCGTCTTGAAAGCATCTCCGATGATGTTGATGTCACAAGATGTGTTGTACTGCGTCTTGAAGCCCTCCGTCACGAGCCACTTCTGTCGCTCTTGTTTTTCGAACTTCTCGCGGTCGCGACGCTCGAGGTCTGACTCGGTCCACGGAGCATGCTTCTCATGCTCCTTCTTCTCCTCGAGCGCTGGTAAGAAGCTGGCGACCCCGTCGATTCGTGCTGTGCGGCGGTGTTCCAGTGGATGGTCATGTGGTGGAAGATAGCGGAGCGGCGGCCGCGGCTGGAAGAGGTTCAGCAGATTTGGCGGCAAGCGGTCCGTCATGTCTGCGGCGAAGACGAGTGATACTTGATAGGAGGAGTTGAGTGTTTACTCCGTACGACGAGGCTCAGACTTCTGAGTCGCCGTGGATGGGTATGTGGGCCGGAGTGAAGCGATGCTCGTGTGCACGCCGCGCGTGCCGACGCCTCGAGATGCACGTGTCTGGTTCACTCGGAGATTAGTGACAGGTCCCGTGAGTATTGGGGTTTATCAGTAGCGAACCCCTCTCAGCGGGCAAGGCGGTGTGGCTCGGCTCGGCTTGGCTTGACTCGGCCTTCGATGTGTTGGTGATGGTCGAGGTTGTGTTGCGTGTTCGCAGAAGTCAGGAAGGAGCTCGAAAGTCGAAAGCTCACCTGTTCAGTTGTGGGCGTCTGTGCTAGTGCCCGGGCCGCTAGTTCCCGAGCCGTTAACCAATATTTGAAGGAAAGTTGGCCGCCTTGTTTTGCGCAGAGGCAGAGAGGGTGACGCACAAGAACTTCTGTTCATGTTCCTCGCAATACGACGCTGCTCTTCCAAAAGACATCCGCGATCAATCTGAGCTGCACCACGCGCCCGATGTTTCGAATATGACGACGAGGCTACTGTCCTCGCGCTTGGCCCCCTTTGTGCAGCGGATATCGACGTCGCTGCGACGTCCCATACCTCCAAATGTAGCCTCCATCTACGGCAGCGCCGCTCTTGTTGCCAACCGCCCTGTCTCCCACGCTGTGCTTTCACGCAGCGGTAGCGTGTTGCGGAAATGGCCACAGAGAAGACAGTGGCCACTGGGTCACAATACCATACACAACCTGCCCGCTGTACGCCATGCATCCTTTGCTCGGTTCCTACCCAGGTTGGCTACGAAATTGGTGCGGATACCTGCTATGTTGGGCGCCGCCATGATCGGAGGAGTCACATATTTGCAATATCAAGCTGCTCAGGGATGGTCATATGCAACCGACGTTTTCGGCAGGGCTAGGGATACGGCGAGCACGGCGGCCAACGGCTTACTGGAGGGCGCTGGCGATATCTTTGCGCAGATGAGCAGAGGCTATGACAAGACGAAGGATGAGGTGAAGGGCGTGCAAATGCCGCAATGGATGAAGGATATCTACGAAGGTCGGGCCGGAAGGGAGGGGGGCGGCGAGGGAGGAGGAGGAGGGCCAAACGCACCCAAAGAATCTAGCACTGGAGCTGCAGTCGCCGGCGCTGGTGCTGCCACAGCTGGTGCCTTTGCCATGGATGCGGATGGAGAGGACGAGCGATCCGAAGACACTGCAGCCAGGGATGATCAGATGATGATGCTCACCCGCAAGATGATTGAGATTCGATCCTTGCTCCAGTCGATAGGCCAGTCGGAGTCTTTGACTCTGCCATCAATAGTTGTCGTCGGATCGCAGTCGTCAGGGAAGAGTTCCGTCCTGGAAGCGATTGTTGGCCATGAGTTCCTTCCTAAGGGCTCGAATATGGTCACTCGAAGGCCAATCGAGCTCACACTGGTCAACACACCGAAAGCTCATGCTGAGTATGGCGAGTTTCCTGCGCTTGGCTTGGGCCGAATCACAGACTTCAGTCAGATACAAAAGACCCTGACAGACCTCAATCTGGCCGTGCCGGAAAAGGACTGTGTCTCGGACGACCCCATTCAGCTCAGGATCTACTCACCACACGTACCAGACTTATCTCTTATCGACCTGCCGGGGTATATTCAAGTCGAAGCGTTTGATCAGCCGACAGAGCTGAGAACCAAGATTCAAGACCTTTGCGACAAATACATTCAGCCTCCAAATGTCATACTTGCCATCTCGGCAGCAGATGTGGATCTAGCCAACTCGACAGCATTGAGAGCAGCGCGGAGGATGGACCCTCGCGGAGAGCGGACCATCGGAGTTGTTACGAAGATGGATCTGGTCGATCCTCTTCGCGGTGCACAAATACTATCTGACAAGAACTACCCTCTACGGCTGGGCTACGTCGGTGTAGTGTGCAAAATACCACAGGAATCCAGAACGCTGTTCTCAAGAGGATCAGCAAACATCACAAGCCTCATCACCAAGAACGAGTCGGCCTATTTCAAAGCACATCCCGAGGCTTTTGGGCCGGACGCAAAGATTGAGGGAACCGTTGGTACTCCAGCGCTGCGCAAGAAGCTAATGCATGTGCTGGAGTCCACAATGTCCGCATCGCTGAAAACGACGAGCGAAGCAATCCATCACGAGCTTGCCGAGGCATCCTACGAATTCAAGGTTCAATACAATGAGCGTTCACTCAGCGCAGAGAGCTATCTCGCAGAATCATTGGATGCATTCAAGCATGGTTTCAAGAGCGTCTCTGAGTCCTTCGGCCGGGATGAAGTGAGAGAGATCGTTAAGAATGAGCTAGATCAGCAGGTACTGAACCTTCTCGCACAAAGGTATTGGAATCGGCCGGTTGAAGACCTGCGACGTATTGACCCGTTGGCGGAAGGTGCACAGGAACCTCTCGAGAGTCTACCAAAAGCTGATCCAGAGAACCCACTATGGCATCTGAAGCTCGACGCTTCGACTTCCACTCTCACAAAGCTTGGTATTGGCAGATTAGCTACATCTGTTACCGCACAGGCTTTGCAGACTGCAGTTCAAGATCTAATCCAGAATACCCCGTTCGCATCCCACCCATTCGCTGTCAGCGCCATCACACAAGCTTCGGAGAATATCCTGCGAGACCTGAGTTTCGACACGAGCGACGAGCTGGAAATCTGCGTCAAGCCATACAAGTATCGTGTTGAGGTCAGCGACGCCGAGTGGAGGCAAGGGCGTGAAAACATTGGCCGTGTGCTCAAGGATGAGCTCAAGCACTGCGAAGAAGCTTTTAAGGCCGTTGAAGAGCAGATTGGAGGGAGGAGAAGAGCAAAAGACGTGATATCTTTCATCGATCGAGTACGAAAAGGAGATGTGGTCCTCGAGGGCGATGGCGTCGGTGGAGCTGGTGGCTTCTCAGCTTCGCTGCTTGAGACGGGCAAGCAGGCACTATTCCTTCGCGACCGGTCGGACATCCTAAGAATGCGCCTTGCTGCAGTCAAGAGCCGGCAATGCGCTCAACCGAAAAACAAATACTATTGCCCGGAAGTCTTCCTGGACGCCGTAGCAGATAAGCTAACGTCCACCGCCGATCTCTTCCTCGACGCCGAGCTCCTCAGCAAGTTCTACTATCAATTTCCACGTGTATTGGAGAAGTGGGGACGAGAGCTCGACGAGAGCACTATCGAGCGCTTTGCGCGAGAGGATCCTAAGATCCGAAGACATCTCGATGTGGTCAAGCGGAAAGAGCTACTCGAGCACGTGCTCAAAGAGATGGAGAGTTTGAGGCAGCTCGAAGCACGCGAAAAGAGAAACGGCTCCAGAGGAACACAGACGGACGAAGGTGGGAGAAGGAGAAGAGGCTGGGGGCTGTTCTAGTAATACTGAAGTCGTGATGATCTTACCAGGGCGTTTTACAGGGGGCTTTACTTGAGGCGGAGAATGATACCAATGACTGCTTGACTGCTTGCCAGATTTGAGGCATAGCGTTTGTATTCCGCTCACTTTCTGCAGCTGCTGATGTCGATTTGTAGATAAATCTTGTCTGTGACACTTTCCCATATGATCGGCGGTTCTGAGAGTGAGCTCTCCCGCGCCTTCTTCTTTGCCAGCTCGACTGCATTGTCAGTAGCCACGATCGTTGCAAATTTCTCCTCTCCTCTTCCTGAACTAGACTTTACACACCGGCAGCAGGATACACCTACGAACCTATATGGCTACACTTCTCACAAGCCGCACATCGTTCTTAGCTTCCCGCCCGACACATCGCCTACGCTCGGTCATAACCTATCCTGCCCTTCGACAACAAGCACCACAACGCCTGAACCATACGTTCGAAACACCCATCAACGTCTTCAGCCGTCTCGCCCCCTGGGCCCAATCCACTCTCCACTCCTCCTCCGACTGCCTCGTTTCCGTCCGGATCCGCAATCAGGACTCGACTCCTTTCCTCGTCCAACGTGCTCTCCTCGATCAGATAGCCGACACAACAACGACCGCGCCCTTTTCCATCCGACACTGGTCCTCGGGCCCTACATTGGACCTCACCGCTTTCGAAGAAATTTCCGCCCTGGTGTTTTTGTTCTGGCTGTACAGACGTCGACTCCCTGCGCTGGAAAGAGACTGTCTCTCGCAGCAACAATTGAGGGGTTTGGAAGTGAAAGGGAAAGGAGATGAGAGGGAAAAACAGGCCATGTGTGAGGAGAAAAAGAGCGAGTATCGCGCGGCTTTTGTGCTGGGATTGATTGATGCTTGGAGACTTGGGCATGCGCTTCGGAGTGCGGGATTTCAGAATGATGTTTTGCTTTGTACGGCTTCGTTGATTTCGCAAGAAGAAGGGTCTCCTTCCAACCGTGCCATCTCCTGGGCTCGAAGGGCGTTTGACGCGACTGCGGATCTGAGGCATGGAGGGGGAGAATTGAGGGAGTTTGCGGTTGATGTCGCGGCGAAGAGGGTTTATGATGTGGGCGTGAATGGGTGGGTGCTTAGTGCGGAGGAGAGGTTGGATTTGAGCTCTTGCTCTCAGTTTGGAGGGGAAGTTTTTGGGAGTTTGGGTGGGCAGATTGGATTGAAGGGGGTCGGAGTGAAGGAGATGGGGAGGGGGTATCTGGTTGATGACGGAGAGGGGGAGAAGAAGGTGTGAGAGTTGAGTGTAGGATTTCTTCCTCGAAGTTGATTTCTTTTCCTAGAAATTGGGTAGTACTCTGGGACCCGTTTTCCTTTTCTTTTGCTAAAGGCCGTGTTGTTAAAGAGGTCCATTCCGCACGGGTCTCTCATCTACAAAGCAAGGCAGCAACAAGGACCTACTGCTTCGCGTTGATGATGTCCACAAAGGCAGGCTTCAACGAAGCACCACCCACGAGGAATCCGTCGATGTCCTTCTCCTTGGCCAAGTCTTTGCAGTTCTTCTCACTCACGGATCCGCCATAAATGATTCTCGTCTTCTCCGCGGCATCCTTGCCCAGTTCTTGCCCAATCCACTGACGAATCTTGTCGTGTACTTCCTGGGCCTGCTCAGTTGTAGCGACCTTGCCCGTTCCAATAGCCCACACAGGCTCGTAGGCCACGACGACCTTGCTCCAATCCTTGACCTTATCCGAAACAGCTTTGAGCTGCGCAAGAACAACGTCAAACGTCTTGTTCGCTTCCCTCTGCTCCAAAGTCTCACCACAGCACAGAATCACACCCAGACCACCATCCAAGGCATTCTTCGTCTTGCTCGCGATGAACTGGTCTGTCTCCTGTATAATGACTCTTCGCTCACTATGTCCGAGGATGGTCCAGGTGATGTTGGAATCTTTGAGCTGTTCGACCGAGATCTCACCGGTGAAGGCGCCGTTTGGCTTGTCAAAGACGTTTTGGGCTGCGACTTCAATGCCAGAGCGGAGATGCTCGCGGGTGAGGAGCAGGTAGAGGGCTGGTGGGGAGATGACGACTTCGGTGTTGGGGTCTACTTTTGCGTCGTTGAGGCGTTGGACGATCTCCTTGATGGATTGGATCGTGCCATTCCTGGGTCATGCGGTTAGTTGAAGTTGTCTGAATCTGGAGGGAGGTGAAGGCGTTGTACATTTTGAAGTTGCCGCCGACGAAGAATTGACGAGCCATGGTTGCGGTATTGCTTGGGGATGTGATTGGGGAAGGATGAGTGGTATCTTCTGGTCGACTAGTTTCAACGTCGTTGTTCTGTAGGAGTTGTGTTTGCAGATGTGTTGCAAAGAAAAGTTGCCAGCGATGAAGTGGGATGGAGGGGCTGATCGAGCTTCACCGGGACGTCATGCGGTGGACTCTCCGAGATGGCGCCAGCTTCTCGGCATCGTGGCCTCAGCCATTCGGGAAAAGCACGAAGAAGAAACGGAGAATGCTGGCATTGCACACCTCTTTGCTCACAGCGTCGGCCTATATACCACTTTTAATTGTCTCTCCAGGTACCCTACAGGGTTCACCATATCATATGACCATCCTCGTTGTTCAATCCGACTTCAAAATAGCCTGTGTCCTCTCCCCATTCGGCTGACTTCCATTCACCATATTCCCAGCAATCGGCTTCGTCTTGTTGACCTGATAGGTGATACCTCGGACCTCTCCGTTCGTCTGACTTCCCTGATCTGCTCGAGCCTGCATATACCTCGTAAACGGCGATCCCAACCAGGCCATTACCACACACAGAAACGTCGCCCAGAAGTTTACAAGCAGGACGAACGTCTGTCCAATACCCCAGGGTGCGAAAAACTTGACGAGTTGGTCGGCTTGGTACAGGTCGTTCTGCGATTGAATGTAGTATTTTCGAGAGGGAGAACCGCGGACAAGTTGGAGTTGCGTTGTAAGGGTGACCGGGGCACGGTGGAAGGGGACGAGCCAGATGGCGAAGACCTGGGAGATGTTGACGTAGAGGATGAGGTTGGTTTCGTCGAATGCTGGAGCAGAAAGAGCGTGAGAGGAGATTCACTATATGTCGCCTGTGTTGGAAGCATTGGGATTTGACTTACCAACCCCATTGACGCTCAACTCGATCTTCGGGCTCATGACCTTGTACCAGCGGAAGATGGCATGGATCAGCTGCCTACTGCCTTCGAAGCTGCCAGTACGACAGAGGGGATGTGAGAAAGAGGCATTGGACGTGAAGTAATTGTTGATGGCTTCCTCTTGCTGTTTTGGCGAGCCTTGGGTAAGACGGTGGACAACGCCGGGAATCTCTTGGATTGGGTCTTCCATTGTCGACGTGGGTGTGGTGATGAAGTGTCGCTTGACTATCGATAGGGACAAAACAGATGGAGTGTTGTGCTGCAGCAATAGCTCCGCAATCTCAGATGCCTCCTCCTTGTGTGCTTGGAGTCAGGTACCCTACAATAAAGCCCTGCTTGGTGGGTACGAAAGTTGATTGGGACGGGAGCCATCTTCACTTTCACATGCTGTGACGTCAGAGGCTTCAACGTTCCTGGATCCCGGCTGTTCGGATGCGAACAACGCGTAGACGAGAGAGAGTAGATGAGCTTGGTCTTGCTCCAACCTCCACCATCCTGGAGACAAACATATCACTCACAAAGTGCGCTGGTCGCGCCCACCTATCGACAATGACAATGGCGCAATCCATCACCAGCTACCTCCAGCACTTCCTCAACGATCCGTTCAAGTTCCTCTTCCAGCTCCTCCAGTCCATTCTCAACTACTTCCTCGCGCCCGCTCCTCCGCCTCCCAATGCGAAGCTCGGTCGTCCCAAGATTGCCATCATTGGAGCCGGTCTGACGGGTGTCTCGTCAGCATCGCACTGTGTTGGACATGGCTTCGATGTCACCATCTTCGAAGCGGGAAGTCGCAAGAGTCTGGGAGGAATATGGGCGAAAGTCAACAACACATCTGGTCTCCAGATCCACTCCATCATGTATCGCTTCCACCCAAGCGTGGAGTGGTCGTCTGGATATCCGGACCGCAAACAGATCGTAGACGCTATTACGAAGCTTTGGGAGAAGTACGGCCTGCAAGACAAGACCAAGTTTGATACCAAAGTCGAGAAGATCTACAAGGATGATCAAGGCAGATGGATAGTCAACAACGAGTCCAACGGTCGCTTCGATGGTATCATCGCTGCTGTTGGAACTTGCGGTGATCCAAAGTCGGCTCAAATCAAAGGCCAAGAGAAATACAAGGGCAAGATTTACCATTCATCCGAGTTGGATGGAAAGGACGCAAAAGGAAAGAAGGTCCTCGTCGTCGGTGGTGGTGCCTCAGCAATCGAAGCAATGGAGTTCACGACCCAACAGAACGCCGAAAAGACGTACATCCTTTCTCGTAGTGAGAAGTGGATCATCCCTCGCAACCCCTTCATCGACGTTCTTCTCTCCTTGAATATCTTCGGTGCTGAGACACCCTTCTCCTGGATCCCGGAGAGGCTCCTCCGTCTTTTCTTCTATCGCGATCTCTCCGACATCTCCCCTCCGCCTGGCAGCGGAAATGGACTCTTCATGGAGACACCCATGGTCAACAACGATGTGCTCGAGCAGATTCGAAACGGAAAAGCAAGCTGGTGTCGAGGCGACATCAAACACTTCACCGAGACCGGAATTGTCTTCAACCATCGCTCTCAGGGCGTCCCAAAAGGTGGCCCTGGTCGCGAAGAACACCTCGAAGGAGACATCTGCATCATGGCCACTGGCTACGAACGCCCCAGTCTGCGTTTCCTTCCCCCAGAATGCTTTGAGAAGAATTACGAACCGCCGAACTGGTATATTCAAGTGTTTCCACCCAAACACATGGATATCTGTGCCAACAACTGCACCTACGTGAACGCCATTGGAACTGTAGGAAACTACCATATCGGTATCTACACACGATTCTTGCTCATGTTCCTTGTCGATCCATTGGCACGCCCCACCGAAGGCCTAATGAAGACATGGATCGACGTCACTCGTTGGGTCAAGTCTCGCGCTCCAACTGCAGCATTTGACTTCTTCACATACGCGGAGTTGATGTACTGGTTCGTCTTCGTCATCGCAATCAATCCATTCCGTTGGAAGTGGGCCCTCTTCGTGCTCAGTGGAGTCGGAGGGGCCTTGCCGAGGAAAGTGGTGGAAGAAGAAGAAAAGATTAGAGAGGCCTGGTGGGGAGACAAGAAGGCAGGTCAGAAACAGATCAATGGCGTCAATGGAGATTGAAGGAGGGAAGGCCGATGAGACGCCTCACACTGCCAAGGTAGATTCGCTATGATTGACAGTAATGGCAAGAACAGCACGACTGTGGAAGGAAAATAAAATTGTACAGATAGAAACGGCTCAACCAGCACACGACGACAGTACGATCAACAACATGCCGGTATTGTAACGCGTTCATATTTCTTCCAAACATTATCCAATCCTCGCTCCTCGGTATGATGCACCCCTATCGTCAACCTACATCTCCAAAAATACCTCGACATCTTGAAAGTGGCTTGTAAGAGAACCAAGCCATTGCATTCCCTTACCAACTAACAATCCCATCCCATCAACCATGTCCCCCATTTCCCTCTCACAAACAACCCCCAATCCACCTCCCCTCCACCCACAAACCATCCCAACCCTCCCTCCCCATCCAAATCCAAATCCTTCCCTCCTACCTACCTCAACGCACCACAAGGCAACATAACATGGAAACCCCCTCCTTCCTCCCTCCCACCCACCCACACACCCTCCCCAAATCCCCCCCAACAGCCAGTTGAATTCAGCCACTCGTCCCGCCACAAGCCATGCATGCATGCATGCATGACCAAGCAGAAATTCCACCTGATTGATTCTGGAAAGTTCTCGGTATGGCGACGAGAGATAGGTGAGGATAGATAGATGGATGGGAGAGCAAAGAGAAAGTATTAGTAGTAGTAGGAAAACGGGGAATGTATTTGTTCATCTATCTATACCTTCGAAATGCAGAGAACATGGAAACCCGGAATTGCAGATGATGGTGGGAAAGGAATTGAGGTGGTTCGACTGTGTGAGGATGTATGTGGTGGAGAGAATTTTCATTGAGCAGAACGGTCGATGAATGAATAAGGAGGAGATCGAACGGAGGGCTGTGGATGTGTACGCACGTGGTATCTATCTAAGCATCAGACCTGGAAACGAGAAAAGAGGAAAAAGAGATTTCGGAGTCTTTTTTATTTCTAGTGCAATTTCCATTCTTAGAAGAAGTGGTGATTTGAGACGACCCTACCTTACATCAATAAATCACATCCATCAATTCTTTCGTTCCCTTCCCTTCCCCTCCACACATGCCCCTTTGAAAAAAGAAACGCCAGGTGCCCACCGAAACCACACACAGCACACTGAAATGCCATGCTTTGTCCCAGTAGGCGTACACGATGAATGTGTCACTTCCCATGGCATAACCAGCAGTAGTAGCAAAATTGCAGGATGGAAAACAGGTATCAAGGAAGCAGCTTTTTGATGTTGCAGGGGGTATCCAACGCAGAGATGACTTGCTGATGATGAGAGGAAGGAACTTATACATCGCGGTAGAAGGGGTAGCCTGTAGTCGTAGTGGTAGGAGAGTCGTCGCAGCCTGTGATGAAGACGAAGCGTCAAGACGTTCGGAATGGCTTAGCCCTGGTAGCCACCGTAGCCTCGACCGAATGGAGCGGGCTGCGGAGCACCTGGCTGAGGCATGAAGCCGGCCGGAGCCTGAGTTGCATAGCCCCCGGCGCTCGGTGGCTGCATGCCCTGCGCTTGCCAGCCACCTGGAGCTGGATGAATGCCCTGTGGAGTCATGGGGCTCTGCCAGCTACCTGGAGAAGGATGCTGGAACTGGCCAGGAGTCGCGGATTGAGGAGACATGGCAGCGCCCGGCTGACCATATTGAGGAAAGAAGGCCTGAGGAGTTGCTGGCGGGAAGGCAGACTGCGGAGTCTGAGCTGGGTTGTAGCCGTCGAACTGACCAGTTGGTGGACGGTCCTTGCCCCACTAGAAATGTGTCAGTAAGTTTTCACTTCCGCATATGGAAGGCGCACTTACGCTGCACTTGAGAGGTCTGCCGTTGACGTTGTAGCCGTTGAGCTGGCAGATGGCATTGGCCGCATTCTCGTGCGTGTCCATCTTGATGAATGCGAACCCACGATCGGACTGGAATCGAGTCTCCGTGACGTAGCCAAAGTTCTGGAAGAGAGGGACGAGGTCATTCTGCGTGGTGTAGGGAGTCAAGTTGCCGACGTAGCAGGTCGTCTGCCACTGAGGTGTCTGCTGTACGACCATATCGTACGACTGAGCTCCCTGGGTGGGGAACATGTGGTGGCCGTAGGGAGTGGTCGGAGTCATGCCCATCTGCGCCATTGCCTGCTGCTGGGAGAAGGAGGGTTGTCCCTTCTGGTTGGCCCAATTACAGCGGATAGCACGCGATCCAAGCCATTCCCCGTCCATGGAGCTGAGTGCCTTCTCAGCCTCTCCGCGGTCTCTGAACGCAGCAAAGCCGTATCCACGTGAGCGTCCCGTCTTCATATCCCACATCACACGAGCCTCCGACACGCTGCCAAACGCCGAAAATGCTTGGAGAAGGACCTCATCATTAACTTCGTTGGAAAGGTCACCGACGAAAATGTGGAAGTGGTTGGACGTGTCTTCCTTGTTGGTGGTGTTGGACTGATAGGCCCAGTTGACGCGAATTTCCTGTTGGTGGACTCGTCGTCCGTTGAGGGTCTGCATGGCTCTCTCCGCCGCACCTGGGTCGTCGTACTCCACGAATCCGTAGTTGTAGCCCTTTGACTGGAACTGTGAAGGTCAGCAGATGTTTGCTTGGTGGTGATGATGGGTTTGTGGAGAAGTCGAGGAGCGAGTAGGCGCAGCAAACCAGCAGGCTACCGTGCAATCACGAGACCATTGTAGTCGGGTGTAGGCACCACCTGTTGCGCGCCATTGCGTCTTTCCGCATGTGCATATGTACTCACATTTTTGTCCGGAATAATCTTCACGTTCTGCACGTGGCCGGTGGTCTCGAAAATCTGCTTGAGCACATCCTCGGTCACACGTGGGTCCAGTCCACCAACGTAGAGCGCTCTCTTGTTCGGCTCTGGGGCCGCTCTCCTCACGAAACCTCCAGCGCTGGTGGGGGAGGCGATGCCTGCGCCCGGGTTGCTGGTGTTCACAGCAGTCGGGGCCGGGTTGTTGTTCTGAGGGATGTTCAGCGGTGGGACGGGAGGAGGCGGCATGTGGCTTCCAGAGCCATTTTGGTAGCCCGTCTGACCGGGCGCAAGGCCGGTGGTAGGCGGCGGCGGGAGGGAGGAAGGAGCGGAGGTCGCGTCGGACATGGCGAAGAACCGGAAGAGATTAGGGTAGATGAGAGGTGTTGGGAAAGATCCTCAGAGGAGGTGGTAAAAGCTGAACGTTGGATTAGGCGCCGCGATGGTGGAGAGAGGACGAGAGGGACGCTGGAAACGCACACAAAGAGACAGAGCTCGTGAATTTGCTTAGCTGTATCCAGGCGCTCTCAGGCACGCGCAGATGGCGGAAGTCTACGGCACGCGTAGAAATGCGCGCGGGCCCGTGACTTGATGTATCTTGTGCTTCGGAATGCGTTGCCCGTCCTCGAGGACAGCTGAAGGCGGTTGCGATGGATGGAGATGGGTAGTAGGTACAGATACAGAGACGTAAGCCGTAACAAAGGACCAGCAGCAGCAGAGCGCGCGCGCAAAGAAACGAGTCCGGACAAAGGAAAGCCCAACGAAGCGGCGGAGGCGGAGGAGAGGGAGAAGCGGTCGATGGGGGGATTGAGTGGTGGTGTTGGTGTCGGGCTGGCGAGAGAAATGTTCGTCGGTCGTGGGCAGCCAGCAGCAGCAGCAACAGCAACTTGAAGTGCGCGTTACAGGGTCCTCGGCCGCTAGCCGCTCTTCCGGCGCTACCGGCAGCCCCTCCCGGCACTAATGCAGCCGTCCCGCCGCCATCAACACCTCGCCGGCGACAACAATACCTCTTGTGTTCGGTGACAATAGACCTCCACTGCCTCCTGTACCTCTTCTATCCCTCCCATCTCGACTCGGCACACAACGTCTCAATCTCCAATTACCTCAGATCAGTCCACCAACATGACCGCCAGCCAGCAGCACACGGAGGCAGTGGACCAGCTCCAGACCAATCTCAATCACACCGTGCGTACAGAGACACCAGCTCATGCAGCTTTCCGCTGACCCCAAACAGCTCGAGGAGACTGGAAGACTGTTCGCAGCCATGTTCGCAAACCCGAACTCGCCGCCGACCTCTCAAGCCGCCAGACTCAAAGCCCTCTTGCCTGTCGCCGAGACTGCTTTCCACGGCGCGTTGGACAAGTTGGAGTGGGAACTGGTATGCAACCTCTTTTCGGGACCAATGTAATGCCTGGGTTGGCTGATCGGCTGTGTCAAAGCAACGCGCGATGAAGGTCATGCGCCGTGACTTGGCTGTATGTCGAGAGCTCTCGGGCGTACAGACACAGCAGCAGGCGCAACCTCTAGCTGAACCGCAATCGCAACCACAGCAAGCTACTTCGGAGATTTCGCAGCCATCAATCAGAAATGGGGCACCCGAGACGAGCAAGACAGAATCGGGAACTGCTCAACCTCCTGCACCGGCTCCACGCGACACCGACATGACGGATGCCGCTCCAATCCAGGAGGGCAAACCATCTGCTCCCGAGACGTCTCCGATAGCTGCTCCAGCATCTGCTCCAGCCCCCGAATCCAAAGCTGCCCCTCAAGAGAAACCTAACACAGAAACTCCACCAGCCCCAGAATCGAAACCCGCTCAAGACGAACCCGAAAGCGCACCTCACGGCCTGCCACTGATCGATACAACCGCCGCAGCTCCAAATACAACCGATAAATTGAAACCAGACGATAACAAGCCCATCGAAGACGAAAAGGCACCCGACACAGCCAACGACCTGGACTCCCTCTTCAACGACCCAATGAGCGGTGGCGGCGCAGATGCGAACGCAGACTTCAGCTTCCATCAAGACACGGGCAACGATATGGACTTTGGATCTTTCGGAGCAGACAACGATAACATCTCTTCTCTCCTTCCTGGTCTGGAAGATTACGCCAACAACCAGCCAAGTAATAACACGAATGAAGTCGATCTGGACCAACTCTTCGGTCTGGGAGATAGCAATCAGGGCGCAATCGATTCACAGGGTGCCGGAGAGCAACATGACACCACATTCGACGACCTCATGGATCTGGCTGGTTTTGATGTGGACGGCGATGCGAATAACGGGAACAACAACAATACCAGCAATACCGACTTCGCCGACTTCGATTCGCTCTTCAATTAAGCGGAGATACAATTGGTCGTCGCTTTCAGCGTACCATCTCGGCGAGATGTACAGCGGTTGTGCTGAAAGGACGACAGCATGACAAAACGCCATGTAGATGCAACTCCAATAGCTAGCATTTTCCGCACTATAGCCAGCTAATGTACGCACACACACGCACACACAACCATTTCCCATGTCTCAGAGATTTGAGAATGTCAAAGACCACGATCTTTCCTTCCTACCTCCTACTTCTCATGTGAAATGCGACCATGATTACCCCACCTCAAGCTTCTGCTTCTTCTCCTTCCCTCTGCCATGCCATCATACCATATCGAAGCCATGCTTCGTCGTGCTGATCTTCGTGATAGTCGTTTCAAGAGGTCGTAAAAAGAAAAGAAAAGAAAAATGCTGGAATGAGAAAGGCCGAAGTTGATGTTTTCGTATTCGCCGCAGTGGAGTTTTTCAAGAGTAGAGAGAAAGCTCACGCCCAAAATCCCATCGAAGATGAGGCAGGAGCCTGCCTGCTCTTTGCCGAGGTTGTGTGAGAACGCCAGAGTCGCTAAATCGGGCCGCCAGCGAGCGAGAAGATGATGTCGACGGGAATGCTACCTGGTCAGATGCAGCCCGCAATCAGAGATAGCGGTCTGGCAAAGATACCCAGAGACAACTTAACGAATCCGACAGACAGGACGAAGAAGAGGCAAGATCAGATCAAGCAGGAGAAGAAAAAGAGGAGGAGGAGGACGAGGAGGAGGAGGGATGGCCGTAGGTAGCCTCCTCGTCATCCCGATGTCCGACTCCCACCATCGACCCATCGCCCCGAATGGCCATGAGAGCAGGCAGAACCTCCCCCGCCCGCGGCGTGCTCGTCATGATGGCTGTGAGGGCATCCGTATAGCAGACCGGCAAATCACCCTCGAAGACGACGGTTTTGAGACCGCGGAGCTGGGCGAGCTGCTTGAGGTAGGCGTTGAGCTTGGTGTCCGGGTAGCGCTGGTTGGGAAGAGCCAGGAACGAGCCCTTGAGACTGTCACGGTAGGAGAGGCGGAAAGTCTCGAGCTTGGCGGAAGCCGCGAGAGCGCCGACGAAGCGACGGTTGATGTTGAAGATCCACTCCCAGGATTCAAAGTCCAGGTGCAGGGCACGCACCTGCTGGAGCGTGGCCGGGGAGATGAAGTGGAGGATGTTGGGAATGTGCTTCTCTTGCGTGATGCTGTGGTCGCCGGGAAAGGAGATGTGGAGTGGCTTCTTGACGAGGACTTGGCGGGCTTCCGAGGCAATCTGGCGGTTGATGAGGAGGACGGTCGGGGTCGTGCGGCGTGGGTACGGGAATGGCTTTTCCTTGTTAGCCCAGTTCGCCATGCTACGGACCAGAGCGGTGGTGACGTCGGACCAGTCGAGGGCGTCTTCGTAGATCATGTCGCGGATCTCACGCGGCAGGTTCATGAAGCCAGTGGGAGTGCTCTCCATGCGTGCCTTGAGCTGAGCTGCGTGAGTCGCGTTCAAGCCCTTGATAACGACCTTCTCGATGCCTCGAACATCCCAGAAAGCGTTGGCAGAACCGCGCATACCGTCCCGAAAGCTGCAATCGTAGCTAGCATGGTAGCAAGCGGTCATGTGCTCCTCGAGGCGCTTGTCTCCGAAGTCGATGGTGAGGCTCTTGAGCTTGTGGCCCGCGGACAGGATCTTGCCGAGTTGCTGGAGAAGTGTCATGTAGCCGTACCACGAATCCTGGATGATACCAGTCTTGATAATCCGATGGCCCTTGTCGTTGATCTCGAGCGAGGCGACCTGGCAGAGGAGGTGCGGGCTGATGACCAACTTGACGCTGGGAATTCGGAGGAGGCCATGGTTGAAGATGATGGACCGAGTCTGGAGGATGCCGACGGCTTCGTCATAGATCTGCTTGTTGAGGAGAAGGATGGTGGGAGCCTTCTTGCGCAGGAGTGGAGCCTTGACGGTCTCACGGACTAGGCTCGCGTAGTACCTGTTGAAGATGGTCTCCAAGACTGTCAGCCAGCTTTCATAACGACCGAACTCGATTCTCCTTACCTTGATGCGCGCTGGATCTCCGAGAGCCAACTCGTAGATCATGTTGCGAAGCTCAGGAGGTAGTTCGAGGAAAGCGAATGTACGAAGCAGCTTCCGCACCTGGAGTCGAGTGACACGGCGGCCAGTGGCCATGAGGTCGTAGGAGGTAGCACGGTCCTAGGAATTGTTTAGCTTGACAATAAGAGGTGGTGCCCATTGTGGTGACTTACCATTCAGTCGCGTGTTGGTATTGTCGAGTGGTTTCTCGCTGTTATTGTCCGCGGAGGCAAGAAAGCACTGCCGAATGCTACTGCTAGATACCTAGATGGTCAAGTATGTGGCCAAGGAAAGATATCCTGCTGATGCTGGTGATGTGCTGTATGTTGCTGATGGGGTTGAAGTAGTAGTTTGAGAGGTGGAAGTAGGAGCATTAGTAGGAAACTGAGTCGCCCAGAGCACTGGCCCCCTCACACGCATGTGAGGAGGGAATGCCCCATGGATTCACGTTCCAGGAGTGGGTGAAGTTAGGAGACAAACGGGAGGGTCTGGGGGAGCTCGGGAAGTCCATCGAGATAGGTTCCCAGAGATCTCCCAGCAACGCCTCGTTCAACGCCAATCAACGCTTCATGGCCAATCCAGTATTGTTTGTATGATAGTCCTTCAATCCACTCGCAATGTTGAGCATTCAGAAGTAGTGTTGATGGGGATCAACAATAGCACTGTAGATAGTCAGCATCCAGAGATCTCCCGGACCGTCCCAAACGCTCGATAGTGGCATATTGACACATGCAAACAACCTCACCTCACTTCGAGCACGCTGCCGCGACAAGCCAGCCATTGGCCAGTTGCAGACCGCCATCACGTTAAAGTTTGGCTGCCTGCCGTCGCCGATCCACAGTGTACCAGTCTGTCGTGCCGCGACCCTCGTGCCAGTGCGTGTAGATGTCGTGGCGTTCAGTATCGGTCTTGGCTTTTAGCATGTGATCGTAGACCTCGAGCTGTTCCCAGAATCCGGGATTCGGATCACACACTGGCCGGCCCTCATTGAGCCTGGAAAGAGCGTCCTCCGGTGAGAGGCCATGGCGCCACATCATGTAGGCGCAGATGATGGTGGCAGAGCGCGACTTGCCCATCGCGCAGTGTACGAAGACCGCACCGCCTTCCCGGATAGCTTTGTCAATGTACGTGTTTGTCTCAGTGAAATGCTCCAGAATGTTCTCGTTTGGATCGTCGTCTGGAACAAAGCAGGCTGTCAATGATGAAGATAGCTAGAAACATCTCAGAGCTTCTCACTAACCTAATCGAAGATGCATGTGTTGGTATTGCTCGAAGTGACCAGCTTCGTATATGTCAAAATCCAACACAGAGACGATGTGTGTTATCTTTGCGTCGCGGAACATATCTTGCTTCTGATATAGGGCATGCAAGCCGCCAATGTACAGCTTGGTGCCCGGGACATTGTCGACCCATCCCATTGTGTTTGTATCGCCGTCGCTTGAAACGCTCCGAGACCAGGCCGTTGGGTTTTGCGAGCTCCTTATTCGGACCGGGACTGTACAGCAATGTTTGTATACAAATCGGTGTCGTCCAAACAGAGTCGGTTGATGGAAACATCGGTTCAGATGGAATGATGAACTACATGAAGTGCTTCGAATCCCGAAAAAAACGTCCGTGCACTGGAAGGTACCGAGGTATCACATGGGGCGGGCCTACGAAGATCAATCCATCTTGATATGAGATCGTCTATACTCGATAAAAAGTATACTACTCGCAGAGGCCTATCTCTTGAGGGTCTTCTGCTTCTCAGCACTCTCAACAACCTTCTTCTTAACCGTCAGCCCTTTCCTCTGCCTCACAGCATCCACATACCGCAACGCAACATTCTCCTTATCTCCCTTCTCCCCTAAATCTTCCAGCTCTTCCTCCGTTGTGGGAACCCAGTATGGATCCTCATCCAGCGCTTCAAATCCAGCGAATACGAGCTGCGGTTGAGCGAATCCAGACGTCCGCTGACGAATCTCGTCCGAGAAGCCGAAACTTTCGGCAACCGGAAGCATGCAATCGATTGTGAAATTGGTGGAGGGCTCTAGAAGTGATTCACTGACGATGTGTCCTCTGCGTCTTGTGATGACTTGGTAGACTCTGCCCAAGACTTCGGCAGACGCTTGGATCTCGCAGCTGTACATGGCGAGTAGAATGCGAGGACTCCAGTCTAGAAAACCAGTTCGGATGGATTCGCGGACAGTTCGGATGATCTCTCCTGTCAGACGGCCCATGCTTGCACTGACTTCCTCTTCCGATAGCTCTGTGTTGACTTCTTCGAGGAAGACCGCGACTCCCTGCATCGGCTCATTACAAAGCGGACCTTGGTACGCTGCCAGCTGAAAGGCGTAGGCGATGTTGTCAGCGAGGGTCGAATAGTGTTTGAAACGCGCATCGTCGGCGCAATTGGCATCCTCTTCCTGTTCTTCGCGGAGACTATGCAGTCGTTAGTTGAATGATCAGCGCATGGAGTTTTAAGGACTTACAATTGCCCGCAAATGCCATCCTTGGTCGCATCGATAAGCAGGTTGGGCCCAACGCGACGCGGTCCGAACGACGAGATCTTCTCCACGACGTCCTTCCAAACCTCGCGATCGGCTTTCTCCTCGGCAAAAGCTTCAGAGAGACGTTCCTTGAACTCTGAAGTGGAAAGTTGTTGTCCCGCTTCTGCGGCTGTATCATCAGCCTCGACATCGTGTTCTTGCGCATCGCCAGAGTCTTTGCCGTCGTCTCCATTTTGGACGCTACCAGTGAGCCGCTCTTCTTCTTGTGCTTTACGCTCGGAATACAACCGCTTCACGGCACCTGTGTGTCTGACTAGGAACTCCGTCACTGGAGCCGGCAAGGGCCGGACCCTCAAACGGACGCTGATTTGTTTGCTCGATGTCACCCCCTCGACTCTTCCACGTCCTAGCGCAGCATCTCGCGGAGGGTCCATTTCTTCTGCCTTCACGATTCCCTCGCGATATGGAACCATGGCTTCTCCAGCTTGAATGTCACATTTGGCAAACCGCTCTCTCAAGTCTTTCAGACAGCGCTCGAGATGCAGTTCGCCTGCAGTCAATATGACATGCTCGCCGCTCTCGAGCTGCTCGTAGGTAACTGCAGGATCAGCTTGCACAAGCAGCCGTAATCCGTGCACCATCTTATCCAGATCCCCGGGAAACGCAGGCTCCAAAGCAACTCGCACGATAGGAGCATTGGTAGAGATAGTGGCGGTGGAAGATAAGTTTGGCGCTCCCTCGAGTTGGGAGGAGATGGTCCCATTCTTGAGGATAGCGCCTTCTAGTCCGGCGATTCCGACGACGTTTCCAGCAGGTACTGAGTTGAGCGTCTCCAGACTGCGGCCCATTAGCAAGTAAAGTGCAGTGATCGTGACCTTCTTCGGAAGAGGCTGCGCATTCGGCCGCGCTGGAGTGAATTTCGGAGGCAGGACGTAAACCTCATCTCCCACAGTAAGGGTGCCGGAGAAGAGTCGGGCGAAACCTATCAGGTGTTCTGGGTCATTTGACTGCTCTTCGTCATCGCCGGGGGCTCCAGTCTCCTCTTCTTCGCCAATCGCAGCAGTACTCAGAGCTTCAGTGACAGAGTCCACGGAAGCGTCTCCATTTGCCTGAGCTTGAGCCCGTGCAATCTCTGCTCGCTTCTTGCGTCCAAGCTCTCGAGCCTCTTCGGCTGTGAGAGCACCGCCGCGGCGCTTGTTTGAAGGTAGCTCGGACTCTGGTATCGACACCATCTTGCTCACATACGCAACGGTGGGCTCGCCCATCGTAGCATTTGAATGTATCATGGCCTCTTTTACTTTGCTGTCAACGTGGTCCGAACCAGGAGATTGCTCCAGCAAGCCTGGCATTCGAGCCTCTTGCGCAGATTTGGGAGATGGCAGATGCTCAATGACAGAAACTAGCAGTGCTGTCGATAACGGAAGCCATGCTGAGAAGACGGCACTAAGGAGGGCCTTTGGATCTCGAGACCGCATGATATGTGCTGGGATGTTGATGTTCAGGCTTTTCGTAATCTTTTCCAGCAGTGCTTGGTCACCCTTATGATTTGTTCCACCCGTGGTGGCCTCGTAGACCGCCCAGATCTGCTCAAGAACAAGCTGAACAAACATGGGCTTGAGGTTTCGTCCTTTGAGATGCTTTGATCCTAGCACTCGCTTCGTTTTGGGATCGAGATAGTAGTCGCCCCATAATACTTTCTCGAGCACAGTACGCTTGATGCCAAGCTTCTTCTCGTACAGACCAGCAAACTGTCGCGTGGTGAATGCCCAGCCATCGATAGCAGAGCTGAAGATGACGTTGTTCCTTTCGGGCTCGAAATAAATGTCTTCGTCGTCCTTCTCCTCATACTCGGCCGGAGTGCCGCTAGTGATTACTCCCTCATCATCTTCACCGACACTTTCTCGGCGACCCTTGTCGGTGCCATTTGCGTCTTGGTCCTTGGCAGCTGCCGCTGCACTTACCCTCTCGTCTATTCGCTCACGCCACCGCAGGTCGTCCTCCATACGCTCACCCAGAGCGAAGCTACCCATTACGGCATTGACTTGCTCGATCAGCTTCGAGAGATGTGTATATGCCTCGCCAGGACTGAGCTTCAGCTCTGTGATGAGTCTGTCCATCTTGTTGATGACGAGTAGCGGTTTGAGCTTCTCGACCCACGTCTGCCGTAGCACGGTGACAGTCTGAGAGCACACACCCTCCACAGCATCGACGAGGACCACAGCGCCATCGCACAGTCTGGAGGCAGTAGACACTTCCGAGCTGAAATCGATGTGGCCGGGCGAGTCGATCAAGTTGATGAGATGCTCTTTTTGTTCGGGCGCAGCGCCGGGAGCACTTCTTCTCAACAGCGAGAAGTACAGCGAGATGGCAGAGGACTCCATGGTGATTCCGCGCAGTTGCTCATCCTGCCTTGAGTCGAGGTAGCGGATCTTGCCGGCCAGCTTGGGTGAGATAATGCCATTGGTGGCGATCAGGGCATCCGTCACGGAGGTTTTGCCGTGGTCCTGAAGGTTTTGTTAAGATGCGATCAGGCGAGGCGGGAGTGACATTCTGAAACCACGTACGACATGTGCCAGTATACAAATCTACGATGCATCGTCAGCTGCCAGCCCATCAGCGTCGCAGAAATTGGTGTTGGGGAGGTGCACGCACATTTCTGATACCGTCGCCCTGTCGCTGGAGCTTCACCAGCTTCTCGGCCGGCACGACAGGCATATTCTTCTCTCGATTGTGGTGGTTGTTGGCAGGGTAAAACTATTCGGGAAATTATTCGTGAAGTCTTCGTGAATTATTCATGATCGAAAAAGGCTGCTTTATGTAACGGATGGAGGGGAAAACTGAGCATGAGCCAGCGTCACTCATCATGTCGCATTTGATGTCAGTGTGTCAGGGTCAGGGAACGCGGCGCGGCATCTTCCATCCCCGTTGCGACTACTGTGCGACTTGAAACATCGGATGAATCTGCACGAGCACACTACTGCACATCTGCCGACACACGCAAGACACCCTCCACACTCGCACCGCTTCTACTATTCACCGTTCACTACCAACACCACCTTGTCCTCCTCCGCCTCGACGATAACAAGAATCAACGGTAATCAGAATCGACGGTAGCAGGATCCGAGGGCATGCGAATGCTTCCTCCACGCGCGCGACCAGATCGCCTGACATCCCATTCGCCTGACATTGCATTCGCCTCGACCGCGCAACCCTCCAATCACCTCCGGCGCGGCAAACTCAATCTCCTGATATCTTCCGAATTGAAACTCCGAACCTCCTACAAGAACGATATCCCCCTTCTTCTTGACCAGCCACTGCATCTTGCTGGACCACGTCAAGGGTGACGAGCCGAACATGACGGACGTTGCCCACCACTCCACCCCAAGCAAGTCCATATTGGTTGCACCACACAAGAACGGCCAGAGCCTTTCCGTGAACACGGTGCCGTCAGTAACACAGGCGGGCAGCTATGAATTTGACAGGATCATCAGGGCCGGGGAGCTGCTCAAGCGGAGGAGGAAGACGAAGGTGCGTACTGCTTTCCCAAGACGCACGCGAGCAGCTGGCTGAGGGCACGTGCAGTCGTGGAAACCCATCTACATAGTCCTACGGCCCAATTTACTGTCCATCTACAAGGACAAGCAGGAATCGAAGCTGCGACATCAGATCAACCTTTCCGAACTCACGGCAGTCGCACGACAGAAGGATTCCAAGCGAAGAGAGAAACATGTCTTCGCTCTCTTTTCCCCTTCGCGAAATTACCACCTCGAAGCACATTCGGACAAAGAGGCGCAAGAATGGGTAGAATGTATTCGGAGAGAAGCCGGAATGGACGAACATGAAGAGGAGTTCGAATTGGCCAGTCCGGGGGGCGCATACACACCATACAGCGGATTCGAGCGGAGCATAGACGCGAACATCAGTCCCTCGGCGGATGAACGAGCAGCAGGATACAGCTCCTCTGACGCCGACGCATTCTTCCCGAGCCAGTCCCTACCGAAGACACGAGATCGTCGCAGTACGAACATGAGTGCCAACAGAAGGACATCGCAATTGGAATACTCGGGTGCCGACCACGGCTCGTATTCGGACTTCTCAGACTGCTTCCCAGCGCGAATGTCAGCACTGTCCCTTGCTCATACTGATGGACGTCCTTCAACGAGTAGCACTCAGACCCCTCAGGTCGGCTCATTGCCCGCCTCATCAATCTACGGCCAAACGCCGATCCGGCCTTCAATCGGCATCAGGAATCCCAGTCAGATGTCCGGACTGGCTCTAGGGGCTGATGGGAAGCAGAGCTCGGTGGCCTCCGATGAGCGAATCGTATGCCACGGCTGGATATACCTCCTGAAGTCGACTTCAGGCGTGCGACAGTGGAAGAAGGTGTGGATGGTTCTGCGGCCGAAGCAACTCGCCATTTACAAGAACGACGAAGAATACACAGCACAGATTATCATGCCATTCGCCAGCATAATCGACGTCGTGGAAGTCGATCCTATATCGAAGAGCAAGGTTTCTTGCATGCAGATCATCAGCGAGGAGCGGAATTATCGATTCTGCGCGACGGATGAAGAGAGCCTGACGAAGTGGCTGGGTGCTTTCAAGAGCCTACTGTCGAAGCGCAAAGTGAATAAATCGACGCCGCCGCCGCCTGCACATTCATGACACTGACGACATATACCCCCTGCGAATGCGTTTTCTGGATCTTGTGTACATAATTCTCGGGAGAATCTCAAGAGTTTGGCATATGTCTGATCCGAGATGGCTGCAAAGGACGAAGGATGGAGACCATTTGCTCATTTCACCGAATAGATGATACGAATGTGATTCTGCTGACTGGACATAGTTGTCGCACCGGCCGTCCGGAGAGGTATGAGAGCTACTGCAGGTACGCATCGAAGCGACATCATCCTTGAAGTTTACTACCTCGGCTCTCAAGCATCAAGCATACCGCTCGAAGTATTGCAGCTATGGATGATATTCCATAGACTGGTTGCTACTGATTGGCCCCCCAACGCTATAACTCGCTCATCGTCAAGCTGGAATGGTCTGCGCACCCCCTCCACTCCAAAGACCTCCATACTAACAGTGTCCTCGAGCCTCCTTCAAAGCAGAACCCCCTCAACGTCGGCCTCTGCGGTGCAGGCATAGGCGGGCTCGCAGCAGCCATTGCCATCGCTCGAGCCGGCTGCAATGTCACGGTTCTCGAAGCGGCTGCCGAACTAGGCGAAATCGGAGCCGGGATCCAAATGACGCCGAACGTTTCCCGGCTTCTGATCAAATGGGGAGTAGCGGATATTATTGGGGATGATCTGGTGCAGTGCAAGTATATCAACATGAGAAGAAAAGATGGGGAGGTTGTGCAGAGGACGGAGCTTCATCCCAAGGTTGTGAGGGAGTTTGGGTTTCCGGTGCGTGCTTCAGCTTTGGTCCACATCGAAGAGAGAAGAAAGAGCTAACAGGTATTTAGTGGTGGATGGTCCACCGCCATCACCTGCATACCGGACTCGCAGAGGGCGCGAGAAGACACGGCGTGAAAATCATCACAGACGCCCGCGTCACCAACATCAACGACGCCACCACCCCCGTACAAGTCCAAACCTACAAAGGCGATACTTACACTTTCGACCTCTTGATCGGCAGCGACGGCCTGAAGAGCGTCGCCCGCAAACATCTCTTCCCAGAAGTCGTCCCGAGAGCACCAACCAACAACGCAGCCTACCGCGCCGTCCTGCCCTACGAATACGTCTACTCGCACGCCCCGTTGGCCCGCGATTTCGGCAACGACATCGACGTCTGGGCCTACGAAAAGGGATACGTGATCATGTATCCCATCTCCGCCGGCAAGGACTGGAACGCCGTCATGTCGCACTATCGCGACGTCCCCGTAACCGACGTCGAAGACAACTGCTCGATGGAGGAGATGGTAGAGTACTTCAAAGATATCGATCCCCGCTTATTACAGATTCTGCGCCTGGTGAAGGAATCGAAACGTTGGCCGTTGCTTGTCACGGGTCCGTTGGAGAGCTGGTCGAATGCGCAGAGGAATGTCGTCTTGATGGGCGATGCGGCGCATAGCATGGTCAACCACCTCGCCCAGGGAGCGGCCACGAGTATGGAAGACGGTGCTTTTCTGGGTCGCGTGCTCGGCGAAGTGGTCCACAACGTCCTGACCCTCCCGGAAGCGATGGATCTCTACGAGAAAACTCGCATGCCGCGCGCCTGGGCGAAGCAGCAGGCCTCCTTCATCATGGGCGGCATCTACATGGCAGAAGAAGACGCGCGCGGCAACGCACGAGATGCGAGTTCCCGCGCCTCCGTGCGGCAGACCACCGCCATGGAAGAAGTCCGCAATCTAGACAGCAAGCGAGCCATCACGGGTCCGGATGCCAATTCGAAGTCTTGGAATCTCTGGGGCGCGCCGGAGACGGTCCAGAGTATCTTCTCGTACGATGCCGAAGGTGATGCGGATTTCGCGGTGATTCGGTATTTGCAGGAGACGAGGCCGTGGGATCGGGTTACGGGGGTTAGCTCTGGGTTGGAGAGGAAGTGGACGGGGTGGTATTTGCCTGAGGAGGAGGTGGGGAGGATTGCGAGGAGTCGGGGGGTGAAATTGTGAGGGGAGAGAACCTTAGGAGGTCGAGTGTGATGGCATGGCATGGCATGGCAGACCGCATTGACAACGAATGATATATGTGATACAGCGCGCAGAGAGCGGAAAGCAGCACACAACTTCCGCGCGGCCTCGTGACGAGTCTGTGCCAAGACTGTCTCCAATGGTTGGGTCCACCTGGGATACCTCCAGCTGATGCGTCTCCGCCCCGCGTGCAGGTAAGTTGCATGCCCCGCTTGCAGGTGGATGAGAGCTGTGGAGAGGCCACTGCACTGCATCACAAGGTCGAAAGAATACGGTAAGGTACCCAGCTGGGCCTTGGGTAAGAGTCATCAATCCTCTCCTGTCCTCTCCTCTCTGTCCAGAATACCACACTCCCTCTTCTCTCCTTCTTCTCCATCTTTCTAATCTAACAATAATACCGCCAACATGTCCTGTAAGTATCCCAATCGCATACCGCATCCCAAGGCCTCCTCCTCCTCCTCAGACATCTAAGTGCTTGTAACAACAGCCAAACACTTCGTCCACGACCCAACACACCTCGTCTCCAGCGCCCTCCAATCCATAACCTACACGAACCCAAACACAGCGTTCGACCCGGAAAATAAAGTCGTCTACCTCCGTCCCGACGCCGTCGCAGCGCCCAAGGTCTCCCTCATCTCCGGCGGCGGTTCAGGCCATGAGCCTTCTTTCGCCGCCTTCGTCGGCCCGGGTCTGCTCAGCGCTGCCGTGGCAGGCACCATCTTCGCGTCGCCCTCCGCGGAACAGGTGAGGAGATGTATCCTCGAGAGGGTCGAGACAGCCAAGGGCGTGTTGGTCGTGGTGATGAATTATACGGGAGACGTGTTGAATTTTGGAATGGCGGTGGAGAAGGCAAAAGCCGCGGGCTTGGACGTCGAGATGGTGGTCATGGGCGACGATGCGGGCGTGGGCCGGGCGAAGGGAGGCAAGGTCGGCCGGAGAGGGATTGCTGGCACGGTACTCATCCACAAAATCGCGGGAGCACTCGCGGCACAGGGAGCGAGTCTGAAAGATGTGCATGGAGTGGCCCAGGCGGTTGCAGACAACACTGTCTCCATTGGCTCTTCGCTGGCTCACGTACACGTTCCGGGGCGTGGAGAGACAGAAGAGGAGCTCAAGCAGGACGAAATCGAAATCGGAATGGGTATCCATAACGAACCGGGCTCCGAGCGAACTTCGGCAGATCTGACCAAGACCGTTGGCACGATGTTGAAGTACATGCTGGACCAGAATGACAGGGATCGCGCTTTCCTGAAGGTGAGCAGCTCAGATGAGACGGTGCTCTTGGTCAACAACCTCGGAGGTGTATCTGTGCTGGAAATGGGGGGCATCACCACGGAAGTCGTCCACCAGCTGGAGAAAGACTACGGTATCAAGCCTGTCCGGATCCTTTCGGGAACTTTCATGACTTCGCTCAACGGACTCGGCTTTTCGATTTCGCTGCTCAAGTTGACAAATCTCGGAGTCGGCAAGCCGGTACTAGAGCTCCTGGATGCGCCCTCGGAAGCCGCAGGCTGGTCTGCGGCGGTGAATACAAAGACTTGGGCCAAGCCACCCTCCCAGACACGCGATGCTGGTCGCGGCGCGGGCGGAGAGAACAAGCCATGTGGCCTCGAACTCGACCCAGCAGCAGCCACCAAAGCACTCAACCATGCTCTGGACAAGCTCATCACAGCCGAGCCAGATATCACCCACTACGACACGGTCGTCGGCGATGGCGACTGCGGTATTGGTCTGAAGCGCGGCGCAGAAGGAATCCAGAAGCACCTCAACGGAGCATCGAGCCAGAAGGACGCTGCTCTGTACCTGGACAAGATCATCGACATCGTGGAAATGGAGATGGACGGCACCTCTGGTGCTCTATACGCAATCTTCCTCAATGCTCTCGCAGCTGGCCTTCGAGAACAAGGAAACGGAAACAGACCAGCAGATGCCAAAGTCTGGGCCAACGCTCTCGACCATGCCATGAAAGCTCTCAGCCGATATACACCAGCCAAGCCTGGGGATCGAACGCTCGTCGATGCGCTTGCGCCATTCGTGGAGCAACTGAGCTCGACGGGAGACGTGCAGAAAGCGGCACAGGCAGCGGAGAAGGGATCGCGATCGACACAGGGAATGCAGGCTAGCTTGGGCCGAACCGTGTATATAGGAGGTAGTGGTTTCGAGGAAGTCCCAGACCCCGGTGCGTATGGACTGTCGCAATTCTTGACTGGTCTGGCCGAAGCGCTGCGATAAGGGAGAGAACGCTTGAGGAGATATTTGAGCCATTTAGCGGCACTTTGAAGGTAGCTTGTTGGGTACATACTTCGTAATACACAGTCCGCTCTTCGCAGACTTTGCTCGCTTTTGAGTCATCTTTGCTCGGCTTTTGCGTTAGTCGTAGTCGACTCGCACGACCTGAGTGGCGCCTTTGGATTAGCCAGCGCCGGGGGAGACAAAATCTCTCATAAACGCATACCGAAAGCCACGCCTTTCCCACACGCGCCCTTACGCCGCGAACGCCGCGTCCAGGTCGAACCATCCCGCCCGTCGGTATCTCTGCAGCCACGGACCATCATATAAGCCCGCTCAACTCAACAGCACCAAGATCACCGAATCCCCCCTCAAAAACATCTTGCTAATGAAGCGATCCTTGTTCACCGGTCGGCCCTTCTTCCCATCGCTCGTGCGCGGCACCTCGGTCCACATTTCCTTCACATTCTCCAGCACCATGTTGCAGTGGCGGTCGAAGGCCTTGACGCGGCAGAGCATTTTGCGGTTGTTGCGGCAGGAAATGAGGACCTGGGTGTGTTGGCGGACGGCGGTCTGGAGGAGGGAGAGGGGGCCTGAGGCGAATTCGTGCGCTTCGAGGAGGGAGATTTCGTATTCGCTATTATTAAGTGAGAGAAGGAGGTTAGTTTGGGGATGTGGTTTTGGAATGGGAGTCTCGGGGTAGATAGGCGTACGTGAGTTCTGAGCGTGGTTTTTGTTGGAGTTCTTGGACTTTTGAGTCGGTTGCTCCGGAGGACATGGTGGGCGACTTGTGTGTGTGTGTTGATCTGGCGAGTGGTTTTTGAATTGTGATTTGTTTTGTCTGGATGTTGCGTTTGTGTGTCGCGATGCGTTTGTGTGTCGCGATGTTGCTCTCTAGCTTTCTGAAGGATGGATGCGACCTTCGGCTTGTTCCGAATCCGAGACCTCAAAAGACGATGGCTGGCACGTGAAGCGCGCTTTGGCGCGTCCCGCTAGCGTCGGCGAAAGAGAGAGCTCTCACGCCGATCCGCCTCTACTGCACGACGCGTTCACCTTCAGCAACGACTTCTTCCTCTTCCACCACTCAATCCTCCTCTTCAACACGACTTTGCATGACTCTTTGGCGTTCAAACGACCTTACGAAATCCTTTCCGACTAATAGCAGCATCGACATCTTCTTTAAACCTCCGACGACCGCGTTTCTCGCACGTTTCTACCGTCCGATATCCACGAGCGATTCATCCACGACATGCTGTAGCACGCACGAAGCCTCGAGCCCGTCCACGAGGCGCCTATAAAAAGCCTCTCGTACTTCAAATCCAAACTTAATCACCTACACCGACATTCGACAGCATGGAAGTCGACGATGGAAGCTCGTTTGGTGACCTGCCAACGCGTCCCATGCGTGTCAAGGTGCTCTATACTTTCGATGCCGAGGGCAAGACTACGTGTCTTGCACGATTCCCGGATACTCTCAACATCCCCGTCGTCGCCCTCGATGAGCAGTCACAAGTCGGCGTCATCGACCTCCAACAGTGTATCCAGGCCATCGTAGCAGCGTCTCCGGAGATCATATCGAAACTCGATAATGGCGACTTCACGGTCTACAATTACGACTACACGGAATATGACACACCTATCGTCGGTCAAGGAAGGCTATCGGGGCTCATGGGCACGTTGGCGGCTCACAACAAGGCAATGATCACCGGACGCGTCTGCAAGAATATTGCTGCCCTTTTCAGCGGCGGCGTCAAGGAGACTCTGGAAGTCAAGTTCAAGTTGACGCCGTTATCGAAGCCGACACAAAACGATTTTGTGAAGAATGCAGATGCCTTTCGAAGTCTGAGCCCGGCTACCTCTGCTGGTTTCGACCCAAATGCATGGAGCGCTTCGATGCAACAGCACAGGACCCAACACCAGTCGAATGACTATCTCAACTTCGAAGCGTTGGCTGCTGGTGGCGATAATGGTGCGGCGATGCTAGAGAACATGTTCGGGATGGGTTCCGGGAGCAGCGTAAATATCAGTGGGCATCAGCAGCCAGGTGGTGAGGGAGTCGCTGAGACCCCGAACGACTCCGCCTTTGCCTACAACCCCGCATTCTCTGCCCATCCTCACAGCGCACCAGGCAGCCGGACGGGAAGCCCAATCATGCGTCCTGCTTCCAACATCCCTAGCGAACAATCACGTCACCAGAGTTTCTCAGGATATGCCCATAACTTCCCGGATCAATCTCGGCCCGGCTCACGTGCAAGTGTGCGAAGTGAATCCAACGCACCCACCTACCATCACCAAGCACCATCTCAGGACTATCGACAGCAGTCATCACAACCACAGTCAGAAGTCTTTTACAACGAAGATGGCCAGTCGCGAAAGCGTGCAAAAGTCACGCAAACGGATTGGCGTGGTAAATCTTCGTTCGGTGCAAAATCTGCTGACCTTCGCGTCACCGCTGCAACAGCATCCTCAATGCACATGCACCGGCCGATTGCAAAGCGCCCTTCTGCCCCCGGCGCCGACTTGGAGCCACCACCTCGCGTGCCTACTCCTGTGCCGCAGCGTACCCTGCTGCCTCATCAATACAAGCAGCAGTCCGCAGGTCCGAGAAGCGCACTTCGGCAGTCCACAGTCGAATCCGATTTCATGTCGGATATTGAACCTATGTCCGATGCAATGACCTCCCCCGAAGGTAGTTCTCCCGGGAATAGTATTACCGGAGAGACTCCTATGGATATTCCATCCTCGCCACCGTTGATCCCGGGCTACAACCAGCCGACGCCCAGCAGTCCTGGACTTCCGACTTTGCCACCCAGCAGACTCGCCGATAGTGGGTATATGAGCGGCACTGTTATGGAGAGCATGGAAGAGGATATGAATCGTAGCCCGGACGCAGAGGACTTAGAGATGGCGCGCCAGTATAGGTCTCGGAGTCATCCGCAGCAGCCTTTCGTTAAGACCGAAGGCTCTATCGCGGCTGACACTCTGTACCTTGCCAACGTTCCGCCGAGTGAGCTCAACGTCCAGCTGGAGGAACCTGGAGACATGGGTCGTTTGCCGCAGAAGTCAATAATCAATTTGCCACCTGGGAGACGAGATGGCAGTCAAGGGTATGTTGAACACGATGCACTCTTCCAGGAATTGTTTGCGGAAGACGAGATCGCCAGCACCTGAATACAACTCCGACTAATACCGTTTCTAGTCCTAAGAACAAGAAATCTGTATCGGCACATCAAAATGCTGCATCTGCAGCTGACTCCGAGAAACCTCGGCCAGATGCAGATGCTTCTCGACGGGGGTCTCTCGCGTTGCCATCCAAGCCTCTGCTGCGAGCTCAGTCGCAAGAACAGGGCTTCAAGCCTCCTCCAAAGCAGAAGCGGCAGCCTCTGCAACGCTCTCACACTGCAAATGACTCAGAGGCTGGCTCACCGGCGCCATCTGACACTGAGAGTCGGCCACGTGCACCTCCCCGATCTGGATCTGGAGCTCCTCGCCGGAAGCTCATCGAGCAACGTCTGAAGAGCGCAATTGCTCGCGGTGAGATGCCGGTGTACTGTAGTCATTGCGGTGCCATTGAAACCCCAACTTGGCGAAAGATATATGTCAAAGAGGTCTCTGGCAAGCCATCGCCTCTCGATGCCGCGGAGGGCGAGGGCGAAACAATCGGCATTGAGAATTTGACCACGGACGATGACAGTGGAGAGGTCACGAGTTTCCTCATTCGCAAGAGTATGAAGAAGACAAAAGACAACGATATCGGAGAAGGCTTCAACGATCTGACTGTATGCAACCCATGTGGGCTCTGGTTCAACAAATTCCGCAATATGAGGCCTGAAGACAAGTGGCATCGCAAGTGCGCTCCACGAAAGAAGAAGTCGAAGACTGGTGAAGGCTTTTCTACCGACGGCGTAGAGCCGCAATCAGAGGCGTTCTTCACCGATCAACCGGGTCCTGAAGAAGCAAATGAGTCGGGCAAATCAGGCGACAAACGTCAGACTGGGGCAGGCGCAGCTCCAGGAGACCTACCGCGTGCGCCTGTTCAGCGACCACGAGCCAACAGCATGCAACCGCAACTAAATACGCGCCGTTCCAGCTCCAACAGCAACGCAGGACCGTCGATGCGTGAAGTGCAGTCCAGCCCAATTCGCCTCAACGGTTCGCAAGACGAGCCGATTGAGTTGGATATGACGCCCCATCCGAAGCCCACTAGACGACTGCTGTTCCCATCGCCTCGAAGACCCGGCGAAACCAAGAGCTTGGAAGGCAGCCCGGCTCCTCGAACCGCTACACCACCGGCGGCAGCTCGTGTTGACAGAACGGTCTTGAAGACGGTGACAACCGATATGGAGGTAAATGTCAACGTCTTTGAGGCTTTCACGTTCGACAAAGAGAACCTAGCACCTCCGCTTGACGAGAACTATGATCTTGCTCATCTCTTCGACGGCTCACCCAGTGTTCTTTTTAGGACACCTCTCAAGAAGACTCCTTTGAAGTCTACTCCTCGGTCGCAGCGGCAGACGAACGACTTGCTGAAGACGCCAACTCCAAGCAGCCGCAAGCGGAAGGCGCTGTCGCCGAGCCAGAACGCCGCGAATGGCGCACAAAGTAATCCGAACGATTTCATGACTTCTCCTTCTGGACGCTACTTCCTCCGCTCGACGCCCAGCAGACTCGACAGAACGCCAGGAGGTCGCAGCGCCAGCGGTGGACAGGTGGAGCCTTCACCCTTCTCCCGACACCTCGCGCAGATGCTCAGCGAGGCTAATGGTATCGATGTCGTGATGACTAGTCCAAGTCGCCAGTACGACTTTAGTGATCTACCAACGTTCACCACGCCGGGAAGAGAGGTAGATTGGAAAGGCTTGGATGAGATTCTGAGCAGCGAGTTTGCGAATTACGATGAGAACGGTTTCGATACTGCGCAGCCGGGCGAACCACAGCAGCAGGAATAGTATGGCTTGCTTTGCTCGCTCTTTGCGTTGAGATACCCAGATATTACAAGAGACGGTAGAATACTCAAGTCACTCGCCCGCGGTGGTGAAATGAGACGACGCACGCAATGCAGTACAAATCCAGAGCTCGTTCATTTCCATCTTGCTTCAATCTCCTCACACATCACGGTCATTGAGAGATCTTCCACTACCCACCACATCACGAATTCTCAACCGCCAACAAAGGGCTCGGGCCCGGCATCCGCTCCAGATCCTCCGGCCTCGTGATCCCTTCCTCTCTCAGGATGCCCGTCTCAATAATAAAATCCCAGAAATGATTCTGCATAAAGCTCTGCGTCCCACCCCTCGCTTCCCTCAGACTGGTCCGAACATCGTCCACCAGAGCCCTCAACCGATCCCACTGTCCCCTCTCCGCCAGAGCCCTCGAGATAGCCTCCAAGGCTTTCCATCCCGGTTTCTGGCCCGCGTACCTCGCGGTCTTCAAAAACTCCAGAGCAGGTCGCATGCCGACGATGCGATGATGGAGGGCGTACCCTTCGATCATGCGGTCGTAGAAGATGCTATCGACTTTGTTGCCCCAGCCTTTGTTGCCGGCGGCGATTTGTGACCAGAGGGCTTCGATGGCTGCGAAGTCGGGGTGGGGTTGGCGTTGGAAGTAGGAGGTCATGAGGATGGTGTAGATGTGTGAGGTGGGTTCGCGGCCGGCGCGCGTCATGTGGTTGAGGATTGCGGTTGCGGCGGTGTGGTTTCCGTAGTGCTTTAGAAGGTTGTTGATGATCATTGCGTAGCCCTTGTCGTCGATGGGGGCAGCAGATGCATTGTCGACCTTCAAGGAGTCGATGAACGCTAGAATCCTTTCTTGTTGCTGCATGTGGTCAAGATCTTCGAGGAAGCCGCCCTGGAAAAGGGACGTTAAAAGAACGGTCCAAGTCTCGCTGGTGGGAGCGACACCGCGCTCCTGCATGCGCCGGACGAGTTTTGTCGCTTCTTCCGCGCGGTAGTGTCGCATGGATACGTTCAGCAGAGCATTGTAGGTCACGACATCAGGCTCCAACCCAAACGAGAGCCCCCATGTCAGTACCTTTGAAATTGGCCTGTCATCCGTTCTGGCAAGCGCTGAGATGGCAGAGTTCATTACCACCAGATTAGGTCGAGGAACTCCGTTGACAGATCCAGGATACCTGGCAAGCAGCTCCGCCGCTAGATCTTTGTTCGATGCGGCCTGCTGCTTCTTTTCTTTGCCCGTCTCGCGAGCATATTGAGCTTTCGCAGCCGCAAACCATTCCCGGCCCATCTGCATAAGAGTCTCGATTCCCTCATCGACTCGCTTACGTACTTTCAGAATCCCGTACACCCGGACGGACCATGCGTGCTCATCAGGCTGTATGCCGTCCGCGCGCATTCTCAACCAGAGCGCTTCCATCCCACTTTGATCTTTAACAAATACCGCCCCTCTCATCATACTAGTGTATGTCTTGACCGTCGGCTTATATCCGACTTGTAGGATGTATTGCCAGATTTCCATAGCACCTTTAGCATTCCGGAGAGCCAGAAAACTGTACATCAGGTGTTCGTAGATCTCCAATGGAAGCGCAGTCTTGTTGTTATCCTGAGAGGCAGCGAAAAGCAGAATCTCTCTGCGGATTTTGTCCGCGGAATACATGTTCTTTCGCTCCACTGCGCGCGCCAGCCTAGTCTTATTCAAAAGCGTGAAACGTTCGATTGCAGAGAGCTCAGAGTGTTCTTGAAGCTCAGCAGGGTCGTCGTCGTCCATTGCACTCTGTTGGCGGGCATCAGAGGAAGTTTGCGGCCCGTGAGCATTGGCCTCGAAACCTGAATTGAGCCTCATGTTGCTTCTTGGCAGGACGGACGTTTGGTTCTGGCTCCGCGATGGGATGGCTTCGAGATTTAAACGAAGGGCCATAGCTTTGTATTGCTCTTGCAGAGCAATGTTTCGGCTATCGGTCACTTTTCCCCGAAGACGGGGTGGCACGCTGGGCGGAGGTGCCATCTCAAGCATGGCCTCCCAAAGCGATACAAGAGGAGCGCAGTCTAGTGCTTCGGCGAGTGACCCAGAAGAACCATCTTGGCGCGGCACAACGACCACGCGAAGCAAGTCTAGAGTGATCAACGCTGCACTCGTATAGTCAGACTTTTGAGAGCCCAATGTTGAAGTCTTTTCGGCGACTCTCTGAGTAACTTCACGGCTCGGTTTCGTCTCCGGAACAAGCATGTCGAGCATCTCTTGAAACATCGTATGTGTCGCCCGTTCTGAACGCCAAGTTGCGAAGATTGTCAAAGGAGGGAGGAAATCCCAGTGCGTGGGCAGGGATGAGCTGGATTGGACAGAAAGATATGCTTCTCCAGGCTGTTCGTCACGACGAGATTGTCTGACAAGACGAGCGGCCAAGCAAACCCTCCACATTGCCGTCAACTCTCTTAACGGCTCGGCCAAATTTGCGTCGGGAGAGCGTGAGAAGCGCAGCTCCGCGATACCACTCGCCAGCTGCCACAGTATTTCAGTGAACAGCATTCGAGCCTGGATGTCGTACAAGACGCAGTAAAGTTGGAAGGGGGAAAAGGATGGGGGAAGGTCGGTATCCTTGACCTGTGCAGCAAGCGAGGCTAGCCATTGCTTGGTGTAGGTCTGTGAGAAGTTTCTCAATGCACCCACAAACTTGCCACGTGTATACAGAGAGCGGACTGCTTCAGGCGGAAGTTCAGAGCATAGAGCGGCCGCTTCGCGCAGCTCCGCCCAAGCGTCTGCGAAGCCTCCCTGGTCGCAGCAAAGGACAAACGCATCCACTCTGGAGGCCAATTCGGGCGAGTAGTCCCGTATCGTGCGAGCCTGACCACCATTGTACGGCTGGTGTGCTTGGCTGGGCTCATACGGGCGGGTCGTCTGCTTCGAATCTCCCGGCGACCGCCATGGCCTGTCCAGTTGATTCAAAAGATGCTCAGGCCTCAGCTCTTTTCCAGAATACCGTCCTATGACCGCGCCATGTCCGTTGTCCTCTCCTTCCGTCCTTCTGTTACTCCGAGCGTTGCCGTTGCCATTGCCCAGGCTCTGCTCAGGAGCTCCATATGCAGCAGTCGTCTGCTTTCTCTTGGCAGTATACGCGATCCATCGAGCGGCGCGGATCCTGGAGTGGGATAGACCTGCTCGACATGCAGAGCAGATGTACGACGCGGGCATTGGACTTGGTGGTGAGGCAGGCGTGTTTTCCCAGCAATTGCGTGCCCGGGATAGAATAGGTAGAATAAGCCTTAAGGGAGTTCGATGTTTGTCGGCTGACTTGCCCTCACAAGCTTCGCGAACCCCTGCACCAGTAAGCGGCCCTGTGCTGCAGGCACGTTGCGATCACAAGATGCGGCCGGCTCACAGAGCTGAATATCAAATCTCCAAAAGTTCCTCCTCCACGTTTCATTTCCTACTTTCGATTTTCAATTCATAGTTTGTGTCTCCAATCCGCTAGAGACACACATCCTAAGTCGCCATGACAACACTCCAACCCAGACCGCCCTACAGCGACGAGGAAATCGCCAAGCTCTACCCGAACAACCTCGAGCTCCAGCAAGTTCAGATTATCCTCCGACATGGAGAACGTACACCAGTCTCGGCCCGCTTTAAGAATGCCGGCCTACCTGGAACATGGTCCTACTGCAAAGCTGCAAATGAGATGAGGTCGGCGGTATTATCGGCAGATGGATCTTGGGATACACTGGCATGGAAGAGGAGACTGGAAACACTTGGTGCAAACGATTCGCCAAAGTTGGCTGCTGGGCCAAGAGGAGAGCTCGATGCAGTGTGTCAGCCGGGAGAGCTCACCGACAGAGGCAGAGAGACTACATTGGCACTTGGACAGCGGATACGGACACTGTATGTGAACCAGCTAGGCTTTCTCCCCGGCTTCATCGACGACAGGACAAAAGGCCTGGTCAGCTTGCGCGCTACGCCCATCCAGAGAGCACTTGAGAGCGTGCAACAGACATACAGCGGACTGTATCCAGCTGCTGCGAGATCTCCACGCCTTCCACCACCAGCGATCGTGCAGAGGTCAATGCAAGATGAAACCCTCTTCCCGAACGAGGGAGCTTGCAAGCGTTTCGCCGAACTCTCACACGCCTTCGCGGACCGTGCAGCGAAGCTCTGGAACGACTCCCCAGAGATGGAATATATCAACAAGAAAATCGGCAAGTGGATGCCAAAAGAGAGCCCCGTCGTAAAAGTCGACTCCCATCCGCGACTCAGCGGAGTCATGGACACCATCAACGCAACCCTCGGACACGGCGAGGCAACAAGACTGCCTGCGGAATTCTATGACGAGAAGGTGAGACAGAACATCGACAGAATCTGCGTGGAAGAATGGTTTGCTGGATACCAAGAATCCAACGAATACCGCAAACTCGGAATTGGTGGCCTGGTCGGCGATCTGACACAGCGAATGGTAGAGCATACCTCTGGCATCCCTAAAGAAGGAGGAGACGAGCCATTCAAGATGACCTTGGCTGGTTGTCATGATACCACAATCGCAGCCACACTCGCTACTCTTGGCGCTTTCGAGTACGACAAGAACAAGTGGCCGAACTTCACCTCTTCCATCGCTTTTGAGCTCTTCAAAGCCAAAGACACCCCATCGCCCTCCTCTTCAGGCGCAGCCTGGCCAAGTAAGGAGAAAAGCTGGTGGTTCTCGCTTTTCTCCTCGCCCAAACCCGGCACGGGCTCTGCGGCACGCGAACCGCTCTCCACAATGCCGGACTCTCAAAAGCGGAATCTGGATGGCCACTACGTCCGCTTACGATACAATGATCACCCCGTGACACTACCGTACTGCAAAGCTGCGGGAAACCATATGGAAGGTGACGAGAGCTTCTGCACCTTGAAGGCGTTCAAGGAGGCGGCGGATCTGGTGACGCCCAAGGACTGGAAGACGGAGTGTAAGAGCAATCTTGGAACTTCGGCGTTTGCTGAGAAGATTGATCAGCCGCCCGGTGTTGTTGCGAAAAGTATTTGATTGATTCGATGTTTTGAGAGCGTTTTTACGGGCGGGCGTGGAGTTCTGGTGAATAGAAAATAGATGTTACAGGGTTTGGGAAAAGGTTTCTCAGGGCTCCCGTGCTTCTTTGAGCGATGAAGCGGCGTTTGATCGGGGTAGAGATGAGGGAGCAGCACCTAGGCAGTATCAGGTAGAGCACGAGTGAGAACGGAACGACTATGTGGCATTATGTACAGAATCTACCCACCTGTCCCAGCTTGTATGCCCAAATTTCGCGTCAGATCTTACAACAACCCCATGTATCGGTTTCTTTACATTGTAAGTTTTTCTCCCTCTCTCTGAATTACCAACCAACACTCCTCCCCCTTACAGCCTCGCCCGCACGGCCCCAGCACCACTCGCTCCTTCCTCATCCACAATACCCCTCGCAATATTCCTCGCAACACCCATACAAGTAATCATGGGATTCACCCCGCTCGCACTGGGGAAGACACTCGTATCCGCCACGTAGAGCCCCTTGGTACCCCACACACGGCCCTTGAAATCCACCGCGGAATTCTTCGACGAAGTGCCCATCCGACACGAACCCATCTGATGTGCCGACGCAAAAACAGAGCCCGGGTCCGGGAAACCCGTCGTGCGGATTTTCTGAATCCACGCTTGGAAGAGGGAGTCCGTGACGGAAGGTGAGGGGTTGTTGTGGATGGTGATGTTGGGTTCTTCGGATGGGCGGATGAAAGGTTCCAGACCCGCGATGGCGGTGTGGATTTCCCTCGCGCCTTCGACGTACATGATCTCCGCGAGACGGACGACGCCTTCCAAGATGTGGTTTTTATCGTACTTGCTGGGGGTATAGTGGATGAGACATTTCCCGTCGGAGTCGGGAGAGACTTGGCCACCGTACCGATCACGCGCAAGGGAGATGTAGCCCGTCATGCGGCGCATTTTGGACGTGAATTCTTTCCAGTGGAGACCTCCTTGCCATTGGAAGACGGGGAGGAAGGAACCGGCAATCATGGTCGTGGCTTCCAGTTTGACGCCGTAGCCTTCTCCGTCCATGTTTTCGAATTCGTTGACGACGGACGTGAGGATGGGGCCTTCCCAGGGTCTGACGTCTTCGTCCCAGACTGCAGCGAGCATAGAGACGGGGTGAAGGTGGAGGTGTCGGCCGATGTGCTTGTTCTTAAGACCGGAGCGTTGCAGCAAGATCGGGGAGTACAGAGAACCTCCGGCAACAACGGTTTTGCGCGCTTTGACAATGACTTCGCGAACCGTTCGGTCGGGTCCAGAGACGCCGCCGGAGCTATCTCTGGATGTCCAGGTGCCTTTCACCCCTATCGCGGGCTTGTCCTCGAGAAGTCCAGACTCGCCAAAGAGGATCTCCTTCACGTCGAAGCCTTCGATGAAGTTCGCACCAGCTTCTGCTGCGTCGGGCAGCCATGTGACGGTAGGTCCCTTCTTTCCACAGTCTCGACATCCTCGTGTACAGTATCCATCACTGTGCACTTCGCCTCCCGTATTTTGTGGAACTGGCTTCGCGCTCCATCCCATCTTTCTCGCTCCCTCCATGAGAACCTGGTTGCCCTTGTTGTGCTCAACTGAAGTATAGCTCACCCCCATTCGGTCCCAAACAGCATCTAGGTCAGCTTGAAAATCCGATCCCATAAAGTGAGTAAGCCCGAATTTCTCAGCCCATTCTCTGCGCAGGAGCCCCTGAGGCTGCAGCGACGCACTCCAGTTGACTGTTCCGCCGCCTCCCCAAGTTGATCCCGGCAACACCATGATGGACGCGTCCTCGGACATGTGCCCGCCGCCATTGCCAAACAGATGAGTGCCGGCCGCATTCTCGGACATGGGCAGGTACTCCGGTGGCCAGTAATACTGCTTCTCCACCACGAGGACTCTCAGGCCCGACTCTGCTATTGTCTTCGCTACTACGGCGGCACCGCAGCCGCTTCCTACAATCACTACATCTGTCTCGATGACTTCTGGCTCAGCGGCTGGCGCCGGCGGAATCTGTACAAACCGGAATGGATATCCCGGGCCGGGATTCACCGCATTCGTCGGGAGCCGTGGGTAACCAAGTATTCGTCCTACGGTGGGCGAAGTTCTTAACCATAAGATTCGTACGAGTGCCGCGAGTGATTTCGATAAGCCTCGAAGAAGCGGAAGGCGAGACCGAGCCCAGCCCAGCAGCACCTGCTCACGGTCTTGGATAGGGAGGCCGTCCAGTGGAGTCGCGTATCCTGTCAACAGGAGTGAGCCGGCTCGAGTGCTGGAGCTGGTCAGCTGCTGTTGATCGTGGAACAAGCAAGCTCGGGAATCTATCGGAAGACGGACGTGGTCCCAGATGCGGCTTTCTGAACAGTCAAACATTCATTTAAAGTGGAAACAGCTTACCTCAAAGCTGAAAGAATGAATAATAGGCCCTTTTTTGAGGCATCGCTCATATAGAAGGCGACTAGTCGCTGGAGGCTATCCTTGAACTCCGGCTCGGCGGTGGCACTCTCCTGGAGGTACGATGTGGCCAGGTCTTGGTTGGAGGAATCAAGGCGGGCGAGATGTTGGATGCGTCTCGCGGCGCCGTCGTAGACCTCATCGCGGAGAGGATGTTGCAGGAGCTTGTTCCCCTTGAAACCGCTGGATCGGGCGATGAGAGGTGGCACGACGGTGTCTGCGATGGCACAGAGAATGGCGAGTTGTGCGGGAGTGAAGGGATCCTGTTCTGGTCCCGGAGGCAGCGAAGCTGTCGCCGAATCGAGAATGGCTGACATGATGCCTATCTCGGAAGACGAGAGGAGATGTGTTACAATACTGCGCAGGCCATCACATTAAGATCGATGATTCCCTCTCTACCTAGCTTATGAAAGTGCCAGGTGGCCATGGATCGTGTCCCACTGCGAAGCTACTAAGTCGCATTAGGCGATCTAGCACCCAATATAGGTTATGCATTAGGTAATCTAGTATACTTACATTACTCCTCCTTATACTACTAATCTACTAACATTCTAGATACTCTTAGAAGAATATTATAATCTTTAAATAAGTAGTAAACTACCTCTATAGTATAACTATACCTTATATATTACTTCTAATAATCTTTACTTTTACTCTTATAGTCTTAGAATAACTATGTTATCTAGTATAATATCTAATTCTCTTATAAAAAAGGAGATATTAGCTAAGAGTCTAAGTATTAAAGATACTTAAAGAGATAATATTATTATAATATACGTAGTTTTATAATAGCGCCTTTTTTGCGACTACTCGTACGTAATTCTTCTTTATAATAAGCTAGCTAGGTCTATTAGCTACGTACTATATTTATATTAAGTTAATGTTTAGAGTACTAGTACTCTTACTATATTTATTAGGTAATCGCAGCTTTTAAATCAATCACTAAATATCTACTAGACTAGTAGTAATCAAGACGCGGCTTCCGAGTAGCGTATACCAAGTAGAGTAATGTAGGTGTCAGAATCCCTACTTCTAGTGTCACGCCGCGTACTCTGTCAGACGTCCAACGAGGACCGAGGCTATTTCGCCTTATACGTGAGGATGCCTCGTGTAGTCTTAGGCATGATCCGTATTCATAGACGAGCGGGTTTGACAAACCATTGATGCTGTGCCCGAGTTTGCTCAGCATCTCGCCTCTAGCGCTGTCAGAGGCAGGGACAGGTGAGGTAGGGCAACATACATCCAGCACCTGCAAATCCAGCATACCACCTCACAGTGTTCATCAACGACGCTCTCGGGAAGCACAGCCGTGAGGTGGTCAAGGCCGGCAGAGGCCGAGCGTTCGGCCCCGGCACGCACGTATGCAGTGCAGCACGCAGCTCTGCCGAGCCAGGATCCAGGGTCCGGGCGACACCTCTCAACGGCAACCACGACCACTCATCGTTTCCCCAGCACAGCACAACCCAGCACAGCACAGCACAGTACAGCACCGAACAGCACGTCCAAGCCTCTCCCAGACGCCAGGATATCGTCGCGGGTGCTACTCCAAGAAGTGCTATCTATCAAGCTTCTGCACGCGACCTCTGAGAACCGCGATTCCGATTCCGGGGAAGGAGATGCTGGCTTCGCGCTTCGCGACGGCTGAACAGCGGATGCATGCCATGTTACATGCAAGTCAGTCGGTGGGACGAGATCGTCTCCGCGCTGATTGGTGGGCGCCCCGGCAATGACAGGCCCTCCCATTGGTCGGAGCGTGTCGTTATCTCTGGCTGTCCCGATTGCGTTTAGCCTGCCGCTGAGTTTGGGGCGCGGCAAGCAATCCTACCACACTGATGTGCTGAGTCCTGTCGCGACGGACGGAGCAGCATCACCGCCAGCCAGCAGCGATCTGTGATGGCGTCGCGCAGACGTCTCGTGCGGCAGTGCTCTAGCATGCTGTAGCAGAGCAGAGAAAGAGATGGGCAGACGCATGGCATCGCGTGCGCCGTGGTGATGAGAGGCGAGGCAGCGTTGAGGTCACAGAGCAGACCATCATCAATCCAGCAAATCAAACCATCCATCTCGCCGTCAACCGCCGCCCCGGCTCTTTTCCGTGAAGGGTATTGCGTCGCGTGTGGTGTGTGAGGTGGCCAAAGTGCTCCCTTATTAATAACCCTCCCGCAATTTGGCTGCACTGCGCTGTCAAACTGCCCGAGGCTTGTGCCGACACACCTCTGCTGAGCTTGCAGGGGCGCGACCGCTGCCAAATATTATTATACGACCTCGCCCGCCTCGCATCCATTCTGAGCTGGCCTTTCCCTGTGATGCCTCTTGCTGCAAGCCCCGTTCCTTTGTGTGAAGTGATGTGCCGGGGAGCCTAACGACGCCGGCATCTGTTGCACTTCGTTATCTTTCCTCCCATCCACACCCAATTGGATCTGCCGCCGCCTATCGGCTCCCGTTCTTCGGATCTGGTTCCTGCTGCAAGGACGCTATCACAGCCAGGGCTCTCCAGACCGCTTCACGCACCAGCACCGCCAGCGACGTCTACAAGAGGAGCGCACCCTCGCCGCCCTCACCGTCCGTCTCTTTGTCGCCTCCCGACTCGCCCGTCCGAAGCCGTCACCGTCGCCGTCGCGTGTTGAGCCTCCTTCAACAATCTCTCAATCGATCCGATCGATGCTATCGCCTCGATCGACTCCAACACGATGGCAGCCACGACCGTGATACAACCAATGAACAGCTCCAAGTACTATATGGATCCGCAGAGCGGACCTTCACCGCCGGAGAGCTACCACAACAACTCCGCGACACCACCGTCGAACATCTCACCCACCAACTACCACGCAAGTGTAAGGCAGCTGCGACAACCTCGTCAACCGCTCTATATCCCCGCCGCACTTCGTCCCACCGACAAGCCTGCCCGACCGACTGACATCCCGAACCGTCCTCGTGCGCCAGACACTCCGCCCGCCAGCCAGGACAGTAGCTTCGATAGCTTTCGCATGGATTCTGCGGCACCGATCGATTTCGCTGCTGGCAACATGATGAGCGGACAAGTAGAAAACGACGCCGAGTCTTTGCGACGAGGCCTGAGCCGGGCTGCAAGCGAAAGCTACGCAGAAGAGGAACCAGGCGATGTGACGGGTACACCTACCACGGCGCACTGGAAACCGGACGAGTCCTCCAATGTGTGTTTCATCTGCAACGAAACCTTTACATGGTTCTTCCGACGGCATCACTGCCGACGCTGCGGTAACCTGGTCTGCGACAACCACCTCAAGTTCAGCGTCCCACTTGATCAGAACGCACGCTATCACCCCAAGGGTTTCGCGAGCAAGGCATGCAAGCCATGCTTCGACGGATGGAAGGTCGTTCGCAAGCTGCAACAACACTCACGTGCCAATAGCATTGCCGAGTCTTCCAACAGCTCCCAAGGCACTGCCATGCCCATTCCCAACCTGCCCCGAGCCGACGACAACATGCGTGTCGGCAGCATGGCTCGCTCCGAGGGCGGTATGGTCTGGAGCACATTCTGATAGAACATACGACACGCGACACGCGACACGAAACGATACGCTGCGCTAGAAAGGCTCGGACAACACCCATGTCCAAAGCTTGAAACAACCCCCCACAGGCGTCGAAGGTTATTCTATACACACATCGATCACATCACTGCGTTACGGCTCTTCATGATTTATTAGCACGGCGTTGGAGGGATACTATTACTGGTGCTGCGTTCAAGCGCTTTCGATTCTTTCAACAAACCACCCCTCGTTCTGCATATTAGCGTTCACGCACGATTGTTGTGATATCCCTTGCAGTGTGCACAATAGATCGTTCTTTGGCCTCTTTTTGCTATTACTGATATTCGGTCGTCAATAGGGGGGGGACATGGGAACGCAGCAAGAGATGGGATGGATGATGGGCTTTGGTTGGGAACTAATCACTCAACACGGGAAATCTTTGCCCTTTGTATCAATAGAGAGGACGTATTAATATGAACACCATTCGGTAATCATGCAAACCAACGACACCTACAATAATTCCATTCTTCTCGTCTCTATATCGACTCTCGACGGCTTCGCAGCGCAACTTCACCGATTGTCGTCAGTCGTCCCGCGCGAGAGGTCAGAGCGTTGGAGCGAGCAAGCCTTGTGGGTCCCCATCGCACTTGCCGCACTCGGCAGGCGGGAAACTCTCAGGGAGGCGGGCCAACCTTGAAAGCTCAAGCGAAGCCCAAGACTTTCGCGCCCGCTGCGAGTAGACGAAAGTTTCGTGTCGGGAGGGTTGAGCCGATGCTGACCACACACACACAACACGCTTATTATTACCCGCTCTTCGGGCGAAGAATGTGACCTGTTGCCTTGCACAAGCCAGCTCGAGCTATGTACCCTTCACCGAATTTTGATTGGGCGCGTGACGGGACGCAGAGCTACCTTAGCTGGTTGGCGGGCTACAGACGGACTGATGATGCGGTGCCCGCGAGGGGAAACCTGAAGACCACCACACCGCTATATCAATCATGTGTGTGTGTGTGTCTTCCGACATTAGTACTGCGACGATGGATATAGCCAGCGGGCGGACCGACGACCGACGACCTACGACCTACGACCAACCAACCATCGGCAAAAGAGACGCCGATGTCCTTACCGTGCCGCCTTCCAACCAACCACCCCCTCCACCCTCCAGCTTTGATGCAGGGTCCTTTCTGCACAACCACAGCTAGCTGCTAGGATGGCGCATGCACGTATGACGACGAGAAGCGGGAAATAATGTGCGATCGGGACGATGGGGATGAAGGTGAGCTCCAGCTTTTTGAATTGTGGAATGTGTTTGTTGAGGTTGCGATGATCGCGATGGAAGGTACAGTATTTCTTTCCCTTCTCCGCGGCGCCACGACTTCACCTCGTCCGGCCGTTCTTGGGGAAAAAGATTTCTCTGTGGTAAGACTTTGGCCGGTCGTATCGATTGCCGTCCAGTCTGTCCATCTACTGATTGCGATTGTCAACTGTTTGACAAGCAGGCGTCATCAAATTTCGCGCGCCAATACACACGCTATAACAAAGCAACAAGCAATCATGGGAGACTGCAGAGGAGATTTCGCTCCAGCAACCTTTATAACGAAGATTGTCGACGTTGTGTGATTGTCCGTTTCTGCCCATCTTCAAACGCGGCATATACGTATACCTCAGCAGCAGCTTCCTGATCCTATATATATATTCAGATGACTGCTCGCAGGCGCACGGACCTCTGTATCACAAGCCAGCGTCAAACATCACATGGCAAGAGCGAGACAGAGTGTTCGTGGCCATAGAGATGAAGGCACGGGATCACCAGTGTATAGATTTGGCGAAAGTTCTGAAACGTGTTGCTTTCTTCTTTATACCGTCGACTAAGCCAAAGCAACAGGGCGCCCCATTGATATCTGCTATCCATCTGGAAGGATGTGCATGAGGCATGCTTCGAGGTGATGCTCGCCACAAGAACATAATGTGTTGCTTGCTGTTCAGGCTGCTCGAAGTCCTGAGATGAAAGCAGATTCTCAGATACCTGCACGAAACTCGCCTCTGGCTGCATGTTCAGATTGAAAGTGGTCTCTCACGGGCATCTCGACTAAGCAAGTGAGCTTGTGTGTAGGCACGGAGAGGCCTGTCCTTAGATGGCGCCTTCGAGACGGTTGCGCCATGTGAGAGCTGTTCAGCACGCGTTGTTTGAGCGAGATTCCATCCATCCCAAGGCCACAGAGACCACATGGAAGATGGAACCCCAATCGCTGCTGGGTGGGAGTGTTTTCCGTCATGGTACATCTGTCACGTTCACTTCGATTACTTTCACATGCGACAGGAGCTTATGAAACAGCTCTTAGCTCTAGCTCTTCCTCCGGCTTTTCTTCTACACTCGAACATCGACCAACCAACGTACCAGAAACCAACAACCAACCCTCACTCATACTCATACTCATACGGACAATGTCTTTCTTCTTCAGAGCACTGCCCAGCAACCAGAATCGGGGAGGATCGGCCTATAACGATCCTGCTCCTCCCCCAGCGACGAGCGTGCCCTCTTGGGCCCTTTCCGGTTCCACTTCGCGGAAGAAGCGCCCACAGACCAAGAGATCACCAGTCCTGAGGAAAGCCAGACAGGCGCCGGGAAAGAAGGTCCTGGCGAAGAGGAAACCTGCCAGGAGATCAAAGGTCAAAGAACCCTCGCCTTCACCGTCTTCATCTTCGAGCTCGAGCTCGAGCTCAAGTCCGACTCCGGAGCCGCGCTCACTGTCTACCTCCAAATCTCCCGCTCCCAAGAGAAGAGCGTCTGGCAAAAGAACAGAATCCTCTTTTTCTTTTTCCCCGGAATTCGATTCCGATCCCGAAGAAGAAGAAGAAAAAGAAGAAGAAGAACAACAACTCGACCCAGACCTCCTCTCCCTCGAAGCCGCCCTCGCCGAATCCACCCAAATCCACTCCCTCCTCGCAGCCTCCGACCTCCTACACCAAGAACTCCATCCAACCCTGCACACAGCCCTCCAACAATGGGAAACCTACCTCGCCACCCTCACCCCGCTCCCTGCCTATTCCGCCCTGACATCCACGGAAATCACACCTCGCGCCAAAAAAGCCGCCCTGCTGCATCTCGTCGACACCCTGCCGGCGCGCCATCGGGAGATGGTGGCGGCGTATAAGGATAAAAAGGTGGAAGTTGTGATTCTTGGGGAGACGGTGGAGATGTTACGGGAAGGGTTGAAGATGATGGAGGAAGGCGGCGGCGGGGAGAAGGAGATGAAATTAGGAGGATACTATAATCACATGTTATTCAAAGGGGTGAGATTTCGGGAGGAAGCTCTGATGGCGGAGAAGGAGATCAGGTTCGTGCCGGTTTTTCTTTGTGTGTTTCCTTCTCTCTTTGGAATTTTTGCTGACTTATTCTTTTTGCGCCATGTCTCAGGGCGTTGGAGGAAGCTCGTCTGGGAGAATTGAAAGGCTTCATGGGCATGTACGAGGAATTGAGTGTCCTGGAGGGTGAAGGGAGACTGGGACCGGATGAAGTGCAGCTTTTGGTCGATGTAAGTCGTTTCTACTACTGAGATGGTGCGTAGCGTTCAGTGCTGAATCTTGGTGCAGGCGATGGATCATGCGGGTCTGAGTGCGGGCTCGGAGGCGAGGGAGGGGGGCGAAGAGATTTGTCTGGATTAGCAATCTCTCCGGCGGGAGTAGCGGCTTTCTAGTTGTGGCGGAGAGCAGGTTTCCGAATTTGGTCTTAATATTGACACATGCGGTTTTGATACCCCCAGCAATAGCTAATCACCATCATCACTTGCATCATCGCTGTCCCAGCCTTCTTCATATTCTTCTGCCATGGTCGTGAGTCCATCACAGAGCGCCTCGCGTTCGTCGATACCGACCATACGCCTGGCAACGCCCACAATGCTCCGGATACGATCCGCTATTGCCGTCGAGGTCGACAGTGTGGCATTGATGGCGAGCTTGTGAGGGTTCGATTGTAGTTGGAAGATTTTGGGGTAAGATGACAGCACAGGGAACAGTAGCGCCGACTGATGTCGAGAGGTTCGCGCGCGGCTAGCTGAGAAGCGATCATGCAGCCGGGCATCAGACTCCTCGAGCTCCGTTGTGGTCTTCCACGGCCCACGTAGTGATTGCATCTTGCTGAAAAGATGTGTCCGGCGTCTCTGCTGTCCCCTCACAGACTGAGTCGTCAGCTCTGGGAAAAGATCAATGTCTCCTTCTGGTTCCTTGTCTTCGACCTCATCTTCTACGTGATAGCCGTTTGTTATGCGATCGTCAGAGTGGCCATTTGTTTGCGCATCGTCTTCAAGCTGAGCCGCGTCTTGTACTGAAAGTGCGCAAGCAGCTATTCGTCTCATGCCATCCCCGTTCAAGGTCGATTCCAAATCGTCGAACGTTGCACGAGCGCCCTGCGCACTTCGAAGGCGCGTTGGCAATGTCATCGATTCGGCTGCGGCAGCCTGAAGTGCCGATGTGTTCCATTTGCTTGTGCCGTCAATGACCGCATAACTTGGAAGAGAGGACGGCAAGCTAGCAAGTGGAATATGCATGCTGGCAGATTGATCGATCCCGTAGATTGACTGGGCCACATTCGACATTTGCAGCGCCTGTCGCTCTCGTGACGTGCGCTGAGTGTGCTGTAGTCCGAAGACCCAGCGACAGCCTTTGCCCAATTCATCCGAGATGCGCTCAAGATATCTAGACGTGAATCCGCCCCAAGCATCATCTGTACTTGAGAAGATCTGGATTCCCTGAAGCTGGTCACATTCTTCTAAGAAGGGTCTCAAGTCTCGATCCAACAAGTCATGCTCGCGGTCAAGGTTGGCAAACAGCTCCTCGCCTGTTTGAAAGCGCTCGAAGGGCATCAAAGAGCTATTCAGCTCATACTCGTTCAGCTGTACGATGCTTCGGGGATGGTAGAACACGTGATTGTAGTCCGACCAGAAGCGTACAGTCTCGTTCGTAAGTACTGGTGGTTCCAAGCCTTGATCGAGTGCCTGCTGATAGGAGCTTGGTGCAATGGGCGAAAGTTGCAGAGGAATCGTTCTTCCACTCCACTGGCCTTGTTGAGAAGGGTTCTCTTGTTGCTGCAGCTGATACAAAGCGTTCTCTCTGCGCAGTGTACCGAATGCGCCTTTCAAATCGTATATGACCGTCCGCGGCGTATATGTCTCCGAGCCATCTGCTCCCATACCAGGCCGAAAGGAGACATCGTGGTCTACGGGAGATTCTTCCTCCCCGGGATATGTGAAATACGATTCCTTCCTATGGCGTTAGTCCTCCCGATGGCCACTGTGCGCGAGCTGGAGAATACTTGCCTTACCTGAGTGTTCCAGTAGTGGGTGCCTAAGTAGTTGGCCTGCTGGCCGAACTGGAGAGTGACGACTTCACGCATGCCTGCGTTGGAGGAAGAAATGCAGACTTATTCGCCTTTATTAGTCGTGACGAGATGTTCTTCGCGGTGTCAAGCATCCAGGCGGGCGGCGTTTTCGGCTGGCGGCATATTCTCGGGCCGCACGAGGCTGCATGCCGATGTCGATCGCTTTCACGTGGAGAACGTATCCCATGTAACCAGGCTAGCACATCCACCTTCATACAACGCGCCCGCCCCAATATCACCCGCCCCACGACGCGAGACCTTGACGACGACGACGGAATTCGAGGAGCACGCCTTGCGGAGTAGCGCTGCGACCGACGACCGATGTGCGCGCACAAAGAGCAGCGGCAACCATAGGGACGTCGTCTGGGCGGCACTGGGGAAGAACCACCGCATGAATCAGTCCAGGGACAACCGACTCGCTGGTAGCTTCCGCCAGCTCTTCCGGCGCCTCGGGCACTGAAGATATCGCAAACGCGACGCCCGCCATGACAACCACAACTGTTGCCCGGCCTGCACAGGCACTGCGCAATCGTCGCGACGCACCACGACCGACCCTCCCCCTCAAGCGCGCCTCCGTCATGGATGCCACTGCTGAGTCCGCCGGCAAGAAGCGCAAGCTGAACGAGCCACACGTAATTACCAAAGACCATATTCTGAAGAAGTTCAAGGACCGCCAGCCATCCCTCACCGTCCACCTCCACGATGCCCATTGGAAGTTTGAGGGCCAGGAGGGCAGCTTCGACTACCGCTCGCCCATGGTCGCTTTCCTCAGAGCTCTACGAAAGTCCGAGCTCCCGCCCGACATGTTGGAAGAGCTGCTAGCCGGCAACGTGCCTTTTTACGACGGCTGCCTCATCGTGGAGATACACAATCATGTGTCTGGGAAGGGCAAAGACAAGGGCAAGAATAGCTCCGCAACAGGAGGAGATCAGGTCCGATATTCTATGCACAACTACAACAGTTATGTGACACCTTCTCCCTTTGTGCCGTATCCCAAGAAGGCAAAGGAGAACGAGCCTCCAGCGGACGAAGATGCTGCCAAGGCAGGAGAGGAGAAGAAGACGAGTGCGGGCAAGGACAGGGGCAAGGGCGGAACACAGGTTGTGACAGAGGTCATGTTTCCCACTGATCGGTCCCGTCATAAGGAGCTTCTCATACTGGCGAATACTCCCGCCTCAGAAATGAAGGGCATGAAGCGCAGCATCGATGGAGCCACCCCCTCGTCGGCGCAACCACCGACGCCGCAACTCTCAGTCGGTCCTAATCTCGCTGCTGGAGGCAGATCACCGGGGCAAGATAACAAGATGTGTCTGGAAGATTCTGAGATTTATCAATTTGAAGCAGAAATGCTGCTTACTACCCAGCCTCCGTTGTTTCTCGAGCCCGTCAAGAATCCACGAGAGGCGGAGAAGGTGCTGGAAATGCTCGCACATCCACTACATAGCGATCCGCCGCCCTCGCCCAAAACGCGCAAGAGGACGACTGCGGAGATGGCTGCAGACGATGCGCAAGCCGCTGAGGCAGAGCGGCGCATGCTTATCATGGACGAGCGTATCAAGGCTACCACAGCCGGAGACACAGCAGGGACGGCACAGGCGCTCGGATTTTCCCGCTTCAAGACAATACAAATGGTCCGCGAAAACCACGAAGAACAGGAGCGCAAGAAGAAGGAAGAGGAAGCTCAGGCTGCGGCGCAACGAAAGCACCAAGACTTGCTCGAGCAGAAGGAGAAGGAGCAAAAGCAACAGCAAGCAGAGCAACAGCGACAGTTGATGAATCGTCGACAACATCAAGCCCGCCAGGCGCACGAAATGCGCGTGCAGCAGTCGCAGCAACAAGCAGCGCTGCTGGCACAGCAGCAGCAACAGCAGAACAACCTGATGGCAAACCAGCACCAGGGCAGCTTCCAGCATCCTGTCTCTGTGCCTCAAGCTAGTCCGGTCGTCAGACAACAGACACCGATGATGAACTCGTCGCCGATGCTGCCGCAGAACGGTTTCCCAATGACCGCAACATCGAGCCAAGGAGCCGGTAGTCCACAAAGACCGACTTCAGCGGCCATGCCGAACCCGACGGTCGCAATGGCTAGACAAGTCAGCCAGCAACACGGCAGCCGCAATGCTACTCCTCAGATGGCCCAGGGCACACCGAATGTGGCTGGCGCAGTGCCTAACAGGCAGATGAGCCAAACACCGCGCATGCCGCATGGTAGTCCAGCACCAGGAACGCCGGCTGCAGTCAACATCCCCAACATGGGCATGACACCGCAGCAGAGCGGGATGACTCCGGAGCAGTTTGCGATCTTACAGGCACAGCAGAGGCAGCTGCAAAATCAAAGCCAAGGAGGCGCGGCCGGCTCACCAAGCCAGCAAATCCCTGGTCAGATGACTCCAGAGCAATTCCAGAGCATCAACCAGCAGCAACGAGCGCGAGCTCACCAACAGATGTTGCTTGCACAGCAGTCAGGAGCCACACCGCAGCAGCTGGCGCAAATGCAACAACGACATAGGGCTATGGTGATGCAACAACAGCAGATGATGCAGCAGCAGCGCATGATGGCAGCGTCACAGCAAAACTCAAATGCCAGCCAAAGCCCACATCCGTCGATGCAAGGCCATCCACAGCAAGGTGGTATGCAGCAAGGCCAACAAATGACGCCCGAACAAATGCAAGCTCGACAGCAGGCACAGCAGGCGCAGATGAAACAAGCCCAGATGCAGCTACAGCACCTTCATCAGCAATACAACGGATTCCAAAACATCCCTCCGCAAGTGGCTCATCAGCTACCTCAACCAGTGCAGCTCCTACTTCGCCAACAACAGCAGCGACAGCAGACTGCTCGTGCTCAGCAGATGGCCATGAGAGCTCAGCAGGCACAAAACGCTGGCCAACCTGTCGCTGGCAGTGGAAATGCCGATCCTGAGTATATGCAGACGCTTCGGAATCACCAGGCAATGCTTGCCCAGCAGCACCCGCAGCAGAGTGGACGAGGAGGACAGATGGGTGGTGTGAGCATGTCGCACAACATGAACTTTAACAACATGCAGAACCAGCAATTCGGCGGGCAAGGTCAAGGCAGCGACCTCTCTGCGCAATTTCAGGCGATGCAAGCTGCATTGAACAGAGGCAACCAACAGGGGGGCGGACAGCATTAGACGGACTCGACGCCGCTGCTTACCTCCAGCCGAACTGTCGATCCTCCTAACATGAACTGGCGTCGGTTGCTATAACGACTTTTCGACGCTCAGAACGTCATCATCAGGGCCGCGTTGCAATCGTCCATAAACGTTGCGGACGCACCAGGGCGAAGATGCCGTCACGCTAAATGAAACTCGTGCGAGCGGCACGCGGATTGGAAGCGGCATCATTTGTGCCTCTTAAGTAAGAGCTGATCTTTCGCTTGATCACAGCGACATTTGGGAGGCTCTTTGTAGCCTTTGACGATTGTATTAGAACTCGCAGGTGAGCGCTCTCAGTGTATAGAGACGACAGTTTTGTCTGGCTACAAGCCAGAGCCTAGTATCCCCTAATCTTGATGAAAATTAATGATGATGTGCTAATAATTCTTTTCATTACCTACGTGCAAGCTCCATTGAAATTGTGCGCGCCGTGGGTTTTAATGAAACTCTTGTCCTTGGCCTGAGAAAAGTCTGAACTTCGCCCCTAGCGATGAGTTCCCCCGGACAGGCTCTCCGATTCATTCACTCACCGCTGACATATGCATCCCGAGATTTTGCCACTAGCGTCATCCGTAAAACTCTCAATATGCAGCCTGACCCTCTGACTTTTCCTGTTCTCTACTCCAGTGGCATAGCTGTCTCAACATCTACAGGACATGTCAGCGCTTTAGAGAAAATCGCATTTGGAGGCTCATGGGGCCCGGTGCTTCGGCACGAGAGGCGCAATGTCGTAAAATTTCCTGGCAGTCACTCTTGAGTGGCCGTGGTTGTCTGCTCGTGTAGATGTTGCGTCTGTCTGTTGGGAAGGGTCGTCTGCATCGACGTCTTGGCTGTGAAAGGCTAGGGCGCGAAGCGGATGAGAGCTGGAGTATGTCGCGCCTTTACAGACAAAGCTTGCAGAAGCGAGACGAAGCACTCAGAAGACTTCCCCGAAAGCAATCAAGACAATGGTCAAAGCAGCGAGGATAGTCTCGCGCGAGCAGCAAACTCAGCGGCTGGATTTAACATGTCAAGCATGTTGCGGTCTCTTGCTTGCACCGACCTCAGATTTACACTGTGCAGCACGGTGAAGAAAAAATGTCTAGAAGAGACAGCAACACCTCTGTCGTCTCTATCGATAACGGGGAGGTATCCAGTACTACAGCGCTTGCTCTCACCGATGCCCGCTTTGACCTGGCAGCGGTCGACTTTCAGGATTTCTCGACAAGACCGGACACCTCGCTCGAGCATTGCGGCTACAAGCCTTTCGACCTCGCGAATCTTGCAGCCGCATTCCACCAGAAGTGCACACCAGGAGCCATTCGACGCTACATTCAACGTTACGATAAGGACGAAGTGAAGTCCAAGATCCACGGTCTCGTACATAACCACCACATCGTCACGTATGCCATTCACTACCATAGTGTGGATTGCCTTCGCTTGCTGTTGGAATACGGCGTCGATCCCCAAGCGCGAGACTTCGGCAGGGTTCCTGTCCTCGCGTACGCTATCATGCTGCCGTACTGGAATGCTTGCAACACTCTGGAAATGGTCAGGACCCTTCTTGCGCATGGAGCTTCAGCTCTTCATATCCCCCGCGACATGTGGATCGACTACGTCAAGACACCAAGTTCCGGCTCGGATGTGCGGAATCGAGGCGGCAACAAGTGGTGTACGGTCAAGGTGCGAAAGATTTTGGTCGAGACGATGCACCTCAGCATCAGATACACTCTCTGGAGAGCTAGTCGACTCGAATTCCGTCCGTGTCGGATGCTGCAGATCGCAGAGGCTAAAGGTATCTTGCCTCTTTTGAGAATTCCATATCTCGTCATCGGACAGGAGCTGGGCATAGAGCACGTCATTGAACAGATCTATGCCCACATTGCTAACGATGTCGATCAGCCTCTTGTTCTTGCGTTCAGTGGGCTTTCAGGTCATGGAAAGACAGAGCTGGCTAGCTGTATGGGAGGTCTTATATCGGCAGACTTTATTGACATCGACTGCACCCAGATTACCACGGTCTTCTCCCTCCTTGGAACCACAGCAGGCTATCAAGAAAGCGAGAATGGTTCTCCTCTCAACAACTTCCTTGTGCGTAACAACGCCAAACGCAATGTTGTCTTCCTGGACGAATTTGATAAAACGAAGCGAGAGGTCCGGGAAGCGTTGCTGAAAGTGATGGATGCGGGTAGGCAGCTTGGCATTGGACAAATCTTTGATGTTTTCCGCCGGCTAATGTGCATTAGGGACCTACACTGGACGGCCAAACAATCTGAAGATCGACTGTACCAAGACTGTCTGGATTCTTGCGACAAATAAAGGTGACACGGAGGTTGCCGCGTTCTACGCGAAGGAGATCGCGAAGCGCAGAGAAGATGAGATCGATCAGGTCGACATCATGCCGCTGCAAATTGAAATCGCTAAGCTTCTGTCGTCGCTTTATTCAGTATGTTGCATTTTTCACCATTGAGAGCCTGTCCGCTGACGATGATCTTAGCCTGCCGTATGCGGACGCATCAATGCATTTATTCCCTTCTTCCCTTTCAGCCCAGGGGAGCAAGCAGTAGTTGCACACAAGTTCATACTCAACCTACAAGACCGCATACGCAAGCCCATAGACTTGAAACAGCCTGTCTGCCGCTATATTGGGCACTCCATTCTGCGTGTGGTAGACGATGGTCGTCTTTGCCAAAAAGTAGCAGAGGGATATGTGCAGGCTCTCGGGGCTCGATCGCTCAAGCGCGAAGTCACAAAGGTGGAAAAGAAGTTTCTGAAGGAGTACAGCAAGGTGGACGAAGTGGTGACCGAAGCCAGCAACCAGGGGAAGTTTGAAAGATATATTGCGCAGTTGCAGCCGGTCTCGGATGGAGTGCAAGACATTGTGGTCTATCGAGACACGGAGAAGGACTAGGTTTGGTTGGCCTTCATGTTCTTCTCCAAGAGATTCGATAAAGCCTGAGCTCACATGGAAGAAATCGACTCATGCAGCTGTTGGATTGTAGGTCATAGCAGGCTGCTTGATCCAGAGTCGTCGCTGCTCCAAGCTTCAAAGAAGCTGATCAACTTAGTTCCAAAGCTGAGCGGTTACTTGCCGATTCTCCAAGCGCGTACACTTGCACTTTGCGAAGGGGCTTCAAGGCTGGACGTTCACAGCGTGGGATGCGCTTAGTTCGCCAGATACATCAAGCTGAGAAAGCGTGCTCCAGCGTGCAAGCACTACCTGCGGTCCTGTGCACGTTGCTTTGAGCCTCCACTGTCCGTTCCCCACGTGACGATGCTCAGGGGACCCCAAGACCATCTCTTTCATGCTTCATCTGGCTTCCCATCTCTTCTGAAGGATGCGTTGGAGGTCGCCGACGGCTGGCGGTCCTGAAAGCAGCAGCGGGAGGCCATCAGAAGATCATCGTCTCACGAAACGGCGTGCTTGGGATTGCTTTCAGCATTGGTGAGGCTCGTTGAATGGCGTCCACTAGGATCGGTTTGTCGCTGAAGTGCAAATCAGCTTTCACAGCGGGGAAGAAGTGAAGTCCCATTACCCCCTGACCGGACCGGAGCTACATTTCCCCGCCTCACCGCTGCCTAAGCGCCCTCGCAACCTGACAGCGACCAACCATTGTCAACAACGACCTTTGCTCCAACATCCGCAAGCGCTGAAGCACGTTTCGAACCACACGCTCACGCCAATCATGACGCTGCTCCCAACAACCTCACGGAAGCATTCTATCTGACGGGCCTCGAGCCGCCGGCCAGCACCTCCTCAGTGGCCTCGATCAGGCTGTCGTCGGGAGCATGTCGCTAAATCCATGTACGTGACTGCTGCAGCACGCAGATTGAGGGCGCTCCGGATGATTACGCGCAGGCGCTTTGCTATCTATGGATGGTGGGCTGGTCCGGCTAGTAGTGTATGCGGAGAACAGAGGTCGTACAGAGAGTAAGTGCTTTGTTGATATAGATATAGAAGAACAAGACAGCGCCAAAGCATTGCCCTCTTCCCGTCATCGACCATCTACTCTCCTCTTCTTCCCTGCCCGCGAAAGAAGACATTCTCTTTCATTTCCTACATTCCTCTCCAGTCACTCCTTCTACACAACCAAAAAGCAAGAAAAGAGAAACCAAAATGACCTCCCGCCTCCGCCTCCCAACCCTCCTCCTCACCTCCCTGTCCATAGGCCTCAATCTCGCCATCCTCGGCACCGCAGCCCGCTCCCTGCACGTCTACAACTCCCAACGCACCACAAACGTCTACTTCCTCCCCGTCTGGTCCGGCCACTTCGACACCCGCGAACTCTCCGCCCTCATCGGAACCTCCGCCGTCATCTTCCTCCTCAACGCCGTCGTCCTGGTATCCTTGTTCGTCACAGCCGTGAGTCCTCCCCCCCCCCGAACCCGACGTCTCTCAAAAGTTTCCGGTCTTCTAACCAACTCGAGCTCGCCTTCTTAGCTCCCAGCAAACGCCCTCATCCTCCTCTCCACAACCCTCTCCACCCTCCTCTCCCTCATCGCCCTCATCTTCTCCTCGGTCCTGAATACCCGCCATCCCGCCGACCGCGCCACCCTGCAATCCTGGACGTGTACCTGGCATTCCATCCCGAATCAGAACGTCCCGAGACAATACGATACACTATGCCATGAAACCGTACGCACGCATCTCCCCTCCCTTCTTCTCCTTCCTCCTCCCTTTTCACCTCCACCTCCACTAAACTTCTTCCAAACAGCGCTTCGCCTTCTACACCACCATCCCTTCCTTCCTGCTCCAACTCCTCCTCCTCTCCCTGGCCACCACCACCCTCTTCTCCTCGCGGAGACAACACTCCAACATTCGCCTCGACGAAGAGAAAGATCATCATGAATTGGCCTCTCGACGCCCGCAATCCTTCGATACGAAAGCGACCGAGGCGAGTCTCCCCGAGAGCATGAGAGTCGTAGCTCCGAAGCAGGAATTCCGGTAGATCAGAAAGGAGAGAGAGAGAGAAGAAGATATGAGCCATGACGTGAAACAATGACCTTGAAAGTGTAAAAATGGGGAAATGGGGATATGACAATTCTGGTTCGAAACGGTATCTGGCTTAGAGATGATGACGGCGGCGAAAGGAGCCTATATCATATATCTCATCAGGATTCTCTCTCTTTCGATTTCCGTCTCTTTTTTCTCTCGCAGGATGCAATGAAAATTACGGGTATCACGGTTTGAAGAGTTCAGTCCCAAAAAGACCAAACTGTAATTTGTGCCTGCAAATCTCTTCACTCCCCTCCCTTGAATGCCTTGACAAAAGTGGCCGTCGAACATTACGCTTCACACATTACGATTAATTCGCCGCCGTACTCCTCCGAAAAGCCGAGAGGAAGCTCTTCCGCTTGCCCACTTTCATGGATTTCATAGATTTCGTCTCACTCGTCTCAGGGATAGGTGGCGGTGATGTGGTCTTGGTTGTGCTCGAGGAGATGGTGGATCGCCGCTTCGCGGTATTCGCAGTCGGCTCGTGCTTCCCGCCACTCTCCTGCGAGGATTTCTCTAGAATGGTGGGCTCCTTGCCTCGCTCCTTGGCAGTAGCCGGTGTGCTCATTACGCCATCAACATAGCTGTCTCTTGGCCTGGGCTTGTCCTCCATAGGCGGCAAAGCTGTGGTACTGCTCTTGGGCGTGGTCGGTCTTGCTTTCGATTTCGCTTTGGCGGGATCTAGCTTGAGGAATGAAGGAGGTGGTCGTGAGTGTCGGATTGGCGGTGGTGCCGGCGCCGCACCCGATGTGCGCTTGTCTTGTGTTGTGCTCGAGAGTTTCGATATAGCAGCGCCGGAGAAAGTTCGCGGCCTGCCATTTGCCGCATTAGGGCTCTGCAGGTCAGCATCCGAGATCCCATTCATTCGCAGGCCATTTGATCCAGTAGATGCCGTATGAATATGGGATGTTGAAGGTCTTGTCTTCTCTCCCATTTCGACGGTGGGCAGCTCGTAGACGCCAGCGGGCGATAAGACAGCAACTGGGGGTGTCGGCGGCGTATTTGTACTTCTCTCGCTGTCGCTGGCGCCATTCGCAATGCCATTGACATGATTTGAATCCGCCTTTGTTTCCGTGGTCTTTGCATGCACCGATTGGGGCTCGTCTTTCTCTGCTGGTATCTTCGGAAGACTCTTCTTGAATGTTGGCATGCTCTTTCTCCCATTTGATAAGACTCTTCGCACAGTACTCCCGCTGTCGTTTGATTGCTGCTTCTCCTGCCTCTCAATCTCACCGAGCATTGTCGCGCCGTTGACCGCGAAGTTCTCCTCTGGTATGGGCGAGAACTTGACAATCCCTCGCTCCGGTGGAACACTCAGGATGTCCGCCATGAATGATTGTATGAGGGTTGCGTTGCGCTTGTTCATGGCAGGGCCCATTTGCGAAGGGACGGTGGTGAGTGTGAGTATATAGCAGGGATCAAAAGTGCCTCCAAGCGCTAGGCAGGCGCTGTGGTCTATCTTGACCATGATGGCGGAGTCTGGGCGGGTGTATCGTGCGGCAAGATGGTACGACAGATCGGTGACCAAGGTGAACTCATCTTTGATCTACCATGTTGTCAGTGATGCTACGTGCGAGCTTGAAATGCAAGGGCTGTTGGCATACGATGACATTTGTTCGCAACTCTGCAATGACGGGGGATTCGCGCTGCACTCGTTCTCGTACACTACTGTTGGCATTTCTCTTGTACTGGAATTGCTCCTCGTAGTACTGGGTGCGCTGCTTGGAGGTGTTGTTGTAGGTGGCGATCATACTGCTCCTATCGCCGAGGTGTTTGAAGCGGAACTCGTCGATTTCCTTGCCGCGGATCAGGTCCGAAACGAGATCGGTAGCAGGCGCACTGCTGCGCTTTTGGGCATGAGCTGGCTGAGGCTGGGTGGAGCGGTTGCTGGAGCGGGTGCTGGAGCGAGTGCTGGTGGAGAGAGCGAGGCCAGGCTTGTTGTGATCGGAATTGGAGGAATTGGAGTTGATGCGGCGGAGCAGGTCGAAGGAGTAGTTGGAGGGGGTGTCACCGGAGGGAGTCTTGAGGGATTGCGGCATGTCGAGTTTCAAAAAGAGAGACAGGTGCGCGCGGATGTTACACCGGTCGACTGGGGCACAACGGCAAGAACGGGTCGCCTGGCAGCGGAGACAGCAGTGTGCAGCGAGCGCAGCAGGCCTGTGATGCGGTCCGCGATGGATCTCCAGATCGAACGCGGATATTATTCTATGCGCTCTGGGGCGCGATTGGTCGGCGGGTAATAAGGAGTCTGGCGGCAGCGGTAAGGTGGTTCCGGTGGGCTGGGACGAACGCTTCAACGGGCGGCAGCAATGGAGAAGCAGCACTCATCAGCACTCTCAGCAGCACTCTCAGCAGCACCAGGCGCAGGCGCCGACGGTGAAGAGGGATCAGGCGTACTTATCACTCACTGATCCGACTGTTCTACAGACTGGACGTCCAGGTCATCCCGGATTGCCAGTGGATGATGGGCTGAAGCGCCATGGCCAAAGTAATAGCCCTTGGTAGCCCCCTCAATAGCCCTCAATAGCTACGGGCATGACCCCGGGGCGATGGGAGCCTCTGCGGTGCGCCGATCACTTCGTTGGCCGTCGGTAGCCCGACGGAGGGAGCCGCGCAACTCAAGGTAAAAGGTAACGGCGTCCCGACGGGACCGCAACGAGCCAAGGGGAAGCTTCGAGTTCGATATCGTCAGTGCGCGTGGGCGCTTTCTATCTCCGTGTGTCCGGCTGTCGGCCCCTTGACTCTTCCTAGCGCGTCCAATCCCGATTGTGGATCGTGGCCGGGGTTGCTCGCCCTCACTTCACCTCCACCTTCCACCTTTGCCAGCACACGTCCACATCTCAACGGCGCTGGCTTGGCTGGGTCAGACCTGGTGTCCTCGTCGCCGCATGCGAATGCGCGACACCCTCTCAATTCTCATGCACCATGCAGCACCCAATCTTGCCCGCCACATGCTACAAACAGGCGAGATCGTCGCTGGGCCACGTGAGTGCCAATTTCAATCTGACACACCTCTGCGTGTTTCAGGTCCACTGGAAGATGAGACTGTTTGCATCTGTGATCTGGGATCTGTCATCTGTGATCGACCGGATGCCCACCCAACCGAAGCGAAGGAACATTTCAGCCAGCCCTCCGTACCGCCGTACAAGTGAACAGCACGCCTGCAAGCACTTGAACACATCTACTCTGGACTCTGCGCACTGCACTATTCGATATGCTTTCTGCAATCTCCGCTTTCCTGTTTCCTGTGAGAGCTTGCACAGACTCACACTCTGTTCATTCCGTCCAGGCCGGCGGTAGGCCGCTGACACCGCATCGGTAGCTTCTGCACGACTAGATACCTCACGAATCGTTCACCTATTGTACCACGCTTGCCCTTCCGGACAGTCGCACAAATTCATGAGGCGTTGAGACAGCGGTCGGTGTGCTACGCATACCATTTCGCTCGCAGGCCGGGAAACACGCGCAGTTTGCCTTCCAAATGGGTAATGTTGTTTGACAATGCCACAGCCCGCTATGGCCGTACGGGTATCTGGAGCATCAACGATTCTTGTTTGCAGCGATAACCACTACATGTACACTTCACGAAGAAGAGTCTATGACGATACCGTTGTACAATCACTCCAACACAACATGAAGACCATCCCGGCTGACAAGCACCTGCAGCCACCACCCGTGCTGGCAGGAGCTCGCATGCTTGTACATTCCTTAGGTGAAGTTAGTCCTGATTTTCGGGAAGTTGGGAAGTCGCTGTTTCACCTGAAACGTGACGGAACCGCGGCATCTTGAACAAGCTTCACTCTCGTACAGATGCGAATCTTTCTCCCGTTCGCTATTCGACACCTCTACACGCGTGCAGTTCCATGTTCAAAATGCCGCCCGTATCTCAGTTCTCCCATACCAATCCATACGACTTGATACTGAGGACATTCGACAGCTGTGGCGAGCACGGCAGTCGCGGACTTCCCTACTACCTCGCAGGCCTTTTCAGCTTTTGCCCGAGGAACATTGTGCGCCGACACACCTCTCGGAATCTGGATCGGATTTGGCAGGCTCATCAATACGTCTGTTCCGACGTATTCAAAACCGTGGCTGAAGTTGTTGAATTGCTGCAAGCCCCGGGTCACGAAGCAGGCACTAGAGTGATACAGAGATAGCCCTAGTTCTGGCGATGAGCTTGAACGCAACAACAAGTCAAACAAGTATCCGATTCGTGACGACAATTTTGAGAGGAGAAAATTGTATGTATTGCGGTCTTGTGGGAAGTGTCGTCTGCCGCTTCCTGCCTTGGTGCCTGACATCAGCCCTATACGCGCTGGCACTGTTTCGCCGAACGCCGAAACGCCTCGACGTCACGACTTCTTTGTACTCGTCACCGCAGTGCAATAATCGTGCACACATGTAATATAATCATCTCGCCATCCAGGCCGATGCGTACCGTACCACCATTGATCAACTGCTCAAGAATCTCCCCCCGACCGCCAGAGGCGAATTGCTGTGAAGCCACTAAGTACGAGAGGCGACGCCGCGGCCTTCATCATCATCCCTGGACCCTACGAGTGCAACGCAGTGAGAGGGCCGGAATCATCCTCTACTAGTAGGTAGGTAGGTAAATCATCACTTTCTTCTTCACCGACAACCTCATCTCTGCCCCAAAATCAATTGCATTCCACTGACCATGTCTCTAGCAAGCACACGGATAAGCACAAGCACAGGCACCAGCATCAGCACCCCGACCATCATCAACATGGGCATCTCCCTCAGCACCGCCCGCTGGCTCGCGCCTGCCTCTTTCCTCTACGACTTCGCCGCCCAACAATACGGCATGTTCTCCGAGCCCAATATGAAAACCATCCACGACCGCAACCTCTCCTTCTTCTCCCCACAACCTTTCTTCATCGCGGGCTTCTTCCTCCCGCAACAACTCTTCCAACTCGCCTGGCTCTACAAACTCTGGAAACTCAACCCGCAGAATCCCAAGGAAAAGAAGGAATTGGATGAGATTGTCCGCTTCGTGCCTTTCTACGCTCTCGGAAATGTCTGTATCGGAACTTGGATGTTCTTTTGGAATTCCGAAAACCTCAAAACCGCGGACATCTTCGTCGTCATCAACACCCTCTCCCAGCTGTGGTACGTCTTCACCCAACTGGAACCCATGAACACGCGCTCCACCGCAAGTATCCTCACCCACGTGGTGTCCAAAACTTTTGCCGGGATCGGGATTCTCGACATTCTACACAATACTTCCGTGGCCTTTTATCGGAATGCTTTACCCAGTAAAGCGGTGAAAATCGCTACAGGACTTGGGTTTGCGGGGTTGAGTGCGTGCAGTGATTGGATTTTGGGAGGATGTCTGGTCTATGATTTGATTGCTCTGAGTGTGGGACAGAAGTCGTATGAGCAGGATTGGAGTCGGGTGTTGGCCGGGTTTGCCGTGGGAAGTGCGGCGATTGTGGGGGTGAAGAATTACTTCAAGTGAGTACCTCTATCGCTTGTGCCAAGAGGTGTTTTGTGGGTGCCATGATCTGACGGCTGGATTTTCTTTCTTCTGCAGACCACCTTATGTGAAGAACGAGGAGTATGCTCTGGCGGCGCAGGATGATGTGGATGATCGGGCTTGAGATGTGATGATGATGGTGAGATGGTGAAAAAGTCTCGAGAATGATATTGAACATATGTGAATAACTGCATCCTCCGGCTTTGAGAGTATCTGGGAACCGGAATTCGATTCCACTATGTCTTTTGTAGGGAGGCGGTCCGAGATGATCAAAACGACAGTTGCAAGCTCACGTTGGATGAGATGTGGATGGTATGCAAACGAATAAGACCCAAGAAAAACCTTGTCCTCTAGCACGTCGGATCAACCACATGAGAAGATTTTGGGATAGGACATTTTCAGAATGGCCCTACATCTACCACAGGAATCATCCACCGCGCCAAGACCAGTGACCTTCGCTGGCCTTACCAGAATACATCACGTCACGTTGGCGTCGCGACATCGGTTCTGAAGGCAGGTTGTACGGCTACAGGTCCAGCGATTTTGTGACAATCCATCTCCTCTGAGTTACAGCGGCCCGTTCGAATATGTAAGCACAACGTCTTGGAGAAGCTTCCCTTGTTCTACCTTACTTGCTTGTTGCAGCATGTGCACTGTGGCAGTGTAGGTTGTCTTCGAAGCTAAGCTCTTCACGCGCCGGAATCTGTCATCAATATCATTATGATGCGGATAGGAAGGGTCCCAGTCGGATGAGCCATTCGGATGAGCCATTCGGATGAGAGTCTTTGTTGAGCAGAGATGGCAGAGGATGATGCAGGTGGCGGTGAGGTATGGAGGACACGAGGACGAGGTTGAGCCGGCTTGGCATGGGCCTTGGCTCCGCGGAACCTTGAACCTTGAAGCTCCGATCTCTGGAGTGAGCCCCACTCCCGAGAAGAAGTTAAGACACTGCCATGACCCTCACATCTCTCATTGTTACCACCGACCGACTTTTCCTCTTGCGAGCGACATTCACCTCTCCCACATACACGTACCATCCGGCGAACGACACCAAAGTGGCGGCCCGACGGCGAGCTACGCGCATCCAGTCACGAGACAGCCCCAATGATTCAATAACACCTGCTCCTACCCATTACGGGATCTGTCGAGATCAGCAGCGCAGGACCGCCAGGAGGGTTCGATAACGACACCTGCCGGGCTTGCGGTCGTGTTCAGGCCTGGTTCAAGATACTACGGTACATTCAAAATACATCATTCCAAGAGATATTCATACACAACACACCCACGATCCTTCTTCAACCGCCCCCGCAATCACACCTGCGACGTAAACAGCCATCATGCCGACCTTGGATTTGAGTAATTTCAACATTGTATGCGCCACGCTGGGCGGCTTCATCACTCTTTTCGGTCTGGTATCCTACCTGTTGAAGGAGAAGTTCTATCTTTCCGAGGCGCTCTTATCAACCTTGTTCGGTGTCGTCTTCAGTCCCCATGCCACCAATTGGATAAGGCCCCTCGAATATGCCAACCTCAATGAGATCGACCTCGAGACAATCACTCTCTACTTTTCCAGACTGGTCTTGGGAGTGCAGCTGGTCTTGGCCGGTGTCCAGCTGCCTAGCAAGTACCTCTGGAAAGAAAAGAAGAGTTTGGCCATCCTGCTTGGACCGGGCATGTGCATCATGTGGGTCATGACCTCGCTACTCGTCTGGGCCATGGTTCCGGGTATTGGCATTGTAATGGCCATAAGCGTGGGAGCATGTGTCACGCCCACCGATCCTGTGCTGTCCAACAGTATCGTCAAAGGAAAGTTTGCGGACAAGAATATCCCCGGGCCCCTACAGAAGATTATTATCGCCGAGTCTGGAGCAAATGACGGTCTTGGATATCCGTTCCTGTTTCTTGGATTGTACCTGCTCAAGTACGTGGAATCAGGCGGTGCAGGCGCGCCAGGCGGTGCGGGAAAGGCAATGGCGCTGTGGTTCTACGACACTTGGGCATATGTCATCCTTTTGTCCATTGCCTACGGTGCACTTGTTGGGTGGCTTGCGAAGGAGCTTCTTCACTGGGCAGAAGAGCGCCATTATGTTGACAGGGAATCTTTCCTCGTTTTTGCAATCACGCTCGCGGTAAGCCTGTACACATCCTCCTCCAGAGTTCGAACTGATGATCTTGCAGCTTTTTATTGTTGGCACGGTCGGATTGATTGGCTCGGACGATGTTCTGGCTTGTTTTATCGCGGGTAACGCTTTCACTTGGGACGACTGGTTCCGTTTGGAGACAAAAGACGACAGTTTGCAGCCCACAATAGATATGCTGCTGAACGTTGCCATCTTCATGTGGTTCGGTATGTGCCTCCTCTACGCAAAGTATAGGAGCTTCTGCTGACGCGCTGCAGGGACTGTCTGCCCTTGGCACAGCTTCGTGGACAACGATGTGATTCCCATCTATCGCCTCATTCCTTTGGGTATACTAGTACTTCTTCTGCGGCGCTTGCCCATGGTCCTCTCGTTCCACAAGGCTATCCACCAAGTCGAAGATTTGCGCCATGCCGGCTTCGTCGGATTCTTTGGCCCTATTGGAGTCAGTGCCGTCTTCTATCTTTACATCGCAAGACAATTCCTTCGAGAGATTGAGGTCGATGGAGAGATTCGCCCCGATGCCAATCACCTGAGCGAGGTCATCAACGTCGTGGTGTGGTTCCTCATCGTGTGCTCCATCGTTGTCCACGGATTGAGCATTCCGCTAGGCAAACTCGGACTTTACTTGCCTCGCACAATTAGCACCGCCATCTCCTCAGAGAGAGTGTCGCGTAATTCCAGTCCCAGCCGTTCTCGATCGACTGGTCCCAATCCTGACAGCGACGAGCATGTGATACACTGGCCTATGGAGCAAGAGGAGCGCTCGCTTAATCGCGAATTTCGCCGACGCCGCCCGACCACGAGTGAGCGCGGACCCGCTACTGCGAGTGCTGGAGGACTGAGTGGCGCAGCCTCTGTCGCGAAGAGAATCGTCCAGCACATCTCCGACCATACGAAGAGAAAACAGGGCACTACGGTACACGGTGAAGATCAAGTCAAAGTCAGCGAGAGCGACGAATCTCCCGGTGCTCTCGGACAGGGCTCTCATCCAGAGATCTCCGCGCCTCGTGATGGAAGGATTCTCGGACAGTCGATCATCAAGACTCAGCCACCAGCTGATGAGGTGGACAAGCGCCTCAATGCCGGGACCGACACACCCGAAGGTGAAGGGACCAGGACTCCAGGGGCCAGATCTGCCGCACCGTCTGGAGCTGCAACATCTGTTGGCAATCTCCACCGCAGCATTCGGTTCCCTGACGAGCCTGCTACCCCAAGAACTCAGACGCAGGCCAGAGACGGTGATTAAGAGTCTGACATGCAACACTGACCGCGTTCAGCGCTGTTTCGAGCATCGTCTGCGTCGCAGACTTTACACATTGGTGACCATGGCGAACTTGGCGCATCTCCATTCCTTCTGGATTGGTCCACAAACTTTCACGAAAAAGGACAGACTGGGGTAATAAGATCTTGGACAACGAATCTCACGACCCTTTCGGTTGTAGTGTCCCCAAGAGATAGGAAGTAGATTATCATCAAATTCGGAACGACCTCATTCATCTTTCACAAAGTTTTTTTGCAGCATCTTTCCACATTGGAATTATATTTTCTTTCCCAGAATCCTTGTCCAAATCAGGGCAACAGCGAGTTGGAAGGCGCAAGATCAGCAGTAGCAGCGGTCGAGATAAGACTCCGATGCACGGGGGGCTGTAGTGTATGTTTCCGGGATGCTCCCCTCTGATCACGTGCTCGTCGAAAGCAGCTGCCAAGCTCGCGCCTCCTAGCGCGTGCCTATAATGACAGCTAGCCAATCATCAAGTTGCCATTACTACCTAGTACCCCGCCTGTATGTAAGTTTACCTTCCACAACCAGAAGATACTGGCTAGGTACTGGTTGCGATGCGCGCCTTAAGGTTGAAGTCTGGGTGAGTCGCGGGGAGCGACGAGGTGACCGCCTGTAGTAGATAGCAGCCTGTCCACTACTTCACCGTCCCCCCCAGTTCCTTCCTCTCGCTCCTCACATTCCACAGCCTTTGTGAACAACAGAAACATCATAAGCACATCGACTTGCGACAGTATCATCCAGTAGTACCCAGAAACACTCCCTAACATACCTGTACAACATGGCCGCAGTCTGTCCAGTCGTTGGCACGACCAACAATGTGCTCCCGCCTCATCACCCATCCATCTCTTCTGGTAATGTTGTCCCAATAATCAATCACACACAAGAGCCCTCCAGCTCCTCTCTCCTCACCTGCTAACCCCTCCCCGCAGACCCCGAAGCCCGCTGCCCCATCACCAACGCCAAAGTCTCGCACCACGACAACGTGATCCACAACCACCCCTCGGACCCCACCGTCCCAGCAGACGACAAGCAAGCCATGGACGCCTCCGCCTGCCCTGCTCTCAAGAATTCCATGACCAAGGAAACTCTCACAGATGCTACGTGCCCCGTCGTGGGGCCGGTGAATGCCCACCTGCCGCCCACGCACCCGGCGCTGAATGAGAAGGAGGCCGGGGCGGTTTGTCCGGTCACGAATGCGAAGTTGGAGCATCATAAGGGGAAGGTGCAGACGCATCCTGCCGTGCCTAGCGATGCGCCGGTGCAGAAGTGTCCTGTTGCCGGGGCGGGGATGTAAGGAGGATTCATCTAGGCGGAGGACGGGTTGGTGATGGTTTGATTTGCTTTGGAGAGGGTTGGTTTGGTTTATATGCAATCGAGGATGACGATTATGAGGAACGGAGAATCGAGAAAACTTTTGAAAGTGACTTGCGTCTATCGCGGCGCTGCTGCTGCGGCGTGCTTATCAGCTGTTCTTACCGCGCAACGTCTTTGATACTCAACCTGTAGAGCTCTCGTGAGCAAGTCTCCTAGGGATGCCAAGTCGGACACCTCATGGAGATACATCGATATCTCACATCCAAGGTCGACTCGGTCCGTAGAACTCAATTGCCTCATCGAGAGGTAGCGGCTCGCCTTCTGGGCCTTTGTCGCTGAGGTAGATTGCACCGGCCACATTGGCACCCAGAACAGCACCCATAGAAGCCATGACCGTACTTGCTTTGATGTGCTTGCGACTGTTACCCAAATCGCGAGGGCGATCTGGCTTCTTGCAATTGGAGAGCAAGCGTTGCTGCTGACGTTTGATGAGGGCAGCTCGTGAGAACATTGTTCGTAGGGCGATCATATGGTTGATTCTTGTCAGTAGAGTGTCATGTGTACGGCGCCTGTTGAAGCTGTAGTAGTGTATGCGTGTTTAAATATGTGCCATGTGGATGGCGTGAATACGACTTTGGCGAATGCCACATGGAGTAGTGCATACCGTGCCGAGGCGCGGACTAGGAACCGCATGGAAAACACAACCTCCTCCTACGTGTTCTTAAAGTGACTACAATGTCACGACGATTTGGTAGGTGGATACGAGATAGTGGCAGACCCTACCTTTCCCAGACATTGTCTGTGCCGTTGCATGTCAAAGAACATTTAAGCAGGCGCTGGGAGTCGTCCGAGCTGCGTCTGCTCCGTGCCCTGGCTCGAAGGATGACAATGCACCACGTTCCCAGACATGTGTCGTCGTAAGAGTAAGTAGAAGATCGATGAGTGCCTTGGACATCTCCAGCCGCTGCACCGAGGCCATGCGCCAGAACAGTCTAGTGACATTGGGTCAACAGCACTGCCGTAGCGATGAGTTGTGCTCTCCGGTATAGCAAGATATGGGTGAGAAGATTTGTCGCGCCATCGGTAAGGAAAGAATTTCATCAAGTGCGTTTGAGGCGCCCTCTCCGTCGTTCCAGCTATGGCGCCCGCATTCGTGCTCTCCGACACATAGCAGAGTAGATCCAGGTGGGAAGATTGAGCCCAGACATACCACAATAAACAGTGCCGTCAAAATGAGTTGGAGAGAAGGAAAGAAGCAGAGAAAGCGCGCGGAGAATTTCGATTATGCCACGACGCGGCTATGGCCGTCGCTCCTACCAATCGGACGATGCTGATTCAAAGCACAGACTTTCTCGGCTGTGGGCCGGAGGGAGGCGAGCTTCACATCTCTTGTGTTGGTGAATGAGGTATACATGTCTCTGTGACGCCCGCCACATCCACCTCTCACCTCTCACCCGTCATCCTACCACGACTCTGCGGCGCAGCTGGCAACATGATGCGGCAGAGCATGTTGCGTTCGTTGGCCCGCTCGCCCGCAGCCCAGGCGGCCAGGGCCAATGCCTCCCACAGTGCAGCGCGCACCTTTGCCACGAGCGCAAGACGGCAGGCCGAGGTCGAGCTGACTGTGGATGGCAAGAAGGTCTCGATTGAAGGTATGCTGGATGACGCCGTGGAGGGCGAGCAAGAGCAATACTGACCATGTTGGGACAGCTGGATCCGCGCTCATCCAAGCATGCGAGAAAGCCGGTGTTACGATCCCGCGTTACTGCTACCACGAGAAGCTCATGATTGCGGGAAACTGCAGAATGTGTCTGGTCGAAGTTGAGCGCGCACCGAAGCCAGTGGCCTCGTGTGCCTGGCCGGTACAGCCTGGCATGGTGGTGAAGACGAACAGCTCGCTCACACACAAGGCAAGAGAAGGCGTAATGGAATTCCTTTTGGCAAATCACCCGCTAGACTGCCCCATCTGCGATCAGGGTGGCGAGTGCGACTTGCAAGATCAGAGCATGAGATATGGCGCAGACAGAGGGCGATTCCACGAGCTGGAGGGCAAGAGAGCAGTTGAGGACAAGAACATTGGACCTTTGGTCAAGGTGTGTTTCTTCGGCCTGTAGAAAACAAGTGCGGCTTGACTGACATGTCCAGACCTCCATGAACCGCTGCATTCACTGCACACGATGTGTCCGTTTCGCAAACGATGTCGCTGGTGCACCTGAGCTGGGCAGTACTGGCCGTGGCAACGACCTCCAGATCGGCACATACCTTGAAACCGCTCTCGACACCGAATTGTCCGGAAATGTCATCGATCTCTGCCCCGTTGGCGCTTTGACATCAAAGCCATATGCCTTCCGCGCCCGTCCTTGGGAACTTCAACACACTGAAACCGTTGATGTAATGAACGGCCTGGGAAGCAACATCCGTGTCGATGCTCGAGGCCTTCAGGTCATGCGTATCCTGCCAAGGCTTAACGACGATGTCAACGAGGAATGGATCGATGACCGAAGTCGCTTTGCTTGCGATGGTCTCAGCACACAACGTCTTACCACGCCACTCATCCGAAGGGATAACCAGTTCCAGCCAGCCACTTGGGAGAACGTTTTGGTGGAGATCAGCGAGAAGTTCAAGGAGCTTGCACCAAAGGGTGACGAGGTCAAATTCGTCGCTGGTGAGCTTGTCGAGGCTGAGACTCTTGTTGCTGCAAAGGACCTCGCAAACCGTCTTGGATCTGAGAACCTGGCTTTGGACTTCCCTCAAGGATCCGCACCTCTGGCACACGGCACGGACGTTCGCTCCAACTACTCTTTCAACTCTCACATAGTCGGTGTCGAGGCTGCCGACACAATTCTTCTTGTCGGCACTAACCCAAGATGGGAAGCCTCAGTTCTTAACGCCAGAATAAGGAAGCAGTGGCTCCGCTCTGACCTCGAAGTCGGACTTGTTGGCCCAGACTTCGAGTCTACCTTCGACTACGAGAACCTTGGATCCAGTGCGAACGACCTTAAGTCTGCGCTCAAGGGAGCATGGGGCGACAAGCTGAAATCCTCCAAGAAGCCAATGATCATTGTCGGCTCTGGTGCTGTTGAGCACCCAGATGCCAAGGCCATCTACGAGACTGTCGGCTCGTTCGTCGAGCAGAACAAGGCCAACTTCTTGACCGAGGAGTGGAACGGCTACAACGTCCTCCAACGCGCAGCCTCCCGAGCGGGCGCGTTCGAGGTCGGCTTCTCCGTGCAGAGCCCTGAAACTGCGAAGACCAAGCCTAAGGTCATCTGGCTGCTGGGGGCCGATGAAATTGAACCCTCTGACATTCCGAAGGATGCTTTCGTTATTTACCAGGGTCACCACGGTGACAAGGGTGCCGCGCTCGCCGACGTGGTCCTCCCCGGAGCTTCTTACACCGAGAAGGGTGTCACTTACGTGAACACTGAGGGCCGTGTGCAGATAACGCGTGCTGCTACATCGGTATACGGTGCTGCTCGCGACGACTGGAAGATCGTACGTGCCGTTTCAGAGGCACTCGGGGTACCGCTTCCGTATGACGATGTTGAAGCACTCCGCGATCGCATGGAGGAAGTTTCCCCTGCTCTTCGACGGTACGACATTGTCGAGCCACCGTCAAAGGAGGCTCAAGCACTCAGCAAGGTCCAACTTGTTGAACAGAACAAGGGCGCACAAATCACTGGCTCGCCTCTACGAAAGGTCATCGAGAACTTCTACTTCACAAACGCCGTCACAAGATCATCGCCTACGATGGCAAGATGTTCAGCAGCAAAGGCTGCCAAGGACCCCCACACCAACTTCATGGCACCTGGTGAGCCTGATCCACAGGTCGAATATGGCCCACCTCAATTAGCTGGTGCGAGTGCATAGATGACTGCATTAAAGATGGATTGGGGCATTCACGGCATCGGGCATGTATATAGGAGGGCGAATGCGGCGTTGCTTGCAAACAAGCGTTGTATTTATGTGAAGAATTAGCAGATGTTTCTCCCGTGCAGACGCTTCCCATATCACTATGTTCTGAATACTGACTACAGCGCTATTGCGCATTGCAACACTCCGTTAATTCACACAAGTTTGAGGGAAATGGTATCAATCGCGTTCGGAGGGTGATAGACTTGCCGCGGTGCCCGGCGAGAAGAGCTCATGATGCGATAGGATGCCGAAAGTGTACAGCGTCTTTTCCACAGCGGGACATTGTTGTCTTCCCGAGAATCCTCGCCATGAAGGGTATCAGCGAGTCGAATAGAGCAACAACACAAACGATAGCAGCATTCCGACGTGCGAAGACGCTGTACAAGAAACCAAGAGCCGAGCTGAGGAGACGGCATCTGTAGGCAAATTGACCAATCTATCTGACTATCTCCTACGTAACAATCATCCCACGTCACGTTCCCACTATGACTATTTACAACGTCAAATTTTCCATTGCAATCCTACTGGCTCAAAATTGCCGTAAGGGCAGTAGTCCTTCGCAAAAGGAAGGCTGTCGTTTTAAACGAAGAGAGCAGCACCCAGTCCGAGGACGGCGCCGATCTGAGGAACGTAGGTGGCGCAGGCAAAAGCCTTGGAAGCGGAAGAGGAAGAAGCGGAAGAGGAAGAAGCGGAAGCCTTGGAAGCGGAAGAGGAAGAAGCACTGGCGGCGGCAGCAGCTCCGGAGGTGGAGGAGCGGGCGGTGGTGGAGCCGCCGTTGCCGGTGAGAGCGGTGGACGTGGCGCTGGAGGTGGAGGTGCTGGTGATGGTGGTGACGGCGCGGGTACCGGTGGTGGAACCGCCGTTGGTGGTGGCTGCGATGGTGCCTAGTTGCAATGTTTAAGTGACTTGCAGGAAGGAGGATATGAGCGTTCAGAGGAGAGCTTACTGGTGGTGGTGACTGCGACTGGCATGCCGTTTGCAGAGCTGCTAGTTGAACGAGTGGAAGCAGTGCCTGAGAGGAGCTGATTAGCATTTGCTGCTCTGCTTATGACGGTCGCGTGATTGGCATACTGGAGGTCACGGTAGATTGGGCCATGGCGCCAGCGGCGGCAGCAACGAGGAAGAATCCGGCCTTCATTGTGAGTGTGCTTATTGTAGTACACAAATGGTTCCTGTGCAGTGAAAAAGGTACGTCTGCAAGATGTGAATGTAGTTTTGGGATGCCACAGTCTGAGGTGGGAGTCAGGCTGAAGTTATACTCATGCTTGGAAACCTCTCGACATCAAGTCTGATCGCACGTGCTTGCTGTAGCTTCGATCTAGGCGCGGCCCGGAGGGAAAAGCATTGAAAGGTGAGAATATGAGGCTAGATCATGCGGATCGAATCAGATACAGCCACTGCGCAGCCAAAGCGGGTGAAGGCTCCAGAGTCATGCAGGGTCTCGAACTGTGGACGGCGTGGGAGTGTATCTTGAAAGTTTCCATTGGTCATCCGCTACCGCTTGAAATTGCAGCGAGAAGCTGGGTGCGAGCGTTCTCGTACATAAAGTTCCTCGCCTGATACACTGATCGCGTGCTCCGATACTGCTGCTGCAAGCTTTCTCCGCTCGCATCGCTGTTAGAAGGCAGGTTGAGAGAAAGTATACCTTCAACAAGTGTCTGGAACATCAAATGGTTCTTCTGACATATGCCACGTGCGCAGCCGCTTAGGTAGCCTTCTTCTGCGCCTCGATGAGATCTGGGTTTATCACGTCCTCATCGAAGACTCCGCCACCGTGAATGACACGCTGGTGAGAGCCGAGCTTTGGCATGTACTGGTTCAGAAGCTCAGCAGTCGCAAGAAGGAGCTTGCGTAGGGCACCCTCTGGGGTAGCGGCCTGTCCAGCCTCAATAGCTGGGGTGACGCCGACCATGACCTGCTGCGTGTCAGTATTCGATCTGTGAAAGTTGGTTCGAGCTGCTTGCCGCGCCGGTATAGTTGCTACCATCGCCGAAGACGACAAGCTCGATGTCGCAGTCCGGGCCCTTGCTGGTAGATGGAGCCGGGACGAGGGTCGTAGAGGACTCAAGCACTGGGAGAGATGGCTTGGTGAGTGGGCGCGGGTTGCCAAATGGGCAGATTATGAGGCGCGAGTTGGCTTTGAACGTGTCAGTGCACACAACGTAGCTGGAATGGATGGTGACGTACCCAGAATCTGCTCGCGCAGTCCCTTCATGTCGACGGACATCTTGGCTTAGGTTCTTGCTTATTTGCTTTTAGAGTGCTGGGTTGGGGTGGGAGTGCGCGATGAGAACTGGGATTTGTTGTGTTGTGTTGTGTCTCGAGTGTGTGTCGTATGTTCGAATTCGTTGTCTTGTTGTGCTTCGAGGATGGCGGAGGGGGTCTTTAAGCGCAGAGCGTCAAGTGAGGAAGGTGCGATGCCAGCAAACGACTTTGTTTGTTTGTGTCGCCAACTTGACTTGTTAGGAAGGCGCGGCTCTTGGCGGACATGTGAACTCGTTTGGTCCCATTAGCTCGTCCTACTGCTGCCACTGATACTGGACTCATCACCAATGTTACTATCCGCCTGCGAGCCATCCGTGACCTCGCCAGACACTCCCCCTTGGCCCTCCTCCATCTCGTGGCCTGCAGCAGACTTCTTCTCTTCCAGCCCACGGTATTTCCTCCGCGCTTTCTTACTCGCACTGGCCTTCTTCTTGGACGCCTTCGCTGCTTTCAGGGCTGTCCTGCTCTGTGGTCCCTTCTCAATTTCCTCTAATTTTTCTGCGAGTATCCGTCTGGCGGTCCTTCGATTCTGCTCGCGGCTACGAGTCTCCTGGCTCTTTACAACGATCCCTGTGGGCAAGTGTTTCAACTGAACGGCAGAGGAAGTCTTATTGATCTTCTGTCCTCCTGGACCTGTTCCTTTGAGAAAAGACTCGGTGATGTCAGACTCGGGAATCACGATGCGAGGTGGGAGCGGCTTTTCGAGACAAGCTCGCACAGTACTGAAGGACCGTAGCAGACGCTGGGCTGAAGCTCTCGACCCAGCATGGTCCACCGCCCGCAGCAGAAACATCGCCGTGCGTGAATGACACTGGGAAGATGAACGCAGAAGTCGAGCGGGAAGGAACACAAGCGGAGCTCCTTCCTTGTGTCCCGACGTGTCAGCTTCGCGCTTGCCAAGTCCAACTCGTCACGTCACCCGCGTTGCAGTCACGAGTGTCTTCAACATTTCAACACAACATGCCTTCATGGGAGGGCGATATCTCTCTTGCAGACCAACATCGGCTACGCGGTAAGTATTGTCAAGGGTACTGTCATCGCACGACCCGAGATTGTTTCGTTACCTAGCTCGAGAACAACTCAATACCTCTATTAAGAAGCATTAGACGGCATCAGAACTCTGACATCCAATCGTAGCGATGGAGCGAATGGCACTGATGGGTTGAACAGGTATCTGTCTCTCAGCACCAGGCTCTGACAAGCCATCCATCCATACAGGATGCTCTCTTCGCTTCCTCTCGATCGTCGAGACAGCCCGGATACCGCTTCATCTTGGAGTCAGCAAACCCTATACCGTAACAACAGCATGCGAGGATACGGAGCACTGGTTCTCGAGCGTACTTCTTGGCAATCTTAGCCAGGACAGCCAGGAAAGCTGGTGGCAGAGCGTGCAGACAGACTCGCCAATCGGCATATTGGTTGCCGTGGAAGGCATTGTCGCTACTACTACTTCCATTCTCGACAAGCAGCCTAGAGTTACCGAGCTGCTTTTCTTCGCAGCCAAAGGTACAAGCGCAGATGACGGACGACCGCCCACGCCACCTCAGTCATCGCCAGTAGAATCGCAAGGTGTGGACGAAATATCTTCACCGGAAATCAGAGTCTTCGCCCTTCCACTGTCTTCGGAGCTGCTCAATAATGAAACCTCCAAGGCCACGCCGCCTCCGTCACCAAAGGTTATCGACGAGCATGTGGAAGCGAAACTCTTAAATCCAGCCAAAAATCAGACTATAGAAGCGGCGGATGCCATCAATGAGTTGCCGGTCAGGAAACGCCGCAATCTGAACGATACTTTCGATGAGGCTGCCGAACGGAGACGCAAGGCAAGGCAAAAGGGTGGTCAGGCCGTTGCTGCAGCTGCCGCGGTGCCAATCAAGGTCGAAGACTCAATGTCGACGCTCAAACATCGACGATCAGTCAGCAGTACTCACGTACCCCTGCAGAACCGTCCACTCTCTCGCTCTTCTAGCATAGCTTCGACAAGACCAGCGTTGGCTCGCGAGCCGTCTGTCAAGCCATCATCGCTCTCTCACATTCAGAACGCTGAGACCGTTGCCGGATCTCCGCAGCAGGCCTCCATTGAGAAGAAGAACAAAGATCTTGTTGGCAAAATGGTGATGGCGGGACTGCGCTTGCTGGGAATGCATCGCAGTAAGGCCCGCAAGTCGCGTGCTAATTCTCTTGCAGCTTCTCCTGCCCTGGATCAGAGCTTCGAAGACAAAGACGTGGATCGAAGGAACGATGACGAGTATATGCTCATCTACAATCAGGCCTACAAAGGTACATGCTGTGCTTTCAGGCAATACATGACCACGACGTCTCTGCAAGGGCAAGAGACTGCTTTGCGCGACACAGTCGACAGACTTCTTGCGATCTTCTGTAACGACCCCATTACGATCGAAACCAAAGCTATGGAGGACGAATATACGCCAGGCGGAAGAAGACCTTTCGGATCCTCAGCTTTGCAGACTGCAGAGAATGCAAACCCTTTTCTACAGGCAGCGGTGGCCGCGAAAGGGAGCCAAGCAAATACCCCATGCGTAAAGAAGCCCAAGGAGAACCATCTGGCAGTCGATGCGATCTGAGTCTACGAAGCGCAACCGATGTACAATGGACTCTCTGCTGTGCCTATGCAACGTCCGACTCGCAACACAGTGGTAGTGAGACATTCGTTGACGTGACCAAGCGACGAGACTTAGCGGCGCGACCTGAGTATCCAAGCAAAACGAGGAGCATACCTTTTGACTCGCAATCGATGTCTACTAGTGCATGCAGTGCAACTCTGATCTCCACAGGGACATCGGGGTGTTTTGACCTATGCCTCCTTGAGTCTCCCAGCGAGAACCAGTAAGGTCGACAGCACGACGTTAGTCATGTAGCCGCGGAGATAATTTTGCGACGCGAGAAGATTCTGTAGCTAAACATCGTTGTAACGAGATCCAGACATGTGGCTATTGTGAAGGCTAACTGCGTCATGGGCGAGCTGCCAGAACTGGTTTAGTGCGAAATCAAGTGAAGGCTTTAGCGCGCTGAAACCTGGAACCAGACACGCCAAGGAACGCGTCGTCCTTTCATCAAGGACGTGAATATCAATACGCAGTCTTACCGATCCGAATGCCGTGGAAGTAGCTACGAGCCATCAGGCTCCATAGGAGAACCATGTTGTCACGACGTCTGCTGTGCCGGCCAAACGGCCTTCGTTTGGCAGAACCCCCAAGATTGACCCCCCTCACAACATCCCTGATCTCGAAAAGACACATGATTGGGGATACGGGCGACAACAAAACTGGACACATTACAACCACACCCCAAGAAGGTATCCTCTTCTTCAACAGCATCTTACCTCCCAACCTACAATGGCTATTCCGTATTACCTCCGGGATTGGACGCGGTCCCCCAAAGCTGGCAGACATGAACCGGAACGATACCTATGGAGTGATCAATCCCGCCACTGTGTTTCAAAAGGCCACCAAAGAGGCAAATCTGGGCAATGCAGAAGTTGTGGAAGTCCTGCCGCGCTTTGGCGAAGGCGGCGCATTTTTGAAGTTCAAGCATGACAACAAACATGACTCCAAATCCGTGGCAGAGGCTGTGCACAAGTACCTCGAGGAGCATACTGCGAGACCGTGGTGGAACCCTCTCACTTCCGTCAAAGCCAGCTTAGTATTGGGCAGGCCATGGGTGGAGGATCTATCGCGACATCCCTCTCGGCGCGTCAAGGTGGAATTCTTGCCGACAGAGCCTGGAGCAGAGGCGGCTGAATTGAACCAAGAGCAGTTGTATAGCTTCTTTCGGCCCTTTGGTAAGCTCTCGGATATTATCGCACAACCCGCGGACTCCAAAGAGGTTCCGCGGTACGCCTACCTGGACTTCGAACACTACAGAAAAGCCATTATGGCTAAGAACTGTATGCATGGATATACTGTGTCGGACGCAGAAGGTGGTGGCAAGACAGGCACCGTTTTGCGTTTGGTGTATGCGAAGAAGCAACGAGCAGGATGGATCAAAGACTGGATTTTCGGACATCCCAGGATTGTCATACCACTTCTCGCCGCACTTATTGCCGGTATCACGGTGGCGATTTTCGACCCGGTTCGTACTTTGTCTATTAAGGCTCACATCACTCGAGCCTTCCACATCGAAGATAACTTCATCTTTGCCTGGTTCAAACAACAAGGCGAAGACCTCATCAACAAAGTCAGGTCTTTCGGCAAACAATCTTCTTCTGACGGAGGCATGTCCGTAGTCTGGGACGATAGGCAAAAGGAGATCGAGCAGATCCAATCCTGGCTAATGGAGTCCGCAGATACATTCGTCGTGGTACAAGGACCTCGTGGAAGCGGAAAACGAGAACTTGTGGTTGACCACGCCCTACAGTATAAGCGTGAAGCTCACAGGGTCTTGGTCGTAGACTGTAAGCCTGTTCAAGAAGCTAGGGGAGATGGAGCTACAATCGCGGCTGCTGCAGCTCAAGTCGGATACCGACCTGTCTTTAGCTGGATGAACAACATCTCCGGTCTAATGGATCTTGCTGCCCAAGGCATGACTGGTAGCAAGGCTGGGTTTTCGGAGACTCTCGAAAACCAATTGGTGAAGATCTGGAACAAGACATCCACAGCATTAAAGAGCATTGCCCTAGAAGGTCGCAGGAAAGATGACAAAGATTACAAGCTCGGAGACGATGAATACCTCGAAGCTCATCCGGAACGCCGACCAGTCGTGGTCATCGATAACTTCTTGCACAAGAGCTCCGAACCTGGGGCTGCGCTTGTGTATGATAAGCTGGCCGATTGGGCAGCCCAGCTTACAACATCGAACATTGCTCATGTGATATTCCTCACAACCGACGTCTCCTTCAGCAAAGCCCTGAGCAAAGCGTTGCCGGATCGCGTGTTCCGACAGATCTCACTTGGCGACTGTCCGCCAGACGTGGCGAAGAGATATGTTATCAACCATCTCGACTTCGATGCGGTGTCAAGCCACGTCGACGGTGAAGATGGCGAGGAGCACAAGAACCTTACACCGAGCCAAAAGCGAGAAGATCTGCAGGAATTGGACGAAGTCATTGGCTATCTCGGAGGGCGCTTGACAGACCTCGAGTTCTTCGCTCGCCGTATCAAAGCAGGCGAAACGCCATCCAAGGCTGTGCGTGAGATCGTAGACCAATCTGCCTCCGAGATTTTGAAGATGCATCTGCTCCTTGATAGCGAGAATAGGGAGTGGACGTCCGCACAAGCTTGGACGCTGGTCCGCAACCTGGCATCGAACGAGAGCTTGAGGTATAATGAGGTGAGTAGGAACATGCATTGATGCCGTCAGAATAGCGCCGCCTTGAGCTGTCAGCTAACCTCGCGCAGGTCCTCCTCGACTCTACATTCTCTTCTGGCGGCGATAAAGCCATTCAGGCACTGGAGCAAGCCGAGCTCATCAGCATACAGTCTTCTAACGGTCGACCGTACAGCGTGAAGCCCGGCAAGCCCGTCTATCAACCAGCTTTCCAACAACTCGTCGAGGATAACGTCCTACGAGCAAAGATGGAACTGGCTATTCTGAGCGCCTCTATCAGTACCGAGAACGCCGCTATTGAGAAATACGAAAAAGAGCTGAGACTCATCGGAGAGCTGCCGAAGCAGCCGAGTCAGCTGTACGATAGAATGCAATGGCTATTGGGCAAGATCGCTGGCAGTCAAAAGCGTATTGAGGGGTTCGAGAAGGACAGCGGGGAACTGAAGAAGATTCTGCAGACGGAGTTCTGAGAGATGCATTGGGTAGGCAATGAGACACGAGCTACTGGAATACGGCAGCAGATTGGAAAACTGTACATACTATGAAATACCACTCCGTTCAGACCAGGTCCTCGAGGACTCTTCCAGACTCTGGCTATTTCCAATAGAACGAACGACCAGCGGATTCTCTCTATCTCGACTTGTAAAGACAGTCCAAAGCCATGAAACGCTCAGCAACAGCGCGGTCGAGCTCCACTGCGCGGAGATTCGTCTGAAGGGTGCATGTCGGGCTCTGAAGACACTACACCATCACACCAACGGCTGTAGACTCTCTCCACGGGAGCGCTGTATAGGACTATACGTGTCCGCCACTCTCCGACGGATATCACATGTCGCGGCCATGCACGGCTTTAAGCTTCGCGCTAGCGCTCGCTAGTCCAGTGCTCTACCGCATTGAAGCCGCCGCAGCACGACAATAGCACCAGAACCACAATAGGAGCAAAATCCCAAAATGCCCTTCGCCTCTCTCGGAACCTCCAACGCCAACTTCCAACTTCACGCACTCACCAAGCTGATCATCGAGTGATTCTCAAAAGCACAGAAACCACGCAAACACAGCCAGTACGCTCGCCCGCTTTGCACATTTTCACGAACAAGAAAAGCTAACAGCAGCAGCAGCAGATTGGACAGACGCACACACACAAAACAATGTTCGCTACCCTTTCCTTCCAACTTCAAGACAACCGGGCCATCTACTTGGCCCTCGCTGTCCCGTCGACCAAAGACCATCCATCCGCACCACAGCTCACCATCTCCGAGAGCGACGAGTGCAACATCATCATCAACACCGAGGGACCTCAGCGTGCAGCCAGCATTCGAATGTGCAAGTCGGTCGATAGCGGCCTCTCCAACATGGCCTCGACCATCCAAGCCACCACCCAGCACGACCCGGCGGAGAACAGAACCACGGTGGCCGGAGAAGTGCGCGAGATCGCGTACGCGGCGCAGACGTCGGAGGAGAAGAAGGCGATTCGGAGGGCGTCGATCTCCAAGGTCACGGCGGGTACTGCTCGCAGGGAGGAGCGGCGACGCAGTGCGGCGGCGGAGACCGAGTCTCGTGCTCAGGCCCAGAGGGTGGTGTTTGAGGAAGCGGAGGCTGCGACGAAGGGCGAAACTGAGGCCAAGGAGTCTGCCGGGTAGACAAGACGATTACAATTTTCTTGTCCACCGCGTCTTCCATAGCATGTCCCCATTCAATCAACGACTTGTGTGATCCACCTCGTGGCTTCCGTTTCCGTGGCCATGATACCGTGTCGCTAGCGCGTCGCGTGCTTCAACTTTGCTGTATACCTCACTCTCTACTATCACATAAGCTTTCACACCTCAACCACATCGCCCGCCAGCCTTTCGAATACCGACAGCGCCGCGCATCAAGCTAATTCTCAATTCTCACAGCCAGGGGTAAGAGCCCTTCACCTGAGAAAGATGGCACCAGGAAGCCGCGACCCAAACACACCTGCCCGAGCAACCAGCCCAAGCAACCGAGTGCGAGCTCTCATCGAGCAATACAACCGCTGTGCGCTGGAGACCGCCTCCAGTGGCACGGCCGCAGAGTCCTCTGGCGTAGATGGCGTGCGCGGAGAAGACCTGCCCGGCCCCAGCACCGGGAGCAGGGCGGCGAGTGAGGCCTCCTCATTACTGGAGAACCCCCTCTCCCCTTCCAATCAGGGGGAGACGGAGTTCGCTGCTATGGACTGGACTCCTCTTTTCATGGCAGCGGCCAAGTGTCCTCACGATGAGCCTGCTCTCCAGTACCACGAGGAGAAACGCCACCCCTGGATGCAGTACGAGAGGGGGCAGATTTTCCAAGTCGTCAAGCACTGGGACCCGATGTTCTTGGTCTACAAGAATGACGATCCTTCACGGCGGCTAGGTTGGGTCTGGGACCGACACATGGTAATCGGAACCACAGAGGCAGAAGTGCAGGAAGAGGTGGAGAAGCAGGAGAAGGCAACCTAGGATGAAGAGCAAGGTCTTTCACGTGACATGGAAAAGAAGATACTGGGATGTTTCTGCGGGGTGCCATGATGGGGTGCATGGCTGTGGCGTTCAGAGAGGGTACGCAACCCGGAAACCTTTTCGCGGCTACCGAGAGGAACCAAGGTGACGGTGGTCAGAGCAGTACTACTTCAATCATTGCTTTTCTGAGATGGGATCGAAGCGATACAGCACACTCCTTTCCCCTCGTTCGGTGAAGAAACGCTGCAGAAATGGCACCAGCAGTCCGTCGTCCAGTCCGTATTGGAGGAGCAAGTGGAGGCTTCACCGACAGAGTGCGCGCTATCTCATCCTTGGCCGCAAACGAAGATGTCGATGTTATTGTAGGAGATTGGCTGTCCGAGGTCAGTAAGAAGCCCCGATCGCCAATCTGACATTTGCTAACTCCACCAGATGACCATGACAATCCACGGCTCCGGCAAGCAAAGAGCACTAAAAGATCTCTCCTCCAAAAATCAGGCGTTTCAAGACCTCGAATTCGAACAGCAACTCCAAACCGCCATGTTCGCCGAGAACTTCATGGATTGCTTCGAGCCTGCAATAGATAGCTTAGCTCAGCGCGGAATCAAATTGGCGGTTAATGCGGGAGCATCTGATACTGAAGTGCTAGCCAAATTCGTCCAGCAGAAAGTCAAGGCCAGAGGATACGATTTGAAAGTCGCATGGATTGAGGGCGATGAGCAAAGTGATTTCGTTCGGAAGTTGATCCGGGAGGGCGAGAACTTCGAGTCATTGATGCATGGCCGCAAGATCCAGGACTGGGAGCAGGAAATAGTCTGCGCTCAATGCTATCTTGGTGGTCTAGGTATAGCGGAGGCATTGAGACAGGGCGCTGACATCGTCATTGCTGGTAGAGTGGCGGATGCTGCGCCGACCATCGGAGCCGCGACGTAAGTTATTACCCCTACGAAAGTGACTTTGACTGATCATGAGCCAGTTGGTGGCATGAATGGGACCGTACCCAGCTTGACGAGCTCGCAGGATCACTGGTCGCTGGTCACCTCATAGAGTGTTCGGCCTACGTCACCGGAGGCTACATGTCTTCTTTCAAGGACCTCCTGAAGCAGGGCAAGCACCTTAATGTAGGATTTCCAATTGCCAGCGTCGACAACCGCGGGCGCTGCGTGATCTCGAAAGAGAAGAATACCGGAGGATGCGTAACAGTGGACTCAGTGGAGAGTCAACTCCTCTACGAGATTCAAGGTCCGCTTTACTACAACAGCGATGTTGTTGCTCAGCTCGAGGGCATCAAGATGGAGCAGATCGGCGAAGACGAGGTGCTCGTGAGCGGTGTTCGTGGCCTTCCGCCTCCTGATACGACAAAAGTCGGGTAAGTCAGACGCTGATTAGCCTCTTTTCGTTGCTGACTCTGATAGTATTTCGGGGTTCGCGGGCTGGCAGGCAGAGTATCATATCTATCTTGCCGGCCTTGACATTGACGAAAAATGCCAGTGGGCCGAGGAACAGATTCGAGACGAACTCGGCGAAGAGCGACTCGACAAGTTCACTTGTCTGAAATTCATGAGAAACGGAGACTCGCCCATTGACGCTAGGAATCAGGACATTGCCACCGTTGACTTCAGAATTTTTGCGCAGTCCAAAGATCGGGAGCTGCTAGATATGCGCAATCCAGGTGGCTTTTTCCGCATCAGCATGGTCAACTTCCTAATGTCGTGCCCGGGAGCGAGCCTGGGAAATGACATGCGGCAAGCACAGGGTAAACCGTTCTACGAGTACTGGCCGGCACTTCTGCCGCAGACGTTCGTGAACCACCGCGTACACTTGCTATTTGAGCCGGAGTCTGGCAGCAACAAAGTCATCGACGTTCCGCCTCCTACGGTCACTGAAAAGCATAAACGCCAACAGCCTTCCTACGAGACAACAGATCCAGCAAAATTGGAGGCATTTGGAGAGACCGTCAGGGCGCCACTCGGCTGCATTGTACTGGGTCGCTCCGGCGACAAGACCAGCGATTGCAACGTGGGTTTCTTCGTGAGGCCTTCGCCTAAGAACGAACTGTGGGACTGGCTACGCACCATCTTGACCGTGGACAAGATCAAGGAATTATTGGGTCCTGAGGAGGTCCACAAATTCGGCAAACCGGAGGTGAGAATTGATCGATTCGAGATGCCAAACATTCGCGCGGTCCACTTTCTGTTGCATGATCATCTCGATCGCGGATACGACAGCTGCTCAACATATGACACGCTTGGCAAGAATTGCTGCGAATATCTTAGAGCAAAGACTGTGGACGTTCCGAAGAGGTTCTTGGAGTACGCGAGGATTTAGTAGTCCTGTGTAGCTTTGCGAGTTGCCGTTGACAACAAAATGTTGCATCTTGCGGCAAGCCACCTTTTGGAGGAGTTGCCAGTCATTTGCTCACTGTCGATATACGTCGTGCTCGAATGGAACCGGAAATCGAGCTGCTCCTTCGCATTGCTCGTTGACGTAGACGCTCACGCTTCTTCCTTTGCACGCAAAGACTCCAAATCCCTTGTTGTCGATGACAATCTCAGGCCTACCCTCTTTCTCGCTCAGTATATCGACCCACTTCTCGCCAGGTCGACCAGCAGCCATCTTTTTGATTGTCCATTTGCTAGGCGGCCCGATGCTCATGATCACGACGCACCCGGGGCGGTCATGAGTACCAGACCGATTCCAGCCAATGCACGACATGCTGTCAAAATAGTCTTTCTGCTGACCATATGCGAACAGCTTCCGTGCAAGCATCAGTGAGGGTAGCAAGCTACGTGTGGAATTCTGAGGTTGCAGGCTGTCCGGCATACCAGAAGAGAGCACTGTAGCTTGACATGCTGGAGCTTCTGTGTTCTTGCCCCGTGTGCCGTAGAGATCGCCCCAAAAGACACACGGGTGACCCTCTCTTCGTAGAAGAATGAACGCATAGAAGAGCGACTTGAGGCTCGCATCCACTGGAGTGAAGCTCGTTTGTCCAGGTTGAGTATCGTGATTCGTGACAAACGTCACAGCCTGATGTGGTCTCACCGACACAAGGGCATGTTTGTCCGGGTGACCGGGTCCAGAAAGTAAGGTCCGTAAATCGGCGTTCTTGCTTCCCTTGCGCACATCCTCAGATATCCGAGAGAAGCTGTAGAGCAGAGGCGAATCGAAGGCACAGGCCAGGACAGGAGATCCAGGAGGTGTAACAAAATCCAGCCACCTCAACTGCCTGCTAACCTCGGCGGCCCATACTTCTCCAACGATCATTGCGTCTTTGCCATATCTATTCCGACTTGCGACCTGTACCTGTGTGATCCAGTTGCGAATGAAGTTCCAAGAGAAATGCTGCGCCGCATCAAGGCGGAAGCCGTGAACTCCGGTGTCCTGAATCATCCACTGGCCCCATCGAAGGACATCCTTCTGCACATCAGGGTGTGCGTAGAAGATGTTGGAGAATATGAGATAGTCATAGTTGCCGTGCGTCTTGTCGACATCTTCAGCCCACCCTTTGCCGGGCCTTCTTGGGGGTGCGACTCGGTCTGAGATGGCATTGGATACGGTCCCAGCGAACCTAGCCAGTCGATTGAAGCCCTGTGTCGGCTTATTCGCTATGGGTATCTGCTCCTTGTTTGGCTTTGGGTACGTCGCCGGGTCGTCGATTAGTTTGTAGAGAGCATTCTTCTTCGCACGCTGATCCCAGTCGGTTCCGTTGAAATGTTCTGCCCTCCATTTCAAGCTCGAATATTTCATACCCTCTCTTTCTCGTCCAGGAAAGTCGTATTTTAGCCACGCTTCGATTTTCCTCGGTGCGCTTATCTCTATCCGCCTGTCTGCCAAGTTCAACGTGTCAGAAGCTTCCTCTTCCAACTGCCCAATGCAACACACCTTCTCGGTCCACTTCCACAGCCCATGCCTCATCAGTGGCATCTCCCGCGGTCTTATGATTCAACACAGCATCCCAAATCAGTTCCACTCCACCGCATCTTTGGGCCGTCTCGACCAAATCACTCAGCTCTTGTCTAGAACCCCACTTCGTGCTCCTCGTCCACTTCTGGTCGAATTCTCCCAAATCCCACAGATCATAGCAATCATAGCCATTGCCCTGTGGATTGTTCGCTTTACAGCCCGGCGGCAGCCAGACAGACGTCACACCAAGCTCTGCGAGTTCAGGCAGAATCCTGCCCAGCCTACTCCAATGCGACTCCCTCGAGTGCGTTTCGTTCGGAGCGGGTGGGGTTGAAGCCGTATGCCATTCAAAGGCCTGGAACATCAGCTTGTTCTCGGGTGTCGGCGTCGTCGAAGGCTCGGGAGGCGTCCAGTTCGGCGTCGTAGCTGTGCCATCATCGTTGCTCGCGCCGCGCTTGAACCACGACATGCTTCCTGTAGACAGATCTGCTCACGTTGTACGAGGGATGCGAAGAGTTCACACAGAAGCGGTAGGATGAGAACGGCACTCATCTGAAATGTGCCGCTATTCGTGACCCACCTGCACATTGAGACGGCATTTTCTTTGGTCGCCGATCGACAGGAGCAGCGGTCTCGCAGCTACAGGAGACGTATGGTTGCACATGGTTCCTCAGCGAGGTGTCATGGAGCAAACTCCGCTGTGCGGGATCTGCTGCAAATGCAGAGCCAACTCGCGGTGGCGGAGGAGATGTAATGCCCGTCTGACTTCTTCTTTTGAATGTGGTGAGGTGCGATCCCCGAAGCGAACCCGAAAGTCGATGCAATAATGAGACACAACCACCAGATACTCGATATCTTGAGAGAATGTTGCGGCATTATTACAAACTTATCCCGACGGTACTGACTACTAATGCGCTGCTGTTGAACCCGCTGTGGCCTGTCTTCATTGGCCTTCCAACGCGAAAATATGCTCAGCTGTGAGGACCACGAGATGCACTGGACGGGTAGTTCCGACTGCAGCTCTACCAGACACACAGACGAAGGATTCTGACGACTGTATGGACGAGCTCCGATTGATGGGCTTCTTCATTGCTCGTTGTTTGGCAGCTCTGATGGCAGAAAGTCCTGGTCTCGACGTGCCATTAGGCGGTGGCCTAAGCTTACAAATCCGCAAAATGGTTTTGCCGGTTTTGCTACCGCACCACCACACTCTCACACACCGTAATCGCAGTGGTTAGGCACTGATGTACTCGCTATCGACTCGCAATCTATCTATTAGGTCCTTTATTGTCTACTTTATCGTTATACCGCCTTAGGCCCTCGATTTACAGCCCTATCGGCTCTAGATTAAGCTTTAGATTTATGCTAGATATACCTACTAGCGAGTCGTATAGAGCCTACATGATACTAAGGGCATTCGCTACGGTATTAGAACTCTATAGACACACTTATCGCGATAGGGAGTAACTACTCGCCCTCGAATTAACTATAGTAGTAACGTAGTACTAATTAAGCGGATTACCGAGCTATTCTAGCTATATACTATTAGCGACAAGAAGAGCTATACTATACTGCGGCTTAATAGCTATAACATCTCTTTAAGGTAGTATTAAGAGCTCCGCCGTACTTACGGCCTTAAGCGTCGACTAGAACACGAGGAATTAGAAGTAGCTACTACCTACGTCGATAAGGTACTTCGAGCAGTACTAATTAATAGGCAAACCTAAGACTTTAGCTATCGTAAGCTCGTACGAGAGTTAAGAACCTACTAGTATATTATAGGTAGGTAGGGAATCGACTCGCAGCCGACTCGTAGCCCTCTTCTTGCTATACTAATGCCTACTAGGGACCGTATCTACCGGATTTCACGGCAAATTAACGCTCTACTATATAAGCTTCGCGAACTACGTAATCGCTATCCGAATAGGCTACGGTACGTACGACTAAAAGCTAATAGGCCTAACTACGTCTAGTTAATTAATACCTTCTACAAAATCGAGCAATTCGGCATTTAGATTTACGCCTATATTAACGTCTACTTACGCCGGATTATCTAGTTCTACGTTAGCCTAATAGTAAAGACAAAGTACTTAGTATTTTCGTAGTACTGTACTATAATTAACTATATCTAGCGAGTCCCTTAGCGAGTCCGCTCTAATTAAGGTGTCGAGACACCTATACTAGTAGACGCCTATCTACGGCTTCGAGAGCTTATCGAGGGCCGTAATATCGACTTTGTTAAGGCCTTCTTATACACTACGAGTAAAGGCAATTAGACTATTAAGTACTAGTAGGGCGAGATAGCTAAATTAGCTATAAATCGCTAGAGAGACCTATTTAACTAGTATATTAACCTACACCTTTTCGAGGCCGCTAAGCTATCTAATCGACTCGCCTTCCTCGTAATCTATACTCTAATTATACGCTATATAGTTAGTTACTTTGTCTTAGAGTAGAATCGGCACCCGGTACGAGTACAAAACCTTAAGAGCTATATTAGTAGTGTACCGGATTTGCTCTACGAGTATCTAGAGCTCGAGGACACTACCTAGCGTAGGTATCTAATTAACCCTAAGAGTCTAGCGAGTACTACTCTTAAGTAGTAGATAAACCGGATAGACGGCTATAGTAAGCTCCGCGGGTGATTAAAGAGCTTTCTATATTAGTACTAGGTAAGTAGCTCGAAATTGGACCGTACTCGTAGCTAATTTAGCTATACTCGTAGTTACTCGTAGCTCTAGCTACCCGCCTATAGAGTTACCCCTCTCTTACTCCTACGCTAACTACGCCTCGCTATATATAGACCTTAGCTTATACCTGCCTCCGATAACTCTATAATAGGTAAACGAACAGCTCGTACTCGCTAGCTACCTATTAACCTTTAAAGGTAGCGAACCCGGATTCGGTAATAGGCCTAAGAAGCTTTATATATACGCTTATTAGTACCTCCGAGGAGTAGCTAAGTAGTACCTAGATACTAGTAGACGACTCGCTAAGTATATCGCGCCGACTCGCTTAAATAGCCTCGAGCCGTCTAATCGTACGAGAACCGTCTTTACTACTACTAGGGAGCCTCTATAAAGCTTCGTATATACTCGTAGTAGACTCGTAACGTTATATTCCTTAATACTACGTCTTATCTTTCTATATACGTCTATTATAGCTTCTTCTACTAACTTCTAGGAAGACTTCTATATATCTAATAAGGTAGATTATACTCTTAATTATACTAAAGAGTATAGCGATAAGCCCCGCTATAGTAAATACGGCCTTAGGAACCCGTTCTTTACTATAGTAGACACTAATATAGCGAGTCGCCGCGAGTCGACTGTAGGCCCTTCCTTAATACTAGTACCGGATCCGATCGATTCCCCTACTCTACGGCGGAAGGAGCCCGCGTCTATAAAGGGCTATAGTAGCTTTACTAGACTCGCTAAAAGCTTATTTAGCCGTACTAATACCGTTTTAGCCGCTAATAAGAAGTAGCATATCCGCCCGCTTAGTAATATAGGTATTAATCCGTTATCCGGAGAGGTATAAGGTCCTCGTACTAGTAAAGCGAGTCTATATAGGAGCACGCTAATCGCTACGAATCGACTTAAGGCGGGTAGTAGTAGTAGTACCGAGCTACGAGACGACTCGTAGGCCGACTCGTAGTCGTAGAACAAGGGTAGTAGACCGAAGAAAGTACTAAAGGGCCCTAAGCTTTACGTTATAGTGTATATAAGCAAAGTAGTAGTTAATGTAGTTAAGAAGGAAGGCTAGTAGAGGTGGACGGTTAGAGATAATCTAGAGCTAGTCGATTACTAGTCTATCGTAGGCTACTAGAGCGACTTTAAGGCCCTACTACTCGACTCGCCGCGTACTCGTAACTAGCTTTACTACTAGGCTTTATACGCTAGCTATATTAAGGTTAAGAAGGTTACCGGCCTATAGTACTACAAACGTCCGTTTATATATACCCGGTACGACAAAGAGTAGAAGCTCTTAATTATACTAAGCTCGAACAGTAGAGACAAAGACGACCTTAACGAGCAATTACTACTATTTAAGCGTAGGTACTAGGCAAATCCTACGCGAAAGGAGGTAGATATTAGGGTCGCTGTCCTTGTAGCTAAAGATAAGCGGTAGAATAGGCTTCCGAAGGACTACGGCGAGTCTAGCGAGTCTACCGACGACAGCTCCTCTTTAGATCCGGATCTAATAAAGAGCCTTAATAGGCGCTATCGTAGTAGGCGTCTAGGTTAGAGGCCTAGTACTAAAGCTAAAAGAAAGATAGCTAAGGAGGTAGTAGCGAGTGTAGTAGCGAGTATAGTAGCGAGTACTAGCGAATCTAAAGTAGTGCCTTCTACTAGCCCTAATAAACTAGCTAAATTCCGCTAGCCTACGAGTCCCTCTACGAGTGCCTAATCTACCGAGAAAGAGGCCTCTACTAGTCCGCTAGTTAGTTACAAACGTTAAGCGAGTCGCGAATTACCCTATCGATCTACTCCTTCGTCTATATCCGGTACCTAGGGATTAAGCGCCTATAACCCTATCGATATTATTAACCTTACTAATAATAACGACGACGACGAGCCTACGTACGTACGAGTGCCTAAAAGCAAGCTAGTAGTAAAGTAGGAGGCACGTATAGTAATAAAGAAGGAGCCTATAGATTTAAGTACTATTAAAGAAGGAATAGAGATTACTCCTACGGATTTAGTAGAGCGAGTCGCTAGCGAGTCGCCGGTAGCGACGGAGATTTAGGGCGATAGGTAGGTTACTAGCTTACCTAAGGATACTAAGGCTACGAGTGTACTAGCGGAGCCTACGAGTACGCCCCCGAGCGGACTAGCGAGTACTACGAGTGTACTAGCGGAGGCAATAAGGAATAAGAAGCTAAGGAAGGAGTATATAAGGATTCCGGAGTTTTAAAGGGTTATAAGGGCGTTAAAGAAGCTATAGCGAGTCGGTAGCGAGTTAGTAGCGAGGCTTTAAAAGGATAGAAGGGCGTATAGGGTTAATAGTATAAATATAATAACGATTAAAGGCTTAGAGATCTCTAATATTAACATTCTCCCGACTCGTAGGCTAAAATTAGGTAGACTCGCGGGCGATTTAGGGATTCTACGATCTCTAAGATTCGTAGTATTATAATTTGCCCGACTCGTAGGCCTAAAATTGCTAGATTCGTAGGCGATTTAATCGCTCTAAGATTCTATATATCCTAAGCTACCCGACTCGTACGGAATCGTAGGCTAAAATTAGCTATACTCGCTATAACTCGTAGGCTAGAATTAATCTATACTATCTACTAAGTATATTTGCCCTTATATTTAGCTACGAACTACTCGCTACCCGGTAGCTACGTAATAAAGTCTATTATATAGTAGAGCTTAGCCTCTAGATTATTAATACGCTTATAGGCAAACCCTAAACCCTCCTTAAGCCTAGTAATCTTAGTTTAAAGACTCGTAGGCTTCTACGAGTCGCCTATCTCAGCCCTAGAGTTACCTATAGTAGCCCTAGAATTACCTATAGTAGCCTACGAGTCCGGCTTAGGCTTTAGCGAGTTATCCTACTTATCCTTCTACTTCTCGTACTTCTTCTAGAGCTTACTATTATAACCTAGGCGACCGTAGCGCTTATAGAACGCGTATTAAGTATATTCCTTACCTTTATAGATAATATAATCTAGACCTCTCGTAGCGTACTACTTATAGCCGCTAGGCTTAGAAGATAGTATACCTACGAGTCGATTAGATTTTAGTAGCGAGTCTATATAAATTAGAAAAAGCATACCTAGATCCGTCTCTATTATCTCGCTAGCGTAAGCAAACCGCCGTAGGCTATTAGCCGCGGACTTACGAACCTACTTATTACTAGATTTAAGATTGTTTAAATAGCGCTACTAATCCTTATCGGAGATATACTAGAATGTAGTCTTATCCTACGTCTCTAGTTTGCGGTAGGACTCGCTAGACTCGCTAATTAGCTTTTGCCTATTCTTTAGGCTTCGGATAGCTTACCTTAGGGCCGATATAGTTACTACTAGGGCGCTCTCGGGCGTAGACTAAGGCGGAGGCGAAGGAGTAGGTTAATAATTAGGCTAGTATCGGTCGTAGAGTCGTCTATAGATAAATGTGAGAGTCTCCTAGTCGATTGATACTATAAATTATCGATTTACGAGTCTACGAGTACGATCTAGGTAGGAAAAGAGGTCTAGGTTCGCTAGATAAGAATGCCTTCTTATAAAATAGCCTACTTATTGTTAGTAGCTGCCTTATTGTTCGATATTATAGACTCGCACTTACAATAGTATAAGCGCGACAATAGCTTTTAATTAATATAAAGCCGCGTACCGCTATTAACGGGTTCAATATGAAGCCAAAAGCTGCGCCTAACTTCATATTGACCGTTTATGTCGACAATAGCGGTGCGCGACACTCGTAGAGCCTCATTGTCGCCGTCGTAAGTTGTTATTGTGGTGGTAGAGTGAGTCGCGACTCACAGCGAGTGCCGCTTCGGCAGTCGGCAAAACCATTTTGCGGATTTGTAAGCTCAGGCCACCGCCATTACCCCTCTAGTCGGATAGTGACATATCAACTGTGGTGCTCGCCAACATGTCCTTCCCCTGCGATACGAAGCTGCACCTAGACTGCAGCGTCCTGCTTATAGATCATCGTCGAGTCGAGCAATTAATTAGCTTGTAGATATCCCGACAAAACAACATCGTCGGTAGTATTCGCGGATATAACTTTCCGTGCGGCGGTTACTACCCGGGACCGTAGCGAACACGGGGTAGGTCACCCAATTCTTTCCCTTCGATGTAAGAGCCTCCTAAACGACCTCCAATCTTCCGTGCTACTGTCCAACACTTTCTTCAGTGGTCCTCCTGCTCCCATCAGCAGCTCCAGTGTCGAAATACAGAGATCCCCTGCAAGCACAGTAGCACTCTTCATATCCAGTCCAGTCCAGTCATGTTGCTCGAACTCGTGGTCTCCTCAGAGAACCTCTCTGTAAGCGGCTTGTAAACTGACCAGAACATAGCAAAATGAATCCTTGCATTGCTTGTTACGCCAGATCCCTAATGCCCTACTGTACAAACGCAAAGAGAGAAGAAAGCTGTGTGCACATCTATCGTCTATGCCAGCCAGGACCTAGGTATCTCTGAGGTAAGTCGCCGCGCAGCAGCCAGCTAAATATGCTTCTTTCCTATCCATCGGGACGGAATTCTGCGCTCATGGATCGTCTCAACCTCGCCGTCTCATCGGATCCGCTCCTTACTTGGCAATCTCGACACTGCAAAAACGTTAGCAGATATCTCAATGCTTCTAAAGTAGATTGTACATACCCTCCCGTCGCGCCAAGAGCCTAGATGAACAGTCAGCAAGAGTTCGAAGGATCTATCCAATGGTAGGAGAGCACTTACCTTCTTGATGTCTCCGTAGATGGCGAATTGACCAGCAGTCAAGGTACCGACCATGAAGAGACGAGCACCAATACCACTGTAGGATCCACGAATGCCGAGCTCCTTAGCGATCTTGATGAGTCTGCTAGTGGTACCCTCACCTGGAAGACCCTTGGTCTTGTTGATCTTGGAAAGCATGGTGTCGGCTGGCTGAGAGACGATGGCAGCGGCGAAACCAGCGATGAGACCGGAACCGAGGTTGATGGTGGTCTGCATGCCAGCGCTCGTCGTGGCCTTATCGAAGAAGTTGGCGTATGCGTACTCGGCGACCTTCTCGTAAACGACGAACTTGGCCATGGTGTACGGGACTCTGTGCCAGTGTTAGACCATGCCCAGTTGCTCGGGACTGCTGCTACTTACTGCTTGAAGAGGATGGGACCGAAACCAGAGTAGAAGCCGCCAATACCCTCCTGGCTGGCGATCTTGCTGAAACCAGTCATCAAGCCATTGGCGAAGCCAGGCTCGGAGACCATACGGATACGGGTGGCCTCGAGAGGGCAGAGAGCAATGTCGGCGAAGAACTCTCCGAGAGCAGAGGACGCGAGGTAGACGGCCGTGCGGTTGTTGGAGGCAGTCTCGTAGCCGAGGAGGTTGATCGACTGCTGCTTGAAGAACTCGTAACCACCGAACTTGAAGGCACCCTGAAGGAAGTAACCAGCGAAGGTTGGACCAACACCGGTCAAGAGAGCACCAGCACCCTCATTCTGGATGACCTGGCGGAAGCCACCGATAAGGCCACGGTTGTAGGTGACTGGGTCAAGCTGGATACGGGTCTTGACGCTGTTCAATGACATGTGTCAGCTCTTGTCCGATATATCCTCCCGTCGCGCGCCCATCTCATATCGAAGCCTTTATATCCGCTATCGCCGTCTCTTGTCATGCGCTGTTCGAATCGTGCTGATGGCGCCTGCGGTAACTTACACATCGACTGGAGTGAGGCCTCCGTGGGTGACGGAACAGCAGACGGCACCGGCGAGGGCGAAGCGGGAGTAGAGGTCGATGCCGGATCGCTGCTTGGGCTCAAGCTTAGCCTCGGCGGTCTGCTTGAGGGCGTCGAGCTTGCTGCTGCCAGTCGACTGGGGTGGAGGGGTCGCGGTACCGCTCATCTTGCCGGTTGATGTGCGGTTAAGAAGGGATATCTTAGATGGTCGAAGGCTAAGTCGGCGACTGCCTGTGAGGACTCGGACAGAGAGCTGTGAGTGGAGATATGAGCAGAACAATAGCGCGAGGCCTGTTTTGCGAGTGCAATTGAAGTCGGTAGGGGGTGTTGACTGATGAAGGTGAAGTCGCGATGTCTCCGACAACAAAAATTCCGAGGATCTTCGGCTATCCTCCTCAGGAACAAGCTCCTATCTCAACCTGTTCGGGCAAAGCCGGGCCTATTTTCGCCAGTTGACGTAGCACGTGCACCAACGGCTCGGCGGTCCACCGGGTGCTCCTGAGTTGCGAGTTTCACCTCACTTCACTTTCAATTTTTACACGTTGACTGACTATCTAGCGTATTGTGAATCTCGAGCTCTCGGTGGTCGAATAGCATCATGTAGCGCGTTGCTGTCATTTGTTCATCCAGTCTTCTGCCACCTCCAAGAAGCGAACCGACATAGTGAGTGCACAACAAGCTCAACTGCACAGCAACGAGGCAATATGGTAATTACATGTAGCCTTCTGTGCCTCCTCCGCCGCCTCCAGATCATGACTCCAAGCAGACTGCAGTCTCACTTGCCCTTCGAGCCGTCAGCCTGACTCCCCTTCTTCGTCTTCTTCGTGGAGTTGAACTGCTCCTCCAACAACTTCATGTTGCTCTCCAACGCCTTGAGATCCTCCTCATCCACCTCGTAGTCTGGATCCACAAGCTCATGGAGCGCAATGCTCATACGGCACTGCTCTGCCGCCATCTGCGCAATCTCGTACCGCAAATTGATGGTATCGTCGGTACGCTCCTTGAGCTCCTTGCGAAGATCCGAAATCTCCCTGTCGCGCTCTGCTATCTCAGAAGCAGCTTGATTGGAGACTTTCGCGACGGCTCTGTTGGCATCTTCGACGCACTGGCTCATCTGCAGAATGGCTTGGGCGTCGATTCGCCGCATGTGTTGGTCGAGAACTTCAGCTGCGACTTGATAGATGGCGCGCTGAGTTGGGCCATCATAATTTTCGTGGCGGAAGGCGTTGGTCTGCATCGTGTTTGTGAGAGTTGTTTGTAGTGCGATGATTGTGTGTTGTTCTGGTTGCTACCCGTGCTTGTGCACGCCAAGACAAAAGCTGCTGTTTGAACCGCTAGCATGACGAGACCTCACAAAACAATCGTTGTGAACTTCAAGAATGCATACAATTCCTGCCAGATATCCGAGCCTGAGCCAGAGTCATCTCTTGACGGCATCCACGACCTGTAATACGCCACTAACAAGAATCCAGAAACTTCACCCTTCAAGCTTCTTCCTTTAGAGCTGTTTGCCAATCACGTCTGCCCTCGCTTATGCATTGCTCCGAGACATCTTCTTCTGCAGCGCCGCCAAGACCATTTCCACTTGTCGCCTGGTCTCGGTCTCATTCATGACTTCGTTACGCACACCTCTGAGCGAGCCTTCGAGCTCTGGCGCCTGGTCCTGTAACTCTTGGAGATTCTCGGTATTGTCCTTTCAAGTCGAAGATTGAGCCGAGGCCGCAGCCGCAAGGCGCATGCTGCTCCTCTGAGCGACCACGTTTCTGCCACGCTTGGCATTGCTCCTCAATGTACTCCCTCTCACAGCCTTTGATCCCCGGCCCTGCTTTGGAACGCTACCAAGGCCAACCACGTCCTGCTGCTCTCCTCCTCGTTTTCCTGCCCCACCATTCTGTGCAATAGCCGCTGGTGATGGAACACCAAGTGCTTGCTCGATCTTAATCAAGCTGCTTCCGATATTGCTCGATACTTGAGCCACCAAGGCTTCCACAAATTTCGTAATCTGCTCAGTCTGATCTTCCTTGCCTGCCCCCTCAGAGTTTTCGAGCGTATGGACGTCTTCGGCAGCTTTGTCGATACTACCAAGAGCCACAGAGAGGCATGATCTGACACTTCGAAGCTCTTTACCGCAGCCGGTTTTGAGCTCGTACAGCTCCTTCTCCAGTCCCTGCACTTTCAGCTCCATGCCGCTCATGCTGTCGCTCAGGTGCTTGTGAAGCGGGTCCTGGAGAAGGAGTTCCGTGGCTCGTTTCTTGTCGAGTCGGTGGAGATGTAATAAGGCGTTTGCTGCGGCCTTATAGGCGACGTCGACGTTATCACCCGTGACAGCAAGCTCCATGATTGACGGTACGGTGCTGTTGGCTTGTTGGGGATGGAGGGCTCATAAGTTGGGCTTCCAGAAGATCCCAGGAGATGCTGCTTGCTGAATTGTAAGTAAGGTCCATCGGCAGCGGCAGCCGGTAAGCGAGAAGACTCCCGCCTTACGCCTGTCCCGGCCGAGTGCTGCACATCTTGAATCGGGAGTGGGATAAGGAAGGCACGTTCTCAGTTCGGGAGGTAGTTTCCAGACCAACAAGATAAGGTACGAAGAAGGAACCACGCGATACTGCTGTGTTCTGCTTACGACCCATGTATGCGGACAAGGTCTTGTCATGGCAGCAGCTAATACACCCGAAAAGACATGTGAAGCCTGAAATGGACACCAGTGGAATTGACCACTTACATGTATAGCCAGTACGATCCGGAGTAGTACAGGCCCGCCGACTAATCTCCCCAGATACTCTTCCCATTAAATGGCTCTCGGTATCCAGCTCAACTCCTGGAAGCCTTCGAGCAATGCAACTCCAGGAAACCGAGCCTCTTCACTTGCCCTCCTCAGCTACTGGTATTCGATCCTTTCATGCCTTCCGGCAGTCTCGCAATCGCGCAGTATGACCCTTCCTCTTGTCCCAGAGCTATCTCTTGCTGGCCACTCCGAATTCGCGTCGCGTCGAGCGAGGGATTGGTCGGTACGAGGACGTTCCTTGGAGATCCGTAGCTCTAGTACGTGGATTCTCCGGTCGTGGCCCTTCCACAGCTTCCACAAGCAACTCAAAGGCTCAGTGTTTGAGGTGAGACGAAGTCTCATCTCTCACACGTGGCGCCATCGCGTTAAGAGATTGAGTTTGAACGTCCGTTAGTCCGCCTTCCATCTCGGCGAATCAAACAGCATCGGCAATCGCTCCGAAGCCAGCTGAAGGCACTGACCAAGGCTTCCAAGATTTCATCTGCAGGACACGAATAATCTCCTACAGCACTTTATCGCAACAAGCAGAGGGAAGAACATCACCCATCCAGATCTCATCAACAGAAGCTCTTTGGGAGGCTGAGAGAAGCATAAAGAAGCATAAAGAAGCTTTCGGCCTCCGCAAAAAATGTGACCTTGGCCTGGCGATCTTGACGGGATATGGTCGCTCTGCGAACCGCTTGACGTCTGCAATTCATCACAACAGTGAACTAACCAACTCTTTTTCCACTTCACCTTCCGTCTAGGACAAGCCTCGGTTTCAGGCACTCCGAAGGGTGGAGTTCGAAGTCTAACGCAGCTGGAGAGCGCTCTAGTGCTCGCGCTCCAGTCGTATACCTGTACGAACCCTGGTCAGCTTCATGGCGACTGGTAGTTTGTAGCATGGCGTCTCTGGGGCTCAAAGTCACATCGGTGGATCGCCATAGCTTAGGTCCGGATACACTCTATGCCGCTGAAAGGCGCCATGAGTGTTGCAGTAGGTACATGAACAGGTTATCCCCAGCTTGTTCATTACGTTTCCGCAAACCCAGCAAAAGAATCAATCAATACCCTTACGCGAACACAACAATGTTGACCAAACACTTCTCCGCCGCTCTGCTGTGCGGTACAGCGGCAGCACAGGTTACCTTCCCAGTTACTACCCAGACGAGCTTCCCAGCTCCAGCATGTACGAGTGGCCCACAGACGACTGAGCAGTTCACAGTCAACTACAACGTCAGTGAAACCGAATCACCCACTTGACACCTCAGACCTGACAAGAAGCAATAGTTCGAGACCGTCGAGAGAGGCGACCCCTTGACAGGCATCACCAGCATCGGCGAATACAACCTCCTCAACTTCACAAACATCAACTGGGTAGACACCGACCCGGACTTCGACGGCAACCATCTCGGTCTCGCACCACACACGTACCCAGACGTCGCAACCTTCGGCGCGGGAACCTCTTCCCTGACCAATTCCACCCCGCTCATCACAGCCGACTACATCGAATCCACCCTCACCTCCTTCACCGCGCGGTCTTTCTGGTACGGCTGCGTCCTCCCGAGCCCCTACACCGCCGGATCCCTGCCCGTCGCTTGCAACATCACCGCTACTGGCTACTCGCGCGACGGCCACCCGCTGGCTGTGCAGAATTTCGAATTCATGACGAATGGAAGCGTCGTGCAGGACCAGAAGTTTGGCGAATTCAAGGGCTTCACGAATGTCCGTAGTGTGGGATTCTCCGTCACGCCGGCGAATATCGGTGCGGCGTTGATTGATAACTTCATCGCGACGCTGTACCAGCCCGCTTGTGCGCCGTATTATACCGGATCTTATGAGAATGGAACTTGAGCAAATTGACGCATGGGAAGATCCGCAACGGCACGACGCCGGATGTTTATTATGATAGCCTAGTATGAAGACCATGTCAACGACATCACTGTTTTTCTTCAGGACTCATTCGGCGTGTACAGTGCTTGGAGATGATTCAGTACACGGAGAAGAGCTATCTGAAGTCTACTTGGTTCCCTTGCCCTTGCCCTTGCCCTTGCTCTTCGACTTGGACTTGGCTTTCTTCTTCTCGCCGTGCTCCTTGCCGGATAACGTGGCAGACTTGCTCTTCCTCCACTCCATCCCCGACCTCCGATCATCCCGGTCCTGCAACTTCTTCTTTTCCTTATTACTGAGCTTCTTCTTCCCCTTCTTGCTTCCATTCCCATCCTCACCGGGACCATTCAGCAGGGTACGGCCTTTCTCTTTGGCAGCTAGCTTGTCCTTTTCACTTTCAAACCACGTCTTCTTCGGCCGGGCCTTGATCTCATCCTCATATTTGACGATATTGTCGGCGCGAGTGAGATCGCGGTCCACTTGCTGCAGCGCCCTCTCCTCTTTCTCTTCTCGCAGCACATCTTCGACCTCCTCAGCCATAGCTTCGAGACGCGTGTGCCAGGCATCTACGTCTGGAGCTTCAATCGTCCGCTGCCGAATCTGCGCTCCCTGCGCCTTGCCCGACTTGACAGCCGCCTTGACGACTTTCCGATCAGGCTCGGCCGCGAGAGTGCAGGAGCGACCGGAACGTCCAGCACGTGCCGTACGGCCTACTCGATGAAGATAGATTTCGTGTGACTGGGGTGCCTCATAGTTGATGACCGTCTCTATGCCCTTGATGTCGAGACCACGAGAGGCGAGATCGGTGGCGAGCAGGTACGAAGCCTTGCCAGTCCGGAAAGATTCGATGGCATTGATACGCTGCTCCTGGGACATGTTTCCGTGCAATTCGGCAGCCTTCATGCCGCACAGCGCGAAGATGACGCGAACGCGATGTGCCTCTTTCTTCTGTCGAAAAAAAATGATGACGCGATCGGTGTACAGATTCTCGCAGAGGTGCATGAGATACGCCAAGCGCTTTTGCTCACGACCAGGTCTGAGACGCACAAACTCCTGGACAAGTCCCGCCACGGTCGCCTTTTGCGCATCGACCATCAGCCTGACGGGTCGCTGTAAGCCAACTCGGATGAGATCGTCAACCTTCGAGGTCATGGTCGCAGAGAACAGCATCGTCTGTCGTGACTTGGGAATCTTGTCCAAAATCTCGTTCAGCTCGTCCGCGAATCCTTCCTCCAACATTCGGTCTGCCTCGTCCAGTACCAGAATTTCGACAGTGTTGACAGTGAAAGATGCCGAGTTTCGCTCTAAATCAATGAAACGACCAGGAGTTGCAATCACGATGTCCGGCCGGAGCTTCAATTGCTTCTCCTGTTCTCGAGAGTTGAGACCACCAATGGCCTGGCCAAAAGTGATGTCGGTAAAGGCAGCCAGCTTCTTCGCCACGGTGAAACATTGCAAAGCAAGTTCTCTCGTTGGCATCAGAATCGCAACGCGAGTGGTCGGTGTGCGCTTCGGTCGAAACAGAAGACGCTCCAGAATGGGGATCAGGAACGCAGCTGTCTTACCAGATCCAGTGACGGCGCCTCCTACAAGATCCTTGCCCTCCAAAGCCACAGGTATAGTCTTTTGTTGGATGGGTGTGGGCTTGTTGAATCCGACAGATGCTAGTCCTTTGAGGATCGGCCTTGACAAGTTCATCGAATGAAAGGCAGTCGTAGAGGAAGCCGGTGTCTGAGACGCAGTGTCCTCCTTGGCAAAAAACGCATTGCGCTTCTCTTCCTCTGCTGCATCTTCCTCGCCTTCCGAGTCCTCCGCCAGGTCGTCCGGATGCGGGACATGTGTTTCAATCTCTTCGTCGCTTTCACCCCCAGCTTCGCCATTGACACCTTCAATAGCAGTGTGGAACTCGTCGCCTTCCTCCTCGTCTTCAATGTCGGCATACACATTCCCTTCCTCTTCCTCATCGTCATCGTCATCGTCCTCTTCATCTGCCCCAAACTCCACCTCATCTTCATCTTCCTCCTCCTCATCATCACTGTCTTCACTCTCCAGATCATCCGTCTTCCCCCCCTTTCGCCTCGCAACAATAGCATCAATATCCCCCGCCTGCGCCTGCCCCGCATCCTGCGTCGTCCACGCATCGAGATCCTCAAATCCAGCCCCATCTTCATTCTCAAACCCAAAATCCGAGTCGAAATCCGAGTCCCTGTCTACATCCTCTTTCTGCTTCTTCACAGCCTTCTGCTGTCCTGCATCGCCTCTCTTCCTCTTCTTGGTCTTGGTCTGAGGAACAACCTCGACGACCTCGGTCTCTTCGTCGGAGATGTCGTCGGCGTCGGATATCGTGCCCACGAGATCGTCCAAGTCGCGCGCCATGTTCGGAGAGACGGTTTCTCTCTCCACGTGATCTACTGTCGATATCGCGTTGTCGGACTCCTCCCAGGGCCGCTCAGTTCTTGCTAATCAGACAAAAAGTCGACAGGGAAATTTTGGCGCAGGGCTGAAAGCTAGAGCAACTTAGCCGAAGCGGCGGCCATTCCCGTACCGACCGATAGCTCTATCCACTCACATCTCTTCCCTGTTCGCGCCTTACTTCCAAAGTGCTGAAGCAGGTGTGAGAAAGCAGAAACCGGATTGCCCGACACTCGAACTTGCAGACCACAGGGCACGTCCGCAGAACATGCTTGCTACAAGAAGAGGCTGCCGTGGACAACGGTTTGAGGTCTACAGTACGCATCAAACCTTATGAAGATCTGTATGCCTCGGTTAGGTAGCAACTCTCTTTCCGCGCATCCACTTTGCCTTTCACCTAAGGTACCTCCACCTCATCTCCTCAACATATCCATCCTTGCGCTCAACTCTTACGCCTTCTTCTCGTCTTCCCTCCCATCTTTCCCAAGGCCCGTACGTGGAAAAAGACGGGATTTCCCCCTCCAAAAAGAAATCGCTGTCTTGAGGGGGGAAAAACATTCAATCTTCTACACTCGCTACCATCTAACTATCTATATATACTCAACGTATCTACCCATCCATCATGCGCGCTGTATCCAACATCCACAGCGCGATGTAAGTTTTCCGTGAAAAGAAACCACCCCCATCTTCCATCTCACAATGTAGCCGAACCGACACTTCCCACAAGCGACTTGCCAGATGGGATGAAAGCCCGCCAGAGCGACACGTCTTACCAACACGATCGAGGTATTCTATCCTTGGCCCCGGAGATCTCAACGCAGCAATGTTGTCAGCGGTCTGGTGCCTTGATAACCTAACCTGCCACTGCGAGCACGCGATGAAACTACACCGGACATCTTCTGGACAACCTACCCATGCAAGCAACATCTTTGCGCGAGACGCTGCGCAAGCCCAAAGCGATACTCGATGCGAAACGTTCGATTTGATGGAAAAAGAAGCTTTGGACCGATGATGGCTGTCGATATGAACTACGTAACGCGGACGAAGAAAATTGAACGCTCCAACGCATGGTTTGAAACAAGTCAGCTCGCCGATGGATGCGCCAAAAAATGCAACCCCCATGCGCAGCCTAGTATGGTACCGTCTTCACCTTCTCCCTGGTCTCCTCCGGCAATTCCTCTGCTTTGATGAAGCCCATGCGGATGGCGTCGCCCCAGAAGAACAGTGCTCGGTGCTGGGCATAGCCCAGGTAGTCGAACTCCTCCTGTGCTTCTTCCTCCTCGCCCTGCTGCTGTTTGGCCAGTTGTTTATACTCCTCGGCACGCTCTCCAAGCAAATCCTCTGGTTCGGTGTCTGAAGAGGCATCGGAGGTGAGCGTGTCGTCAAACAACGGCATTCCAGGAACTTTGGCCTGCACAAGTCCCCAAGCAACCCATTGGGCAGTGTTCGCCAGCCTCCACATTCTGGTCTCGTTCATCAAACGATCAACCTCGGCGTCTTCTGCTATCTTTTGAGCAGCATCATCCTTGACAGTCGGAGATGAAGATGCCCGCGGAGAGCGTGCGTCGAGCATGAAGTCCGATATACTGGTCGTCGCTCTTTTGAGACCCCCGGGGCCTGCGGCGGTCATGGAAGGCGTTGAAGGGGCCATCTTTGGAGTTTCGGCACTGAACTGAGGATGATGCTGGACATAGGCGCGGACAAATCGGTCTTGCTCCTCCGGCGTAGGATACCGACTGGCGTTGAATGCGTACGGCTTTTTCTCGTCGTGGTAGTTGTAGCACCACTCAGTAAAGTGGTTTGCGAACTCCAATCCTGGCGTGTTTGCATTCGAATACTCGAAGTCAATGACTACGAGTTGCTTGTGCGTGTTCGCGGGGAGAAGCAGCGGAGACTCTCCCGTGGGCACCAGTCGGAGGATGTTGCCATACTGAGTGTCGTTGTGTGCGAACACCAACTGTTCCCTCAGCTTCTCCACGCCGCCACACTGTTCCTCCCTCAGCCACTTGCGATACTTCTCGACAACTTCCTTGAAGCACTCCCACGGCACTCCACAAATGAAGCCACGACGAAGCCAAGTCCTCGAGCCTGTTGGCTTTGTTCCCGGCTCTAAAGCCCTCACTTGCGCATCCATCCAAGTGACGATTTTTTCTACTCGGTTCACCCATTTGTCCCAATTGCGCCACACGAAAGCACCATCATCACGTTCCTGATCGAGAAGCTCGATCCCCTCGTGCAACTCACGCATACGCTTTGCGATTTGTCGGCTTGTGCTCGGGTCTCTGAGATCTTCTGGCGTGAGAGGTTTGGCGTGCAGGTATTCCTCGAAGCGGCCGTTGGCAAACGTCCCCAGTAGCCGCGGACCAATGCGCTGCCGGGCTAGGCGTCGCAATATTGCGAGCTCGGCATCGCGGTCTATAAGGTGCTCTACCTGCGGACCATAGATACGCAGGAGCAACTTCGGCGGTGCCTTTCTGGCCGTCACGAGGTTCCCATTTTCATCGTCCTTGTGGGTAGGCAGGTCGGCAGGCGGCGAAACGACATAGACTGCATTGGTCAAAGCTCCGCTAAGACGCTGCACCTCGATGGCGCCACTCATTTCCATGGGCACTTTGCGCCAACCTTTGAGCCTCAGAGTATGAGCAATGCGCACGATGTCGAATTTGAACCGGGCCCAAGCATCGAAGTCGCGGTAGGAAGGCACCCTCGTCAGGTCCTCCGCACCGGAGTCATCTGAAAAATCCGAGGCGCCGCCTGTGTATGCCAGAGTCTTCGAATTGTCAAGATAAGCATCACAACCAGGCACATGGAATTCGGTTTCCTCGGTATCAGAGGCGGTGGACTGCTTGCGGAGCAGTTTGCGGATCGACGGCCTGCTTCTTAGCGTCGTGGAGCCTTGCCGGATGGAAGGTCTTCTGATGCTAAGGTTATCCTTGAGGATCCGTTCCAGCTTCTCCAGGTCGATGGATCCATCGGAGGAGTCCGAACCACGTCGCCGTCGATTTTCTTCATTGGGTGCAGATTTTGCAGTCTCCTGCTCGCTCTTACCATGACGTGCCGCGGATCTCCTCGCTTTCCGGCGCAATCGCTTCTCCCGCTTGTCCTTGATCCAGGTGGTGACTTGCTCCACCAACGCATCCAAATGGCTGGGCTCGTCGTGCTGGTCGTCGGCTTCCCTATCATCGTCAAGTGTAGAGGAAACGGCTCCATCCGTAGTAGGAGTTGTCGGCTTCAAGTATGGGCTGCAGTTGTTCGAGCGCCGCCCGGATAGTCGGTGCGCCCTTGGACTCCTGATGGATGGCCTTTTCGGTGTTCGTTCATTCCCAAGCTGCAATTCGTCGACAGGCTTCTGCTGTCCCAGGATCAGAGGCGAGATGGTCTCGGCGTATGGCGCGATAGAAACAGCTGCGGACGACATGATGAGCGCAAGGTCCAAATGTGTTCAAAGTTGTGGAGTGGTTGACTGATTGGTCTATCAGAGCGCCTCGGTGGCGGAAGACAGCTTGCAACGAACGCGATGCGCCGGTGCTCTTGAAAAGGAAAAAAGGAAAGATAAAGAATGAAGGCAATACCAGCAAAAACATGCGCCCCACCACCAGAGCAGCAACATCAAGAAAAGAGCGAAGCAGAACAGAACGTACATTTGGGTGTTGATTTGGGGGAGATGGCCTGACTGATGCCGAGATAAGAGCTGGGTGACGCGCAGTCCTCCTTGAGCGACTTGACCTTGTCCGAAGGCTGCGGCGACGTAGCTTCCGAATGAGGCATCTTGTCGTCCGCCGTTGCTGGTCAGTTGCTGTTGCTCGTCTGATGATACCTTATATGTGGATGTCGGTGGGTGGGAAGGATCAAGGCAGGGCGGAACCGAGTGCGGTTCTGACCGCTCACCTCAGTAGTGACCGCGGAAGGAACCAAGTGGCAGAAGTCGCAGCATATAAAACAAACGCCTTTGGAACTTGACGGGGAAAAACGCGAGATAACGCGGCGGAACCCCCACGTGATGAACGAATAGGTGGGTGCGCAAGTAAAGTGAGGTGGTCTCGTGAGTAAGGTAGGTACGTATTCCAGTCTTCTCTCTTCCAGGGCCAGTAGTCGTCGTTGGGCGGAGGAAAACTAGGGGGCAGCGTCGTCTTGCTCTTCATCACATTTTCCGTTGTTTTACACGTGGCCAGACAAGATTTTTGTAGCGCGCGCGCGCATGCACGGAACGCCCGCCGATCCCTGCAGCTAACCTTGATACCTTAACTAACGTATTTGGCCTGGATATGAGTACCCGATTGGGAAAAAACATACTACCTACGTACAATATCCACGAGCAAGCTGTCTGTCACTCTTATTACAGTAGTGATGGGGATAGATTATTTATTGTTGATGGACTCAAGTTTGGGAACAAAGCGATATTCGTCAAGCGTGTTGCTTGCCAGAAGTAGTAGCGGCCTTTCAGCAGGCATGCCGAGGGACGCCGCGCGCGACGAACCAAGATCAATAGCCATCGCACGTGATTCTTGGACTACAAGCCTTCAGCAACGTCAGAGACAACATTCCCGTACGGCACCATGAATAAATACCACAAGAAAGAAAGAAAGAAAGAAAGAAATGAAAAGAAACCAAGTCCAAGTGCGAATCATATTACACATGGCATTCGTCACCATACACCACCCTATGCCGAAACCACCATATCACCCCACCCCACCCCATCCCCATCCCATCCCATCCATCGTCCATCGTCCATCGTCCACCATTCGTTAATAAAGCCTAGAATACACTACTGCCGTGATAAAAAGAGCTCAAGACGACACCCGCCGCCAAACACGGCGACCGCCTTTCTTCTGCCTTGTGACCATTAAGATCGTAATGACACAGAGACCTCACCTCCTTTCCCTCCTCCTCCCAACCCAACCGAAAAACGCCGCCAAAGGCCAAAAGTCCCGCCATTTGGGGTATCCGAGATCGTTAATAAAACCAAAAAAAAATGCAGCCATCCGCCACAGCCCATCTTTTTTCTTTCCTTTCCAATGCTGTCATGCGAACTATACTTGCTTTTTGAAATGTATATTAAAAAAACGCATCGTGTGGCCTCCCAGGATCATCACCGTCGTCGTGGTTGTTGTTGCTGCTGCTGCTGCGCGGCGTTCTCTTGCTGCTCCGCAAGGAGGGCCTTTTCATTCTCGATGACGATCCACTTGCGCAGATTCGTGAGGAGCTTCGTCGCCGCCTTCTCGTCCGTGTATTTGGCCAGGATCCCGGCCTCGAGCTTCTCCCAGGAGCAGGTCTTGTTCCTCTTGCCGGGGGTGTGGGGCTTGAGATGGGTCTTGAGGTGGTCGCCGGCGTTGTCGGGACGACCGATGTGCCGGCCGCAGTCGTCGAGGGGGCAGAAGTATGGGCGGAAACCGGAGTGCATGCCCTTGTGGCGTTTGAGGTGCTCGCTTCGTTCGAAGCGAGCCCGACAGAGCTGACCGTCTGAGCCTCTGAAGCCGCATCTGAATCGCTTGCGCTCCTTGGTCTGCTCCGAGACGACGCAATGTGAAAGGGGACGGTCATCCCCGTCAGTCACATTGAGGAGGAAGCGGGGACCAGAGCATCGGACGGTCGTCTCACCGATCTCGGTCTCGTACCACGCAGCCTCGTCGTTGTTGTTCTTGCGAGAGCGCTTGGAAGAACGTTTCTTCGTCCGCGAGCTGTGTCCGACATTGAAGAAGCCAGACGCCTGATAGCACGAACTTTGTGAAGGGGTAAAGGGTATTTCATCCTTCACGACGGCGAAGTCTTCCTCTTCCGATTGAGCAAAGTATGCGTCTTCCGGGCTTGGTGGGCCGACAGACTCCCAGCCACCCATGGAAGAGTCGAAGCTGTGGTTGAAACCATCAACGGCTTCTTGTTTGATGTCATACTGATGGCAGTCCATTGGATAGTCTTCGGCAGGAGCGACCTGCGAAGGCACAACCACCTGAGGCTGATTGTAGTGGCTGGCGGACGACATGGGGGCATCGTACCGAGAGAATGCCGAGGCTTCCAGTGGACTTGGCATGGTCGAAGCATCGGGATGGTACATCGGAGCAGAGGCATGTTCTTGGCCAAGGCTCTGGCTGCTCTGAAAGAGGGTCGTGCCTAAACCGGTAGGCAATCCATGGTAGTTGTTGACAGCCTGGTGCTGTTGCGACCATGCGGATGGCATTGGCGAGCCCATATGGCTCGTTTGGATGCTCAACGAGTCCATAGCATTGATTGGCGGTGTGCCACACACGGAAGGGTTGACCATGGTAGAGGCGAACATTGATTGGGGGACTTGACCCCCGTGGCAACCGTCGACAATGCTTGTGGACATGTGCGCATGCACCTCAGCGCCGTCATTCCACTGTGCCTTGAAATCATAATGTCCGCTCATGCTGTTCACTGGCGTCGCGGGCTGAGAGTAGCCGTTGATCGAGGGAGGACCGGAATGCGATGTATCGGAAGACAGGGCAGAGTGCGCCAGTGAGGGCCGCCTAGACTCATTCGCTGACTGGGGAGGTGTGAGAGGCCAGCTTTGAAATGGGAGGGGCGATGAGATTTTCTCTACTATCCCTCGAGTGTCGATACCTGGCACAGGTATGCCTCGGAGACGAGATGGCGATGTCGTTGAAGACATGGTGTCGTAAACTGCGACAGACCGTCAGCAACCGTATCCATTTGGACAGCGACATTAATTAATTGTCTGAGGGGGACACACAAGACGAGAGACCTCCGTGTATCAAAGTCCAAGATTCAGATGAACAAAATAACAAAGATGCAGATCAAGACTGTTGCAGATGGAGAAGAGGGATAGGAAAGTTTGTGGCTTTTAAGAGGCTGAGGAGGCTCGCTCTACTCACCATTGTAGAACAGCATCCTCAGGCTGGGAGACTGCGCTCGTGTAGCAAGACTTATGTCAGGGTTCGATGGATGGGTGGTCGGTCCAGCGTTCTGACTGGTTCAGTCAGCGCAGTCCAGATGCAAAATCAAATGCCAGGTACAACCATACCAGGCAAACGTATCGTCCGAAGATTCGCGAGGAACTCTAGCAAGAACAGGCGATTAATTTCCAGCAATTGGTTCCGGATTGCGATGACACAAGCAAGGGGGGGGAGGGTTTCCTCAGGGACGACGAACGTTTGGAACGATCGTGAAGAAGAAGGTGGTGCGGCAATGGGGGAGGACCTTGCGGAGAATAAGTATTCGTGCGTCCTAATCGCCCTCGACTTGCCTTGCAGAAGTTGCAGGTAGTATACGGCACAGAAGTCCCACGAGATCGGTCCAAGGTAGCAGCGAGTATTCTGTTGGTGGGTGGTCAACTTCATCATTGCAACGTCAGCCTTCTTGGGAACGCCTCCAACCTGAGGAATGCAACGACATCGGTAGTCACCAGCGGGCCCACGAAGCATCACGGCATCTGCTTCCTGATCTCGGCCCGCTATTGACAGGCTTCAACGTCAAGGCGCTTCGATACATCCTCAATCAACTGCGGGTATGGCATGGATACTGCGAGCGTCGTATAGGCCGATGTTCATCAGGCGGTCTGCAAATGATACCCTGGACCTACTCGCTGAGCCGTGTGCACTGTTTCAAAGACTGATCGAGCGGACGATTGGACCCTTCTGCATATCCGGGTCGCCGAGCACAGTATCGCTTTGAATGACCTACAGGTCAGTGGACGCAGCCCTCGGCCAAGAGCTGTGTGTTGCGCAACATGAGGGCAGTTCCCGAAATCAGTGGTTCTTTGTAGAGAAGTGGGTCGACCGTAGGCATGCACATGGTGGCCTCTTTGTAGAGCGCTGGTGGCGCAAAGTGGGCATCTGCGGTGACTTTAGGCTATCCCGATGCTTCGACAAGAGTTCAGGCACGCGATACCCCATCACAGCCATGGAAAGTGGCAGATGTCAACCCCCGGAGGTCTTCGTACTCCAAGACGTCGTCGATGGTGCGAGCGGTGTCGCTCTGTACAATCCTCAACGGTGGTCTTTGATGAGAACACAGTTGCATGGATCATCAGAGCGTCTGTGGCCACTGCGGCACCGGGTATCTGGTGTTGTTGGTGAGTTGGTGATGAGTTGGTGAAGGGTAACACAAGCAGGGAAGACCGCCGTAGGTCCGGGATCTGAGAAGCGCCTGTATACAAGTTGAAGCGAGCGTGCTCCACTCAAAATATGCGCCCCAGCTCAATACGATCAACAGGTAGGTGTACTCTGAAATTGCTGCTCCTCTCGATGCCAGTCCAGTCAGTCCAGTGTCTTAGCATCGGTGTCGACGCCCGAGTCCCGAAGAAAGCCTTAATCGAGACGACTGGCGGCTGCTCGCATATTGCGCATGGTCAGGCTGAAGAACATGGCTTTGGCATGCAGGAACAGACGCTCACAGCGCGATCTGGCGGCTATCTGCAGAGACACCCAATTCCCCAGGCTCCGTCTCCAGGCCGACATTTGGTTCTTGAGCGCGCTAATGCTGCGCGTTCCTGATCTCCATACCGGCCTTCGCTCTGGACTACGTTTCAGGAACCGCGCGAATGGCAGTCCCCGATCCATGTGCCGTCGCCTGGAGGAGGTCGGTGGATGCACCGCGGCCCTGATACATCACGGCCCGCGCAGGCGAAGCAATGGCCCATATGGTCCGATGCAGTCCAAGGCGGCTGGCATCCGAGAATGGTCGCACAGAATGGCATTTTCCGGAAGAAGGAATGACGACCTGCAGGAAAGACTGTCAGGCACAGAGAAGCGTGACATCGGGACTTGGAATTGCAGCAACTCATCATGGTCGCTTACACACGCACCGCAGCGGGAACTCGACACCATACCTCGTTTCCTGCGCTGATGATCAAACATGCAGGTGATTCGGACTTGAAAATATGGAGTGTAGCACAGTCGTGTCTAGTGGTGAAGTCAGCTCCGGAGACACCCGGGCTTGTCAGGCCGGTATGAAGCAGGACGTAGTAAGGGTTATACCTTGACGTGCTTGTCTATAGGCTCTATTGCTGCAATTATTCACGTTGTACTTCCATCCCGAGTACTGGGAAACCGAGATTCGTTACTTCGTCCCATGCTGGGCGGCGACTGCAAGCAGCCGCTAGCATCCTTGCACGCCGTTCACCGCCCGGAAACCTCGCGATGGATCATCAGATGAGCCCTCATGGACTGGATCGTAGCTAGGTCTTTTGAGGTCCACGTTGACGGCGTCAGTGATGTCGCTGACGCTACTGTCGCTTTCCCGGCGGCCATGACCTCCCGGCTCCACAGCAGACAGGACGTCGGATGGTGCTGCCGGATCTACATTACCGTTCTGCGGAGGTTGGTCTTGTGCCCCCTGATCAGCTCCACCAACATGAGAACGGAGACTCTCTTCCCATCCTTGCCTTGCAAGTTCCTTTGCGTTGCGCAGTCCCTCCTCGTCCTCTCTGATCTGATTCTCCTGTTCCTCCTTCTGCCCGAGCGCCTCCAGATCTTCGAGTGGGTTGCTATCGTCGTCATCGCTCTCATCATTCTGCGGATACCCATTCTCACTGTATGCATGGTCACCACCGTTCAGATAGCCGTTGGAATGCGCTCCATCCACATGGGTTGGCGAATAGCTTGAGTCCATCATGTGGTCGAGAGCTCCAAGTTCGTCACGGGACACATCTCGCCAGTGGCAGCGAGCATGCTTGCGAGTACAGCCTGCACAGGAGGTGAGATTTTTCACGCAATCCATGCGCAGCCGTCGACAGCGATCGCAAGGTGGAAGGACCCGTTGTCCGCGTGGCAAGCTATCCATGTGGGCTTGGCATAACGGTCGAAACGGCTGGCTACTCTCAAGGGCAGCGGGGAGTGGTCGACTGAAGTTATGTTTCAGTGGCGGTGGCGCTGAACTGTATAGAATGGCGCCAGTGCTGGAGGATGGTCGATGAGCATGAATGGTGTTTGCGGCCCGCGCAGGTGTAGAGCTGTCACCATAAGGGAAAGTTTCGCCGGCGAAAGCGTTGAAGGGGCCAGGAGAGAGTGACGAGGCATTTGAGCCGAACCCCTCGTGCGGTGCTGCAGAGAACTCGACCGGTCGAGACCCTGGTGGAGCAGTATCACTTGAGATGCCGACGGAATGAGTCCTAGAATTCGTCCTCTCTTGGCCTTGGTTGTGAGGCAGGCTCTCGAAGTGACGAAGAAGTTCATTGCGAATTGCTGCCGATGACCCTAGGCTGGGCTCGACGCTTTCACCCGCAGGCCGGGCAGTTCCCGCGTTGTTGACAGCGACGAAGCCACTGGATCCCGACGATGATGGCGGTGCGGTTGTTGTCTGCAAAGCGCTGGCCTTGGCCGGGGTTCCACTCCCGCCTTCCGCTCTCCTCTCCAATATGGCGGCTCTACGTCCCTTCAATCGATGGCTCAGCTGCCGAGTCCTCGCTGCAACCATGTCGGCGGCATTTGTGAGTTCCTTGAGCTTCGCCTCGAGCACATCGCAGGTGCCGACCTCCTTCTCTTCGTCCTCCCAGATGGGGAGCGGGGGAATCAGCTCCTGACATCGCCCACTGTTGATGAACAAGAAGTCCTCTTCACTGATCTGCACGCGCAGCTGCTTCTGCGGATAGTAGAATTGGCACACTCGCTTGCCTTCGGAAAAGGTGCTGAGGGTGAACTGGCTCGGGTGGGAGCGGGCAAACTCGATGACCTCGAGCCATGTGATCTGGTGCGACGTATCGTCGGGATTGAGGGCGGCATTCTTGTGGTGGGAGGCCACAATCTTGGGCGGGGCATCGAAGCAGCGTTCAAAGCGCTTGATCAGGATCGGACCCAGGGGACGGGCGCCGAGATTGGAGGCCAGTGACTCGTGGCGGTCGAGAATGTTGCTGTAGGAGGAGAGCAGATGGAGGAGGTTCGGCAGCGTGTCCTCCTTGGTGATCAGGGGCAGGTCCTCGTGGGACTGGCGCGCGAGGTAGTTGATGGACAGCTGCCCGGTCTTCGCAGACTTTGCTGGCGGCGCGGCGCTCAGCGAGGGACTCCGCTTTCGCTTTGCGCCGGACTCGGTGGGAGCGGAATCCGTCGTGGGGGGACATGAAGCGTCCATGCTTGTCGCATAGCGATGCGATGCTGCGGTCGGGGAGGAGGACAGTCGGACAGTCGGACAGGCAGACAGACAGGAGGAGAGGAGAGAGGAGGAGAGGAGAGGAGAGGAGAGGAGAGGGAGGGAGGGAGGGAGGGTAGAGGAGGAAGAGGGGGAGGAGGAGGAGGAGGGGGAACCGGCGACGGCGACGGGGACGGGGAGACGAGCGAGTGCTCACACACTCACAGGCTGGCGGGCGGCGGGCGTCGGGCGGCGGGCGGCTTGCGGAGGGAGAGTCGAGGGTGGCAGCGCGCGGCGGCAGCAGACTGCAGCCTGCCCACACCACCGCCAACTCCCGCGCCCACCGGCGTGCACCTCTCTGCGCCGCCAGCCCTGTTTGGGGCGCGCGAGTCCCGGGCGACACCTACACCGGCACCGACACCGCCCGGGGACAGTAGTCGAGTTGGGCAGTGCCTCCGACGGTATGCTCCACCCTGCCCTCTCCCTCTCCCTCTCCCTCTCCCTCTCTCTCCCCCGTGTCTTCGGTTCTCTCGCAGTGCAGTGAGGTGATAGGTGTCTTTCGGCTTACGTAGGTTCTTCCTTCCTCCAAAGATCACGGAGCGGAGGTGCAGTGGTGGAAGGTGCCCACCGTGCACGTGCCAACCCGATCCCGCCGCCCCGCCGCCCGCTACCTTTTATGTGCTAGAGCTCTTTCGGCACGGAAGGGAAGCGAACTTCTCGACCTCCTCTCGTCACATGACCATCCCACCCCCCAAACAACTCCTCTTGCACCAAGGTTCTTGCCACCAATGTCGGAGCGCGCCAGCTTTAGAGGCGCCCGGGGTGGTCGCGGCGATCGCGGTGGACGCGGCGGTGGCGCCGATCGAGGCCGTGGCGGAGGCAACGCACAGGGCGGAGACAGGAAACAGAAAGAAAACATTCTCGACCTGGCAAAATACATGGACAAGGCCATCAGCGTCAAGTTCAACGGCGGCAGAGAAGGTACGGAACTAATCGGAGGCCCGGTGTCGATATCATAATCTTGTCTGACATCTCACCAGTCACTGGAACCCTGAAAGGCTATGATCAGCTCATGAACTTGGTCTTGGACAACGTCAAGGAGATCACCCGAGGTCAGTATTAATGCTTAGATGGCTGGAACGAGCGCTCCTAATGCTTCTTCCGAGCAGATGAGGAGGGCAACACGAGCTCCCGGAATCTCGGACTTCTGGTTGCACGAGGAACTCTCCTGGTCATGATCTCCCCTCTGGACGGCAGCGAGGAGATCGCCAACCCCTTCGTACAAGTCGACGATGATGACGAATAGAACAAAAGACCAGACTCTGTATGTCGGACCCAAGATCTGATTCGGGAGGCTTCCAAGCATAGGCCTTGCGAGACGGAGATTGTAGAGCCGATGTGCCTACGAGCCTTCTGAGAGTGCGCATCTGCCGAGTGGAAAATCGAGTGGAGTGCCCTTGCTCTCGAAGGCAGGAAGAAGAGTCTATTGGCAATCTGAAAGGTCCCAGCCTATCGGCCGTCAGAAGGCAATGCTCACGCAATAGCACGAAGCCTGGCGTCTGGCATTCTCGCCACACCGGCAAAGGGTCAGTACAGTACACTGAGACCAAGGAAAAAACCTACTACACCAAAGTATATTTACAGCAGATCATGCTTTCCCGAAACTGTCACCCGGATTCCTTGCGTATCCAACCGAGGATGCGCAATCTGATAATCATGCAGAAAGGCAACATCCTCATACCCAGTCTCAAACAACTCCATCTCGTACCCTACAACTTCCTCCAATACCAAGCACATCCCAGCATTCGCCACATTCATACCTACGCACTTCCTCTGGCCTTTTCCCAGCGCCATCATGCTTCTCTTTCTTCGATTGACCTCGTCGGACTGCCCTACCCACCGCTCCGGGTCAAAAGTGAGAGGATCCGGGAACAGCTCTTCATTCATATGCGTACACCACGTCAGACACGACATTTTCGTTCCCGGCGGCAAGACGTACGTCTGTCCTTTATTGGGCCCATAGCTGGCAGTGTACGTCAACGTCTCCGTCGGAGAGTACCGAATCATCCGATTCGTCACGCCGAAAGTGAGTCTGTTCGTCTCCAGGATCACGGCATTGAGATATGGCAGCCGCAGCAACTCGCTCAGCGACAGCCTGCCATCCGACGTCTTCCCCCTCGCTGCTGCCAATTCCGTCCGCAGTCTCCCCAGCGTCTCCGGATAGTAATGCAGATAGAAGGTCCCATACTGCAGCGACTTGGCCAACGACTCCGTGCCCGCCATGACCATCAACGTCGCCTCATCCTGCAGCCTCTCCCTCGTCTTCTCCTCCTCCGGCAAACTCTCACTATCCCTCAAATGATAAAACACAGAATTCCTCCCCCTCTTCTCGTCTCCCACATCCCGAAGCACTTCGTCAATATCCCTCCCCGCCTGCGCTTTGAACTGCAACAGATCCATCACGGCAGGCGGAACCATCCTCCGATTCCACGCAGCCGGGAGAATCCTCCCCAGTAACTGCGTGGCGAAGAATTTATTAATCTTCACCCCGGTCAACAACCGCATGAGATCCCGTCGCTGTCTCTTCGCTTCTGTCAAATTTTCCAGGAGCCCATTATCGTGTCCGAAACAGAAATTCCGCACGAGATCATTCGCAAACGCAAACAGATTCACCACCACCCTGCCCCGCCCCCTCCCTCCTCCCTCCTCAGCCATCAACACCCTCCCAACCCCATCAACCTTCCCCCTCACCTCCCCCTCCATCCCCACAACAGCCCCCAACCCAAAAAACGGATTCAGCGCCTCCCTTCTTAAGCGATGCAACCCCCCATCTTCCGCCCCCGCCCACGCTCCGCTGCACCATCAGCCCCGCCGTCCGGGTAGGATTATTCCTCCCCCGGAGAGCATAGATCGTATCCAAGAAGTCCGGGTCGTTGACGTGCACTTCGTCCGGCACGGGGCGGATGATGGGGCCGTATTTGGCGTGCAGGCGGCGGATTTGGAAGGGGTATTGGCCCGGGAGGAGGACGTCGTGGTGGAATTCGTAGAGCGTGGTGAGGGCGGGGAGGTTAGGGGCCGGGGATTTTGCGGAGGGGGTGGAGGAGGAGGTTTTGCAGGATGAGGTGGAGGGTGTAGGTGATGAGGGAGGTTGCTGCTAGGAAGAGGAAGCTGGAGAGGGATATCATTTTTTTCCCCTTCGGCGGTGGTTTTCTTTTTTCGATCGCTCAGACGCGCGACCACAGCGGGAGAGCAAAAGAGAGGAGATTTGTAAATACAACCGTCTTGCTTTCTCAGTCCGTATAAAACAGTCGCTGTCACGGTTCGCTGCGTAGAGGTAAAACGGTTAAGTGCTTCCTGGGCTGAGAACCGTAAGACGTAGTAGGGTAGGGTACCGCCAAACCCTTATTGAGAAAGCTGAGAAGGAGCTGCATGCAACAAAGTCAAATCCATTCTTCGCGAGAGCGTCTCACTGTAGACCAAATTGGAGTCCAAAGATATTGACCGACTTTTGGAGAGAATTTGAGATGATAGAAGCGCCGACGATAACGTATCGTTATGCTTTTTTCACAAAAAACAAGTATTGAGACAGAAACAAATGTATACCGGGAACCCATCACACACAAGCCCGCGGGTATCGCTGTGCCGCCGTGGAAACTTCCAGTCCATACAATGATGCCGCCACGCCATGCTAAGACCTCGCACCACAGAGAACTCCTTCACTGAAAGCCATTCTGTCCGTTAGGAAGACCAAAGTTGAAGCCGAATCCAGGTACTGCCGGTGGCGTAGCAACAGCGACAGGCTCTGGCCGCGTCGGCAGGTAGCCATAGTCCGCTGGCGACGGACCTCCCGAAACACCACTATATCCTCCTCCATAGCCTTGGTCGCCTCCCTTGTTCTTCTTGTGACGCCCACCGTGCTCCCGATCCTCGCGCTGGCGCTTCTGAGAATGTCCATGACCCGGGTTGGCGATCTTTGCACTCATAGCCTTGCTGCTGACGCCAGCGCCAATCTCGATATCTGGTTCCTCCAACACCATACCGCCTTCCAGCTGCTGTCCACCGGTACCACCATACTCTGCCGTATGAAGCCACTTCAGATCTGCCTCGGTGAGCTTGTAGATCGGAATGACGCTCTCGCCTCGCTGATAGTCGCAGCACTCTCGTGGACCAAAACCTACACCCCACTTCGTCTGTCGGGCAATGCTCATGGTGTCGCGATCGTTTCTGTTCTGTAGATCCCCCATGGCAGCTTTTGCAGCCAAAGCGTGCTGCCGGGTAGTCATCTTTACAAAAGCATGGCGCTTGTCGCGGTTGGCAATGCATGTCTGCACTTCGCCGAAGCGCTCGAAAAGATCCTGAATCTCCTGCTGTGTGCCATTGGCGCCTCCAACAAACAGAGTCCGGGAGAGCACCTTGATGTTGTCTGGAGGTAGGCTGTCGTCGTAAGTGATGAGCTTCGGCTGCATTGGCCGGCCGTTCATTGCCGCGACCCCGGGATCGTTCCGGGCTGGCGATCGCTGCCGATAGCGACCACGCTGGTTGTTGCCACGGCTATCACGCGCATCTGGAGGTTGGGTGGTGCGTGTGTTGGGATCATATTGCCCGTAGACGGGACTTCCTCTGCCGCCATGGCTGGGTCTCGCCGGGCTCCTGCTGCGATCACGACCACGCCCTTGATCGCCTTGTCCGCCGTACGCATTTGGTGCAGGCTGGTACTGTTCTTCAAAGGCCTTCAATACCGGACCCCACTTCTCCGGAGGAATGCCGTCCTTCTGCAATTCCTGCAAAAGCGTAAGTGCTGGGATCAGCTTCTGCCGGTCGTTGAGAATGTTCTCTGGCAGTAAGCCACGAAGTTGTGCCAGCGGATCTGCCGCCGGAGGCTGCTGTGATTGCTGTGGAGGCGGTGCATGGGAATACACCTGTGGAACGGAAGGCGGCTGTTGTGGAGGATATCCATTGAACTGTGCTTGATACGTCGGAGTGGGCATTGGGGGCACCGAGTGAGCAGGAGGAGCGGAGAATGCGAACTGAGGCTGCGCTGGTGACCCTAGAGTCTGCTGTTGAAAGAGAGCAGCAAGCTGAGGTGGAAGACCCGCTGGTAGAGCTGACGCGGGCACAGGGGCGGGGGCAGTAGACTGAGGAAAGGATGGCGGTGGTGCAGCAGGTGCTGCTTGTGACAGAGCCAGCAGAATACTGTTCACATCGCTGGGTGGTCCATTCTGTGCGGGCTGTGCATGCGCCTGAGTTTGTTGTGGAGGTGGGAAAGTGACCGGCGGTTGGGCAGGCTGCTGGGGCTGCGGCATGCTTCCGTTGGCCTGTGGCAGAGGAGCGCGTCCTGGCAGAAAGCCTTGGTCGTACAGATATCTCGGTGGATATCCAACAGGCGTTGCATGTATCCTCGTTGGGATGGGAGCCGTAAACTTGGCACCATAGTTGATCTTACCGCTTTGCTGGGCTACAGGCGCAGATGCACCATTTCCGGTTTCGATACCTAGCTTTGCCTTGAACTCGGCCAGCATCTTTGCTGGAAAAGTGTTGCCGCGCTCCCAAATGGTGATAATGTTCTGGAGTTTGGGCTTCTGGTCCTCTGGAATTCCCTTTATGATGTCGTCAAACAATGCGGGCATCAATTCGGTGACACGCTTCACAGCGGCTGGGTATGTGCCTGGCTCGCCTCGTCCTTCTACGAGCAGATCCTGTCCAGAAGCGCGAGCCTTTTCGATCCACTGGCGTACTACGCTGTCAATCACGTATAGGGCACCCAATTTGTGGGTGGCGGGCGCTTTCTTAAGGGCACGATAGAAGGACTGTGCGATGTTCGTTTCGGTCTGCCATTCAGAAGGTCAGTAGTTGTTTCATCAACGCTTAGTGCCAGTCCTTGCAGGTGACGGCAGGGAGGCAGCCTTAAGCTTTCCGACGAGATGACACCGACATACCTGGACGTTGTTCACGCAGAGCGTGGTGATGGTGGCGATCTTGTTCTTGGACGCTCCCGGTGCTTTCAGCTGGTTCAGTGAGGAGAGCAGACCGTCAAGGTCGTTCACCGTTGGCGTTCCCATGATGGACGAAGCCTACTACGTGCGCCTGGACGAAAGGTGTTGAGGCTACGCTCTACTTCTGGCCTTTGCCTGGCCGTGCTACCAGTATACACAGGGTGCTCACTGATATTACTGAGCGACAGTCAGCAAGGTGGAGTCGCAAGAGCTACTGCGCGCCTTCGGTGTGGAGTGTGCTTTTCACAAACGTCCGGAAAGAGGTCTGAGTCTCGTCACTGCGTGCGAGCTTGCTACTCCCCGAGCACGTGTCTTGATGTCGAGGTCGTATCCGTGAGAGTGAGGCGACAGTCCTCTGCCGTTTACTTGTGGTGCTCCACGAACTCACCCACACGCTGTATCGCGGACGAGCTCTTCTGCACTCCTATTGTATTCCTCTCTTGCGTGTCTTGCGCGTCGGGTCGATGCTACAACAGCACTTCACGGCACCTGCAGTAAGATGTCTTCCGGGAGAGGTGTCGAGTCGCGATTGTGGTTGTGGGAGGTTGTGCGGTAGAAGCGACCTTTTACAGTGTGGAAGGGGCGCGAAGGTGGTTTATAGTTCTGGTGAATGCGCAGATGAGGGTGGATGGGAAGTCAGAGACGATTCACTCGTGCCTGCAAAATTCTCTCGTGCTGGTCGCGAAAACTGGATGAAGTCGCCACACGTGCAAGTCACGGGCGCGGCAAGGGTGAGCCGTGGCGGTATCCGGAAAGCGCACTGTGAGCAGTAATAATTAGAAGTGTTCCTGGTCCGATACCTTATGGGTGTGCAGCGGCTGGTGGCGGTCGGAAAGGGCTGCAGTCAGTGCAGTGCAGGTGGGTGATGGGGGAAGGGGAAGGCTCTGTTGCGGTGCGGACTTTTCAAGGAAACACACTGCTGGCGAAATGAGGAGCCGAAGACGAAGGAAAGGGCGGAGCGGAGCGGGTAGAACCGTCCCGCAGACCTCGATGATCGGCATGTGCTGAACTCAATCTGCGCTGTGCAGCGTCCCAACACCACCACCGAGGCCCGCCGGAAAAAAATAACATCTGATGCTGTACGAGTTCCAAGATGAACGAGAACAAGCTGCATGCAGTAGACCACATAGCCCATCTGTATCTGGAGTATTTCAAGCTCTCCCTGACCTCAGGCACACCCGTCTTCGTTGTTCCAAATCCGTCGTGCTGTAGAATAGAAGCTCCGAAACCCGACGCCCACCCCTGCCCGCAACGGCAACGGCAACGGCAACGGCGTAGGAGCTCCAACAAAAGTTCCTCCCATCACCTCATCAGCCAGCACACAGCTATCTCTCCCCGAGCAACTCCCGCAGCTTTTCTCCTCCGAGTCCGACGTTCATCGACCGGACTCTTTCTTTTATCACCTTCTCAACGCCCTCTACTCGTACCCGATTCGCTTCGTGATGGCCCTCAACAGCGTCTCCCGTCTTGCGATCCGCCGCACAATGGCTGCTCAGCCGGCCGTCTCTGCCTCTCTCAAGCGATCTGCCCTCAACGCCGCCAGGACCTACGCAACTCCCAGCAAGAGTGCGGTATGCTTAGCCACAGCGTCTTTGTGTAGCCGTGATGCTCTCTGGATGAAACCAAGCTAATCAATCTCTTATCTAGTCCCTCAAGGAGACCTTCGCCGCCAGCCTTCCGGAGAAGATTGAGCAGATCAAGAAGCTGCGGAAAGAGTACGGCAACAAGGTCATCGGCGAGGTCACTCTCGACCAGGTCTACGGTGGTGCGCGTGGCATCAAGTCTCTCGTCTGGGAGGGTTCCGTTCTCGACTCTGAGGAGGGTATCCGTTTCCGCGGCAAGACTATCCCAGAATGCCAGGAGCTTCTCCCCAAGGCTCCAGGCGGCCAAGAGCCATTGCCAGAAGGTCTCTTCTGGCTCCTCTTGACCGGTGAAGTCCCAACGGAGCAGCAGGTTCGCGACCTCTCTGCTGAGTGGGCTGCCCGCTCCGATGTCCCATCCTTCGTCACCGAGCTCATCGACCGCTGCCCATCCGACCTCCACCCAATGGCTCAGTTCTCGCTCGCCGTCACTGCTCTCGAGCACGAGTCCGCCTTCGCCAAGGCCTACGCTAAGGGCATGAAGAAGACTGAGTACTGGGAGCACACTTTCGAGGACAGCATGGACCTCATCGCCAAGCTCCCCACCATCGCTGCCCGCATCTACCGCAATGTCTACAAGGATGGCAAGGTTGCACCAATCCAGAAGGACAAGGACTACGGCTACAACTTGGCCAACCAGCTCGGCTTTGCCGAGAACACCGACTTCGTCGAGCTGATGCGCCTCTACCTCACCATCCACTCCGACCACGAGGGTGGTAACGTCTCTGCTCACACCACCCACCTGGTCGGCTCCGCCCTGAGCTCGCCATTCCTCTCGCTTGCTGCCGGTCTGAACGGTCTCGCCGGTCCTCTCCACGGTCTTGCCAACCAGGAGGTGCTCAACTGGCTCCAGGAGATGAAGAAGAGCGTCGGCTCTGACCTCTCTGACGAGAACATCTCCAAGTACCTTTGGGACACCCTCAAGGGCGGCCGTGTCGTTCCTGGCTACGGTCACGCTGTGCTCCGCAAGACTGACCCACGCTACGTCTCCCAGCGCGAATTCGCCCTCAAGCATCTCCCAGACGACCCAATGTTCAAGCTTGTCTCGCAAGTCTACAAGATCGCCCCGGGCGTCCTCACCGAGCACGGCAAGACCAAGAACCCATACCCGAACGTCGACGCGCACTCCGGTGTACTCCTGCAGTACTACGGTCTCACTGAGCAGAACTTCTACACCGTGCTCTTCGGTGTCAGCAGAGCTCTTGGTGTTCTTCCCCAGCTCATCATCGACCGTGCTGTTGGTGCACCAATCGAGCGACCAAAGTCGTTCAGCACCGATGCCTGGGCCAAGCTGGTCGGCGCCAAGTTGTGAACCGCTCACACACTTCCACGGATGCCTAGCAACAGGCGCATTCTCCGAGCGCTCCAGGTTCTAGGCGGCGACGGAGGTGGCCGGGAAGTCAGGTGGTGATGAAAGAGGAAGAAGCACTGAATGATAGTTTCATTGAAAAGCGCTTCGGACGTGTATTACAAGCTTTGCATGCGACAGAATGGAGCAAATGTTGGGCATGGAGTCAGAACAGGCTATGAGAAGTGTTCCCACGGTTGTCCTAGCAAGTGTCATAGCTAGCAGTAGAGTATTTCGTTTTGTACAGTAAACGAATAGACCACGAGCTCTTCTCGTTGCCATATCAGCATTTCACATTAGACCATTTGTTGCTAGACAGCACAGCGGAGAGAGAAGCTGAGGAGCGAGCCTTGGCATGGAATCCTAGTCCGGGCTTTGAGCTGCTCGTTATCGGGTTGCCCTTCAGCCATCCCCTTGGATTTTGGATGTGGTTGTCCGAGGATAAATATTACCTATCGGCTAGGTCACATCTGCGCAGCCATTGTCCGAGGGTAAATACCCATCGGCTAGCAGGTCACATCCGCGCAAGCCGCTTGTCGGCCTTTGCGACGAGCCGCACCAATAGAATGGAGCACTCTGCTTCGAGTTCTGTTCGAATTGCCCGCGGAAACCTGCAAAGGAATGCACGATCAGACGTGACGGTGAAGCGATATGCGATGTAAGATATGTAGGAGATGGGTAAGGACTTCAATGGCATCATCGTCGGCGATGGTCGGGGAATGCATGTCAGGCACCAAAGGCGTTCGCCGGCGGTTGGTTGAGGAAGCTCATGCGGCTCGGGTCATCTCAAAGAAAGTAAAAATAAATGGGAAATGTATCGGAGTCCGTCGTGAACCACAAATCCCATCCCCCTTTGCGGAAGACTTCCACCTTTCAGACACGACACGATTGTTAACCTTTCCAGCTATTCAGCCTTTGTGTGTTTGTTGGTCGTGTTGTCGTAGCTGAGCTTGGCTTGTCATCCATCGGCGCAGCTCTCACTCGGCACCTTCAGCCCCAGGGTCTCTATCTACACGTCGAGCTCAACCGCCGATCCTCCTACTACTCGACAACGACAAGCTGCTCTCCTGACAGCAGCAGCAGCACTCCGCCCTCACCCTCACGCACGACACCGCATTTCTAGGCGAAGAAGCCGCACGCTTGCCTTGGTCAGGCCTGCTCCTCCGCACCTTCTCGCATCAGCATGTCCACCGCTCCGCTCGAGAAGAAGCCGGTCAAGTTCAGCAATCTGTTGCTGGGCGCCGGTCTGAACATGTTCGAGGTCACGACCTTGGGCCAGCCGCTCGAGGTCATGAAGACCACCATGGCTGCCAACCGAACGGATGGCATGGCTGGCGCTGTTGCCCGTATCTGGAGCCGTGGTGGAGTCATGGGATGTGAGTAGAATCCCAACATCTCGCGTCCGCGATTCTGTACAGACATACAGGTGTTAATGGAGCTTGCGCGCGCAGTCTACCAGGGTCTCATCCCATGGGCCTGGATCGAAGCCTCCACCAAGGGAGCTGTCCTCCTCTTCGTTGCTTCCGAGGCCGAGTACTACGCCAAGAGCTTCGGCGCGAACAATTTCGTCTCTGGTATCGTGGGAGGTATGACTGGTGGTCTTGCCCAGGCATACGCGACCATGGGTTTCTGCACGTGCATGAAGACGGTGGAGATGACCAAGCACAAGGCACTGGAGGCCGGCAAGAAGCCCCCGGGCACCATGGAGACCTTTATGAACATCTACCGTGCTGAAGGTATTGCCGGAATCAACAAGGGTGTCAACGCTGTTGCTGTCCGTCAGGTCACCAACTGGGGCTCCAGATTCGGCCTCAGCAGAGTTGCGTATGTGAACCCTTATCTCAGTCCACATATTGCTTTTTGCTAACATTTGTACAGTGAGAACGGAATCCGCAACTTCACCGGCAAGACCGACACTTCCCAGAAGCTTACGGCTCCCGAGCGAATCCTCGCCTCCGCACTGGGAGGTGGTCTCTCCGCATGGAATCAGCCCATCGAAGTCGTCCGTGTCGAGATGCAGTCGAAGAAGGAGGACCCGAACCGCCCCAAGAAGATGACAGTCAGCAACACATTCGCCTACATTTACAAGACCAGCGGTTTCAAAGGTCTCTACCGTGGTGTTGCACCACGTATCGGTCTTGGTGTCTGGCAGACAGTATGCATGGTGGCTCTTGGTGACATCGCCAAGGAGGCCGTCGAGAAGCTCACCGGTGAGGCGGTCACCGCGAAGCATTAAAGAGCGCGGAGTCTAGGAGTTTGAAACACAAGAGAGCTCTAACACGGCCTAATGAGAGCTATGGCGTAGATGCGGACTTTGAGCGAGGCCTGCGATGGTGATGTTTTTGGCTATGGAATCTCTGATTGTAGTTGCATTGCTTGGGTGCGTATGCACCACATGGCACGAACAGCGTGATCTGACTGATAGACATGGAACGGACGGCGTCAAGATATGGAACTGAACAGGTAGAAGAAATACATCTGCTTCCTAAAGTCCCTCTTTTCGACCAATCATGGTTTCCATGCAAACCTCAGTCTCTTCGACATCCGCCAATGTATAGCTTGATGAGCAAGCATGAAGTCAGTCTAGCGACCTCATCCACCGCAATGCCAACGACCGATAAGTCCTCCTCCAAAGCACAATCAAGACCGAGCGCTGATCTGAAGCTCTAGAGAACCTTTTAGAAAGAGCATGTGAGCCGTGAAGTTGTTTTCGTGGACACCTCCCGGCAGTGTCATCGAGCAAACGGACATGATGCCGTTCCTCTACCTACCCATCCTTCACACCAACCTATCGTCACAAACAAAACCCAACCATCGAACCAACCCAACCCAACCCAACCCTCCCTCGACTGTTCCAACCAAATCATCCCACTAACAGGCGGAGGCCGCGCAGTAGGAAAAGAAATCGCCATCGCTTTCGCTTTCGCCCAAGTCCACGCCAAAAGTATCGCCCTCCGAAATCCACCCTGGAAGAAACATCCCAAGAAATCAGAAAAATATCCCCAGCCACAAACGTCTTGCTCAAAACCGCAGATATATAACCCCCCAAAAGCCGAGATTCCCACCGTTCTTGCTCATAACAACAACAACAACAACAACAACAACAACAACACTACTCGTCTCACAGTTCCTGAAATCCTCGCGAACAATGCCAACGCCGGTGGAATCGGAACCACAGGACTCCTCATCGATACCGAAGCCATCTTACAAGCTTAGAATCTCGAAAACCCTTTGGTCTTCTCATCGTAGCGCACACTTTGTGTTTTGAAGGCGAAGAGAAGCCTTACCCTTTTCGCAAGGACGACTATCAACATCTCCAGCGGCGCGGCACAAGCACGGCACACCTCCGATCCCCTACGGTCCCCTTCCGTAGCAGCAGCAGCAGCCTACGTGACTTTCCAAACTCGTCTCGAGTGAGATAATAGGATACCTCGACTACATAATGAACACGCTTCATGGCATACCTTCAACCTGCAAGCCCGAGGGTACGTGGGGATAGATCTCGCTCGAGAGGTAGGGAGGACAGGGCAGGGGAGGGTAAGTCCGCGATGATCGGGTGGAATGGCAGTATAGTTAGCCGCCGATGATGCGCGAGCAAAGAATTTCAAAGGGGAATTTTTTTGTGGGCGAATTGGGATGTGGAGGGATTGTTGGAGGAGAAAAGAGGGGATTCTTGAGCGAGGAGTGGTTGCTGGTGAGTTTGACGGGAGGTTGGGGTGGGGTGGGAGGATGGAAGATGTGGTTACTGCGGAGGAAGGGAGGGGAGGGCGGGGGGAGTGTGTATCCGGATGCTGGAATGAAAGATTGAGAAAGATGGGAGTGATGATCGAAGTCCGTCTTTTCTGCGTTGATCAGGATGGTAGATAGTGACATGTACCTGGTCCCGCGCCGTTTGCGAAGTCACGTTGCTTTTGTATTGGCTCTTCTGGGAGATATACGATGGCACATTCTCATCGAATCTATACTCACACCTTGAGCTTGATTCGGTGTGGTCGGAGTATCTTGAACATTCCAAGATGCGAGTCGCTTCGTGCATTACCTGCGGTCGTCCTCGGCGTACTTGTGGTTCCAGAACCCTCGAAGATGTTTCTTGGCGCCCAGCTCGTTGATCTATCCGACCTGTCAGTGAGTTGCTTGCTGTCAAGGAACACCGGTATAACTCACCTGTGCAATCTCTTTTGGTGTTAATTTGAAAGTCATTGCCCGTAAGTAATCGCTCAACCGCTGCTCCTTGCTCGAAGTTGTAATGGCAACGATGTCCTGGTCAATGCACCATCTCAAGCAGATCTCGCCAGGATTGACAGCATACTTCTTCGCCAAGCTGTTCAAGTAATCGTCAACAGGGCCACCGGCAGCCTTGGTAACGGCAGTGAGCGGTCCGTATGCTGAAGTGGCGATTCCCTGTAAGGACGAATTAGTCCAAGTCTCCTTTGTAGTTATAAGGAAGGAGACTCACCTTCTCCTTGTGATATTTCAACAACTCTGGGTGCTGCAAGTAAGGATGGAATTCAATCTGATTAATCGCAGGCGGAACCTTGCAATTCTCCAGAATCATCTCCAGATGCTCCGGGAGATAATTGCTCACGCCGATGCTCTTCGCCAACCCCATTTCTTTGACCTCTTCCATCTGCTTCCACTTGGCTTGTTGCTCTTCTTTACTCTCGCTAAAGAACGGAGCATGGATGAGGTAGAGATCCACGTAGTCGGTTTGGAGCTTCTTGAGGCTGGTCTTGAGAGCAGATGGGATATCGGCGATGTTGGTGATGACCTTGGTTACCAAGAAAAGTTTGTCCCGGGAGACACCGGACTCCTTGATTGCCGTTCCGAGTTCTGTCTCGGTCTTGTAGACTTCGGCGCCGTCGAGGTGGTAGTAGCCTAGTTTGATGGCGGTCTTGGTGGAATCGATGCAGGTTTGATCGAGCTTGGATTCGTCGCCGCTCTTGTACCAGGCAGTGCCCGTACCGTATGCAAGCTTCGTGTGACTGTCAGCTTGACGAACTCGGTGCGACGGTGGAGGAGTCATACCATTGGGATGCTATTGCCATCGTTGAGCTTGAGGTTTGGGATCGGGGTATGGATTTCGGCCATATTGACGAGTGGAACACGTTTCGAAGGGAGGAAAGACGTTGCTCTTTTGGTAAATGCGTACACAGTCACTCTGGATGGTGAGAAGTACTTCAAGAGCATCAAGATGTTATATTGATCGGGCAAAGCATAGTACAGCAAGACTGGGAGAGTGAAGTGAGATACGCCGGCCCGCTGCTTCCGATCCCGGACGAGCTTGCCCTATCGACGGCGGGGTTGCATAAAAGGTATCCACTGCACCAAAACAAGTGCAGAAACATTGACTGACTTCCAAGTTCTTAGGTTGTCACGCTACAGCGAGGAGTCCGGAGCGCTTGCGAACCTATGCGAAGCCTTTTTGGAGTGTCTTGAGTGTGCGAGGGTCAAGAGCGAAGTGCGATGACGTCGGCCAAGGCTCACCTAGCCCGGCGACAAGTTGAACGGTCGAGGAGATGAGGTCTCCCGCTCCCGTCGCTCGCCATTCGTGATGTTGATGTCCAAGTGAGCCGTGTGAGCCTCAGGCTGATATGAGTCTTGATGTACAATGCACGTGACATTGTTGATCAGCAAGACCAGCTCTTCACAGCACACAGCGCTCTTAGGGACAAGCAGAGCTGGAGTTAACCTTTCCTCGCTCATCCGCTCGTCGAGCGGGCCGCTCCAGCAACGCCTTTCAATTGGGTATCGCGAAACAAGGTTGGGCTCGGAGGGAGGAGCTCGGGCCAGATCGCCCTTTCGAACTTTCCCTGATTGCAATTGCAGCTCCTCATCTTTCCCGCCCACGCCGCATCCTTTCGACGACCTGCGAGTCCGACACATATGACAGCGTGTCCGGAGCCATATCACCATCGCTGCGTTTCGCCTGTCTGGCACCACGAGCCGCTCGTATTTTGGAATCACGCTGGTTCCTAGTGCGCGACATCCGGACACGAGGCGAGTGGCCAAGGACGAGCGAGACGTCACGAGACGAGACGAGACGAGACGAGACGAGACGAGACGAGACGCGACCAGGAGATCATCTGATTTTGCATCGTTGCTAGCAAAATCCCGGATACGCCGGCTCGCATTTGCCTCTGGATAAAAGCATCTTCAGCTGTTGGAGAGCCATACACACGACTTGGATTTTGAACCTGGATCACTCGCGTCTCGTTTTTCCTGGTGCCTGCTGAGATTTCCTCTCGGGTGTGCATGGGGTCTGAGCTCAGCCAACGCACACAGGTACGCGTGCTCGTTTGGGCCATCCTGTGTCAGCTCTGATCTCGACCCAACGAGGGAGTGGCTTGCACTGCGCGCGCCTAACTAACACGGATTTGCCGCAAGGACATGGACTACTTCAATCGTCGCCGTGCGAGCACGGTAAACCATGTGGACCACCAAAATGGCCAGCCTCAGCAGACTGGCGCTCGCTATCTCCCGGGCGCGCCTTCATTCGAGAGCCTTAGAGCTCCTTCAAACATCCGTATTCGCAGACTGCCATCAAGCACGGCGATAGCGCAGTCACGTTCCAATACAGGAGAGCAACCCGGCCGCGCGGAAGAAGACTGGACCGCCAACAGACGACGGAGCTCCTCAGCACCACAGCGCCCCAACGTGGATGCTCTGATGGGATCCGACCTTTCAAAGCAAAGGACGCTCGACGGAGCTTCACACATGCCTGCGATCACAGAAGGAGAGCAGACAACGCCAGGCACAATGCATCCAGGCTTCGCTGATGGCAGTGGTAACACTGGCCCTACTACTCCGGGTGTTAATGCCCAAGACATGGCCAGACAGAGCCCTGAGCGAGCTGACAATGGCGCACACGCAATGCACAGCGCTCAGAGGAGAGGCTTTGGACTGGGACGCCTCAGGAGCAGCACTGGGTCTACTTTCAGAAATGATACCAGGCCGAGTTCTCGTGCGCAGGATTATGAATACGACTCCGATGTGATTGACCTATTGGACCTCGTGGATCCGGAGGTGCGAACAATAGGTACTCTAACCAATCTGCAGAATTCACTGTTCGTTCCGGATCTTGGTGGGCTCGTGAACCGGCGGCCGACCTACAATCTGACACGTGATCCAACAAGAACATGGAATCAAGGTGATCTACAGCGGATAGCACGTTCTAGGGCTGGCACACGGACTACCCGTCCAGATACAGCTGCAACAAAACCCCGTAGTGGGGAACCAAGCCCACCACTCGACGAAGACGAAATCGAGATGCAGCCGCCTCGCAGAACAATATCGATATCTTCGGAATTGAGCGATTCGCACTATGCCGTCCTGCCCCATGGAGTCAGTCTGGAAGGCTGGAGTGATGAGGATGTCCTCGAGCTTAATGACCACGTCCGGCATCTCCTCCACTCCAAGCGCGAAGGCTTCAAGCGCTCCATGAGAGGCTTCAAGCAATATGTCAGCAAGCCTTTGGGTCTTTTCGTGACGGTCTACGCAGTCCTTGTTACACTATTCGGTGCGGCTTGGGTATTTGCACTAATCGGGTGGATCTACGTCGGCTCCAAGCAGGAGTATATCATCAACGTCATTGACCTGGTTCTGGTGGCCCTATTTGCCCTGATGGGAGACGGGTTGGCCCCATTCCGTGCAGTCGATACATACCATATGTGCTTCATCGCACATTATCATCACCTCACCTGGAGACTGCGGAAAGAGAAGCAGCTGCCGCAGCTTGTCGACCAAAATGACTTGCCGGATCGAAGAAGGAGCGCGACAGATGCGGAGCTTGATGATGCCATTGATAAGGAAGAAATGGCAGAATTCTCCGTCTTGACGCTCAGGCAACAGAAGAGATTACAGTATCACCAGGCCAAGTTCAACAAGAGCCACACCTTCTACAAACCGCACGAAACGGCGACACATCATGCTTTTCCCATTCGCCTCCTGGTGGCAGTGGTCGTGCTGCTCGATTGTCACAGCCTTTTGCAGGTTGCGCTCGGAACGTGTACATGGTCCATCGACTATCGGGTCCGACCTGAGGCACTAACGGCAACGATCCTTTCCTGCTCCATTACCTGCAACATCATGGCAGGTGTCTTAATTAGCATCGGCGACCACAAAACACGCAAGAAGGATATTTTGGAGCGAATTTTCCGGCAAGGATTGACGGAACAGGCTCTCAAGCGCATGGCGAAAACCCAGGAAAGAGGCAAGCTCTCCCTCGCCGTTGACAGGACCCAGGTTGAAAGCGCAGACTTGCTCGAGGCCGCGCAGAACGCTGGACTCGCGAGCAATGGGGAGAAGTCCAGGCCCCAAACGGCGGCTAAGTCGGAAGCACGTTCTTCGCCTTCTGATAGTTGATGTTCGAGACTGTTTATTCTTTTTTCTCTCCCTTGTGTATCTAGACCCTTGTGTATCTAGACAGGGTGACAATACAGTGAGACATGATTGTAATTAATTGCACGGCGAGAACGTACGCATAACCAGCATTTTAGATATCTTATCGCTAGGAGAGCTTTCCACACCAGAAGTCTAATTTGCTTCTTAAGCTCCTGTCAACACGAGCCCTGCAGCAAAAGGAAGGGTCTCAGTAGGTAGGTTTCACATGCGAAACTTGGACACCCAAGGGTCCTGGGCAGCTCCTACTTCTCGCTATAAGGGCGGGTATTCTCTCTAGCCATCTCCCACACTATAGTACCAACTTCACGAACACTGTACTCGATTAATACGCCATGGATCTTTGCTGCGATTGCTTCTCCGGCGAGGCATGATGCCTCTTCTATTATGTCAATATTCGAAGCAGATCCGGGAGGGGCCTATCGCAGAAAGGGCCCTCCAAAGGAGGGGGTGGGATCTCGTATAAAGACCTAGATATAGCGGAAAATCGGTAGGAGACAGCATTAATTGACGGACATTGATTATATAGTCTCCAACCCGAAGCCTCGTCGATGACTTGGAGACGGAGATTGGTCGCGATGTGAAAGGGAGAAGCTGATATCGTGACAACCACTTACCCTTCACTACTATACGGCGATCTATCATACTACGACTACTACTACTACTACTACTACTACTACACTGTACAGAGACAAGACCCATATGTTCAAACGTCCATTCAAGGGTATCTTTCGCCAAACTTTTCACAGGAGTTGTTTTTTAATGTCCAACCTAGTGCACGTGTACCCAAAAAATTTTCCCCAATCGTGTACAAGATATCAAACTCCAAGGGGCCGCCGATTATTTCTTTTTCTTGCCTTTAGCAACGCCCGTGTCGACTCCTCCGAGGATGGAATCAAACGTCTTGCTCGTGTCGACAGAGTGCTTCGGAGTACGAGGTCTCTCCGCGGAGCTCGGCATGCTTCCGTCTGGAGTGACGCCTTGGGGTAATGGGAGAGCTTCGAGACCGATTGCGAGGGAAGAATAGCGTTTGCTGCGACGGCTGTGGTCGCTGCTCCTGCTATCCGGGCGAAGTAGGTCCTTTCCAGAAGGCGGTGCAGGGAGAGGATCGTCCATACCGGCGCCTCCGCCGCTCTGTTGAAGTTGCAGCGCTTCGCTGAGAATGGGATTGCTGGCGGCCCACTTCTCTGCCATGACCCAGCAGTGGCTACGACGGTAAATGCCTTCGACACCGTGCTCGATCACGTCGGACGGGAGGCTGACGACTCCACCGCCGGCCCCGCCAACAGAAAACCAGGTCCTTCGGACAGCACTGGCTGAAGCATTCGAATCGGCCCATGGAACGCCGGAGCGAGGAGGTTCGCAGAGGAAGTACTCGACAGCCTTGGTCCACTTCAAACCAGGCGCATCGCAGGCAAGCATTGGCAGTGCTTGTAGGACAACGTACATGAAGATCCACTGTCCGATGCGAAGATCTTCCATTTCCTTGATAGAACATCCTCGTGCCGCACGCTTTTCCATCTCACGGAAAGCGTCGACGAAAGGTGTAGCCGGAGCGTCGCCATTCCAGCTGACACGGAGAAGCTGAAGAACTTCGTCGTCCTTGAGTTTCTTGCTGGTAGCCTTTGCGTCCTTCTTTACGTCGCCCTTGCCAAAGTCATTCCGAATGGTGTGGAGCGATGGGATTTTCGGCAGATCGAATGGCACAGGAGGCTTTACTGGAGGCGACGAGCGGTCATACTCTGACAAGATCGCTCTCAATCCTCGGACCACAGGCTCGTCTCTGCCGCCGTCCTCGTTGATTCCATCGATAGTCCGTGTGGTAAGATGATTCCTGTCAACGATGAGATCGTAAAGCGATGACAGATCGTGATAAACGTCTCTCAAAACCAGTCGATTGAGGCCCGATGTTTCGAGGGTGTTCTTCTTGCTGCTAGCCTTGGGTGGCCAATCACCATAACGCTGCTTGTACATGCCCATGACGAACTTGCGCATGCCGAGGAAGTGCTCTTTCCATTGATCGAATCGCACACCCTCTTTGCGCTCTATCGACGTCTTCGAGCTCATAATGCCTGAGAACAGGAATGGGAAGTCGAACTCGGTCATGGTCAGTCGGATAGAGCTGACACGTTTTTCCAGATCCATAGCGGCGCGTGTGAGCCGGTTTTGAGTGACGGGTGAAATCATGCTGAACTTTGGGCTCTTGAGCGCCAGCAAATCCTCGTGCTTTCCGACGCCGTGGGTAAAAGCTTCATTGTATAGCAGAACGCTTTTCATTCGCTCACCCAATACGATTCCTTCGATGGTCTTCTCACGGCTTGAGCGCACATCTGCCAGGCCAAGCTCCTCAACGTAGTTGTCGAAGCTCGAAGCCGCGACCTCGCCATACGTAGACCCATCTACGTTTGTGAATTGGAAGGACTTAAGTATCCCAGCAATGGTCATGAAAATGCCGAAGAAGGAGCTCCTTCGTTCTGTCGCGATCAATGACTGGCCGGAAAGAAAGGCGAAGAAGTTGCGGTAGTCTACAAGAGTTTGGAGATCTTCCGAAGCCGCGTTGTCGTTCTTCTTTGGCGACGTAGGCGTAGTGGGAGTCTGCGCACTCTCGGAGCTCAATTTGATAGGTAGGTAAAGGGTTGTCTCTTGGACATCTGAAAAGTTTGAATATCTACCACGCGAATCCCGTGAGGAAGTGGAGCTGGTTGTGCCCATGTTTCGTTTAGGGCTCGTTGGCGGAGTGGCTGGCTCGTTCACGGAGAGCTGCTGTGTGCGAGTCTCCAGTGGCATCTGTTTACGGTCGCCAGTAACGACAGCATTGTTGCTGTAAATGTCGCCAAAAGCAAGCTTGGTCAGGACCGGCGACGAGGCAAAGACAGCAGAGTCAACCTTGAACGAAGGACCTTTGCCAGAGTTTCGAGGGAACAGGTGTACCAAACAATTTCCATCGTTATTGTCCCACATTTCTTGCATGGAACGGCCGTTCATCAGCCCGTCGAAATCATACGGAAGTTTCTGGGGATGCCCCGCGATCCAGGCAGCTGGGCCTCGAGTTGCTTCATCCTTCTCTTTCCCACGGGTCCACCAGTGCTTCTTCCTGAGCTTGTCGGCATGGTCGCCTCCAGGAGAGCCCGGGATAATGGGCGACTGATCTGGCAGCTGTATACTCGGCGTCATGGGCCTACTTCTTGGAGTCCCAGGCATGGATCGATCTCGGGAGCTCGCTCGCGAGTGATATCCCGAGTTAATACTCGGCGGTGGGAGCAATGCCAGGTCGGGAGTGGAACTGTTGATCGTGACATCTTGCTGCAGGTCTTGGAGACTCGGCAGGCTGGTCTCGTGGGATGGAGCGAGGAACTGGGCCGAAGGTCTTCGCGCGTTGCTGCCAGCAGGCGCATGTTTGAAGAGCTTTCCCGGCGATCTGGATTGGGCAGTGTCGGGCGAAGGCTGTCTCGAACTGGCAGCACTCTTCTTGTCTTCTAGTGGAACGCCGGTGAAGATGGCTGACAGGCGGCGCGACATGTTGGCGGCAGGGCGAGGGGAGGGATAGAGGATGCCTGCAGTCCTCGAGTCTAGAGAGTCATGTGGAAGGGTAGGAAGCGAGTGTTGATAGTGATGAGTATGCAGATGACGGGTAATTGTAGACGGCAAGGTAGGTATGTAGCGAGGCGGCGTGAAGGATGTAGTGTACTGTAGGAAGAAGCATGCATGCAAAGGAGGCTGCAAAACCGGCCATGTGCTGCTGCTCTAGCGCCGTGGCTGCTTCGTCATGGTGTGATGGCATTCGGCGCAGTGACACGCCGGGATTGTGACGATTGTCGAGCGAGCATCACAGGGGTCCAGGGTCCCGGGTCCCGCGGTGCTCATCTCATGCTGTGCATGGACGGTGCATGGACGGTGATGGCGAGGCGATGCTGCTGCGATCTCCCGCGGCGTGAGTGATGTGATGTGATGGGCAGAAAAGCAAACAACACGTCGAGCCTTGCCTTGCCCCTCTTTGGCCCTGATTTTGATTTTGATTTTGATCCTGAGGAGGCGGGCAAGGGGATGTTGGTGGGCAATGCGCTGTCACGGCCTGTTTCATTGGGCCCTTGCCCCCCGCTCCGCTCCGCGACGAAGCGAAGCGAAGCGAAGGAAGAGGCGTAGAAAACATTCAGGCCTTGGCATGCCTCAAAATAGCCGCGTTACTGACCGACCCTACTGTACCACGGTGCTAAGGTACTGCGCCTGAGGCTGAGGTGCCATCTCTATCAAATGTCCCTCTCGAATCTCCTAGGGTTTGTACGGCACGCCCTCTGGCCGGCTGGTACGGAACGAATGTCCGCACCCATCGAGTTCGGGTCTGACAGGGCTACGGCTCCCATCAACCTTCTGAGAGGCTGGCCCAATCCGTCTCTTCTGCCAGTGGATTTGCTCAAAGAGGCTGCCGACGCTGTCCTCTCAGACACATCCATCGCTCATCCGGGACTCCTCTACGGGCCTGATGAAGGCTACGCTCCGTTTCGAGAAGCCGTAGCGGCATGGCTGAACGCCTTCTATAAGCCCGAGCGACCCATTGAATCTTCCCGAATTTGCATCAACGGCGGCGCTTCGCAGTCCCTGGGCTCACTGCTTAACGTCTACACCGATCCAGAATACACCCGCAACGTCTGGTTCGTTGCTCCCGCATATATGCTAGCCTTCAGGGTGTTTGAAGACGCAGGCTTTGCTGGAAAGATGAGAGCAGTGCCAGAAGACGAGGAAGGAATCGACATCGCATACCTCGCAAGAGAGTTGGCAAAGAGCGAGGAAAAGGCCAAGAGTCGAGGCAATACCCAACCGCTGTACAAGCCGGACAGGCAGCGCGCGAAGGTCTATAAGCACGTCGTGTACTGTGTTCCCACATTTAGCAATCCGTCATCGCGCACAATGAGTCTGCAGAGAAGACGTGAGCTCGTACGACTGGCGCGAGACTTCGACGCTCTGGTCACATGCGACGATGTATACGACTTCTTACAGTGGCCTACGGCTACTGACCAGGTAGGCGGATCTGGAATAAAGATCAGACCCATGAAGACGGCTCATCTGCCTCGTCTAGTAGACGTTGACCGGAGTCTCGACGGAGGTGCGGGGAGACAAGGCGCCGATGGTTTCGGCAATGTATGCTCGAACGGGACGTTTTCCAAGCTCGCTGGCCCCGGCCTCCGTTGTGGATGGGTTGAGGGAACTGAGAAGTTCTCGTATGGCGCATCACAAGCGTAAGTGACCGCTCTTCTCTTTCTTCGAATCCCAAACACATGGGCTCTGGAACCTCGGTACCCTGCAGATGCCCTACATCCAGGTGATCGATTCCTGTGCTCCTGTCCAACGCTTCAAATTTGTCTGTGTTTCGTACGACTATTCCTTACACATAGCGCTGATGCAATGTGACAGCGGGACCCAGCGCAGCGGTGGAGCACCATGCCAGCTAACATCGACCTACATCACCAAAGTAGTAGCGTCGGGGGAGCTTCAAAGGCATATTGAGACCGTCTTGCAACCAGCCTACGCGTCCAGGTACAAGACCATGGCGAAAGCGATCGAAGATCATCTCCTCCCACTGGGCTTCAGCATGCCTCAACCCAACAGAGACGTCATCGGGGGCTACTTCATCTGGCTTGGTTTACCTGCGGATTTGAAAGGCCATGAGCTCGTGCAGAAGTGTCAGGATGGAGAGAATCTGATCGTTTCTCCTGGAAGTGCTTTTGAAGTGCCTGGAGATGAGAGTATATCTTTTGCAAGCAATGTTAGATTGTGCTTTGCGTGGGAAGACGAGTGGAAACTGAGGGAGGGTGTGAAGAGGATTGGGAAGGTTGCGAAGAGGTTACTGGAACGAGGTGACGATGGTAGTGAGGACTATGTCGTTGTTGAGAACGGCGATGAAGACAGGCTGCAAGCGTCCAAATGATCGACCAGTTACCTGAGCATGTTTACGACCAATGCGAGCCTCAGGCACCCACCGTTAGTCCAATCTTATCACGTGGTGCGACCTTCTGGGGTCTATCGTGACTTCCTCCTTCACTTCTGAGCTTTTCATCAACCTCTGCACATCGCTCCACATTGCCAATTACCAACACGCTACAGCGCAACTGTGAGCAACACGGCCATGTCAGGCGCACGGTGTACTCACGATGAAGCGATGGCCGTCCATCGCTTACCGCCAGCCGGCCAGAGCTGGCGCTTAGCCATCGCGATAGGTTTGTATCTCCCAGCGCCTGCCTCATGAAACGTGCAAATTATTGCTCCATCTTCAATCAAGCGCTTTGGCAGGTGGCACAGCATCCGTATATCGACGCAATGGAGCCCACACTCAGGCCATTCGAAGGCTACCCTGAAACTTACACGCGGCCCAGCTGGTCTGGAGGCCGTTGAGACCGGACACTGGAGACTGGAACTATTGCGCGATCCCGAGGGACCACGAACATGCCCACATCGTCATGCTCTACTGCGGTAGGGCACGAAAAGAAACTTCCGGCCCTTCCGGGGCAGCAACAAGAGGCACCTTTCAGACGGGTTCAACACGCCATTCGACGCATCAACATCGGCGCGTGAGTTTTGGAGCTGCTAAGCTTGATGACAAGCCTATCCTGTGTGACACCAATCAGTGTGGTACTCGCTCGATACGATAACAAGCCGCTTCCAAGATGTATTCAACGAACGCTGGTCTTGATTCATGCAAACTGCACCTGGCCCGTACAATCTTCTCCTGGCGATTGCAGTGCTTGCAACAATTTGACGTCCCTTTTGTACGTCAGAGACTTCGACAAGGCGCACGGCACTGCGCCGGAGCGAGTTCTTCCGAATGAAGCTTCCATTATCACAAGCACTGATGATGTTGCTTCCGGTGTCTGGTATGCAATGTCACACGCTTTTGACCGCATCGTTTACCCAGGAATGGCTAATCTGAGCCTGGCTGATCTCACCCATATGTACATACAACCCGACACTGAGTTTACCGCATCAGCTCAGCGCACTCAGGCTTTGGAATGCATGTTGTATTTCTGCGTCAAGACCTACAGCACGAAAATTCGGAATGTAAATCTGGAGGAGACTATCCAGTCCACCTGCCCGTCGCCTAATGCGAACATCACTCAAGATGGAGCTCAACTTTCGTCACTCGTCAGATGCTTTGGCCCTACAGAGGCCGGATCCGACAGATGTGCAACTCCTAAGCTTCCGGGAAATCTTACATTGCAACCTCCTGGCGAGTAGAAGGCATTCACGGCCGACTTGCTAGGATACATCCGTTGCGAATGTGGCTTGGAACTGTGATCGTAGCCAATCACCAAACTGACTGGGACTCGGAGTCATTTCCGGGGTGGGAACAGGGTAGCAGGCTCAAGCAGGACATCAGTACCGCTTTTCATGGTTCGCACAGCGCCAGACGGTTGGAAGTTTGACCCAATCGAATGGTACGCAAAGCTTGAACATGCCGGGGCCAGATGCGACATCTAACGCATTGTTACGAGTATTTCCGACCAGATGAAGACTCCGGGTGCGCCTTCTGAAGCCGTCCGTGGCGCTGCGCATACGATGCAGACAACAGTACAGGCTAGGTGGGCTTGGGCCGGTCTCTCAATTTGCTCGCCGGTGACCACGCTATTCCATGTGCTGGCCAAGATGCTCATCAGTGCCCAGAGGCGAAGCCCGTGTGAAAAGGCTCTAGTCTGGCAGCTTTGCTCCATGGACTTGACGGAAAGATTGATGAACAGATGTCGGCCGAAAGATTGGGAGACATGGAGGACACAGCAAGAGGTTTTGTGACGGGGCTGTCGACGGATGCGAAAAGATGGATACTCCAGGGTGCTCGGATGCAAACCGCCCCCTGATGGCTTCTTTCGTTGTAGCAACGACGAGTGATCCGGAGAGAGCGGCGTGATCTACGATCGTCTTGCCTAGGTATTACAGCAGCTACATCTCGCAAATCCTCAGGATCCATGTGAGCTTGTCCATGCAGTTACATCCGTTCTCTGCACGTCTACGGGAAAGCCACATGCTCAGAGTCATGCGCAGATGCGACAAGCAGCGCCTTTGTGCTCTTTGAACATCAGGGACACTTCTTTCTAGCGCTGCGGTCCTGAGGGACACTTGATGCCGCGCAGGACATCACAGCGGCAGCTCGTTTGGGCCATAGGACCGATTGTGTCAAGACGACCGCTCGGTCTGCACATCTTGCGTTCTCTTGGCTGGGATGAGATGAAGTCGGTGTGGTCGGACACTGTGGTCAAGTTCCTGCAAGGTACCGACTTTGCGACGCTCTGCGACCGGGTTTGCGGCACACCAAAGGGTCTTTCGCGCGGGCTGGCCATCCTGGTCCAGACAATCGAGTCAGAAGTCGCCGCAAACTTGGAGGCTTCTGAGAATGGCCATACTCCGTCGCTGCAGACAGCGAGATTTTGATCGCTATCAGACACTGTCTAGACTGTCCATTGACATCCAGTCTCCAACTCCTACACGAGAAATCTGAGGCACTAGGTACTTTGATCGGAGCCGCTCGCGTCAGCCACGTCATCCAATCGGCTGCCGGCATCGAGCTTCACACGGCAGCGGCTGAAACCCAGAGCCTAAGTCCCCGGCCGAGCGACTACACCTCTTCTCCCATCCCTTCCTACACTCACCTGCCCCTGGTTCTGCTGCAGGAGGCGAAGGTTTCATAGGACGACACTGAGTAGCTCGCGCTGGTTGAGAGTCTGGCGCGGACACCAGGGCTGAATCGAGGGAGCACGGGAAATGGTGGTCGCGTACATTCCTCGACCGCCGCGCCAGCAGCCGCCGCGCCTCCACCGCGAGAGTGGAGGGTGGCATAGTGGACCTCGAGGCTAGGAAAATATGACCGCTTGGACAAAGAAATGAAGACGACGGGGCGTTTGTACCAATGACATCGGTAATGGCCTGCCTCTCGCGTAATGCAGGCATGGATGGCGGGACAAACGGCGGCGGTGGAGATGTAAACAGCTGCAAGTAGGCGTGCGGAAAAGGTCGTTTGGAGACTCAGTGCCGTGCAGCGGAAGGCCCGTCTGAAACACATCTGGCTCATCGGGGCGCGAGAGGAATCCGAGGTACGCCAACATGTGACTTTCTTTGCTGCACCTCTTCCCTATTGAAAAGCCGGGTGACCACCTCATTCACGATTGCTATTCTCCCTGCGTGTTTTTTTCTTCTCCCTTGACGCTTCACTTGTGCGTCCGTTGTCGAGGCTATTGTCTCTGCGTGAGCATTTGCATTGTCACTGTTGTCTCTGTTCGTGTGTCGTCATTCTTTTGTTCTCTTCACCAGCGGAACAACGCCTTCTTCTCGAACGCGCCTACCTTAAAAAGCAGCACGTCGTTCCTTCCACTCCTTGCTCAAACGCACGCGTTCAGCCACAGACAACCACAACACCCCAGCAACGCAACGCAAACCAAACTCTTCCACGCAACGCACCAAACAACAACGCTCTCTTTTCGAAAAGCCCCCCAGTGCAGTGCAGGTCACTGACAACACCGCTCGTTCAGCACCCATCGCACACTACAAGACAGAAAAAAAAAATACAAAGTTGCCGCAAGCGCCAGCACCGATCTCGTCTCTCGCACCGCTCCGCGAGCATGTTTTCCACCCGCAGCATCACGCTGCTCACAACGGCGCTGAGCGCCATTCTCACTTCCGCTCCGGGCGCCCAGGCGGTACCTGCCTCGTCCCTGTCACTGAAGTCGCGACAGACCAGCTCCGGCTATTGGCTGCCTCTGATGCAGCACGACAGGGACACGGTCTGGATGGGCGAGAGCAACGCAACAGTCTTCTACGATGTCACTAAGCATGGCGTCGACAACTCTGGCGCATCCGACATCTCAGGCCCACTCAACGACATCCTCAACACGGGCTGCAACTGGGGCTGTAACTCTTCAACTGTCCAGCCCATGATTCTGTATTTCCCTGCCGGTACTTATCTCGTGTCGAAGCAAATCAACATGAGCTACTACTCGCAATTCATCGGCGACCCTACCAATCGGCCAGTCATCAAGGCCTCCGCCGATTTTACCGGTATGGCCGTCCTCGACGCAGACCCTTACTGGCAAGTCGGCCCCAATGCAGTCAGCTCCTGGATCAATCAGAACAACTTCTTCCGTCAAGTGCGCAACTTCGTGATGGACTTCACGGCCTCGGCAGACGGGGTTGCTGGCATTCACTGGCAAGTCGCGCAGGCCACTTCCATTCAGAACGTTGATTTCAAGATGAAGCCGGACAGTAAACAGCAGGGAATCTTCATGGACAATGGCTCTGGTGGTTTCTTCAGCGATCTCACGTTCGAAGGAGGCCTCGTCGGTGCCTTCCTTGGAAGCCAACAGTTCACCAGCCGGAACCTGAAGTTCACCAACTGCAAGACCGCAATCTTCATGAACTGGAATTGGGGCTGGACGCTGTCCAACGTTTCCATCACCGGCGGCGATGTTGGTATCGACATGTCCAACAGCCCGTCGAACATGACGGTCGGCTCTATGATTCTCGCTGACAGCACAATCGACGGAAGCACGTATGGTATCAAGACTGCCTTTGGTGGCAATGGCACCGGATCTGCCGTCCCTGCCCAAGGAGGAACTCTCTACATTAACAACGTTGATATGAGTACCGTCACCACCGCCGCGGTGTTCCAGAACGCGACTCAAGAAGTGCTCCTCAAGCCTGGCAAGATCACTTCCTGGGCCCAGGGCAATGGGTATGATAAGAGCGCGACCGCGATCAAAGCTGACGGCGTCGTCACTGGCGCTCCCGTCAAGGCCTCTTCCCTCCTTGGCCCGGATGGCAAGATTTTCGGACGTAGCAAGCCGCAGTACGAGGATGTCCCCGCCTCAAACTTCCTATCTGCCAAAGTAAAGGGCGGATGCGCAGGCGACGGTCAGACTGACGATACCAAGTGCATCAACGACTTCCTGGCGCTGGTTGCGAACACCTTGAACGCCATTGCGTACTTCGATCACGGCGCTTATCTTGTGAAGGACACCATCAAAGTTCCCAACAAGATCAAGATTGTCGGCTGCATCTGGCCTCTGATCGTGGCTGATAGTGCCTGCTTCAGCGACATCAACAACCCGAGGGCAGTTTTCCAGGTTGGCGATCCCACCTCAGCATCTGGTGGCGCAGTTGAGATCAGCGACATGCTCTTCACGACCAACGGCCCAGCACCCGGAGCAATCATGGTCGAATGGAACGTGGACTCCGAGCAAGGCGACTCGGGCATGTGGGACACCCACATGCGTATTGGTGGCGCTAAGGGCACGAATCTTCAGGAACACCAGTGCCCGGGCTGGCCAACCTCCCAGCCAAGCAAGAAGTGCGAGGGCGTGTTCCTCATGTTCCACGCCACGAAGTCTGCCAGCAACGTGTATCTCGAGAATGACTGGTTCTGGGTGGCCGACCACGACCTTGACACGCAGAACCAAACCCAAGTCTCGATCTACAGCGCTCGCGGTGTTCTCATGAACAACAAGGGCGCTGCCTGGCTGTGGGGCACGGCCTCTGAGCACTCTGCCATGTACAACTACCAGCTCGATGGCGTCGAGGCCTTCTTCGGCGGTTTCATGCAGAGCGAGACTCCTTACTACCAGCCGTCGCCTGAAGCACCTCAACCTTTCACGCCCAATCCCAAGTGGGACGACCCAGAGTTCACTATTTGCCAGAACGCCACGAGCAGCTCTGGCGTTCCTTGCAAAGACGCCTGGGGCTTGCGCATCGTGAACAGCAAAGGCGTCCTGATCTATGCCACGGGAATGTATTCCTTCTTCCAGAACTACGCCCAGACGTGCGTCCCGAACGAGAGCTGCCAGGAGAACATGATTCGGATCCAAAACAGCGAGGTCGCCATGTTCACCGTCACCACCAAGGCCTCGATCAACATGATTGTGGACGACGCCCTCGACAATGCTCCGGTCCTTGCGCAGGATAACCGTGACGTCTACGGCGACACTCTGGCTTACTACTTCTCTCAGCAGCACTCTTAGGTGGAGTGTGACGTGACAGGGATCATACAGGACTACGAGTCGTAGGATACTGGCGTTTAGGGAGCCGTAGTGGTGATACCAGGTGTCCTCAGAGCACCAACAAGGGTTGACTTTCGGATTTGAAGCGATCGGGCCTGCTTTTCACCGGCGAGCGGGATTGAGCGCCAATTAGCTAGCTCTATGAAATGAAATTCTATGACTTCAAACTTTTGCCTTATTTTTTGGTCTTCATGTCAACGTTCCATTTTCTGCTACGGAGTCGATGACTTCACTTCGAAACGTGGCTAAGACACGAGACGTTATATCGGCCTGCATAGCTCTGGTATGTACACTGACAACCTTGAAGTCGTACAGATTGACTGATCGTGTCCCGCGATGCCTCCCCCAGACGTATCTGCTGTAACATTGGAAAAAGTCATCGCACCGCTCTGAAATTCCAGAAATCTTCCCCGGATGGTGGAGATGCAACGAAAGGCCCCTCTACAACTTCGCCTGCAACACACTCCCGCCATCCAAAACCACATTCCCCCCATTCATATGCGACCCGGCTCGACTGCACAGATACACCACGGCAGCCGCGATATCCTCGGGCGCGCCCAGGCGCTTATTCGGGCTGAAATCCGCCAGCACGTCGACGCCCCCGCTCATCTCCATGAGGCCGTTTGCCATCTTGGTGGGGAAGAAGCCCGGGGAGATGCTGTTGCAGAGGATGCCCTGGGGGCCGAGTTCGAGGGCCAGGTTCCGCGTGAGGTGGAGAACGGCGGCTTTGGAGGCGGAGTAGCCGAAGGTGGCTTGCTTGCCGAGGGTGCCGACGCCCATGCCGGCGATGGAGGCCGTGACGATGAGGCGGGAGGGGTCTTGGATGGTGCCGCGGTTGCGGAGGAGGGGGGCGAATCTGTTTGTGGATGATGATTTCTCGTCATTAGCCTTGCTGCCAGAAACGACCAACACGCTCCTTCTAGGGTATTGCATTGATGTAGTGTGTATGTGTATGGGACTCACTTCTGTGCACAAACAAACACACTCTTGACGTTCAGATCCATGACTTTCTGAAAAGCGCTCTCGGGGTGTTTATCGAACTCTTCCCCCCATGTAGCTCCCGCGTTCGCGAAGAGGATGTCTACATGTTCGGTGTGTTTGGAGACTTCTTTGACGAGGCGTTCGACTTCGCCCGGTTTGGCGATGTCGGCGGGGACGGAGTAGGCTTTGCAGTTGATGCCCGGGAGGGCGTTGAGGGCGGCAACGGCTTCTTCGCAGGCTTGGGCTTTGCGTGAGGTGATGAAGATCTTGCTGCAGCCGGCTTGGGCGAGGCTGGTGTCGTGGGGTTAATGGATGCGTGGGATGTGAGGGTTGTGGGATTGGTGCTTTACCCCGATGCTGCGTGGAGACCGAGACCTCGTGAGCCTCCGGTGACGACTGCTACCTGGTATTACACTACGTGTCAGCATTGCTAGTCGTGAGCATTGGAACCATCTGAAGAGCTACTAACCTTCCCGTCGAGAGAGAAGATGTTCTTGAAGTCCTGGAGCTTGACGTCTGCTTCGGCCGACATGTTGGTTGCGAGAATTAATACTGAGATAACAATGTAGAGATTGCGGATATGGTCCAAAATGGATATGAAGAGATGGGTATAGATACAATAGAAGACAGACCTACCGCCGCTTTCTTAGATGAACTTTGGAGATGGATGGAGGGACGTTCGTTGAGCCTCGGCTGGTCATCAACATCGATCACGTGTCGGGTAAAAGATGACCCAGGAAACGAAGAAACACTTAGTCGCAACTCCTTTGATGTATCCAGTTATATACCAGGTCGCAGTCACACAACTTCCTGCGAATTCTCGTAGCTACTTCGAGAAGATCGGCTCACTCGTTTGCCGAGTGTGTCACCACAGGATCGTCTTCTTTGAGTTGTCGGAAAAGATCTAAGACAGTTCATCAATCCAAAATTCCTCCAAGCAAATGCGAGCATCCAAAGCTCTGCAGGTATCGATTCAACTCAGGATGTGACCCGAACGCTTAATATGGAGTGGAGTGGAGTGGAGTGGGTAGAGCAAGGCAGAAGAAAGCTTACAACTCCTTCTTCAAGAAATGCTCCGGTGCGTGATCCGTCTCGTAGTCGACGTGCACGTAGGCCCGCTCGACATCTGGCAGACTTTCGAGCTTTGTCTGCAGGTCTTCCGCGACGTCGTGAGTGTCACCGAGCGAGAGGCTCTTGTCCATGACGATGTCCACCTCGACAATGATACGTGGTCCTGAGTGCCATGCGCGCACCGTGTCAAGCTGTTGGATCCTGGCATCGTGTGTCATGGAAATATAAGTAACGTGTTGTAGGAATGCTGTGTCCGCAGAGACACCGATCAGGAGTTGGAACTCCTGGTATGCCGTTCTAAGCCAGAGGAAGGAGATCAGGACGGATAACAGAATGGCACCCATCGGATCGATGAACCAGCTAACCTGTAGTTAGTATCTCCATGAGTCGAAGACATAGCGCGCAAGACTTACGCTACTTTGCTGCCCAGCACACTGGTCATCAAACCGAAACCATTGATGAATAGATCGTTTCGGTGATCTTCCCAGAGGATGCGGATCTGGCTGTACTTGTTTCGGAGAGCCCAGCAGTAGAAGAACAAGCCCAACTTGGTAGCAAAGGCAATTCCAACGGCAATGACAGAAGGTATGTGAAACTTCGAGTCGTCTGACTTCGCCGCGAGTTCGCGAATGGACTCCACAATCAGGATGAAGGATACAGCCGTCATCAGAAAGCAGAATGTGATGTTTCCGGCCGTCTCCAGCCTGCCTTTGCCTGACGGGAAACGGCGAGGATCTACACGATTGACCGCGCGATTGCAGAGGATAAGGGTAAGGTTGCTAGAAACGAGTCTCAGCATATACCGTCACCTGTGACACTCCACAGGACCCAGCAACTTACCTGCACGGGTCAAAGATGGCATCGGCCATGGTCGTAAACAATGACAAACTACCAGAAGAGACCGCGCCGTAGACCTGTAGGATGGCCAAGATGATATTGGCAATGAAGCTGCCCTGGACAGCAATCTTATACTGCAGAGCATCAGAGCCTTGCTCTTCTTTTGCTTCACGCACGTGGTCGTCCACGGGCTTCAATAGCCGCTCGATGTTCTCATTTTGGCTTTCGTAGAACTTGATCAACCTGTGTGTCTTGACAGTGTCTTTTCCCTTCGCGATCGGACGGCATCCGCCAGCACGTTTCGCCTTGGTATTGGCTTTCACTCGCTCCTTCTCCTGATCCAGGTCTTTCAGGCCGTTGCGCAGCTTGTAGGGGTCATTTTCAGTTCCGTAGCCTGGGAGGCTTCCCTGTCGCTCAACATCGTCTCGCTCGCTGTCGCTGCTATCGCGATGGTACCCAGGTCTCGCATGGACAGCCGGATCGTTTTCGCCGTCGCGCTTGATCTGTGCAACCGCAGAGCTGACGGCCGGACGCTTGGACTCGTGGTGGACATCGTGGCTCGTGTGATCGGAGGTATTGCTATGCGACGCGCGATCAGAGCGCTCGGGGTGCACATGAAAAGGGTGCGGCCGCAGAGAGATGGAATTATGTAAATCTGCATCTCTGATATTCGACATCTTGGGTGACTTTGCGTGTTGCGCGGAAACGGATTTGTCTCTCGTAGAAGTGATAGGGTGGTCTCCGTGGATCGCCTCTAAGTCGTTGGTGATGCGTTTGAGATGGTGAGGTGTCGTTGTCGGCGCACAAGGAGGGACCCTGCTTTGAGATGGCGCCTACCGCTTTGTGTCGCAGGAGTGGTCAATGAAGCAAGCTTTCCCCCCTAAGAAAAAAACAAGACTTTTAGAGCGCAACTCCTACCGTGAAAACAGGAATCGCCTGATGTACGTCGGGTTCGGGAAGCGCCCGGACTCCGAACAAGCGGCCAAGAGAGCCAGATCTGCGCTCTGAAGCTCTTCTCTCCATCTTCAACGTCCAAGTCAGCAAGCAAGAATGCAGCAGAGCGTAGGAGATGGTTTCAAAAGGCAGAAAGAGGAGGACGAGGTGATGTGGAGACAAACATCGCGCCCGCCCACCAAGGTTCGCCAGGGGCGCATTCTTCTGCGAGGTTGTCATTGGTAGTCCCCTCCGACTTTTACCGTGCGAGCGAGCTCCTGCTGGGCCTCGCTGTCCGCTGTCCGCCATCCTCTACACATCGACCTCGTCTGAAGGGCGCACCATCCCCTCATTATGAGCCCGTCAAGCTCTCGAGACGTACACTCGGCCAAATGGATCGTTGCATCTTGCCTGCACCAGCTTCCGCGAGCAACTCAAGATCGAAACGTTGACCAATCGAGCTTCAGAAGCCCATGTTCGGTGCACATTGATCGCTGGGTGCATGTCCTCTGGATGTGCCAGGTCACGAAGCTTGAAGCCAAAGATCACTCCGCGGCTCGTCGCGCATCCTCGTAATTTACGAAAAGGAATAGGAGACGGGGCAGTGGTAAGTGAGGGAACTCCTCAAATTGTCAAAACCTGGCAATCGCTGCTTCTCTACCGCGCTACATCCCTCTTTCATCTTCTCCCCGAGTTGCTCTACAATCCGGATTTCAACATGCCACTCAACATGGAACCTGAAGGCAAGAAGGTCCCCTTCTTGAATTTGCCCCAGAAGCTGCGCCATTGTATCTACGAATATGCTTTGGTCTCCCCTCAACCCATCGAGATCCACGAAGCAACATGTCGTCGTCGAAGCAGCGTTAGCCGCGGAGCCCCAGTCGAGAGGCCAGGGAGGATATCCGCTTTGCTGAGGTCATGCAAACAAATCCGTCGCGAAGCTGCGCCGCTGTTTTTGGGACTGAATACCTTCGTAATTCCTTGGGGGTTCCCAAATCTGGGCTGTCGATGGCTGGAGAGTCTGGCATCACCTCATCGACGTGCTCTTCGGGATGTAAGATTCTGCTATGGAGACGGAGCTTTCTGGACGGTATATGATGCAAGAACAGCCTTGAGCGCCCTTCGCATGGCGCTCGAGAGGACGAAGGTGTTGGATGAACTGGAAGATGCGAAGTTGTGGGTGCCAGTATGCGAGTTCTCCGTCCACCCCTGGACGGAACTGTAGCAGCGCGAGGACGCCCGATGGGTGAGCAGCATGGATGAGGTGCAGAGATTCTCAGACGACAAGGACGTCGAGTGGAAGCTTTAGGGCGTGCTTTGGATACGGAACTGCTGCCGCTTCCTCCATGTTCAGCTTTTCCGTATCTCAAAGGTGCGGCGCTCGTGTTTGCGCGTATTCCAAACCAACCAACAACGATATCTCTGTCTTCTGCTCTGATTCGTCACCATCATCTCCCAATCTCACGCCGTGCAAGGGACAGAATTCGCCACGCGGCGTTTCCAGTGATTGAAATTGATTGCACCCTCGCCCCCTCCTCAGGCGTGCAGTCGATGAGGCGGCGGGATCCGAAGCAGCGGATCCCCGAGGTGGAAGGTCTTTCCAGCTTCAACCCTGCCAACCACTGTGTCGACCACCACTGACGGCCCACGATCTCGCGTCGAAGAAGCCATAGGCAATGTCGCGATAACCATTACAGGAGCGAGATTGTACCTGCGATACGCTCGCGTCCTGCGAACCTCAATCTGTTGCGGCCCTGTTGCAGAACTGGATCCATCGATTGACAGCTGGATGCTGTGGATGGATACTGCACACTGTGCCTTAGTGCAGATCACTATGCGATAACACGCGGCAATCACCTTCCTTCCTGGCGTTAGACTTGCGGCCTGCCCGCTTCGCAGCTTCCACATACGATTCCGCGACTGCAGATACGATGTTTGCGACTGCAGGCACAGTTTTGGCGGGCAGGTACGCTATGGCATCACCACACAGTAGCCCACTGCCGTGCGGGTACCTGCTGTCGTGACCTCGCTGTGGAACGCCAGCAGCAGCAGAATATAAAATGTAACTTCTACACCCCCTCCGCCTCCCCCTTCCATCACGCCCATCTCCTCGTCTCATCGTCGCTCTGCCGGGCTAGTAGGGTCACTCTCACTATTGTCAATCGCTATTTCTTCATCCAGTGGGCTGCGTACAAGGACTCTGGAAGGCAACTCGACCCGGTTCCCTCTCTCTTTGGAATGTTGTTTACCACAGGTCTACTCTGTGCCCTTGGCACCCTCACGGCAGTCCATGCTCTTCCCCGGGCTCGATCCAACTACGCCGTCAAGGAGCGCCACCATGTGCCCAGGACTTGGTCCCGCGTCGGCGAAGCCTCCAAGTCGGACATGATCCACTTGCAGATTGGCCTCAAGCAACAGAACGAGGGCGAGATCGAGAGGCATCTGGTCGAAGTTTCGGATCCGTCGCATCAAAGGTACGGCCAGCACCTCTCGCCTGCCGAAATCCACGAAATCATTGCCCCCTCGCAAGAGACACAGGATCTGGTCAAGGAATGGCTGGCGGAGCATGGCGTCACAAATGCTGTGCACAACCACGCAAAGGACTTTATCCACGTGTTGGTGCCAATTGAGAAGGCCGAGCAAATGCTTCAAACCTCCTACTCGACCTTTAGGCATGCAGATGGCTCGGAAATCTCGCGCGCGCCAGAATGGTCGCTTCCGCAGCACTTGCACGAGCACATCGATGTTGTGCAGCCAACTACCTCGTTCTTCCGCCCCAGGCCAAAGCGCAACGTTGACTCGCATTCAGAATTAATCGGCCCTTCATATCCAGCGTCTTGGTGGGAGTCATATGGAAGGTGGCACTACGGAAAGGGTAGGCCATCCTACTCTGGTTCTGGAGCGGGTCCGATTGCTGCAATCTGTAACGCCTGTATGTCACTTTTCCTTGTTCTTTCAGAAGCTTGCTCATGATATCAGCCTTTGTCACTCCGGACTGCATTCGCACCCTTTACGGCACCTACGACTACAAGCCTCAAGTGCCGCAAAAGAATGCTGTCGCGCACACCAATTATCTGAACGAGACCAGCTATCGTGCCGACGATCACAAGTTCCTCCAGACATTCCGCCCAGAAGCTGCCAACGCATCATACTCCTTCGAGAACGTGATAATTGCCAACGCCAACAACGATCAAGGCCCTTACACTGCAACTCAATTAGCTGCCGGTAAGAACGAGGAGGCGAATTTGGACTCTCAGCAGATCCTCTCCATTACATGGCCCACCACATTCAAAACCTACTCCACCGGCGGAAGCCCTCCGTTCACTCCAGACGTCTCGTCACCTACCGACACGAATGAGCCCTATTTAACCTGGTTGGACTACGTTCTCGGACAGAGCGATCTGCCCCAGGTCATCAGTACCTCATACGGCGATGACGAGCAAACTGTCCCCGAGTCGTATGCGAACAAAGCTTGCTCTGGCTTTGCGCAACTCGGAGCCCGCGGTATCTCGGTCTTGTTCTCGTCAGGTGATGCGGGTGTTGGCGGGGACGGCGAATGCTTCAGCAATGACGGCAAGAATACGTCCATGTTCCTTCCAGCTTTCCCAGCCGGATGCCCTTGGGTGACTGCTGTCGGGGCTACTAAGGGTGGCGACACTTCGTTCTTGCCTGAAGCTGCCGTTACTCGCTTCGCATCTGGCGCGGGGTTCTCAAACTACTTCGGCGCACCGAAGTACCAGCAGTCTACGGTCAATGCCTACGTCAAGAGCCTGAATGGCCTCTACGATGGACTTTACAACAAGAGCGGTCGCGGCTATCCAGATGTAGCTGCTCAGGGAAATCATGACGTTATCGTTTGGAATGGCACCATACGCACCATTGGTGGAACATCCGCATCTAGCCCGACATTTGCGGGTGTCATTAGCTTGGTCAACGACGCTCTCATCGCAAAGGGCAAGCCTACGCTCGGTTTCCTCAACCCCTGGATCTACTCAGGCGCTTACAAGGCCCTCACGGACGTCACTGTCGGCAGCAGCTTTGGCTGTAACACCGACGGCTTCCCCGCTCAGGCTGGATGGGATGCAGGTGAGATACTATCAGTACCTGGAGCGTCTTCGTGGATGCTAACCTCTTTTAGTGACCGGCTTCGGTACTCCTAACTTTACAAAGCTTGTGGAAGCTGCTTTTGAAAAGTACAACGGCAGCTCTCCTGGCGGATATGGAGGCCGGGGCAGCCACGGATGGTAATGCCGTGCGCCTCTTCACCACGACATGATGACATGATGTAGCCTTTAAAGCTGGGGCACGTAGAAATCGTATGCTCATGATGGCTAAACAGATAGCCCCTCTAAGGAATACGATAATTTAATCGACTCTGGCATCAGCCAAAGTATCTCAGCGAAGGAAGATTGTTACTGCGCTGAGAGCTGCCTCAGGGCAGTTGCCATGTGGCGGCAGCTCGAGCTCGTGGCTATGACACAAACACAACGTGAAAAGCATGCAATATGGACCCTCGCAGAGATGGTTTCCTTTAATGTGGTGCTCTCGTGTGTCGCCGCTTGATCAGTTGGCTAAGCTGTCGCGTAGGATCAACTGCCCTTTTCTGGTGCGCGTTGCGGCGATGAGAAATTGCTATGAAATGATGTCGAAACGGACAGACCAAGCATACATGCGGAACCGCCAAGCCTACGGTGCGATCATTCTGTGCGGCCTCATGTTCGTGGTCCTGATGCTGCCACCTCATCTAGTCACGCTTGACCGCAGCTTGGGGCGGGCACAGCATCGCACAGCACAGCCGTTCCTGTACTCCAAACACCGCAGCGAGGCCGCAGACGGAATGCTCGTCGATCCGATGGGTGACTGTTCCGTCTTCCGATAAGCAGCTTGCAATGTGACGGTGAATAATTCGGGCATGGAGAGACAACTTGTAGCCTGGTGCCCAGTGGTCATCTGTCGTCCAGAGAATTTCTGGTAGATGGTCACTCTTTCTGGTATCACGCCAAAGGGCAGGGCATGCAACGCGCGACCCGGTCGAGGTGTCTGTTGCGAAAATGGAAGTTGGAGGTGAGGTCTTGACAGGCCTCAATCCTCCGCGACGGCTCACAGCTAGCTGCACACTCACACTGGTTAGTCGGGATGAGTGGAGCTAGCAACACTCGACAGCGTCTCAGCCGCAGGCGGTCTTCAACGTCTGCTCCTATCACGTCGTCGACCACCGACGACTTCGCAGCAGCAGCAGCAGCAGCAGCCGCCGCCGCCGTCGCCCCCACGGGACCAAGACAGGCGAGCACGGCAAGCGGCGAGCGGCGAGCGGCCAGCAAGACGCGTCTGTGAAACCCCGGTGCGGTCGCAGGCTTTGATAGGCTGGGGTCCTCCCGGTAATCTTTCGACCTCACTTCTCTGTGCCACCCGCGCTCCCATCTTCTCGCCGCTCCTCAGATGCACCTCCTGCGCCGTCTCCTCGAGCGACTCCTCCATCCCATGAACGACCGGGCTACATTTCGTGATCGACATTTCGATGATGCGCGCTGCGAAGCCCCAGGCCAGAGCTTCCTTGGGACTCTCGCCTTATCTCGCCCTCGGGGAGAGCTTGTGCAGCTGCCGAAGGCTTGCGTGACCAATCTACACCACACAGATCGCGCCATCGCATTGTCTGGCGAGCCGCCTTGGGATTCTGTCTTGTCTACTGGCGCGACGCTTCATCACGCGCTTGCGGAGCACCGTCCAGTTTCATCCCCAGTCAATCAGAGGCCCCGAGCGCAACAATGAATGACCTGATGAGCTATGTCTGGGCCAAGATGTCCCCAAGACTTGTTTGTGTCCGTGGCAGAGAGCTCTAGCTCGAGGTACCGTGCGCCTGTCTATTGTCTCAAGAGCAACAGGTCTTCTGCGCAGTGGCTAAGCCTCACTACATCCGCAACGGAGTAGTCGCTGTGGCTTGGCGCGGTAGATCAGCCTCCTGCCAGAAGCCCCATAGACCCCTTCGGGAAGGGCGTCGATGGCGTGCTGTCTGTCGCTGCGCGTTGTTGGTTGTTCCTCCGGATTGGCCATTTGATTCGAGCTATGTCAGTCAGCCGAACGCATCATCCTATTCGTCCAGCAGTAATGAGTCTGCCTCCCGCTATTGTAGTCACCTCCTTTGACAAACAACGCGGAACCCATCCGATATTCCAAGGGTCCCCCGAGGGACCAATGCCACGAGAGCAGGACATCCGACATGTCTGATGCAGCCCGCCGCGCTGCATGTATGCCGCGCCGTCCTCTGAGCAGTATCAGGTGCGTACCATTAGCTCTCATGTACTAGGATCTGCGAGTTTCCTATCTCGGCGACGAATCGTCACAGTGAACTCGGAATGCTCATGCGTTCCCATCTTCACGTGCATGAAACGCCATACCTATTCAGAAGTGAGGCCGCAGGGACGACAATATGATCCGCGTGACTGGGTCGCCGTCTTTGATTGCTACAGCGCCGATCAACCAAGGCCATCCAACTCCACACATGCACCGAAGATCAAACCGGAAGTTTTAGCCCACACATAAAGAGACCCTACTCTTCTTCGTAGACAGCACTCTGCACTTCACACCTCTTCTCGACACCAACTCCAGAAGTCACCAGGGCAGGCACCTTCAATTCTGGTTTGCGACCACCGACCCTCTACTTTCATTCATTATGCAATTCATCTATGCTTCCGCCGCCTTGGTGGCATCCGCCACCCTCTCCATGGCCGCGCCCGCCGAGGTCGTTGGCCGCAAGACTTTCCAGGTCGGACAGGTTGCTCACGGCAAGATTCTCAAGAACGGACCCGTCCAGATGATAAAGGCCTATAACAAGTACGCGCGTGTGGGAGCTGTCGCTCCTCCAGACGTTGCCTCTGCCGCCGCCTCTGCTCAAGCAACCGGCTCAGTGGTCGCCACCCCGGAGCAGTACGATCAGGCCTATCTTTGCCCTGTCACAGTCGGCGGCACGACCCTCAACCTCGACTTTGACACTGGTTCCGCAGATTTGTGAGTTTGACGCTTGTGCAACGTGTACCTGAAACATCTAACGCGGCATGCAGGTGGGTCTTCTCCACTCTCCAAGCGAAGAGCGAACAGAGCGGTCACGCTGTGTACGACCCCAGCGTCTCCGGAAAGATACTTCAGGGCGAGGAGTGGAACATCACGTACGGCGACGGGTCCGGCGCCTCTGGACCCGTCTACGCCGACAAGGTCGTCGTTGGCGGCGTCACTGCGACTTCTCAGGCGGTCGAGGCGGCTACTTCCGTGTCTTCCCAGTTCGCGCAGGACGTTGACAACGATGGCCTCCTTGGACTTGCGTTCAGCACCATCAACACTGTGCAGCCAGACCAGCAAGTCACCTTCTTTGACAGCGTGAAGAAGAGCTTGGCGAAGCCTCTGTTCACCGCGGATCTCAAGGCCGGCGAGGCTGGTACTTACGACTTTGGGTCAGTTACTCTCGCTCGGTAATGGAAATATCCTGCTAATGACCCCACAGTTTCATCGACAGCTCGAAGTACACTGGAAGCATCACCTACACGCCAGTGAACACCGAGAACGGCTTCTGGCAATTCAATGCTGGCGGGTACTCCGTCGGATCCGGAAACCAGACGAGTGGCAGCTCCATCGGCATCTCCATCGCTGACACCGGCACCACTCTCCTCTACCTCCCTACCGACGCCTGCTCGGCCTACTACAAGAAGGTTTCTGGCGCGAAATACGACACCTTCCAAGGTGGATACGTCTTGCCCTGCAGCGCGAGCCCACCAGCCTTCAACGTCGCCATTGGCGGCAAGACTTTCAAGATTCCCGGCAAGGTCATCAACTACGCTCCCGTCGACCAATCCGGCGAGACGTGCTTCGGAGGTATGCAGCCCAACACTGGAATCGGTATGAGCATCTTCGGCGACATCTTCCTCAAGACAGTATTGGCCATTTTTGACGAGAGCACGGGCTCGCCCAGGCTCGGGTTTGCTGCTCAGGGGTAAATGATACAGATTTGTTGTATGCATGGAAGAGGGTGGCTCTTGGATTTGGGTTTGGGGCCCTGTAGAGGGGCATATGACACCGCATGATGAGCTGCGACGGTTTCTTTCCCAGTCATTACTGGACTGCTCTGTTCCTAGCAGTCCTCTTCTTTTTCTTTTGAGATGTACATACTCTTCCGCTTGGACTGGATTCCATATTCAACAACCTTCTCGATGCACGGACGTGGGGGTAGGGTTACAGATGGTGACTATTAGACAAATCTGAGACCACACCGTTGTTTGGTGACTGCTGGTCGCTGCTCAGTCTCGGTCTGGGAAATCATGTGTCATTGGCTTCCTCCTAGTTCAGTCCAAACCCGAAACGTTTCGCCTTGAAGTGAATGGTGGTCGGGTAACATGTCGCATTTGTCGAAGCACGTGGTCACGCGCTCTAGCGTGGGACCACCCGACGCGACCTCTTAGATCCCTGTTCTCTCATCAGCACGAGCACTTCGGCTGACCGCTCAGTTCACGGACCACAACATCACTCCCACCCCGCGGCGCGGAAAAGAGACTTTCCATCCATTGTCAACAAAACGCTTGTAAATACTTCGACATATTTCTTCCTTCGGCAGCGAGAACATCGATTGCCAACACCCCCGGGCACGTGTTTGCGGGGCTCCACGTAACACGAACGCCTGCAGGCCCGTTGTGAGGGATCCACTCGGCGATTGGGCGCCGCTGCAGCAGTCGATCGAAAGGTGAGACTCATCTCTCGTTTTATGCCTGTGACGCAGGACTAGTTGCCGCAGCGGTGGGAGGAGGAGGAGCAGAGCATAGGGGAACCATGACAGTCACGCAGGATCAACATCATCGCGACCAGCTACTAATTGAAGCACAGCGAGCTCGCTCACCGCTGCCAGCGCTGATGGAGCTCGAGGAATCACCGCCCGCCGTCCCTCCAAAGGACTCCGGATATCAGGGCAGCATGCGTGGTAGTCGTCCGCCGAGCGCAGCTGGCCCTGCGAGCGGGTCGAAGAGGAAGCGAGAGACGCAGGACGACACGTTCTACAACTATCGGAATGGCCGGCTTGAGGCTGCCAACTTCGAACATACGCCAAAGCGCTCACGCTCACACTCGAACACGCGTGCCAGCGGAGGATATGCATCCGGATACGCGTCCACCGATGGGACGCCAATGCAACAGCGGAGCCTTCGTAGGAAGAAAGGCAGCCGTAATCTGTCCAATCTCAACCTCCGCCATGCCGCCTCTCTGGCGAACATCGATCAGCAACAGACGTATCCAGGCCGCGAGTCTCGATTTCAGGAGGGCAGCTTGTCCGACAAACCCAGCGAGAAGCCGCCGAGCGTGTTCACTCGCTTTGCACGCACCGACAGCGGCAACCTCTCACACGTCGAAGAGCTCATGGCAGAGTACCATGAAGGCACGCCTATTCCTTGTGACTCCGTGGAGGAGACACTCGCATATGAGAGGGCAACGAGAGACCAGCGCGTCGCCGCCATCAATGCTCAGCAGAAGAAAGAGGAGGGTAGTGGAATGTTTCGCTTTGGCAAGTCTCTGGCCTCTGCGTTCCATCCAGTGACACTGTGGAATAAGCTATGGAACGAGCCGAAGGATGAGGCCTCGCAGGCCCAGGCAGAGGAGGCGGACCGGAAGGCGAAACAGAAGGCCGAAGCTGAGGCGAAATATGCTCAACTGAAGGCCGCTGGGCAGCTTGGCCTTCAGCCTGTCTCTCTGCACACGCCTCATGATTCCGCAGTCGTCCTCGATGGCCGTTTCTCGACGCATGGACACCGGCGCGACATCTCTAATGGATCCACCGTCCGCACACAGGCGGACGAGGTCTATCCTGATGGCAGCGACTTTTCAGAGTCAGCTTCACGGCCGCTTCGCGGTATTGCGTCTCGCCTTCATCTCCAGAAGCCGTCTCTCCAGAACCTGCAAAATAGCTTGAAGCGTGTGAAGTCTGACTTCACCCTTGGTGTCGCCGCCAACCGCGAATCTTCGTCTTCGCTCTCTCCAACCAAGGCAGACTTCGAGAACTCCGCCTTGAGGAAGTCTCACTCCAAGTACGACCTCAAGAAGCAACACAAACTCTGCAAGCGTGTGAGTGATTTGGAGTCAAAGCTTCTCAAGGCGCGCAGTGAGTTGAATGAGGCTCTCCTCGAGGCTTCGCCGAAGCCTAAGATCGCTGGTAAGTACGAACGCTTTACGCCGTCTGGAACGCTGAGAAGGCGAAAGTTCGTACCTGGAGCACTGCCGACTCTACCTAGTGAGGGAGTCCTCTTTTCCCAGCAGCTCAATGCTCAGAGTGACGGAACGGTGGCCGTGCCGGAGCAGCGATCTCGGCCAGAGATAGACCTGGCTCGAGCCTTTGACGAAGATGCGGACGACGGGGAGAAAGATGACATCAACCCTGCACAGAAGAAGTCATATCCAACTCGTGCAAAGGTGCATTCGAACAAGGAGAACGACCACGACGAGGCATCGAAGATCGATGACGATGTCGACATGAATGTCGCAAGCAAGGCCCCTACGAAGGACGAGTTGACTGCACTTCCTCAGCTTATGGAGGCGAAAGGAGTAGCTCAGCAAGCACCGGACGATGAACTCGGCGCGGATGACATCAAGCCCCTGACGCCGAATGTCAAGCTGAGCAAGAAATCGGCGAAAGGCAAGAAGCGTGCCTCTACGAAGGGAGACGCAGATTTTAAGCCCGATGTTGAGGCCGATGATGACGCGGAATGGGATCAAGCAGCGCAGAAGCCAAAGAAGAAGCGCAAGTCAACCGGAAAAACGGACGACAGTCCCGCATCGAAACGCGCGGCTGGCATCGACAAGCAGAAGTCGCCTCACGGTAAAGGCTCCAAGAAGACCGGGCCCGCGGCCGAAGACGACAATCCGATTGAGAAGCTTGCCAGTGACGGACTCCACCAGGACGTTACGATGATCGACGCGAGCGGCAGCGAGGATGCGCTCGCCAAGGTCTCCCAGCGCGGCAGCCTCACTCCTATTGATGAGCCTCTCGAGCCCGTCTATGAGGAGGAGGAAGAAACGGTCCCGCTTGCTCATAATGGCGAATCCTCCAAGCTCAAGATCGAAGCATCACATGCGCGTTACGGACGCAACGCGGTTCGCTCGCGCTCCAACAGCCCACACAAGCGCTCTGAGCCTGTAAGTCCTGGCGCAGAAGAGAGCGTCATTACTCGTGCCGCGCATGCTGCTCAGCATCGGCGCCCGCGCCCGAACAGCCCACCGCCAGGTCAGAAGATACGAACGAACGACATTATCACGGCAACGCCAGGTCAAGGTGATGTTCCCAAGCTTCCGAGAGGCGCTCTTGGCAGCGTCGACAGCAAGGAGAGCAAGAAGGATTTCGAGTGGCCAGATGATGTCTTTTGAACAAGGCTAACCTTACATGCATAGCGGGAGTCTGGATTGATCCAGGACCGCTCGAGGTACATACTTACACAGATTGAGCACACGATTGACTAGTTGCACATAGCACGCACGGCATTGGTCATGAAGAGACGGTCGGAGCTTATGATAATGGAATTGATGCTTTCACGGCCAATCGCGCTCTGCTTCCGCCCGCTGCTTTTGCGACGCTTGGGCACTTCATTTCAGCGATGGCGGATTGGCGTTGGCATGGATGTTTTTTTTTTTGGAGACGACGACAGATGGATCGAGGCGGTTGGGAGCGTTCTTGTACCCAGTTTAATAGTAATGGCATGGCGAAACTCCACACTGCACTGCTCTCCTTCTCCACAACCAGGAACTGCTACAGGTTCGGATACGGAGACAGTTCCTGATTCGAGGGGATCGAGCAACGCTTAGGAGCGGACGGCGATTGCTCGGTGTTGTCTTCCTGGTTGTTAGTGGGCGCCCAGGCGCGTTCGAGTCCAGTCGCCGGGCAATACAATTCGGAGCAGACACGCTTACCACCGTCCAGTCTCGGCGCCACTACCTTACTGTCCTCTGCTACGGCAGGCCTCGCCGCATCCGTTGATTCCCCCCCGGCCGTGCTCAGCGTGGTCCCCGCCGCCTCTGCTCGCGTTGGGGGATTGTCTCCAGCTTTTTTTTTCTTAGAACGTAGGACTACGGGCGCGCCAAGGTTAGGTAAGGTAGCTACCTCCACCGAGTAGTAGTGCAGTGTCTCTCCGCACCAGCCCGCCGCCGCCTTGAACCTACCTACGAAGGCCCCATACCTTACCTTCCCTGAGCTACCTTAACCACTGCCACTTCACTGCCACCACTGCCACCACTACCTACCCTTCCCCTACTCTTGCGTGCTCCTTCCACTGCCACCGCTCCCGGGCACGCGTCGCGACGCCCCATCCGCTCGCGACACTCCCTCCCGCCTGCATTATCATCGCATCCTTCCGCCGGTTATCCTCCCGCACGTACCACGGTCCCGCTGATGCAGCCGTTAGAGGTGCCTGCGGAGTCTGCCGTGCATACCTCAGAGCACTGCACCTGCTCCCGCTGCAGCGTCTCGTCCTATCCTTTGCCTCTTCCACGACTCGCCTCCCTCCCGCCGCCGCCGACGACGACGACGACCACCACCGACGACCTCCAGCTGGACGTGGTGGAAGTGGAAGCACGCGCGTGGGTCTTCCGCTAGCTCCAGCGGAAGTTGCAGGTGCGTGTGGGGAGAGAGTCAGGGCGCAATGGATTCGAGGAACCCGGACGGCCTGTCCGACTGGAGCGACATGAACTTCCTCAACTCCCACTTCGAAGATGGAATGCAGACCGATTCCTCCCTCGGCAACAGCGCCTTTGCCGACTTCACCAACCTCGACTCCTACACCAGCGACACCCCCATGGGCTTGATGATGCGCACTCCTTCCAAGTCCGGCCCCGAACCTTCCACCACCGCAGGCGCCCAGAATACACCCGACGGCCAGTTCACGACGGGCGCATCCGCCGAGAGCTCGACAGAGGACTCCGCCTCCGATTCATCCAGCCGGCGCAAGAGGAAGACGAATGAGTCGGAATCTCCCATGCCAGATCCTGCCACCGAGGTGGGGAGGAGGGAGGGACAAGTCAAGAAGGAGGAGATCACATTGTCCATGGGAGGTATGCAACACGTGCCGAGCTTCGAGAACACCTTCTCCCAGCCCATGCATAACCTGTCACTGGAGCAGAGCTTGAGCCACGGGGACAGCAACATGAGCAGCCAGTATGATTTCAACAGCGCGGCCTCAAGCCCCATCCAGACCCATAGCTTCAACTCTGCCATGTCTTTGGATGCTTCTGTCATGCCTCGCAATGCGGTCGCGGCTCAGTTCAACCAGGATTCGCCGGTTCAGACCATCAATCCGGGCATGTTCCAGATCTCAGCCTCCCGAGACCAGTCGCCGGCTACCAACAACATGATGTTCAACCAGGCGTCTGCCTCTCCGCACGCCATCTTCTCCACTCCATCTTCTGACAGCCAGGAGACCTTTCCAGCCAACCAGACCTGGAATCCGGCGCTCCCTCAAAACCCCGCCTGGCCTGGTGATTTTGGAAGCCAACTTGCCTCTCCCGGGGCAATTAACTTCACTCCATCGCCTGGCGCCAATGGTGTGACTCCGGGGACCACAGCTCGTGCGCCGCCCGCTTCAGGCAGATCCCCACTCCATATAGCGCCCATTTCAACAAAGTCTCGCGTAGAGACGCAGATCAATGTAGTCATGACTATGGAGAAGCCACCTCCCGGTATAGAGCAGCTTCACCTCCCATTGCACACCATTGCGAAATCGAAACTGTTGGCAAAGGAGGAGTATGAGAAAGCAAAGGTCTTGGAGCTACACACGATGCTTGTGTGCACCAGCGCTATGCACAACCCACAAATGCGCGAAAAGGCTCACCAGCGAGCTGCGGCTGCGAACAATGAGGAGATCCAACAGCGGGCGGAGCTGGCGAGAGAGACTGGAGACGAGGAGAAGAATGATCCAAAGAACGTTGAAGAGGCCGACAAACCTGCGAATGGCGGCGAAGTCAGGATTTGCAACAACTGCATACAACGCGAGAGAAAGCGGGCGGGTCGCAAGAAGACCAAGAGGGAAGAAGAGCAAGCTCATTGGGAACGATTCGAGACGGAGAGGGTGGTGGTATTCAATTCTAATGAATATCTGCCATTCAAGCCGATTGAGCCTGGACAGCAATCCCAAAGAGATGGCCATGATAATGACCCATACGTCCCTCCCGAGGGCGCCATTCAAGTGGCTGCTGCAATGCGAATTGCTTGCTACTGCAGACATCAGAGCGAGAAGGAGGGCTTCCAAGTCATTTTCACACTCAAGGACCACCAGGGAAATGTTGTCGCTCAGCAGATGTCAGATTCGATTCTCATCACGGACGACCACAAGACCCATCCTCAGAGCTTTACGACCCCCGTAGGCGGCGAGGGCTTTTACTCGAATCCAGCTTTCCTCCCGAACGGCTTACCTATGTCGCATTCTATGGTCGACATGACAACACACGCTCAGCCCTTCACTTCGTCCAGATCTGCAGGCAACCTTCAGGCTTTGGCGTACCAGGCTCAATTCAATCCACATCATAGTCATGTGCACCAGCTTCCTCATTCAGGGTATGCGTCTCAAACGACGTCTGCCACGATGACGCCCACCAGCCTCTCCAGACCTGGGTCTCCTTCAAGTGCCGGTCAAGCGGGTCCGAACAAGAAGAGGAAGTCTTCTTCATTTCACCGCAAGGTTCCCAGTGGCCTGACGATGACTCCACGGGTTGACACAAGCCAGCCACCTTCGTCAAATCTACCCTCCGCTGCTTCCATCAGCTCGCAGTTTTCACCGGGCTTTCCAGGAGCCCCGATGAATCAGTCGTACATGACGATTCCAAACAACAATGGACCGGCACAGTACTTTGGCAGTGGCCCGCCAACACCGAACGAGAACGGACCTTTCAACCTCAGTCAGCCGCAAGTGGACGTGTCCAGAATGAACAACCAGGCGTACTTCTCGCACCCGTCTTCCGCGGTTCCTAGTCGGTCCTCTTCCCCTGTCTTGCAGCAGACGCGTGCGAACATGGCTGCGTATGCCTGTCAGCAACCCATTCAGACGCCAACCAATTCAATGAGTGTTCGGCCGCCTGTGTTTACCGGCCAGCTTCCTGGGTCTGCTATGACAGACACAAACCATGGTGGATACCCCGTGATCACCAAAATATCGCCAAACGAAGGTCCGGTCTGTGGCGGCACAGAGGTCTGCATTTTGGGCGAGAACTTCGTTGTCGGAATCTCCGTGGCATTTGGTGAACATTCAGTGCCAACTCAGTTTGTCAGCGAGCACTCGCTCCTCGTCACTTCCCCTCCAGGCCGTCCAGGCTCTGTACATGTCAATCTACATCCTCCCGGTGCTCCTCATGGGCCCAATGCGCGCTACCCGGAGCCTTCCAGCAAGCCTATCTTCCGATACGTACCGCAAAAGCCTGAAGATATGATGGTGATGGCTCTCAAATATCTCAGCGAGCAACATTCTGGGAGCGGTGACAATTGGCAGAATCTTGCCCAGACGTCGGCCACGAGCTACATCCAGCAACACGTGGGACAGGCGGGTCTACAGCAGCAAGGCTACCCGGGTCGATACAGGATGGCTATGGGCTCTGCACCAGTGGATGATCCGCTTCTAAAGATGCGAAGGCACAGGCAGTCTCGAGCTCTGCTGCACGCAGGCTCTCAGAATGGAGTAGAGAAAGCGCGCAAGTTGCCGCCCAATACCTCCACGACAGTGTGGTCCGATCCGCCGACATTTCAGGATCCGTCGAGTGTCCAACAGATGTCTCTGCCGAGCTTGAGCGATTCTCGAAGGTCCAGTGTTCCGGTACCTGGAGATGCTTCTCACGCCCTGGCTCGAACAGTGGAGCTACCACAGCCGCCTCTAGATGCACCACAGCTCGTTCATCTCCAGTCGGACGTTCTTTCAGCCTCATCATCGGCAATGCAACCATCAGTCTCCAGCGATGTGTCTTCCGATCGGACTTCGAGGGAAGGTGAGGTGGTATTGCAGGACGGGGCAGCGCGAACAGCTGCGGTGGGAGAAGTTACAGGCCCAAAACGTGTCGGGAGGTTAAAGCCCACGAATACGATGAGCTCATCGCCAATGTCTTCCGCCGTGGCGTCTCCGAATAAGACCGACACGGCGACTATCGCTTCGTGGCTCTTGGTGAGTAGTTACGTGCAGCAGCACTCCACAGCAATGACTGACCGTCTCATCTCGCAGATGCCGTTGGCCGTGCTTACTACTACGACGTTGACCACGATGCACCTCACCCAGCCCTTTGCATGCGCGGTGACGGACGATTACGATCGAACACGGCGATCTTTGCGGTTTTGGCGGAGCCCGGAATTGGCTGCTGCTGCTGCGGCCGCGGCCTGATTTCACACAGGATATGATCACGAAATGCATGTACCAGTCATGACCAATGGATTTCAAAGGATGGACGGATGGACGGACGGACGGACGGACGGATGTCACGGCTTCCGGCGTGTGTGGATGTCTGTCTCTCTGTGAATAGGGCGCAAAAAGCAGGCGTTTTTGTGGATGATGTGTGGATGGATGGATGGATGGATGGCGTGATGTGAGGTATGGGCTGTCGGATGGATACCCACCGGCCAGCCAAGCCAAGCCAAGCCAAGCCCAGCCAGCCAGCCAGCCAGCCTTTCTTTTTATGCTCCTGGCAAGTTTTTGATGCGGGAAAATTCTTATCTTGCCTACGTACGAGCGAGCGAATACATGTCCGATGGGGGATGGGGGTTGGGTTGGGTATGGTGGGCGGAATGTGTGCGGTAACATTGCATGGATTGGGGTGTGGGGGTGACGATGATGGTGATGGTGATGGTGGTTGTGATGGTGGTGGTGGTGGTGATGGCCTTTTTATTCTTTCTTTTCTTTTCAGTTCCGATGGATTGGATGATGATTATTGATGTGTGCTGTTGCTTCTTTTTAATTCCTCCACTACTACTACTACTACTACTATTGAGGCTTTTTCATGGGGGAGGGGGGCTATGGAAAACACGAACGGGTCATGAGCGATGGGGCTGGGGGGTTGGGGGGAATGTGTGAGAAAAGTTGTTCTTGGGTTCGGCAGAGGGCAATGGAGATGCTGTCCGGATATGTCAATGAATGAATGGATGGGTGAAGGGAGAGGAGGGAAGGAAAGCTAGAAGGAGAAAGAGTAGTTTTATTATGAATATGAATTTGGAGGTATTGAAAAAACAGGTTTGGAAAGGTATACCCGTGTCCCGATTGTGACACGAGAGGGCATGCTGTTGACCGACTGATGTGGACGCCCAATGTTGCATGCTCGCCTTTGATATCAGATCATGGTCTCCTGTCGTTGTGGGGCAGAGAGTACAGATTAACGCATTGGGAAACCGTCATTGAAGTCATTGAAGAGTGGATCGGAGGGCAAGGCAGGCATTGGCAATGGCACTGTCGGTCTGCGCCTGCGTCTGCATCTGCGTCTCCTTCTCTTTCCTTTCCGCTGTTGATGGAACACAACAGCTTTCTCCAGTTGCGGTGATGTGTTGTCTGCTTCCCAGGAATTCTGCGTCGTATAGACGGCATGTAGGATATTTCTTTCTTCGCTGGCGGTGGTGACGGGGAGGAAGAAGAGGGCTCTGCTACTGTTGCAAGCCACGGTTTTGTTATACGAGATGGCGTTGACGGAGCAGTGGGGGTGGTGGTGTGCAGAGCGGAATTGAGGAAGGTTGGGAGGTTAGGAGTGTGGCGTAGGACAAGCTGGGCAGGTTTGGTGAGCCTGCATTGCTTCCGAGATGCTGTGCAACGAAGCTAGCGAGGCTAGTGGTGCTTGTGAGTCGGAAATTTCAGCACAATAAGCAGGATTATGCAGGCTGACCTCGATCGTTGATCTGTCTGCATGCTATGCTGCTCTGGAGGGGAGAGGCGCTGGCGGCCAGGAGGCTGACCCGAGAAGACGGAGGCGGTAGTGTGGAGGCAACTTAATAACCGAAGGTGAGGTAGCACAGGCAGGTGAAAAACTGGCACTGCACACTGGCTGGCAAGACGGGATGTGTGGATGCGTGTGCGATGTGCGGTGCGAGGCGAGGCGGGTAGCGGCAGAAGGCCCGAAGGCGTGTCGACACGCTCTCGCTTGTTGCTCCTCCTGCTGGCACTCACTCCATTCTTTAGGTATGTACTCGCGTCTTGGTCTGTTCTTGTGTGGCTGATGAGAGCGGAGCGGTCGACGGTGCTTGGCGCTTGGCGCGTGGTGCTTGATGCTTGGGGTGCTTGGGTGCGCTTGCGGATAGATGCACATCATTGCAGATCCGCTCGGGTCTCTTCACCGATGAGGTGAGTAATGCACGAAAGCGCCATGTGACAGGTTCCAGCTCCACGGCGAGCGTCGATGCGGTCAGGCAGGCAGGCGGTGGAAGCGAGCGATATGGAGGAAGAGTGGGACGTCGCTTCGGAATCGGACGCTGGGCTCATGACTGGCTCAGCACGCGACGCCTCGCCTGTCCCATGGCAGATTGATTGCAGATTGATTGAAGCGCATGGAGGCGTTCCTCGTACCACGGTTCCAGTGCTGATGAGCGTGTGCTGGATTGATTGCGGTGATGGAATCTGCACAAGGCGCGCACGTTATCGAGATTGGCTTACCCTGTCCCGTCCTCCTGCACCGTCGTCCTGCACTGCACTATCGTCCCGCAGTAACACTAGCCTCGAATCTTGATGCCATCGTCTCCTGATTCAGGTGTCGCGAGAGATTAGCGGGACACGCCTGAGCATTACTCGTACGTAGGCGAGACGGAGAGGTGTGCAGCAGGCGTGCGTGAATCAGGTACATGTAATAGCTGGAGGCGAGCAGGGGCGTGAGGTGGAGCCCGACGTGGAGTCTACGGCCGGCGATCGGAGCGTTCAACGGCGACTACCGCAGCAGCCGTCCACAGTCTCGCGAGTCACAAGTGTCTCTGCCAGGGCGCCGGTTGTCCGAGATCTAAGACAGGAGCTGGCGTCCCCGCTGCATGGGTTCTCTGGGGTCTGTTTGAAATGCCGAGCAACGGCTACCGCTGCAGGAGAGGGCGTTCGTTAGACGAGATTGAGCGGCCACCTTCCGAACATGGCGGGTGAGGAGCTTGTCTCTCACCGCGCCCGGACACGTGGATCGCAACCGTGCGGTGGGCGTTCACCTTGTTGTTGAAAGCGCGGCGCGCAGGGTATAAGCTCCAAGACCGGACTGTGGACCCTCTCCGCCTCTCACAAATCCCCGGGGCGGACTTTGCCGAATTCTGCCTGATGGCAATGTGCAAGAGCAGCCCAAGCAAGCAAGCAAGCCATGCACCTCTCAGAGCACAGGGCATACTGTAGCTATATCGCTATGGAAAGTATCGTGTGGGCGGCACGGGAGGTGAGGTCATCCAGATAACAGCTGGCGAACGGCGGGCGAATGCCACGGGAGGAAAGACGGGACTACGGCTCATACTTTCTGGCGGCGCGCCGGACTGGGCCTAGTCTCGCCGGGGGGCGTGGACGTCTCCACTGCGCACCTCTCGGCAGCGCCAATCAGAGACCATCTGGGTATGGGGTCCGTGCGTCGCTTCTCGGTCGCGCGCCAGGTTCAGGTTCAGGTTTCGTTACCCTTACCCTACCTCCTACCTCCTACCTTCATCACGCTCAACTCTCTCCTGCACTCTGCTGCCGCTGCTGCTGCTGCTGTTGCTGCTCGCTGTCCTCCGTCGTCGCCGTCAGGTCAACAGGTCAACAACTCCGGCGGCCCTCACAGCGTCACAGCAGTCGAGGAGATCGGGCGGAAGTACCGTCTGACCACTCTGCATCTCATCGCCCCGCGCCGCGCCGCTGCCAACGCCCTGGACGGTGGGAAAGGAAGGAAGGAAGCTGCCCTCGCTGCCCAGCCTGCGCCTGCCTGCCTGCCCAGCCCGCTGCATCTGCACTCCCCATCGCTCGACGCTCGACGCCAACACGCCAACACACCATCCTCCTTGACCACACGTCCGCGCCTTGGACGCATTCCACGGCAGACCGGCGCGCGACAATCAACCGTGAGTGCCTTGCTTCCAGGCGCGCTTCCCTGTCACTGCCAATCCAGCTGTTCCGGGTCCTCGGGCGAGACCAACACCACGGAGCAGGTGCGAAGCTGTTTTGACCCTTCCTTCCTGAACCTTTTCCCAGCACAGCACCAGCACCAGCACCGCTCCTGCTTCCCACTGCTGTCCCATCAATCATCGCCGTCGTCGGTATCGTATCGCTAACCGCTGCGTGCCAGACCCTTCCTGCATCATCCACGCGCCCATCGCATCGCCTTGCCTTGCCGGTGCTTATTGCTATTGACCGCTCACGAGCGACCATACATCTTCTACCATGGACAGCATGGAGCGACGCGGGACCGTCGTGGTCGACAACGAGACCATGAGCTCATCTACCCGCATCACCACCGACGGCCGCACTCTGACCTACCAGATGACGGTCTTGCAACAGCCGCTGCGGGCGCGAGCATGCGGCCAAGGCGCAAAATGTGAGCCATTTCTCCTCCATCGTAGTACTACCCTCACGCCCCATCCTGACTTTCCCCTCCAGCTTCTGCCGACCGCCGTCCCGTGGACCCTCCCCCGATCGTCGAACTCCGCATCTTTCAAGGGGAGAATCGCGAAGAGGACATCACCTTTTCCATGAACGCCAATTACTTTTTGTTTGCCACGCTGGAGAACGCCCGTCATATCGCCCAAGGCCGTGTTCCCCAGGATCGAAGTACTCCCCCCGTGCTGACTGGTACTCCCGTTGCCGGAATGGTGTATCTAGACAGGCCGAAACCAGCTGGTTACTTCATCTTTCCGGATCTTTCCGTCAGGCACGAGGGCAAGTACAGACTGAGCTTCAGTCTATATGAGGAGCTCAAGGTGGCCAAGGACGACGACAAGCCGGAAGATGGCGTCGCGCAGAATCCCGCCGGAGATCCCCATGTCACGCATCGCCTGGAAGTGAAATCGGAGCCCTTCATGGTCTTCAGCGCGAAGAAGTTCCCAGGCCTGACGGAGAGCACTTCCCTCAGCCGCATGGTTGCCGAACAAGGATGTCGTGTGCGTATCCGGCGTGACGTGCGGATGAGACGGAGGGAGCCCAAGACCGGAAGCAAAGACTGGGACGATTATGAGGACGAGACTGCTGCAGCGCGCGCAAGAGCATCCGCAACGCCAGATTCGAGCATGTATCCGCCTCAGATGGTCCAGCCCGGAGGATACATGGAGCCAATTCCCCGCCCACGGTCCGCCAGCAATGCTAGTCACCAGTCCCTCGGGTCTCTATCTCGCAGACCGTCCGTGCAGGAGATGGGTCCGGCTTACCATCAGCCTCACTATGGGACCGCACCGCACACCCCTCAGAGTACCAGCTATTCCCAGACGTCACCCTACGGGCAACCCCAGAGCCAACCCTACCAGTCAGCCTCGTTTGTACAACAGCAACCTTCCATGCAGCCTCCGCCTCCACAGTACCAGTCTCAGGGTTATCCGGCACCACCGCCGCCGCCTCCAGTCCCCCAGGCACCTGCCCAACAGTACTCTTACGGCTACCAGCCAGCACCGGCTCCATCACAACAACCCCCATACAGTGCTCCCCATTCATATGACTCGGCACAACCTCGGACAAGCGTGGACTATTCCTCTCACATACCGACGGACTACCGACGTGGCTCGGTACAGATTCCGCCGCCCCCACCGCCGCCTCACGTCGGCTACTCTCCAGCACCACCTCAACCGAGCTACCCTGCTGCCACGCAACAGCAATACCAGCAGCCACCGCAGGTTCCTCCGCCTTCGTACTCTTCGACGGACTTCTCCAAATCTCGTCCGGCGCCAATGGAGCCGCCTCGAACGGCGGGTGCGAACACACCCATGTCGGCCGGCAAGGCTTTCGGCTTGCCACCTATCAACACGACAGTCATGCCAAGCAACAAGCTCGAGGCCTCGTCGCCGCTCTCTGCGGCTCCGCAGAACCAATACTTTGGCAGCACATCTCTGGACACACATAAGCGCAGCTATGGTAACGTCTTCAGCGACAAGCATCAGAAAGGACCTCTGCGACAAGGCGCACGACCCAGCATCGCATACGGTCAACCAGAGGGCGGCCACGGTTCCAGCATGTCGGCTGTGGACGAGGATGACAACGTGGGCGGTGATCTCGATCCACAGACTCTGGGCATGGCTTATCGACGTGCCGACGGACGACAAATCAAGCGCGCGTTGCCAATGCAGCACGTCTAGTCAACGGCCAGGCGGAACAGGTCGTGAATGCATCCGGGCGATCCCTTCTGGATGGGATGATGACGACGACTCAGACGTCCAATAAGTTTCAGTACACACCAAAAACTCTCGGGCGGCGAACAGGACTGGGCGGACGGTCTATGAAAGCACGGCGCTGTAGGCGTATGATTGAAGCGTTTTGTCGAGATTGCTCTTGCAGCTGCGATGATAACCATCTCATTTGTTTGTTCGGGACGGGAAGGCCAGGGAGCGGAAATGCGCGGAGATTTTGGGCGACGGGCTTCCTGGGGGCGCGGCTTGATCTAGAGCCTAATCTGGCCCACATTTCATTGCATGTCTTTGATTCCGCTTGACCTTGGGAGGAACGATGGAGGGAGGAAGCGACCGATCGACATCTATCATCACCGACCACATGCACCATTCGGTATATTCTTCTACGAACTTTACGATACGCTTCGCATCCGTGCGGCCTGGTGGAGACAATCTTTCGAAAGAGGAGAGGAAATTGTATGCGCTGGAGCCATGGGAGCCAGTACGGTATTCATAAGTTAGATGACGAAATTGATACGTTTTGGTCCAAAGGAAAAAGCAAGAGGTCACTTCTCTTGGCTTCTGTTTGTGTTGTTGACAAGGACCTGGACATGATGATGATGATGATGATGATGATGCTGCTGACCGTCGTTCTGGAGCAGCGCCCACACAACTTCGAGGCAACGCGTCTTGGTTGGCCAAAGCCAAAGCCAGAGGGAGGTTTTTTTTTTTTTTTTTTTTTTTTTTGAGCAAGACCGGGTTAGGACACTAGATATTGTGACCAGTATCCCCCGATTTCCCAAGTTCGCTGCTCTTCCCTTTGCTCTGATGGATGCGTTTCGAGTCCCGAGTCCGAGTGCGTTGGCCGATTGTGCACAATGGAATGGCCCTACCTTACCTTATGAAGAGAGACCGATATACCACTCATAATTCCGTCACGCGCCAAAAATCGCGGGAAATGGTTGGCACTGCACTGCACTGGACTTGAACGGAGAGCATAATATACATCCCATTTCCCATTCCCATCATCCCATTCCCATCATTCCATTCCATTCGATTCCATTGTTTTGGAGAATCAGAATCAGGATCAGGATCAGGATCCTTGCTTGTTATCTGTTGGTTTGGGGAAACTACACGCGAGAGAGAGAGAGAGAGAGAGAGAGAGAGAGAGAGAGAGAGAGAGAGAGAGAGAGAGAGAGAGAGAGAGAGAGAGAGAGAGAGAGAGTGTGTGTGTTGTGTGTATTGGTTGCCCCACGGCCTTTTTTTTCTTTGCTCCTCTGTTTGACTGAACGATGTCTAGATATATATATATATATATATATATATATTTATACTATATGGCAAAGGTTGGATGGATGGATGGATGGAGGGGAGGGGTTTGTGCAGGATCGTGGAGGACCATAGATAAAGTCGTGGGGGGTCAGCGGGAGGAAGGAAGGGGAGGATGGGGGATGATAGGTAGGGATGGAAAGAAGCCTTTTCTTGGACGTATAGAGCCTGCTTCATATGTGATATAGGTTTGGACTTCGTGTTGTGTGGGTATTTGTTTTGGGCTGGGTGGGTGGTTGATGTGGTGGATTCGGACTGCTGCTATTCTATTCTATTCTATTCACACTGTGCGTACCGACGACGAACCCAAGCCAAGTTGCTTTTTGAATTTTCTAGATGCATACTATATGGCGAAGATTAGATAGAGAGGAGAGGAGAGGAGGGGAGAGGAGAGAAGGGGAGGGGAGGGGAGGGGTTTTGTGCAGGACCATGGAGGACACAGATAGTCGTGAATCAAAGGGGGGGAGGAGGAGGAGGAGGAGGAGGAGGAGGAGGAGGAGGGGGGTTGATGTTGATTCGGACTTGTATTCTATTCACAATGCGTACCGACGACGAACCAAGCCAAGTTGCTTTTGAATATCTTCCCCGTGCGCTGATGCATCCATAAGTGAAACCTTTTCCTTTTCCTTTCCCTTGCCTTTCCTTTCCTGTCCTTTCCCCTTTGCGTTCCCTATCCTTTCCCTTATCATCCCTTCCTTTCCCCATCCTATGCACAAGCAAAAAGACTTTTGATGCCCCGTACTCCCTTAACCCATGTCCCAAAAAATCAAACACCACAAAACTTTTTGTCCCCTACACCCTTAATTCGCTTCCAATGCATTACTAAGACCAGGGTATCGCTCCCACACAAAACACTTTTCTGATATTTTCATCATCATCATCATCATCATCATCATCATCATCATCATCAAGACAACTTGGTCCTGTACTGTCCATAAAGGCGCCGGATCATCTGTAACCTCGTCCGCCACGACGAAGGGTACTCTCCCGCTTCGCCACCAGCCTGCCACATGGCGGAGAAGACACAAGCATTCAGGGTCAAGTTCCTCACGTATCCGCCGAGGGAGGCGCCCGAGATGACCTTGACCTCGCTCGCCGAGGAGAGATTCGGATATCCCGGTCGCGTCTTGCAGTGCACGTTGTAGAAACGGTCCTTCTTGGCCTTGGCCGCGGTAATCTCACGCGCTTGGAGGAAGGTGGTACGCTCGGACGGCGAGATGACGACGTAGACGTAGTTGAAAGCGCTGGGGAACGTGTCGAACTGGAAATCGAGACCGGAGTTGTTGAAGACAATATTCACATAATCGTTTCCGATGTGCCTCTTCTTGTTGACAATGGACGAGTGCTCGTCCGCCGGGTTGTTAGGCATGAAGGTGGTGATATGATACACCAACTCCGTGACGTCGTTGTTCCAGACTATGGTATATGCTCCGTCGAGGTCGTCTTGACGATCAAGGCCCTGGGTATTGAACGTGGCTCCTTTCAACTTGCGGAGGGAGCCCATGTCTTCGAGGAAGTCTTTATAGTCAGGACTACCAGAGACATTCAGAAGTATGTCCTTTTCGGCAGTCTGTTCTTCGCCAATGTAGATGATGCCAGCCTTGTGTGAGTCGAGCGCGGATGTGCGATCGAATTGCTGGATGGCGCGAGTCACGGCGGGATTCTCTGGCAATTCAATGATTTCCAGTGATCCCAGGGCCGAAGATGGTCGTGGAATTGCCACTTTTCCGTACGTACGTCCGCTAATGTCGTCGGGAAAGACGCTAATGTAATCCTGCTCGTCGCTCTCGACTGTGACCGAAGCGGTGAAGCGAGTCTCCAACTCGGCAGTCATCGCGCTATCATGGCGCTTCTTGGACGTGATAGTACGTTGTGCTGTCCCTGAAGGTCGTCGAATTGTGACGATGGTCTTTCCAGTCCTCAGCGAAGTTTCCGTTGTAATCAACAAGATACCAGTGACTCGATGTCGCGTGATGATGCGCCCATCTTTCTCATCAAAATACTGCTCAAGGGGAGCGTTGATCTGCTCTTCGGCATCGACTCGGTCCATGAGATCGATCGTCACCATCCCTTGTTCTTCTATATGCTCTCTGTCGTCCAGGTCCTTGTATCTAAGACAACTAGTGATGTAATCCTTCAAGCCATGACGGTCGTCTCTCTTCAACGCCATGTACCAGAACGTGATGATGTGATGTGCCAGTGTGTACACATACTGTGCCATCTCATCGCTTGAAGTGCTGCTACTTAGTCCGGCACTATGCTCGCTAGTCGGCGTGCGCTTGCGCTCCAGTGCAGTCGTACTCCGGATCGACTGCAGGTAGCTGTGGCAAACTCCAAAGATTCGCTTGAAATCTTCACGCCGTAAACGATCCTGGAGGTCGGGAAAGCGAGACAGACCGGCGAAGAACTCGAGAACATAGAGAGCCAAGTATCTCTGGGTGACCATGCGAGTCATCTTGTTGATGATGGCATCCATGTATCCAGCCATGAGTTCTGGAAGCTCGTAGCAGCAGATTGTCAAAGCATGGATGCAGTGGATGCTAACAGTGTGGTCCCGCGAGCCTGCGACGTTGATAATGGTGATTACCGCAGCTTTGATGTCGTTCCGTGGCAGATGGCTGTGGTAGCTGATTGTTGCACTCAGGATCTGCAACAGATAGGCAATGACGCTAGATTTGGTCTCCCCTGACTGTGCAGGCGGCTCCACGAACGAGTCGCCGCTGAGACATTCGCAGAGGGCTCGTCGAATCCTGTTGATGTACTCGTATCTACCACGCCAGAGAGCATGGTTCCGGATCTGAGGCGCCAGAGATCTCAAAAGCTCGTGGTAGACATCCCACCGCTGCGGTTCATGGGCGATCAGGTCCTGCAGGGCGCTGACCCACGACTCAAAGGAGAGAGAGGTCAGTCCATAGAGAGTGGAGTAGCTCGGGAGGGCTGCAGTATCTGAGCTGCTCGTGTGTGCTGTGTCCCTTTCCAATGCTAGATAGCCCTGATCCGCCTCATCCGCGCGTATCCTCAAGAGTAGCCTCGTAGCCTCAAGACTATGCTTTGCAATGGCACACAAGATCGGAAACAACCAATTGCGCTGCCCCTCCCACTTGTGCTTCTGGGTCTTGTGGGTAAAAATCTTGACCATGCCCTTTGCCAGAACGTCGACAGCCGGAGCCGCGGTGCCCGGGTCGAGAATCAGGGTCTCCAACGTGTAAACGAAGTCTTTCCTGGAGACGTAGTCCTCCGTTTGGAAGAAGGCCGAGACACTGGTGGTGATGAAAGCGTCGAGCTCGGCGAGATAGAAGGTCGAGTCGCACAATTTGCCAAGGACGGTGCGATATTCGGCGGTCCACATGGTGTCCTCCTCGAGCAACAGAGCGCGCTGCCACGGCACGACCAGCTGGCTGGAAAGGGACGCTGGCAGGGGCATGCGCGCTTCCACAAACCACTGAGCCATCCTGGGATGGTGACGCGCCTCCAGAGCGGGAATCTTGGTGGAGAGATTTTCGAAAGCCGACTCCAAGATGTCGCGGTCGACGTCGGTGCCGTGCTGGATGCAGTCTCCGAAGACGTCAAGCCAGATGTCCCATGCACCGACCGCGTCAATCTGCTGTGTCAATCCGTCGTTCTGCAGAAGGCCGCTCAACAGTGCGACAAGCTGCTCCCGCAATATGACATTCTCCCCAACACCAGCATGTCGCAAGCCAAACAGGAGCTGTGTCGGATTCACAAGTGGCGGGTTAGCATGGCGGTCTGGCAACAATTTCTCTGTGATGACCATGAGGGCGCCCGTGGCTGCAGACAGCTTGAATTTGGAGAGCTGGGTGTGCGGGTCCCGGACAATGACGAGCAGGATGGCCGCGAATTGGCCACCGAGGTGAGATTGAAGGATGTGGGATGCAACGGTCCAGGCACGATGGCTCAGCTTCTTGTGTCTGAGCGAGCGGGTACCCTGGTAGTAGGAGTAGGCGAGGAAGCGGATGGGCGGAAGCAGGACGGGCAGGAGAGAGTAGGTGACGATGGTATCGATGAGGCTCAGGGCGGCAAGCAAGTCTGCGGTGGAAGAGGAGCGGCTGGTGACATCGAGGGCGGTCTGAAGCAGGGTTGAAAGGGCGGCCGGGGCGAACCACTTGGCGTGGAACTGGATGGTCCTGCCGGCTTCCCGTAGCACCTCTGCGAGCGGAGGATGAGGAGGCAGGATGGGCGAGGAGGAGGAAGTCTTGGACGGGTCGTACTCGCACAAGGCGATCTCGCGGGTCAATCTCTCGCAGGCAAAGGTCTCGTAGGGGGCTATGTCGCGGTGATGGACCTTGCCGGCGTCCATGTTTCGGGAGCGGGCGGGGGCGGTGGCGGTAGCGGGGTGATGTGCAGGAAGTCGCGGTCGCGGTCGCTCGGTTGATATTGCTGTTGATGAGGAGGCATTGGGTGGTGGAGGCGGAGATGAAATGGCACTGCGAGGGTGGATGTCAATGTCGGCGTTGCATGTATGCCATACCACGTTGCACCCCGATTCCGTTCGCAGGCCACGATACATGTACATGTAGGAGGCGATGAGGAGAGATCAGGATATATCCGTCCGGCACGCACGCACGCACCGGGTCCTCCTGACGGGCACGGACGGTCATCACCGTCACCGTCACCGTCACCGTCACCGTCGCGGTCACGAGAGAGGAGGCGAGCAGGCCAGGACGGAGGCATCCCCACTGCACGCCGAAACACGTCCAACGGCAGGCGAAGGGGGGGGATTACACACGGAGGCAGTGCAATGCAGCGCGGCGTGGAGGAGTGGGTGGCAGCAGGAAGGGAAGGGAAGGGAAGGGGGAATTTGGAGGAATATCATGAATGGGAACGCACCTTGAATCGCCGCCAGAGAGGCTCGACGGCGGCCGGCATACTGGAGACGATGGGGCGGCATGGTGAGCCTCCATGAACCCTTGCGGATAGTACAGGTAGTAGCTCTTCGAATGCGTGCGTAGTAATAAATAATGGAGCTCTCCCAATGCTCTGGATGGATAGCTTGGCGAGTTGCTCCGGGTAGCTGTCCCAATAATGCTCAGTGTAGCCTTTCCGATAACAATCATGTGCGTGCGGCACCGAGAGCATGCTGCTGTCGAGGAGGGCGTGTTGGGTGGTGGATTTCATCACGTTGCCGCGCTGAGCGAGGATTGCTTCATGTATGTGCTCATCCGCATCCCGCGCGTGCTGTGAAAGCTGGCCGGAGCCGGGTTCAGTTGGTTGGCAACGAATCGCATCGCACTAATCGCCTCGCCTCGCCTCGCCCAGCACACACACACACGCACGCAGAAGCGGGATGGACGGAGAGGAATAGATAGATAGATAGGACAGATAGGAGACAGCACGCGCACAGCAGGTGAGGACGAGAATAACTCATGAAAAAAGCTGCACACTGCCTCCGTCGCCCCACCCGGAAGTGACCGCCCCAGATCCGAGAGGGCTAGTCTCACGCTGGAATCCACTCTCCATCCACCGCACACCACACGCACACCCTCCAACTACTCACCATCTCAGTGCACTGTGTGTCGGGTATACCTCCTCTTCCACCGCCGACGACATGCCATGACAAGGATGCCACCCCGATGGATCACTTCTCGCCCGTGGCGCCCGCCCACAATCACATGCTGGTCTTGCCAGTCGGCCGCCGTCTAGAACGCTCCCGCTTCACGGCCTTCCTCCGCCGCCTGCAGACCGAATCCAGCATCATCCCCCTCTCCGACGTCCACCACCACAAGTCCGACACCGATGCCTTCTTCCTCTCCCCCAACGCCTTTCCTCACGGCTCCTTGCTCTACCGCTTCTCCGCTGCACCTCCCTCCGACCAGCACCAGCACTTGTCGCCCTTTGACCTTTTCCGCGAGCCACTCCTGGTCCTCGGTGTCGTAGATGGCTCGCAGCGCTCCCCCGAGAGCACTCACAAAGAGCTGGAGGACGCCGCCGCATACCTGAAGGAGAGACATCCGCGCGTGGTCCATCGCCAATTGCTGATATTGGAAGGTCAGGATGGAGATACAGTTGCCTCGTCTCCTTCCGCTGCCATTGGCGTTGCCAATGCGGACACACCCAACGATCCCTCTCTCCGAGCAGCCATCTGTGAAGTCTCGGCGCGTTTCTTGGTGGAGCTCACGACCTATGCAACGGCCATGCACGCTTCACCTACCGTCCAGACCCCGGGTCAGACTGCTCGCAGCTTGCAGAGGACTACCTCGCTGCGGGAGACCGAGAGAAGGCCCGATTCCAGGCAGTCCACTCCTCCGCCGAGCGTGTCCACTCCTACCGACGAAGCCAGTCCAGCCAGACCTGCTTCACGCCCACCTCCCTTACCTGCAACCTCGTTCGATCAGATGCCCGGTGCCAACAGTGCACACACCGGCATTGCAAGGTCCGATAGCAGGGCGAGCGATCAGAGCAGCAAGGGCAAGAGAGGTACCCGCTCGTTCAGTCCAGACCGCGTCTCTGTCCAGGGCTTCGGCTCCAGCGCGTCGCAAGAGAAGGCCCGTATCAGGGGAAAGGCGCGCGTAGGAATTGTCCTTGGCTCGTTGTACATGATGGCCGGCAATTGGAACGGTGCGCTAGGTCTGCTGATTGAGCATACGGGAAAAGCACGTACTCTCGGTGACAACCTCTGGCATGCAAAAGGTATGGAGAACATGCTGGTGTGTATGATACTACTCGCGTGGTCCGGTATCGAGCTGCAAGTGCCCTCGATTTGCGATCCCATTGTGGACCGCTCGGGCGCAGAGCGAGCGGCACGAATCGCAGCAGAGACCAAAGCTGCAGCAGAAGGTACGAAGCAGCAGTTGCAGCTCTTCCGACTCTCACTTGCCATTCCCGATCTGATCAAGTTGATCCTGAACCTCTATCGTTCCACGGAAGGCTCGCTGGAGCTTCCATTCTTGACTGTGGCAGAAGCGACCGTCCGCCTCTCCAAGCTGTCGGCGATGATGAGCGCAAACGGAGGGCACATGGATCCAGCCACTCTACGGCCTCTCATTGTAAGCAACGAGGCAACGATCGACGAGGACGCCGTCGAGGCCAAAGCATATAGACCTACTGCAGCGAGCAAGCCAAAGCTGATGCCCAGAAGCGCCATTGCTGAGTTGCTGACTCAAGCGCTGCCCCATGGGGAAGACGGATTAGCAGTCGGCGACCAGATCAGAATACTGGCCGGCGTAGCATCTGTCTATGCCCTGCTCGGCATGGATCGCAAGAAGGCCATCATCGTCAAGGACCTCGTCGTTCGACTTACAGGAGCGATGATCCAAGCCCGAAAATTAGGCGCTGCGGAGATGGGCATCCATCCCGCTGCGAGCCTTTCTACCGAGACCGGTGCTGATACGCTCCTCGCGATTGTTGAAGAGAGCCGTGGTGTGAACGACCTCATTGCAGATGTGTCAAGGATATACGGCGCAAACGTGACTCCGTCGTCCACGTCGGACAGGCCTCTCTATCCCGATGTGAAAGAATTTGGAAACCCTCACTTGAAATTCGATCTGCTCAAGGAGCTGGTGGGGTTCTGTGAAGCCTCGCCGGATCCATACGGCGTGCTACTACTGACCGCCTCGCTCTTGAGAGCCGCCGGACCCAATGCAGCGATCGATACTGCACCGGCGGCAGTCCAGAATGCCTTCTCCCGCGAAGAGCAGATGCAGATTGCGACTGTGATCAGCCGTACTGTTGCCGTATCCAAACACCTCGGATTGAAGGACGTGCAAGCTGTTTATTGGGACCCATTCCTGGTTCGCGGCGTGGATATTCTCCCGCCAAGCGGCCAGCGAGCGGTGATTGATCGTACCAAACTGAGCAACATCGATGCACCTCGGGGCGAGACTGGTCCGGGCAATCCTCTCCTGTACGACCCAAACGCGAGCCGGCCAGGGACAGCCGTGACGAAGCAAACCTTTGTGTTGGTACAGAATGAGCCATCTGACTGCATTGTAACACTGCAGAATCCGTTCGACATCCCTATTGATATCGAGGAGCTGGAACTTATCTCGGAAGGCGTCGAGCTCTGCTCGAGGCATGACCCTGTTACACTCGGTCCTCTGAGAATACAGAGAGTGCGTCTGGGTGTTATATCTGCGGACGTTGGCACTACCAAGGTCACTGCTTGCCGGGTCAGGATGCATGGGTGCTCGTCTCAGGTCTTCCCAGTCATTCCGCAGGCGTGGTCTATAAAGACTCCACTTACAATAAAAGATGTCGGTCCGAGTGCGCGATCCGATCAGTCGGAGCACGACACGGAGGAAGAGCTGAAAGCCCTCGGCATTGTACCCGAGTCCCTCGCGGTTGCTATTATCGATGCACTTCCAACTCTTGCTCTGGGGGACGCTTCCGATCTGGAACTCGGCCTGATGCTCCTGGACGGAGAAGAGTCGCATCTTGAGCTCACACTGAGCAATACGGGAAGCATTGCGGCTTCTGTTTTCGAAATCGCGGACACTGGTGATGTTTTGCGATGGTCTGGCGGCGAGGCATCGGTCGGACCAAGCGCAAGCTCCTTGTCGCCTCCAATGGCGAATACAGTCATCGAGCCCGGCCAGAATGCAACCTTTGCCTTCCAGGTCACCGGCAGAGCAGGCGTGTCCGGTTCTCAAGTCAATTTCTTTTATTGTGCCGCTGGGTCGGACGCCGTGAAGCACGCGCGCGTCGTCTCGGTGGATGTAGACCTCACCGTGAACGCCGCTTTGCAAGTGCACAATCTCGAGATTGCACAAGGCGAGAGCGGCGACGACATGCTGCTCGTGTCGTTTGATCTGCGCAATGCGTGGCCGAAGTCCATCTCTTACAAGTCACTTGTTGACGGAGCGGCGAACTTTCAGGAGGGGCTTGGCGACTTTCCTGACCAGCAGGGCCTTCTCGCCCCCGGTGAAGTTCGCCGAGTATTTCTGGAAGTGCAGCATTCGCCTGGCGAGGCCATGTTTGAGGAAAGTATGGAGGTCGTTCGTACTGCTTTCTTGAGCCGTCTGCAGGTGTGTTGGGAAGTCGATGGCCGTCGCGGCGCGGTTGCTTTCCCAAGCTTTACGCTCTCGTCCGAGTCGATGGAGTTGCTGCGCGGATCTCCAATCCGCCTCTCGCTTGAAATTGCAAAAGAGGATGGTGCCGAAAGTGAGGGCATCGCGGTCGGGTCCTTTGTCCGCATTCGGGCGACGCTGTCGTACCGAGGGAAAGATGGGAGCGGTCCTCTGTCTGTCGTGCTGTCGCCTCGAACTCTGCATTTGCGACGCGATGAAGGGAGGCTGGCGGTTGTCGGGACGTTGAAGCGCGTGCGGCCGCCGCTCAAAGCTGGTGGTGAGGATGTCGTGGAATTCGTCGTGGTGCCTCTGGTTTCGGGGGAAGCAATGGGGATGGAAGCGGTTGTTCGTCCTGCTCACTTGGCGCCTCCGGCCACAGATCGTCCGGAGTGGATCGCACGGCGGACGCTGGTCTTTCCCGTAGCTCCTGCATAGAGATGTGTTAGCGAACAGCTTTTACCACGTTACTGGTCCTTGAGTGAATGATTCACCTCGCCCTCTGCATGCCCTTCTCTGGTCCTGCCGGATCTGCGGAAGAAGCGCTGGATCACGTCTTCAAAACAACACACTTCGAAAGAGTTGGCGACTGCAGTGCTGATGGGTAGGTCCCCTCGCTTGTATTCTCGAGATGTCTCATGGAAGATGCGTGTCTCAAAAATTGACAATGGAAGGCAAAACGCTTCACCGTGAGAGACGGCATCACAGTGGTCTCGAGACTTGACATGCTCACAACTAACGATTGCTAACACCCACAACCCTCCTTCCCTTCTCACCTCCACCTCCATCACCATCTACGCCTCTGCCTCCGCCTCCCCCAACGGCACACGCATCCCATGCAACCCCCGATAACCCGCCCTCTCGGGCTCCCTCCACTCCCTCAAAACCTCCCCCTCCTCCACCAACCGAAACACTTCCACCCGCAACGGCCGACAACACTCCTCCATCGCCTTTCCCTTCCCCTCCTCTCCGCCCCCGCCCTCGCCCCACCCCCACGCCGACAGATCCCCGCCGGGACACGTCGACAGCGCCATGAGCAGGTCCTGCTCGGCGAAGAATTCGATATAGTCGCCCCTGCGCGCCGGGCTCGTGGACATGAAATACTTGCCGTCCGCGTCCAGGCCCGTGACCTGGAAGACGTTGAGCACGTCGTGGATGTCCGGTTCCGTCAGGCCGTAGGGCGTCACGGCGCGGAGCAGGTTCGAGTGGCAGTGGAAGTCGTACGTGTCGCCCGAGAGGAGGGTGTTGACGTAGCTTTTGTACACATCCATTAGCCATCCATCAATAATTAAAAAAAAAAATCAATCAAGAGGTAAAGGGGAGAGAGAAGAAGACCTACGGATCACACCGCGTCCCCAACAAATCATGACACCTCCCTCCCCACTTATCAACCCCATACCCCCCATCCCCACCCCCGCCCAGCGAATCCCCCACAATCGTACACATCGGCCGCAAATACGGCAAACAGCTCCACAACCGATCATAGATACTCACATGCGAAGCGTGTAACTGCCTTGTGCGCGCCGCCCAGAAGCGCTCGCGCGGGTTCTGCGCGTTCCAGACGTTCAAATCGCCGACCTGCGCGCCTTCGGGGGTGGAAATTCGCACGATGCTGCCCTTGGGGGCGTGCCATGCGCGGCCGGAGCGGGGGGGTAGGGTGAAGGCGGTGGAGGTCAGGCGGCGCGGGGCGGCGGCGATGGAGTCGTAGAGGGGCTTGTTGGGGTGTAGGGGGGAGTTGGGGGAGGCGCGGTAGGCGGGGACTGGGGGATTGGGGGAGATGGGGAAGGAGGAGGATGCCATGCTGTTGTTATTAATTGCTGGATTAGGAAGTTGTGGGTGAATGAATCGATTTGGGAGGGGGGAGGCGGAAACCTTGATAGGTTTAGCACAACGCAGCAGAAGCAACGTATATAATGAATGAGCCATGGTTCTCATGATAAGGTAGGCAGGCCGATAGCGGCGCGCCCTTTCGGATTATGTCATCAGTTCATCCCTCCTCCAGAAACTAGCTATGGACATTTTCACGTTCCACATATAAGGCGTCAAATAGAGCCTGAGACTTCCACATCCGTCATATCGCAACATGCAAAACGCCTCGCTAACAAGAACCCCAAACTGTGACTGCAAGTCACTTGTCCAAATTTTGTCACTGCCGTCCCGAAGCACCATTGCTGCCCGAGCCTTGAGCACCACCACCGGTCTGTCCGTTGGGATCAAACATGCCCATCATGTCCTGGGTTGGGTATGAGTCGACGAACCAGGGCATCATCTCAAGACCAAGCATGCTCATGTCCACATCTTGCTGCTCAATCATCATGTCTCCAGAAGCAAAACTCATCGGCAAGCCGCCTCCCGGCCCATCAAAGAAAGCCGGAGAGGCGAAGGACTGACCGACATTGCCGTTCATCCCAGCACCGCCGCTGGTTGGAGCGGGCATTGGAGGATGGAGACTTGCAGGGTAGGAGTCGCCGGTGATTGGGTTTCCAGGAGATTGTGCACCTCCCGGCTGGTTGTACGGAGATCCAACGCCCAGAATCGATTCAGCTTCCCCATTTGAAGCTGCCGTGCCTCCACCGGCGTAATTCGACATTGCTTGTCGGCCAAGCTTTTCTTGAGCCGCAAGTCGCTGGGAGCTAGTGGAACCGGCATGTGGATGTCTGGGATATTGAGCATTCGGCAGCTGTCCGGTAGCTGCATCGTACTCGGCTGGATTCACAGAGCTAAGCCGAGGATCCAAGTTCGGATTATGACCAGCGCCACCACCACCACTTGCGTAGTGCCAGGCCAGATTTGTTGAAGGCGAATTCATTGTGCCCGTGAGTGTCCAGCCGATGGCTGTGTAATGATCATCAGCGGTGCCGATGAGTGGATCCTCAATCGCACCGTACGTACCTTTGCTGGGGTCTACTCCCCGTGGACTGCCAGGCACTTGCCCAAGACCTTTCGGCGGCCACGAGGGAGACTGATCGCTATTACCACTGCCGCCTCCAGCATACGGACCCCAGCTGAGCTTTCTCCGCCAGCCAGGTGATGTGAATGCAGGCTCTGGGCGTGGCAGCTCCAGGGAACTTTCGGCTTCCTCGGTTGTATATAACAAAGGATCCACATTGCCCTCGAACTTCTGGTCCATGATGGTCAGAATGTACTTCGTCCCGGCCCAGAAGGTCTCTAGCGACTGAAGTGCCTTGTAGCATAACTGGTAATGTTGACTAGCCGCTGTTGCTAACAAAGTGTGCTTGGCTAGCTGCGGTTTCCCCTCGCTTCCAGCGGCGGATGTGTTGGTTGTGGTTTGTGAGATCGAGGCTTTCCTGAAGGCCTGTGCTGATGCCCCATTGACGGATGTCGTTGCATCAGAAGTGGGATCCTTGCTGCGACTCGGGCTCGTTGCGCGCGAGTGGTGGGTGCTTGAGGCTGTCTGTTCCACTGACTCTCTGAGAAATGCGCAACCTGCTATGTAAATCGGCTGCGTAGTAAACGGGTTTCCAAGCGAAGCTTTCGCGTCCATTAATTGCGAGTAGCTCAGAATGTCTGCGATTGTCTTCGCACTGCTCATCGCCAACTGCTGCGAGTTCGGGAACAGCTGTAGCATCCGTCCTTCGAAAGTCTTCAACAGCGTTGGTTGATGCAACAGTATGATGAGGGTATGGAACCAAAAATGAAGCAAAACGAAGTTTGTACCTTCGCCGGCCTTCATGTAGTGCTGGAAGTTCACCGCATCGAAGTGCAATCTTGGTGAAAGATTCTGATAAAAGTTTGTGACTTGACTCTCCATGGATGCCAATCGCTTGGGTGTGTCTGTCGTAAAGTCCGAGGGTTCCTTGATACTGTTTAGGAGATCGGCAACTCGGCCATAGAGATGAATGATACGGATCAGAGCGGGAAAGGGAGCCGGCCAGTCCGAACTCTTGTCTTTCTGGCTCAAAGGTGGGAAAGAGAGCTCGATGTCCTTGTCGCGCAAGGTGCTTCTTCGGCCAGTGCCGGAGGACACGACGCGATCGAGAAAGAAGATTGCCCAGAATGTATCGACTCGCTCCTGCTCAACTGCCCTCGTCTCATCCTCAGTCTTCTGATCTTCTGGTGTCTGTTCTTTACTCGCCTGCTCGGATTCTTTGGGCTTTGCACTCGCGGAGTATGGGTTGGGCTTGATCGTTGCTCCGGAAGAATAGTCGCCGCTCTGAGATGCTCGCTTCACTGCTTTCGGAGTCGGGCCATCCTTGCCAACATACCGTAAGCCTTCGAGCTTGTGCAATCCAAGATCTTGAGCCAACCGAATCGAGATGCCCAGATACATCCACAAACCACTGTCTCGTTGTTCTCCAAATTCATTGTAAGCGAGCAAAAGTGCTGCCTGAGCAGCAGCCACTGTTGGGCAGGGAAATGCATCGGTCAGTGCCGTCTTTGCTCGCTGGGCAAACGCATGGCCATATTCCGCGGGACTCGATTTGTTGCCGCCTTCTGTGGTCATCTGAGTGAGTAGAGAATGGTTTGAGAAACGCGCCGCAAGTGCGCAGACCGCATCCACTAAGATCGCGTCGACCTGCTTTTCTTCCAAATCCCTCAGAAATCTCTCCCTCTGCAGAAAGGGATAGTTGCAGCCAAGATGAGTGAAGAATGTGTTGGCCAGGTGGGTTATCAGCTCGCTCGGTGGCATGGGCGATGTATCATAGAATGGCAGATTCGATGGCGTCCTCAGGTCAGATTCGACTGCAGCTGGTGTGCCGGCATACACGGTTGTTTTGGTGTCGCTGTGTGGCAGATTGTTGAGAGATGGAGACTGCATGCCGCCATCTGTGGAAGAGTGACCATTTGTGTCATGCCTCTTCACCTTGACGACCATCTGCTTGAAACCTGGCATGATTGCCGTTGGACCCAGCCATCGGAAGTAGGGCATGCGATTTCGAGGACCTGCGAAGAGGGAATCCTGACCTGGCCCTCCATCTTTGGCATCGTCCCTGCCTCCGGTAGTCGTGCGTGGGGATTGAGGACCGGACAGCGTCCGCGACGACTCGTTTCCACTTCCCTTGTGCTCTGTGGTTGGGGTGTATGGGCCCTTGTTGGCGGAGCCTCCTCTTTGATTGCCATGCTGCTCCGGTGCTTTCCTCGGAGCGCCATCTGAGTCGGTGCGCCTGTGAGAAGGTGCCGCGGTTTCGGGGGAGTATCCGGCACACCCCAACTTGTTCTGTTTACAGGTCTCGCAGAAGGGTCGTTCGCCGGAGCAGGCAGTCTTGCGTTTCCTGCACGTCAAACATGCCGCTCCAATCCGACGCCTGTAAGTTGACACATCAGTCCTCTCACGTCCTCTGCGAGAGGGATCGGGCTGACCGTTACTGACCGCTTAGGGTGTGGTGCTCCGTAGTTTGTCACAAAGCGCAGAGCCTTCGGTTGCTGCTGCTGCTGCTGCTGTTGCTGGGCTTGTTTGTGCGAAGGTGCGGGAGGAGGCGGCGGCGGTGGTTGTATCTGGTGCTCCTCGACTCGCTGCATGTTTCACATGTGCGACGCGGTCGCGTAGGCGTGTGGGTTGAAAAGGTCAAGCTCCCCACGCGTGCAGACATGCGATCCCCGCAATCTCGATGACTGCCCTTCTGCCCTGCTGTTGGAGGGAATATCCTGTATGGTAGCGGACGGTACAGGCACAGGTAGTAGCCAGGCAGATGGACATGCTCGGTTCGGGGAGCAGGAGGCGCGGCAGCACGCAACCTTGAACACTCCAGCTGGAGTGCCGGGGTGCAGAGCGATCAGTCGGGGCCCGACACGGTTGTGGAGAAGCAAAGGCGGAGAAAGACTGCAGTCGGGTCGGGTGGTTGCCTGGTTGTTGCCTGGTTGTTGCCTGGTTGTTGCCTGGTTGTTGCCTGGCTGCCTGGTTGTCTGCCTGCACAACTGCCAGTCCTGTCTGTGGTCTGTAGCCCGAGCTATCGATAAGGTAAAACCCTCGGCTGATGCCGCTAAGCAGGGTCCCCGAGGGAGCTCCCGCGCTTCATCGTCTTCGTCTTTGGGGATACGCTTCGTCTTCGTCGACATAACCTCCCCGTCACATCACACCCGCCGCCATGGAGGCACATCTCTTCGCCTCCTTCTTGCGACCGGCCTCTTCGCTGAGCGTCCGCCGTCAATTACCGCGCCTCTGCACCAGATGTCTGCTGCACACATCGTCCGCGAAGCACGCAACGCCCGCCCATCATCCTACCGTCCCCGGTCCACCTCCGCCAGCGCCCCGAGCAGCTGTATCATATCCGACAGACCGCGTAGCGAGGAAGCGCCAGCAAGCTGAGCAGCTTCGTCAGAGCCAGACCACAAAAGTAAACCCGCCAAAACCTGGGAATCCACTACAGAAACGTTTCTGGAAGGACGTGACGGTCAAGGAAGATGGAGAAAACGGACTACAGATACTTTTGGATAGTCGCCCGGTACGGACGGCGGCGAGACAGGTCTTGACTCTGCCCAAGACGAAGAGAGCGCTTGCTACATCCATCGCAATCGAGTGGGATCAATTGGTTTCGGCACAGCAGGCATTGAAACACCACTACATTCCCCTGACTTCGATCGCATCACGGGCACTCGACATCCAAGCCGCCGATCAGCAGGGCAATGCTTCAATACGGGAGAATATCATCAACATGGTGATGCGCTACCTCGGCACGGACACTCTGTTGTGCTGGGCACCCAAGACAAACCTGCACGATCCGACCGAAACCGCGTCAACTGCGAACTTGAGGGAGAAGCAAAAGACCATTGCGGAGCCCGTGATTGCATTCCTGACCACTCACGTTTTTCCCGGAGTCGAGATTGTAGAAATTCTCGACGAGGACAGCATCGTTCCCAAATCGCAGCCAGAGATGACGACTCAGGTCATCAAAGGCTGGGTCTCGGGCCTTCCACCATTCGAGCTCGCGGCGCTGGAGCGAGCCGTCCTGGCTACGAAGAGCTTGCTCATCGCTGCCCGCATCTTGGTGGAATGGAGTCAGGAGTGGACGCATTTGCACGACATACAAGGTCGCGACGCAACGAGATTCGGAATAGAGCAGGCGCGGGAAGCGGCGACGCTAGAGCTCAGTCACCAAACAGAACAATGGGGAGAGGTAGAAGATACCCATGATGTCGACAAGGAGGACATTAGGCGCCAGCTAGGCAGTGCCATCCTCCTCGTAAGTTAGACCTGTATCAACACATTGTGCAGCATGCCAGAACGCTTTCGGAGTTTATGCATGCGTTTCTCAGCAGGGTCTGCAAGCTGAGGTAGGCTACCCGAGCTCTCTAGGAGGAACTTCCAGGCTCTCAGGCACATTAATCAGATGAGCGGGGTGATGAAATCATTGAAAGACCTTACCGTTTGTCATCGGCGAACTTAGCTCCTCATAACCTATTTGGAGACCATTGGAGAGCTCACAAATTCAGACAACGTTCACAAGATCCAAGATCGAAGACCTTCTTCATCTACCAGCAGAAACCAACCGAATCGACTCGGTCCGCAAAGCGTTGCCATGGCTCCAAGCAAAGAATCCCAAGCTCTCGCCGAGCTCTTCAAGACTCTGGGTGCGCATTTCCCAGCTGATGGAAACCCTTTCATCGAACGCGCGGTCTATGATCAGGTGCATACAGCTGCTACTGAGGCTTCTGGAGTTTCATATGAGAGTGTCACGGTCGCCGGACGGGAAGCTATCTGGGCCAGACCGAAGGGGGCTTCGGAAAAACATGTCATACTCTTCATGCATGGTAAATACAAACCTGCAGTAGCAGATTTGAATGTTGCTAAACCTGTCGTATTGTAGGCGGCGGCTACACCTTCGGCTCCATCTCCAGCCATCGAAAACTCACCGGCCATCTCGCCAAAGCATGTAATTCCCTCGCCCTCTCTGTGGATTACAGACTTGCGCCTGAACACCCTTACCCGGCTCCTCTGGACGATTGCGTGAATGCGTATCAATGGCTCCTCGCTCAAGGATTCCCAGCTTCCAACATCGTCACGGCGGGCGACAGTTGTGGCGGCGGCCTCGCCACCGCAGTCCCTCTCGCCGCCCAACAGAAAACCCTCCCGACCCCCGCGGCGGCCGTCAGTCTCTCGCCGTGGTACGATCTCACCGGATCCCTCGATTCGCGGACCCGAAACGAAAATCGCGATGTCTTGAATACCCACGAGAATATGGAAAAATTGGCAAATCGATACACGGCTTCGGACCCTTCTCTCCGGAAGAACCCCCTGCTCAGTCCCCTCTTCGCTTCCGACGAGGCATTGAAGTCGCTCCCGCCGCATTGGATTTCCTGCGCCGGGGAGGATATGCTCGTCGACGAGGGCACGGAATTCGCGGAGCGGTTGAAACGCGTGGGCGTGGACGTGGTGGTGGAAGTGCATGAGGGACAGCAGCATGTGATGGAATTCATGGTGGGGAGAGCCCCGGAAGCGGATGCGAGTGTGAGGAAGATTGGGGAGTGGGTTCGGGGGAAGACGGGAGCGTGATGATGGGGGAAATGTATGTACATCATTCCTGTCGTTGTTGCTTCTCTCTCTCTCTCTCTCTTTCTCTCTCTCTCTCTCTCTCCCCTCTTCTTCGAATCACAAAAAAGCAACCGTGTCGACGCTCCGTCCTCTCCTCTCCTCTCCTCTCCCTTCAAGCCCGATATCTGACCCTCCTCCCTTCGTCCCTCGATCGTGCAGCTAGCTCGCGTTGGTGCATTTACTCTCCAGGCTCGAACATACCCCGCAACCGCTCCTGTAGCACAGTTCATTTCCGTCGGCGGCTGCATTGCAGGTGATATCGTAGCATTCGAACAATGGTATATTGGGTGGTTTCTGTAATGGACCTCGTCAGCCAAATAAAAAAAAAATTTCCCCTCTTGCCCTCCGAACCGAACCCAGAGGGTATGCTGGCATCAAGTTACATTTTTTTGAGCCGTCTGTGCCAGGACCGTCGTCGTCGTCGCGGCGAGTGCGCAGAGCAGCGGGATGAGGGATTGGAGTCGCATGGTGGTGGTGGTGTGTCGATGATCCTACTTCGCAAAATGTTGTTGGTTTTTGTTTTCGTCAATTACTTCCTGTGTGGGTCTGTTGTTGATGGCGGCGCGCGGAATGTCCATCTGTTATTTATGCCACTTCCATTCCAGCATTCCCAGATCCCCGCGCTCCGGCGAGCAGCGGCCACGAAAAGCCTGCACATCCTTTCGCGATTGTCGCCAAAAAGTCTACTCCTTCCTTCTAGAGTTCTTCCTCTGCTATGCCGAGCATTCCTGGAAGCCCTCAGACTGGCACGACGCACGGATGGGAGCTGAGCGTGCCCGACAGAGTCCTGGGCATAGATGATTGGTCAGACCAGTCGATTTTGCGAGGATGCAAGGTATGGAAAGTAGGATGACCTTCTATATAAGGTACGAGAGGCTCCGCGTTAGTGCGGGAGTGAACTTGCTGGCTATGGTGTTGCAAAACGTGTCTTGCCGGCAAGTTCCTGGTTCAAGTTCGTCCCGGAATAGAAAAGTCAAATCCTTAGCCCAAAGGTTGTGGTGAAGGCTTCATTAGTAGATGTGCAGGTCCACTCCAAACCGCTGCCATCTCTAGTGGCGGGAGTGTCTTGGTGTAGTAAGAGAAGTACGAGGGCCTCAGTAGTAACGGTAGATCCGGCTTCTGCGAGAAGATTGGACTATCGCAGAAGGCATGACGTCGGGTCGGCAACGGACTTGAGTTCTGAAGCTGAGACGTCAGGTCCGTGAGTGACACACCACATCGAACGATTCTCTGCCTTGCTTATTCTGCGAAGGAAGTCGTTGGAGTCCTAGAGACCTGTCAGTCAAGGGATCAGACTAGCACGGGTCCAACTATGCATACCGCAACTGTGCTACCGTCGGATACCCTGATATTTGCTGGTCCATGGTGCTGGAGATGCAAGGTCGAGAATATTAATATCTGAAGCATAGCAAGACGAGGGAAAAACGAAGGTACCGCTATGCCACCTGCGCTAGCCTCGGCCAACCAGAGTGTGCTGGGTTGAGCGCAGTCTGATAAGCTGTCCTTGCACCATGGAGTTCGAAGACCTCGTATTTTATTTCGAAGAATGTCTGGAGTATAGATTGAAAAGCAGGCGTGCAGTTCCTCGGATGCGACGGCGTGAGCTAGTAAGACCTAGGCTAACTAGCTGTCCTGCGTTCGAGGCCTCATCAACGAGAGCCTTGAAATGTTTCGTAGTTTGGCGACTGCGCTGGATTTCCGCTGCCGATAAGCGGGAGAAGATGTTGATCAGAAGCTCTGGAGGCAGGCGTCGACAGAGATGCGTCTCTGGAGCCCATTTCGAGATCTTTTAGTGATTGCTGACGTTTGGTGGCTCACGGGCAGTGTCTTTGTGGTTGCCGATCAGTGTTGTAAGTCTTTCGCGGCCAGTGTTGCTTGAGGTGTGCAGGGCAAAGAATGCCTATTTGTGAAGAACTGCGCTGTGACTGTGAAGATAAGTCAGCACAGGCCACAAAGTGAATGGGGTGAATATGCTCACAGATTCTGCGTCCACGGGAGCCTCCGCCATGCAGCCTCTTGTCACGAGCGCAAGAGGTGGGCTCTGCGAGTTCACGTCCATCATCGGCGACATCTGTGCTCCTTTCCTCGCAGTATAGTGTGTACCTTTAGGAGAACAGACGGCTACACCGAAGAAAGTTCACCAGATGTACAGATCTTCGATGATCGCGGCTCTGAGTAAGGGTTCTAAGCGGCACTGCTTCTCCATGGCGCTCAACACCTCTTGGAACAACCGCTCGCTTTTCAGCTTGTACCAGCAGCAGCCATCCGCAAAGATTGGCATTGGCAGCTTAACGTCCAATAATCTGCCCAATGCTCCAATTCCCATGGCAGAGCCCCAGCCTTTGCGGTAATGAGGGTACTCGTTTTGATCAGTGAGCTGTGGGCAACTCGGTTGTCGAGCCACCTTGACATCCCACAAGCCATGGATGGGGTAGGTTATCCGCTCCTTGATCTTGTCCCACTGAGCAATGCTCTGGAGTCCGGCTTCAGGAATCGGGAAACGAGGCCGCATGTTGCATTTGTCGAAGTGGTGGAGCTCTGGCTTGTAGAGTGATGGAACATGGCATTCCACAAAGGCCCAGAGGATATGAACCACAATCGCGCACAGCTCGTGTTCGTGAGTGTGCTGGGTGCCCTGCTGCCGAACCCATAAGTTGACGAAATCTTCGGAATCGTGCTTTCGCATCAACGAATCAGAAATGCCACGATGGCTGAAGAAGACCTGCAGCGCGTTGACGAAAGCAGAAGGCGTAGCTGAGACGTCGAAATAGCAGATTCGTTGAACGGTGGATTTGAAGTCTGCTAATTCCTGCATCTCGCGCTCCTTGAGAATGATGTTGCGATTTTGAGGATTCTGTATGAGCTGGTCGAAGTTTCGACAGACACGGCGAGATCTGGCGACATCTGTGACGGGAAGAAAGTAGAAAATCGAGAGCTTGCATTCCGCCGGTAAATCCAGGAGGGGCGCCATGTTGTTGTGTCGTTGCGAGTATTCTTTCAAGTTGATGATTATAAGCTTAGCAAGAAGAGCAAGATCGACGGCGAAAATAGCAAGGGCATAATTTTTGGTCGTGTGTGGGCTCCTGTCAGGTCTATTGCCTTCCGCCGATTGGAAAGATGTTTCACGCGGGACACGCCATGGAAAAATGTAGAGCAGAGAAGACCTCGACATTTTGTCTCGCCGTGTCCACAGAGCGATACCTATGCGTCCTCGCCCACGACAGCAGCCTTATTTTAGCATTGGCATCGCAACGCTGCCGTCCTCAGAGAATGAATTTGCTATCCAGAGTAGGTCAGCAGTCCCACTTGAAGAATGGCAGGTCTCTCGTGTGATTCTTCCGGCATGGCATGTTCTACCAGATATCGGCCTGGACTGGGAGACATATCGGCCTAGCTCGACAGAAGATACCCAGTGACAGGATAGGTTGGCCGTACCGCCGGCTGAGGTCTTGACGAGCGCTCCGGCTCATGCGTGGTCTCAGCAGGCGTGAATAGCTCGCTCTCCTGCCGGTCCATTTCTCCACATTATTTTTGTCTTTTCGCGCCCGAATCCTTTGCAGGACAAGAGTTATTCGAGATCTCTAGGAGACATATGCGAACACGAGAAAATCGGCTTGCGTGTGGCTGACACGTGCACGACGGAGCACTCGGCAGATCGTCATCTCCTGAGCCTATTAATTTTGCCTTGGCGGGGACGGAAGGCCCGAGTCAAGCCTCCTAGGGCCATAATTCGGTACAGGTGATTAAATTGCTGTACAACTCTTCGCACATTCTTCATTCCTCGCACCCACTCCTTCGATTCTTCGATTCTCGACCCTCCTTTTAGAGCCCGTCATTCCTTTCACGCTCTCCACGACTCGGCACCCGCGTTTGCTGCGTTTCAAGCCGAAACTGGCAAACACAACATGGCTGACTACAGCCATCCGAGCACGACAACCACGACGCGTCAACGAAGAGCGAATTCAAATCTAGGAGGCGACCCCAGAGGCGACACCGGAGCCAATGCCATCGCAACCTCGCAACATGCGCAACAATCCTCAGCCACGGCTTCCCCGAAGTCGACCAAGGGCGGAAAGCGAAAGAAGGCCAAGAGCTTGTTCAACAGATGGAAACGAATCTCGCTGAAGCATACTTGGCTAAATCCAATGATACTCATGCTGGGCATATTGGGCGCATACTTTGTAAGGCCGGGCGAGAATAACCCTCTGCATCCTGCCATCTTCCTTTCCTACCCGAACCCACCGATGGAAGAGAGGACAAACACACTCCCAGCACACATTGGCGAAGTGACACAGTATGGCAAGGGCAAGCTGGATTTTGCCTTCGTCGCCTTCTACATGATTGTCTTCTCCTTCACCAGGGAGTTTCTCATGCAGAGGGTGATTCGTCCAATCGCGATTTGGTACGGGATCAAGGCGAAAGCAAAGCAGGCGCGCTTCATGGAGCAGTCCTACACCGCCATCTACTTCGCCGTCTTCGGACCACTCGGACTGTATGTCATGAGCAGAACTCCTGTCTGGTACTTCGACATCCCGGGCATGTACGAAGGATTCCCTCATCGATCTCATGAGGCAGTGTTCAAAGCATACTATCTGCTCCAAGCTTCGTACTGGGCGCAACAAGGATTGGTCTTGATGCTGCAGCTTGAGAAGCCACGGAAAGACTTTAAGGAGCTTGTCTTGCACCACATCGTCACCCTGACGTTAATCGGTCTAAGTTACCGATTCCACTTCACCTACATGGGAATCGCTGTGTACATTACACACGACATCTCTGATTTCTTCCTGGCTGTGAGTGCAAGCCTCGCTTCCATTGGAATCAAAGCTAATGCATTGCCAGACGTCCAAGATTCTAAACTACATCGACTCGAAGTTTACGGTTCCATACTTCGTGGTGTTCATGTGTGTCTGGGCATACCTCCGGCATTACATAAATCTGAGGATCATCTCATCTCTGCTGCCGGGCGGACAGTTCCGAACCGTAGGGCCTTACGAAGTGAACTGGGAGACCCAACAGTACAAGTGCTTGCTCGCGCAGGTCATCACGTTCCCTTTGTTGGCAATGCTTCAGGCCGTCAACCTCTTCTGGTTCTTCCTGATCCTGAGAATTCTGTACCGATTTGTGCGCACGGGTGAAGAGAAGGACGAACGTAGCGAGGATGAGGAGGAGGTAGAGACTATTGATGAGACCAAGACGAATGGACACTCTGAGAAGCCGGAGGTCATGCTGAACGGCAAGCCTTTGGCCGCGACTGCTGTCGAAGGATCTGGGAGCGCGAGAAAGCGATAGAATGGGCATTGCATGGCGTTGCATTGTAGGGGTCGCATTGTGTGAAGCGTTCAAGCACTGCTCGAGACTTGTGAGTTTCCCTGGAGAGCTGCAACTTGTAAGATTTTTACGTTAAGGAGCGAGTTGTAATAATTTCGAGCAGATTTGTATCTGACGTTCGACTGGGCGCTTTACTCTCGCGAAAACTTCACGTGATCGCGTCCTGTCTTCCATCCGCGACTTCCACGAACGACTCTTCTGTTCCTTGTTGACTTCGTCTGCATCAACAAGCTCCTTTGCATCCACGCCAAAACACTGAGCCCTGCGAACAACCAACCCTTCCAGGAGATGAAGCCTCGAATGGTCAGCGACCATGGACGAATCTCCGCTAAACGAGTCACCGGCGGAGATCGGGATCTTCATATATGAGCTTGTGCTTATCATACCGGACAGCGTTCGCATCAAATATGACGCCGATACCGAACGCTTTGTACACACAACCACCAAGCTCCCGGAGAAATGCATGACATGATTGCAACGGCAGTCACATGCAGGCAAATGAGGCACGAGACTATACCCACATTCTTCGGTGATCGATCGCGGCGATTACGGGAAGGGTGAAAAGCACCGGAGTCTCGACGTGAAGGTGGTCCACGGCAATTCTGAATTTCTCATGATAAGTCTCAACAAATCGGGCGAAATGCAAGAACAGACTATTCGGGGACTTTGCGGCGCTGTTGAAGAGCAGCATCTCTGTGAACGCATCCAGGACTGCAAAAGTGTGGTGGCAGGGGTGCGGGAATACCTAGCCAAAGATCCAATGTGGAAGGGCGAAGAACAGGAAGCAGCGACCACAGCGACAACGAAATGACCGGGAGCTGTGTTGCTTACCCATTCTACGCTTGCAAAGCACAACGAGTCTCGAGACTGCTGCATTCGACGTGGCGGCAATCCGTTCTGGAGGTGCAAAATGTCGCAAAGAATGTGGTGCAGATGGAATTCGAGCTTCGATGACATGGTACGGGCATTGCTCTTCGAGTGATGCGAATATACTGAGATCTTGGCGATGGGGAGTGGTATTGCAACAGAGTCGACATCAGCATCGCTACTCCGAAATGTGGATATTAGATGACTGATGATTACGATGGAAGGTACCTCTTCTGCATCATCTCCAAGTGCAATACGAGGTACTGACACTACTCTTCACGCTTAAACGTATCAGTCTTAATGCTCCCGAAATACGATCTTCCTCGGTGAATAACCTCCGATGGAGCTGCTCGAATTGGCGGAGAGATGTTCTCGACGCAGAAGAGACGACCTTCAAAGAAATAGCAAGCGAGGCAATTGCTGCTGTCGCCAGTATGCACCTCTCAAGTCTCAGCCTAGCAGCAGCCACAGGTCACATATCCAGATCCATGCCCGTAAACGAGAAAGCTCAAGGTTACACAGTAAGGTGGCTGTGGTTCTCATTTGGCATCCAATTAGCATGCAGTATTACCCGTGTTAAGTCGGTCGTCGGCACATATAGAGCGGCGTTGCAGGCAGCATGTCGTAGATCACTTCTTCTTCAATTAGTACTCTTGGTGAGGCACGTAGCGTCTGCTCTGTTTCTCCTCACGTTTCCCTCATCAATAACCAAAACTCTTGGAAGAGATCTTGAACGAGACCACCGCCGCAGCCGACGAGCCGACGACGTAGCCTTGCAATAAGGTATCTCACGACCGGGCCACATCGAGCCGGCTAACGGCGGTCCTTGTCCCACGAAGGCTGGAGCGAGGGAGCATCTCGAGATCTGAGCGAGGAACCGCGCGACATTCTCAGTAGATAGATCACTACTGGGGATCGTGCGCCGCAACGCGATACCGGTGGATCTACAACGGCGCCGAGAAGAGGAAGATCAAAGGATTCGATACCAGCTGCAAAACTGGCGCAAGGAGCAGAGTACGGTACGGTGGATAAGGCAGACGTAGCAGAAAACACCTCGAGACTGGATGCTTTGACGCAGCTCCCGGCGCAAATGCGACCGCGAGCACAAAGCTATGGGCCTCTGGATGGACTGCCGGGAGATCGCAATGCGGTAGCATGGTACTGGCGGGTGCTAGCATTCGTATCATGGTTCATGATACTCGGAGGGTGAGTGCGATTATACGAGAGGCTGGACATGGACATGGACATGGACACTGATGCGGCGCAGCTTCCTCATGCTACCGGCGACATTCGAAAAGGCGCACGATCCTAGCGAATTACGGATATCCCAGGCTGCAGTAGGTATATTTGCAGTGGCCTTGCTGGCGGCCGGCTTCTCTTTCACAGGATTGCTCTGCTTCGCAGTCCGCAATACTCTTTTCCAGGCAGAAGCCATCTTTCTCCCTGCCCTGACTTCCTCATTCATCGGACTGCTCACCGTATTCTATGCATTCCTGGTGTATACGAGATACACCTTCCACACGCCAGCGCTGCTTACGACCATTGCTGCGGCCATTGCGACCGTAGTCTACGCAGGACTGCTATTCTGGTCGTACCGTAAAGGCGGCACAGCAACGAGACCACGTCAACAAATGCCCGTTCCAATGACCAGCCAGCCATATCGGGGGGCCCAATCCGAGCACCGAGATAGTGAAGCCACACTTTGGCAGGATCAAAGCTACTACGAGAACTATACTCGTAATATGTTCCCTTCGGCACACAATCCCAATCAGCCACCCCCCACAGGATATGGCTTCGACCCTCACCAGATTACAGAGGATGAGATGCAACGGCAACAGATGCTGATGCTCCTGCTTCAGAGGGAAGAGCAATCCACACCAGACCCTAGCGTGGGAGCGAGTACCTTCCGGATCGATTGGCAGGGCCGTGATGAAGAGGATGGGCCTCCTCCGCAAGGCTATTATGCACCGCAATCGCAATCGGAAGGTCCGCGAGCCGGCCATCCTGACCCTACTCCAGGAATCATGAGGCAATTCACTAACGAACTTGAACTACGTCCGTGGGATGGAGTATGGAGAGCGCCTGCCAGAGTGAGAACTTCGCTGTGGGCTCGACCTGGGGGTCGAGAGGTCAGAGAGGCGAGACGTCGAGAGATTGAACGCGGTTAAAGCCGAGGCGTTCAATATCATGGATCTGGAGCATGTTGGCGTTTTGTGAATGAGACTCGGGCATGTGTTGGATACCCAGTGACGGCTGTATGATGTATATATATATATTTGGTGTCTCGGTCGAGAAATTTGTAGAGATATGCATCGAGATTTTGATCATGACAAAAGGATATTGCAGCGTTGTTTCGACTGGTAAATTACGAGAATGGCCATTGCTATTGCTTGCCCCTCCCGTACTCAAAGACCGCCGACATGTCAATCTCGTCTCATACGCTTGCGTTGAAGCGCATCCAGCTCAAGATCTGTGATTTTGACGCGAGACCGAGCGCGGTAAGAGACATTCAGCTCCCTACAAGCACCAATAGAACAAGGCAAAGTATTCAGCCGACACGCGTTATCTGCTGAACGCATCGCGACGAAGTCCATTTGGTCATTTGTTGATAGCGGAAGAGTGTGAAGAGAATCGAAGTCACCTCAAGTTAAATTACGGCTTTTCCTTAGCTGGGCAGTGCACGGACCATCAAGTCCGAGCTTCGGCTAAGCTTCGACTTCACTTCACCGTTTGTGTGCAATAAACACTACAAATTCGCGCTTCTTCGAGCCACACTGCTGGTCATCAACCAGAATTGAAGATGTCAGCCTCTTTACCAGGCAGCCGAGATCTGCCAGCATCTCGACATGACCTGAGCACGTACTGGGGCCGCGTGAAGCACTCCGCAGAAATAGCCGATCCGAGGTGAGAACAGATGAAGCAACGAGACGACATGATCCGGCAGGGTCAGTGATATCTGCTTGTTATGTCCGCATCATGAAGAAAAACATCCATGGACAGCGACAACAGTACTGACAGGCAATCTTCAGGACACTCTTCACTTCCTCTACCGGTCTCGAGCATGCCAAGAACTTGATCGAGCAGTATAAGCAGGGCAAGATCCAGTCGATGACGCCTGAGCTATGGAAAGCAAAGAAGATTGTCGACTCAACTCTTCATCCAGGTCTAGCTCTCTATCTCAAATCTAGTGAAGAGATTGCTGATCTTCGACGTAGACACCGGCGAACCAGTCTTCCTACCCTTTCGAATGTCTTGCTTCGTGCTCTCGAACTTGGTGGTTACGGGTGGCATGCTGACACCAAATCTCACGAACACTGGTACGATTGCATGGCAAGTGGCCAATCAGTCGCTGAACGTCGGCATCAATTTCTCGAATGCGAACAAGAGCACGCCAATGACCACGTCAACGATTGTCAAGTCCTACTTTCTGGCTGTAGGCGCAAGTTGCGGAGTAGCAGTCGGGTTGAACTCCATCGTGCCAAGGCTGAAGAATCTCAGTCCCGCGGCCAGGACAACACTCGGTCGATTGGTTCCATTCGCAGCAGTCGCCAGCGCTGGTGTGCTCAACGTCTTTCTTATGCGCGGAGAGGAGATCAGGCAAGGTATCGACGTGTTCCCAGCGGAGTCTGAGGCCGCAAGGAAGAAGCGAGAAGAAGCAGATCAACCCCTGCAGTCGTTAGGGAAGAGCAAGAAGGCTGCTACTCTGGCAGTTGGCGAGACTGCGATCTCACGTGTGCTGAATGCTACTCCGATCATGGTGATCCCGCCGCTCGTTCTAGTACGACTGCAGCAAACTCAGTGGCTTAAGCAGAGGCCGCGGATGGTACTTCCGATCAATCTGGGCCTGATTCTTACCACGAGCTTGTTTGCGCTTCCTCTCGCCCTTGCGGCCTTCCCACAGCGACAGGCAATTCAGGCCACGAATTTGGAGAAAGAGTTTTGGGAGAAGGGGGGCGAAGATGGGATGGTGGAATTCAATAGAGGAATATAGAGAACCCGTCGCTCACCTGCTCACTTGTCCGTGTCCGCGACACTTCAGACGCGAAGCTAAGTGTTTCGAGTCCGTTGCGCACGAGCAGCATTGTCCCATCGCTGACCTCGCGGGTCGCGTATGATGATAACGTTTTCGGCAGTCTTTAAGCACGGACCAATCGGACCAACGAGGTTACCTTACCTCGCTTGCTATACCACACTACTCACTTTCAACCTCCATCGAGCACGTCGCTAGCTTCTTGAAGCTCACACATATGCAAACTCGATACATTTACACCATTCCTCTCGAAAAGCAACCACACTCCATCTCCGCACAGACGCCAAGCTTCCGCGGCCACGTGCAGCGCTCGGCTACTCGAGCTTCACGCCCACGCTTCCCTGACGCCCAAGACTCCGCTGTCTAGAGATAGACTTGAAGCAATTTTGGAAGAAGCTTACGACTTGTCTGGAGTCGTTGTGGAACTCGAAGTCAGGCATTGGCAGCGAACACGACGCACTTACCCCGACAAACCTCCATCAGCCCATGAACGTCAACCGCATGACTGAGCTCCTGGCTGGTCTATTTCTTACGAGCCACAGGCCTCTTGGCAGTGCAAAACCGCATCGAGCTTTTCGGCTATCATCGACCAGTATGGAGTCCGAGCGTATCACTTTCCTGCCTGGAAAGCAAGATCGGATACGAGCCGAGCCTTGGAATTGGGGGAAAATCTTTCTCATTGTGGCCATTTTGATCGCTGGTGTTCATCTATTTCCGGACATCCTGCGGGCAATAGCATTCTTCTTATCTCTTGCTGATGATCTGCTTTTGCCGACGAAGAGCCTTTTTCGGTCGCTGAAGGCCTTGGAGAAGGGAAATGCAATATCAGAGACCTGCACGAGTAACATCAGCTCAAGTTTCAATTAACACGCGAAAAGATGGGTTGAAGACGGCCCCTAATACCGTCACTACGAACAGCACCGATCCGAATGCATGTGCAACAAAATTAGTCTCAGAGAGGCGTGACAACACACCTGCAGACTGCACTGCTATCCATGCAAATGCTGCAACAAACTCGTCCACTACTCGCACAAAGTTCCGCGCCTACGACTTGCCAGACGTGTTCTTGCAATCAAAAAGAATAGCGCGTGAATGTTCTGGGAACCCAGAAGGGTCCCAGTCGAAGCAACACAAAGCATTGCCGCTAAGGGGCGATCGATATCGAAAGGCGCAAATTGAATCTCACCAGACAACATTGGCGATCACGAGAAGGTTGATTCGCCTAGCTGGCCAAGATGCGCCATCCAGCGCCATCCAGCGCCAGACTCGCATTTGTCGGTTGCAATCGCAACGTTAGGACTGCTAATGTTGCCTCGAGAAGACAAGTCTACTCCGAAATTGCGAGGAGAGCACGTACGACTGCTCGAAGATCGGAGGTCGACCAAATCCTGCGCCTTCTTGATCAAGACATTGCGTGTCGGAGAGTAATGATTGAATGGTTTCAAAGGAAATATCCTGACAAGGTCTACCCAGTTGAAGATGCTGCACATTGCTTGCTCGAGGTGCGAGCCATTCTCAGCCGATGGAGTCGACACCACGCTGTCGAGACTACCCAAACCAAGCACCAGCGCCAATCGAGTGCTGTGGTTCAGAATTTCGTCCCGAGATCTGTTACCATGAGGCGACCTTCGCCACGTAGACTGCAATACTCCGGTACTTGGCCTGAGACAGTGGTAATGTATTCACAGTCACTTGCCTTAGACGTGTCGGAATACAAGTAGGCAACCAATCGATTTCTGGTCTAATTCTTTGTTGTCGCGGGACCCTTCTACAACGGTAATCTCCCGCCACAAGATCGGTCTACTCTAGGAGACGGTAAAAGAGGAATCGCCAAATTCGACTGGTGGTTGTTTCGGAAACTGGCAGGCCTTATTCGCGACGACGACTACCTTACCCGGTCTTCAACAACGATGCATCTCGACTGGGCAATTGCGAAGCGCGAAAAGGTCACGCAATGCAGTGGTATGCAGAGCATGCTGGTGACAGAGCCTCTGCACGGGCCAGCAGAAGAATTACTCAAGTGTACTCCCGCATAAAACGACCGAAACACAGGAAATGTCTTGACTGCTTGTTCCTTCATACTCACGGCGATAAGGATGGAGATAGGCGTCTTATGCAGACCTAAAGAAACAGCTGGGACTCGGTGCCTGAGAGCACGGAAGTAGGTCCTGGTGTTCCGAGCCGCCTGGCGAACCAATCAAATTGCAGTATAGTGACTAAATATGGGGCAAACGTTTCTCGCAAGCCGGGAAAAGGAGCCAGGTGGTGATGACATCTCTTCCTTCTCTTCCGGTCGTCACGAGCGAGAACATATCCTTTGCTTTGGTACTCGCATCTCTGCGCCTGCTCTCGCCTGCACACACATTCCGTACAATAGCATCACCATCCACGGCGAAGTCGGATGTGTTCGCGGTACAACCCTGCACCGACCCGTCCCTTCGTTGAGCTTACCCTGGACTCTGGAGGAAGATACTCATTCACTGCACGTTCAGAACGATGGCAGGGGAGACACGGTAGCGCTCTGCTCGCGGAATGCTGGAGGACATTGAGCGAATCAGATTTGTGACAACGCAGAACTCCTTTGTACTTAACAGCTACGAGCTTGGCACCTCTCATGGCGAACTCAAAAGTGCATGAAGGGCGACGAGCCTTGGCAGATAGTCAGCACAGCTCCATCTCGGCGGAGATGGGAACTTCTTCCGATGACGAACGCGACGACATCCAGGGAGCCCAGGAGGACGATGTGCGTAATGCTATTGGCGTGAGCATCGGTCGAGGACAGTCAAGACTCCTTGACTCCACAACTCCGGTTGTCGAGAAGAATGCCGCCATTGACCAGACTGGTGGCTTCTTTGGCACCTCTTTAGAGAGCTCTTTGAGCGTTGCGGCCGCAGATGGCACCGATGAAAGTGGCGGCGAGGACCGCGAAACCACTGATGGCGACAAGAGACGCCAAGGCCGATTCTTCAACAATATCGAGCAACCTCGAGATCTCTCGGGGCTCCCATCGCCATGGCGGGTCGATCAAAGACAGCTCGGAAGATCGAAGGGCACGATGTCCATCCTGCGAGATGGGTTCTCTTTTGGCAGGAAGCGAGCTTCTTCTGGTCCAGAGTCCACCCCAGAAAGTGGTGGGCAAAAGTCCTTACTCGCCAGTTTCACGATGCCGAGGAACTTCGCTTTGGGATCTTCCTCCACTTCTGCACGGGAAAATGACAAGGAGGAGGATCGGCCGCCTTTGAGCGACGATGTGTCAAGTAGGCATTCAACGTTCGGCGACAGAACTCAGAGTTCCTCGCCAGCCAAAACTATTCGCTCTCCAACGCCATATGGACATCGATCAAGACAGCCTTCTGGCACAAACTCTCCATGGGAGTATGAAGAAGCGCAAGCGACGGTCGCCGACCTGCCCAGAGAGTTGCGACTGCAGCACGCTCAATCACGACCAGAACCTCCGCTTCGTCGCTCTACCTCGGACACTTCTCTCGTTACGCAGCGGACGCTTTCTCGAGTCTCGTCTCTTGGCGACGACAGTCGTTTTGAGAATGTACAGGAACAAGTCAATAGCAGGTTCAAGGCTATCAAGGACAGCTTGCAGGATTCTAGCATCAGACTGCCAAGTATGCCTTCGATATCCAGCTTCAACGTCACTAGATTTGGTTCCGATTTCCTGAACCGGGAAAGATCCGGATCACTGGGCTTGAAGCCGCCTGCCAACAACTCCCACAACGGATCTCCGAACCGCTCAATGCATTCTGAAAGGCCGGTTGACCCTATGACAAGACAGCCCTACGCTTCGGCAAAAGCTGCCATCTCTGATGCAGGTGTCGATAAGCCTTACAGCGAGCATGTCCATTTCAATGAGGCTCTGGACAATCTGGAAGGCGATATTGTGATACTCGGAGGCTATCGTGGGTCTGTGCTGAGATCTGCAGAGCCTCCGCATCGGCAATTATGGGTGCCCATCAAAGTTGGCTTGAATCTGCGGAAAGTTGATCTAGAAGTTGGTTTTGGAGAGGATGATGACGAGCGGGCCTCCGAGAAAGTCATTGCCGGAGGCATGCTAACCCATATTGGTCCGGTCGATATCTCCAGGCGTCTGCTGAAGCGATTGAGAACATGCGAAAATGCACGTTCAGGAAGACTGAGGGTGCACGAGTACGGCTACGACTGGAGGTTACATCCTCATTATCTCAGCAAGCAACTTATATCGTTCCTGGAATCCTTGCCAAGCAACAGTCGTGGAACTCCAGGGGGCAATCGTGGAGCTACGGTGATTGCACATTCACTGGGTGGTTTGATCACGAGACATGCCGTGAATCAGCGTCCGGAACTTTTTAACGGTGTGGTCTATGCCGGTGTGCCGAAGACTTGTGTCAACATTCTAGGTCCGTTCCGGAATGGAGACGAGGTGCTCCTCTCCAGCCGCGTTCTCACAGCGCAGGTAAACTTTTCGATCCGTACAAGTTTTGCGCTTCTCCCTCTCAATGGCAGATGCTTCTTCGACAAGACCACGAGAGAGGAGTATCCGGTCGACTTCTTTGACCCTCAGACTTGGATCGACTATCGGCTATCTCCCTGTATTGCTCGACCGCTTCCGCCTTTGACGGCACCTCCGAAGCCATCGGGAATCACAGGCTATGTCAGCTCCATGGCCAGTGCTCTTCCAAGTCTCCCTCTTCGAAATCGCAAAGCCAGCGTGAATCGGAACAAGAATTCTGAGCCATCGCATGCTACCGTTTTTGGAGGGGTCGAGGCGCCGGATACACCAGATGACGGCGCAGAGGCTATGACACTTGGCAATTACACCACTCCTGGTAGGCAGCAGTTGGATGTGGATGGCGATGCGGATACCGATACACCATCTCCGCGCACGGCTGTCACCATCTCTCGTGGAGAAGCGCTTGAATATCTGACTAGGACGCTTCGGACTGTGAAACAATTCAAAGAGGAGCTCGCTTTCAGACCCGAGCATCACTCGACGAATGTGTATCCTCCGATTTCGGTCATCTACGGCAAGTCGACGCCTACAGTGTTCGGTGCCAAAGTTGATGGCAGGGAAGGGATCAAGCACGTCGGCGCCTATGACGAGCTCGCGTTTGCAAGTGGAGACGGCGTTGTCCTTGCGAAAGCCGCTATGGTGCCTGACGGATATCGCACTGTTCGAGGCGGCATTGTAAGCTCTGAAAGAGGACATGTAACACTATTAGGTGACTTGGAGGCAGTTGGAAGATGCTTGAATGCGGTACGAAGAGCTCGTAGACAAGGCGTTGGATATGTCAATTGATGATGTTGTGAATAATCTATACCCATTATGATATGCGATTGCTTCTGAATCTACTGGTTGAGATCATCACGGAATATGTGAATTGGACTGTACGGCAGCCGCTAGTTTAGTTTGGGACATAACCCATGAACCTGAAAATTTGCCTACTGCATGCATCCTCCAAACATGTCGCTTTATCACGAAGCCGCGGAAATTCTCACAAAGACTCAAAAAGAAGGCGGCTCTCTCAAAAGCATTGTATTTGGCAAGAAGACGTGGAAGAGCGATGCCAAGACCCTCTTTGCGCTTGCGACCGAAGCCGCGAAATGGAGCGACGTCCTCTCCGAGGTCGTCGAGAAGAGCGGCATCTTGAAAGTTGAGAAGATTGTACACATTGTGCCCTGTCTGAAACGAGGATATCTACTGACTGGGAATAGCTTACGCCTACCTTGGCCTTACTGCTCACCCATGACTTGTTCCTGGCCAAGAAAGGCATCGCATTGCCAGCAACTCATGGCCTGAATACGGCCGTCAGTCGACACAAAGTCCGCATCTCGGCGGAACTCACCAGAGCACGACTACGGCGAGGCTTTGCTACTCTAGATGCGCTGCGAGAGCATGTGAATGCGGAAGCTGCGAGTGGCCAGGACCAACACTCAAATGGCCCGGACGCCATACGACACCCAAGATGGATTCGAATCAATACCCTGAAGTCTTCCCTTGACGACGAGCTGTCTGCTACCTTCTCCAACTACACGATTGTCAAATCACTCAAGGAGATCACACATGCTACAGCAGGCTCCCGACTCGTCCATGTTGATGAGCATGTACCGAATCTCATCGCTGTAGCTGGATCAGATGACCCGACGACTTTCAAGTCTTACAAGCAGGGCAAATTGATTCTGCAGGAGAAAGCGTCTTGCTTTCCCGCTTACCTGCTGAACCCAATCCCTGGAGGTTGCGATGTTATTGATGCCTGTGCAGCTCCGGGGAACAAAACCACGCATCTGGCCGCCATACTGGGAGATGCGAGTCGTGTGATAGCCTGTGAGAAAGATGCCGAGCGCTCAAAGACTCTGCAGAGGATGGTGAAGATCGCCGGTGCGGACTCGATCGTCGAGGTGAAGCAGAAGCAAAACTTCCTCAAGCTGGACCCAGCTGCTCCCGAATTCTCAAATATCACAGCGCTTTTGCTCGACCCTAGCTGTTCTGGAAGCGGCATCTTCGGACGGGATGAAGCCATTATCAAAGTCCATCTCCCTTCTATGTCTACAGAGGAATCACATCTGAAGAGCAAGAAACGCAAACGGGGCGGTCAACAGCAGAAGCAGAGTACAGAACCGGAGTCTACAAAGGAAGAGATTGTCGAGGAAATGCCAGAAAACGAATCGAACGACACTTCCAAGCTCAAAGCAAGACTGGAAAATCTTTCGACCTTTCAACTTCGCTTACTACAACACGCCATGTCTTTCCCGGCCGCAAGAACTATCACCTATTCCACGTGCTCCATGCATGACGAGGAAAACGAACATGTAGTAGTCAAAGCTTTGACCTCGGAAATTGCTCAACAGCAAGGATGGCGAGTAATGAAACGCAGTGAGCAAGTCGAGGGCATGCAGAAGTGGCATAAGAGAGGAGTCGAAAGTGGCGTGAGGGATGCCTTGGCCGCTTGCGAAGTATCAAAAGATGATGCGGAGGTGGTGGAGATTGCAGATGCGTGCATACGATGCGAAAAGGGTGGCCAAGATGGGACGATGGGATTCTTCGTTTGCGGATTCACAAAGGACCTACGCACCGCAACGGCGACGACGAATGGCAAGTCGGCTAAGGCGGCCAACGAAGTGATGACGACGAGTGCAGAAGACGAAGAGGAATGGAATGGATTCGGCGAAGATGAGACATAGGCTTCGAAAGAGGCCGAGTCGGAAGCAATGTTCTAAAAAAACCCATCAACTTGAAACCATGGGCTTTTCGCCCAGAGGAACCGCCAACAAAGAACACGACTTGCGAAAGGCGCTCTGTCGTTCCCCTGCTATCTCCGGCAAAACCATTCCACGTATGTGCCTTGCGCAGGCAAGCTATCGAGCAGAGAATAGTCGTATCCGGGCTGCTCGACAGCGACGAGAATGGCATCGAACGACTGCAAAGATGAGATGCTCCATTGATGATCGTCAAAGCGCGGCAGAAAGGGGACAGCATTCTGTCTCACTAATGGATCCGCAAACTCCACCCAGGCGTCGTAAGTACTGAGCAGATGGACAGCAAGAGCCTTCCCGGGTGAATTCGATAGTACCGATTGTCCTTGTTTGAATCCAAGACCAACTATCAGGATTCTTGGACGGCGATCTACCTTGGAACTGAGGCTGGCCATGATCCGATCTCCTATCCGCGCTGGACGTTCTTCCATTCGCTTGGTACATGCCTCGAGTAGCGGAAACTGGGCGTTTGACAGCAAGTAGTAGGGGTTGACGGGGATGCAGTGGCCGCCTACTCCTAGCGAAGGTGTATACGGTTGATATCCGAATGGTTTCGTTGCAGCGGCGCTTGCTACCTCCCAAGGGACGATATCAACCTCTTCTCCCGTCAGGCTCTTCTCCGACAAAGATCTCGACAAGGAACCACATGCGTCGGCCATTTCGTTGGCGAATGCGATGCACATCATTCTCTGGCAGTTCTCGTACAGCTTCGTCATCTCTGCAACTTCGGGCTTTGAGACTGGTACAAGATTCTCGAAGACGCGGGAGTATAGCTCGCGGATCGAAGACAGCGACGCCTCGTCGAGCCCCGATATGATCTTGGGGATGCTTTCGTATGCTGGAAATGTTCGGCCGGGATCCACTCGCTCTGGAGACATTCCACACAAAAGCGACTTGCTTCTCAGCAGAGGCGCGAGCAAATCTCTTGTCATGCCCACTGCCACGGAGCTCTCGATAACGACGGTGGACCCAGGACGAGCGTACGTTGTGATTGTCTCGATGGCCATTTGAATGCACGAGATGTCGATCGTACGTTGGTGCTGTTTCACGACAGTACTGACCGAGACCAGGAAGTGTGTTGCCTCAGCCAAAGAAGTTGGATCCGATGTACAGGTGACGTTCTTCCCGACTCTGAGTTGGACTTCTTGGATTCGCTGTTCCGAGACATCGAATGCAATCACATCGTATGCTCGAGAGAAGGTTTCAACGAGGTGTAGTCCAACGTAGCCGGTTCCAATCACGGCCACGGTTACATCGGGAACAGCTTCGAGGGTTTTCAGCGGCGTGTCGAAGTATGTCGTTTCGTTGACTTGCGTTGCGACGTTCTCTGGTGGGGTTTCTTGAGGGCTTTCTGGTGCAGCAATTGTGACCCATGATTCCCTACTTGCTGGATAGTGGCCACCGGGGAGTGTGGCGAAGCATGACTTCCGTCTTGTGCTATCCCATGCTGCCACTGGCGAGGTACTCGTCAAGGTCGTCATGGTTGAAAATAAAAAGTAAGACCGAATGTTCTCTTGATCTGGACGGAGATGAAGGAAATCCAACTGGGGTGCTGGTAACTGCCCTCTGATGATGCGGCAGACGAGCCTGAGCTGGGCTTATGTGTTCCGAAGAAGAGCAGGCTACGGGACGCATTAGCGACACCAGCTCATTCCATGCACAGAGCACAAGCGTCTTTTCGTCGCTGCGATAATGCGATTCACCACCGCTGCCCCGGGACGAAGTCTTGCTATGGGTGAGCACCGCCATGTCTAGCCCAGCAGGCAGACCGATTCTAGCACATGATCGCGCCTGCCATGATCACGCCAGCCACTACTCAGATACGCGACCCGTATTCTCCAGGTCCGCCAGCCATAGCATACGGACATGAGCGGAGGCGTCAATTCGGCATGTCCGGACGGAACGTAGAGCAAGCAGTCGTTTCCAATTGTCGGACTGCCCGTGCACGGCCTAGCGAACGTTGAGTCGAGGCTCCAGAGGCAACAGGTGCCTCAGAGACAAGCGCTACTTGCACCATCAGCCATGTGCTCGAAACGTCTGGGCGTGAACAAATGGCACAAGTGAAGCTCTGAGCGGAACATGCTTAACCTTTACACCGGGAGCCGCTGAGGCTGAGGTCTGGCCTCGCGAGGGAGAGCGCATTCCAAAGTGTTGCTTGTCACGTTGGCAGCCGCTAGGACGACTGGTGCCACAGATTTGGACACTGTCTTTCGCCCGACTTCCAGCCATACTGTGCTCCCGGGTCTCGTCTATTGAGTAAGGAGGATTTGCGTCGGTAGCTGCCCAACTGAGAGCCACCGCCATTCAGAAACAGACGTTTCTTGATCTCCCCACCCCAGCCTTGACCGAGCGATCCTGCGTGGATTTCTCTCAATCTGCCTCTAGCATGAATCGGCAGTCTCCTTCGCGCTTGGTCAAGGAAAGGCCCGACGCCTAGATCGACCCGACCCTTGCAGCTCTGCCTTTCGTGGTGTCGGCAGGTCGCAAGATCTAGGGCTCGTGAGCTAGGCTTAGGGAAAGTCATCGGCTGGCTGAAATACCCGCTTGTTCTTGCGCCACATCAACACCGAGAAGCTTCTCCTCTGTCTTCTACCCTGCAACTTCCCGCTTGCTTACTGCCACCGATCGCCCTCTACGTGGCCGCTGGTCTTTAACTTCGTCTCTTGCCCTGATCTGTCCCTCTTCCTCGTCTCTAGCCAATGTAGAGTCGAGCACCGACCTCAGAACCTTCCCTCAACTTGCCTACTCCGCGATATCAGCTGATCGTAAAGCTCGGCCTACCAAGTTGAAGCCGAGGGGATATGCACCGATTAAGGTTTCCGCTCCCTGCGGGTGATAGCAGCCGGCTCGCGCACAACCCCTATGGGCATGTGGGCAGCTTCCCAGCCTGCGGTACCGCAGCTCCCTAACATAACGTGAGTGACGTGATCATTCTCTATACTTACCATATTAGTATAGCGGTATCCGCGGGTATTCTTCGTCCTATATCTACTAGAATAACGAATACTACCCCCTAGCCCCTACCCTCCGCTATACCTAGGTCTCTCCGCGATAGACTCCTTACCTTCGAGAGGGGCCCTAAATTAGTGTCGGGCTGTCGGAGTTCTAAAGATTGGGTGTCCCAGAGAGCAGCCCCGAGCTAGCGCATGGGCCGACTGTGCGGGAGCCATGGATCGTAAAGACATGGGCCGGAGCCGCACTGGAAACTTGCTTGCAAACCTTAACCAAGATTAGATAAGCGATGCTCCCGAGCTTCTAGTGCAGCTGATCCCATAGAGCTGAATTGTGGCGCCGAGCTAGCATCGGCACGTGGCCATGCGCTACTGAAGCTTAAAACGACAACCCACCGATGGCAATCTCTTTACCTCTACAAATACGTCCTATTCCGAGACATTCTAACCGCTCAACAGGATCATGAAAAGTCTTGGCCTAAGCCCCGTCTTCTACTCGTTCACTGACGATGACTCCCGCACTGCACGTCCCAAGCAAAGTAATGTCATTCTTTCACAATGGGTCTGGCCATGGCGACTTCGTCCTCGGCGCCTACTATCCCGCGTGGAGTGTCTACAATGGAGCAAAGCCTTCGGACCTGAGGCTCTCCCTGCTCACGCATGTCTACTATGCATTTGCACGGTGAGCTACTCTGCTCAGGCTGTGGCAACAACTGGATTCAGCACTGATGATGGGGGTTTCTTGTAGCGTCAAGGAGGATGGCACTGTCTTTGTAAGATCCTCGTGTATCGCGTGCTCGACCAAGTTTGACAATCGATAGAGTCGCGATCCTGCAGCAGACTTTGGCCTTGACGTTGCGGGAGCCAAGGGCTGTCTTGCGGCATTTGTGAAGCTGAGGAGGGAGCAACAGCTGCATTTCCGACTCATCCTGTCCATAGGAGGTGCAAGCGGCTCTTCGACCTTCGCAACCGTGGCTGCTGATCGATCCAAGACGCAACGCTTCTGTGAGACTGCACGTGCCTTTGTCGAACAGCATGAGCTGGACGGCCTTGACAGTAATGCGTCCCAATATCCCCTTTGGAATGGCCCGTCTGACCGTTTCTCTAGTCGATTGGGAACATCCTTCTTCCCCAGAGCAGGGCCAATCGTTCGCCACTCTCCTGACGGCGCTTCGTGTGCATCTCCCCAGTCCGCGATACACACTCACAGCAGCTCTCCCCGCGGCAGAATGGTGTCTTCAGCACATTGATCTGGCCTTCCTACTCAACAAGCCCCTGAAAGCTGCTCCCAACACTGAACCCGTACTGGATCATCTGAACATCATGGCATACGACTTCGCGGGACCTTGGACGAACGGACAATCCGGCCACCACGCCCAGCTTTACACGCCCCCGAAACCCCACAATCCTTACGCAAAGCGTTCCATTGCCGCAGTGACCCAGTACCTCGTTCAGAAGCGAAAGTGTGATCCGAGAAGATTGGTGATTGGTATCCCGCTCTATGGACGCTCTTTTCGCGGCGTTGATGGTCCTGGACAGCACTTCACGGCTTGCGGAGGTGACAAAGACGGGACATTTCGCTATGCGGATCTGCCTCTTCCTGGTAGCCGAGAGACCTTCGATACGAAACTTGGAGCTGCAAGCTGCATGTCGGCAGGTGGCGGTTGGGTCAGCTATGATTGCCCGGAGACTGTGAGGATGAAGGGTAAATTCGTGCGGGACCATAGTCTTGGTGGTATGTTCTTCTGGACCGCGGCGAATGATGCTATCAGCGATGAGAGGAGTCTGTTTGTTGCTGGAAAGTCGGCAATGGGTATGTGAGAATATACTCAAGCATTTGTACATGTTGCTTTCTAAATCCCGAGTGATCCAAATTGTCACTGCAACCTGCTTCTTAGATGCATGTCAAAGCTGGAGGCTCATTGAAGATTTGCAAAAACAGCGAGTGACGTAATGGTCAGAAGAAACGCTTTCGTAAGATATTTCGCCTTGAACGCCTATGATGCTCTACATGTCCCTCGGAAATGCTTTCTCAAAGCAACAACAAGTTCAACGCTGCGATCATCGCACAAAGAGCCCAGGCAGTAGCCGCAGTTGGCGCAAACACAGCGAAGCGCGGTGCTGCAGACTTCTGCACGGCAGCGCTTGTACCCGAAGAAGAAGCACCCTGGCTACTCGACGAGCTCGAACTCGCCGCATTCAGAGTCAACGGAGCCTTGGGCGCACCAACCCCAAAAATCTTCACCGGCACAGGCCCACCAGTCGACGCATCGCGATACCAATTCTCCGCCGGATCACCGAGACACTCTCCAACAGTAACAAACCTGTATCCATCCTTGGACAAAGTCTGGATCATGTAGTCCGTCAGGTTATACACGGTCGGCTTTTCCTGCTCGTGGGCGTAGATGATGTGATTATTGCTTGCGTTGGCGCCGCTGATGCCTTCTGTGAAGTTTGAAACGAGCTGGTCATAGAGTTCTGGGGTGTAGTTGACGTAGTCGTCTGTCCAGACGTTTTGCATGATCTGAAGAGGGGTCGTTAGATCAATGTGGAGAGCAATGGCCGGGAAACTTACTGTGTGATACCCGAGAGCCTGCATGTCACTCATACAGCCACTCGATGTGTGACAGTCTTCGTATGGTGGACGGAAGTAAGTTGGGAAGAATCCCAAGATGTTGCGAAGTGCCATTTCCAGTTTTGTGATCTCGGTGTATCGCTCGGCTTGCGTGATCTTGTCGAGATCGGGATGGCTCCAGGTATGTTGTCCAATTTGGTGACCACTTCGAGGCGTCAATGCTTGCTTTGATTCGAGCAAAAGCTCTTCGACTCACCTATCATATGCATACTTGAGCAACTGCGGCCAAGGAGTGCTCGTGTTATCGATTGCATGCTTGCCAATATTGACACCGGTCACGAAGAATGTTGCTTTGGCATTGTACTTGGCGAGGATTTTGTAGAGGTCGAGAGAGTACAAGTAAGGCCCGTCATCGTATGTGAGAGCCACAGTCTTGTCTTCGGTACAATTCCAGATTTGCTGCGGACTGTATGGGACACTACCCAGCTGTGGGCGGGGGACGGACGACGTATTCGTGCCCTGAGGGAGTATGTTGGCATCGCAAGCCGGTCCGAAGCGGAATTGACATTGAGGAGCATCGCAGAATGCTCTGCCTGTCCCGCAGAAGCCCTAAGATGGTATTCAGTAAGAGTATGTGAGGAATTGGAGTATATAGCTGGAGGGCTTTACATCCTGGGAACAACACTGCCCGGTGGGACATGATGCATTGTTGGCCTGTGTGCCGCAGTTGGGAGTGTCGCGGAGGGAGAGCGCTGGTTGTGCTTCACCATGATGATCATGGTCGCGTAACTTCAAGCCCTGCAGCAAGCTAGGCGGAGCACCAAGAATGCCCACGCCCCCTGGATGGGCACTTGACAGTGCGAAGAGCGAACACAAAATAATCCCAGCTGAGCTGTACATGTTGGAGGAACGAAAGGAATGCTGAATTGGGTTGGTGAAGGAGTTTTGTGCCCAGTGCGATTCTGCATTCGAAGAACCACAGCTTGGACTGCCCTGACATTTCTATCATCGCTCGCCAAGAACCCAATGGTCTCGACCGCCGAATCGTGCGAGGCAGGCTTGGTCTCGAACTTGCGTCCAGTATTCGTTTTGAGTATTGCATAGCGACACGTTGCCAATCGGTCAGGCCGAACGTGATTTCAGCTCTCTGTGCGTGCAGCCACAACGGAGGCGTCGCGTTCTGGAAACACGAGAGTTTACTTGTCGATTGTCCGGGGTCTTGCATGTCCTGATGGGCCGGAGCCCAGACAGGCGGAAGGTTTGCGGTGCTAGAAACCCTAACACAATGCTAAGATAGATGGTCAGAATTAGGTTATACGCTAAGCGTGTGATGCGCAGGCTCAATCTGTGGCGCTCAGCCACGCGTTTTCCCCTTTCGGACACTCTTGTACAGGTGACTAAGACTGACCTTTCGTCGCTATAGCCGCCACCGGCAACTCCTGCTCGGAGTATATGGTACGTCCGCCTTGGCTGGTCAAGGTTCCAGATTGACACTGTCCGCTCAGCCAGCCAACGGACGGGCCTAAGCGCTCACACCATCGACGGCGCTTCCCCTTCCAGCTAGACATTGGCGAGGGCAACGTGCTCGGATGCCATGTGGTGTCCCCCTGACCGTTGTCTCTCGTGACGGTACCAAAGCGAAGCACCGAGCAGAACAGCTTCCAGATTCAGCTCGGACCGAGATTGACGAGATAATTATGCTTCCATGGCAGAGTGTCGCTCGCCAGCGTGGAACTCCAAGGGCCAGTATATTACAGCAATCCGTTGCGTCGTCGCACTGCGATTGATCGGCTCAGCGCGCTTTTCCCACCCCTTTCCAGTCCTACTTTGAGCATTGGGGTGATTGGAAGTATGGCCCTCCCTACGATTGTCAGAACTTCAGAGGACCTTGCCAACCATGATCCCACAACGAGCAAGACGCAGCACAACATCAGCGTGCAAGAGCTGGGCAACATTGTCGACAATGCCAGTCCGCGGGCCATCGAACAATCCGTACCCCTCGCAGAGGAGATCTCACAAGCTGTCGCCTCAGTGAAGGCTGTGCTTCGTCCCGACATCGTCGTCAACGAGCTAAACGCCAACACTCCCTCGGAGCTGAATTTCGAAGTGCCCGATCCCACCGCAGACATCCGTGTCCCACCTGCTCAGAAGCCCATCTTCGTCCCACCTCAGACTCTACCCGAGCCGGATGGAAGCGAATCCCGAGCAAGGGCATCATCTCCCACCGTGGTTGATGAGATCGAAGTCCTACCGGATCACAGGCCTCTAGCTCCTGAGATAGGCCACTATACATCTCCAGTCCCTGTCGCTGTGCCGGAGACCAAAGAGACTGTCGTTGCTCAGCCCGTTGTCGATGAGAAGGAGCGGTTAAGGGGGCTCAGGAAACTCAAGCTCCAAAAGCATGCATTCCAGGCCTCCATACTGCTATTCAAGTGAGTCCGCAGCCCTGACGCGAACATGTCAAGAATTCGCAAACTGACCACTCACTTCACAGTGGCTTCCTCATCTTCGTCAGCTGGCATTTTAGGAACCTGATCTGGGTGCTCTTGCCTCTGATCACCTTTTCTCTCGTACTTCAAATCGTCATGATAATCTCTATTGGCTGCCGGACAACATGGAACTACTTCCGCCCGGAAGAGTATGAAGAAGTCGCTCGTCCGGAGAGTCTCGCATTGTTGATTCCCTGCTACAACGAAACGCCAGAAGAAATGACCAAATCGATGGACTCCTTGATAGAGCAATCTGGCATTGAACAGCATCCTCAATTCATCGTCGTCCTTTGCGACGGGAAAGCGCGCGGACCAGGCATGGCGAAGACTACCCACGACTGGCTCCTGCAAGATGTTCCACTCGAGGATGCCGCTGCCGGGTTCTACGAGGCAGCCTATACAGCTTGGGATCACCAGCGAATGGACGTCATTCTGCGTATTGGAAAATATCGTGGCGTGCCTTGTATGATGATCCTGAAGCATCAAAATCAGGGAAAGAGAGATGGCTTGATCCTGATCCGATCTTTCCTTCACAAGTTCAACTTGCGCCGAGAGCAGCCAGACACGATCATGTCCCCCGAATTCTTCGATACAATGTGTGCTTTCATCCAGGACCAGGCCCACATCGACCACGTTGACGACCTTGTCGGCATGGACGCAGATACATATTTCGATCCGGAGTGTATCAGTAATTTGGTTCAGGAGAGCCAGTAAGTCCAAGTACCTGTCGCAGAGGTTCTCACCCGCTGACTCTAGCTCCAGCCTACCAAAAACGACAGGAGTATGCGGCTACGTCGCCGTCGACTTCCAAGATAAGCAATGGGGTTTCTGGAACCTCATGCAGAATTCAGAATATACAACCGCTCAGACTCTTCGCCGGCTGCACCAATCGATGGTCACACACAAAGTCTCCTGTCTTCCCGGATGTTGCCAACTTCTCAAGATCACGGAAGAGACCTGTGGCGATGACATTCTTGTCTCGAAGTTCGGATACTATCCCACCTGGAAAGACGGCATCCTGAAGCATATTCGAGCGACAGCCAGCGAAGACCGCAACCATGTTTGTCTGCTGCTCGCTCATCGGCCAAACTCTCAGACTCGCATGGTAATGAACGCCAAGGCCTATACTGCGGTCCCTCAATCTTGGTCGGTCTACCTCTCCCAGAGAAGAAGATGGACGCTGGGTGCGACGATGAACGATGTCTTCAACGTCACCGCGCCCGGAGTCGTCTGGTTCGAACGTCTCCTGGCCGGTGTGAACGTCGTAACGTGGTTCGTCAATCCTTTCATCCTCGCGGCGTTGGGAGGTTTCATCCATGCATGCATCAGTGAGTACTATCCCAGCTTCGGCGGAAAAGTAGGTCGGAAATACTGACAAAGTGCAACAGTCAGTCCCTTGTGGATGAGCATGATGTTCGTGAGTATCATGATGATCCCAATCACGTGGTACTTGGTCGTTCCACTTTGGCATATCAAGAAGTGGAAAGCAAGCATCCAGTACTACTGTGGATTGCTGCTCTTCATCGGCAGTGGCCCATTCCTGGCCATCTTCGTCCTCACATATGCCTTAATCAACATGGATCGTTTCGGGTGGGGCAAGACTCGCAAAGTCATCGCCGAAATCGAGCCAGGTCAGGCGGATGGTACGGCGGGCGAGAAGGCGCAGCAGGGCATGATCGAGGAAGCTCCACATCAGAGGTCCGAGCCGGTTTCGTCTTTCATCAGCCCAGCGCAGTCGACACCCGTCCAGGTGCCACTTCCAGCTGCTAGGTTTCCTGGGAGAAGGCGTCTCGACGAGGAAGAGCGCGTGGGCTGGTAAAACTGTTACGATAGACCGTCATTGTCAGCGTAAGCACCACATTTGTCTTATTCATGCCGATCCGCAGGATTCTCTCTCGTCCTCAAGTTTCACCCAACGAACATGTTGGCGCGAGTTGTATGGTCTTGAATTTCATCTCATTGCTGATGCCGGGGGTAGCTAATCGAAGACAACCTTGCCTCTGCATCTGCGAGGGCATCGCCTCAGTAGCCTAACGTGCAAGCTCCCTCTTCCGTATGCTTGGGCTCGACAAGAGGTCGTGTATCTGGCAGACGTCGTAGCCGGCTTCGAACAGCGGCAAAGCAGCATCATCCCTTGCTTTACGAGCCGTACGCCCGCCTGTCGCGACCGATCTTGTTCTCGGAGGCAACAGTCTGAGCTCCCTCAGGAAGACGCTCCTCGGCCGGAGGGACGTCACCCCGACCGATCTGGGCGTTGTCGTCGTTCAGGGCGCGCTGGTCGGCAAAGGCTGGGTCGTGCGGGTTGATATCGGACTGGTTGGCGCCTCCGAGACGGCCGTCGAGGCCACTACCTGGGTTCTTACGGTGGTGCTGGCCATCGTGACGGAGCTCAGCGGACGTCTGTCCAGCGCCTGGGTGACCCAAGCCGGTGTGGACGTCTGCGGAGGAAGCGCCAATCAAGGTGTCGGCGGCGCTGGTGGACTGAGATTCGGGATCGCGTACACCGTCCTTCATGTACCGCTCCACGGGCGGAGCGGTGGACTGATCCTCGAGAGCGGTGTTGGGTGCGAAGGTGCGGTCGGCTGGTGCTGAGCCGGGAGGGAGAGTCTGGGCGGAGAATTCGGGGACGGCATCGTTGCCGACAAGCTTGCCTGGCTGGTGCTTCTGCAAGGATCGTTAGCTCTATGCCGACTGCATCTCTCTCTCTCTCTCTCTCTCTCTCTCTGTCTCTCTCTCTCACACTCACGTTGTTTGCTGCTGGTTCGTTACCAGCCGTGCCCTGGAACTGTCCGCTCTGGCCATCTGGAATTCATCAGCAATGCTCGCACGAAGAGTCGAATGCTTGGAGATGCTCACCTGGGCGGTTCTGGCCACCACGAAGCGAGTCGATGGATTGCGATGCCATATTGCTTGCTCTGGACTTGATCTGGGTGTATTGGACTTATGAATCGGGTTTGACAATCTGTGCAACGAGAATTTGTGGTTTGTGTGAAGTGCAAAGGGTGAGTCGTGCTGGTCGCGTGCGAGACTTTCGAGCAATTGTACCTGCATGAGAAATGGTGTGCGTCATTCTGATGCGAACATGTGAACAGAACGAAGGCGAATCAGGCAGAGCACAGCTCGACGTAACAACGTAGATCAGCGGGCATAATGAATGCTCAATGATGTACTACGCTGGAGCAGAACCAATGCTCCTTTCACGGCTTTCTTGACCTACTTCTTGGTATCCTTCCTGAAAAGAATTCTTACTAATCCTATCACAGATCTCCTCCCATCCCACTTCAGAATCTTCGCACCTTACAACCTCCTGGCGTCCATCCCCTTGAGCGACTTTTCTTCGGCCTCTTCCTCGGAGGCCAAGCAATAGTCGCCGAAGCAGGCTCCTTAGCAAAAAAGAACTGCTGATACTTCGGGTCTCTATTCGCAACATAGCGGCACTTTCTTCCCACGTCAAGAAGCTCCCGTCTCTCCCATCTGGCTTCCACGTCCCACTCCGCCTCTTCCCGTGAGAACCGCGTTTTCGCATAATCGGGAGGAAGATTGCACAGCGTGGTCTTGGCATTGTTCATCACTTGCGCGAGTAAAGCACGTTTGGCGTTCAGGTGCAATTGCACGTGTTCTTCAACGCAGCCTGGGCACGTGAAAGCTTCCTCCGTCATTTCGGCGTTGGCGAATTTCTCAACGCGTTGGGGAAGGGCACGGCAGCAGTTGGCGGCGCAGGCTTCCGGCTTGCAAGTGATGACTTTGTGGCCGCATGTGAGCTTGTGCACGAGGGAGCCTGTGACACATGCATCTGCCACGCTTTGGAACATATACGGCGACTTTGAATTCGTCGTTAGTATTGGTGATGAGAGCGACGGTGAGCTTGGAGTGACACCGCTGCTAACACGTGCAGCCGCTGGAGGGAGGAGTCCTTTCCGGTGGCTCAATGAGACGTAGGACGGCGTGGGCACAGGAGAATATTTGAGGCCCCTCGTCAATCGTGGTATCCGGCTAGGAGTCTGAGCTGCTGTTGCTATCTCATCAGTAAGTGAAGTCGTCGAAATTTTGGCCTTGAGCATGTTAGGCAATGGCGATGGCGATGGCGATAGCAGCGGCAGCTTTGATAGCTTCTGCGTGTTCGAAGAAGCTATTTTCGAGGCTCCTTTTGGTGTTGCTTGAGGTAAAGGAAGATAGGAAACCTTAGGAGTACGAGTGCGAGGTGACATTGTCGTCTGAAGTGAGCTTCTATCGCAGTTCCAACTGAGTGCGAATGACTATCCAAGTGAGCAATGATTACAGGTCAAATAAGGGCTTTCGATCGATCAAAGTAAGGCGAAATAAGCGTGTCGTGATTTTGTATGCAACGAGTAGTCCTGCGAAATATGAGTTCCGGCTTCGCTTTATACATAGGTCGTTTCTTCTTCTTTAATCTGCTCCATCTCCGCACCGGACCGCGCTGCATATATCATACGCATGTCTATCATTGTTCCAAGCTGCACTTTGTGCTAGTTCTCTTTGAGCTAGATTCATGCAAACAATAAACAAAGGCGATCAAGACAAAGCGCAGGGCCTTTGTGTCTCATTATTCATCGTGAGGTGAGCTTTGCTTTCAGATGCAACGCTAGTGCGGATAGCGGCAGGGATAGCAAGCCGAAGAGCCCGCGGGGCGGTATCCAAAAGAGCTGATATGGCAGCTCATGATGGGGAGGCATTCATAGATTCATGGAGGTGGTCTGTGATTCTTACACCCGTTTTCATCCTCTTGCTCCGTATATACTGATATCGATCCACACACAATGCGTATATCGACGTGGATCACACCTTGTTAAGGTCCCCGGACGCGTCTCCTTCTTATTGCACAAACTCACTAAGGAGACAATGAACGGACTGTTTCAGAGGCTCGAGGATCGCTCGACGAAAGTAAAGTCCAGTGTGCCAAAGCCTAGTGTGCCCCCTCTCGACACGCGCGCGTCTACGCGAGACCTTATGGCCTTAGCACTGTCGATTGCTCCGGATACTCCAAACTCGCTCCACCGGAACTGCAAACGGACGCCTGAAGGCCTGGCCAAGCTGTCTCGACAAGCAATGTTGGAATAGGATTGTAAGTTCCACTCCACACAAGTAATAAGAAGATGAATAGTATCTCCAGAGGAGTTTAGTATCTCCAGAGGAGTTTCCGGGAGAGGGGATTCTCAATGTGAGAATGCGCATATCTGACCAATCCCAGAGCTCGAGTCCTGGACCGATGTTTGGCCGGCTTTGTTTGGGGTTCGACCTATTAGGCAACAGTCTTCCAACATTCACTTCACCTGCATGTGAAAATGCGCCTGTGACTCGAGCCCCACTTTGCTCGTGATGCGCGCCGGGCAACACACGCGCTTCCCACGTACTTAAACGCAGCGAATTTCAGAATTTTCTCGCCTTGCAGCTTGTATCCCACCCCACCGCTCTTTGCAGTCTTCTGTCCATCGAGTTTTGGGGATTCTCCTGTTCAGCCACACATCGACCACTTGCGATTCTTGTCAGACCCGACGCGCGACCAAGGTGTCTGCATCAACGCTTTCCTGCACACCAACTTCAATACAAGCCGCGCCCAAGATGTTGTTCAACAACAACCATTCCGTCGCCCAGGGTTACGTCGAGGACGATGACGACGACCAGGAGTATCTCGCGCAAGCGATGCGCGAGCGCGAGGAGGAAGTGGATCCGGTCCAAATTCGCATGACGATGCCAATCCGCCTGAGGGTCCCAGACGCGCTCGAGACAGGAATCGACATCACACCGTCTGCCCTTTCCGATCTGTTGTCCGCGCCAAAGCCAGACCCGCCTCGACCAGCAGAGCGCGCCAAGGGCCCTGCAGGCAACCCATTCCCAACCGTGTGTTTCGACGCGCCGCTCATCAACCATCCCCATCATCACCGGCTTAAATGTGGACACGACATCATCACAACCGAAATCGAGGTCTGCGGTAAGAATTGCATGCAACTGGCCAATGGCGGACCTGTGCCGACTGAACATCCTTTCCGGTGTCCCTCCAGAAAGTGCCTCACCAAGATCAGCCCGCTGCTGCCAAAGGATCGGAAGCCTCTTCGTCGCTTTGCTAGACTCAGCCGAGTCCGAGGCAATGACGAGCGCGCTGACGAAGAGCGACGAAACGAACTAGAGAAGCCAAAGGTCGCTCGGAAGAAGCCAGAGGTAGGACCATCGGATAGCGAGACGCCCGAGATTCTGCGTGCGACCCGCCATAATACTCAGAACGTAGACAAGGCAGAAGAACTGAATGCGTTTATCGATGCGAACCCTAGCTGGAAGGTCCTTTACGACTTCTCTGGCCCCGGCACAATGGCCAAACTGGATGGCAAGTACATGACCAAGAAAGATTTCGCAGCACATTTTGTGAACAAGAAGATGGCGAAGTCCTTGTACGACCTCCAAATCGCAAATAAGGAGTTCATGTCCGAGGAGGCTAAAGAGGCGTTGAGGCGGGCGTATGAAGAAGAGCAAAATGCTGCTGCGCACCAAGACGAAGAGGCAGAAGGTTCCTTCCTCAACGGACTCTGCGACTGCTGCGGAGGACGTCTTCTCGGAGTCCGATTCACATGCCAGGAATGCGCGGACGTCGACTTCTGTAACGGGTGCTACATGTTACGTCGCCAGACCCATGACGAGGAGCACTCCTTTCGCATGTATGGGCATGCGATCGGTACGAAAGAGATCGCCGCTGGGGCTGATGTTGATGAGTCGCAGGCACAAGACGACTCGACGCCTGACAACACGGCTGAGAGTCGCAATGCCAAGCAAGACGCAGGGGTGAAGAGCAAGGCTTCTGTTCGCGCTGAGTTGATTGCAAAGGGTCGCATCCAGAAGGCAAACGTCAAGAAGGAGGAGCGCGCCCACATGCCACGCTTACAAACGCTGCGTCGACAGCAGATGCTTCAAGCTAAGACCGATGCTGAGAAGGAAGCTATTTGGGCAAAGTTTCAACGGGTCATTGATCAACAGGAAAGCCAGGATGTCAACTCCGGCGAGTCCAGTCAAGCGAAGGACAAGGATGGAGACATGAAGATGTCGGGAGGCCAAGGAGATGCATCCTCCCAACAAGCGAATGCAAAGCCAAGCTCGGAAGCGAGCAACACGAAGATCCACCCAGAACAAGAGGTGGAGCTATTTGGCGACGTCGGTACTGGTGCTGGCAACTGAGCGCGTGTACGAAGCCGGCCAAGAGAGTCTTCCGATCGATACGGGGTTGCAGAGACAGGTAGATATGCATGAATGGCTGGAGATGAGATATGGGTGCGTGTTCTGAGTGAGAGCCGCAAATGTTCAACAGGAATAGGCCTGGAGCCTCATATAGTGGTCTCGATGAAAGACCGTTGATAGCATGGAAACCCTTTTGTCGAATTCCGTATTTTTGTTTGACTCCAGATCTCGTATGAAGGCTGTAGCAGATAATGCGTGGCTGCTCCAATACCATTCACTATGAAGGCTGTAGCAAGTGATGCGTGGCTGCTCTAATGCCATTCACTCCATCTCGAACGGTGACGGTTCGGTCCGCGCATGTGGTCTCAAATTGCCTTAAGAACCCGAACTTCTCTCAACAATCCAGACATTTCGTGCTAGTCGTGTTCTTCACTTGTTGTCGACACTTTCCCAAGAGCCCGCGAACGAGCAAGAAAATAGAGTAGCCGCCACAACGCTCGAGTCGAGCACTCCGGAATCGCGCAATCCCACGCAGCCACATTAGGTCCTGAAGCGACAGAGTGACAGCCATGCCGCACCCAGTCCTGCGCCCTCGCCAGCGCAGTGAGGACCTTAGGGAGCTGTACCGTGAGAACGACGCCAACAACGGCGCAGTTCAGGACTCGGTCAAGCGACACCGACTTCGCCGTATCAAAGCTTACTCGGCGCTGGCTACAGCAGCCGCGGCGTCGCACGATAGGCCGAGGGTGTACTCTCTGCCGGTGAGCCAGGACGAGGTGCTCGAGAGATTCACTGCCAAGGTAAGTGTCATAGGAATGTAATCGTTGCGTTGCAGGCTCTGTCTTCAGATCATGAGCAGCCCAGTACCCTCACAGGCGACCGGCTTGTCGATCGGCCGTTCCTTGATGTTCAAGCGGAGTCTAACCTATCGATAGAACAAGCCCGTCGTCGAGAGGAAGACCACAGAAGTACTCGTGCACAAGCTTTTCACACCAGCGTGCGACGAGTCCCCGAGTACGGCCTCAGACTTTTCCTGCACTGGAGACCTGAGCAATGCGAGCACCTTACTTCACCGCAAAAGCAAAGCCGAGGACCTAAGATCGAGATACGCTCTCGAGAGCAAGACTGTCGTCGATGGCGGAGAATATTCGGAGCCGGACACTCTCTTCTTGGGAAACATCGTCAACTCGGAGACCACGGCGACACATGAGCCGGTCGAGGAGGCTGTGTACTGCATTTGTCGTCGCCCGCTCGACGCAGCACAGGGTGAGATGGTGAAATGCGACGTCTGCAGCGAGTGGTTCCACCTGCACTGTGTTGGTCAAGGTCATCGCGATGTCGATTACTTCGCCGATCACATCTTCTTCTGTCCGGATTGCGAGACCATTGCCTTCCAGGAGATGGCCGCGGACGAGGAAAAGGCCGCTTTGACAGCCGGTGCTGTGGCCGATGCTGGTGCTGGTGTCGACGCTGGAAAAGAGCGGGATTAGATGGACTAAGAGCAGGGACGGTGGTCAAATTGCATGAGCATTACCTGGAAGGCTGAAGCAAGAGAGGGTGAAGGAAGGGTGAGGGAAGGGAGAAGGAAGTGACGAGGTGTGGTGTGCGCTCAATTTTGCAACAATAGCAGATCAGGCCATTGTTGGCAGCCGCAGCGGCGGCCGTGATCGGCGCCAGAGCCTAGATGGCGGTTTGTCAGACCAATTGGCCCTATGTTCTGGCATTGCTGGTGCCCTCTCTTTGCGCGCCCATGCCACTTCTTGTATTCCAGATCATCCCAACGTCGTCTCGTTAGACATCATTCTCGCGCTCTATCGCTCCATTGTCCCTGGCTCTTCCCTCCAAATCGCTTCCACGGGCGTTCAGCGCATAACATCGAGTCGGAGGCCGAGTAGTATTGTCGATTACATCTTTACGTGGGCATGTCGTGGGGTGTGGTGTAATTGTGAAAGACGAGGCAACCTGGAAGCTGTGAAAGACGTGAAGTCGCGGGGCCACCTGACTCGGCCGCACCTCGGCTACGCGTCTTCAACGCGTCCACTGAGTACATGTACACCTCGCCAAGCACTGCCTTCTCCCCTGGCGCCTTCTATACGAGATCCAAGAGACGGCATAAAGCACGGAGCGTCGACCACTCCGTCTCACTGTAGAGAACACTCTCCCTTCGCTCTTGCTTAGCCCGTGAAAGGCTGCGGTCGCTTTCAATGCCCGTCTCTCCTCGGCCACCTTTGCCGCTGCGAAACGAGTATAGCTGAGAATGAGCGATACCGCATCAAGAACATGCAGACAAGCTCACAGACTTGTGACCAACCTGTCACGCTGATCTTGAATGGTCTACCAGTCGAAGATACCTCATCGGAAGGAACCTGGGTGTCACTTCAGAGCTATATCGATCGAGCAAGAACCAAGTACAGAAGAAAACGCCCAGACCTGCTACCAAAGGTGGCGCTTCTTCCTCATATTCCGACGTCTCGATTGCTCTGAAGAGCGCCTGGACAGAGCAATCGAGACGTCGACGAAGCTCAAGAAGGTCAGTGGGTGTTGCTTGCCACTCACTCCAGGAAACACTTCTCATTGCAGCAGGGCGCAGAAACGACCATCCAACTGCCTCGAACTGTCCCGTCTCATTTGACGCTCTCCGAGAGAGGCGAGCAACAGGTAGCGCAGTCATGGCATACTTCTCTCGAAGAAGCACGCGAGAGAAACACGACTTGGTGGCGAATGAACGAGGAGGGTCTTGCCACAGCTATTTTCGACGGCGTTGGATTTCCAGACCGTCCCTTGCTCTTCGGCGTGTCAGCTATCGTGGACACTTCGCACTTGAACCTCACATCTGGGAGCGACCTCCGTCTCCCGCCGAAGGTCATAACATGGATGAATGGTCGCTGGAACTTCCGCGAGCCATCACGATGTAAGACTTGAAGCGGAAGGCCTCGAAAAGCAGCTTCGTCACAGCACCTCGAATGTGCTATCTGATTCTGCAATCCCTGACTTGCCTCAGGATGATACGAGTCGCCGTAGGTATGCCCACTACTCAAACAAGTCGGGAAATTCTAACAGGTACAGTCGTCCAGGTACCCGTGCTTGATTCAGTATCGACAGAGCAACCGCTTTCACAACGCGCGTCTTCACACAAGGGCTGGCGCATCAGCAAGCCACAGATCTGGAGCAATCTGACTATGAGAGAATCTGCGATCCGCTGGTGACGCTCAGATATTATGGCCCTAGCCAAATCAACTGCTTCAAAAAACATCAACTTTGTCGATCGATCAGCAGACACACAGTGTGGATGCACTTCGGCTAAGCAAGTGAAGAATCTCGACATATACAAGGTAATACAGGGAGGCTGTCTCAGTAGCAGCATAGTTATGTCGCTAATCTTGCGTTGACGCATGGATATACTCATCAGACGTCTTTCGCATCTCCACCAATAAGTTCCATTCTCCGTTGCTTCTAGGTGTACACCTGCTCAGTAAGGGCATTCAGCCCCAACCCTTCTTTCGCAATATCCTCCTCCTTCAAGAACATCAGCGGCATCTCCACCAGATTTCCCCGAACCTTGCTCAAGATCTCCTTCACCTCGCTGAGACCTTGCGCGCCTGGAGAGAATTCTTCCCGTACCACGTGTCCCCACTTCCACGTACTTGGCCTCTGCATCTCCTTGCCTTCATTCTTGGCTTCTTCGGGCTTGAAGAAGCGCTCGTAGTACGCGTCGTACTGCTTCCATGTTCGCACGCTATCATCTGGTACCGGATGGAAGACTTTGGCGAATGCCTTCGTATTCTCGGCAGCGGTAGTCTTCCACAAATTATCAAAATCCGACGAAAGAGGATCCACCACAACCTGGTCTTCCCTACTGCCCCAATCGTACAGATTCGCATCTCCAATGGGCGTGAAATTTGCGTCTGGCTTCTCCATGTCTTGAGGCTTGAGCAAACCCAGATGCTTCCTGAAGATTTGACGCCGGAGACTGGTCGCAAATGATGAGGCTCTCCATGGTTTACCAGCCATATACGAATCAAGGTCTTGCTGATCCTCGATAATCATAGCGATCTCCGAGTCGTGATCGCCGAGTTGCGATCTGTCATTCATGTTCGCGGATCCGCAAATTACAATGCGGTCGTCGGCTATGAGAAGCTTCGAATGGATATACAGCTCCTCGGAAACAAAAGCATCCATTTCCGCTTCGGGATCGCCTTCCCACGGGATTGTTTGCAGGTCGGGTCCGTTGAGCATGTAGCACTCGGCGACGCTGTCCCATCTACCGCTGTCGCTTCCGCGGACGTTTGCAGCAGTCCGCTGATATCTGTCATATGCCGAGTCTGGGTTTCCGGCGCTGCCTTGGGCCTCTGCGTCGCCATACTTCTGATCGTGCTGGTTGCGCGCTTCGTCATAGGAGACTCCGGCTTGCTCTTCCACTTTCGTCATTGTGGCGCTGATGTTGATCCTGTCGTAGCTTCTCAAGTTGTAGAAGCGAATGTACTCCATTGGATCGATCCCTTCTCTCGCGACACTTTCCATGATGCTGTGTCCACCTCGGTTGATTGAGAAATATTGAAACTCCATGATGGCTCTCGTCCCAAGAGCGTCATCCGCCTTCAAGTCACCGGCGAAAGCAGGCACAGAAGGGATGTTGATGATCATATGCCAGTCTTCATTGTTGCGTGCAGCTCGGATAATACGCTCGACGATTGCAGCTCCGACCTTGTTCCTAACTGGCTTTTGTTCATCCGATGTAGCCGTAATGAAGAATTGGTTTTCCATGTAAACAAAGTGCTCGCTCCTCTTGATGATGTCAATATATGCGTTCGCGATCGAATGCTCAACATGGACACCATGACTCCATCGTGCACATGACCGGGTGAGCTGGCAGTGGACGCCGCCTTGGATCATGGAATAGTCGTTTTGACCTGCGGAGAATTGGTCGCGCAGGCGCTCACGTTGCTCTTCCAATCGTGCTTTGCCTGTCTCGTACTGTAACCGCATTCGCTCTCGAAAGCCATCGTATTGTCCCTCGCCTTCGATTTCACCTCCTGCCTCTGACGCCTTGTAAGGATGGCCGATGATTCCGGCCCTCACAGGCGAGTAGACGAGGGGATGGTACCTCTCATCTTTGCGTACGTCGTATTTCTCAAAGTAAATGAAGTTCCAACGCTGGACAAAGTGCGCTTTGAGATCCTCAACAGCGGGTCCGCTGAGACAGAAAGCTACGTCACTCCATCCCATTCGACTGTTGTATCTTCGGTCCAGCTTGTTGTTCCCCCAGTGCTGCACATCCTGGAAGTCCATGATTCTGGCATTGTTGTAGTCCTGACCTGGGAACACGATGCTACGGAGGTCACTAGGATGGACATCCGCAATTGAATGCTGATTTGTGTCCCATCGACCATAGCACAAGTCGAGACCGCCCATGAATGCGGTATGTCCATCCACAAGGCAGAGCTTCTCGTGGTGCGCCCAGAACAAGACGGCGTCTTCATTCATCCCATAGACGGCTTTGATGGCGTCTCCAGGGAGCTGTACCAGTTTTGCAGGGCTCAGACCGCTCTGTTTAATGCTTGAGATGAAGCTTGATGCAAGCGTCTGCTTGTCTGGCAGATGATCGGGATGTCTGAAGATCTGGATGTGTGTGAGTGGCCGTTGATCTTGGAGGAAGAATGCAACCCATGTATCTTCTACCGCAACAGGCTGCCGGCTCACTCACCTTGATGTTGCCCGTCTTGTCATTATCCTCAAGCCAATGTTTCGTATGACTCGAAGAAAGCGTCAAAGCCTGGGTAACCTCCTTGTACACAATGACGTTGACCTGTACGCCTCTCTCCGCGGCAGCAAAGAGCAACCTGTCGAGCCGATATTGTTCGTTCTTCGCGGGCGGCCGCCTCAAGTACAGCTCAGGTGATAGCCACCAGTCCAGGATCCAAATCTCACGCTGAGCACGCTCCAATGCCATGCTGACAGCATACATATAGCTGCAGCCATCAACATACCATTTGACATTGTTGCCTTCGCGCTGTGGTGCGAAGGACTGGAATCGATGAAGATGATGGCTGTCGTGATCGGAGCATTGCCCGGAATGGTGAGTATGAGAATGTGCGTTCTTTGTAGATGACTTGAACCTGGTCTCGGCGTCCTTCACAGCGTCCTTCATCTTGTCGAAGAGGAACGCCATGGTTCTTGCAGTGCCGAGATTGCAGGCGACTTGGTGATTGGAGTCTCCTCAGGTGGATATGTGGTATGTGAGGTATAGCACGAAATGCACAACTTAGGTTTGGAGATTTATATTAGGTCTTGATGTGTGCAGACACGATTGAAATGTGATGCTTCAAGCGTCATGGAAGAGTGAAGTGCAGCAGTTCACGTGTCGCGTGCCAAGGAAAGATCCACACCCACGAGGCGTCTGCTCTAGCACCACTTCAAACTTGTTCTGGCGAGTCTACCAGTGTCTCGACTTTTATCTGCTCAATCAATGGCGCCGTTGGCCTATTCTGCCTCATCGGCGGTCGTTCTGGAAACACAATCACCGTACGTGGACGACCGGCGGCATCTGACGGATCAAGAAGGCATTTCACTCCGCTCTCAGCTAGAAGTCCAAGATTGGTATAGTATCATGTGCCTCTTCATACTTCTACCTATTGAAGGCTGCGGAAAACGCGCATAGCCGTGCATGCCCTGAAAGTCAATCATACGCGAGGCCTTGTTCCTGCTAGCAGCACAAAGCATGCCGTCAGCAGCCAAGGTCGCCTCAAGGTTCTCGTGTCACCTTGTGACCTTGCACCCCGAGGCCCATACCACGCGTGTCATCCAACTCAGCATGGATTTCTATTCCCTGCCAGGGGTCCCGTAGAGCTATCGCGATGACTTTGGGGCGAAGAGATAGGACGGTCCCGAGTCTGCAGTCACACCCAAACTGGCCGAATGAACTGGTAGTACTTGCACTCGACCGGGGAACTACACCTCTCACTCTTATCAGACTGACGCTCTTTGTTCCCACGCTTTATCAATGGGTATTCGTCTTCTTGCCAGACCCTCAGCTGTATGTGAAGATGGGCGGTATGTGTCTTTTGATTACATGTCGAAAGTACGAGCAAGGGTATCATTGAACGCCATGCCTACTCAAATCCACCAGCCATGATCCCGTGGGATCGGAATTGTCCGAAATCCAGCAATCCCAATATCGTCTACAGATCCGAATACTCAGTAACACAGGCGACCAGGTAAAAGCTCGCCCGCCAGTTGTGCAAGCCAGAATAGTCCATGTTTCGAGGCCACTACTTCGCATCCTCAGGTGAGGATTTGGTGCCTAGTTCAAATAAGCAGTCTGCCTGGGCGGAGAATATAAAAGGGACAAACCTCTTCAGGACTGCTTCAAGTGTCAGTGCACTCAAGTCTGCGTCGTCGGGTAGCTCATTGATGATCGGAACAAGTCCCGCAAACTTTTCGCCGCCGCGATATGCAATGATTGCTGGGACGCCAGCAGGTTCCATCTGTGCTTCGTCGTAGTGAAGTTTCACAAATCGTGTGTCTTGATGCTTGCTCGCAAGGGTACGGATGCAACTTTCAAACAGGTCGCTTACTTGAGACTACAAGCTGTCAGCGTCTGCGTGGGAGGGCACATCTTCAAACTCACATAGTCATCGTAGATGTATACCACGACCACTATGTCCGGACCTGACTTGTCCACTGCGTCAAGATATCCTTCGCCATCGACAGTTGCTAGACCTCCATAAAGTCTCCTGCTGCGTCCATTCCGGTGCATGGTGCTGTCTCTTACTCCACTCTTCAACTCTTTTATTCTGCTCTGTCTCCATTTACGCATGAAGTCGACGTTCCCATCGTCTAGTTCTTCCCCGTCTTCCTCATCCAGCTTTTCGACCGGCGCAGGGTCCTTTGATCTTGACTGGCTCTGCAGTTGAGGAGTGAACGAGTTTCTAACTGACATTCGCTGGCTGCGGCGTGAGTCGCGAAAGTCTTGTGCATCAGAGATAACGCCCTTCGGTCCGGTGTTCGCCCCGTAGCGTTTGCTGGGTATCGTGCTTCGTACGTTGCTCATGCTTGGTCTGCCTCCGTCTTCGCCGTCTGGCACAGCGTGCGAGGAAGACGCGGTGGGGTCTTCGTCGTCGGAGAGGTTGAGGAAGGACCTGCCGTCGTCATCATCTCCTGGATGTCCTCTTCTCCGACCCTTATCTCTCATGAGCTCTCGAAACTCGTCTTGAGCGGCCGACATGTTGATAGATGGCACTTGCTATGAGCACACGGGGAAGATTCAGGTGTCCAGAATGAGATGCCGCCGCCTGGGAGCAGGTCAGGTCCAACAATGTGCTCGTGCTAATGATGATGTTGGTGGTGGGGCAGAGTTCTTAACTTCCGAAGCTCGTCCAGTGCGTTCCGCTGCCGGGTACGTGGCAGGATGGGTTGTTCGAGGAAGGCCTAAACATAGTGCGCCAGGTAGGGCGCTGCAGCTTCCTTACCGGAGCTTCCCTGGCAAATGCGCGCCGTTTGCTGGCTCAATCGCGCATGTCGCTGCATGGTGGGTGATTCAGACGAACATGGGCATGACCGAAGTGCTGTTTCACCTGCGAGAATGCGAGGATTGCAGAGCACCACGCGGTTTGAGAAGGCCGAAGGGAGCGATGCGGCGTGGCCCGAGATAGGTAGAGTGATGGAAGTGATGAGGAAGTGGGGTGGGCTGTCTCTGGTTGGACTCGGGCCCGCTTCTGACTGAGCACGGGTCGCGCGCACGATCATCAACAGACGTTGAGATAATAATGAGCTCGCGGATCTACAGTACAGACACTCCGTTATTACGGCTCTTGCCTCGCTTGCCAGCCGGAAATCAACAACACGGCAATGAGATGGTCGGCAAGAGCGTACATATGAGCTAAAAGGAGAGATATCCTCTCCTTCCACCACACACGCACCCACACCAGCATCTTATAGGCTCAGGGGCCTCAGGGGCGACGATCTGCCAAGTCTGCTCGGTGTTTTGTGCGAGGAACCAACTCGAGCACACCGGCTCATTGCGGAAGCGATGTCTCAAGACGGTTGTGACGGTCATCCGTCCTACTACCAAGTGATGCCCACCATCACTACTAGGTACTACGTCTCGCTATAAAGTCTCCGCCTCGAAATACACATGTGGTTTAAAAGACCAGCTTTTGGTTCCTTTTTGCTTGGAGATTGATGTCTCACGTACAGCAGCTACTAAAAACAACCAGTCCGCGCCGGGATGGATGCTGCCATACGGCAAAGAAGAAGAATCCCCACCGCCCAATAATGCCACATGTCCGCACTTAGTTACGCCGAGTAACGCACTCTCAAGCGTTCTCACAGGTTTGAGTACTCCAGCACAGATATAAGAAAGAGCTCCCCCGCTGGGATGTCATCGATGGGAACGCAAGGACTGCCCGGTCTTCCACAAGGTCGTGTTGGTGATGAGGAAAGGTCGCTTGCTCCAGAGGCCGTCGTGAAGCTTGCGGGTGCTTGTTCACCGTGTAGGCCGCCGCTTTCTGCCGATCTCGGAGAGAAGGAAGTGTCGCACGCAGAATCCGCAGAGGTAGAGATTGAGCAATAGATTGACAATAGTTGAGAAACTCTCGAGAGGCTTGCCAATGGCTCTACATGTGAGATCCAGCGTGATGCTCTAAGGATGTCGATCATGCCCAAATGCGGAGCTGTGATGAATGTTAGCGCTGGTCTCTGATATCTTCCTGCAACAGTGCGCGTAAACTGACCATCGAATCCCAGGAGCCTGTGCATAAGGACATTGCATCGTTGCTCACGCCGAGGCAGCTAACCCGGTTGTCGTGACCTTGAAGAGTGCCAACTCGATCACCGCGTAGGACATCCCAAACCTACAAACTCGTTAGCGTATCTGACCATATATCCGGCTCCATTTCCAGACAAACCTTGCACTCGAAGTCGTCGTAGCCTGCAAACAACAGTCGACCTGAAACAGAGAAGGCGACAGAGGTAATGCCGCAGACGGGCTCGCCGATCTGGCAGACGGTCAGCAACTTCTCGCACAGCCAGTACTCAAGCGTAGCAACATACAGTGTAACTCTGCAGCTCACGGTCTGCCCGAATATCGAAGAGTCGACACGACGCATCATCTGATCCCGTACCGAACGCGTTGCCATTAGGGAAGAATTGGATCGCGTTGATGTCCGAATCGTGCGCAGCGAAAGTTTGCGTGCACTTTTGCTGCCGAATGTCCCACAGCTTGGCGAAGGCGTCACAAGCTCCCGACACAAATTGGTTGTTATCCAATGGATTTATGCTCAAGCTCATGACATCGCCGAGGTGGTCCGCGAACTCGGTGATTTTTTGCCCGGTTTCGATGTCCCAGAGCACACAGGTCATGTCACCCGAGGATGTGAGGATGCGTCGATCGTTTATGAAACGACAACAGCTGAGATAGCCAGAATGCCCACTAAGCTCGCGCGCCACCCGTGTCGGTCCCTCTCTCGCGGAGAGGTTGTAAATGGAGCAGATATTGTCTAGACCTCCGCATGCCACATAGTTGCCGCTGGGTGAGTATGCGCACGTCATCACCCAGGATGATCGGAGCGGGATGGCATGGACTTTGTTCGTAGTGTAGGCATCCCAGATGATGAGTTTGCCGTCTTGTGATGCGGACACAAGATGTCTTCGGTCGGTCGACCAGTGCATCGCGTAGATCTTGGCCAGATGGCCTTTGAGGGTGCGTTTAGTCTTCATCGCTAGCCGCGGCAGCTGTTCCGTTCGTTGTCGCGCGATATCACGCACTGAGCATGACGATGTCAGCCAATGTCCCTCACATTATTTGCACCGCAGCCAGCAAGCGTGGCAGTAACGGGTAGCAGAGGAGTTGGACTCACGTGTGGTGTCGGCGAGCTCATCTTTCTTGCGCTTTATCCTGTCTTTGAGGGCTTCCTACAGCACGTCGTAAGTTTCTGCAGATCGCATCTTCGCTCATCACCTGCGTATACATACTGCGTCTCGTCTGGCGATCTGGATCTTCTGCCTTTGTGGCCGTTAGCTATCCGATGTTTCAGGCGGCGTGGTGCGCCAGGCTGGATGAGCTGCTTACTGAATGGACTCAGCATTTGCGTCCGCTGAATTCATGCTGGCCGCGCGACGGCACCCGGATGATCAATGGAACGCCAGTAGCGAAGCGGTAGTCGAAGTGCGGTGCGCAAGGAGGTGCTTGGGGCGGCCAGGTCCAAGCCTGCAGCTCTGCAGTCGGGCGTTGTCTGCGGCGCAGCACCACCTGTTGCTGTTTGCGGTACGGAGGCTGAGAGGGCAATCAGGGCGGCGGCGGTGACGGCGACGGGCGGACAGACAACCAACGCCGCTGTCGGCAGAGGGCTCCGAGGAAGGTGGACGGGCGCGCGGTGAGTGTGCAGCGCGGCGGCGGGCGGTGGTGGTGTCGCTGCTCGTCGTCGCGGGTGGTTGGTAGAGAAAGGACCCCGGATAGCAGCGAATGGCACACTTGGATTGGGAGAACAGCAACGGCCGCCGCGCACGGGCCGCCGGAACGACGCTAGTGCTAATAAGACTCTCCGCGTCAACCTAGTTCGGAGGAACCGTTCCAGGAAACTCTACCAGCAAAACTGTCACTTGCACCTCACGACCTCACCAATAGCACGGTGAGTAGTGCGCCTGAGCTTGCCCTGCGCATGCTATTGTCCTCTGCCTGACGAGCCCGTGCTGGCACCGATGCCCTACGGAATCGGAAGACACGCTGCTCTTCCGACCTTCCGACGCCAAGGCTCCAAGCAATGCCCGAGTCGGGGAAATTACCCAGCTCGCGCGACGTCTCCGCCTACGAGATAACTTCATCCACTACTCTCACAGGTTCATTGCGACTATTTAGCTAACGCGGTGGGCCGTGGCCCTTGCTCGGGCGTTCTAGCGAGGTACTTTAGCGTACGAAATGAAGACATCTGCCGACCCAGACGAGAGTTGCAAGTGGCGATGTGGCTTCAGGAGCACCGGCAAACTGGTTCTGCAAGGAACAGGTGGTGTGGCAGAGTATTTTGCAGATTATGCTGTGTAGGCGAAAATCCTCACCGCAACCAGTCAAATGTCCTGGATCTCGACGACGTTCTGGTGTCGCGGCTAGACGTGCGGTCAATCGCGAGATCACTCTCAGCCTGTCTGGAAACAGAGACGAGCTTCACGGGCTGAAGATATGCATGTGTTGGCATGTAACCAACGCTGCGATCTTCGTTGTCAGTGTTGGAAGATGATGCGCATTGTGTTCAATATTTCATCTGCACCTATATTGCGACCGGAAATGGACAGCAATTCAAGCTTAATCACCTGGTCCCTGGCCAATGAGTCCGTCATCGTGTAGTCTGTACGATCGCCTGACCGCATCGATGCTGGCTAAAGGGTACTTTGTTTCGTGGTTGGCCCACTGACAAGCACAGCCAAAAGCTTAGGCAAACCCAGGAGATCCTCAAGAATGCACAGAATGTGAAAAGCCGGGAGGCGGAATGGTTCTGTATGTGGAAGCATACGGCCATAGGGATGGTACTAAGTAGGCGAGGTCAAAAGGGGCCTCAGGACAACCCGGAAAGGGGATTCGAAGTCGAGTCGTGGAAAGTAGACACATCATGTCGTTCGCGATTGCAAAGCAAAGCCATGGCCTCTTCTCTCGCATATCACCATCTCAAGCAGTTGCCTTCCCATTGAACGCCGATGCCTCTTACGCTGCGTGCTCGCCGCCACACGTCGCCTGCCAGACCGGCCCAGCGTCCCTCTCCAACGCCATCGTCACCTCGAACGCTCCAGTGTGTGTTTACCGGTGCTATCTTAATGTCAGCCCTTGCCCATGCTACAAACCCATATCGCACGCCATTATGTACCTTGGTGAATCCGATGTCGAGAGACTTCTCTCTGAAGCACTGACGGCAGATATTCAGGCCGTACTTGCGGATGAGACCAGCCTTGTGGGTGCAGACACGGCTATTGGACGAGTTAGCCAGACTGCTTGTGCTATCTCTTTGCGACCTTGATGTCCATCTGACACTCCACCTACCAGCCTCTTGCTCCCTTTCCGTAGCCGCGTGGGCGCGAGTACCAGACACTCTCGTGCGACATCTTTGCGGTGCGGTGTTTGCGGCTGTCTGTTGATGTTCGGGGTAGAGTCGCGGTCGGTGGTCGTTCGCGGTGTCTTTGCTGCTGAAGCCGGGCTCTCCTCCCTCAAAAATCGCGAGGAACTAGAGTGGCCTGCCAAGCCCGGCACGTTCCGAGAGCTTTGGGTAGGGTTGCGGGAAAGCTTCCGAACCCCATTTCCACTCGTCTCCCACCCGCCGCCTGCTTCATCGCTTCCACACCAACAGCAACATAATGTCCGAGAAGAAAATCAAGTCAAAGGATTTGACTTACGATTCTTCTCTGCCACCATTCCTACAAAGACTGCACGACCGCAATGCCGGCCGAGGAGATGCAGACCGCCACGAGAGGCCGCTAGCACGACCCAAGAAGGCCAAAGATCCTCATGAGGATGACGGACCAACTGTCGTCGACGAGACTGGCGAGACTTTGAGCAAGGAGGAGGTAGCCAAGTTGACGGATATGGCGACACCGATCGATGGCAGTGCCAACGTCAAAGGGGACACAGATCTGGATGCGGCACCTGAGGCCTCGGGCGCCGTACCTCCTCCCGAGCCCGATACGCAAAAAGGCTCCAAGTCGGCAACTTCTAATGTCACTGATGGCACGGCACAGAAGAAGCGCAAAGCTGTCAAGGTCGTCGGGGACGATGATGCCGCAGATCCAGCTAAAGAGCTCGGCTCTTCGAGAGCAAGCAAAAAGGTGAAGAAGAAAGCCAAAGTCAAACTGGCATTCCACGACGAGGGCTGAGTGAGTCGAAAACTCCTCATGGAGGGCAAGTCTTTGGCGACCTAATGCAACGATGATTAATGAAGAGACACGCCTGGAGTCTGTCATTTAGGGTCCTCCTTGCGACCGAATGGCAGTCCAAAGCTGCATAACTACGCGCATACTGTCGAAGGATGCTGGTGAGTGGTCTTTCTCTGGTATTCACTTCCCGTAATGATGACATTTGAAATATTGGAGCTGTCCTACGTCTCTCAGTGAGCATTGAGGAGGAACAATTATACGCAACATTGGCTGAAAGCTTTGGGCTTGTCCTTGTCCTTGTACTGCTCGATCAAATCAAAATTTGTCTGGACACTAATTGTCGAACATAGATTCTACTGTCTTCCAAAGTCTCCTTGGTCTCGCAATGGTCGACAACGGCGGCTCGGCAATCTCTCTTCTCTCCGCGCTGATATGCTTCGTTTTAGCACGTGGCGTGCATGGAGTCAACTTTGCGACTTCATCGCCCGGAACGCTGTTGTTTCACGCTCTCAAAGTGCATGTCAATCTGCTATCGCATACATACTGCCTGTGTCACTGGACATTGGTATTGCTGCAAGTTGGTACATGCCGCAACGAATTCAAGCAGGTGTGGATAGGTTCAGCTGGTAGCGGACGCGCTTTACAGTCATCGCTCTGTCTGCAAGGGAATGCACCAGATCATATTCCGCAGAATTGCTAACGGAACATGACGGGGAAATCAATAGGGTTATCCATGTCTACATGGTCAGCTACGCACCGAAAGTGTTTACATTAAGGATGATATTGCAATCCATTCGAACTTACACATACAGGACGACGGCAACAAGACAATTGGCAACCGGAAGTCTAAACTTTTTCAGCTCAAGATCAGCGAAAGGCTGTTGCTGGATTCGATGCGATGCAGCATCTTGCACAAATAATGAGTGCGCCAAGGCACCAGAAAGTCAGCGCAGCTTCGTCATCGACTTAGAACGACAAGCGGTCGGCGGCTGTTAAGCTTGTTCACACGAAACCCAATGCGAGGGGCAGGACAGCTATAGAGCTGCGTAAGCTTACAGCCGTGACTTCAAGAGATGTTCCCTGCGTCGACAACGGGGCAGTTGTCTGGCCACAGACATTTCGCCGCAATATCCCGCTTCTCGCTTCAGCTCTCGTCAGAGGTTGCGTCTTACACATCTTGCTTGATACGTACTCAATAGGCGTCACTTCCCCAAGGCTATATTGAATCGAACTTCTCTTAATTAGACACGCTTCGGCTCAGAGACGTCTAGCATCGAGTTCACCACAATGGCGTCCAAAGAACTGGCCGAAGTCTACGGTGGACCTCATGAGGCTCCTCACTCGTTATTTGCCACAATCGAAGATGGCTGGAAGAACAATCTGAATGAAATTGCAGTGATCTCCACGCATCAGCCGCATGATCTGTTCTCAGGTCTCGTTCAAGACTGCCACGCAACGAACGGGCGCTCCAATAGTGACGAAAGTCTGGCATGGACCTACGCCCAGCTCCACCGAGCCGCTCTGAAGTTTGCCGCTGGACTTCGAGCACATGGCGTTGAACCGGGGATGCGAATCGCTACAATATGTCCGAACGGCGTCCAATTCCCACTCGCTTTGTGGACCTGCATGATAATGAGACTTACGCTATGTCCTTTAGATCCAGGCGCCGTGAGTCGGGCAAGAGAAGAAGAACTAGCCAAGTACATGTCCTTGATTCAACCGGATGCCGTTCTCGTTATGGATGAGAGAGCAACAGCAGCTGTTGATGTCGCGCTCAGCAAGGAACCCAAAGTCAAAATCGTCCTAGACCCGGGTTTCAAGCCGGAGAGTAGCTCCAGATGGACTTCTCTCCTCCAGCTTGCGACCTCAGCCACTTTCTCTCCAGCAGACGAGGAGTCATTGCTGAACTCCGCTCGGAACGAAGACTCTCCTACACGTCTTGCCTCGATTCTCTTCACCTCCGGCACTTCGAGCGGTAATCCCAAGGGCTGTCCCCGCTCTGTTGCCAGTACAACCCATCACCTAACTTCTCAAATCTACGGCAACATGACTGCTTCGGGCCGCATACTCATCGCCAGCATGAACTTTCGAGGCATCGCCATGTCCTTGACAATGCACTCCCTCAGACTTGGCGCAGCAATTGTCATTGCAGATCCTTCTGCCGGAATAGCAGGACAGATCGAAGCGATTCGAAGACACAAAGTCACATATGCATTCTTCGTACCGGCACAATTGCACACTATGATTGCACATCCTGATTTCAGAACCTCGGACGTGAGCTCTATTGAATCCGCGGGTATTGGCGGAGACATAGTGACGAGAGATCTCCTCGAAAAGGCTCGAATGGCTTTCCCACATACGCTTGTGACAAATAGTGCGGGCATGACAGAGGTGAGTCTCTCAATTGACAGAAACCGCTTCTATGCTCGCTAACTTTCATACTTCCAGGGAGGAGGCATCATCTCCTGGCCTTTCGGCAACACCCCAGTGTCCCAACTCCCGCTCCAGGGCGAAATTGTGCCCCTTGGCACCGCAACCCACGGCGCGCGCCTGCGTATCCGTGACCCAGAAACAGGCCAAACAAATCACCGGGACGAGCCAGGAGAATTCTGCATCTCATGCGAGGGTATCATAGAACACTACCTCGACAATGTCCAACCTGAAGCTTTCTTCACGGACTGCCAGGGTCATAGATTCTTCCGGACGGGGGACCTAGCCGTAATAGATGAAGACGACGTCGTGACTATTATAGGTCGAATTAAGGATGTGGTGAAGAGGGCCGGGGTACCGCTAGCTCCAGCTGCGATCGAGAGTTGTATTCAGAATTTCACTGGAGCCCAGGTTTCCGTGGTGGCATGGCCGCATGTTACGCTCGGAGCAGAGCCGATGGCGATTCTCGATGGCATGCATGGAAAGACACAGGACGAGATCAAACAGGAAGTGCTTAGCAGGTTTGGCGAGGCTTATACGATGGGACCGATTGTCACGTTGAAGCAATTGGGGTTGGAAGAGTTTCCATCCAATGCTACTGGCAAGATCATGAAGTTTGAACTATTGAACAAAGCGAAGGAGGTATACAGCAGCAAGTAGCCGGAGCTGTGAAGCTACTTGACTATGATACAGTGTAGCTTGCGCTCACTCATCTATCTCAGTCGTTTCCGAGATTTGTCCTTCCCATCATGGTATCATCAACCTAACGCCTCGCTAATGTGATGACTCGCAATACAATCGAGTTCACGAAGAGGACTCATTTCAAAATCTCATCCCAATCAGGGGTGATCACAAATTTGCCTCTGACCTGTCCCATGCTCATGCCCAAGGCTGGCTCCTGCTGCTCTGACGCGGCATCTTCCTCGTTTCTGGGCTTCTTATCCGGCATCCGAGTAAGCAAAACAGTCTCCAGAAAATCGTTCTCCGTGCCTTGGCCAAGGAGGAAGCTGGTGCCCCCCCAGTCCATGGTCGCTATACCAGACTTGTGGATTCGCAGCTTGCCGATCGAACCTGAGGGCAGATGCGGCTGGCTAATATTCTGGTCTGTCTCATTCGGACCCGACGCTTCGGCTTGCGCAATTGGCTCTGGTTGCTTGTCGACCTCCATGGCTTCAGCTCGTGGATTCCGAACCACGATGTTGTCGTCCGGATCTTCTTTCACGTGGATGGGCTCCAGGCTAGGAAGCACCGGTGGAAATTGGAACACGTACACCTGGTTCTCCCTGATCTCTTGTTGAACCCTTGCCTTTTCTCGAGATGGTGTGTTGTCGGCCATAGCGGTGTCGCCCTCACCATCTGTCACTTGCGCATTATCCGTCACGATCTGGCCCAGCTCATTGCGTATCGCCCTCAGGTCCCTATACCTCCTGTCCCACTCGTCTTTCTCGGCTTGAGTTTGGAACTTGGGCTCCTCGGGCGTCGGGAAGTCGTCTGAATCCTCAGTACACTCAACAGAAGCCTTCACCTTCTCTTTCGCTTTGCGTCGCGTTTCTGGTGATGACGGTGGCTCGTTCAGCATGTCTTGAGTTGCTTGGACTGACTCGGGGGCTGTCAATCCCGTCTGATCATCATCGTCCATGGGCTCATCCTTGATCTGAACATCCCCATCTGAATCTGAGGAGCTGTAGGCGGTCGGACGCCTGAATTTCTCGCTTGCTCCGGTGACCTCCACGTCTCGAGCTCGCTGCTTGCCTTTCTTCTTTTGCGGCACGTCCTTGTCCGCGGAGTCCTCGCTGTCGAATAGACCGGCGTCTTCGGCATTCAAAGCAACAGTTCTGTCTTTGTGAGGGACTCTTACCAAACGAACAGGCGCCATGAGGTTTCGACTTCCTCTTTCGGCATCGACTCCAGTCAGGTCAACGAATTGCATCTGGTCCACGTTCTGTTTTGGGCCTGCGTCCGTTCCCTCGTCCTCGTCGCTTGAGATATAACCTCCGTCTTCCGTCTTGACTGGGCGCATGCTCACATCTCCCATACCGTATTCCATCTTGACATTCGTGCCGCTGGACGAGCCGTATGATCGACCACCACCACCACCGCCGCCACCACCACCACCTCCTCCTCCGCCGAATCGTGAACCACTGCTGCCAGGTCCACCACCGCTTCCCAGGAAGCCTGACCCACCGCCAGAATTCCAGCCCGATCTCCTCACAGAGCCATCGCCTTGCACTTGTCCAGCACTGAAGGGTCCACTGGCGACAGAATCTTGCTGGTGGTCTCCCATGTGTCCTCCACGCCCTCTGCCACGGCCACGACCGCGACCTCGCTCGCCGCCTCTGCCATAGCCAAATTTTCTTGCATCTCGTGCTACTTTTCTCGCCTCTGCTGCTTGTGCTTCCGCCTCTGCTGCTTTCTTTGCTGCCTCTGCCTGCTCTGCTTCCTTTCGTGCTGCTTCTGAACGCCTACCTGCGAACTTGGGCTTGGGAGTAATCGTACCTCTGCCTCTGCCTCTACCTCCGCGTGCAGACGCAGAGCCGGGTCTCGCGATAGAATCGAGTCGATTGGAAGAAGCTGGACTCGCCGTGCTCGCTGGAGTCGAGGACGCGTTGCTAGCGGGTTGAGAAGCTCCCGCGCTTGCTTGGTCTGCTGCTCCCGTTTCCACCTTGAGCAGAGGAGCGTCGCCGCTGCCCGAGTCACTGGTGGGCGCTTTTGGCGGCATGTTCGTTGTTTTCGCTAGATCATGGAGTGGGTGCCATGGCAGGGACGCGTGCCAAACAGAATTTTGTCCTTAAGCCGAGCTCGACAATAAGGTAAGTCATGCAGATGGTTACCCATTCCCAAACTTTCTCGACTTTAAAGTGGGGCATCTTGTTTGAGCCTCAGGCACAACTTCACATGCGGGCTTGGCACATAGCAACCGGGAGCTGCCGTGCTGACGACTGTTGATGGCTAGCCGCAAACAGAAGTCACCCTTGTCGAGGATGCACCAAACGGAACTGTTCCTTCCCCGGTTGTCGATCAGCACAGACAGCAAACTAGCGCCATACCATGAGTCGCAACGACGTTTTGGATGGATGTATGTCTTTCTGAGAGACCGTTCAACGCAGACGCTCATTGAGACGTGTGCCCAGTTCGCCGAACAAAACTGGACGCTGCCTATCGAAATGGCTACACGCGCCGTGACGACTCCCGACCTACAAAACTACCACTCCACCGCAAGCACACCGAGTCTGAGGAGCAGAGAGCCCGTCGATAGCATGGAGAGGCCGTACACACCGCCAGACGGCGACGCAGGAAATGTCAAGGTCGTTGTGCGCGTGCGCAAATTCATCAAGAGAGGTGGGACAGATATTGCACATACGTGTGGATTCGTTGCTGATACGGGAAGCAGAGCTAGAGAAGAAGTCACCATGTATCATAAAGATGGACTCGAGGACTCAGGAGACAACGCTATGTCCGCCGATGCTCACACAAGATGAAGAGAAAAGTTCAAAGAAGACATACCGAGAGCAATCCTTCACCTTCGACAAGTCGTTCTGGTCACACAGCGAGGCGGATCCACACTTCGCAGGCCAGACTGATGTCTATGCATCCTTTGGAGAAGAGTTTCTTGACCACAACTTCGATGGATACCACACATGTATCTTCGCGTACGGTCAGACGGGAAGCGGCAAGTCGTACACCATGATGGGTACCCTCGATCAGCCTGGCCTCATTCCACGAACTTGCAGAGGACTGTTCGAGAGGATCGAAGCGGAGCAGAACGGCAGTATAACGTACAACGTCCACGTTTCATACTTTGAGATCTACAACGAGCATGTGAAGGATCTGCTCACACCACGCACCAATCCGCCGACATACCTCAAGATCCGAGAGAGCAAGAGCGATGGCGTCTACGTGCAGAACTTGACCGACGAGCCTGTGAAGAGCTACGAGGATATCGAGAGACTCATGAAGATGGGAGACATGAATCGAACGACCGCAAGCACCAAGATGAACGACACCTCTTCCCGCTCACATGCCGTTTTCACCCTCACACTCAAGCAGATCCAACACGACATCGCAACAGACAGCACAATCGAGCGGCTGGCCCGCATGAGACTTGTCGACCTGGCAGGCTCCGAACGAGCTAACCGCACCGAAGCCACAGGCCAGCGACTCCGCGAAGGAGGCAACATTAACCAGTCTCTCACTACACTTGGCCGAGTAATCGCAGCCCTCTCGGACCCAAAGCGTCAAATGGCATCTCGCAAGCCCGGACTTCAAAATCAAACCAAGCGCCGGCTCGAAGTCGTTCCATACCGAGACTCGGTCCTCACTTGGCTGCTCAAGGACTCTCTCGGCGGCAACAGCAAGACCGCCATGGTGGCTTGCATTTCCCCGACAGATTACGAAGAAACGCTCTCTACTCTCCGCTACGCCGACCAAGCCAAGAAGATCCGCACCAAGGCCCATGTCAACCAGGACGCTGTTTCGGCCGCAGAGCGCGATGCCAAGATCCTCGAAATGCAAGAAGTGATCAAATCACTACAACTCTCTGTCAACGCGGCCGCAGTCCGCAAGCGCGACGAGGCAGACCGTGCTCGCGACGAATTGGAAGACTACCAACGCCAGGTCAACAAAATGCAACGCGCCATGGAGGAATCTCGCGCCGTATCGGAAGTCAAGATCCGCGCTCTCACGCAGGAAGTCGACGAGCTTCGCCCGCAGAATGAAGCTCTGCAGATCGAAATCGAAGCTCTGCGCAGACATTTGGCGCTTGCAGTAGGGGAATTGAAGAACCCGATTGTTCTGCCGGAGGGTCTTGGGGATGATGACGCGGAATCTGGAGATGAAGACCGTGATAGTGGCGTGGGCGAGGACTTCAGTGACGGGGAAGAAAAGGACGCGTTTGAGCAAGCGCTGTGGCAGCAGGAGGTGGAATCCCTGATGACGGATTTGGGACTTTTCAAGAGAAAGGTTGCGGACGATAAGGCGAGGTTTCCGCATCCTGAGGGGGTACAGGTCATTTGATCGGCTTGGATTGGATGATGATGATGATGATGTATGGTTGTCGAAAGCGCAAGAGCCGGAGTTGGATGGGCGTTTCTATTTGTTTTGGATCGATCGCTTTATAACCTCCAACGCAGCGCTACATATCAGTATAGTCCTATGTCACGAAAGCAATTTTGACACCGCGTGAGAGATGCGCACTTACATCCACCCTTTGGCATTGACTTGATATAGCTGTAGCTGTACAGTCCATTCTTGCCCTACACGTCTACCTCTGCCACTCCATCTTCCCCTTCACCGACTGCGTCTTACGGTTTAAAATCTCCTCTACCTTCTCCTTCACACCCTGCTTTCCATGCGTCACCTCAATGAAGTGTTCCAGGACCTGATCTCGCGACTTCCCGTCCGTGACTTGCTGCTGCACCGCCCCCTCAGATGGCAATCCGATCCATTGGTGCGGGTAGCGGTAGTAATCCTCTCCAGTCCCACCAGCGCTCGCGTCCAGAAGATCGAATTCAGTCTCATGGGTGAAGAAGCTGTTGACATCGGCGTCTGTTACTTTGTCAATAGAATCCGGGTTCCAGCTCGGCGTGCGCTTGGGCTTGTCGACCAGCAGCGCAGTAACACCCTCAATAAAATCAGGATGTTCCATGAAGCGTGCCGCGATGGCGTGCTCTTTCTTGAAAGTGTGCGCGATACTCCACTTAGCGCCATCGCGGAGCTGACGGAGTGTGACCTTGACAGAAGTGGGTGAGCGTTGAAGAATTGTTTTCAAGGTCTTCACGGCCCAAGGATGGACGTCATGATATCCGCGAGTGCCCTCTTCCATCTCTACGAAACCCTGAAGAGCATCGAGGATTCCTTTGATGTCGTTAGCGGGTTGAAAGACGTAGTCGATTGCTGCACGGATGTTGCCCCCTACTGGTCCTGCGATGGGTTGATCGTGTGGAAGACCGGTGACGAACTCCTCAATGGTTCGGTTGATGATCTGATGGCGCGAGCGAAGGGACTCATAGTCTTTGAAGTCGAGCTCTCCCAGGCGTGCTTCCAGATCAGGGAGGGTGGAAGAGTGGATGTAGTGTGTTGCAATACCAGCATAGAATACCTGCACGCCCTTGATCTGCTCTGAAGTGAGAGCACAGTACTTTCCAAGCTCTCCGTCCATGCGAGGAAGGAAGAATGAAGCGCCCACATCTGGGAAGAAGCCGATGGTGGTCTCAGGCATTGCGAAGACGGTGTTTTCCGTTGCGATCCTGAATGGTGCGTGTAGAGATAGACCGACACCACCGCCCATAGTGATGCCGTCGATGAAGGCAACGTATGGCTTCTTGTACGTCGAGATCAGATGATCTAACTTGTATTCCAGGGCGAAGTAGTCCTTGCTCTCCTGCTGGCCCTCGGTTCCCTCCTTGTTTCTCTGCGCCAACCATGCGACATCTCCTCCAGCACAGAACGCTCTCCCTTCGCCCTTGATGACGACAACATTTGCCAATTCACTCTTGCTCCATTCGTGCAGTCTGGGAATGATCTTGCGCGCCATGCTGCCATTCAGCGAATTCAGCTTCTTCGGTCGGTTGAGGGTAATATTGCGCACACCGCCTTGACTGCCGAACAGGACATCGTTGGGTTCGTCGCCGGGTAATTCCTTGATGTCGGTTGCTGATGCGAACTATGGCGGCTATGGTCAGTCAGTTTCCTGCATCTATCAGTGGGGTAATGTTCGCTCACTTGTCTTGCAGCACTCTGTTGCATGGCGGGACTCAGAATCTTGGCGCGGAGAGGCATTGTCGCTGGCCTGGTGGCGAACCGTCTGGAGCAAGTCTGGAGAAGCATTGGGAAGAGGGTTTTGAGACTGCAGAAGGTAGATACTGGAGCTACCCTCAAGCTAGCATTGAGAGGACGAAGCAGCCCGAGACCTCGGTTGACGGATGGCTTCTCCAATGCCAATGTAGATGGTTCTATAAGCCGAAAGGTATATTTGGTCGTCCTTCTGATTCGTTGGGGAGTGTTGTTGAGCGGCCGGATGGTATCACGTCGTCGGTAGTGGTTGTTCAAGTCCAGAGCGGAGAAGCGATGGTGGTGTGGTGTGGTGCGGCGCGAAGCTCTCCCCCGAAAGTGAAAGCTTGAGCACGTGACGGTAAACTTTCGAAATCTCTCGGAGGCGATTGAAGTGTCGACGACGAGTGCGGAATCCCGTCTTTCCTCGTCACTCCTCCCCTTCTCCTTCCATCTCGCATCGGCGCCGGGGCTCCTGTACACTATGTCCTTCGCTCGCACTTTCCTTCAGACCACCCGCGCTCTGCGCTCCCAGAGCAGCAATCCTCTCCAAGCCGCTCTCACTCACAGGGGCCAGTCCAAGTTCGCCGCAACATCAGTAGCCACCGCGCGAGCATACGCCACCGTCTTTGAGCGCAGCAAGCCTCACGTCAACATCGGTACCATCGGTCACGTCGATCACGGAAAGGTATGAAAGAGCAATGGCGGCCAATGAATGCGAAAGAAGAGGTCATGGATGGTACAGGATGGAATGGGATACTGATCAAGGAATCATAGACCACTCTCACAGCTGCCATCACCAAGCGACAGGCCGAGAAGGGCTATGCCAACTTCCTCGAATATGCCGCCATCGACAAGGCTCCCGAGGAGCGGAAGCGTGGTATCACCATCTCGACCGCCCACATCGAATACCAGACCGATGCCCGCCACTATGCCCACGTCGACTGCCCTGGTCACGCCGATTACATCAAGAACATGATCACTGGTGCTGCTTCGATGGACGGTGCTATCATTGTCGTTGCTGCTAGCGATGGTCAGATGCCCCAGACCAGAGAACATTTGCTGCTTGCGCGGCAGGTTGGTGTCAAGAAGATTGTCGTTTTCGTCAACAAGGTCGATGCGGTCGAGGACAAGGAGATGTTGGAGCTCGTCGAGATGGAGATGAGGGAGCTGCTATCCTCATATGGCTTCGAGGGTGACGAGACCCCGATCATCATGGGTTCTGCTCTTTGCGCCATGGAGAACCGTAACGAAGACATTGGTGTAAAGAAGGTCGATGAGCTACTTGAGGCTGTTGATTCTTGGATCCCAACTCCAGAGCGTGACATTGCGAAGCCTTTCCTCATGGCCGTCGAAGATGTCTTCTCGATCCCTGGACGGGGAACTGTCGCCTCGGGCCGTGTTGAGCGTGGTGTGCTCAAGAAGGATTCCGAAGTCGAGCTCGTTGGCAAGAACAAGGTTCCCATCAAGACCAAAGTCACCGACATTGAGACCTTCAAGAAGTCCTGTGATGAGTCCCGTGCTGGTGACAACTCGGGTCTGCTGCTTCGTGGTGTCAAGCGTGAGGATGTCCTCCGTGGAATGGTCATTGTTCAACCCGGCAGTGTCAAGGCCCACAGGAAGTTCCTCACCTCGATGTACGTCCTGACTAAGGAAGAAGGCGGCCGACACACTGGTTTCCAGAACAACTACAAGCCTCAGCTCTTCCTGCGGACGGCCGACGAGGCTGCTACTCTGACCTGGCCCGAAGGCAGCGAGCAAGCCACCGAGGGCAAGATGGTCATGCCTGGCGACAACGTCGAAATGGTCTGCGAAATCCACAAGCCCCTTGCGATTGACGAGGGTCAGCGCTTCAACGTCCGTGAGGGTGGACGTACTGTTGCCACTGGTCTGATCACCCGTCTGTTGGACTAAGCGAAACACGCTTATCGACTTTGGTCGGCGTTGATGGTGATCTTGTGGGGAGGAAAGGCGACGCCGAGGACGGGACGAGACGTAAGACGACATGTACAGCTAACGGCCGATCCCAGGCTACATTCAGCTTCGACGACTGTGTTTGCTGTACTTATACCATGTAGATATCCAGGCGCACATGGAAGGAATGGGGAGGACGAGAAAACAGGAGGGATGCATAGCCTGGCGTTCCTCGAGACTCATCACTACTGTGTGTGCTGTAGCACTTTGATACCACCGAAAAGCCGATCCCAGCTCTGTCAACTCGCATACCCCGCCTAGGATTGAAGATCGGGGGACCGATCTAAAGAATATTTTACCTTGTACTCTACCCCTTTCAACTACATGATGGCGGTCACTTTTTCCCTCTTCTATGCTGCTTCGCATACTCACAAAGCACAATTCCCGCCGCAGTCTGCACATTCAAACTCCTCGTGATTCCAACCTGCGGGATTTCCACCAACAAATCACATTCGCTCAGAATCATCGCGGGAATGCCCTCCCTCTCACTCCCTATGACGAGAATACACTTCTCCGGCAAAACGCAACCTTCCTCACCCACCAACACACTGCGATCCGTCTGCTCGATGCCCACAACACTGTACCCTTCCTCTCTCTTCTTGCCCGCCACAAAATTCTGGATTTCCTTCGCGGCCAGAGGCAGGATCGGCAGATGGTGGTGCGAGGAAACGCTGACGTTCGTGAAGTCTTTGTTGGAGGTTACCTGTGGATTTTGGAGGTAGAGGGTTCCCGTGCCGAAGATTTCGGATACGCGGGAGAGACCGCCGAGGTTGTAGGGGTTTTCGATCAGAGAGGCGATGACGAGGAGGTTGGAGTGGCGGGTTCGGGTGCTGGAGAGGTAGGCTGCGCCTTTGGTCTGGAGGGCGGTGGGACCTGGGCCGGAGCCGAGGGCACGGGAGATGTTGTCGATGTTTTGGAGGATTTTGCGCTCGTGGTCGGTGTCTTTGGTGGTGGTAGCGACCGGTTCCGTTTGCGATTGTTGTTTGGGTTGCGGTGGAGGAGGTTGAGGTTCTCCGATTGGCATACAAGAGGGTGGCAGCCGGAATGTGAGACTCTTGTCGGATTCGTAGAGTTTCACGAAGTCCTCGTGGCTTGTTTGAGGCTGTTCAACGTGGTCAAGCTTCCACCAAGGACCTTCCGCAAGATGCGTGAGGTTGTGGTCTCGCACCGGATCCAGCTTGTCAATCACTCGTTCAAGTGGCGGGTCTCCGAAGATTCCAAGGCTTCTAATGAACTCATCGAGTGCTTGGAACGCCGCGTCTTCTGACACGGACTTCCAGCCCTTGACTTTGGCGTGATCCATCAAGATAGGAATTTGCCATTGAGCTTCATGCCTGATCACAACCTTGGATGACGCTGCGAGTGGAACGAAGACGGCGGCTAGCTGGTAAGCAAAGTCTTCGTCCGAAGTGTCTGTCTTGGCGATGTTAACGCCAAGCTTCATTAGAGACGCCAGGAACTTCGGGTTCGAGTGATGATCCTTGGTTCGAAGCTCTTCAAGAACAGCCGGCCTCAGTTGAGGATGGTGAAGGTATGCTCGAGCACATGTCCATTCGATCAAGTATCTGTACCGGGGCAGCGGCTCCACTGCGAGAATGTAGTGGAAGTCCTTCAGCAAGGCTTTCGCATCGAGATGACTGAGAGTTGGCAGAGATTGGTCCGCGCAAAGCAGCATTACTTGCAACTGCAATGCCGTCTTCCAGGGAGTGACCGTAGAGGGAGGTATCTTTTGTCTAGTCCAGCGATTCAACAGCAGGTCCAAGATCTTTTTCGAGCTAGGAGGATTCACTGTCCCCAAGCGACTCACTAGATCCAGCAAAGAAGCGATACCACAGCTCTCGCGCGGACCGAAGTAGTATTCGTAATCCAGTCTAATCAGTCTTTCGTCCAACGCTTGCAGGAGCGGCACCGTAGCATCTTCGAGCTCGGCGTCTAATGTGGGAGCTGGTGGATTTTGGCTTAGGCGGATGACAAAATCTTCAATGTCGAACAGTGGTGCCGCAGCCGGGTTTTCCAAGGTGACTCGCCTCACAGTTGCGGCGAGAGGAGACAACATGTACGACCGAGCCTGTGCAAGCTCGCGCAGCGACGCAGTTTTGCTTACCATTAACTCTTCAAGCTTGCTGTGCTCTTCAGGTTTGGCTAGAGCAGCTTGCACGAGTCGCTGATGTGGCATCAGTCGTGGTAGTACGGCCAGCAGAGATTTAGGGTATTCCAGGTATTCTAAGTCGCTCCAGATATCGTCGATTGTGTCTTCAACGCGTTGCACATCTAGAGCAGCGGGGTCTGCTCGATTAAGATCCATCCGAAGTTTCTCGCACTTTTGGATCGTTTCTTGCTCGGACCGCTCTCGCTTCGAGGCCTCCAGCGCCATGGAAGCCATGTTGCCATCTACATGTGCAGATGCCTCTGGACCCAAGTGAGCAACTCGTTCCAACAAATTCGCCCAGAAACAAGATGAAGACGCGATAGTGGCTGAGCAGTCCTTTTCCGTTCGCTCTACTAAGAGCTGGCATAGCTTCCAGTATCTTGCAAGCATATAGTCACGAGCAACCTCTGGTAGGCCAGCCCAGGTTGTAATCCTCCCGATCCTCTCCAACTGTTCATTCTGCATTCTAATGGCGGGGCACGCATGGCATGCTTGACTAATGCCTTCAATCAGATAGACAGTGGCGTACGCAAAGTTGTTACCAGATCTGGAGAAGATACTATCCAGTATTGTTTCAACGATGGCATTAGCGTGGGAGACATCCGATTGAAGCAGCCTGGAAATGTACCTAGACAGCTTCTCGCCATGCTCGCATCTCTGGATGTTGTTTTGTCTGCGCAGGCTCGAAGTGAAGAGATGTCCTGTAGTCAGCCATGGAAGGAAGGCGCCACGGAAGAAAGTCCTGAAGCCGTCAAAGTCGTCACTCCGAAGGCTTGAGCTCATGATCCATCTTCCAATGAACTTTCGATTTGACTCCTGCATCTTTTGGCCGAGAGCTGCTTCCAAAAGCGTGTACAGCCATACTGCTTTCACTGAGTAATCTTGCGAAGTCAGGTAGTCTAGGTCAGCTTCGCACTCCATGACCTGGTTTAAATAACTACCGAGAGCGATAGTCTCGAATACAGTACAGAACCGTGCATAATGTGTCTGGATCGTCAATGAAGCTAAGCATCGTTAGCTGCATACGAGATCAATGAGACTTACTGGCGCCAAGCAGTCGTGGGACTTCGAAGTGAAGTAAGGCGCCTTGCACCTGGGAGCAAGCGCTTCTAGGCTCACAAAGTGCCAGATGACACAGTTACTTACATGCTTGGATCTGGGAATCTGCAGCAATGACGGTTCTCAGTGCTGAGTCGTTCAAAGACGCTTCCACGGAGGCCCTCAGGACTTGGAGCGAGGCCTTCCGCCGTTCAGAATCTCCCCTCCGAAGACCTTCCACGATAGCATTCCAGTATTCGGGCTGCTCAAGTATGCTCCTGTCGATGGTTCTGCCAGACGCAATCCAACGCAGCCATATAGAAAAACCAAGAGTTTTGTAGAACACGTCCGTCGCAGCAACAAGCGTTCGCACTCGAGTCCAGAGGAGAGCATCGTGAGAGTCAAGAAAAGATATTGGAAGTCCAAAGAGAGCAAAACAAGCTTCCTGAGCAAGCAAGCACACTTGATTCTCTTTTAGTCCTAGTAGCGAAACGCAAGAGCGAAGAAGCATCTCGGCATGCCTAGCTTCCAAATGAACGCTGACCCGGATGAGAAACCGTAGACAATTCGCTGCTTCCTCAATACTTGCGTTAACGTCCAAAGCGTCCGACTCTTGCGTGCCATTTGCTAGTGGAGCCATCGGTTCGACGGGCATGGCCACCGCGAAGAGCTTATCCGGGCTAACTGCTAGTCTGGCGACTTCTCGCGAGACAGCATCACTTGTCCTGGCGACAGCCTCTTGCCTCATTTCCGGATGTAAATCAAGAACAGACAAGACCGCAGCATGCTCCCCACGCCCTATGAGCGTCTGCAGATGAGCAAAAAGGACAGTCCTGGCACCGGTGTCCGGATGAAGCTCCAGGAGAGTGGAAGCAAATCCGATATCAGCATTAGTACTTTGCTCATCCAGAGCGCCGACCACTTCCCGGACAACTTGTACTCGCTCATTTTCTGGAACGCGTCCAAGGACCAGACGCGCCGTCTGGCCGCGAAGAGTGGCCATGGTGGTCTGCTGGTTGGCAAGATTCGGAGCAAGATTCGGAGACTAGTACGACCGTGACAAGAAGTCCATGTTGTCCTTTCCAGAGCTGCTCTCAAACCATGGCGGTATTTCTGGCGGTTCCCTAGTAGATGTCTGGAGAGGTGAAGTCGAGTAGAAATCCCAAAAAATGTCCGGGGTGCATTCGGCTATCGGCGGCGCTATCCCTCTTGAGAGCTAGTGCGTCTTTAGAGTTCAGATCCTACAGATCTCACACGACAGAGCAACCACGTCGCGATCGCGCCAAGGGAGAATGACGCGGTGGGAGTGAGCGGATGGTCATTACTCGAATTCGTAGGTTAAATCATCCACCTGTCTCTCTTCTTCCTCCCTCCACCACTCAACTTTCTTTGGGGTGAGTAAGTATGGCACAGGACGAGGAGAACAGAGACTCGGCCGAGCGGCAACGGTACGATGACGAGACGCAACCTCTGCTTCAGAGAGGCCATACCGATGGAGGCGAGGGCGGCGACAGCAGAGAACTACTACGCTTCGAGGAGAACGATTCCGAAAATCCCCGGCAATGGAGCTATACCAGCAAGATGCTCAACGTGGCAACCATAGCCGCAATGGCCATCTTGTCTCCGCTGGCCTCATCCATGTTCACTCCGGGCATCAGCCAGATCGCAGAGGGCCTCGACACGACCGAGGACTCCGTGATCGCTTGCACGACGGGTTTCGTGGTCATGCTCGGCGTGGGACCGCTCGTCCTGGTACGTTCCCGAGGCGCACTCCCTTCTACTACATGTTCTGACCATTGCTCTGCAGGCGCCTCTCAGTGAGACATTCGGCCGAAGGATCATGTATCTATCGTGTTTCTCCATTTTCGCCATACTGCAGATCCCCTCCGCGCTCAGCCCAAACATCGGTACCCTCGTCGCAACGAGGACTCTAGCTGGCTTCTTCGGCTCTGTAGGCATTGCAAACGGAGGCGGTTCCCTTAGCGACATGTTCGAACCAAGTCAACGCGCCAGTGTCTTCGGATGGTACCTCCTCGGCCCTCTACTTGGTCCCACCCTCGGTCCTCTCTTCGGCGGAGTCATCGTCCAAAGGCTCAACTGGCGCTGGATCTTCTGGATTCTTACCATCATCTGCGTCGTAAACACAAGCGCGGCCTACTTTCTCCTCAAAGAATCCTATCCACCCATCATCCTCGCCCAACGCCGCTCACGCCTGGAGAAAGAAGCCAACACCTCCAACAAATACCGCTTCGACGGCGAAGACCCTCGTCCGCTCTGGATCAAACTCCGCTACTCGTTGACCAGACCTCTCCGCATCTTGGTCCAACCCATCGTCCTCACAATGAGCACCTACCAAGCCATCCTCTTCGCAACAACCTACTCCATCTACACCAACATGCAACCCATCTACCAAGGCGAATACGGCTTCAACACAGAACAAGTCGGCCTCCTCTACCTCGGCCCAGGCCTCGGCTTCCTCTTCTCCGTCTGGTTCCTCGTCCCCCGAATCGACACCATCTACAACGCCCTCGCCGCCCGCAACAACGGCAAAGGCCGCCCCGAATACCGCCTTCCCCTCGCAAATATCGGCTCCGTCTTCATCCCCGCAGCCCTCTTCTGGTTCGCTTGGACCGTCCAATCTCACAGGCCCTGGTACGTCTCCATCATTTCGACCTTCTTCTACGGCATCGGACAGGTGACGATCCTGAATTGCACGACGAACTACTACATCGATTGCTTTGAGAAATATGCCGCCTCGGCGATCGCCGCGGGGGCGGTGTTTCGCAGTGTCATTGGGGGGATCGTGCCGCTGTTCGCGCCCACCTTGTTCCATCAACTGGGATACGGATGGGGGATCTCTGTGTTTGGATTCTTATCTTTGGCCATCGCACCGGCGCCGTTGACGTTTTATTTAACTGGTGCATGGGTGCGCGAGAGGTTCTGGGTTGAGCTTTGAGATCTGGATCTCACATGGCATGGGACGGCGCAAAAGTACCGTGAACGTTTGGAAGTATAGCATAGCAAGTGGCGCGTCACAGTATGATGCATTGGAGAAGATGGAACGAGAACTTAAAAGCAATGAAGAGGCACGTAAGACGTTCAGAAATCTTTCATTCATAATCGCCCGGACAAGAAACTGTCTCGGGTCAGCTAGTCCGCGGTCGTGGTGTGTTCACTGCTGTCTCCTCGAAGACCGGGATCCTTCTTTCTGAACAACACCATTGAGGTATCCCAGTAGGAAGTCCTTCGTCTCCGCGGTAGGCGTCGCACTCGTCGGCGTCTGCTGACCGCTTGGTCTCGGCGTCCCGTTGCTAGCGTTCGAAGCAATGCTACCTAGTCGCGATCTTGAAACCAAAGCCTGGCCGGGCAGTGGTAATTGTTGCTTGATATGTGGGGACTCCTTGGCCATGGGATATCCGAGCATGAACGGAGAGATCGGGGTGCCCGGACTGGAGGCTGCGCTCGAGCTTTGCTTGTTGAACAGATTAAGCAAAAGTTGTTGCTGCTGGGGGCCGCCATGCGCCTGCGTAGCCTGCTGGGATGGCTTCCGCTCCGGAACAAGCTGGGGCGCTGGAGGCGGAGTCGGTTCTGGAGTCTTTGCTGTTGAAAGTGCTCCTGTTTTGCCATTGAAGAGGCTGAGAAGGCCGCTGTGGTGCTGGCTGCTGCGCTGAGGCTCTGTAGTGACAGTTGCTTGCGGGCTGGCGGGCGGTGGCGGTGTCGCAGAACTGGTCGGTTTACCGAAGAGCGATAGGAGGTGGTCCTTCTTTCCATCGCCATTTTCATGGCTGACAGAACTGGGACGTTCACCTTCGTACGTACCCGTGGACGGCCGCTTGAGCACTTGCGGCTGGAACGCAGGTGCATTTGCTTCCTGCCTGAGGGGCTTCTGTGGCAATGGTGATCGTGGCCCTCCGCCGGTGGATGAGCCCGGGCGCTGCAGGATACTAAACTGCGGCGTCGGCTGGCCGTTCTCATGAGTTGTTTGGTTTTGCTGAGTCTTCGGTGGTGCTCTCGCTGGCTGCTTTTGCAAAGTTGCAACAGGAGGCATAGAGCCCGGCTCCGGCTTCTTACTTTGGGAAGAAGCGCGGACGAACTTTTGAGGGTTGGCTGGATTGTAGAGCTTACCCCGAGACATTGGCCGCCCCTCCGTGAAGTCGTCTGACTTGGGCGCCTGCATGGTTCTTGCCTCGGCCGGTTGCGCATTCGCTTTTGCATGTATGGATAGCTGATCAGGTCCCGCGATCGGCAGCTCGGGAGACTTCGACTTCGTTTTCGGAGGTAGGGTCCGCGTTATTTCGTTGAAAGTGGTCCGCCGTTCCGTCTTCTTGGTCGCTGGTTTGACCGTAGCGTCTGTCAGTGCCGGTGAGACAGGCGCCGGTGTGTGATGACCCTCTGCTGCAGGTGGTTGTGCTGGCTCCGGATCAAGTGTAGTCTTCTTGAAAAGATTCAGTAAAGCTGCTTGCTGCTGACTTCCAGCCTTCTGCCCGTTTTGAGCATGCCTCTGAGAGGCCGACGTAGTAGCTGCGTTGTTACCACCAACACTCTTCAATACCTCCAGCAACTCCATTGAGTGAGCATTCAACCTGGGTTGTGGAAGGCTTGAGGCCTCGGGAACAGAAGACTCGCTACCAAGTGGTTTCTGCGCATTCTGTGTTGTCTGCGCGACCAAGCCTGGAGGTCTATTTGCAACTTGTGGTGGTCCCTTTGGACTTGCTAGGGGCGCGGCTTGACCGTGGAATGGCCATTGCTGTGGCCCGCGGCTAGCAGTGTTTGGCTGAGCCTTCGGGGTCTGTATCTGCTGGTACAAATTGAAGGAGCTCGCAGCTGCATTTGCTTGTTGCTCAAACTGCGGAACATGTCCTCCTTGGGATAGGTTTCCGGAGATACCCTGGTGCTGCCGGTGCTGGTCAAGTAACTCTCGCTGCAAATGTGGCGGAAAGTTGGCAAAGTTGCTCTTTTGGGGTTGGTTACTGGGACCAGACCCAGGACCGGTAGCGCCCGATGGCAAGGGGTAGTTCTGTTGGACGGAATGCTGTTGGTGAAAATGTTGAGGTGGAAGCGTAAACTGATGGTGTGTTACCTGCGCTTGTAGCTGTCCGGATGAAGGGTGGCGAGGATTGGGAGGGTGTGGAGTTTGTGGCGGTTGCGATGGAAACGCAGGGTCAATCTGCTCGGACGGTGTCTTAGGCAATGTGCCGATGATCTTGGCAGGCTGATTTCCGTGCAGCATGGCCAGCAGACTATTAGACTGGTTGCTTGCTTGCACTGGCTCGGGCTGAATGGTGAGTGCCCCGACTGGAAGCGGTATTGGTCCTCCTATGGACGAAAGTCGCTTCAACTCATCGGCAGATCGTTCAGTAGGCCCGACGCCAGCATCTGGTATAAGTTCCTGCTCCGTCTCACCCTCGTATTCTGTCACTCCAGTTTGGAAGCCCTCGTTCGCAGATGATACTTGTCTTGCGTGCTGAGCCTGTGTCGCGCCGGCTTCCTTCCTCCGCTGCTGGCCAATCCACTTCTTCAGCGGTCCCAGGAATGGCGCTACCATGTAAAACTTGCTCGACGAGGCGTCTCCTTGACCATGTCCAGCGGCACCCTTTTGCTTCTTGAATCCAGGAAGGTCCCTGATGTTGTACCACTGGATCTTGCTGATCTCCTTGCGAGTCTTTGGCTCGAAGTGCGTGTCCAATGCCACTCCACGAAAGACGTATAGCTTCATGTGCTGGTCACGCATAGTGACATCGATCGATTTTACCTGACCATCGGGCTGCAGGTTCGACTCCACCAGGTCCGTGGCACTGATGTCGAATCCTGTTTCCTCATTGACTTCGCGAATTGCGCAGACAAGATCCTTCTCGTCCTTGTTGATCTTCCCACGCGGGAAACTCCAGCTGGCACCCTTCTTCCAGCCTCGTACCAACAGCACCTTTTCCATACTATCGTCCATCAATATAGCCCCTCGTACGGGGACGCGCGTCTTGTAGGAGAGGAATTCCTCGTACACTGCAACATGCTGGGCGGCGTCGAAGCCTTGAAGCAAGGGACAGTGCTGAAATAGAGCCAAGAGAAACTGCCGCAGGTTTAGGCTGGGGAGTTGCGGGTTCAGTGGTCGTATGAAGTCTTCGTAGAACCATTGCGCCTCTTCGATTTGAAAGCAGATGCGCGGCACGCTGCTCAGTTCGGTCGGTGGGAGGTTGAGGAGGAAGCGGACGGTCAGGTCGTCAAGCCAGTCAACTAATGTCATCGACGAGATGTTCGTCGCCACCGCTTCCGCCATGCTGTCCAGTATCGTGCGAGAAGAGTGGGCAGCGGTGGTGCATTGCGCGCGCGCAGTGAGAATGAATGGGTGGGTGCTGGCCTGTCTGCTGCAAGGTCTGCAGAGAGCCGGTGTTAGCGAATATTGGTCAGCAGAAGACAACGTATGCAAGAATGTCTCCCGATATCAATGAGCGCAGGAGGCAGTGAGTGGCGGCGGCAATAATGTTGTGCTGTGTTTGTTGTTATTTCTGGTGAGGAGTGAACTGACGTCTGTCCGGAGTTCAAGTTCCCGCTGCACCGCAAAGCTCGGACGGAGTTCATGCGTGCATGACTCAGGCGCATCTGCTGCGAGGTATTCAACCTGCTCTGGATCCTCTCTACTTTCACTTCACAACAAAGCACCAATCTCGCCTAGTGTGTTCTTCAGATGGCCGACGGCGATCTGAAAGATGCGGCGCTCAATAGCACGGAGGACTTCTACGAGTTGCTGGGCGTCACGAGCACCGCCAGCGAGACGGAAATCCGAAGCGCATGGCGAAGAACAGCGCTGAAATACCACCCGGATAAGGTAGGAGCCAACGACAAGGAGGCGGCCGAAAAGTTCTATCTGCTCCAAATCGCGCTCGATGTCCTCTCCGACGAAAATCTACGGCCTCTCTACGACAATGCGCGGCGAGCGCGAGAGGAGAAGAAGCAGCGCGATGCTGCCTATGATGTTCGCAGGAGAAACCTCAAAGAGGATCTGGAGCGACGCGAAAGCGCGGGTGTTGCTGGTCTCAAGCGAAAGCGAGGTCAGGAACAGGAGGAGGACAAATTGCAGCGAGAGCTGGAACGATTAGCCGCTGATGGAGCCAGGCGCAGGAAGCAGCGTGAAGAGGAGCTACGGAAAGGAATGCAGGAAGGCCTTGGCCGTGACAGCAGTGAGGAGAAGCAAGCCACGCCAAATGGCGCACCGGCGAAGGTTGGAGTGGAAGAGGTCGATCGTACCATAAAGCTACGATATCCTACCAACACTCTGGACGAGGAAGCCCTCAAGAAGCAATTCAGCCGATTTGGCAAAATACAGGACATTGTGTTGAGGAACAAGAAGATCAAGGTCGAAGGCGAGAAACACAGGAGGGACTTCACGATTGCACTCATCGTCTTCGAAAGTATTGTCGGGGCCCACGCGGCTGTCACAGACACGCCTGAACTAGCAAAGAGTGCGGGCGAACCATGGGGTGCTTTCGAGGAGGTCAAGTGGGCGAGCGGGAAAGAGCCGGATTACATCCCCAAGCCGAAGTCGAGCGATACACCCGTCGCAAAAGCGAAGAACGACTTCCCGACTCGGATTGGCGCGCCGCAAGCATCTCCTGTCACTGCGGTCACGGAGAGAATCAAGAATTCGGACCCGGGTCTGAAGAGAGTACCTTCGTTCGGGAGCTTCAAAGGAACACCAAAGGCGTCTGTGGGCCATGGCGGACTGCATGTAGCCGGTAGTCCGAGTTCAGAGGAGCTCATGATGATGCGACTGAAGAATGCTGAGAGGAAGAGATTGGCGGAGCAAATCCAGAGAGAAGAGGCAGCTGAGGCTCAGGACGCGTGAAGGCCACAACGGCGAATTGTTTTGATTGTAGAGATACCCCATAGCGCTGTATGCCGAGTTGTTGACGCTGCTTGACGACACGAGCCATGAGGGCGGTGCGGGCCAGACCGACGTCTATCTGAGACATTATCACAGTGCAGTCGATTCGGAATGGTTTCCGCGCGACTGCCATATTAGGCCCACAGCCGGTCAGGGCGCCGGCAGCAGCTACCAATTCAAGCACGTCCAAGCACACACCCAATGATCCATCGTACCGGGGGTGAAGGGGGATCCTGGTGGTTAGCGGTGTCTTGTCCGGTCTTGACACGCTTGACTACAATGAGCACTGCTCTAGATACGAGTATCAGCGTACAATCAGCGTTGCAAAGCTGCGCGGTGACATTGCAGCTTTGCCAACCAGAAATTCGGTGTATCCACGGAGCGCGAAGGATGGAGCTGCCGATCGACGCCCTCGGGTCTGTTTATATTATTATTATGATTATTACGCCCCCTCTCGACAGCATCCGGACGTCTTTCTTCCTCACATCATAGCAGCAGCGGACATGGCAGCGGACATGGCTACTAGCAGCAGGAAAGAGGGCGATCACGCCGACCTAGCCGCGCTGGGCATCACGCAAGAGTTGAAAAGAAACTTCAGTCCGCTTTCCATGCTCGGTCTTGCCTTTGCCATCCTCAACTCGTGGACCGCCCTTTCCACCTCCCTCTCCCTCGCCCTTCCCTCTGGCGGCCCCACGAGCGTCATCTGGGGCCTGGTCACCGCCGGCATCTTCAACCTCTGTCTGGCTGCTTCCCTGGCCGAGTTCCTCTCCGCCTATCCCACCGCGGGCGGACAGTATCACTGGGTGCAATGCATCTCCTGGAACGGCTGGAAGCCCATCCTCTCCTGGATCACCGGCTGGATCAATGTCTTCGGCTGGATGGCTCTCGTTGCCACGGGAGGCCTGCTCGGGAGTCAGATCGTCGTGGGAATCATCGCGCTGTATGACGCCTCGTACGAGGCCCAGCGATGGCACCAATTCCTCATCTACGTCGGCTACAACATCATCGCGCTGCTTCTGAATGCCTTTGCGAACTCGCTGCTGCCCCTCGTCAACAAGACCGCCATCATCTGGTCCATATCGGGCTTCGTGGTCATCTGCATCACGATCTTGGCTTGCGCATCTCCCGATTACAGCTCGGGAGACTTTGTGTACCGCGAGTTCATCAACACAACCGGATGGCCGGATGGCTTGGCCTGGCTTCTGGGTCTGCTGCAGGGTGGTCTGGGTCTGACCGGATTCGATGCCACCGCCCACATGATTGAAGAGATCCCCAACGCCGCCATTGAGGGACCAAAGATTATGATTTACTGTGTCGCCATCGGTGTCTTCACCGGCTTCATCTTCCTGTCCTGCCTCCTGTTTGTGGCTGGAGACATCAACCAAGTCATCAGCTCAAGCGCCGGCCCTCTCAACCAGATCATCTTCAACGCTACCGGCAGCAAAGCAGGCACAGTCTGCCTCCTCATGTTCCCACTGATCTGTATGGTCTTCGCAACAACCTCGATCATGACCACCTCGTCTCGAATGACATACGGTAACGTCCCTCCCTCCTCCCACCAACCAATTAACATCACATCCTAATTCTATTCCTCCCCGCAGCATTCGCCCGTGACGGCGGCCTCCCCTTCTCCCGCTTCTTCGCCCGCGTGCACAAGAAACTCGACGTGCCGCTCGAATCCCTCGCCCTCACCGTCCTCGTCGTCCTCATCTTCGGCTGCATCTTCCTCGGCTCCACCAGCGCCTTCAACGCCATCACCAGCGCCTCCGTCGTCGCCCTCGGCATCTCCTACGCCATGCCCGTCGCCATCAACCTCCTGCGCGGCCGCAAGATGCTGCCCAAGACCCGCCCCTTCATCCTCCCGGAATGGTTCGGCTGGACCGCCAACCTCCTCGGCGTCGCGTACGTCATCCTCACCACCGTCCTGTTCGTCTTCCCACCCGAGATCCCCGTGACGGGCTCGAGTATGAACTACTGCATCGTCGCGTTTGCGATTGTCTTCATCATCAGTGCGGTGACTTGGTTTCTCGATGGGAGGAAGAACTATACGGGTCCGCAGGTGGAGGATATCGACAGCAACGTCCTTACGGCGGTGCAGAGTCCGGAGACTTCCAAGGGGTCGGACATGGAAGAGGCGGATATGTCGAGGTTGGGGGAGAAGGGACGAGCGGAGAAGCCGGTGGTCTAAGGGAGTCCAATGTTTGCCATGAATAAGGGTAGAGAGCTGAATGATACAGAACATCAAGCATTTCAATCAAGCATTTCGATCTGAGAGAAACATATGCATATGGATCATGATGCCATTAACAATTTCTAAACGCTGACGATGCTCTGGATAGGAGATACTGGCCATGCTGCTCTAATGCAAGAAGAATTCCAGCTCGCAAAGCGGAAGACCGAGCTCCTACTGAGGCGGTCCCCATTCCCCGGGAACCCCACTATACCCAGACGTATACCCATAGCCTTGCGTCCTCGCCGGTCCCGCCGCAGTCCAATGATATTTCGACCAAAAAGTCGATTTCCCGGGCCACGGCTCCGTCGCCGTCACGAACGGAATTTCGGTACCCGGCCCGGGCGTCGACGCATTACTCCTCCTCGCACTAGCATCGTACAGCGCCTTGATATCCGCATTCCACTGCGGCAGATCGGGCCTCAGGATCCTGCGATCATAAGTCATCATGCCGTTCACTTCGCCTTCCACGTCCGTCGTCTGGGTCCACACGCCTCCGGCGCAGTCATACAGATCGACCTGGGATTCGAGTTCGCGGAGCAGGAAGTGCCCGCGGTAATTCCAGACGTCGAGCGTCTGGTCGATCTCGTACGTCTGGTTGATGCCGTCGATCGCTTGCTGTACCTTCCACAGATGCTCGGCGGAGACGTTCTGGCCGATGCCGCCGAATTCGCCTTGGAAGCCGATGCGGCTGGGGTCGAAGGGGCTGCTGGCGATGGAGGAGAAGGGTGTTCCGCACTGGGCGTTGGCGTAGTGATGATTGTCGCTGAAGTCTCCCGCGCCATGGTCGTACCAGCCACTTGTGGCGTCCACGAGACGGGTGGGGTCGAGGTTGCGAACGATGTCGGTCAAGGCGAACTCGGGGTAGTTGTTGTCTGTGAGCTGGCCCCAGCCTTCGTTATAGATGAGCCAAGTAAAGATGGAGGTGTAGGACTTGAACTGGTTGACCAGAAGTTCAAGCTGACGCTGGAATTCCTGTTGCTGAGCTGGGTCAGGGAGGACGGTGCGCGTGGTGCAGTTGGGAAAGGTATGGCTCTGGAGGGGTCGGAGAGCTGGCATGTCTTGAATCACCAGGATACCAATCTCGTCTGCAGCAGCGTAGTAGAGAGGCGATTCGACCTTGATGTGCTTTCGCAGCATATTGTAGCCAATCTTCTTCAGCTGGTGGATGTCGTAAGTCATGGCTTCGTAGGTAGGGGGAGTGTACAAGCCATCCGGCCAGTATCCCTGGTCCAATGTTCCAAATGGGAAAAAAGCTTGTCCGTTGAGCAAGATTCTCTGCACACCATTGATCTCCCCTCTGCTGACAGTTCGGAATCCGGTATAGCTCCTGACAGTATCCTCGCCCATCTTGATGTCAACATCATACAGGTTTGGTGAGTCGGGGGACCACGGCTGTACTGAGTTGACGTTGAATGAGAAAGGCATTCCCACGTTTCCTCGATATGTGCCCATCGTCTTGCCGGACTCCTTCTCCTTCACCGTGACGTCCACGCTCGTCAAGTTGCTCTGCGCGGCGTCCACGGTCATGTTCAGGTTTCCGCTCGCATCGCCATTGATGTTCAGGCTCGTGATGTAGTTGGCTGGAGCGGCTTCAAGCCATACGCTCTGCCAGATACCTGAGCAAGGACGGTAGAAGATATGGGAAGGATGGAGGCTCTGTTTACCAATGGGAATGACATAGTCGCCGCTGTCGGTCGGATCGTGGACGAAGACAATGCTGGAATGTTTCGTCAGTGCGGGAAAAGGGCATCGCTCGAGAGCAGACTCACAGCTCATTGCTTCCTCCACGGTCAATGTATCCCGTCACGTCGACGGAGAAGGCAAAGTAACCTCCACGATGAAAGGTAGCATTCTGCCCGTTCACGAAGACTGTAGCTTCATAGTCGACAGCATCGAAGTTGAGAAGTATCCTCTCCCCTGTCCAGTTGGAAGGGATTGTAAAATGAGTCTGGTACCAGGAATACAACAGGCGAGTTTCTTGAATTCCAGAAAGAGCACTCTCGAGGCAGAATGGGACAAGAACTTGGCGAGGGAGGGTCTGATTGAAGGGCGGGTCATTGACGGCATCCAAGCTGGTGGCATTGGAGTAGGTCCAAAGTCCGTTCAAGCTTTGCCATTCTTCGCGGACCAGCTTCGGCCTGGGGTACTGTGGCCAGGGGTTCGTGCCGACTTGATATGTCCAGTCGGTATCCAAAGGGGGAGTTTGAACCTGTCACTAGAGTCAGCGAAGGTGCATGCTGTGAGAAGCTCCGCACGTACAGCATAGCGTGTTGGAGCGTTGGTGTTTTGCCGGGCAAATTTGGGGGTTGAGGCAGCTGATGCGCTTCGCTGGGTCAGTCCATGCAGCTAAACATGTCACATGTACTCATCCAAGCATACCTCAAAGCGAAAGAGAGAAGAGTAGTAAGAAACATGCTGTCTCGTCTGCCAAAGAGCGACTGCATATCCAAGCGGAGCAGACGAAGACACACGCGACAATAACGAGAGACGGCAGGAAACAAGAGAGTAGAGCTTCTCTCACCTATCATACATAGAGCAGATGACGGGAGCTGCGGGTGTATATTGACGGACGCACAGCGCATCAACCATCGCCATGAATTGGCTTGTTGCACGCCACAGCGCTCCTCGTGGTAGCCCATGGGGTTATCCTGCCTGTCGGGTTCGGGAGGACATGAGCCGTGCCAGATGCTCATCCTTGCTCTTCGTCATTTCATTTCAGAGCCTTCAATCCCTCCGCCAGCAAAGGGAATGCACGGAAGGTGGAGGCGTGTCATGGCGACATGCCTGGCGATGTCCATACCGGAGGCAAGCACCAAACCAGTCAGTATTACACAATGGCGTGGCGGTGAAGCGTTGGATGGGAGAAGAGGTCGTGTGACGGAGGCGGAGGAGGAGGAGGAGTGCTGAGAAGAGACTTTGAGAGAGAGAGAGAGCTCTTGGCGCGCGGAACGGCAAATTGGGGAGACGCGTCTCGCATCACGGCGTGACAGCAATCACAGCATGTCGCAGGAGCTGCCCGGGGAAACAAGGGAGCAACTTGGAACTTGGAAGGTGCCCTCCAGTCACGAGAGCCAAAGCAAATAATGGAAGTACTTACCTTCAGGTTAGGTTATTAGGTCGTGATGGGCTCCACCAACGATACACTCAAGACACCTTCGTCGCCAGGTACGATCGAGCAGAGGACTAGGTACAGGTACATAGTACCGCATGGATGAGGCTGTCAATGAGGAGTCGGATGCAGGCACATCCAGTGAGCACAGCACACGACTTCGGGACGAACTGACTGCTTGCGGCGAAGAAGTCGCCAATGGAGTCGGTGCGGGAAGCCTACCGGGACCAGGGTGCTTGGACCAATGCAGTGAATGTATACCTTGTAGCCTACGAATCTCCAAAGCCATAAGGTATCATCTCACATCTGCATCTCCTTTCACGAGCTCGACACCTCAGCATGCTCCCTCGAATCCTTCCCATCAGTCCCCATCACCAGGACCATATATATCCCGCCTGACTTCCGCCCTACGATGCTGAGCCGGGCGGAACTACGTCTCGTGATCTACAGAGAATGACGATTCCCTTTTGCCTCAACTGAATAGGCATCTCGAATGTGGGAGAAGCTGGTGCGCTTGGGCCGAAAATTGGATGCTGCCCTAATACCTGAGGAAACTTGTTCATGAACTCCTCGGTGGCACTCAAAGCTATCACCGCTCAAGCACCCCCTTCTTCACCTGCAATACGGCTCTGTGCCATCTATCTAGACAAGCTGATGCTCGGAACGCCGCCTCTCTGGCACCTCTCCGCCATGTAGCTTGTGGTCTGAATCATTGCTAGTCAGTGCTCGTCTGTTCCTCTCTCTTTCCAGCGCTTGACCGTGCGCCGTCTGCTCATCATCCTCTTCGTCTTCTGCATCATGCATCTCTTCCTCATCCATCACCACGTGCAAGATCTGCGCAAGCATCTCTCCATGCCTGCCGCCAGGGCTGCTCCACCGGAAGACGCCCGCGCCGGAGATCGGTTTCCTCGTGTTCGAGGTCTTCTGGAACTCCAGCTGCATTCGCTTGCCGTAGTCTCTCCTTGTAGGCCTTGTCGCAGAAAGTATCCTGCCTCTTCTGGTCTTGCTATTGCTTCTGCTTCTGCTCCTTCTCTGGAGAGGAAGAAAGTTGATCCTCGCGCCCATCGGCCGGTCTCGGCTCCGTCAAGTCGACGCGTGAGCTTCTTGCCACTTCATCCTACTTCAAACTTGTATCGTATCGACTGAAAAGGACAGCTCAGGCACACATGGAGACGACGCCGACAGAGCTGCGCTGGGGACACGGCCACGTGCTGAAGTCAAAGTTGGAGCTCAGCAACGCCATGCGCCAGCCACATGACCGCCGCCAAGGCCACTCCGGCAAGCACACGCCGTCCTCCTCATCCGACTCCTCATCTGTGATCTTCACTGTGATCGGTTAGCCGGGAATCGTGATGCCTATCTGGCCTCTGTCTGAAATGGACTCTGAATTGCCCGGATTGGCGGAATGGCTGGACCGAGTGAGACGAACCAGCATTCTGCGACGCACGTCTTTTGCCAAATCAAGCGTATGCAGCGGTCAAATCTCGCCTTCTGTCCGCCTCATCAGGAAGACAATAATGATATCGTCGCCTCGTCAACCATCGTAATGGTCCCTCACGACCCTCCAACGTCGACATGTTCTCGATCGACAAGAATTTGCACAGGCTGCCTTGCCGCAGTGGCTGGCAGCTGTCGTCGCGGCGCGGTACAGCTGGTCGAGCTCTGCATGTGAGGTGCGTAAACTTTCGACGACACATGGTACACATGCAGCCTTACACTGGGTGGACCACTAGCCTCATCCAACTCCTGAGCACCGTACAGCATATCGACCGCAACGGTCATTGACTGTATGCGGACGGAAGCGATGCGTGTCTTCCGACCATGGCGTTGACAAGCTCTGTTTTGGCATGGTAGACGGCAACTGTTTGCAATGACGGACGGGTCGGGCATAGCTGCTGCCTCTTTGAGCGCGTGTGTGCAGCGTCTCGCCAACGCTGCGCGTTCTCGACTGTGTCGCTGTGCAGGACAACGGTTTGGCCGGCGAGCCATGGAAGAGCCGCAGGGTCAGTATATGTTCTGATGGCTTCCCTCCCATCTCTGGAAAGAGTGCTCTTTCGTGGAGCGGACTGAACAACGATTGTTTTATTCACCTGCAAGCACCCGCGTCCCACCCGCCACAACCAACCATGCACTCAGTCACGGAGTCTAAGCGTACTTCAAAGGCGGCGATGACTTCCTTCGTCTCCGTCGACTCACTCGACAAGGAAGACGTAGAGAGCACCATGCCGCACGATGAACGAGTACCAGAATGGACGCCGAGTCGACAGGTCAAATTGATTGTACTCGGTCAAGCGTTTGTCGTGTTTGCCATCTCGCTGGACATGACCATCTTGACCACCACACTACCGGTATGATACCTACGACGGTCTCAGATCGAACGTCACTGACATCCCACAGGACGTCGCTCAAGCACTCAACGCCGACGCTATCATGACATTCTGGATTGCTGCATCATACCTTCTCGCCAATGCCGTCATTCAACCGATCGTGGCCGCCGTCGCCGACATCTTTGGTCGACGAAGTGTCATCTTTGTTGCCCTGGTCCTCTTTACTCTTGGGTCGATCCTGTGCGCTGTGGCCGACAACGTAGCGTGGATGCTTGCTGGAAGGACGATCCAGGGGATAGGAGGCGGCGGTATCCTGTCCGTCAACCTCATCATTGTCTCGGATTTAGTCCCGTTGAGGTACAGAGCCAAGTACATCAGCTTCCAGCAGCTGTGTGTCTCAGTCGGCTTCAACGTTGCACCCATCATCGGCGGGCTCCTGGTGAAGCACACGACTTGGAGATGGTGAGTGTCTCTTGCGGGAGTTGGACGCCAGCGCTGACATATCTCGAAGGCTATTCTACATCAACCTGCCGTTTTGTGCAATTGGCTTGACCATCATTCCCTTCGCATTGAGATATGAACGACCCAAGTCCTCCATCGACGATAAACTCTCCAACGTCGACTGGGCTGGCTCGCTCATGTTCATCAGTGGAATGACCACCTTTCTTGTTGGCATCACATGGGGTGGAACTCAGTTCCCGTGGAACAGCGCGGCCACTCTGGTTCCTCTGATCCTTGGCCTTGCCGTGGTTTTCATAACCGGCCTTTACGAGCGATTCTTGGCCAAGGTCACTTTCCTTCGACTGTCCCTATTCCACAGCTGGTCGGCGATTGCGATCTACGCATGCACTGTCCTTCAGGGCCTCACGCTCTTCAGCGAGCTGTATTTCCTGGTCCTGTACCTGTTGACCGTCCGCTTGTACTCGCCACTGCACTCGGGCATCTTCATCCTGGCATTTTCGATGATCTGCGTTCCAGTCTCTGGTACCGTGGGCCCTGTCATAGTCCGAGTCGGCTCATACAGATGGGCAGTCTGGTCTGGTTGGGTGATCAATACCTTGGCTCTGGGAATTCTGACCATGCTGGACGCCAAGACCCCGACTGTCGCCTGGGTCTTCATGTTCCTGACCGCCGGCATCGGACAAGGTCTTCTCTTCATCGCCCACTCGATCGCTGCACAAGCTGCCTGCCGGCAAAAGGACGCCGCCCATGCGATGGCCATGTACAGCTTCACGCGCAGCCTGGGCCTCTGCCTCGGCGTGGCGCTCGGCGGCACCATCTTCCAGAACTTCATGCTCCATCAACTCGCGCACCAAGGACTCCCGATTGCAATCGCGAAAGTCTCCGAAGGCTTCGCACCGTTCCTGCAAGCCATGCCTGCGAGTGCCGAACGGGCCGCCATCATCGACGCATACGCGTGGTCCCTGCAGATGCTGTTCACGACGCTCTGTGGCATCAGCGGGCTCGGACTCTTCCTCTCGTGCTTCATCCGAGGGCACTCGCTCAACCAGGAGCACGAAGCCGAGCATCGACTGAGGGATGACGGGCCCGCCATTACCGCTTAATCGACCCGACGGCGACGGCAACGACTTGTAATGATAACGAGGGTGAAACTATCAAGAATCGATTTAGCGACGGCGCTGGAACGCAGACACATGTGCGTGGTAATCAAGCATGCATGCACCGACTTCAGATGAGAGGATCCGCTCTTGGGGTTTTTTCCTATGTATTTGTTCGAATAGGAGTATCGGGCGGAGCTTGTGAAGAAGACTCCTGGCGCCAAGATTTACCGCTTTCTATGTTGATAATACGCACCAATTTCTCCCAAATCTCGAAACTTTGATCGGGCGGTTGAAAGTAGCAAGGGCGTTTCTGATCAGTTTTGTTCAATTGTAGCATATTCTAGATAGGCGAGGAAAACTTGTTCTGGAAGCAAATTTTTCGTCCACAACTCACAGAAAAGGGGAATAATAAATTCATAGCTTGAACATCCCAATGCTGCAGCCACGAGCCCCGAACGCGGATCTCGAGTTGTCATGGTGGTACAGAAAATCAGAGCGAGAGAGCAAGAGCTGTGTTGTCGAAAATGGGCGATGGGGAGAGCAGAAGTCGAAGATTGATGTATGTGATGGATGACAAGAACGTTGTTCCCGGCTGCAAGTATATATCTTACTAAGGCGAACAAATTCTGGGCCTATGTACGATGGCACAGGTCGCAATAATGACAAGAGGTCAGATCTTGTCAAGGCTTGGTTGGTTTACAGACGGCGAGGAACAAGGTGGGGCAAGCGGGTGGCGTTTTGAGGTATATTATTGATTGAACGACGTCGTCTGATATCCAATCACAGGAAAGATCGCATCAGTGGTTTAGTGGTAAAATTCGTGCTTGCCAGTAGCCCTAATCGGACTTAGCGTGCACGAGCCTCGGGTTCGATTCCCGACTGATGCATCATTCTTTTCTTCTCTACGGAAACTATTTCTATAGTAGAGCTTCCTTTTTTTGTAAATACACATACATACGCTAACCTCTTACCAATGTGGCTGATATAATTTCGTTTTTTGGCTCTCATCATGGAGTCTTATCGTTTTGATGATCTGCAGCCATAAGGTATCACTGGTAAGGTAGTTTTCATGCGTGCCAATTGTCATTGCACGTCCTTCCACAATGCTTCCTTCGTAGAAACTCATGTACGATAGCACAAGTTACCATCGTTCGAGCACGACATCATCATCACTGCTGGCACTTCCTTTTTTCACTAGTGAACACCGTCTCCGACTTATATACATGTGTCCTCCTCGCTGTTACCTCCACGAAGCATCTTCAACCCAATCAATCAGGTATCGCTCTCCACTACCACCACAACAACAACCACAATGACAACCCCAGACCCCTTCATCCCAGTCCCGCCTCCGTTCTCCCCCAAAGGCGACCCGCGAATCTTCCCGCCCCCAGTGGATCGCATGAGCACTGAGACACGAAACACGAAGCAAGCACTGATGCAGCCAGCCTTCACGGCGTCGATACTTCCTCGCTCCCGGTGGTGAACACAGTCCTCCCAAAATACAAATATCCCACAGGTCCTCCCCCCATCACTCCTTTCTTTCTCCCCTCCCCAATCAGTTCACCCACAATCACCTCCCTCCTCCAACAACAACCAAAAATCGCAATGGAATCATCGAGACCATTCCCGAATCCCTTCCCGGACACGGACCGTTCAGGACCCGTCATGCCGCCCACGGGTCCCGTTCAGTACGGAGGCTCGAATATCAATCCTTCAACGAAGCCTTACACGCCCAGACCAGCTGGCTCGGGATGAGCGTCTCGCCGTCCATCTAATTCCCGTTAGTAGTGTGGATTTGTGGCCAAGGACGCTGGGCATCTTGACTAGGGGCGTGTACTTGTCTCTCTGAATGGCATTCTCTTAGGTAGCTTGGCGTAATCAGCATTGTCTTCGCGTTCAATCCTCTTCCCACCGAATGACGCTCTGTCGAAAGCGTCTAAGTGAAGCCGCATGGCTGAAGTGGAGTCAGTCGTCAACCTGATCTTGCAAGAATGGATTCAGGGGTCACTCAAAAGTCCTGTGCATTCCTTCGCTTAGACTGCATAGCCTGCGTAAGTCCTCATCCTCCCATATCTCTCTACCATCAATCATGCAGGTCCATCAAGTACAATCATAGGCCCTTGGTATCTACCCTTTGCGCCGTCTTTCGTGGCCGTATGATATTAGGAACTCCCAATCAATCCAAAAACGCCATTGTTCATCGCTCAAAACCATGAAGCACGCTTCTCATCTATTTGCGTCTTCTCGTTGTTCTTCTTCGGGTCTTTGACGACCTCTGCATACTCCTCCCGCACCTTCTCCTCGTAATCCTTGATGGTCTTCTCATGCTCTCGAAGCTGCTTCTTAAGCTGCTTGAGTCCCACGCGAGTACTGTCCTGCCCGGGCTGCTTCTTAATGCGACTTGACAGGCGGTTGACCTGCTGCTGAAGCTTCTTATGGTTTTTGACAGCGTGGACGTATGCATCGCTCGCAGAAGTCGCACTGGAATCGGATTGCCGAGAAGTCGTCTTGACAATGTTGTCGACTTTCTTACCGGCTTCCCTCTCTTGTAACGCTTTTCGAATCTCCATCAACCGCTCGCGAGATTGCACTAGAGGCTTTCGGATCAAGTCTTTGGAGCTGCTCTTGGCTGATTCCACTTTCGACTTGACTATCGTGGAGAGATCTTTCGTAAATTGCACGAGATCCTTCTGCATGAGAACGAAGTCCTTGCTCAAAGTTGTCGCCGTGCGATTCCCAGCCTTGGCTGCTTTGTTGAAGACAGAAACAGCTGTATTGCCAATTGCTTGGAGGTCTTTGGCCATTTGAAGAGCCAGCTGTGTGGTGACGTTCCTAGTAGCCCAGACGCCGGCACCGACCTCAGTCGAGAGCTTGTCAGTGAGGCCCTTGGCGGCATCCCTTATGATGGCGACGTCCTTGCCGACCGCCTTACTCACATCAGTGCCAGCTTTCTCGTAAGTCCTGCGCTGCAAGATGCGGCGTCCAAAGTCGTGAGAAGCCGTAATGTTCCGCTCGGGCTTGATAGCCATGATATTGACAACAACTGTACCGTATGCTTCCCTGGCGTCAAATGTAAAGCCGTAGACGCCCTCGATCAGCTTGGTCTGGTTGAAACTTAGTTGGCGCCCATCACTCTTGTACACATGTGCTGCGGTAACAGTCGGGAACCGCTTGTACGCAGACATGGAAACCACCAGGTGGTTCGGCGAGAAAGCCTGCGATGTTGCGATGTGCTGCTCGCACGCTGGCTTCGAGACATTTTCTGAAAGACACCCTCTGTCTAACACTGGAAGCAAGTGGTCGATGTCGAGGTCTTGAACCACAATGGAGGAGTCTGTTGCCTTGCTTAGGGCTGTGCGGAGACCCTCCCGACGGTAGGCCAGTTCTGGTGCTGGATCTGATGTGTTCCAGCGTGCCGCAATGGCGGGGTATAAATTGAGAGTCAGGCTCAGGAGGATGCAAAGCAATACGATCGTGTAAGACCAGCTAATGAGGTGACCGTCCACGCGTACTCCCGCCCAAGTAAGACGCTTCTCCTTTGTCAACAGTCTCGGGATCCTACCGCTCTGCAGGTCCGAGACCAGGGTCGTAAGGGCAGAGCGGTCCATCACAACGAAGTCATCTATGGTCATGACTACTTTGGCGGCGTCCTTCTGCTTGGTCAATGGGTGGTCGACTGTCGGCTGGTGGACGACCAGAACAGGAACTTTCAAGCTCCGCAGAGCCCGATAGGCAGCAGAGAACCACTGCTCCTGCGACGCTTCATCGTCAAGGTAGATCACAGCGATGTCGGGCGTTGGGAGATCAATCTTGGCGTTCTTACCAATGGTGTATATGGAACTGTGTACTTCGTCGGAGTCAAGGATGCGTAGCTGCCACGACGGCGATGATCCCATGCGTGTGTCGGCTTCGATACATTGTTGTACCGTAGCTGAAAGCTTGTCTTGGGCATACACAGTCGTGGGCGATGCCAAAGTGATGCCTGAAGGAGTCTTGGGAAAACGGACGACTCGGTGAGGTGTGTTGATCGTGGATGTGTCCATACAAGACGCCACTCTGATACAGATGAGGTCCATTTCCCGCTGGAGAATTGTCCGATCTGAGACGAAGAGAATGTGGTTGGCCGTCTTGTCAGTCTGAGCAGAAGGTGACGATTGAGTAGGGAAGGGACCAGTTGGAACGATGGTAGAGCGGCGCTTCGCCGGGGACGAGGCCTCTGGCATGGTCGATTGACGAGGCGTTTCCAGGTCGTCAGAGCCGTAGGAGCTGAACAGGTCTTCTCCCGCCTTCTCGTGCTCCTTTTGATTGGCAAGAACATGTTGGAATGTAGGACGTGCTGTGCTCAAGCGGGGAGGTGTGGCAAGCTCCAGAGAGTCCAACAGCAGGGCTGACTCCGACTCTTCTACCTCATCCTCAGACCCGTCCTCGGACCCATCCTCGAACCCATCGACTAGAGTGAGCTGAGCATCGTCGTTATTGGAGGGCAGGCTGGCCGTCTCGTGATCGTCAGTGGATATCTCAGAAAGGTCATCGAGCATATCATATTGGCTGTCTGTCAACGAGCTCGACGACTCGCTAAGGGTGTCCTTGTTCTTAGTGTCCATCTTGATCCTCGCTCCAAGAGAGCTCAAGGCAGCGGGAGGGGTGCGGCTCTGCCGCCGAGACTGGTGTGCAGTAAGGTCGTCGAGAGAGCCGTCGCCGTTCAGGGTAGGGAAGTCGAGGTGGAGGTCGACGTTGAAGGGGTGATGTGAGAAGTCAAGCTCCGGCAGGGTTGCAGGGCTGCGTGGACCGGACTGTGACACATGATCAGTAAGGTAGCTGGCGGAGGTCCGTGGTGTCGACGAGATGCCTTTACCTCCGACTGCTGGCCCTGGCCATCCATTTTGGTCTGTTGCTGTGAGCCCGTCGAGGTGTTTTGGGCTGAGTGACAGACTGTGTGGATAGGTACAGAACGTGAAGAAGTGAGGTGGCAGACTGGATGGAAGAGTCGTGGTAGGTGTGTCTGCCTGGCGGGCGTCTCAGGCGGGGCGTAACTTGCTTACCACTGAAGTTGCCTTGCTCACGTGGATCGCGGCGTCTGGCAATCCAACTGTGAGGTCTCTCTTCCCGAGCAACGAGTATTGATCGCTACGGCAACCATGAGGATTGTTCCAGGCAAGAGTGAGATGGGTGGGAATGCAGAGATACGTGCCAGTTGAGGGCGCGAAGTAATGGAAGTGACAGTCAGTACATGTATGCAGCAGGTCAAAACCAAAACCATCATTCACCTCTCAGGCAGCTAGCGGGCGATAAACCCCGCGTCACGCGTCCGATAAGCTGTCGGCTCCTCCCGCCCACCAAACCTCTTCCGATCGGTACCGACGTCTCGTATGAGCAATCTGGCTTCATCTGAGGGGGGAGATGATGGGGCTGAGGAAGAAAAATCATTTACTTGTGCGGACGACGTTGAAAAGGGGACGACTTTCACAGGCAGCAAGCGACCGTGGACATCTCCACGATGCACGCGCCATCTGACGGCCATCACACTAGCGGAGCACAAGCGACTGCCGAGACGAGAAGGCTATTTACTCCACGACGCCATCTCTCATCACACCCTCCTCCCTCCTCTTCCACACTCTTCAAACAGGAAACCCGTGATGGATGGCGGATCGCAGAGGAGTCCTGATCCCGCTACTCATCTTAGCCTGGATCTTCCTGTCCCCCAGCCCTGAGAGGGCGCAACAGTTCCAATCCGACGACAGGCCCTCGCTCGAAGATGCTATCGCCGAGGAGCAACGCTCGCTGTCCGCGATCCAGAACTCGACTTTCGACCCTGCATTCGGCACGACAGGTCATGTCTTGGACCTCACGGGGCTAGAGTCCGACAGGGGTTATGTTTGGGACTCGTTGCCGGCCGTGAAAGCACGTGCGCGAAAACAGCTGGGCTATGCGTTGGGAGAATGGGCAGAGAAGGCGCTCGATGGAAGCGTAGAAGAGCCAAACCCGATACCGCTCTATACAAACGTGACTGGGTACGTGCGAGGCAAGTGGCGGCGCTCCAAGCTGCAGGAGAGCGTAGCCTTGCCTCAGCTCAATCTGTCAGCGTATGCGCCACCGGGCCGTTTCGGACAACCTGGGAACCTGCACTCTTTCGAGCGCAACATCACGAAAGACCATGGAGAAGTCAGGGTCAGATTCAATGAGAAGGAGATCACAGAGTCTCTGGGTTTGGGCTCAAGTAATGTCACAGAGATGGGCATTGAGATGAAGGTAGATGAATGGGAGTTCCAGATGCGCGGAGTCTATTTCGTTGAGCTTGGCCAGGCGATTTTGACCACTACCAGCGACAAGCTGAGTGGTATCTTCATGCTGCCACACTTGGCGCTATCCAACGGAACGTTCACGCAAGCTCGACAGCTACTGAACGAGTCCATTTCAAGAACAATTCAGCGCCAAGCTAACCACCAAATCGAGAGTCTCAACCCATGGAGTGCCGGGCCGGAGAACCTCGGAGAGTCTCTATTAGCAATGCCAGAATGCGAGATGATTGTATACCTACAACAGCTTGCGCCGGTCGCTGGGGCCATGTATTCGTCTGCATTCATGAGCTTCCTGGAGCACGAGCTACGCTTCCCGACAGGTGCCATCGTCCCCAATCCGCCAGACCTACGCTTCTCCTTGATAGCCTTCTCGCCCGACTGTGGATACATCTTAGAGTCTCAAGGTCCGCCAGATGACTTCATTCAAGACGGAGACCACCTCACTGGACCGAAGATGGAAGTGCAGTACAGACACAGTCGTCAACATCTTCTGATCTTCACGTTCGCGCTTGCACTGCAGCTTCTCTTGCTCATGCGCCAGATTCGAGAGGCCAGCACGCCTTCGACCAGAAGTCGTATCAGCTTCTACACGATCGCTATGCTCGCACTAGGGGATGGGTTTGCCACGATGACCTTCCTTCTGATCAGCCTGTTCCTCTCCGGCTTGTGGGTCAACCTGGTTGGGACTGGTTTCTTGGCATTCATAAACGTGTCCTTCTTCGGCATGCGATTTCTTATGGACATTTGGCAAGTCCAGGCACCAGAACGCGAGAGACGAGCTAGAGCCGAGGTGGAAGAGGAACTGCGCAGAGAAGAAGCGCTGCAGGCGGCACTGCGACGAATTCGCGCAGAGCGTCAGGCCAGACTACAAGGTGCAGCCGCCAATAGCCCTTCGAATCCGCCCGGGGCAGAGCATGCTGCTGAAGCGCCGGCAACACCAAATCCACCGGCTACAGACGAGCAAACTGCGCCGGAGTCGCTACCTCTCCCTGTAACAGCTCGACGGCCCATAGATACAGGTGCGACCCCTGTCTTCATGCCGTCGGACCAGGATGGACTCGAGTCGATCGGTGTACCGACAGCTACAGGCCAGACGAACATTGACGCTGCCGTACAAGCGCGAATGCCCAGCTTTGCATCGCTGTACACGCGCTTTTACCTCCTCTTGCTCGTAACGCTGTTCCTCAGTTTGAATGCCACTTCTTGGCATGGACCAATGCGGCGTTTCTTCTTCACCTTCCTGGGCATGATTTACTTCAGCTTCTGGGTCCCACAGATTCATCGAAACGTGCAGCGAAATTGCCGACATGCCCTAAATTGGGAGTTTGTGTTTGGCCAGAGCCTCCTTCGTCTTACGCCTTTTGTCTATTTCTATGGGTACAAACACAACGTTCTCTTTGCCGAGATTGATTACTATGGTCTTGGTCTTCTAGCTGTCTGGGTATGGATACAAGTCGTCGTACTGGTCTCTCAGGAACTCATTGGGCCTCGCTGGTTTATCAAGAAAGATTGGGCACCGCCTGCGTATGATTATCATCCCGTTTTGCGTGAAGATGAGGAGGGTGCAACGATGCCAATCGGTTTCTCACAAGCCACGGCTGACGCAGCAGCCCAATCGACGCCAACATCGCCTGGACAGGAACGCATGCCCTCCTCAGCACTCGCAAGACGTGCATCAGTCGCAAAGGAAAGCAAAGAAAAGGGCAAACGCATCTTCGACTGTGCCATTTGCATGCAAGATCTCGAAGTCCCCGTCATCGAAGCCGGCGCTTCCAACGATGCAGGTCTGACAGGAGGCTTGCTCGCGAGAAGGACGTACATGGTAACACCATGCCGACACATCTTCCACAGTTCTTGTCTAGAAGGCTGGTTGAAGTATCGCTTGCAATGTCCGATATGTAGAGAGACATTGCCGCCTTTTTAAACACTGGAATAACAGCAAATTCGTCGGAACGGTCTCAGCTTCTTTGGAACGTGTAGTGGAAGGGTGTTTACCTTTGGACAAACGGTTTGTTTTTTTCCCCTTGTCTTGTCTTGCTCTTTTTCCATCCAGCTTTCGGCTTTTGCGTCCATTTCATTGGGATCTAAGACCGAGTCGAAGCAAATATATGACAACGAATCAAGGCAAATCGATTCGCATAAAAAGTAACATGCTCCTCTCACTGTCTCTCCTCCCTGTATCACACGGTCAGAGTCACGCAACACCCGCTCCCCCAACCGCACCCGTCAAAATGGAAAGCCCAGCAGCGGTAGCACTCGAAGAATCCTGGCCTCTGATCCTCCTCCAACAGAACCGACATAATAGCAGCAGCAGCAGCACCGATCTCCTCGCCCGCGGCAGGACTTCCTCCGTCAGCTCTTCCAACACCGCCGCCGCCAACCCGTGCGCAGCGCTCGACGAAGCCCTCCAGAAAATCACCACCGCCGTGGCACATTTCCACCGCGCGGGCCCGTTCTATCAGCATCGCAGCGAGGCTTTTTGGATTTTCGCGGCGGGGTGTTGGGGGAGGGGGAAGTGGGAGGCGGAAATCAGAGGGAAGCTGGGGAGGGAGGGAGAGGAGAAGATGGAGGTAAAGTGAGTTGAATGTGCGATGTGACTTGTAGTACTGACCGCGAGACCAGGGGAAAATGAAGAGTGTAGGAGAGGATCTCTTCGACGGGAGGAGATTTATCGCCGAGGCGTTGGGGGTTTTGAAGAGAGGTGGGGTTAGGGATGTGGAAGATCTGGAAAGGGCGAGGCGGATTTTTGAGGATGGTGAATGATGAGCATGGAGAGGGCTGGTTGCTGTAGGGAATGGTGATGATACACGTTTCGAACGGAGGATCGGTCAAGGCTGCATCAAGATCCCCTAATAAGAAGGGCCTCTCTGCTATAACTCATGCAATCGAATAGATCACTGCAACCCTCCCTTCATCAACGCCAACACCCCATCTCCTCATCCAGCTCTCATCTCCATGACAAATGCACCACAGCCCTCCAACGCGCCCATCTCGAAGCCCTTCACTTGTTTCGATTTCATGCAGCAGACTTTGCCATCCTCCACTACCTTCAACAAGCTCTCAAGACCAGAGCCTTCCACGCCGCGACTCGCCATTTCGGAGATGATCCAGTGGGAGGATTCCCACTAGAGTGATTTCAGCACGACGTGAGGGAATACGTACGCAAAGGAGAAGAATGCGGTCGAGGGTTTGGATGGCCTGCCTGGATTCAGCGAATGGAGAGATCGAGGACAACTAGTCGAGTTCAGTCGGGTCGTGAGTCAGCACTTTCAATCGAAAGTCAACGGAATCCATTTAATGGTCAAAATTCAGCACTTTCATTCCGATTCTACCAACACTCAAAACGACCGCAAAATTTGCATCGCAGCCGTCAAAAGATGGGGCCGCGTGTATTTTCCTCGAGCCCCATAGAATCATGGCCATACAGGAATAAACCGAAGAAGTTTCCTTTCTTACGCCGGGCTGCAGCAGCAGAGGTTGTTGGATGACATTCGGGTCGTGATGCTGTTGAAGATCTCATGCTTCGTTGATGTCAAAGGGGTCCAGTGGTGTGGATATCGGGAGGATGCTTCGAGAGAATGGTGATGTCGATGGAGGGTGGTCGAAACGAGTCGTGCAGTGCATCTCGCTAGTGCTGCTGTGTGCTGGGCTGATGGAATGCTGGGCTCGTGCTCGTGAGGTGTTGGTGGGATGAAGGGAGGGCGCAGTCATCGGTGACGCTTTCGCATGTAGACCCCTTTTGTAGGGCGAATACTGTCCGATGCTGCTTTACTTACCTTGTCCTCAAAGCCATATTGGGGCTGTGGGGACTTCCTTGCTCTTTCTGCTCTCCGCGTTCATGGCATCCGGAGATGGTGAGTCATTTCAAGATCAATGCGATCTCTTTACATGTCCATGCTGTCACCGCCGTTGGCAAAGTTGAAGTTCTGTTGCTGCTGTTGAGCACCAAACCCGAACTGGCCGTCCTGACCTTGCTGAGGAGCGAGATCATTGACATCAGCATCACCCTCGTCATCAGAGAAGTACTTCTCGATGATAGTGTAGGCCTTCATGTAGATCTCCTCATTGCTGTTGTTCTGGCAATCGTGGATCTTCTCCATTCCACCGCAGTCCTCAATGAACAAGGCATAGCGGTTGACCGGTGCTTCGGCGCTACCCTCTGACGCCTCCTTGTCCATGTCACCAACCTTGAGGATGTTCTCGAGACCGTCAAGGGCAACCTGAATGATCTTGTTGTCCGGGCATGCCAGCAGATCGCAGAGTGGACGAATGGCGCCCTGGTTGACCAGATAGCGGATCTGCTCGGGCTTTTGAAGACCACCGCTGGTTGCATTTGAGATGGCCCAACATGCTTCCTTGCGTGTCTTAAAGTCGCCATGGCTCAAGAGGTGGATCAATGGTGGAATGATGTTGGCATCGATGACGGACTGGATCTGTGTGCTGTTTCCAGCAGTGATGTTGGAGATGGTCCAGCAGGCCTCCTTGCGGATTCCATCTTTAGTGGAACTGAGCAGAGCCAACAGGGCTGGAAGTGCCCCGCAGTTGATGATGAGTTGAGTCTGGACATCGTCGCCAGTAACAATGTTGCCAACAGATCGCAGCGCCGGGGTCTGTACGGAGGTCGAAGCATGCATGAGCAGCTCGACCAGGCGACGTGGGATGTTTGCCTCAATCACGGCCTGGATCTTGTCGTTTGAACCATCCGACAAATACGAGATGGCCCAGCATGCATCGATAAGGACCTCGTCGTCGAGCGAGTACACCAGCTTGGCGAGTACAGGCAGCGCGGGCGCGATGGTGTTCCAGTCTGGCTGAGGAGTCTTACCGCGGCAGAAGTTACTAAGAGTCCAGGTCGCGTTCCTAAGCATGCTCAGCTTGCGGCTGTCGCCAAGGAGGCGGACCAGCGGCGCAAGCGCACCTGACGCCAGGACGAAGTCTCTGCAGTTTGGACTGTCACCAGCTATGTTACCAAGAGCCCATACGGCTTGTTCCCGCACATCTGGCTCTGGGCTGCTGAGGAGCTCGACGAAGATGGGCACGGCTCCTGCCTCGATAACGACTTGGGTCTGCTGGGCGGAGCCGGAGGCAATGTTAGTGAGAGCCCAGGCGGCCTCGAACTGGACGAGAGTGTGTGGGGAGCGGAGGAATTCGACGAAGCGGCTGACGACGCCAGTCTCGATGACTCGCTCTATAGGTGGGTTCCGCTCTTTGGAGAGGAGCTTCCTAAATTTGGTGGTAGCAGCAATCTGGTCGTCGATCTTCTCTGAGAAGACTCCCTGGACCATCTGAGGGAGGTCCTCATTGAGCTGCGGCACAGTCAGTATGTTTCGGGCTCCTGCGTATGATGTGGCGCGGTATTCACCTGACTCTCCGTATTGATGCCCTCATCGTCGCTGTCCGGCGCAGCCCCCAGCGAGGCGCCAGGAGCACCGTCACCGCGAGCGCCAATGCCTCGTCGCTTGGCAAGGTTCTCCTCACGCTTCTGCTTGCGGATCTCGACCTGCTGCTCTTCACGACGGCGGCGCAGCTCGTCAGGCTTGAAGGTGCTCTTGGCCTTGAAGTTGTTGCGGCGATGCTCGGGAATGTACCGCTCCGCCATGATCGCTGGTGTGGATTGATATGTCTTCGTGGGTAGGCGGCGGCTGAGAAGTACGTGCTGTTCACGCGAAGCCGCTCGAGCTGTGGGAGGTGGTTCGCGGGAGGTGTTTCGCGGGTGGTATTTGCAGTGTCGAGGCTGCAGGAAAGAAGCGCGCGGTGGTGGTGGAAGTCAGAAAGTGTCCAGGGTTCAAGAGTCAACAAAAGCCCACTTCCTCGCTTGTCGATCGGGATTTCGTCAAAGCTTCTGCTGGTCGTTTTCGTCGACGCTGGTCGCGGAACGGAAACGTTGCGGGAGGAGAAACGCGCTGCGGAAGCTGGTCGTCCGGTAATAATTAGGGGACGGTCACGTTGCTGCGGAAGTGCTTTCTGGAATCAGGCAGGCAGCGAGGCAGAGAAGAGCGGAAGATTCGGTTTTGTTCGCGTGAAGAATTAGAAGCAATAATCAGGGGTTTTTGTTTTCACCCCACTTGCTGCTGACAACTGCTTGGCTGCCTGAGGCTCCGACTTCACCGCTTCCACGCGTCACGCGATAACCTTCAAGTGAATGCTCAGCCCGAGCGTGAGCACGTGAAAATTGCACTTCCCGCGCCGTTCGCATGTGAAGGTAGGTTAGACTTCACGCCCTCATGGTTCCCACTTCTGAGGGGTGCACTGGCAAGTGCGGCCGGCTGCCGCCCTTTCCGCCTCCCGTTCCATCGACTTCACGCTTCACCACCATCGCCACTAACGAGTTGGACGCTGAAGATTCGGCAGACCACCGACTAGACGCGCTGCATAGTCACACCTTCCTCGATGACCGCTTCGATAGTCATCGACCTCCCACACGACAACGAAGTCACGACAATGCTCTTACGACCGCGGTCCCCGGGTTTGGAGAAGGCAAGAACCTTTCCAACGGCGAGGCCTACTGCGTCTGCGCTCTTCTGAGAAATCTCGGCGAGATTGGCAGCGACAGTTACATCCAGCACGATGGCATCCTTACCTCCAGGCTTCATGGACCTGTATGTCGCCCGGCAGTCCCCAGACAACACGCGCGTAAACATCATCGGCGTTGTGACCGACGTAATGGATCCGGCGAGAACTAGGACCTCCCAACATATGCTCACATTCAAGCTCATTGACCGCAGGCTGAGTAACGCGGTGGACGGAGGCGAGGGTTTGAAAGTCCGCTTCTTTTCCCCCAACCTGGACTCTCTTCCGAAAGTACGTGACGTTGGCGATGTCGTGCTCCTCCGAACAGTCAACATGATGACTGTCAACGGAGAGCGCGTAGCGCTGTCCAACTACTCCTCCGGCGTGCTGGTATTTCCATCCGCAGCGATTCCGAATCCAAATTTTTCCATTGCATATCAAGATAAGAATCGATTGGAGTGCCATGGAGTGCCACTGCAGGTCAGTAGGCTCAAACTTGCCGAGCAGAACTACGTGGTGCACCTCAAATCCGAGATGGCTGTGGCGGTAGAAGATAGTCGCCACCGACACAGTGCCACGAAGAGGCGAGTGGAGGTCGAGGGCTCTGCCTCTGAGCCTCCTTCGAAGAAACGGAAATTTGGCAACTCGATAGGACAGAAGTTCAAGTTAATCCGAGAGTTGAGGGACATGGGCTACGCCGATATCGTTGGACTGGTCGTTAAGCGGATCGGAGCGCAGTATGGATGCGACCTCTACATCACAGATTATACCTACAACGAGATGATGCGACCATACCCTGCACCCGAGGAGCAGACCGATCTGGGAAGAGATGGCGATGCTTTCGGCTACACGAAAGGCTCCAAAAAGCCTTGGCCTGGACCGTACGGCCACACGATATTGAAGGTCAACGTGAAGCCACCTCATGCTGACTACGCAATTTCGTCTGTTGACGAAGGTGACTTGGTCCTGCTACGAAATGTGAAGACCCGCATCACGACGTGGGGTGATCACGGCTTGTTCCTGGAAGGGGACATGTGGCAGGATCATCAAAGCCAGCAACAAATCAACATTCGTAAGAACTTGGACATGGAATCACCCGAGGTTGGAGCTCTGATGCTTAGGAAAGAGCAATATTGGAAAGAAAGGGAGAAGAAGTCGGGAGAGCGACCGGCTGAGGAAGCCATGACCAAACGGCAGAAGAAGGCCGAGAAGAAGGCCGAGAAGAAGGCAAAGAAAGCGCAGAGACAAGCACAGGATCCGCGGAACGATTCCGAGGCCGAGCAGGAAGCCTCCAAAGAGGTGGACAGAACATTCGAAAAGAACCCACACGTCAGGTGCAGCTATGAGGAAGTGCCGGTCAGTAGCGTCAGGAAGATCTTGGATCCTGAGAATGTTGAACATGAACACGATACTCCGAATGGAAACTCCGACGTACTCCCCTTCATCAACGCCAAGTATCGTGCCAGGGTTCGGGTGGTGGACTACGAGCCGAAATCGTTGGAAGAGTTCGCGGTTCCTGTTCTCGCAGAAGACGACGGTAAGAGCGTCGATAGTATGGCGTGGCAATACGAGGGCACACCAAAGCATGAATGGCACTTCTCGTTGCTCCTCGAAGACGCGAGCAGACGCACAGCGGGCGGGTCAGAAGGTGACCGGATCTGGGTGCAAGTGCATCATGAGCAGGCCCAATTCCTACTCGGCAACGGCGTCGATGACCCGCAAGATCTGAGGCATGACTACCGGCTACTGGCGAAACTGAAGGAGAAGATGTTTGTGCTCTGGGGAAATCTGGAAGAGAAGGATGAACAGGAGCAGCTGAGCAATTTGCCCTTCGAATGCTGTATCATGGAATATGGTGTCGATGTTGATGAGGATGCAGCGAGGTGTGGCAACCAGCCAGAACGATGGCAGAGGACGTATGCTCTGTTTGGAGCTACGATACTGTAGCTGCGAGCAAATAGATGTAGGCAATAAGGTCATAGCCTCCAAGACACGCTCTTTTCCACGCGAGTCATGCTGCTCAAATGTATGATTGGTGGAAATTGCTCCGATAGAACCGTTTGACACGTCTCCGCTCGCTACATTGACTATATCGTCGCGTCTCAGCTGACCATTGCCGCCAGGGGCAGTTGGGTATGCGTGTGCCCTACTACAGGCGATGAGAGCAAGGCGAGCGCCACAGGTGAAATTAGAAGACTTGGAGCGGGCAGGGATCGGCGCAGGGAGCTAGACCCGAAGCGGTGGCAGTGTGGTGGCCAATGCGTGCGGAGAACGCTGATCGTCTTGGGCTGTGGCTCGTGAGAATTGGTGGTTGGCGAGGGAACAGGAACAACCCAGCAGACGAGCAGCGACCGAACACCTCGAGGCGGTGGAAGCTTGGAGCGTCCTTGTGATAGTGTGTCAGAAATTGCCATTGCGTGTACCTGTGAAGATGCTTCCAGGTCGACGAGACCGTTACGTCGACACAAAGACAAAAACAGGCCATTGCGATCCTCACCCGATTGGCGCATGAGGACGTCATCGACGCGGCAGCCAAGATGGTACGCGCCTGGCGTGATTCGCACGCGCGCCGCCAGGTCTGTCAGTCTGTGGTCGTTCGTCTAGCTAGTGTATCACTTGGTGACGACGGCACACCACGTATGTGCATGCTATTTGCAAATCGCCGCTTGCTGCTGCTGCCGGTCGACGCAAATCGAGGTTCGCGCCCAGTTGCGTCAGAGTTACAGCGTTGTCCCTCGCGCCCGCCGCAAACGTCTGTGCACACTGAACCTTCCCCAGCTGTTTCTTTCTCTCCTCTGCCTCTCGCCTCTCTCGCCAACAACACAAACACCTTCTCTACACACCTTCACCTCCTCCATCATCCTCCACCACAGCATTTGCGACCCCGTGCGCATCTACTTTGCTGGTTTTTGCTTACGCCTTGTATAATTCGAGAGATACCCCAGTCCCCTTGCTCATTACAATCGTACATGCGTTAGTCGCGCTGTTGCCGGCCTCGTGCTCATCAGGACAACAAAAAAGTCTCGACTCCTCCCGCGGCCACTCAGCGACCCGCAGGTGCTAATACTACTTCTCAACCTCCACGCGCCACAGACCAGTCCCAACCTCCCGATCCGGTGACGGACGACAAACAGGCGAAGCCTTCATCGACGGGTTCTGCCTCAGCGCACGAAGTAGCGGATCCTCCATCGTCTGCGATTACGCAGGAAAAGTCCGCCAACATGACTTCCAAGGGCGTCAATGTGCCGACCAACCAGGCCATGAAGGAGAAGGACATCAATGCTAAGCTCCATCTCTATGGCATCTACGCGGCCTTTGCCAATGGCAAGGTGCCATCGGTAAGCCCAACCACTACATTGCGTCAATTCAAGATCAAGAGCTGATCCAGCATTTCATCATAGAACAAGCAAATTGATGTTGCCATGAACACCGCGCTTGAGTGGCAAGGACTCACCAAGCCCTCTGGCAAGCTCTCTGCCGAAGGCCAGAAGCTGATCGCTGATCTGCGCGACGTCATTCAGAAGTCCAAGGAGCTTCTCCTGTCCAAGAACAGCGGGAACCTCCTCCAGGATTTCATCTGGCAGACTCAGCAGATTGGCAGCGGCGATGTTAGGGGCATCAACGCACCTGTCGACAAGGACACTGCTCAGCAGCATGGCCAGCAGGCACTCGAGGGCCTGCGCACTCTCGGCACGCTTTTGATCACCAACGGCCAATTCCGCAAGCTTTGTACGTCTTTGGTAATGGTTGTAGGCATTTGGACGAGGCTGACAGTTTTATAGTGAGTGACGCGACCGTCCTACTTCGCGACATCGCGGGTGATGCCGCAACCAACACAGCGGCCAAGGTCAAGCCAGGCGAAGAGCAGCTCTCACAGATCGACCAACCAGCTGAGGACCACACTTGGCACGGTTAGTTTCAGTGATGGTTACACGTGAAGCGCGCGACTGACGATGAAATCTGCAGATACCCCCGATCTCTCAAAGGAGAGCATCCGCAACCAGATCAAAAGCCAGGTACCTGTTGGAAAGAGGGACGTTGACAAGGCCGTCGGCGATGCCGCCCAGGCTGCCCACCCAGAAGGTTACCGCGACCCAGCTGATGCCGGTGCTCTTGCTGCTGCCGACCAGCGGAAGGGCACTCAGAGCGGCGCGGACTCCACGGCTGGTGCCAAGGCTGGCACGGGCGCGCTCAAGAACCAGATCTCGGACAACATGGACGAAGACCAGAAGCAGAAGATGCGCGAATACCGCGAGCGGTCCAAGAGGTACTTCCAGGGCAAGGTGCCTCCAGAGCGCCGGGACCAGATCATCTTCCGTTTGAAGAAGATGGTTGTTGAGATCCAGGCCCATCAAGACTGTACGTGATTCGGCATCAGTATACAACGGGCTACACTGACTGATTTTGGCAGACCAGCAGGCGATCGACACTCTCCTCCGACTTGCCGAGACCTACGGTGGCCACGCGCGGGACGTCCATGGCCAAGCAACTGACTCCGTGAAAGGTGCCCATTCTCAGGACAGTCTGACTAAGGTTGAAGCTGACCTCAAGGTGTGTTTTGATAGGTTTCTTGGAGAACAGTCGGCCAATGCTGACGAATCTCAAGACACTGCTGGAGCGTTTCGCCAACAGCACATCTTTCGACGATCTTTTCGATGCGATTAACCAGATTTACGCCGATGCAGACCGCGACCCAGAACTCAAGCGCTTCTTCAAGGTATGTTGCCAAATGAGCCCACGCTGTATAATTCGAGAACGTGACTGACCCCATGGATAGGACGCCGACTCCTTCATCCGCAAGTGCCTGCAAGAGCAGGGCTATGTTCTCCAGGACGAGTCGAACGAGCGATGGAACCAGCTCTACGACCGCGGCAACTTCTTGCTGCGTGAGCGCTACAAGGACCACACTGACCGCATTGTCGACGAGCTCAAGTTCTTGGCCGACCAGTTCGAGCAAGACCCACAGAACAAGGCTTTCGCCGACTCCATGAACAAGCTTTTCTTGGACCTTGGCAACGACGACGATGGCAAGCCCACCTTCAAGCCTCACTTGGTCAAGGACTTGACCGAGGTGCTCATTCCGGCGTTCTTTGAGAACATTCGCTACGTCCCAATTCCTCGCATCGAGTTCTCCGACCCAATGGTTGACGTTGTCGTTGAGAACTTGGTCATTGAGGGTGACAACCTCGCACCAAACATGTTCGAGTTCGGCAGCGACAACTACTGGCGCTGGGGACGCAAGGGCTTCACGAACAAGAACAAGAACAAGGTCATGCTCTCCGTGTCCGGCGTGCAGATGGACATCCGTGATGTCTCCTACTACGTCAAGAAGAAGCAGGGCTTCCCCAGCATCGCCGACAAGGGCATCATGGACATCTTCCTCGGCGGCTCAGGTCTGAGTTTCAAGGTCGCGATGGAGACGGCCGACAAGAGTGACAAGCAGCACTTCTTCAAGATCAACACCGTCCATGTTGACATCAAGAACATGAACATCAAGTTGAAGCAGTCCAACCACAAGCTCCTGTTCGGCCTCTTCAAGCCAGTCCTCTTGAAGGTCATGAACCCAGCCATCCAGAAGGTGGTCGAGAAGCAGATCCGCGACAATGTTCACCAGCTTGACGCCATGCTCTTCCAGGTCAAGAAGGAGGCCGACCGCGCCACAGAGGAGGCCAAGGCCAACCCTGACCCAGAGAACATCCAGAACATCTACCAGCGCTACTTCAACGCCTTCCAGAAGCAGATGCAGAAGGGCCAGAACAAGAAGGAGGAGGTCAAGCAGAGTGCTGAGGACAAGAAGGTCAACATGGCTGTCACTCAGTACGACTCCATCTTCCCGCAGGTCAAGCTGCCCGGCGGCATCTCCACCAAGGCCACCGAGTACAAGGAGCTGGCCGCTAAGGGCGAGCAGTGGGAGAGCCCGGTCTTCAGCATTGGCACTGGCAAGGAGTCGACCAGCCTGCCCAGAGTCTCTCAGCCCGTCCGCAAGCCCCACAACACCGCGCAGGGCACCGTGCGTGGGGGTAACGCCCCCGTCGGTAACGCCGTTGGTAACGGAAAGCCCACGACGAACGGCTTCGCGAACCAAGTCAACGACGCCTTCTCTTCGCCCGCTACCAACGTCTCGGGCGTGCACACGACTCTCGGCCAGTCCAACCCGGTCTACCAGGGCGACGTCTAAGTGCGCGCCACCGGAAGTCTTGGGATTTGGACACGAAAGGCGAGCCGCGCGAGCATGATGCCTCATGACTGTGGATTGTGGCGTTGGTCAGCTGTGGAGAGATACCCAACTGGTTTATTGTTCTGGAAAGCCACCGTTTGATTGTTAGTTACATGATACCACTATTGCGAGGACGAAACAGCGGAGGAGAGGGAGAAAGATCCATCAACAACGGAAAACAGAGTGACAGGACAGGACAGGACTTTTGCACTAATTTTAATACACGGTCGAGTGGGCACGGCACTCTTCTTTCTTTTGATAGCTTACACGAAACAAGATGGTTGCGCATCCACTTCTCTTTCGACTGATTTCTTCTTCCCAGGATGTGTCGTTTTCCGTTGAGAAAAGTGTGTGTACTTGGGAGGGTGGGCGTGCTCCGATAGGTGTGGGGGATGCGATGGCGGGTGCTGATGCCACGTTATGCCACGAGACTAGACGAGAGGCTGTGTGCTGTTGCCGCTGGTGGCGTTCGTGAAATGATTGCCAAGATGGAAGGCGTCTCGGGTGCTGTTGACATGTTGGTGGAATGGATGGAGCTCTTTCTCTCATCACGGATCACGAGCACGGAATCTCACGTGTCCTCAGCTGACGATGTGTCCTAGCTTTGGCGTGCCGAACGCGAACCCCTGTGGCGCACTTGCGAATGACTCGCCGCGTGGATTGTCAACACCTGCGATGTCATGCGATGACTGGAGACGAAGACACGACTGATAATCAGACCATGTGTATCCGCGAGGCACATGTGAATGTGAAGAGTCTCCTGAGGATGCGGTTGCAGATGTTGCGATGGGCCCAAAAATTGGGTGCTGATGACAGATGACAGGTCCGTCCGGTCTGATCTGAAGCCTGCGACGTGCTTGGCAATGGCCGCGACACCAGATGGGGATCAACCGCGGCGGCAACGACTTGGAATGTTCCACAGGTTCTGGAGAAGAAACGGGCAAGGTTACGGGTAGACCCCACCCGGATCTCCTATGTGAACCGCAGCTCTCTCCCAAGCCTGTCATCAGCTTGTCACATCAGCTCCGACACCGTGCCCAGACGGTTGTCGACGGCTGTCAATGGCTGTCACCGGAGGTCATCGGCTGTCATTGGCTGTCAATGGCTGTCAAGACGGGATCGAGATTCCACGCATCCTTCTCCTTCCATCCTTACTCAGGGACGCCCCTCCACAACAAGAAGCACGCATGTCACGTGCAAGCCACCTCACCAAAGGTCACTGCCAGCCGTTGTGGTAGCCCGCTCCACATCGGGCATTGCTCGCCAACTTCACCTGTCCCAATTGGTCTGCGAGGGGCCCAGCTCGACCGTATGTGGTGCGTGCTGTGCGTGGACAACAACGCCCAGGTGCACAGACCGGTACGACATTCCTGTACCCCAATGGTATTCGCCGCTCTCCTCCCTGGGCGTCGGCGTGGACGGCGTGGGCGGCGGCGGGGGCGCGGACGTGACTTCTAGGGGCAGATCGCAAGAAGCTCTAGCCATCCTCTCTGGGCATTGCTGGCGCGCAAGGCTGGCGTCACAGCGACCATCCTGTCGCCAGAGCAAAACCATCTCCATGCCCTGGCCTCTTGGTCTCGGCGGACTCCCTCGCGTGTCGTCGTTGTTCTCTCGTTGCAACGGCGTCATTGACGATATCGCTCATTCTTCTTCTATTGAATCTATCGTACGTACTCATCTTGCTCGCTTCAAGGCAACATCGCGCCTTGTTGACACACGCCGTACTGGATCCAAGAGCTGACAGTGCTACAGCGTTCCTTAGAGGACCGCCAACATGGTCCTCCCAGACTATCCTGCTCCCAACCGGGACGGTAAGGACTCAGACCCCACCTCGACGTGGACATCATTATACAAATCCCGACACATCTCGCTCCAGTCCAGGGTAGACTCGCTTGCGGCAGACAGCATGTGGGATGAGAGCAGAGAATCAGTTCCTGAGATTCCAGCCATATACAGCGCTGGCCGAGGACGGTCGACATCATTCTTAATGGACCCGCACATGCTCAGGTCAAACCCAGAGTCGATGAAGGACGATGCCGAATCAACAGGATACTACGGATCACCCACACCAGAGCAACCCGCGACGCCTGTAGTTGCTTCGTCGCCTGGATCGTCGATTAACATCTCTACGTTACACGAGGTGCTCTTCATTGGAGTTGTTATCATGGCTCAGTTCATGGGTCTTGCTGGACTTGGACAATCGATTGCACCGATGCACATTATCGCAGAAGGCCTCCACGTAACAAATCCGGGCGAGCAAGCGTGGTTTGCCGCAGCTTTCTCGTTGACAGTCGGCACCTTCATCCTCATCTCGGGACGCATGGGCGACATTCTGGGGCACAAGAGAGTGTTCGTTTTTGGGTACTTCTTTCTCGGCTGCTGGTCTGCGTTTGCCGGCTTCAGTGCATACGTCGGCCGTCAGGTCTTCTTCGACGTCTGCCGTGCGTTCCAGGGCATTGGAGCTGCTCTCCTCGCCCCCAACGCTCTCGCTCTGCTGGGTCGTGCGTACCCACCCGGTATCAAAAAGAACATTGTCTTTTCGCTGTTCGGTGCCATGGCACCTTGGGGATTCGTCATGGGTTCGCTCTTCTCCAGCATCTTCGCTCAGCTCACCTGGTGGCCGTGGGCGTTCTGGAGCTACGGTATCGCAGCTTGGGCACTCGCTGCGTTCTCCGTCATCATCATCCCCAAGGCTCTGGCCCACGACGCTCAGTTCGCTGGCAGAATGAACAAGCCCGGCATGGACTGGACGGGATCGATACTGGGTGTCAGCGGTCTCGTCCTGGTCAACGTCGCGTGGAACAACGGCCCTCTCTTCGGCTGGAGCCAGCCACACGTCTACTTCATTCTCATCATCGGTATCCTCGCCCTCGTCGGCTTCGTATGGGTTGAAGCACGTGCTCTCTCGCCCATTCTTCCCGTCAGCGCCATGTCAAGTACCGTCACCTACACCATGGCTCTTGTCGGAATCGGGTGGGGCTCGTTCGGAATCTGGATCTACTACTCATGGCGATTCCTCGAGGAAGTCCGTGGACACACGCCGTTGAGCGTGTCTGCGCAGTACACCCCGGCTCTGGTCTGCGGTCTGCTCGCCGCTGGTGTGACTGGTTTCATGTTGACGCACACCCCGGTGGCGTTCACCATGTGTATTTCCATGTTCGCCTTCTTCCTGGGACAGCTCATCACCGCGACACAGCCGGCTCATCAGTCGTACTGGGCCCAGATGTTCATCGCTATCCTCATCATGCCTTTCGGTAAGTCCACATTACACAAGCCGACTTGGGAAAACGACATGAAGGCTGACGATGAACCAAGGCATGGACATGTCGTTCCCCGCGGGAACCGTCATCTTATCCAACCACATGCCCCGGGAACACCAAGGCCTCGCGGCTTCCCTGGTCAATACCATGGTCAACTACTCCATCTCCCTCGCTCTCGGGATCGCCGGCACGGTGGAAGTGCACGTCAACAACCACGGCGCTACCCCCGAAGATGTCCTCCACGGCATCCGCTGCGCCTGGTATACGGGAGTTGCCCTCGCCGGCTTCGGAGTCATCCTCGGCTCTCTCTTCTTCGGCCGCTCGCTGATGAAGGAGGGATGGAAGATCATGGACCATTAAAAGGATGAACGACAGCCTCCCACTCTACCTACCTAACCTCAAAAGGAAAGCTCTTCCCAGCTGTTCCCCCGGAACCTCGTTCCGTTTTAACGACCTCTCCTCCATCTACCATTACCGTCAACCTCAAACCCTTTCTGACATGAACCAAAAGGAGAACGAGACACCTTGTTTTCTCTTGTGGAGTGTGATGATATCATGGCGCGCAATGTTGTTTGTCTGATCTGTCTTTCTGAGCCGGCGTTTCTTTAATGGGGAATGGGAGAGACGACTCTCACTTTATTGTTTTTTGCTCTGTCAAACAATCGTTTTTCGACATTTGTATTCGACGGTTGGCTGGTTGGTTGGTCGGTCGACAGCCAGGCCAGATCTTTGACGATGATTGATGGGCGTGGATTGTAAAGACTCTGCACGAGAGAGCGATATTAGCAGCCTATAATCGATTATTCTTGTCTATGCATGATCTCCTGATATCATCTTGAATGACTTCTCGTGGCACTTCGAGCTAAGTTGGTGGCATGAGGCTTGTAAACCTTGAGACTTTTTCTTACTGATATCTACATGGCAAGGTCATGTCTTGGACCTGATCTGAGTGTAGAGAGAGCCCGCTTGGGTCATGTGGCCACTGAGGGACTGTCAAGCATCCTGCTTGCTCGCCTGCCTTTCCTTCCTCCTCATACGTCTCGTCTCGTATGCTACCATGAGCACCTGTCGTTCTTCATCAATTCCTCAAAAGGCCGCCTTGGCCCTCTACTACTTCTACTTCTCCTTCCACAAATCGTCCGCATCCGGATGAACCTCCGGCTCCGGGATATACGCCCTCCCCTCCGCCTTCTTCCGCATCTCCACCCCAAACCTCCGATCCCTCGCCTCCAAAACCCCCCGAAACCCCTCAATCTGCGCCTCCCCCGTAAAACTCGTCATCAACTCCGGCCTGCCCAACGGCACCGCGTCCCCGCGATCCGTCTGCCACAGCTGGAACACCTTGCCATACAACTGCACCACCTGTTCCATTTCTTTCCTTTCCGCGACTTCCCACGCGGCGAGCGGCACGGCCGCCGGCGCGGGCATCACCAGCATTCCGGATTTGACCTCGAAGACGTGCGAGTGCCAGAGTTTCCGCTCGTCGGTGTCGAGGGTTGCGTAGATGCGCGGCGTGATCATGTATTCGACGCCGATGAGGCGGGCGTGCGGGCCCGGGGAGTCGTAGAGGATGCATTGGCGGATTTCGTCGTTGACGTGCGCGCAGTAGTGATTTGCTTCGGAGATGCGGTGTGGTTCGTTGACGTAGACGTGGAAGGCGTTGCTGTTGGGGGAATCAATGTTCAGGTGGTTTGGGATGTTGTTGGAGGAGGAGGAGGAGGGGTAGCCTCTTTTTTTTGGGTTTGGTTTGGTTTGGTTTGGACTTACAGATGAGCGCAGAGACGATTGGGTGGATCGAGGTTTTGGACCATCTTGGCTCCGGTTTCGAGAGTCTTGTTGGTGAGCGATTCCGGCTCGCCCTTGGCTCCGTTCGATACCGGGATGCTGTCCATGGTTGTCGGTATAGTCTTCGCTGTGCAAGGCAGTGTGGTGAGTGCTCCGTTCCAGGTTCCACGAAGAGTTCAATTGTTCTGGAAGAGTTGGAATCTTGAAGGAGAGAAAGAACAAACGGACCTAATAAACCTGCCTTGCCTCAGCTCGTCGAGCTGTACATGTATGTACTGTGTTACTACGTCATGCACAAGTCACTCCGCGAATGCGACGAGAGTCCTTTCTTCGGGGTTCTCTCCTTCGCGACATGTCATTGGCGACTCCTTTTCCTTGGATGATGGCAGAAGTGCGGTCCGTCTGAATACCGCAGGATGGCTTCCAGCTTTTCCGTCTTTCCCGTGGGCAGTGCGAGGGATGTGGTTGTGCGTGTTGTACGGCAATATTCTCGTAGCGCGACGTGCGGTGCACCTCTCTGTCGAGTTTGGCAGTGAGTGGACTGGCGGTCGGGGGCGAGCGGAGCAGGGAGAGGATGGAGTTGAAGCGTGTCGGCGGGAATGGCGATCAAGATAGCTTTCAGGCGAAGACGCAGACCGGGGCTCTGATGGTCACGTGCTCGATGTCTTCCTTCTGAGCTAAGTTATGCGGAAGCCTACAATTACAATGTGCTATGGCTTTCAAGATGGAAAGTTGTAAGTGAACATTTGACGAAGGTACATTATGCTAATTCTGCCATGCGTCCGGAACCCTTGTCATGTGTGGTATGGTCATCTGTCGAAGTGCTTGCCAGTACAGGAAGGGAGTCCTCGTCCTCAAAGGTCCAATAGCCATCATCGGAGTAGCCATTTGCAGGCCGCTCCACGTCGACGAGTGCGTTCCACGCAGCTAGTGTCTCACTGAACAGCTCATCGCTTCTCTTGGCCGTGGCCTGCGAGCTGTCGGTCTCACCACGTTGTCTGACCCCGCGCTCGCACTCGACACACAGAACGTCCCTGAGAATTTCCAGAAGCTCCCTTCTCCATTCCGGATCATGTCCACCAGATAAGCGTGCCATGGTATACTCAAGATACGCCGGAGCGACATTGCCCGACTCCCAGTCGATCAAACCTGTTATTTCGAGAGTCGAGGGATCGAGAAGAATGTTGCGGTGGGAAAGGTCTCCGTGTGTCAGAGTGGAGCGTTCTACAAGCACTGCCTCGACGCCTGTCTCGTACTGAACGCGCTCCAGGACCCTTATGCGATCCTCATCTATCTCAGCATCCGAGGCCGAGGAGCGAAGGGCACGCACACGTGACGCGTTCCAATCTGAGCGAGTATGGCAGACATCATGTTTGTCGTTGGGTCCAAATTCAGGTTGAGTGATGTACGGCTGCCCGCCTGGACGGCCATAGTAGCGCAAGCATTCGTCGCTTGTGCGCATCGAAATAATCAGCGATACGAGGTTGTTCTTCACTGTTGCACGCTGTGCGGAACTGAGAGTAGGCCAGAGCTCAACGAGAGGCACGCCATGCTGGCGAGCAATGATGATTTCTTCACGTTCTGGAGGTCCGGTGATAGAGACGAAGGCCTTCAGATGCGGGACGACAGAGCCGAGCAGGCCGTGTGCAAACTTGGTCATCACAGCTTCATCCTTATCGGTGCCCAGCTTCAAAATGTAGTCCCTTGAATAGGTGTAAAACTGACGCCCAACGCCGCGGATACGCTCCCAAGCAGCCTTAGCCCTGAACAGAATCCTTGAATCTGATTCGTTTATGCGCTGAAACGAAATAGAACAAGTCGAGTAGGCCTGCGCTTATTAGCAGATACAATATTTGAACTTGTGCGCTAATCAATTCCCATTGTTGTGAGCACTTGAAAACGCGCGCAAGTGAGTCGGCAGGTCGAGACCATTAACGCATGATGCTGGTGGGCTCGAAATTGGACATGATCTTCCCGGGCTCTGAGCGGTCGATTTGCACGATGTAGACCGGATACTGCTGTGCCGCCTTTTCTGGAGCGTCCCGTGTCCCTCTCCGTTGTAGACTTTCAAGCGCAGCAGAGCGTAACGCTTGCTCTAGATCTCCCACAGTGTGACCGCCGCCTTCCCTGCCGCTGGCAGTCTTCCGCTGCTGCAGCAAAAGCTGCGTCGCCTGTGTGCTGATCTCATCCAGAAGTTCATCTGAGGTTTCCTCATCTCCATCCTGTAGCAACACGCTGCCGATTTGCTCGCGACCCCTCTCTTGTGCATGGTTGAAGTGGAAGCTGGTGGCGTTCGAGCGCGTCGTATCGACACGCTCCACGGAGCTGTCCTCGGGCACGATGTGTAAAACGTGTATTGTTGTAGAGCCTCCGCGGCGGACCTCAAGAGTGAGAGCAACGGAGGGGTATTTGGCCCGAGTGGCGCCCGAGAGGATGTTGCGGATGCGAGAGAGCATACTGATGCTGTGGGAAAGCGAGGGAGAGTTTGGATGAAAGAAGAGACCGCGCATGTTGCTCCTATCTAAGGGAGGATAGATGTTGTTGCATCAAGGGTGCCTAAACAGAGCGTTAACTGAGCCGAGCGAGAGGGTACCTTCTTAAGGCATCTGGGGAACGAGCAGCTCCAGCGACTGCCGCCTGTGCGGCATGGATCTAACGATTCGGCTGTATTTCTTTCCTTTCTTTGGTGTACCGTGCAGCGGTCGTTGAATATGGCTCTCAAGAATGTGTCTATACTCTGTAGGTGGGGTTTGGGTTAGGATGAGATCTGCAGCGGGTCGGAGAAATTGAAATTCATTCCGACTGCGGGCGAGAAGAAACGCGACTTCCTTTTCGCGACTGACCGGGACCCCGGTGCCGTGGAGGAGGTCACTGCAGGTCGTGTGAGCCTTTTCCAATTCCATCATCTCTTCTCCAGACCCTTTCTCCCTCGCCGCGACAACCACATTCCAGTCCGTTTTCGAATTTACCAGCACCACCGCCATCCCTACCGCGGCATCACTCTTTTCAAGCCGCATCTTCCCGCTGCACGATCGCTGCTTCATGCACCCTCCCAACCGACAGACATGAATTTTAGCAAACCAAAGACCGGCAGCAGTCAGCCAGTCATTCGCAAGAGTGTCGTCAGAGTTCCTGTTCCGAAGGCTGCCAGCGCCGCACCGCACCGAGGTCCCGATCCGAATAGGTTCAAGCAGGCCCTCGATCGCAAGCCCGCAAAGCCTGTAGCTTTCAAAGCACCTCAGAACCCGGCTCGTAGAGCCTTGTCCAGTTCGAGAGGCGTGAAGAGGAAGAGCGCGACCCCTCAGCCAGCGTTGTTCAGCGACGACGAAGACGAGAGCAGCGATCTTGGCGGTAGCGACTCCGATGTTTCACGAAAACGGATCAAGAGCAGCGTCAGCTCGGTAGAGAGCAGCTGGCCAAGACGGCCTGTGGTTTCCGAGAAGGCCTTCAAAGATGATACTGTCTTCGACATCATACACGGAGCAGACGCTACTTCTGGAGTCCATTCTCACAAGTTTAAGAATCCTTGGACGAATGAGACCTTCGGTACTACCGAGCTGCAATACCCGAGTCGGAGTCAAAAAGAGCGCTTCGAGCTGAAGTGGCCCAAGAATGAGTCGGAAGACTACAAGCCAATGACGGATATCATCGAGACGGTCAAGACGATATGCCTGTTTTACTTCCCCGAAGAACTCAGCAACAAGTATCTGGACGATGACACTGGTTTTGGGCGCCGCTTCAACAGGGCATGGCACGCCAAAAGCACAGAGGAGATCATTGAGGTGGTTGAGGACTTCAATACTGTCGTCAAGTCGCTTATAGACGACGGTACCATTCGCAAAGAACTCATAAAGAAGAGCCACCTGTCTCTAGAATGGGTCAAACGTATCTTGGAGCAGATCTACTCAAGAACTGTCTCCCCCAAGGTCGAAACCCTCAGAGCGTATCAGAATGGAAGCGATAATGTGTACGGCGAACTGCTCCCTCGTTTCTGCAGTGAGATATTCAGGAGAGCGAAACTCAACCACGAGCAAGTGTTTGTGGATCTGGGGTCGGGTGTCGGCAACGTCGTCCTGCAGGCAGCTCTTGAGGTTGGATGTGAGAGCTGGGGCATTGAGATGATGAAGAACCCATGCGACTTAGCAGAGTTGCAAGCGAAGGAATTCCCAGCGCGAACAAGACTCTGGGGCCTCTCTGCCGGAGAAGTCAATCTCCTGCGCGGCGACTTCACAGAGAATACACGCATTGGCGAAGTCCTCAAGCGCGCGGACGTTGTCTTGGTGAACAACCAAGCTTTCACGCCCGCGTTGAACGACAAGCTCCTCTCGATTTTCCTCGATCTCAAAGACGGCTGTCAGGTGGTCAGCTTGAAACCATTTGTGCCTGTGGGACACAAGATTGCCATGCGCAATTACGGATCTCACGCCAATCTTTTCGTTCAAAGAAGATTCGAATACTTTTCTGAGAGCGTCAGCTGGACAGACCAGAGCGGCGATTATTATATTGCAACGAAGGATCCCAGACCACTTGCGGCATTTATGAAGCAGAACAATCTCAAGTAGGACCGCAGGCATTCAAGAGGCAGGCACGATGGAGTTGGAAGGACTGGGTGGCATTGTTTTCCCATCATGGCTTTGGAGAAGATACCCAGCTGCATTCCGGATAACCAGCATTTTTGTCTTGTTAGCATTCGAATGTTGTACATAGGTGACATCAGGAACTCAAATCTGATCATTATATTGAAATGCTAGCCATCGCACTCTTTTCTTTACTTTGGGTTTGTCCTGTCCATATCAAGTCATCCCTGGGCAGAGTAGGAAGCCGTGAGAGACAACCGCTGAACAGCTGACTTCTATCGATTGATGAAGCCAGGAACTTTTACTTTTGCGACTCTGTCCACACCGTCTATCCATCAGATCAACATCTGCATCACTGCTAATGTTGTCTCGATAACCGGCTCTAGCATTTTCATCGCGTGTGAGGGTGGTAAAGGAAATTGAAAAATTTCGAGCCCACCGTACTGTGTCTTGAGCACTGGCAGTTGTATACTTCACCGTTGGGAAGAGACATATGCGCATGTATGGCTACTCCGCTGTTGAGCGGTGCCGGAAGGCTTCTTCGGTGATGCACATTTTTTCGTGGTGTTGTTGAAGAGAAGACAGGAATTCAAAGGTGGAAAGTTTTGCCTGGTGCGTGGGCAAGACGCTAGTGCCGATTTGGATATCGGCGGTAATCTGAGCATTCCGAGAACAAGGGCCCTGGTAATGATGTCTGACTTCACGTTGCTGTCTTCGATTCAGAACATAGCTCTTCATTGACTGTTCCCAGGCGACAGGGCGAGAGTGACGGCGAAATGGTACGCAGTCCTCGTTCACAAGCATGTCGGGCATATACTCACAAGCAACTCTAGCCTCCGCGACGAAAGCAGCCCGCCGCCGCCGCAGCAAAACCACCCGCGAAACGGCGTTCCAAACTCGCCAAAGACAGCTCCATCACCGCGGAGCAAGAAGCCGAAATCCAAGACGCCTTTGCCCTCTTTTCCACCCCCAACGAGGAATTCCAAGATTCCAAAGACGGCGTCATAGCCACCAACGACGTCCGTCGATGTCTCATCGCCCTCAACCTCCCTCCACGCGACCAGAAAGAACTGCGCGCGTTCATTGAGATTGCGGATCCGGAGGGAACGGGATGGGTACCCTACAGTCGCTTTGTGTTCATCGCCGCGGCGCAGATGAATAATCAGGACGACGGGGACGAGGATGCGAGGCGGGAGGAAGTCGCAAAGGCGTTTCGGCTTTTCACGCGGGGAGAGGAGAGATTGATTACGCTTACGGATCTGAGGAGGATCGCGAAGGACTTGAGGGAGGATGTGCCGGAGAGTGTGATGAAGGACATGTTGCGCGAGGCGACTGGCGGAGGGCTTGGGGGTGTCAGTACGGAGGAATTCGAGGGCGTGATGAGGAGGGCAGGTGTCTTTGGATGAATGCGTGCGTGCTGGGATAGCGGCGTATCTCGCGCGCATATTCGGGAGTTCTTGGCGTTCTTAAGCGATATACCCAAATAGGTCGGTCGGTCCGTTAAATTCATTCATTCGCGATATATCTCAAGTCACGTGTAGCCCCACATAGTGGAATATCACATGGAAAGGTTGAGCAACCAAATTTCGAGTTCTTTTTTGCACGCAGATAGGATGCTTGATTTGAGCTGTAGACTGCATAGATATGCTCTGACTGTCGAAGTTCTCCGTTTGGGCTTTCGGCGTTCGGTCGAGTCCTGCGAACGAAACCCTCGCAAGATCCGACAGATAATCATATCTCCGCACAGACCAAATCCAGCTCGGCTTGCCGTCTGAGCTTGTCATGGTGTAGCTCGAGCAGATTCGTAGCTGGACAATAGCATGTATGGTATTGTCGAGGCGGTCATTGGTGCTATTGTCGTCGAGTCACCGCTGTCCTCACGCTGGAAAACATCCTCTCCAGTACGGTAGTTCCTATTGTCACAAGTCCTCATTTCCATGTTTTCTGCCCTTTAAAATAGAAGGCGCTCTCTCTGTTCTCCTTCTCTTCTTTCTGTACAGCTCTCTCACATTATCCCACTGAATTGCTACACCCCAAGATTTTTTCTACCCACTTTCATACATTATACCCAAACGCACGACGCACTACCGTGCCAACGAAGCAACTGTCGTAGACACTGCACGACTCCAGAAGTTTCGGAGAACATTTTCCCGTCACAGAACAGATTGGTTTCTGACCAGAAGACAAGCCTCGCGTCGTGAAAATGGACTACGCCAAGAATCCTATCACGGCCCGGGAAGACGATATCGCCAGCCTTTTTGAAGGTGATATTGATGAGTCTCTCGGACCCGAGGACGACCTCTTCGGCGAGGAGCCCTCTGCCGTTGAGGTTGCTCAACCTCCTCCTCCTCCCGCCGAGCAGCCATCCCGTCGCCTGGAACTTGCTCTCCCCAGGTTGGCGCTCCCTTCCAGGGCACCAGAGAGCACCCCGGCAGCACCTCCCCAACCTGCCCAGCCGGAATGCAATGGTTTGGCTTTGCCAAGCGCCATAGAAACTCCCACAGCGCAGCCAGCGAGAGAGCCCTATCGCCCTAGCGGGCTGGCTCTGCCGCCGGCATGCGCTGCTACGGCTTCAAGGGGGGTTCCTGCCTCTGCCGACCCAAGGAGAGAGCCTTCAACTGAGGCACAATCCCTCGGCAGCTCCCAAGAATCCGGCCCTTCCCAGACAACAGAGAGCGCCCCAACGGAGTCTCCCAAGGCTCCAAAGAAGGGGAAGAAACGCTCGGCGCCTAAGGACGATGGCAAGCCGAGCAAGAAATTCAAGTATACGCCCGTAGACACCAAAGAGCGTGTGGACAAGATCAACACCGCAGTCCACCTCTTCGGTGCTCAGAAGGCGCGCAGGGCTTGGATGATCGATGCCTCAGCCAAGGAAGAGGCGACCAGGAACAAGTTCGCTCCTCCTCCTACTCCTGCCAAGAAACGGCCCGCCGAGGAGGCCTTTCCTGGTGAGGGCTCTCCGCAGCCTTCGCAGAGAGCTAGAGTCACGCCTTCCTCGTCCGCTCCGGTCTCGACTGAGATCCCCGCCGCAGCCGTAGCTGCCATGGCACCCGAGGGCGCTGTGGCAGCACAGACTGCGGCAGCTCCGTCGAGATCGGAACCGGTGACGATCGACCTCACCGGCGAGGAAGAGTCTCTCCCGCGGAGTTCGGGTGAGCAGTCTGCGCCGCCGTCATCCGCCGAGCAGCTTCCGCCACCACCAGATGCGGAGAGCATTGCCAATTCGACGGCCTGGATCGCGGAGGAAGAAGCTCGCGTCGTCTTATATGGCACCCCTCAGTCAATCGCCGATAGGGAGCGAAAGGCTAAGAAGGCGGCTTCTTCGCAGAGGTTTCGAGCCAACGCAGCCGCTCGTCGAGAGGAGAGTAGGGCAGAGACCCGAGCTCTTATCGCCGTCCGAGTCGGCATGGCTGCTCAAGCGCGAGAGGAAGCAGAGGCTGCTAAGAAGCAGGCAAGGAAGGCCAAGAAGGGCGAAGCCAACAAGAAAGCCGACGATCTCGCTCGACTGGGCCAGGCGGAGTTGGCAAGCAAGGATGATAGCCAGCAGGCTCAGTCCCACGATGGGCATACTGCTCCGGACTCCGCCTTGACTCAGGAGGACGATGACTTCTTCGGCCGGTACGTTGCCGCCCTAGACGCAGGGATGGAGATGGCCGACTTTGCCAATGCCGAGCTCCAGCTAGAGCAGAGTCAGCCCGCTCCACAAGCAGACCTCGAGGAGGCAGACGACGAGGCCCAGCTTGACGCGGCTGTCCCCAGCGAAGAAGATGGCACCGCCGAGGAAGAGGGCGACCTGGAGGCTCAGCTTGCCGCGGCTTTGTCGAGCGAAGATGACGACGCCGCCGAAGAGGCTCAGCAAGAGGAGGATTTGGAAGCGCAACTCACCACCGAGGCGCAGGACGAAGGAGACGAGGAAGTGAAGGAGAGCCCCGACTCCGGGTTTGGCGAAGGGGACCGTGAAGAGGCAGTGGAGGAGGACGCCGGGAGTTTGTTTGGTGAAGGAGAGGCTATGGAGGACGCCGAGGATTTGTTTGGCGAAGATGATGATCTCGCCAGTGTGTTTGGAGAAGGAGGTGACGGAGAGGCAATGGAGGAGGATGTCGGGGGTTTGTTCGGAGAAGGGGACGAGGAGGATGAAGGCGAGCTCTACCTAGAGAATCCCGAGGATTTGTCCAAGGAAGAGTGGAGAAGACTCAACCGCGATTGAGCTCGTCGTCCGAGATGCAAGAGCGCTGGAGGAGGAGATTGTTGTTATGATGGAGATTGTTCGAGAGAGAGTCGGGGCGGGCTAAGCGCAAAGAACCTGGCCATTCTAGATTGTTACTGAATGGAATGGACTTGCGCATGACTTCGGTTGATGTTCTTTCTTTTCCTTTTCGCTGCGATCTCATCTATGTGAATACAAATCTTTTGCCGTGTGGTATGCGTGGTCATGCTGCTTCAAGGCTGAGATGGACACCATCGAGCGTACCGTTTTGCCCTCTGCACTCACGCAATGAGACATGCATCCTGCACGTAGGCTGCACCACTACGGACATCGTAGTTGCAATACCCGCGAATCTATGCCTCAGCCAGAAGCCGACGAAGGTTCCCCCGTCGCATGAACACCTGCACTCCTGCACGCAATTCGTCCCGATGGGATCCCGGTGTTCAAGGCATGCGCTGCGGTAAGGCGGTCGTCAAGCAAACGACCTCGTGCCCGCGGCGGCGGAAGTGCCACGGAAAGCTGCATGATGTGCGGAAATGGAGCATGTTTCAATTTTTGAAGCCGCTAGTGGTTGTAGACAAAGGCCTGGCCTGGCGGTGAGTAGTCTGTCTGCGAACGCTGCCGCGAACTGCAGTTCGCACTTAAGCCTCTGCGAACTGGTTGTACAGCTTCTTCCTCGTTCATCACCGGTCGCGCAGCATCCATCATCAAGAGCCGCTCGTACAGTTGACAGTGACCATGGCGTGCGAAGCGTCCAACGCCTCGTCCTTTGTGGACTCCGCGTTCGATGATAGCTGGCTTAACCCAAACCAGAGTCAGCAAGACGGACTCGGAGCCAATCAAGAATTCAACGACAATTTCAACACGGATGGCAACAACACTGTTGACCCTCAGCTCACGTTCAGCAACCTGAATACGCCAGACAATCGCTTCAACGCGGCCTACGACGCCTCTGTCAACGGTATTGCTGAGACGCTCAGTCCAGAACCATCGGCGTATGGGACGTATCCGACGGTAGATTTCGGCGGTCAAGATCACGGCAGTCCATTCTTCCAGTCTATCGAGCCCAACCAGGCGCCGGTATACCAGCCACCGCCCCTTCGCAACCATCCGTTCCGTCGGTCCGTCTCAGAGCCCCCGGGTGGGCCAGAGATGCCGCCGCAGCAACAACCTCCGCCCATCACCTTCCATCGGGACAACCATTATCTTGGCAAGCCGAAGGACTCCCGGCCGATGCCGCTCAAGAGCCTTCCAAAGAACAAGCAGCAGCGTCGCCAGCCATACCCTCTGAAGATGGACAGAGGTGGATACGAGCAGCTGCGTCCAGAGCATCGGCGCGCGCAGACTCAACCTGTTCGTCTGTATGCTCCGACTAGTACTCCTGTTCCGATGCCGCAGCAATACATGCCGCAAGCGATGATGTATGGCAGGCCACACATCAGTGCTCGGGTGTGTAGTCCGATGCCAGGAGTGGCCATGGCTCAATCACCACCACAGATGATCGATCCAGCCCTGAGCGCTCCACCAACCGATTCGAAGAAGCCGCAGCCGGGCAATCACCAGGCTCAAAACACAGTCTCCATCTCAATGACCGTGGGGGAGTTGCGTAGCATGATCTTCGAAGCGGTACGACAGGCCGTGAGTGGACCTGAGAACAAGCCCAGCACGTCCGACAAGGGATGCATCGCTGCAACAAGCCCGGCAGACGCAGTGCCTAGTCAAGAGACCATGCCTGTACAGGCCGAAAATGACCAGTATGTATCCAATTTTCCCAGAACGTTGCAGTGTACTCACACAGTACAGGTAATGGGTATTGCCCACTGCGAACAGCACCGAGAGCCGCTCGGCTTATATGTAGCTGCTTTGGCGCTTGAGTCGGACGGCAGGAGAACGACAGCAGAGTATAGGATATCCGTGCAATAGCAAGGCAGATCTCGCAACTCTTTCAATACCTCACTGCTCATCATCATCTTCCTTCGTCTTCCCCTGATTCCAGACCTCCCAAATCTGATCCATAATCATATCCGCAAACCCTTTACCTTCCTCCACATCCTCCTTGATCTCCTGCTGCCGTTGGATCTTCCAAGCGCTGCGATTCGACTTTTGAAAATCTCCGACCACGCTCTGCTGCCCTTCCTCCTTCCGCTCTGTCGGTTGCAGCAATTGTGGTTGTTGTCGCGAGACGTGCTGCCATATTGTCCGTCCGCTCGATTCGCGTACTAGGTAGTTGGCCGAGTATCCCGTGGCGCCGACGAGACCCCAGGTGTAGAGGTCCAGCTTTCGAGGCGGAAGTATGGCTAGGATTGGACATGCTATGACTGCTACTAGAGCGGCGTTGTGTACTACTTTTGCATATCGTTCGGTTTCGGAAGCTGTAGGCTGTCTTTGCGGAGGCTGAGGGTGCGACATTGTCGAGTTCTGCCTAACGAAAGATTGGTGAATGGGAGATGGACTTCGGGTGGAAAAAGTGTCGGCGTCATGCGAAGCTCGGGTTTGCGTTTACGTAAGATCTAATTTGAGGGTACTTATATTTGTTTAATTAAAGGTTTGTCATCGCGGCGCTGTAGCAAAGTGGTTACTGCGATTGACTCGAATGCGCTCCCACGAGCTATGTTCTGATATCAATTGCCTTCGGGCGCGCAGGTTCGAATCCTGCCGGCGTCGTAGCGATCAACGTATTGTCGTAATTTTTTTTCGCATGCTGGTTGGTGGTACAAGTATAATTCTACTAATACGACCAATAGAATGTTTTTTACCCAGGCACCAGATAGTTGGGATGGATCCCTCCAGCCAGCTTCCTCCTCATCGACCTATTAGCCTCAACCTCCCCGTGACGAAAAGACACAATATCGAGTCCTACTGGATCACCCTCATGCTCATTCCAGGCACTCTTTTCAGCCTCTTCCTAGCCTATAATTCAAATCAGAAATTTCAGTCGGCTGGAAATCATGGAAAAGCATTACTTTAGAAATAGATAGCTTGTTTGAGACGAGCTTCCCTAGGAGAGGAGTTTTCCTAACCTCACCTACATCTCCCTCACCAGAACAAAAGCCACCACAACGGCAATATCAAACCCCTTCGCAACCGTAACGCTCCAACCCCCGGCCCTGGGAGCATGCGATACCTCCGCCACAACGGTCCCATCCTGCGCCAACCTCAGCTGTCCAAAACTCATTTCCACCCGCACTTTGCCAGGCGTGGGCAACGTCGCAGTCAACTTCGATCCGCCTTTTCGTTTGCGAATCTTGAACCCCTTCTGGACGTGATACTGCCTTCTCAACGACAACAACGACCGACTCTTCCGCAGGCAGAAAATCGCTTTGCCCTCGGTATCCGTCACGTGCGTCGTGCCGATATCGAAGATTGTGGCGCCGGAGATGGTGGATACTCTTCTCGGATCTAATATGAGGTATGTTTCCTTTGCGGCCACGTGTCCCAGGCATCCGATCGGGGTTTCCAATGCTGTGAGCCGATTCTTCGGTGCAGAAGGCCATGTGTTTGCTCGGCCGGGCGACGGAGGGCGCTGGCTCGTTGGGCCAGGAGTGACGAGGGATTTCGACGGCCGAATGCTCTGGGGCGAGATGACGGTGTCGATGGTCGCATCGTTGGGAAACGTCTGTCGGCGTTGAGCGATCGGCTCCGGCGCATCTGGAACAGTGATGACTTTGCCGGTGGGAGTCCTATACATTCTCTGGACTGGGTTGGGTGCTTCAGGTGCAGCGGCTGGTTGATACGCAGACGGATCGGCCATTTGGGGTATGATAGAGTCGCCGACGGAGATCTGAGATAATGGCGGCACGGATGAGCTAGGGTAGAGTGCTGGAGAATGATGCATGTGTGTCGTGGGAAGACATAGGCCGTTGAGTTGATCCTACGAGACATGGTTGACCGCGAGTGCGTGGAAGGTGAGGTGAGCATTGTTGTAGTGATCTGACGGCAGTCGCACGTTGCTTTAGCAAGGAAGGCACAACGCAGCCAGATGGGCTATGAACTGGAAAGTGAGTCTGGCTCGATAGAGTGAATGAGTAACCAACGTGTACCGAAGTGAGAGGAATGCTGACAGTCTCCAGGGTGTCACAAAGCATTGGCGAAGATGGCTACTACGATCTAATGTGAGTCTGCCCATTGTCGATAAAAGTCCAGGCTTTCCGGATTAGCCACACTCGTGCTTGTCTTGATATTCAAGCCGCAAAGAATCTGTTTCACACTCTTCTCGATCTTCTTGCCGTTGCTCGTGACTGGTATGTCCGGACATTCATCGATGGTGCCTGGAACGTGCCGGGCAGAGAGCTCCTTCCTTACAACAGCTTTGATATCCTGCACCAGCTTGTCGTTGAAGTTCTCTCCAGATTTCATCTTCAAGAATAGTATCACGGTCTCATCGTCGTCCTGTTCGCGCCGACGGCCTATTGCGAGCCCGTCTTCTACTTGATCTGGGAAGTGCTTCAGAAGGACGTTGTAGAGCTCTGCAGACCCGAATCGAACGCCAGAGGGTTTCAATACGCCGTCAGATCGACCCAGCATGATCAAGCCACCAGTCTCGGGATTGAACCTCACAAAGTCGCCGTGATGCCAAACTCCGGGGAACTCCTCAAAATACGAAGCTTTGTACTTGCTTTCACCGTCTTTGCCCCAGAACATGACGGGCTGACAAGGGAATGGTCGTACACAGACAAGATCCGCTGGTTCGCCCTCTTTGCTCACGTCTTTGCCCTGGAAGTCCCACGCTTGACAAGCCATGCCTAGTCCCAAGACCTGTATCTCACCGACATACACAGGGTGGAGCGGACATGGTGCGCCAAAAAGAGAGATGATGTCGGTGCCGCCAGTAATAGATCCGAGATTTATTTGGCCAAAAGCTTTGTAGACGTATTGGAATGTGGAAGGAGCAAGCGGCGAGCCTGTTGAGTATATCGCTTTCAGAGTGTTGAGCGTCAAGCCTTGTTCCTTCGGAAAGATGTTGCGCTGCTCCAACACCGACAAGAACTTCGCACTTGTTCCAAATTGTGTTATACCGAGCTCGTCAATAAGCTTTGGCATCGCCAGGTCGTCTTTTACTGACTCTCCATTCTGCAAGTATTGGAATGGCGACCCGTCGTAAAGGATCAATGTAGCGCCAGCCGCGAGCCCTGATACTAGCCAATGCCACATCATCCAAGTACAAGTAGTGAAGTAGAAGAGCCTGTCGCCAGTTCGAATGTCACTTTGGAGGATGTGCTCCTTCTTGTGCTGTATCAAAGTACCGATAGCTCCATGCACAATGCACTTCGGTGCTCCAGTCGTGCCACTTGAATACAGGATATAGACAGGTGTGTCGGGGTCCAATTGCTCGAAGTGAAGCTTCCTAGATCCATTGGATAAGGATGTAAACTTGTCATAGGTATACACCTTTTTCTGAAGCTCGGGAGAAAGACCTTCGATGTCAGACCCCATTGAGGGTTGGGTGTTGAAGATAATTGTCCCTTTCAGAGTGGGTAATCCTTCCACGATCTCTTTTACTTTTGGCAAGACCGGATGTGTTTTTCCATTGTACATAACAGCATTGTCCGTGACGAGCAAGGTTGGTTCAATTTGGACCATTCGATCGAGAACCGCAGTGACGCCTGTATCCGGACTGACAGCAGTCCAAATCGCGCCTAGAGATGAAGCCGCCAAAGCAGCCACTAAGGCATTTGTATGATTTGCAACATATCCACCGACACGGTCACCTTGCTTGAGCTCTAGGGCTTGCATTCCACCTTGACATCTCCGTACTCGTTCTCTCAACTCTTTCCATGTCACAGTCTCCCTCGCAGTCTCGGTCGCAGCTATCACAGCCGGGCTATTCTCGTCCACCTCTTGCGTTGGGAACAACAAGTTCTCTGCAAAATTCAGCTTTGCGCCAGGGAACCATGACGGGCGTGGAAACATCGTCTTCTCGTCCGACACGACCTTGCTGTAGGGTTGCGATGTTCGAATGCCGACATACTCCCCAATATCTCCCCATGCGTCGGAAACGTTGTCTATGCTCCATTGGTACAGATCGTGATAGGTCTGGAAGTTCTTGCTATGCTTGGTGTTCACGCGTTGTAGGAAGGCCCAGAGGTTTGAATCTTGAGGTGAGACATGTCGCCAGAGCAGTTGAGCTGAAGAGCCGTGAACACCGTCACGGTCAGCCATAGTCGATGAGGAAGAGAAGGGAGGCTCGCAAAACGATTAGAACGGGTCTTTCGAGCCAAGAGTGCTGGAAGAAGGCCATGGCTATGGGCGGCATTGAGACGCAGTCCACGGCGGAAAGGGCGGGGTTGGAGGGTCGAGCAGGAAGCTAGATTTCGCGAAGTGCGGAGCGGTTCCGCGTCGGTAATGGACCGTCCTCCCGGTGGGCGCATTTTGTGTCTACATGCTCTTTCTAAGGTTAGCATGACAGAGGACTTGCGGATCGTGTGTACAGTGCCTGAAGTTTAACTGGAGTAGCTGACGGCGACCCCTACATTACCCAGCATCCGATCTCGGTTCTTCAGGTCGAACCCGGCACCCAGACTCAACAGCAGTTCCTTCACGCGGCATTCCCAGAGCAACCCGATCTTGCCGTGATTGTCCATGCGCGCCTTGAGTACTCCATTCACGTCGCCATCTGGTCTCTTCCAGTCTGGCCGGAGCTGTGACTTGGCCCAAGCCACTTCTGGGTGAGTCTGCTCACGTTTCCAAAGCTCCATGCCTACTACCACGTCGCTTTCATAACTATACACGTTGAAGTCAAAACGGGAGCACAGAGCCAGATTTGGACCAGCCTTCACCGCGTATGTGGAGCTCAGGTTACCCATCAGTGGATTGACCGTGAGCGCCATGGTGTACGGGAAGCCGGTGTGGATTGGAAGGGTCGTGAACCTCAAGCCTGTGCTGATGCCACCACTCTTGTTCAGCGGACTGAAATAGACCTCCGCACCCGCGCTCAGACGGCCATTCTGATGATCCCACGGATGTGCTGGTGGACGCGAAGCAGGTTGGAAGTTGGGAAATCTTGGATCGAATCCGAAGTTCCAGAGGCCTCGTAGGCCAATGAGGGCCGAGTCGGTCGAGTAGAGATATTCAGTGCTGTACTTTCCGTAGTCGTTCTGCAGAACAGCGAGAATGGTACCCCCGTTCGGCAAGTCTCCGTCAGACACACAGTTCAGCCGTAGGAGTCGCGATGGCGAAAGGCGTCTCAAGTACAGAGCTTCCAGTGTGCTTGAAGGCAGATAGAGACGACCGTAGAGCAATGCATCTCTGCGTTCTTTCTGCTGGCCACCCTCTGATGTCTGCGTCACCGCTCTCTCTTCCGCAATGTTCAGCTCTTGTAGATGCCTGTAGCCTCTGACAAAATTGCTCAAGTAGACGTCGCTGCTCCTGCTGATCGCTCTCAAGCCCAAGCTTGAGTATAGGAAGCTGAGAGCGCCATCGACCACACCCCTGCTGCCCAATGTGTAGCTCGTTGCGAAGTTCGGGGCGGAGAGCGAGGAGAGATGGAGGCGTAGACCTTGAGGGATGTGAAAGTCGAGCAGGTTGGTTGAGGTTGTGGTCAAGGCGGCATAGCTGTTGTCGACGTTCCACCGCGAGGTCCGGGAGAAGGCCGCCTGGACATAGTCCATGAAATCCAGCATGATGCCTTCTCGGAGGTCATCGTGGATCGTTCATCTTTGTGGCATCGTCGGCGAGCTTCGTTGTCGCAACCGCGGAGGATAGGATGGGATAGAATGGTCTTGAGCAGCGCCACAGTTCACCAGCCACACCAACGCGTGAGGCGCGTGTTCAATCGATCGACGGTTAAGGTAAGGTACCTTAACACTTCAACTTCGACTACAAACCCAACACCCTTCTTCACTTCTTCTTGCCTTCTTGTTAGACTTCTTCTTGCCCTCTTCTTGCCTTCCATCGGAATGAGCATGTGGTCATCCAGACGCAATATAAATCGTCTCTGCCAGACACTTGCCGACGCACTTCCTGCCTAGCAACCACAGGCGAATCGTCGGTTGGCAGCTTCCACGCTCCCACCTCTTGTCTTCCAAACCAACTCAATCCGACACATCCGAAACATGGCTCTCGATGGTCTGAACGGACTCGATCGCAAGGCGATGGAGGAAGAGCGACTTGCTCGGGCTGCCAAGCGGAACCGTTCGATCTCTCCTCCAGTCCGAAGCCCTCGAAAGGCACCCAGACTCGCGGAGGAGACAGTCACGTTGGCCAGTGGCGCACGACTCAAGATGTTTTCCTCGACCGTGCAGCAAGACCAGTCGCGCCGCAAACCGGAAACCGCAAAGGCCGCAATCAAGAAAATGAACGCCGAGCCTTCTCCAGACATCAAGCCAGAGCCCGAGTCCACAGACAGCGGTAGCTTCAACCCGGAATCACTACCCCACGGAGCGATCAAATACCCGCATGGAGTTGTAAAAAAGACATGGGCATTTGGTCATCCACGCACCGGAACAGAAATCAAGATCGAAGAAGTCCTCGAACCACGGAGTGTCCGCACTGCCCTCTTATCTGCCTTCCAGTGGGACGTCGACTGGGTGTTGTCGAAGCTGAAACTTCAGCCTTCAGAAGACACGAAGAAACCCACAAGATGCATCTTCGTCATGCAGGCAGAGGGCGATGAGCAGCGAGCTCGGTGGCGTGAAGAAAACGAGAACAGCGGACTGGCTTCGCTCGTGCGCGTGCTCTTGCCCCCAATGGACGGAATCATATGGTGTATGCATTCCAAACTAATGCTGCTGTTTCACGAAGAGAAACTGCGAGTCGCAGTGCCTACAGCTAACCTCCTGAATTTCGACTGGGGAGAGACGGGACAGATGGAAAACAGCGTGTTCATGATCGATCTACCGAGACTCCCGGATGGACAGAAGACCGGTGTCGATGAGCTCCCTTTCTTTGGGAAAGAGCTGCTTTACTTTCTCGAGAAACAAGAGGTGGATCAGGACGTTAGAGACGGATTGTTACGCTTCGACTTCAGTGCTACGGCGGAGATGGCCTTCATACACACTGTGGGCGGCGTCCACTTTCGAGATGCTGCGCGAACAGGACTGCTCGGACTTTCCAAGGCAGTCAGAGAACTCGGCCTCGAATCGACAGGCGACTCGTTCGAGATCGATTTCGCAGCCTCCTCCATCGGCTCCCTCAACGAAAAGTATATGCACGACCTGTACTCCGCAGCACGAGGCATCGACTCCGTCGAAGCAGCAAGAGCAGCCAAATCCAAAGCCGGAGCAGACTTCTTCAAGGCAAAACCGAAGAAGAAGAAGGATCAGAGCACCACCACCACCGAGTCCCCAATCTCCGAAAAAATGCGCATCTACTTCCCCACCCACGAAACCGTCCGCGCTTCCACCGCAGGCTCCGCAGGCACCATCTGCTTACAACGCTCCTACTTCGAATCCAAGACGTTCCCCAAGGACTGTTTCCGCGACTATCAATCCACGCGTAAAGGCCTCCTCAGCCACAACAAGATCCTGCTCGCGCGCGGACGGAAGAAATCCTCCCGGGAGCGGATCGCGTGGGCGTACGTCGGCTCGGCGAATATGTCCAAGTCTGCCTGGGGGGAGTTACCTGCCGATCGCACGGATCGGAAAATCACGTGTCGGAATTGGGAATGTGGTGTTTTGCTTCCGGTCAAGGTGGCGAGGAAGGCGGGGATCAAGACGGAGCCTGTGGAGGGACATGTGGACTCGGAAACGGAAGACGAGGAAGAAGAAGAGGATGGTCTGGTTGGGATGGAAGTTTTCAGGAATGTCGTGGACATTCCGTTTGAGGTGCCTGGGCAGACTTATGATGGTCGCGAGCCGTACTACTTTAAAGAATGACGGATGGGACGATTGCCTGCAACGGGCTGGGGGAGTATTTGAGGGAATCCGAGGCAATTCAAGCCGCAAGGAAAACGAAGAAAGATTTTGTGTTTGAGGAGAAGCGGACAGGACTCTTCAATAATTCAATACCCAGGGCAGTACTACAAGATACAATGCCCACAAATGCCATGTCTATACTCCCAGCGCTAAAACCCAGCGCTCTATGCACCATGCACCCATGCCCTTCATATTCACATTCCATGTCATCGTCAAAAAATCATACGCTCATGCAAGTTATAATGCTCCATACCCGTCGCCATGCCGCTCATCCGCCCGCAACAAAGCCTCCCTCTCCCCTCTCCCGCGACTGATACTAGGAACCCAACCCCTCATATACCCACTCACCGACCTCCAGTTCCACCGCCCACTCCCTGCCTCTTCCTCCACCACCACCAACTTCTCCGGTCCCTCGCCGTACATCAGAAACTGCACCCCGACACTCCCATCCAGCCCCAGAACCCCGAACGCGCCCAGAAAGAACGGCAGAGCGGCTAGCACCCACTGGACACGATCGCTTCCTTCTTGGCCTACCCAGCCTCCGCCACCGTAGGGACCGTAATTGTTCCATGCTTGAGGGTTTGTGGCTAGGGCGCTGGAGTAGAGGAGATTTCCGCAGAAAGCTGCGATGAAGAGGTGCGGGGAGAGACCTTCTGTGGATTTCCGGTGGAAGTTTTTGAGGAGTTGCGGGAAGCGGGAGCCGAGGTAGAGGACTGTGGATGTCCAGGAGAGGACGGTGCCGGCCCATTCGAGAGGGGTGGGATTGTGGGATTGGAGAGCGTGGAAGGAGTTGTTGTTGGGGGTTTGATGAGTGATAGGGGTAGCTTGGGCGAGGGCCACTAGGCATGCGAGGAAGAGCATTGTGCGGGGTGAGGGCGATGGCATCGGTGAGGAGCTTGCTACTCGGAGTATTGTGTTGCCGTTTGGAGTACCAGACTGACTGCTCGAAGCCTTTTCGTTCTTGTCACGTTCCCGTTGCTCGGCGTTGAAAGTCGGTGTTCGAAAGATGATCTTCGGTCTCGTTGGTTGTTTGGCGGCACCACCATCACCTTCAACTTCGTCAGACAAATGCTCATCACTACTATTCTCTCGGCTCAGCACCGGCATACCTTCAATAACCACTTGTTGCATCCTCCCTCCCGAATTCTCACCACCATCATCATTCTGCCCTCTCTTCCTCCAGACCCGCAACACTGGATGTCCATGCTTCAGCTTCTCATACCACAGCCATTGTCCAACCAGACACAGGTCCACAAAAACGTAGTACACCCCGATAGCGACTTGCCATGATGCCTGATGCGTGAAGAGCGCTCCCAATAGATTACTCAGATCTCCAAGACACCACACGACCAGGAAGTAGATGGATAGACCGGAGGTGCTCCCGAAACTCCAGTTCTTGTAGATTTGCGGTAACTGCGCGAACAGCCAAGCAACGATGCTGAGGGAGCCGAGAGTGTTGGAGACGAACGCGAGGGGAGTCGGTACGCAGGTATGAAGAGCGCTGCTGAAGCGTAGGAGGAAGACGGTCTGAGGAGCACAGTGGTCTGGCAGGGCCGGCCTAAAGGCAGTAGTGGCTCCCCATGTCATTATGCAGTTCCAGGCGCAGGACAGAGGGCTTGAGGGCCACAGGGCTTGAAGGCCACTTGAGCGGCGAGACTGTAGGATATTATCAAGTCGAGAAGGTGTTGTCAACTGACGCAGGTAGGCGCGTGCTCCTTCTTGTTGGTCTCGTACTCAGGCACGTGCTGCCCGATGTTGCTTGCGGATGACTTCCAGGTTACACCAGGATTCCCGGCAAATCTATCGTTGGAAGATGCACGATAATATACAGTCCACGGCGACGTGGTATCGAGGAAGAGCAGCGTGGTAGGTCGTGGAGCTGTTTCCGTGGGGTTGAGAGCTGCAAAGAGCCGATCGTGTTATCATACGCGCCAGAGACGCAGCACACAGTGCGGCAGCAGCAGCCAGTCATGCTCCGGATCTCCGGATGCGTAACGGGAATCATGACGCTGGGCGATGAGTGGGTGAAGATACGGTTGGTGGACGGTGTCGGTGTGCATGAGTGTGAGAGATAAGACTGCGCCGAAGGCACTTGGCTTGCAGCAGGCTGGTCATGCGGATACTGTACATTCTCAGTCACGTGCTCAGTGACTCCAATATGCATGTTTCTATACGCTTTCACATGCACATCCGAGCGGCTTCTTGTCGCCAGTACCCGGCCCGGTATTGATCCTCTTGCGTTTACTAATCTGCTTTCCTTCGCGGTTCTAGGGGCGTCGAGAGTAGAGACTCATCTACTTCTTTTACGTGGTTGCTGTAGTCATGTCTTCATCCACAGGGGCTGCCTCACTGCCGGCAGTAGCATTCTCCTCGCTTTCCTGCTTCTGCGCCGCCTGCTTCTGCTCATCCGCAGAGTCCTCGTACCAATTCCCATCGATCCATTCCAAGATCTGATCTCGCGCCCTCGGGACCATATCTCCGTAATCCGGATTCTTGCCCTTCGAGAACATGCTGGTGTGCGCCGAGAGTTCGTCGCCGACCTTCGCATTCACGCACTTGACCCATTTTCCTTTGCTCTTGGTCGTGTCCTCTATGAATTCCTGAACCTGTTCGCCGTGCTCCATCTCGGCTTCCATTTCCGCTCCGCCCTGAGTTCGTTGTCTTTTGGCACCTCGCGAGCGCTGCTCAGAAGGTGGATGGTCTCGTTTTGTGCCCGTTGGACTGTCAGCTTTCCGTGCCTCCTTAGGAACAACGCAGAATGTGCGGTCCTGCCCCAGTATCGCTCCCGCATACTTCGTCTTGCTCGTGATCTTTTCGTCCAGTGCGCCGTAGAAATTCGCAAATCCAATGCCGTGGGTTTGTGTGAGGTCCACAATCTTCTCTACTCTGTTCTGTAGCTCCGCACCCTTCGCTAGACAGCCAACGAATTCGAGATGGGATCCTGCCCATGTGAGACCTTGGTTGATCTGGTTCCAGTTGAGATATGCTGCGCCTGCCACACCAGCTATCGCAGCCGCAGCGCCTCCATACATAGCGTATTTTCCCCATTTGCTTGCACCACCGCTGCTGCTGCTATTCGCCGCTGGAAGGCCTCTGCCAGCTGCTTCGGCATTTCCAGCAGCAGGCGAGGCGCCGCGGTTGGGAGAATTCCAGCCAAAGAACTTGGTTGCGGTATCGAAAGCTTTGTACGCCGTCACACCCTGCTCTTCTGCTCCATGTGCCAACACGCCAGGTGAGATCCCGAGATAAGGAGTGTCAAACGCGAGCACAGCTTGAATGTACGGGAAGAAGAATCTGGAAGGCTCCGGCGTGGTCGACGTAGTCTCCTGCTCCTCCTCACTCCTCCGAGGCCGATTCGAAGACGCCCCTGCCGTGGAATTCGTCACATCCGCCGCATTCGAGGAAGGCACCGGCTCATCGCGGGCAATACTCAACAGAGTCTCAGCAGCTACAATACCACCCATAGAATGTCCACACAGGATCACATGTACACCCGGATCGATATTGGGACTCGCCGTGCCTCTCGCGACCTCGAGGTCGATCACATTGTTCTGCAGCCATTCTTTGAAACTTGCAACTGCATCTCTTAAATCTCCTCTTGTCTCGTATTGTGGATATTGTAGCGCGACGACGTTGAGCTTGGGAAGCGCCTTCGCAAGCTGGCTTTGGAGGTCTCGGGGAAAGTTGTGGAACGTGTGGTCGCTGCCCTTGAACCCGTGGATGAAGACGAGGAGCAGTGTCTTCTTCATCGTGAAGAAGGCGACGGACGGGTCGGAGTGTCAGCGCAAGTAGCGCGTGAAATAGGTGTTACATTGTTTGGACGCAGTTACAGGTCAGGGTGGAACTTTGAGTCGGTTGATCAAGCTGAGCGGCGGTATCACATGCCGACTACGCGTGGCCGCGACTACCCCTCCGAACTTGTTGTATCAGATTCAATTTCTGGGGAAGGTCATAAGGTGTCCATTTCGAGTATGTGACTGAGAAGAGAAAAGACTAGGTACGGCGGTGCCAAATTTCGCCCCTCAGGATATCATCGCTCTCTCCAAACCAACGCCAGCCCATGCTTCGGGTACTCTGAATGCTGAATTACATGTCATAGCTCGCCGCAATTCCGGGTGCAGGACCTTCAAGGTCAACCCGTTGCACTCGGCTGCGGATGTCGTTGCTTTCACGAACGAGGTTTCCAAAGTACTTGCGGGCAACCTCACTTTCTGCCTGCACCTTCATCGTTTCCTTCTTCTGCTCTTGCAGATGCTCCATACTTCGCTGCAAGCCTTCACGAAGCTTGTCTGCTGGGTACTTGAGTGCTCGTCTCACTTCTGTGCTGATGCGAAGAGAGTTTGCGTGAGTGTAGTCCAAGGCCGCGAGCTGGGCCGCGAGCTTTGTACTCAGACGGCGGGGGAGGGAATGTGGGATCTGCGAGACGGCATAGGACACGCCGAGAGTGACTGCGAAGAAATCAGTATTTTGCAAAGGATTGAAGAGCACGGAAATCTTACCAGCCAAGACCAATCCGGGAAGCAGCATCCTTCTAAGATTGTTAGGTCCCACGATCTTTGTCGCAGTCATGGCTCCATCGAGCCACCCGACTCCACCCAGCATTCTGCCACCAACCACGCCGGCAACGGTGACAGCCATGCTGGTGCTTGCCACCTTCTCTTGTCGCTCCCATAAGCTGGCAACGTCGAAGAAGTCCCAAATCTCTGCTTCGAAGTCCACCTGTCGTGCAAGTGCATCTCTTCTGCTCTTGAACATCTTCTCAGATCGGAACGCGAGGTCCACGTATTGGTCACCTAAATGCAAAAGTCCGAGAGATTTGATGCTGCTCACACCTTGCACTGTCCTCTCGCGAGCACGCTCCTCGCACCACCTTACTGTCTCCGTGATCTGGTTCAACATCGCTGCTTTCAGATCATCGGCGTAGCTGTACGCCCCGAAGACTCCAGGATACACCACGCCAAGATCGCTTTCCGCGACACGCGCAATGCCATCGTTCAGGGTATTCCTCGTCAGCGCGTATACTTCTTTCGACGTCTCTTCAATGTTGGTAGCGACACTCTCGTCGGCATCGGTGCGTGCTTTCTTCGATTTGTCGACCTGAGGTTCAAGCCTGCGCAGTTCTTCCGTCACGCGATCAAGCTCATTCTGGGCGACATCCTTGTTCACGCCGGCGAGGGTTCCGAGGTCGCCGAGAACGTTCATCAGGTATGTCTTCGCCGGCGCCAACTTCGATCTCGCGCGCTTCTCCAGCACGAAGCGCCTCAACGATGCCTCAAGTTCGCTGAAGTCGTCCATGGCTTCTTTCTCCTTGCCCTTGCCTTTGCCTTTGGGCGGAGATCCAGGCTCGCCATGCTTGCCCTTCGGCTCCTCATCATCGCCGTCCTTTCCAGAATTTCCATGGTGTCCTTCGAAGTAGGAACCTCCGGAGCTACCACCGCTACCGCCCGAATCGCCAGGAGGGCCATCAGGCGCGGGAGCAACTGGTATCATATTGCTCGAGACAAAATGAACCAGCTCTGACGACTCCTTGAATGTGGCGGGGCTCAGGTGGGCAATTTGCTTCAAAATGCCTTCCTGGCAGCGTTTCTTATCTCGGATGTTGTCATAACCGTTGACGACCATGAACATGTAGGCCTTTTCTCGAGCGGCATTGAAGATAAACTCCTTTGCCGAAAGAGTGAAGTGGTTGGCAGCAGACACGACGAAGACGACAACATCGATCTCCTCTTGTCGTGCGAAGACCGCCGTTGTCTTGAGAGAATCGTTGTTGAGCCCCGGGGCATCAATCAGCGCAATGTCAACGACACCGTTGTTGAGCAGCGACTGATCGACTGATCGAATATCCTTAATATAAATCTTGCACATGGAGTACCGGTCAGCGTCTACCACAACGTCCTCGAGCTGCTTCAGCGAATAGACGTAGTAAGTGCTTTCGTCGTTCCGGTTGTAGACGAAACCATGCGGAATTGCGTGTACCTCCTCGATTCCTCCATTCTCTCGATGGTCCAATACTTCACAAAAGATGGCGGTGCATGGCTGCTGGTCCTCCGGCAGGACTTTCCGACGAAGGAGGGCGTTGCAAAATGTTGACTTTCCCGCGTTCAAGTCGCCTGTGACGAGGACTTTACTTGAAGTATCTTCTATCCGTTCTCTGAGGGCAAACAGATGCCGTATGCTGTTTTTAATCTGGTTATCCAGTAAAGATGCAACGGACTGCTTCTCCAGCGAATGCACGATCTCGGACTGTGCCAGCCCTTCCACCTTCAGTTCAATCTTCAAGACCGAGAAATCTTGCGCAAGCTGAGGCGTCACGAGTCTGGGTGCCTGAGCAGGTTCCTTTTCAGCAGCATTCTCACTAGACTCCGCAGCAGTTGTCTCCCGCAGTTCCCCAAGCGATGTACCAGCGCGTCTCGGTGGCTGAGGCCTGCTCGGTAGCGACTCTTGCCCCTCGATATTGAATGTCGACTGAGTATGCGCGATTCCAGGTCGCACTTCTGGTTTGCTGACTGGCGGAGATGGGGGTCTTTGTACAGTCGGGTAGTGCGCAGGCCATTTTGCGTTCATCTCTTGCAGCTTTTTGAGCGTCTCCACGGTCTGAGTGATAGCGCGGCCCAGGGCTGTCCGATTCTGATTGTAGAATAGTTGGTGCACATGACTGGCAAGCGCTCGCCTCTCGTTCTCCGAAGCCGCATTGCTCTCGCCTGGTCGTAGTGGCGTATGCTCAGGTGTGTATCGATCGGCAGTCGGACCAGGATGCCATGAATTCTCCATCGTATTGTCGCCTGTTATGCTTCCACCATACCCGGAGTCATCGTCGAGCAGCGCCTGAAGTCTTGCGGCGCTCTGCGACGTCGAGCCCGTGCCGACTTGCATGTACTGTGGCCTTCCATGACCAGGTCGGGTGGCAGAAGAGCCACGACTGGAACTAGGCCCGGCGTGGGCGTTATCGAAGGGATTGTTGGAACTCATTGTCAGGTCTGCGCGATGATCACGACATTGCGAGAGAGATGCAGTTGGTGATTGCGCGAGGTCGCGGTGGAAGTCTTTCGTGCATGACATCGGCTTTCTCCCTTGCACGGGAAGATCCGCCCGACGCCTCATGTTACCTTATCACGCGCTGGGGCTTTGAATCGAGGTCTCTTTGAGGCAGCAACATTGATAGCACAAATACCACTCAAGGTGCTGCTTCTATCTGACGGCGCTACGACTCAGCTGCTCTTCTGTTCTGCGCTTCAGTCCTCATATAGAGCGCCCTAGCAGGGCTATCGACCTGACGGATTGCGAAGATGAACGTAGGGGACCTCCGGCTACGACACGACCTCCTCAAGACTGATGCTGTCCCTAGATCATAGAATGGGCTTTCGGAAAGCGCATGACGCCCGCGGAGCGTCTACGGAAGCATCAGCGTGCACTCGAGAAGACACAACGAGAGCTGGACCGCGAACGGACCAAGCTCGAACAGCAAGAGAAGAAGTTGGTACAAGACATCAAGAAAAATGCAAAGAATGGACAGATGGGCGCCGTCAAGGTGCAGGCGAAGGATCTGGTGCGGACGAGAAGGTACATTCAGAAGTTCTACCAGATGCGAACACAATTGCAGGCGATATCGCTCCGGATACAAGTAGGGCTCTCGCAATCTCTGCACCAGTGGACTTTGCCTTGCTAACGTCTGCAGACCGTGCGTAGCAACGAGCAGATGATGCAGAGTATGAAGGGTGCCACGCAATTACTGGGAAGCATGAACCGTCAGATGAACTTGCCAGCCTTGCAACGGATAGCCATGGAGTTCGAGAAGGAGAACGATATCATGGACCAGCGGCAGGAGATGATGGACGATGCGATTGACGACGTAACTGGATTAGAAGACGAAGAGGAGAGCGAGGAAGTGGTTACACAAGTACTGGATGAGATTGGAGTCGATCTTGGCCAAGCAGTAAGACCCAACCCGTACCGAAGGAATTGCGATGTACTGACAATGTTTAGCTGGGAGAGACACCCCAGGGATTGCAGAAGAATAGCGTGGCCGACGGCAAGGTGGCTCAGGCAATCGGTGGCGGAGACCCCGGAGACGACGATCTCCAGGCACGCCTCGACAGCTTACGAAGATGATGATGAGATGCGATGCGATGCGATGCGATGCGATACGATGCCTGCATGCTTGAGGACGTTTAGCACATGAGCGTTCTTGCGATGATGAAGTCCTGATGTACGAGTGAGAGCGCCTGTCCTGGCATGCCTCGTCTAATTTCATGAGGCGAGTTGGAGCAAGGTAGGTAGGCAAACACATGTACGTACCCAAGCGCTCTGCTTCAACCCCTGCGAGCGATCCGGGGCTCAAAAGATGATCGGCCGTGGAGCTGTCTTGGGTCGAGAACACTGCCCTCTGCCGTAGGCGCCAAGTCTGCCATCTCTGCCCGCTTGGCGCCCCCGCGATGAGGCTCAGTAAGGTATGTGGTAGGCAGTAGGCCGACGAGGAGGTAGACATGTTCCGTTACCTCCGTTCCCGTGTCAGGGCAAAAGGAGTACATAGGGATAGGTAGCAGTCGCATCTGAGGTATTCATCAGTGGTAGCCAATCGAGAGGCGGGAGCTTCGAGACCAAGATCCCCGCACCGGCTGTTAGGTTGTGCCGTTGTGTGCAGCAGCACACAGTGGGCTGCTCAGCGATCTCGTGAAGCTGTTTCGTGTCGACCTTACTCCTTCATCCCCTCTGCCTCAGCGCTACATCTCTCTTGCGTCTCCATTCATACCTTACTTGGCCTGGAGACGCGGCAATCTGTGCTCTACCCCAGCATCGCCCACCCCGTTTGCCGTGGAGGGACACAACTCCACCACCAACGTCATCGCCATCCGCAAGCCCGGCGACGTCGCTTGCAGATCAGACTCGAGCAGACGTGCACAGCCTGCATAAGACTGTGCGTGGGCCTACCTACATCACCCGGCTTCCCAAACGGCGTGCTCTTGCGAGGATACACAACGGAAACAAAGACGTGACCCAGAATACGGCTGGCTGCTTGCCACTCCGCTTTCAGCAGCGTCATTGTTCCGTCCTCGCCTTTACGGGACACCAACAACAACAACAACAACACACTTCTTGACATTACACACTCTTGCGCAATTGCGATTTATTCGGCCCATCGCCCGAGCTATCAACGAACGACTGACGCGAGTGTCATCCGCTGCTGCACGGTGGTCTAATCGCCTGCCGTCTCGCACCTTCCTCATCCGCAGTCAGACTCGGCGAGCCGATTCGGCGGCAACAGCTCACGTCAACACTGAACACGGAAACACTGTCTCTCACCCCGCTGCCTACGACATCTCGTCAGCCCTGTTGTTTGAGCGCCCTAGATACATGAGCAACGTCGCGACCAAGTCAAACACAAATCTGGCCGGGAACAAGAGACGCAGTCTCTCCGGTCAGGGAGGTCTGCTGAACAGGATGTTCGGCAGCTCCAACAACGGCAGCAAGGAAGCGATTGACACGTCTGCCCCTGCGGCCGGAGATGGCCCCATGGCCGAGTCGCCTAACAGTCCGAACCTCACCAACCACATCAGCGCTATCCAAGAGAACAAGGACGAAGGCGAGGACGAAGTCGCCAGCGATCTCAGAAGTCCCGCGCGCAAGTCGGCTGATGACGGTCCTCAAACCGAGAAGAAGAGAAGAAGCAGTGGTGTGGGCCGAGCGCGTGATCTCTTCAGCAGCGCGAAGCAGTCACTGTCCAACCTCAGCAGCTCGCCGGAACACAAAGCCGCTGGAGGCAACCAGACTCCAATGCAGAAGCTAGGAAGGTCGGATCCCGCGCTCAACGTGCCACAGGGCTCCCGGAACAACTCGGCTGGAGAGTCAAATCCAGGTCCCAGATCGACTTTCCGTGTCGGCGTGACCGAGGACAAGAACAAGAAATGCCGGCGTACGATGGAAGACACTCATGCATACCTCTACAACTTCTTGAGCACGCCAGCACCTTCACTCAGTGCGGGAACGCCATCCAAGAAGCGGAACTCTCTTTCGCTCACCGAGTCCCAGTCCCGTGACTCCACCATGTCGGATGCCAGTCTGAGCACCAAGACCAGCACGGACAAGGACGTCATGGAGACGGACAATGGATACTTCGCAATCTTTGACGGCCACGCGGGCACCTTTGCAGCAGAGTGGTGCGGTAAGAAGGTACACCTCTTGTTGGAAGAGGTCATCCGCAAGAACCCCAACACGCCGATTCCAGAGCTGCTTGACATGACATTCACATCTGTTGACCAGCAGCTGGAAAAGCTTCCCTTGAAGAACAGCGGGTGTACCGCAGTGACTGCAGTGCTTCGCTGGGAAGACAGGATACCGAACACCAACTCTGCCACGGGCTCTACGTCGATTGCTCCAGCGGCGGCTGCGGCCCAGTCTCAGAAATCAGAGACGAAGCCAGAAGCTCAAGGTAACGCAGAGTCGCTCAACGTGGAGTCCAAGCTAAGAGAGTCAGCGTCGCGCCAGCGTGTGCTCTACACCGCCAATGTTGGCGATGCTCGCATTGTCTTGTGCCGCAATGGTAAGGCTTTGCGCCTGTCATACGACCACAAAGGTAGCGATGAGAACGAAGGCAAGCGTATTGCGGGCGCTGGAGGTCTGATCCTGAACAACCGAGTCAACGGCGTTCTAGCGGTTACTCGCGCATTGGGCGACGCATACATGAAGGACCTGGTCACCGGACATCCCTACACCACCGAAACCGTCATCCAGCCAGATATTGACGAGTTTCTCATTCTGGCATGCGATGGAGTAAGTTTCAAACAAAGGATGATTTCTCAATCAACTACTAACAGAATCCACGCAGCTTTGGGACGTCTGTTCAGATCAAGAGGCCGTCGACCTCGTGCGGAACATTCAGGACCCGCAGGCAGCATCGAAGGCTCTGGTGGACCATGCTTTGGCCCGATTCTCGACCGACAACCTCTCGTGCATGATCGTCCGCTTTGACAACAAGGCATTGCAGCAAACGCAGCAAGGAACAGATAACCTTATCGGCGTCGAAGGCGATCCGTCTACGAAAGCTGGCGGCATCAGCGAAGCCGAGGCCATTGTTAGCGAGACGAAGAAACATATCGACGGGGGTGGCGAGCCGGCCGGTCTGTCGCGTCCCATGACGGGTGAGGTCATGGAGGAGGTGGAAGCGAACCAGGAAGCGGGCCCAGAACTGAACGCGGCGGCGCTGGAAGCAGCTCGGAAAGACCATAAACCCAAGGTTGCGGAGGAGGCACCGCCGGGACAGTGAGCAAGAGCGGTAGCGAGTGGTATGCGCGACGTCTTGTTTGATTTGCACGAATGAGACGGGCACGGGGAGTGGGAGCGAAGGGTCATACAGAAGAGACGACTGCGACAGGTCACGAACGAGGTGTTCAGGGCGCAGGTTACGGCGCGCAGTGGGATGCGCAACACGCATTAGTGTTGGCGGTGAGGCAAAGGAAGAGGGATGCAATGAAATGGGAAGTAGGAAGCGGAAGTGCCAATGAAAATGACAAGTCACTGCCTTTATCTCACGTCATCCCTCTCGTTCTCGTGGTTCGGCCAGTCCAGCATCCTGATGGATTGAAGGAGAGCATTGATAGGTGTGAGTTCGTGTTTGCTGCTTGTCCGATTCACAGCCATGCCCGCCCTGGACGCAGAGGGGGGGGAAAAGAAATCCCTGTCAACGAGAGGCCCGTTTTCTCGGTACTTGGGTTGGTATTCACCTGGGCTAGGGCCACGTGCTCCCCGCGAATGTGATTGTCCGACGATGAGCCAGATTTAGCCGGGAGGGATTGACGTCGTTGTGTGGCTTCTCGTTGGGCCAGGCAGAGAAGTCGGATAAGGTATCCAAGACGCCGCTCCACCACATCTCACAGGCTCTGCAACTGCACCTCTGCTTGCACCTGCACCGTCTGGAGCTCCAATGCACTCCAGCGGCGCCGCTACCATTTGCCCAAATGGATGAGGAGGCCTCCCACAGCAGGGCAGCGAGCAACGGCGATGATCCTGAACCGAAAGCGAGATCCCACGCCAGCGAAACCCTGCGGCCAGGTGATGAGCCGCCTCCCGCCCTCGAGCCTTCCGCTGCTGGTCACGAGAGCAGCAATGTCACTAGTACCACAGGTACCCATTCCAATGGCCGACACGACTCCTCCGGGAGTGCAGTCGGTACGGATGCGCATGTGAAGGGTGTTGCGGGTGACGACAGCAGCAGCAGCAGCAGCAGCAGCACTTCCTCCGCACCACCACCACCACCACCATCACCACCCACACCACCCCCTCCATCCGTCACTGCGACAGCCACCACCACTCTCACCACTCCGACCACCTCCACCTCCATCGCGCATGCTCACCTCTTCTCCCGCGCTCACGCCCACACCCACACCCACGCCCGCGCTCTCACCAGTACCGACACCGACACCGACACCGACACCGACACCGACACCCATACCCATACCCATACCCATACCCACCCGCACGCCGCTCATGCTTCTGCCCATGCGCCTGCGCCTGCACCTGCACCTGCACCTGCCGCTGTCGTTCCGCTGCCCTTTCTAGCCCCGAGCGACCTCCTCCGCCCGCACCAGTCACGCGCACCCGCTATCATCCGTCCAGAATCCCCCATCGTCCCCTTCGAGCCAATGACGCCTCTGGACAAGGAGCAAATCGAAGGCCTGGTGAGTGCTCATCCTTCTCCCACACCGCCTTGCACGTGCGTGAGGGTACCTGCGTCTGATGCGCGGCACCATCCGTCGATCATAGGCTCAGATCCAGCAAGAAACACCTGAACTGCTGTGAGAGAACGTGGCGGCTGACGGTCATGTCTCTTGTGTAGCGTGCCATCAGAGCATTCCTCAAAGTCCGCACCAGCTACGATGTCCTCCCCCTCAGCTACCGTCTCATCGTCTTCGATACCTCGCTGCTGGTCAAGAAGAGCCTGAACATCCTCACGCAATGCGGTGAGTAGGACCTCGACTACGACATTATCACAATACCCCATCCGAGACATCATACTGACTAGCGGAAAGGCATCGTCTCTGCGCCATTGTGGGACTCCAAGACTTCGACCTTCGCGGGCCTCCTCACCACCTCCGACTATATCAATGTGGTGCAGTACTACTGGCAGAACCCCGATGCGCTGCAACAGGTCGACCAGTTTCGCCTCAACAGTCTGCGAGAGATTGAGCGAGCCATAGGAGTCTCCCCGATCGAGACAGTCTCCATCCACCCACTCCAGCCACTCTACGATGCCTGCCGCCGCATGCTCGCCTCTCGCGCCCGTCGCATCCCTCTGATCGATCTTGACGATGAGACACAGCGAGAGATGGTGGTGAGCGTCATCACTCAGTACCGCATCTTGAAGTTCATCTCGGTCAACGTCAAAGAGACGCAGAACCTGCGGAAGCCCTTGAAAGATCTCAATGTCGGCAGTTATAAGAACTTGGCCACGGCGACGATGGATACGCCGGTCATGGACTGCATTCATATGCTGGTGAAGAAGAGCATATCGAGCGTACCGATCCTGGACAGGGACGGAACCGTGCTCAATGTGTTCGAGGCCGTGGACGTCATCACTCTTATCAAGGGCGGTGAATATGAGACGAACTTGAACTTGACCGTGGGCAAGGCCCTCGAGAAGCGATCTGATGTAAGCCTGCAGCCCTCCATCCGTGGATAGAAGGCAATGAACTGACACATCCGACAGGACTTTCCGGGCATCTACACCTGCACCCTCAACGATCGCCTGGATACGATCTTCGACACAGTACGCAAATCGCGAGTCCATCGCCTGGTGGTGATTGATGAAGCGAACCAGCTCAAAGGACTGCTATCGTTGAGCGATATCCTGGAATACACGCTCAACAGTCCGCTGGGTGATGAACATGAGCAATGAAAAAAGAGCAACACGAAAAACGGCAATGATAAATCTGATTGAAACGGACGGAAAGCATTCGGTGGAAAGGCAGGAAACTCCACGCACGTGATACCCAATGCATTGAATGTGTGTACATTAGCTGGAGCGTGACGAAGAACGCGCGCGCGCAACGATAGGATGAGAAGAAAAGGGTCTTGGTACTTGAAACTCAGATTTGACGAATCGAGACATTTCTGATATGATATCGGGACGTATTCGGATTCGGATTCGTATTCGCACAGTCATTGTGGCACGTGAAGATTATTGGTCTTTGTGTGTGTTACCGGAGGCTCCAATCGATTTTCGAAGTCAAGAGCATTCTTTCTGGAGGATTGATATCCTCCACTCATTTCTAGTATCGCTCCATGGGAACGGCAAATCTACTACATGTACCTTCGACTAAACGCTCCCAATGCGTCTGTCGTTTCGAACGGGACTCTAAGAAAAAGACTCGTCCCCGGAGTACTTACTACAAAGCAGCCAAGTCCATCATACCTTTCATTCCCTGAAATGACTCTTTGATTTCCTCAGCAAACGGCGACTTCGAAACTCCACGCTCTGCGCTCCAACAACAAAGACAACAACAACCTTGTCTTGCCTCTCATCATCATCACCATCATCATCATCATCTTCAGCCACTCACAGCAGAGGATGTTCGCTCATAGATTTCCGCCTGACTCGACGCGGAACTCGCAGATTGCCGCCCCCTGCTGCGCCTCCCAGCAGACTATCCAACGACGAGAAGGAATTCCCAGAATCGAGACATCCCTAAGGTCTCGAACTGACATTATTGCCTGTTGCCGTCGTGCTGGTGGCGGGATTTCGAATGGGTAGCATGCCCGTCGCAGCTGTCATTTCGCGATCCGGGGAACTGGAGCGCGCCGGCGTGCCGATGGTGGCAGGGCTGATCGAGCCGGAAGGCGTAGGGACGGGGATTCGGATATCCTCCGGTGAGCCCGGGACGATCTGCCGGGGGAGGTCGGGGATGTGGATGTGTTTGGAATTATTGTTGTAAGAGGCCGGGATGATTTCGATGATTTCGTCGCGGGGGAATTCGAGGGAGGGGATGTCGTGGGCGGAGCAGGCCATGAGGTAGCCGTAGAGGACGCGGAGGACGGATTCGTGGGCGATGATGAGGAGGTCGTTTTGTTCGCGTTCGAGTTCGAGGATGATCGGTTCGAGGCGGACGGCGAGGTCGTGGTAGGACTGGGGAAATTTGTAAGCTCAAGCTATAATGGAGGAATGATATGTCGTGAATGCCTTACCTCGGCTCTAGGATAGCGGTGGTGATATGGGTCCTGCTCGTGCTTTGACACTTCTTCGGGGAAGAGCTCACGTATTCTTCTCTCGCTGAGCTTCTCGCAGACTCCCGGATTCAGCTGGCTCATCTGACTTCGCTGTCGTACTCGGTAGCCCTTCTGCTCCAGATATGCAGCTGTCTCGACGGTTCGTTTCCGTGTCGAGGTCCAGATTGTCAGGGGCTTCAACGCTGTCGACTCAGGCGCCCCCTGCTTGATCATGCTTTGCCGTTCAGCCTCGCGGTGGGCCAACAAGGCTTCAGACATCTTGCGGGCATAATCTTGTCCCTCAGCGCTCAGACTTGCATCGCCCTTGTAGTTCTCCTCGTCCCTAGCGGTGCCAGCTCGAACGAAATAAGTCTGTCGGCTTTTGATGTGCAGATTCAGGAGGTAGAACACAATTCTCTGAGAGAGATACCCAAATGCGCAGGCGTTCACGACTACTCGCTCCCCGGCATTGATCATCTTCACATAGTGCAAGTCCTTTTCTTCCACAGATTCGTAATGCGGTATCCGTGCGTTGATGCGGTTGAGATAGTCTCGGACAGCATCCTCGGGAGACCAACCGATGTAATCTGGAGAGCTGATCTTGACGGATCTCACATTCTCCTCAATAATCCGCTCGTCTGTGCAAGTGTTCTCGATGAACATGGTCTGCACATTGTGCTTCTCGAATTCCTTGGCCAGAGCACGACGTCCTTGGGCAAGGGGGTTCACGGCGTCGTAGATTGCAATCTGGCCGTTTTCATGGTTCAGGAAATGGAAGATATCTTCTCGACACTTCTTAAGTATCTTGTTGCGGAGAAGGACAGACGATGTACTGGCGTTGACGTGGAAGTAGTCATCCGGGACATCACCCTTCGCTCCAACGAAAGCTCTGCGATAATCGCCCAGGTGGAAGATGTGAGTCTTGACTCCAAGCCATCGAAGATACCGTGCAAGGGCCACACTGGTGTGTGTCTTGCCTCGTGCCGGAAGACCAACAGTTGCGATCACAATTCGTCCGGAATGAAAGAGACGTCCAGATTCTGTCGAGTACAATTGGGCTGGGGCCATGGAGGCCTTCTCCGGCAGATCATGGATCGCATCGACATAGGTGCTTGATCGTCGTCTGAAATTGGACGACTTCGCCGCAAGGTCCGCTGTTCTGCATGGGGTTATCGTTAGCTCTCAAGAAGGCATTATGCATTACAGACTCGGCGCGTGTACGACGTGGCAACCTGCGCGAAGAGCTTATGATCTATACTTACAGGAGAGTGTCCATGTTGTGTCCAGGGAACTCGCAAACAGCCTTCCTCTCGACAATCACGGCCGGGGCCCAGCGGCCGGGTGGATGGATGGATGGTTCTTGTTTTCAACAAGCACGGGGATGCCAGATACAAGAACAACGCGGGTCCAGGATTCTTGTTGAGGCGGGAATGGGCAAGGTGAAGCCCGCGATATCTACCTTATGTTGTGTATTTCCCGTCGGAGTCGGTGTTGGCTTATCGGGAAGCAAAAGCAAGCGGTTACCAGGCCAGGTTGGTCAAGCTCGGGGCAGACCAGCGGGAGCGATATGTCTCTTTTCTAACGCTTTCGACGGTGTCACATGCAAATGCGCCGCGCTTGAACGGCGCAAACGCTGTCGGATCGGGCGTGAGGCTTGCCTCGGCCCAGAATTGTGTGGTATGCTGCGATTGCGGACGTGTGGGAAGTGTTGTTAGACAATCGCGGGTTGCTGATCCTTCCAACGAACGTGCTAAAAGCCCGTCATACCTACGATCGGCAGAACTCCGGCTGGCGGCCCGCAGGCCATGCTCTCATGTTTTTGGGACAGCTCGAATGCGAGAGCACACGACCTCAACTCATCCCGCCCAATACCATCGCCCTGTCGCCCATTTGACAAGCCCGTCGCCGTCCTGGAGAGAGTGGACATCAGTAATCTCCGTCCCCCTTTCGTCCTCCTTCGCGCCGCGCACACAGAATGGCCGCGGCGCCTCCTTTAGAAAAGCCTGCAGTGCCCGTCGAGGTCGACATCGCTCCTCCAACACTGCCGCCATTGCGAACAAACGGCTTCTTGGACACTGTTCTCGACACATATCGATCTTTCCAGGCGCGAAGAGAAGCATTAGGTCTCAGCAACCCGGGCACTGTCGATCAAATAGCGAAGGAGGTCCAGCGAGATGTCTTTCTCACCAACCAGACCTTCTCCGGTCTACGCGCCGAACTGAACAAGAGCTTCTCCATCTATCCTCTCTTTCAGATCAGCCATGCCTTCTCCAGCGGGTCGCAAATGCTGTCGCCGTACACCTTTCTTGCGCTGTACGGCACGAACAACGTATGTTTGAGAGACAGATCTGGATGATACCCATCGACTGACCAAATACCCGCAGACCCTCTGCCAGGGCCAACTCGACTCCGATGGCTCATTCTCCGCCCGCCTAAACCAACGTCTGACGAACCGACTCATATTCAAGTCCTCCGTACAGATACAACCCTCCTCTATCGCAGGCCCAGGCGGCGCACAGGTTTCCCTTGAGCAAGATTACACCGGCGACGACTTCACCGCCTCGCTCAAGAGCATCAACCCAAGTATTCTTGAGGGTGGTTTGACAGGTATGTTCATCGGGTCTTACTTGCAGAGCGTCACTCCACGGTTATCGCTCGGCTTGGAGGGAGTATTGCAGCGGCCAGGCGGAGATATGGGACCAGAGGCAGCAATGAGCTATGCGGGACGATACAAGGGTGATGACTGGATCGGAAGCGCCCAGCTCCTGACGCAGGGAGGTCTGCAGCTGAGCTACTGGAGGAGACTGGTGGACAAGGTGGAGGCCGGCGTGGACGTCAACTTGCAGTTCGCAGGTCTGAACCAGGCCAGTGCCATGATGGGAGGCGCTCGGAAAGAGGGTGTCGCGACTTTGGGTGCCAAGTACGAGTTCTCGCGATCCATCTTCAGAGCGCAAGTGGACAGCCAGGGTAAGATTGGGTGCTTGTTGGAGAAGGTCGTTGCGCCACCTGTGCGGGTGACTTTCGCCGGTGAGATGGACCATGTCAAGGTATGTCCCGAAGTCCGTCTCCGAAGTTGACGCAGCTAACATGGCCAACAGAACCAAGCCAAGCTCGGTCTCGCAGTCTCAATCGAAGCGTCGGGTGAAGAGCTCATGGAGCAACAGGACAAGATCGCACCTGCGTCGCCTCCATTCTAAGGCGTTGAAACGAGTGCGACGATACTCTCTTCTCTGTATAATAAAACTGCTTGGTGATCTCTGCATGGAATGGGCAGCCACATGCGGCTAGCCATCTAGAGAGAGACGACTCTACCGGGATGACATGCATGGGTGATTGGCATAGCGATGTGCGTGGAAGTAGGCGCTGTGTGTAAGGCTACGTAGAGCAGACGTCGTGTACATTTACTTGCAGGACGACGCCGTTACCTTCACCTCTCTCATCTTCAATCCCCGACTCAGTGGAAGCTCCTGAGCGACCTTCAAGTTGAAGCTCACAACTGCATACAGTCGCTACTTTCTTGAGAACACAGGCGAGAAGCGATGGAGCTAGCTGCAAGAGGAAGCAGCAGTGAAACTAGAAGCTCACTCTACCTACATACACTTCCTCTTCCGCCTTTCTTCCTTCTCTTCTCTTCTCTTCTCCAACAACACCCTTCCTTGTCCAAGACCGGTCAACATGGGCTCAATCGGCGACACGCAAGCACACATCCCCGTCATCGACATCAGCGAGGCCAACTCCGCCAACGCACCGAAGCAACTCCTTCAAGCCGCCATCAAACATGGATTCGTCTTCATCCGGAACAACGAAGGCGTTATGGATTCTCTTCTCATCGCAAAACTCTTCAACCTCGCCAAGGACTTCTTTGCTCTCCCGACGGAAGTGAAGAACGAAGTCTCAATCGGTTCAAACAAGGCCGGCAAGAATTATGGCTGGCTCGGCCAAGGGGTGGAGAAACTGGATCCGAAGCAGCAGGAGAGGCCTGATGTCAAGGAGTATGATCATCCGTCTGTACTCTTCTGATCGAGATCCGCGTCTTGACAATTTCATCCTACAGAGCATTTAACATGGCCCTCCCGGATCCCCAAACAGGAGTCTACGAGCAAAAACTCCCCGACCTCCTCCAGCAAGACATCTCCACAATCAGAACCTTCCAATCCGCCTGCCATGACCTCTGCCAACGGGTCTTTAAATTCCTCGCCCTCGGCCTCGAGATCGAAGAGGACTGGTTCACTTCCCGCCATGATCTCCAGAAAGGCCCCACGGGCACCATCTTTAGACTCCTTTATTACCCACGCCACAACGCCCAACGACATCTAGGAACAGATATCCGAGCAGGAGCTCACAGCGACTACGGTTCCGTGACCTGCCTCTTCCAACTCCCCGGCCAACCAGGTCTCGAGATTCTCACGCCGGATGGGAATTGGGCCGCTGTGCCTGTAGACCCTGAAGGGGAGGGAGGGGACAGATTGCCTATACTCGTGAATATCGGTGATTTGTTAGAGGATTGGACAGGCGGATTATTAAAATCAACGAAGCATCGTGTGGTTTTCCCCGCAGAGGAAGCGGGTGATAGATATTCGATTGCGTATTTCTGTCACCCCCTGGATGATGCGTTGCTGGAACCCGTGCCGAGTGAGATTGTAAGGGAGCGTGAGAAGAAGCATGGTCGAAAGGAGGTCAAAGTCATTACGGCGAAGGATCATCTGATGGAAAGGTTGGCTGCAACGTACAGTGTCAAGTAAAAGAGATGATAGTATGGAGTTGATCTCATCAGGGGTGTTGTTGCTCATTGCCATCAACCAGAACTGGAAGTACAGTACACTAAAAACTGATCGGGTATCTCGAGCTAGAGAGCAGTAACACAAAAGCGCAGCAAAGCACCAAGCTGTATGCACATCCTTTCCCTGACTCCAACATCCCCGAAAAAGCATCAGTAGTTTCGTTAGAGAGAAGCCGTCGTTCGTCGTAGCATTGCATGAGGGAGTCCATTGAGGACTGTCGCGTCACGCGTTTACGCAGTAGAAGAGTAAAGTCGTATAGAAGCGAGAAGTCGAGGTCGGGCAATCGCGCATGTGAAAAGAGGGGGCTTGAGTGCTGTGGGAAAGGCAGGCCGAGAATCAACAAGCCAAATCATCCTCCTAGAAGTGATTTGTGTGATGAGAAACCTGGTTCAGTAATAGTTCCAGCATGTCGTGACCATTGACTAGACAACAAGATCAGTTTCAGGTTCCCAAGGCAAGCAGCGGGAATTAACATGGTATCTTACCTTCTGTTCCATACTGTGTCTGATTCACGTCCGCGCCAGGCATGTGGATAATGGGGTCAAGTGGAATCGCCAGCCAATCCTGCTGCTCGCCGAAATTGTTGGCGTAAGAGTCATAGGTGCCGTTGGCAGAACCATTGGCCATATTGCCTACGTTTCCGGCGCTGGGAGAGCTGATGCTGAAGCCGGGTGGTGGCATGACGGAGAAGCCGTTGTCGGTAGCCATTAGATCGTAAGTATCGTTCGATATGCCGTACATCGGATTTGCTCCCGCCATTTGTCCATCTGCCATCATGCTGTTGTTGTAGTGCCATTGCTGCTGCGGCTGTGGCTGCTGGGCAGCGCCGGCGGTGGCCTGTGCCTGGCCCTGTCCCTGAAAAGCTTGTGGGATACTGGCAGCGACAGCAGGGTTGGCGTGAGAGCTTTCCTGACGACCGACGTGACGACCACGACCCCCTCGTCCGTCAGAGCGCATGCGGACAAGTAGAGGCTTCAGATTCTGCGTCGCAGTGTCCAGAAGATCGGCAAAGCGACTAGCGACGTGGACATCATCGACAATGCAACTTCGGAGGGCCTCAACAGTCCGATCAAGCAGTGAAAGCGAGTCATTGACGTCTCCTTCAGTAGCGCCCAGAGCAAAGGACTTCAGTAGCATAATAGCCACGCTGATGATGCGGAAGTAGGTTCGGACCGGTGCGTGTCTCAGGAAGCCATCGGGATACAGACCCTCGACTACGACCTTCAAGAGGTTGCGTGCTGAGTCACCAACTGTCTGGATGTAGTGGCGATCGCCACCAAGCCACTTCGACAGTGTAGCCGGCGGGATAGCAGCTTCAGTGTGAACGCCATTGGCAATCGCGGAGCGAGCCATCTCGAGAGGAGGATCGATGGGCGATGGGTGATCATTTGCACACCTCTCAGCCATGGCTTGCAGACTCAAGGCGTTCATGTAGACGCGGCAGTATTCAAACTCAATCTCCAAAATGGATCGCATGTGCTTGGGTATCACCTTGCAATCATCAAAGTCCTGGCGCCATTGTCGCAAAGGCTCTTGAAGTTGCGCGAGTACAGCTTTGTAATCGCCATTGCGAATGAGATCGCGAGTGTAGCTCTTGTTGGCAAATATCTTATTGTTGCCTTCCCTCAGCAGCGCTGCGATACGAAGCCAGAAGTGGAAAGTAATCTCCTGGACACTGTCCTGCTGTCCGACTTGTTTCTTGAAGAGGTCGCTGTCCTCGGGCTTGCTGTAGTAGCTTGGCAGCATCGAGGTGAGTCCCAATCGGCCGCTTGTCTGAGTAACATACACGAGAAGTAGATCTCGTACACTTCCGCGGCGCTTGTCGTAAGCAGTGATGTCCTCCGCAGACAATGGGCTACCGTCAGCAGAACGAGCATGGCGCTGCCACTCGCTCGAATCGAAAACGCCGATTTCCATTGCAAGCGACATTGCCATGCCAAGAAGCATCCAGCACATGCGATCACTGCGCCAGCACGGTTCCAACCAGGCGTCCATGCGATGTCCACCGATGCCCTTCGGAATATTGTCGGCACCAAAGAGGTCAGGAGCATCGGCGGGCTTGTCAGGAATCATGAGATCGTCGTCGTCCTCGTTTGGCGGGAAGTGCATGGCGCGTGGGTGCCACTCGGTCAAAAGCACCAAAGACTCCACAGAGCCCAATGTTCTCAGGCCTTTGCGAGTGAGCGGATTAACATCGCAGCCGGGCTGACCGCCCGCACCACAGAACCCACCACCGAACTGCTCCTGGCCCCAAACCAGTCTGTCAATCATACCCGAGAGGTGGCTCCAAAGAGCTTGGTGAATGGCGTATGGTCGACTCTGGGAGCCTGGTCCATTGAGCTTCATATGTCGAGAGGCAATGAGCAAAATGGTGATGGCCAGCATTGGCTCATCTTCCAATAGTTTCTGGTGAGTTGCAGGCTGCCGGAAATCCGGGAATGCTACGGGAGTGAGCGGCGAGAGGTGCTTGTAGAAGTACAGGATGTATTCGATGCCTTCTCGCGCCGTAAACCACCCAGAGCGCACGAACTTGAAGCGAGACCAGGCCTTCATTGCAGTTGTGTAAGAGGCGAGGTCGGTAGGGACAGAATCAGTATTTGCCCCGGCCGAAGAGTTCTTGTCGGGTCGCGTCTTCCACAAATCGTCGTTTTGGAACATCGCCATCGGACCGTTGGTGTAGCTCACGTTGCCGACCTTCTCGATGACAGGGCTAGTTGCGTCTGGTAGAGAGCCGCTCGTGAACCCATTCATCGTGGGCCGAGCGCTACTGCTGGTCGTGCTGTCAGATCTGCCATGTACTGCTGCGTGATACAAGACATTGAGCGCATCGTGTCCTCCATGCACCTCAGAACGCTGAAAGAAAGCAGCCATTGCTTCACTCTTCTTCTCCTCTTCTTCGCCATATTGAACTTGCTTGCCGGTCGGCCTTCGTAATGGCTGCGTTCGCCCTACGGAACCCCCTGGTGTCCGAGGTGGTTCTTCATACTCCTCGTTATCATCGACCGGATCAGGAGGAGCTGAAGTCCTCAATCGCTTTCTGTTGGTGCGAACCTCGTAGATCGAATCATCGCCAGCCTCGGAGCCATTGCCATCGCCGGTCGCGTTCTTTTTCTTGCGTCGGGTCGCAGAAAAGTAGCACTCCTTGGCCTCACGCCGGCATCGAGTGCATGGTGGATCGTTCGGGTTGTCGACCGATCCCAGGTCGCAACGGACCTTTCGCTGACGGCAAGGTATGCATGCCTGGTATGTGCGAGTGTGCGCCGCCGGGTTGGAATTGAGGTTGTTGGGCTGAGGTTGCTGCGACTGTGCCTGGGGTGGAGACTGCGAAGCGGCGCCGTACGACAGGTCGCCGTTGTGCAGTGTGTATCCGTTGGCGGTCATGGTTGCTCTAGACAGGCGCGCGTGTATCAATAGATTGCGGTCGCTGAACCGCTTCAAAGCGCCCCTCGATGTAAGCCGGGCCTGATGAACGGAGTCGGGCCGGCCAATGCAGGGTTGTAGTAGCTCGCTCTCGTGGGGTGTGGGTATGTAGTCGGAGATGCTAGGCGTGGCGAAGGCGCCTCGCTACCGCTTAACGGTTGTTGTTTGGAAGGAGGATGATGCAGAGTTTCTTCGTAGACGTCGCGTGTTGGAGAATCATTGTAGCAACTTCATTCGTGTTGCGGTGTTGTTGAATTGGTGGTTGTTACAGTTTGAATTGGACTTGGTGTCACATAAGGAGGCTTGCGATTAGTCACTGCTCTAGGGGGGCGCAGCCCGGAAGTCGACGTCATAGTCACGTGCCGGTCCTAGCGGCTGATAGCGCGGGCCGAGACTGTTGCATGTGACAGAGACGATCTGCGAATCCAAGTGATCAAAGAGGGCAAGAGCGGTAAGAGCAGATCGTCATTGCTCTGAAACAGATTTGAATAATCTTATGTCTCATACGGCAAGCATCTTTCGGAAACTGCTTGACTGGACCTTCTCTCCATTCGATACCGAACTCCATGATAACGCCGCAAGGCAAACACATTGCCAGCACCCTGTCATGTATAGCTCCCTTATGGGCTGCAGTCTCAAAGCCAGGCGCCAATGAGTGCCCAGGAAAGATCAATCTCGTTATCTCGCTACGGCATGCGAACGTGTTAGAATACAAGCTCTTCTCTTCCCGAGCATCGATCCTGGTGATGTGTACGATGCAGCTAGTCTAGTAAATCGCATTGATGACGTAAATGGCATTCCTCATATGTTGAACATCTCAAAGCACTTTCTGGGTTGTGGCGTTGAGTTCATGGCACAGCACTCCTTGATTGGATTGGTCTTAGTATGCAATTCCTTCCTTGAACGAATCTGCATGCTGTACGTCGATGCTACGCATCTTCACATGTTGGCTTCATATCAATGCATTACAGTCCAAGCGTGCAGAGCGTAAAGAGTACTAAATCTATTAACTCTTTTCCCGTGTAATTGGAAGACATGACTTCCCCGCCAGTATTACCCAAGATCCGGCTGTATGGTCTTCGCACCGGTGCAAGACATAGCTGTGATAGGGCTGGAAAAAGATGCAAGGGATGTCCAGATGTCTCCCCGTAATGTTCCAAGTCTTGGCAATCTGCAGCTGCAGACAGGGAGCTCGCGAAGGTTGCGGACTATTCGCTACGTCCGTAAAAGGGCAACGTACAACCGTCTGTCGTATGTGCCTTCCAGCGCATGCTTGTGGACCCGGAAACATTCCGCTCTCTCCAGCATGAAGCGGGTGGGGGAGGGGTCGATAGATTGCGAAAAGATCAAATGCCGACACAGCAAGCGCAACAGGGGAAATGCGGGCAGCACAATTGATGGATGATGGGGCATACTTCTCTTACTTGCCAATCTACTCACGCGGCTTATGAAAGCTTGTTACAGTCGAAGTCGAGATGACTTACCAATACCACCCTCCGAACAGGTCTGCACTGGAAGGGAAAGTCGTAGTGTTGACAGGAGTGCGTGATTCACTTCCCCTGCCATATCTATCCTGACGTCTCTAGGGAGCTGCAGGAATAGGAGCAGCGACAGTTCGGCAACTCCACACAGCGGGTGCTCACGTCTTCTTTGGCGATGTCCAGGACGAAGCAGCTGCATCGCTCGAGAAAGAACTCTCCTCCGGCTCAGCAGTGAAATACATTCGGTGCGACGTCCGGGTCTACGAAGATAACCTTCGCCTTTTCAAGACAGCATATGACTCTTTCGGTCGCATAGACCACGCCTGGTCCAATGCCGGCATCACTGAACAGGGTAACATATTCGATCCTGAATTGGATCTTGAGAGTGTCCAGCAGGAACCGACGAAAAGTATGAGCGTGCTGGATATCAATCTGAAAGGGCCAATTTATTTTGCTAGGATCGCGAGCGTGTATCTCCGTCAGGGCGAACATCAAGATGCTGATAAAAGTCTGACCTTGACGAGCAGTGTGGGTGGCTTCAGAGAAGACCCAGGGCTCTGGGTTTATGTGCCTTCAAAGCATGGTGTCCTAGGGCTCATGCGAATGCTAAGGCGGTGAGTATGGGTATCGTTGTTGTCATTTTCATTCATTCGCTGACATTGTCCTTGTAGTCCTCTTGCAGAGCGCTCTCCGCGTGTCAGAACTAACGCTATCTGCCCGTGGTTCACGAGAACTCGAGTCAGTGAAGGCGTTGCTCATTTGTTCGAGCATGCTGGTCTGCCCCGCAATTCTCCAGAGGACGTAGCCAAGATAGTGGTTGGCGTGCTCGCAGACGAAGACTTGAACGGTGCAAGCATCTACGTTGAAGGAGGGCGCGCATGGAATATTGAGGAGGGCCTGCTAAGAACCCGACCACAATGGCTTGGGGAGCGGCAGACTGTCGAATTAGATCGAGGCACAGAGGTACTTGGTTCAGGCCAAGGCTGGGTCAAAAACCAGCAGTAGATGTCAAAGAGGAGTGTACTTATTCCACCCGTTTCTGAATCTTGGGCTCGCGTATGCCGCGCCGAATCCAGTCCGGCACAAAAGCTTTCAGTCCTAGTTGGTTTCCGTCTGAGTTAGCAATCAAGAAGCGATCTTCAAGCTTGAACGGGCTGGGCTCTCCAGAGATTGTGAGATCCGTCATCTGCTCCAATCTGCACATTCCCAAGCCAACGTTGCCAATACCAGCCAAGAACTTGCCAGTGCTTCTTTTGCGACCGTCGTCCTTTCTAATGTCTGTGCCTGCGTCGGGCACGACATGGTTGAATGTGAGGTCGTATTCCAGCTTTTCAGGTTTTGCGGAATTCTCCTCGAGCAGCATGACTGGCAAGATTCGTCTGCGTACGACTCCGGTGTGGTGTGTCCGGATCGTCAACTCTTGCCCAACATAACAACCTTTCTTAAAGTCGATTCCACCCATTATGTCCATGTTGCAGTTCATAGGCAGACAATCGTCTCTGGGCATCTCCTTCTGACCTTCGGGAACACCTCGCAGGTATCTGCGGATAGTATACGCTGCTAATGACGTCTCGTCCACATCCTGCAGCGCATCTGTTGGATTGTCAGGGAGAACTAGCCGCCGCCCCATTCCAGGTGCTCTGCAATCTGTCAAGCTGATTGTGCCGGCCCCAGTCGCGGTGTTTTGTGGCTGACCATGCGCAGTCCACCTGTCCTCTTCTCTCCACAAGCTCCAGACATTCAACTCTCCCTCTTCAAGCAGCCTCATCGTGAACTTGGAGCGCAGCTTGTGTCTCTTCAAGTGCTTGAATAGGACCTCTGCCTGCTGCGCATCTACTTCAACCAGATAGCCGGGGCTATCGAGCTTCCCACCTTCATCTTGCTGTTTGTGCCAGTTCGAACCGAGCGTTGGATATATGAACGTGTCATGCAGTACCTTGCCTTGCGCGGTCAAGAACGCTGCGTAGAAGCCGCTGGTGGACTCGGGTCGCACATTGTTGGTAACGATCCCCTGCAGGAACTTGGACGTATCTTGGCCCTGTAGAGATATGAGGCGTCGATTCGTGAGTTTTGCTGCTCCAGATGGAGGTGGCGGCGGTGGAGGTTTCGTCGAGGAAGTAATGCTATACAGGCGGCGAAGTTGTCGTGATATGCATCTTCTGCACAGGTAGGACGCGTTCGAAGATCTAACAATCATCTTCCTGGCTCTTTAAGATGTGAGGATGTTATGCGGCTGCAGCGTATCTCTACATGCTCGATTGATGTCACGCTAGTGGGCTGGCCCATGCTTCTCACCTCGCCTCACTTGAGCAGCTGGCAACATTTCCTCAAGTTACAGCTCTAGATCGCACTTGAAGGCCATTTCGACGGCACCAAAGAAGATGATCCATATACTTTGCCGTTCGACTGGATGTTGCCGCTGTTTGAAGAGGGAAAGCCATGGAGCCCACAACACCGCATTGCATTCGACCTCTTCTGCGAAGAGAATAATAACATTGGATTTGAACGAGCTCCATCAGTTGCTACGAACCACATGTCTAACAGCACTTCGCTAGCGATATACACATCGTGCTCGTTGACCAGGCTGTCTACTACTACCAATCGCCCTCCGCGCCTCACCATTGCGAGCTCCGTTAGTGGGCCTCCTTCTCCTTTTTGACGCCGGCATACCAGTACAATGTTCCAAATGGCGGCAAAACTACCTGTTCTCCAGCTCTGAGTTCCCACCCATACTTTCTCTGCCATTCGTTGACGTGCAGTCCTGAGCTACGAGTAAGCAGGCTCCAAGTTTCATCTGGCGTCCGGCATCGAGCGCACGACACGTAACCATCGATCGCATAAAAGAGCGGGATGAGCGGGATCACATATGTGAAGATGAGGTGCATTGGCGACCACCACCAATCGTACAGGGTCGTGATGAAAGGAGACAGGATGATGAACGTGGTGTTGAGAAGAGCAGACAGGGTGCGATGCGTCAGCTCGAATATGCTGCCCATGAAAACGTTAGCAAGCTATGGCGTGAAGAGATGAAAGGCCAGAATCGAACGTACACGAAAGCGTCGGATGTCTCCACGGCGCTCAGCAGAACCTTTTCTGCAGCGGCATCATCGAAATGATGGAAGCAGAGGTTGTACACCCGACATTCCTTATGTTCTGGACCACTTAGTCGCACGGCATTCGTTGCATCGATCGGCTCCTCAATGTACGAGATATTCTCACTCTTGCAAGCAATCTCTTTCCATGCCTTCAGATCTGGCCAGAGATCCGTCAGGACGAAGCGAACACTGTTCAGTCCAGCTGCTCTTAATTGCTGGTTCATACGAGGCTCTATGATAGGTGTTGGTCCGCCTGCGCCTGCGCAAGAGTCGATGATGGTGTACTCTGCCGTCTTGCGAAGACCTCCAAGCTGGTCAATCAAGATTTTAGCGGCTTGAGACGCAGGCGAGCCTTTCTTCGATGTGGACGCTTTCCATGTTCGGGCCAGGGCTTTGTGAGAGTGTTCGCGGAGCCAGGATGGACACCATGACTGGTCTTCGACTTCAACAAGATGCAGCCTCGGGAATAGGACGCGGCTTGCCATGATTTCGAGCGAGGCCAGAGATGCGCGGAATTGGAATTGATCGAGACAGACCAAAAAGCTCACGGAAAGAAAGTAATGCACCAACACTGAAATGAATTCGCTATGCTTTTGTGCCTTAGAGCGTCTCAGCACTTGTCACCGGCGCCCAAAGCAGATGACTGCAGGATGGCCATTGCCGCTGTTTCGGGATATTTGGCAGGTCGGTTACGGAAACCTGTAAATTGCCTGGACCCTACCACGACATCGCGCGTGTCCGCCGACCTCCGTTCCGTGCAGGACTGCATTTGTGTCCTTGTCCCACGATTGACTTCTTCTCGTTGTCCGGGCCACAATCCGGTCATGGCGATTGTCACGGCTACCGTTCAGACGAGGAAACACCCTCCCGCCAAGCCGACAAACACATTTTTACAGAACACCGAGTTGTGATCTGCTCGCACTTGGAACCTCTGAAGGACGTGTCTATGGAGCCATGGACGACAATTTGGTCTCTCGTTATAACTCGCCGATTCTTCGTCACCACTCCAGCTTGAACAATATCTTTGTGGAACGTGCATGAATTCGAATAACAGTATGTCACTCCGATGCACATAACGCAATCTCTTACATGGTACTGTCATCTCCACGGCTGACTTCCTACTGTCGAATTTTCTGTTGGCCCTGTTTCCGCTAGATTACTCTGAAAATAAAGGCCGTTCCAATGTGAAAACATGCTGTATGTGAGCGAAAGTTTATCCCCTCTATAGTGGGAGCGCTAGTCGTGACACGCTATGATCAATGCTTGATCTTTCGGAGGTTCAAGTTGCGCCGACCTCGCGCGTTCGCTCCCCGTCTCGCATTCGACCTTACCATCCCAACAACTTCATCATCAAGCTAACAGTATCGAGGCTGATCTCAGCTTCTATGCCTTTGGCTCAGGCACTAGGACTTCAAGCGATTTCGACACGGGAGCGAGAAGAAATCGATCGAGTATTCTCATACTCTTTCCCGTGACCGACGGACCCATTTTCGATCCTGGAAAATTCCCAGAAGAAATGCGCCGCGAACAGGCGCAGTTCAGTCATGATCAAGTGAATTGCAATGCAAGCTCGCGGCCCAGATGAGAAGGGGTGGAAGGCATCCTGGGTCAAGGCCTTGCTTCGTTTCAGCCAGCGCTCTGGATCAAACCTGGTTCCACGTTGTCAGCAGATTGGGAAGGCCACCACTTTAACAACACTTACTTCTCGGCGTTTCCCCAGACTCCTGGGTTGCGATGCAGCTGATGGTTGTGAGAAGCTACCTCAGTTCCTGGCGCGATGGTGTAACCTCTGATAACCTGTGGAGTGGAAGCATATCGTGGGGGAATTGTCAAGCCTCCTCCGAAAAGACGAAGAGCCTCGTAGATGGCCCCGTCCAGAAGAGGACATTGCTCGGCGACCGCGCCATCGATTGTTGGCTCGCCGAGTGCCGCCGCCTCGGCCTCGAGTTTACGCTGAAGCTCTGGGTTCTGTAGGACGGAGTAGATGAGACAAACCAAGGTCGCGCCGATGGGCTCTCCTCCAGCACCCAGGAAGGTAGCGATGTCGCGAGAGATATCGAACTTGCTCATTTCCAGGCCTCCATCCCTGGTATAGACGCCATCTTCCTCCGTTGTCATGTTGGTCCTCCCGATGCGACTGTTCCGTGCTAGGCAGCCTCGACTGGGTTGGAGTCCGATTCTGGACAAAGGATTCAAGGTGAACTACATCTTCATCGTGGTCGTGATCTTGCTAGTGATCGCCTTCACAATCTTGAACTTCTACACGCTCAATTCGACCTTGCTGAAGGCTGGCCTCTGGATCCAACGGACCGGCATTCTCTACTTCGTGATCTTCAACCTCATTGCTCCGGTCCTCTACTTCCTCGCACTTCTTTTGCCGAGGGCGCCCGAAGCAGAGAACTTTGGCATTGGAAGCATGAACGCCAAGATGATCATCCTGGGCATCGTCATCTTCTTCAACTTGTTCATTTCCGGTTTCCGAATGGGCACGAGTGAGTCAGATGCGCGACCGCTCTCCGATCCAGCTTGGTACGATACTCGAGCTGCGTTCTACATCATCGAGCTCGGCTTCGAAATTGTGATCACATACCTCCTTCTTCTCAGCCGATTCGACACGCGTTTCTGGGTCCCGAATGGCAGCCGGAAGCCGGGCGACTACTCACGGATCGACCCAAATAATTCTCAGCGTCGCCGAATGAAAGTGACTCGGATGGAGGAGTCGACGGACGCGGACGCCTCTTCGGAGAAGAGCCACAAGGCTGACTCTGCAGTCGCTTAGCATCCAGCATGCGCATAACCCTTTGATGTACAGTATTAGTTTGCGACAGCAGGAAGACACACAGCTTTATTGTCCAACAATCCTTCCACGCCAGTCCTCTTCTTGACATGATGCTAGCTTTTCACTTTGTGTACATGAGTTGTTCACGTGGTTGATAGTCCAGCATGTGCGTGGATTCTTTGAAGGCGGGCCATCGTTCGGGGGAAGGTTGCAGACGATTCACACTTGAATCAGGCTCAAGCAAAGGAAGCCAAGGATGGAACAAGTGGTGGGTGTGATTTCTTCTTGTGACCGTCGCCCAGTTCATATCAAGAACTACCGATACTGCTTGAATACTCTTCAAATGCGACTCTTCCATTAACGCCCAAAGCTGAACCATCCCTTCTTCTGCTGGGGCTGCTGTGCGGATTTCTCCTCAACTCCGTTCGTCAGTGATTGCTTGGGAGTATCTGAGGCGGTGGTTATTTGTCGACCAGGATAATCAATGTAGTTGAATGCGACATCCAAGAATAATGGCTTCACAGGCACCGGCTCAATCTGCGGCGGGTAGGTGACCAGATTCTTCAGGTCAACTTTGGTGCCTGGAGTCGGGTAATCATTCAGGCGCTGAACAATTGGTGCGGCAGATGTCATGTGCTTTGCCGCTGCAATAGCTGAATTCGACTCCAGAGTATGCATTTCGACTATGGCATGCATACGAGATGCAAGCGACTCTACGTGGGTATGAAGCTTTTCCGAGACATGCGGCTGAATATCCAATGTAGGAGGTGAGCTCCCGTCGGATCGAGTTGTTCCACCCGGCAATGGCTTTGATACCAGCTCCTGAGCGCGCTTGAGCAATGCAAGCGCATTCAGATGGTTCCCCAGCAAGCTGTGCGAATACGATATATTCAAGCATTTGAGGGCGCGGAAGTAGTCTGCCTTGCCATCGAGCTCATCAACGAAACTTTCGTCGCGCATTGCACCACGCAGCTCTTTTATTGAATTGATGCTCTGGATGGTTGCGTCGTAGAGGACGACTCGCTCACGTAACCTGGCAAGCTTTCGTGCTCGTGGCTCATCTTTCTCGGGATACTCGGTACCGTCTTTGCGTGACCGCTTTGGTTTCCTCTGACGCTTTGTCTCGAATGTCATACCATCGTTCTCGCCAATGAGTATACGATTTCGGCCGATACGCCATGACACAAGATCGTAGTTAACCGAGAGACTTGTCACCCGCAGATTCTGCATGCGGGCGTCGCCTTCATCAACACGCTCCTTCTCAAGTTCATCGGTTGCCCTCTTAGTAGCATCCGCAGCGTCTTGAGAAGCAATGAGCACATCGTCGTATGCTGCAGCCTTGTCTCGTGCCGACGCGGTTGGATTCGAGGTCAAGTGCGAGCGGAGGCGGGCTTCTGCCGTAGACACATTCGCCAAAGCCTGACCAATTGATGCATCCACGATGTTGGCTTTGCGACCTCTCCAAGTAACGCTGTTTGGGATTGCTTGCGGCGATGCCTGCTCTTCACTTTCTGTTTTGGGCGCTGGTTGGTCCTTGAGTGCGTATGGATCAATCTTCTCGACCGCACTGACGAGTTCAGAGTCGTCCTTGGGAAAGTATCGCTTGGCGACGGTCGGAATTGCAATGGTCCGGGAAAGGTGTGCTTGGTATGCAGCATAACGTATCGTTGGATCCACGGTATTGGCCAGTATCTCCCTGTACACCTCGTTCTTGTCCTTCTCCAACAGCGCTGCATATATCACTCTTGCTTCCGAGTAATACTTCAAGCAGGCTTGCCATCTTCCCTCACTGGCCTGCTCGTCTGCAGATCGCTTGCCCTCTGACTGCTTCTCAAACTGCTCCTGCCCAGCCAGTGCCGCTTGATACGCTCTGGCTTCTAGCACATCCTGATCGCTAGCTTTGGACACAGTCTTGTCCCGCAACAAATCCACGAGCTCGCGCGCCGTCTTGGCGGCTTTGTTTAATCTCGAGATGATGTGGGTGCGCGTGGATCCCGTGATGCCCTTGGAGTCCTCGGAGTGCGTGGTCTTGATTTGCATGGCGTGGGCATAAGCACGCTCGGCAGTGAGAAGCAGTAGGTGAACAAACTCATGATTGCGGCCGATGTCTTCTGCGGTCACCGCCTTCTTGGTAAACTTCTCTCGCTTGTTCGTTGCTCGTCCCAATCGCTTGCGGGTTGCGAGGAGTTGCCGCGACAGGGAGGCACGGTAGGAGTTGTAGTCGCCGATGAGGAGCGCTTCACGCTTCGTGGCGACGAATTGAGTGATGTCCATGATCTGGAAGGTTGATATGTTGTATCGTTTAAGCCCAGCAGTGAAACTCGAAATGAGGTTGTGATGTGGGGCTCCAGATTAAGGGTGCCTAAGGCACCAATCCAAATTTCGACTCCACCTCCAGATCTTTAAGGTAGTTTCCGGCACGCAATAACCTCAACATATCCATATCAGTTCGGAAGCTCGCATGCGAAGAGAGTCTGGTCGTGATCGCGAAATCCTTGCCTGATACTTATGCTGTATATTGCAACATGGCGAAAGACTTACTCCCCCGAGACCTGATTGAAGCAGCATTAGATCAGATCGATCTCTTGCGCGCGATGTACCCTGCGGAAGAAGAGCTGATGATTGAAGACCACGTGGATAAGATATTGTCCAACGTTCGACATTGGTGCGAGGATGAGTCCGCGAAAAGGCCGATTGTACCCAGTAAACTCTCCCTTACCTTGATCTTGCGGGTAGCGGAGGAATCAGAGAAGCCTCAGAACATCTCCCTCGGCATTGATGCACAGTTCACTGAAGAACCAGCGTTTAGAGTAAGGGTGCGTCAACCGGACTGGCTCACCAAGGCAGAGGCCTCTCAGCTGGCGGCGGGAATGCCACAAGACGATGTCCTGTCCGCCATTGAACATGTTCGAGAGCAAGCCAATATCCACCTGGAGTCTTCTGCGCGCTCAATCGACTTGGAAATCAACGATACAGATCAACCGCTAGTCCGAGTATGGTTCTACTTCCCATCTATCAGCACAAGAGAAAAGCGAGACGATATCGTCAAGTATGCGCCTGGCTACGGGTTGACTGGCTTCCTTCTTGCGGGAAAGCCGGGCATACTGTGTCTTGAAGGAAAGCCTCGGGCCATTGATGAATACATGACTTTCATCAAGACAGAGTCTTGGGGCGACATTCCGCCCCAGCACAAGAAAGTCTCAGAGAGACACCGAGAGACCGGTGCTGAGATGGAAAGAATGTTTTCAGACATGCGGGAGATCACGAATCAACTGGAGAAGCGGGGCGAGAGATCCAATCGAAGCGACATGAAGGCCTTGGAAGCCTGGCTAGGCGAGAAGGGGTTGGGGGAGTCATTCTCAATAGTCCTCATGTGAAGCTTCTCGCAGCTTACGGACCAAACACAGACTGATGAGACTCAAACCTACCATTTCCATCCGAAATATCTAAGGGCCTACTCATCGCCTCACTCGATACTTCGTGGCGTGCCTGTGACAGCCACTGGGCGGAAGTCTGGCACGATGTGGGCCTCCATGTATAAGCATGGCTTTGTCTTCTCTTTCCACGACTACGGGTCGAGGTATGCCGCCGGATGCTCTGACAAGCTGTCATCTTTGCCCGCAAATCCGACGTACTTGCACTCTCGCGGGTCTAATTGAGTGGAGTGAGGCAACATCCGAGGCAACATCCACAGTTCAAGACTCCAGATGTCTCTCAAGGCCCCCTCGAACGAAGCCTTCGCCTAATTAAATACAGCATCGTCGCATGAAGATTGGCCTGTGCCACAGTCCTATGTCTGGTCGGTGTCTCAGTACGCTGATAGAGAAGTGGCATCCTGCACAACATCCCCCGTCCTTTGTTCAGTGATCTTCTCTATCCTGCTCAGCACGGAACAATTGAAAAACGACTTACCGGTATAACCGAGCAGGCCGTACGGAAAATCGACAAGAACCATTTCATTGGGCACAACTTGCAGGACTATTCCTCACCATCATCCTTCTTCTCCTCTTTGCCCTGCCCCATAACCGCACCCCCAAGCCCAGACCCCAAATTATACCCAGTCTTCCCAAGACCAGCAACAGTCTGGTACCCCTGAGACATCGTCCCCGTCAGCAATAAGACCAATGTCCCCCAAAAAGTTGCAAAACTCACCGCATTCCCAACCGTATCCCCGACATCTTTCACAGCACCTCCGACCGTTCCAAGCGTACCGGTAGCCACATTACTAGCATATCCCACCGCCTGTCCCGCGTAACCGTGCGCGCTCTGCGGTAGGTAGCCCTTCGCAACCCCGTCCACGCTCTCTGCTGTGCTGCTGACATAGGCACTTCCCTTCTCGTGTACAGCATCACCTGTATCGCGGACGTAGTCTGCTGACGATTGCTGGTATTGGCCCGCCGTATCCCGTGCCGACTCGGCGTACGACATGGCCTTATCCTGATGTGAGGCAGCCGTATCTTGTGCACTTTTAATAGTCGACTGGGCATACTCCGTGGCTTGTTCCTGATACGATCCCGCTTGCTTCTTCGCGGTATCCGCGGTAGACTGTGTCTGGTTCGCGGTCTCTGCTGTCATGTCCCGTGCTGTCTTCGATGCTTGGTCTCCCGTTTGCTGGCCCTTCTTGTCCGTACCTTTGGCGGCGCCTTCACTCTTCTGGGCCGTTCCCTTTCCCTTTTCCTTCCCCTTTTCACCGGCTCCCTGAGCCTGCCCAGCAGCAGCGCCATCTTGAGCTTGCGGATCCGCTGGCTTCGGTCCACCGCCCGGAAAGATCTCAAACTTCACAGCCGCGTTGTCGAGAAGATTCATATTCCAACCGGACATCTTGACAAGCGATGTATTCAGACCAAAAGTTCAAAACACGTCGAGAGCCTGTCCACAGTGAATACTGAAGACGCAGAAGAGGTAGAACTGACTAGCAATATCCCTCGATACAGGCACGACATGTCAACCTGCTCGCAGCAAGTCAGCAGCCACGCCAGCATGACGGCAAGCCACACGACCTGAAACACCAGTACCGAACTCTATCGCAGAGGTTACAAGGATCACAACAGCCCAAGCTGTGAAGTGGGCAAATGAGAGCTGCAGTCGAACCGGAGGAACTGAACGTGCGTCATCTCAGGGTCCCAAGTGAAGTCGAAAACTTGGAACGGGTAGACTGCAGGCAAAGTGCCTGGCGCATCAATATCGATCCGTATGGCAGGAGAATAGCTTACGCCTTCTTCCTTCTCTTACCACCACCACCACCACCACCTCCGCTCTCGCCCCCTTCATTCCAACCCTTCCTCTTCTTGCCCTCTCTCTTCCAGAATTCGTCTCGCTCCTTCTTTTCCCGCTCCTTCCTCTTCTCCTCATTCTCCGCAACCTTCGCCCGATGCGGCTGCCTCCTCTCCTCCTGTTTCTGCCGCCTCTTCTCCACCTTTTCATTCCGCAGAGTCATGACTTGCTGCATCAGCCTCCTGGCGACCTTCTCCTCGCCTCCCAAGACCACGGCACGCTTCTGCACGTACGTCTGCTTCTTTTGCGGCTTCATCTGTGTGATCTGAGACTTGTAGGGCAAATCGGCCTGCAGCTTGCGTGGAACGCGGAGTGGATTGAAGTGGCGCTCTTGTCGCTCGATAGGCCGGTATGCGCTGTTCTTCTCTTTCGGCGTCGGGATACTTTGAGCTGCACGAACTTGTCCAGTCAAGCGCATGCCTTCCCAAGAGTCTGGCTCGCCGCCTTCCAAAAGGTTGGTGACGGGGTTGTAGAAGCGGCGTGGCCGAACCGGGTACCACGCTCGAAGGAAAATGATGTCGCTCATGAGCACTTTGTCCTCAAAGGTAGCACGGAAGCAGCCTTCAGGTTTCGAAAGAGCCTTCTTGATCTGACCTCGGACACCGGAAACCGTCTTTATTCCTGCGCCTTCAAACTTTGCGATTTCAAGCGCAGATCCGAACATGTCTTTGATGAAGGCTGTGTTCTTGAAGATCTTGTATGGATGTCCGGTCAGCTTGAGCTTCTTGACAATTTCCGTACCCTCATCCACATTCAAAACAACTCCTGTCGCCGCGATTCGAAACCCGGGATTCTTGTTCGAGAAACTCTGCACGCAGCAGAAACCAGTATTGGGAGCTACGAGAGGTCCGTAGAAAGTACCCATACAGTGCATATGCTCCGGCGTGTACTTGAGCATCCTGTGCCGTACTCGCTCGGCGTGGATGCTGTAGATTGGCGTGCTTTGAAAACGCCGCCAGCCAAGAGAGAAAATGAGGGGGTCATTCGTCTTCAGGATCTTCTTGTGCCATCGATGTCGCTTGATGCGGACCTGAACAAAGCCCATCCTCTCTTCTGTTGGCTGCAATCCACCAATGAGCAGTGGAAACCGGGCGTTGAAGTTCTCAATGAACTCGTACGGTATCGATGGGATGATGAGTCGGGCGTATGTCCCAGCTCTATGACCTTCAGCGCGCACTCTAGAAGCTTCGTCGAGGTCCTCAAACTCCTTTCGATTGATGTCTTGCTGCTTTTGCAGTAGCGCCTTTTGAGCGTCATACCATTCGTCTTCACCGTAGTCTTGTTCTTCGGCCTGACCGTTCGCCTCGCGATTTGCGTTCTTAGGGTTCAAAAATCCCTCGCGGTCTTCTTCCTCGAAGCGCATCTTGAGTTCCTCCTTCTTTCGCGCATTCTTCTCACGCTCGTCTTGTAATGACTGCTCGGCTCCTGCATTGGCCTCACCCGCCTCGAGATCCTCGAATTCCCCATCGCCTTCATCGTCATCGTCGCCGACTCCCTCAAACTCCTCGTCTTCGTTTTCCCCAAGTCCCTCAGCATTGGCTCCGGAGAGTCGTGTGGATGCGAATCGTTCCCGCAGTGCCTCGACGTTATCTTCGTCTGTCCACTTCTCCTCGAGTTCTTGGTAATCGTATCTGGGTATCATGTGGTATTCATCCTCGTCAGATACAGGTTTTCTTTTCTGGAAGAACTCATCCTCGTCTTCTTCGCCGCCATCTTCATCCTCGTCATCGTCGTCTTCGGCGCGCCATTTCTTGATGACTTCCGCAGTGGACAGCATGTCGTCGTACATCATCCTTGCGAGCTCAGTGATGCGATATGGCTGCCGACGGCCATGCAATGCTCGCGCGCGTTCAGCCAAATTGCTTTTCCATCGAGATGCTCCCTCGTCTTCATCTCCCTCCTCGTCCGAATCTTCGCCGTCTTCAAGCTCCTGGTCAGATACGGAGGAAAGAGAGCCAAGCTCGCTGTCTGAGTCTGCGTACACGACATCGCCAACTACCTCTTTATCCTTGTCTTTTTTAGATCGAGCGTGCTTCTCAGAAGCCTGCTGCAAGGCTTCAAGATCGGCCTCATCATCAGTGTCCCCACTGGCAAACCCTTCATCTTCAAGCTCCTCGTCCTCATCCTCTTCACGGTCTGCCGTCTTTGCATTCCTCGCACTTTTTCTACCGGTGTCTTGCACATCGTCCTCATCCTCATCCTCATCTTCAAGCTGCTTCAAGCGTTCGCCACGATCGAAGAGAGCAATCCCTTGGTCGTCCTCGCCAAGTAGCCGTCGCTCGCCTTGAAGTCCAACCACCATCTGCTCACCCAGTCCCCGCTCTTCATTGTCCTCTTCGGCATTGAAAGTGTTGCTCTTGACATCGATATAGACTGCATCTTTATCCACGAGCACGCCGCCAACATCGCTCATGGGCGCGTATATGACCTTTTGCTTCTCGCCCAATCTCTTCCGCCTCTTGGTCCCTTCTGCTTTCTCTTGAGCTTGTTGAAAGTAAGGTGTCGGACATGGATCTGGTAACGATTCGATTCTGTCGACTTTGAGATCGCCAACGCCAGGAACGTGAACACTCGCATTGTGAGCTGGAAAGTTGGTACCGCGCAAATACCCATACAGCGCGACTGTGCGATCGCATTTAGGATCCTCTTCGACTGCCGTGGGCGGAGTGATGTCCAGCATGCGGTCTGCAAGTGCGTAAGGATGTGAATTACGCCAAACCAAGGGTCGTGGATTCTTCATGACACTGAGAAAACGCGACAAATTGAGGACCTCTCGATCTGGATATCTGCCGTTGATGACACCAGAGAGGTAGAATAGCTTCGCGCCTTGGTACAGCTCGGACCAGAAACGATGCTTCAGTCTTTTCTTTTGCGCCTTGAGAGTGTCCTGCTTCCGGAAGAGATCGAGATGCGTCAAGATTCCGAAGACGTTACCTGGCATACCCGTGCTGCTCAACACGGATAGAAATTCCATGGTCTCCATCTCGAAGCCATAGTTGCCGTCAATCATGAGCAGCACGATATCCACCACTTTGGCAAGATCGATCGCGGATGCTAGACTGTCACTCGGACATTCCATAAAAGTCAGACGTCTCCTCTTGCTCGTGACAACGGTGATCGGTCCTGTGGGCTGAGAGATCGTCTGCTTGGAATACCGCCGCACCAAGCTCTTGATCAAGGTCGTTTTCCCAACTCCGGGCGGCCCCAATACACCCACAACCAGCGGTGGCGCTTCTTCTGGCAGTCGGTCCACCAGCGGAACGTGTAGTCGCTTCTCCTTGACATCGTGGCTTCGCGCTGCCTGTTTCGCCAATCGTCCGGGAGCAGCGTATGCGAAGGCCTTGGGATTAGGCTGACCCGAATCCCGCTTCTTCTTCTCTTTCGAGGGCCGATGCGCCCTGTGTACCTGCTCTTCACCCGCCATGCTCCGCTACAACAGCCAGAGAGAAGCTCGAAGGCGAGATGGGAAAGCGCCAAGATTTCGCGCCTGCTCCCAAGAAAAGATTCGAGAAAGCCGAAAGCTTGGACCAGCGGCTCGGATCTTATCTGCGGCGACCGGAGATCGGAGCTCGGGTAGTGACGGTCCACTGGCTCGCGTGCTGCTCCTCCTCCCCAACGTCATCGGTCACGAACTGGAGTTCAGAAAGTCGCAGCCTGCTTCGCACACGAGATATCTCACCTCATCTTTCCTCCGATTCCTTCCCATCTCATACTCGGTCCCTTACAACAAACTCTCACAAAATTCTCCGCAGATTCACAAGCACACAAACTTTCAAGATGCCGAACGTTATCAACGTGAGCCACCACGATCATTCCTTCGAAACTTTGTGCTCATGACTTGCAGGTCTCTCTGAAGGACAAGAACGGCGATGCCGGCCAGCTCGAGGAGTACGACATCACAGTCCACTATCTGTATGGCCCGATAGCTAACAGAAACACCAGAGCAAAGAAGCAAGTGACAGAGCAAGGCGGCAAAGTCACTACTGAGTTTAAGCTGATCAAGGGCTTCACGTAAGATGAAACACCATGATCTGAACTTCGTGCGACGAATCGACTGATCAGAGGTAGTGCCGAATTCCCTGACGACAAGGTACACAGCCTGTCGTCGAACGAACACATCAACGTCGAAGCCGACGGCAAGGTTACCACGCAGTAGTAATCGACATGGCTTTCTATTTGCCGCAAAACATGCTTGATGAGATACGCCGATAGATGAACAATTGAATGACATGCAGTATCAACTTCTGTCATGCCAAAAATCCGTGGTCCCACCACTCCTCAGACGTTGATCTTCTGGATGCTGGGCGGGGAGGGCAGACTGGAACTTAAGCACGGCAAGTAAGTTCAGCGCGCAACTCATCTCATACGGTACTTAAGGATGTCTTCCTCCCGCTCTATGGACCCTGAGGTACAGCATCTCGCATCAAATTCTCCATCTCTATTGGTACATGAGCATAAAGCAATATCCATTACCGTGGGCAGGTATCAATCAAGCAACAATGCATGGAGATCCAAATTTCCACCGCAAAGTAATAGCAAAAGCAAAGCAAAACAGAATATCCCTCCGTCAAATCCGATCCATCGATAGTGGTGTGCAGTCATGGCGGGCGTTAAATCCAAAAGGCCGTAGTAATACAAATGTTTCCGTTGGTGATAGTGTATGTTGTATGTCTTAAGCAGGTACATGAATGTTATTCGCGGAAGATGGTTGAGAAATGGCGTTGGGGTGGGCATGAAACGCCGTCGTGGTCGAGGAAATGCAAGATGATGGGCCGCGGGGCGATATTAATGCTGTTGCTGTTGTTGCTCGTTACCAGGTTCGGGTTCGCCAGGAGGTCTAGGCGAAGGGTCTTCACGGTGTCGAAGGACGGCGGTTCGTGCAGGGCTGTCTTCAGGTCCACCGCGAACTCTGCCATAAGGTGATTCGTATTCGGCTCCCGTGCGGGCGAGGGGAGTTTCTTCTAGCTCCGATTTAGTTGATCGAGCGCGTCGACGTTTGCCTGAAGAGGAGCTGGACTGACTGGCACTCTTTGGTTCGCGAATGTTGGGTGTCAACATTGCGGCAATGGGCATGCTCGTGGATGCTGGTTGCGAGGGTCTTGGTTCTTGTGTAGTGGTCGGGAGTGACGGAGCTGGAGATGGTGCGATGATGGGGGCTGGCGTCTGAGTGGAAGGTCGAGATGGTGCGATCATGGACATAGGCGCAGAAACAGCTACCGGCACAGATCCAACATCCCCAGCGCTGGCAGCGGCAGCGGCGAGCTCTGCTTTGGCCTGCGCCTCTGCTTTTGTAGGACGTCCGCGCTTTCTTTTCGAGGGTGGTTCGGTTGGTGATGGTTGCGAGTACGAGATGCCGCTGGCATGTGGCTTTGGTCGGATTTCACGGCCCGTCGCGGCACCAGCTGAGTATGAACCGCCTTCATATTGGTATGGTCGCTTGAGGGTGACGGGCGGCAGTGACAAGGGAGTCGGTGTGAGCGAGCCGGGGACCATGGGCGTTGTCATCGGTTGCAGGGATAGTGATCTCTGCATTTCAAGGAAAGCGTATCGGCAGGAATTTAGCGAGCGACCTAAACGCACTCAGCTTAAGGTATTGTTGAAACGTATTTTCGAAACTTGGCGTGTGTTTGCACTCTGTTACAGAGGTGTCTTGTCGCGAAGCAGTGGCACTCACCAGGCGGCAGAGGTATATCTTCCCATCGAGGCTGGATGGTGTTGTCGCGGAGAAGGTTGAAGAGCATCGAAGGAGGCGGATTGGCGGCCTTGATGATTTCGGCGAGCAGGTAGTTCTGTTGATCCACGTCAGAGGCTGCGGTGACACAGGGGATCGACGTGAGCCAGAGATACTCCAGAGATACTGTACATGCCTTTTCGTGATTTGACCATGGCTGTTCAGGAGGTGTCGCCATGCCGAGGGAGGGACGGGCGAGAGGGAAAGACGTAGCGGAGTCATAGAAGACATGCGTCGAAGTGGTACAGTATTTCAAGCATTGACAGCAAGCGCGGAGTGGTCGTCGGGGCGGTATGTTGGAATGCGAGGCAAGAAATGGAGCAATGAGCGAGCGTGGCGGCGATATGGGCGCCTGTGTACGTGGAAGGAACGAGCGAAGGAGTGTATGGATAGGCGCGCTGAAAGATTACAATGAGAGATGCATGGCCACCAGAGCACTGAAACAGCACCAGAAGAGGGAGGAAACGCAGGCCTGCAACGCGAAGCAGAACAGTTTTGCTCGAGGTGCTGGGGAGATGAAACCTGGATTGGGGATCTTGCAGCATGCAGGAGACGACTAGCTACATGCAAGCCTTTTGAAGCGTGCATTAATGCCTGTGGCCAGCGCTGTCCGTTGTCCGAGAGGATGCACTGCATGCCGGCAGACGGCGATGGCGATGGAGGATGCGCATGAGGAGGATGAGAGAGATTCGAATGGATGGTGGTGGATGTGGGAGTGCGCGATGCTGCGGCCGGCTCGTCTTGGCTGGGGACGGCACGACGGCAGGATGTGTGCGTGATGATGAGGACGTATTATTATTCTTACTGATGAGGATACAGTTCCCGTTCGGCTCGTCTGGGCGGTGTAGGGCGGGTGTTGTAGTTCCATTGTGTGCTGATGAGGTTCGTGAGATTCTGAAACGCTGCCGTCGGCGTCCAATAAGCGGCGGATGTCGCAATGGCCGGACGTCCGTGCCTGCGACAGCCCGTCACACGTCTGCTTCCCGAGCAGTCGGGACAACCGTAAGAGACTGAGAGTCGTCCCTACAGCAGTCAACATCCGCCAGGCCACTCATCATCACCTACAACAACAACATTATTATTATTATCATTATTATTATTATTATTATCACCATCCACCCCCATGCCGAGGCGTCCCCGCATGACTGCCGTCGCCCCATCGCGCGCCCGCGGCCACACATTCTCGCGCGATGCCTACGCCAGCCGCCCATCCCAACAACGCAGGGCTTCTGTACGTCTGCTGTCGCAGACTCCGCTCTCCCTTACCGCCCGGGCTCACTCCGTCCTGTGGCATGCCTGTGCGTCTTCGGCGTGTCGCCGCCAGAACCATGACCATGCCGGCCCAAGTGCGAATGCTAAAAAAGATGGTTTGCGCACTGCCAAAGCTTCATGCCCCTAAGGTATGCATGTCCGGCGATTCGGCATTCTGACATCTATTCCTGCATCGCGTGACGTGTCAACTGCCGCGGACTGCCATCGACATTGATATTGTTGACAGGCGCGGCGCAGCCGCAGACTCCAAAATCGATGTATCTCCTGGAGTGAAGGCGCCGCGGGTCCGAGAACAACAAGAAGACGACATGGCCAGCTGTCTCCACTCGTGGCCTCACTCCGCCATCTCAGACCTCCGAGTGCCGAAGGAGCCATACTGTTGCGAAGGAGATGCTCGATCGCCATGCTGAGGGAGCGTCAAATCCGTCGGAAAGTTCTGCTGTCATGAATCTGAGCACCATGCCCCAGGCATTCGACGAACCTCACGCGACAACGACCTCCTCCAGGGCCATGCGGTCCGGCGAGAGAGCGTCTTCTGGCTGCAAACATTGCTCGAGTGCGATTTGCTTGCTGTGAGAACGGACTGCGACCGTTTGCATTGCTGCAGAACGCAAGACAGGTAGGCATCGAGAGAGTGAATCTGGGAAGGCACTGCGGTTTGGAACAAGCGGCGGACCTTCCCGCGGCTTGCCTGGAAGCATCTATCCCATCCATCTTTCCTACATCCTCCACCACACTGCGCTGTCAGCGCTCAATACCACCCTCTTTCGAAACTCATTCCTCATCTTTACTCCCACGAGTCCAGCGTACACGCGCTGCATGAACGAGCAGCGCGCGTTGCAAGAGGGTACGAGTTCGGTCCTAAACGTCACGAATTGGTGTAGCTGTACTCATTCACATAGAACAGTAATTAGCACATGTCAAGTGATCGCACGAATACATTCACTCCTTCCGCCGAGCCCCTTTGCCGAAGCGGCACCATACCAATCTACGTCTTCTGAGCAGCGGTTCTGTCGCAGTCGAAGCCGGCGCCACGCATGCGAGGACGTCTTTTCCCATCCACCGCCTGTCGACCGCTCGCCTGGACGAGGCGCATCCTCCTGCTGTGCTGCTGTGCTGGCTGAAGGTGTTGAGGGGGCTGGCATGTGCGCAGATTCGTCGTGAGCTGAGTTCCGCCCCTGACGCTGTCACGCCCTTCCGCCGCGCTGCGCTCCACGTGCCCGCTCCACCCACGCACCACCATTCCCCGACACCATGCCAGAAGGCAAACATGAGCCACCGGAGACAGAGGTGCGAGACATGCAACTGAAAGAGGAAGACACGGATTTGGACATGGACAATATCGCTCCCGTCGGTGCGGCCAGGAGGGAGGCATCAACTCCTGGCACCGGCATGGTCAGCGCTTCAGGCACACCAAGAGCCGCCAAGCGGCAGTCACGGTCACCGGTCAAGCGACAGACGGATGCGGACTCGCCTGCTGTCAAGTCAGATCAGGAGGAGATTATTGGCGGCGATGTCACCCTCGAGCTGGAGCCTGGCAAACCTCCGAAGCTGGCGCGCTCGACTTCGCACAAGGTCGAAAAGCGCCCTCCACAGCTATTCTTCGACCACGAGGACAAGACGACTGAAGCATCTGCATCATTTGACGTCCTCCCGGAATGCACATATGCCAACAAGTTTCTGGGCACCACCGAGAGCGCGCTTGAGTGCGATTGCGCTGAGGAGTGGGGTAAGTCTTGTCTGATATTCTACACAGGCTGCGCTGCCTCCTTGTCTGTGTCGGTCTAACATTGTCAATAGACCCAGCTACCCTTCAGAATCATGCCTGTGGCGAAGAGTCTGACTGCATCAACCGCGCCACCAAGATGGAGTGCATTGGGGACTGCGGATGCGGAGTCGCCTGTCAAAACCAGCGCTTCCAGCGGAAACAGTACGCCGATGTGACGGTCATCAGAACAGAGAAGAAAGGCTACGGACTACGCGCAAACACCGATCTCAGACCTAACGATTTTATTTTCGAGTATATCGGCGAAGTCATTGGCGAAAATGTCTTCCGGCGGCGCATGCAGCAGTACGACGAGGAAGGCATCAAGCACTTCTACTTCATGTCCCTCACCAAAGGCGAATTCGTGGACGCGACGAAGAGAGGCAACCTTGGTCGGTTCTGCAATCACTCATGTAACCCGAATTGCTATGTCGACAAGTGGGTGATTGGCGACAAGCTCCGCATGGGCATTTTTGCCGAGCGCAGAATCCGGGCCGGAGAGGAGCTCGTCTTCAACTACAATGTCGATCGATACGGGGCAGAGCCGCAACCATGCTACTGCGGCGAGCCCAATTGCACCGGCTACATCGGTGGCAAGACCCAGACCGACCGTGGCACCAAACTATCGCATACCGTCATCGAAGCGCTTGGTATCGATGATGCCGACGCATGGGACACCGCCGTCGCAAAGCGCCCTCGCAAGAAGAAGCTGGGCGAAGATGACGAGGAGTACGTCAACAACGTCGAGCCTAGAGGTCTCGACGAAGAAGGCGTAAACAAGGTCATGTCTTCGCTTATGCAGTGCAAGGAGAAGTGGATCGCCGTCAAATTGCTCACTCGTATACAGCGCGCGGATGATGAGAAGGTGCGAAATCGTGTGGTTCGATTCCACGGATACCGCATCCTCAAGACTGCGCTTTCCAACTTCAGCGACGATGTCAATGTCTGCTTGCAGGTTCTGGACATTCTCGATAAGATGCCACGTCTTACTCGCAACAAAATCCAGGATTCGAAGATCGAGGAAGCTGTTGCTCCCCTCACAACCCACGAAGATGACAGGGTCTCATCGCAAGCACAAGCACTTATCGACGCCTGGTCAAAGTTGGAGGTTGCCTATCGGATACCGCGAGTCAAGCGAGATCCCAATGCCGTCGTGCCAGACCGAAAAGCAGATCGCTTTGATCGCCGAGATGGCGATAGGCGGCGGAGCAGATCAAGATCACGGTCTAAGTCTCCAGAGAAGGTCCAGGCGCCGAGTGGTCCGCGTAGTAATGCACCGCAGCGAGCACCCGGCTTCCGCTCTGGTCCTCGCTTCCGCCCACCGCCTCCTGGAGGAGCTTTACCGCCAGGCTGGTTCGAGGCAACTGCCGCGAACGGGTCCACATACTACTACAACCAGCAAGGTACTACCACGTGGCAGCGACCTCCAGCATCGGCCGCTCCCGTGCCTCCCCCTCCGCCGCCACCGAAAGCTGTATCTGATCAGCAGATGCTCAACGACCTCATCAAGAATATCGTCGCGAGCAAGAAAGAGCCAGCCAAGCAGCCACCGGCGGCCGCTACACCAGTGGAAGCGCCAAAAACAGAGCGCAAGGAGGACAAGTGGCGGTCATTGCCAATCGAAAAGCAGAAGAAGCTGTACGAGGGCACACTCCAGCCTCACATCATGCATGTCGTTGGAAAGTACAAGAGTAAGCTGGCCAAGGATGACCTCAAGCGATGGGCCAGGGAATTTGCCAAGCAGGTGGTCGAATCAGACTTCAAGAAGAATCGCGTCGAGAATCCAAACAAGATCAACGACAAGAAGGCAAAGGAAGTGAAGAAGCACGCACAGACTTTCTTTGAAAAAGCTGTCAAGAAACTCGACAAGAAGAAGTCGGAAAAGAAGTCAACGCAGGATGAAGGAAGCACAACGCCACTGGGCTCACCGCCTGCGGTGGATGACAATGCAGCACCTGCTTTATCTGATCACGACATGGACGCCGAAGACGAAGACGAAGACGCGACGCCTGGTGGATCAGCCAACAGCCCGTCTACTCTCAAGCGCAAGCACGCGCACGCCGAGCTTGCCAACCTGACCGCCGAAGAACTCATTGCAAAGAAGCAGCGTCTTGAAGCCGAGGAGGCTGCTCCGCCGCCGCCTCCGCCGCCTCCACCTCCCCCGGCCGGTGACGAGACCGACGGCGCAGACAATGATCTTGGATTCGCCATCAAGGGTGCTGCTTCTCAGAGTCGCCCAGTGTCACAGAATGGCGAGCCGAGGCAGATTGCGACGCCGCCTACGACGGGCTCGCCAGATCACGACGAAGCGGAGAAGGCCGTGAAGCGAGCCAATTTCGCAGGCATGAACCCGGACCGAATGAGGCAGCTCGGTCTGATGGATGGTGCGAGCGGCTAATGCATCTGACTATACCCTCAACTTCTGACTTTCTGCTTGTTTGTATTGGCATTGGGCTGGGTGTTCTGTTTCGAGACATGCGAGTGGTGGCATCGAAGATAGCAGCCTTCCCGAGTGCGATCAGGCGATATCTTACTACTGGAAGGTATCCGTGTAATGCTGTACAATAGTTCTTTCAGGCGGGATGGGGAGATTCCCCAATGGTAGTTTCTTGGACGAGATCTGGAAAATTGTGGCTGCTGCTACTTTGCTCGCTTCTTCCTCGAGTAGTCAGTCACCCGTTTTTCGTTCTCTGAACCACAGTGTAAAACACCTCTGTAGTAGCAGTGAATCGTAGCAAAAATCGCCCATGACTTCGAACCCGGCCTTGCCAACAATCCTTACTCAAATAACCCCCTCCCGCCTTCCTTCCCCCGAGACCCCTCCGCATTCCAACAACTCCACCCCTTCACTCTCCACCCTTCGCGGCCCTCCCCGCTCACCCAACCCCCGGCCGCGGCCACGACGGCACTCCGGTCCTCGTGCGGAACACGGATCCACACTTCCTGGCCCGCGAGTCGGAGAATGTCAAAGGGGATCGCCGTCCCGTGGAGGCCGAGGAAGGCAGCAAGCGCGGATGTGAGGTGCAGGTGCGCCGTGACGGGATCTAGAGGTTGTTGCGGTTGGGTGGGGAGCGATAAAGGGAGCTGGAGGTGTTGGAGGTGGATGTAGGTCCAGGGAGGGGAGCGGAGGGAGAGGTGGAAGTTTGGAGTCCTCTGGTCGGGGTCGGGTTTGGGGTTGGATTTCTTTTTGCGTTTTTTGCGGGTTTGAGTGGAGGTGGTGGTGGTGGTGGTGTTGGGAGATTTTGTCGTGGTGGCGGTGATAGTTGCTAGAGTGGTTTGTTTTGCATCTGGGAGGATCTCTGGGTCTGTCATTGCAGTGCGAAGGGGTTTGTTGTTGGAGAACGTAGAGTTGAGAGTGAGGTTCGTCGAAGTATTTAGAAATAAGTGCACGGGCCACATGAACGTGGCTAAGCCCGAAAAGGTAACTCGATCAAAATGTATGAGTAGTTTGCTACGAAGAAGTCCGCGTTGGAGGCGTCAAACCACGCTCGGTCGCATCGATAGAGCATTTCGGTCGACTTGTAGAGCTATGTCAAATGCACTCGAAGAATGACCACCACCTTGCTGGGTCCACACAAATATCAGGAGTCCTCCGCGTCCTGACTCGTCGTCTTGTTCATCCAAAGTCATAGAGTCTCGTAAACCTCGTAATATCCGTCGACACATTTCATGACCCAAACATCTCGCCGCCGGTCCACCTCCAGTTACGAGTCGTCTGGCTGCACTTTTGAACAATCTTTCAGAGCTCCGCCCAGCGTTGATCAAGCGGCCAAGGACTTTCGACTCGATCCCCAATGCTCTTTTCGCGGCGGAAGCTGATTTGCGTGCCGAAAGATCTGGCGAAACGAGAGGCGCCGGCCAGTTATAGCAGCAGACTAGCTGAAGTGTCCGTCCAGATAACCCTTCCCGTGCGATGTGATGGCATGGGTTTAATAACTGAGCACTTTTGCGTTGCGACCTGCCGCTTCCAGGCAAGTCGGTTCTCGGTCCGTTCATCGCCAGTAGATCAAGACAGAGTTGTACTCGGAAAGCTCCTCGAGTCTTTCCTTCCTCGCCTGTCGGCCGTTCCTGATCTCGTAAGCTGCAATGACAGCCCGCTCCAGGTCGCCGAACGTCATGCCTTGGGGATAATATCTTCGGAAGTAAATCGTCACTTGACTTCCTACGGGGATCACACAAGTGGTACTGGGAGGCTGTGAGACGAGCATCTTGTCCCAGTAGGGTCTGGGCTCAGCCCCCGAATCCTCCCACAGCTTGACCAGATCGATTCGCGCGGCGATGGTACTGTCTCGATATCCGTTTCTTTGCTGATAGAACCACGATGGGGCCAGAGGGTTGACATGACGCTCGCATCCCGCGTCCGGCTCGAGATAGAGCTTCTGGCGCAGTGCTTTGGAATAGGCGACAGTTCCGAGGAATTTCTTGCTCACGCGACGACATGTCACCACGTCGGCGGGTGACAGGTGCTCCAGAATCTCCTCGACCAGCTCTCCAACTCCGAAGACACGAGCAGCGGCGGAAGGAGGTAGTTGCATCAAGGGCAACCACTTTGCATCCATACTATTGACATAGTATTGGCATAATACGGTATTGAGTGTAGACCAGAGGACGGGTCGCGATGTAGATCGTTGGCACGTGCAGTGGGCTCGGCGCGCGATAGGACTCGAGCTTTGAAATCTCACCTCCAATTTCCGATGCACGGAGGACGACTGTCTCTCTAGTCGACTCCTCACGTGCTGCTCACCTCCCACACTAGCCGACCATTCCTGCACGTCTCATCGTCCTCGACCAGCAAATCGTCGCCGCCATGTGCCTCGCCAGGCCTTCGTACGAACCCGCCCTGCGTCACACCCCGAGATGGGCCTGCAGCCGACTCCGTGGTGAAGTGAAGTGAAGTGAAGTGAAGAATAGCGTGGGTGAATGATGCTCGATCCTCTTGTCTAGCAATTCCTCCTCCTCTTCCCTATCTACGCGGGCGAGAAAAGATCACTCCAGCCAAGATGCTCGCCTCGGTCGCCCTGGCTGCCCTTGCCGCCTCGTATGCTGGCGCATACTCTTTGAACTGCAGTGGATCCGGATACACCAACTACACCACTGTCCCCGGCTACTTCCTCCAAGATGACCCTAGCACGAACGCTACCACATTCAACTACACCTTGAACAACTTCGGTCTCATCAATCGCACCTACCCGGCGACCAAGGACTTGCCATACGCCGGCCACCTCACGCAATGGCAGAAATTCGCAATTCAAGTAGAAGCGCTGAACAGGCAGGCACCAAGCAATACCGTCTACAAGGTGCTGTTTATGGGCAGACACGGAGAGGGATATCACAACGCCGCTGAATCCTTCTACGGCACTCCAGTAAGAGCAAGGCAATGCGTGTATATGGATATGTCTGACAATCTTCATAGGCCTGGAACTGCTACTGGGCTGAATTGACCGGAAACAGCACAACTACCTGGGAGGATGCCAAGCTGACATCGAATGGGATCTTGCAAGCACGGGTTCGTAGTCTCGAGGAATTCAAGAGCCTTGGAAATCTGCTGACCTAGGTTTCTATTTCCGACACAGATCGCTCACAACTTCTGGAAACACGAGATGGAGACGCAGAAGATCCCCGTGCCGCAGTCCTACTACACGTCTCCTCTCTCCCGTTGCCTGGACACCGCCAACATCACCTACGCCGGCCTGAATCTCCCAAGACGACACCCATTCATCCCCACTGTCAAGGAGTTCCTCAGAGAAGGTATCTCGCTCCACACCTGCGACCGCCGCGGCAACAAGACCTACATCCACCACACCTACCCAAGCTTCAAGTTCGAGAAAGGGTTCAATGAGTATGACGAGCTCTGGAACGGCGTTACCGCTGAGTCGGACAGCTCACATCAGAAGCGTGAGCTCGAGCTTCTGGACGATGTGTTCAGCAGTGATGACAACACTTGGATATCCTTCACCTCTCACTCCGGCACTATCGCCACTATTTTGCAAGTCCTTGGCCACCGCAATTTCAGCTTGGCCACTGGTAGCATCATTCCAGTACTTGTCGAGGCCAAATTCCTGCCCGCTTCGGACGCTCCAGCAACGACTGTTCTACCTTTCACGACGAGCACGTGGTGCCATAACGGTCCTCCAGTTACTAGCAACGCCTCTCTTTCGCAGGGCTGCGTGTGCTCCGCGACTACTGGACCACTCCCCAGCTTGAGCACCCAAGCTCCCTACGTTTCGGGGCAGACGGCTCCGATCAACGAGTTCACCACTACCACTACCGTCGCTGCAGCTGCTTCGCCTAGTGGCAGCGGCTATCAGTATCTCTAGTAACCTAAAGACCTATCAATTGAAGATACACGATAGACCATAGCAACCTCAAATACTCGGGATGATCAATCGTCCTAAAACCTTCTGCACCCCCTCCACCAGACCCCCTCGTTCAACCCCCCTTTCCTTCACTGTAACCTTATAGATATAGTTCTTCCCCGTCAATAACCAGATCCCCTCTCCCTTCCCATTCCCTCTTGTCACAGGCTCCAAATTAAAAATCCAATCATCAGGCGCATTAATCTTACCCAAGAGTTGTCCCGTTTTCGGATTCAGGACATCGACTCCACCGGCTACAGCCACGAGCAGATAGCCTCGATGCGTAACGCGTAAACCATCGGGCCACCCGGATTCAATCTGATGGATCATTCGAGGGTTTTCGAGAAGACCAAGTCGGGTGAGGGAGAAGGCGAAAACGGCCCTCTGGTCCGCGAGCTGGAACGTCGTGGAGGAGGAATCCGCCACGTAGAGCGTCCTCTCGTCGCGACTGAGCGCGAGACCATTCGGTTTCCCGATGACGGAGTTGGAGAGCGCGACGAGATTCTTCGTCTTCAGGTCGAATCGATAGATGGCATTGGGGAGTTCGGGGGCTTGGACGCCCGGCCAGGACTGGTCGGATCCGTAGGTGGGGTCGGTGAAGTAGAGGTGTGATGCGGAGGAGGAGAAGATGAGATCGTTGGGGGAGTTGAGATGTCGACCGCGATAGTTGTTGAGGAGCGGGGTGGTTTGGCCGGAAGTGGTGTTGAGGGAGAAGATACCGCGGACGGGACCGCCGTTTGTGGCGATGTAGACGAGGCCGTTTGGATGGGGGGTTGCGCCGTTGATGTTCTGGAGGGGCGGGTGGAGGGTGATGTTGCGGATCTAGAGAGAAGGACGAGACGAGACGAGGTGAGAAGAAGTTGACTGGTGGGATTGGGGTTCGTGGAGGATATGTTGTCGACGTACCTTGTGCGTATCGATGTTGAGTGCGAAGAGCACGCCGGCGAGGGAGGTATCGGAGTAGAGCAATTCGTTCGTCTCCGGAAGGTATACGGGTGCTTCGTGGACGTTCTGTGCATTGCTTGGGAAGGCTTGGATGCGTTCCAGCTTCGCTTCAGGACCGATGATGTCGAGGAAGGAAGAGTCGAAAGCGATGAAGTCGGACTTCTTGACTTGGGACAGAGCGTTCGCTACGCATGGTTCGTCTGGAACAATGTCGTAGAGGGGAGATGCTGAGTCCAGTGTCAATGACTTTGCTCGCACCGAGGGAAGCACGGGTCTACTACGCACTCAAATCACCGCTCTCCCAATTGCCCGGGATGACGGCGAGATTTTGATTCACCGCGACGGCATTGACGTTCGAATGTGAAGCGGGTAACGAGCCAATGACGGCATCGTGGGCCTGGAGGCAAGTGGTGGCAGGTTCTACGTTCGGCGCAAATGAAGGAGAGAAGAAGCTTGAGAAGAGATCCATCGCCGTCCGACAGCGTCTTTCCCATAGACTCATCAAGGTTTCAACAGAAGTCGCGAGGTGATGTGTTGCTTTTCGATACCCGATCAAACACCGGGATCGGATGCAGTGCGGGTGAGGTCGTGGTGGGGTTTCGGTGCGGAGCTCCCACTCGTCCAGCAACGAGTCACTCTTCGAGTGGCACAGCAGGAGTAGAGCATCTGGTATTGGCGTTGTGCACCTGTTGTAGAGCTTGACAATTGGGTTCTTTTCGGAAAACGTCGTGCTTGTGAGAGCGTGAAACCAGTACAGACCTTACGATCTTCCGGCCTTCAACATGACAGTCTATCACATTGGTAAAGCCAGCCGATGTCCCAGACTTTGCATGCAAGACCTCTGATGATACAATGCAGTCCTGTTCAAACTCAAGCCGAACACTCCAGCCGAGAAGATATCCGAGATGAAAGCTGCTGGATCCGCCATGGTTGGACAAGTTCCCGGTACTACCCACACGCCCAGTTGCTTCCGCGCTCGATTAACCCGTCATGGACCAGGTCTGCAGCGAATTGATTTCGGGTCTCCAGTATTGCCAGCAAGAGCGCAGGGCTTTGATCTCGGCCTGGTGGCAATATTGGAGAAGGCCGAGGACATCAAAGTCTATGCCGAGCATCCAGCTCACTTGAAGTGAGTGTCGGACTCCTGTGGAAGGTTCGATGCAATGCTGATGCTCATGCAGAGTGCATGCTCTGCGCGAGGCCATCTGTGAGGACACGCTGGCGTACGATCTGGAGTTCTGAGAGGCGGTGAAGGTGAATGTGCTTCAACTCTGTGACCGCACTTGCTTGCATGCTTTTCAAGCAGCTTTGCTGAAGATGCGCGCATTCTTACTGGAGGAGAAGATTTACCTCTTGGTCTGCAGGGCTGGTAGTGTCGAGGCGAAAGTAGAGTCTCGTAGAACTGCAGCATTTCTCCATCCAGAGAGCACCTGCAACTTGCACGTGGCCGAAGCCTTAATCAGCGGATTTGTGAGGAGGAAGCGGCTCCCCTCCATGCTGCAAGAGTGAGTCACAAGGATCCTTGGCCGTCGCCGTCGGACGATTCTTGTTTGCGATCTTGCACATCGTTTTGTGGTCACTGAAAACCCACCAAGACAGCAAGCAAAGCGAGATGGCAGATCCAGAGAAGGTCCCTGTTGCCCCGGCAGTCCAGTTCAAGGGAAGCTGCGCATGCGAGAGGATCACCTACCACTGCACTGATACGCCCAAGGCGGATGAAACAGGCATCTGCCATTGCGTGACGTGCAGGAAGCTCTCTGGAGGACCATATCAAGCGTTCACCGGCGTCAGCGCGAAGTCGGTCACCCTTTTCGATCAGAAGGAACAATTGCGCTACGCAGGATTTCCAAAAGACGACATTGGCGGCATCATGTACCTGCGCTTCTCGCAGATTGGCGAGAGATCATTTTGCGTCTCATGCTATTCGCCATTGGCTATGCGGTACAAGCACCGTCCAGACGTTGTGGACCTCACGCTCTCGTCCATCGATGAGGACAGCATTGTGGGAGAGGATGGCAAGAGGTCGTTGAGAGTGAGCTTTCACATCTTCACGAGTCAGAAAGTATCGTGGATCGACATTGAGAAGGACGGTGTGCCTGAGGGTCGAAGGCACGAGCGGTTCTCCAAGACTTTTGAGGAGAAGCTGAGCGCTTGGGAGTCTAAGCAGCAGTAGCGGATGGTCGGAGAGCTTGCTCGGGTTGGATTCAAGTATTTCGTTCGGTCTCGAGCAGGATATGTGTGTGTGTATGGATGTGTCGAGACGGAATGGACAGGCATGTGATTCCGGGTAGTCCGCGTCGGATGCCTTGGCAACCATCGGTACCGAGTCGAGCGCAGGCAACGATTATTATACCTTTTGCCTGGCAATGCCTGCCGAGGATGTATGCACAGGTATGTGTGTATGCACAGTGTATGCACAGTGTATGCACAGTGTATGCAATGTGTTCTGGCTGGGAGACCCGCGGCAGAGTGGAGAGCCGCTACGGGGTAATCCACGATCCGTCCCCACTGCACGACCCGTGCGTCTTCACATGTCACCCACCACCACACGACCACACATAACATACACCAACAATCAATCACATCGCATTCTCTCCGGTGGCGTCTTGCTGCCGTGCGTCGTCCACTTGACAGTCGCCCCACCCTGCGTCCCGTGCGGAACTCTCCCCAGCCAGCCACAAGCCGACGGACGAAGGCTGCGTCCAACAAGAACAACGCCGCATCGCTTCATCTTCTTATCCATGCCATATCAGGCCCTGTAGGGAACACACTGCCGCACGCTGACCTTACTTGATGGCCAGCGTTCTCTCCAAACAACAATGGCCACCATAGCACCAGCTTTCCATCACGCCGTTGTAGACTTCCGATATCCAGGGTCCGGCTGTGCCTTGAGAAAGAAATCATTCTGCCGATCAGAGCGCCAACGAGCACTCGACTTGCACATCAGGGGCTGCATGCGAGCCACCAATGCGCCTGCAAAGCTTAAAAGTCTCAGGAGTCCGCCACGAACTTCCCTGCATCGCTCGACTTTCGCTGCACCGGACGTCGCGAACCTCACCTCTGTCTGCCTGCGGCGTTCCGCGTGCCAGCTGTGCGGTCTCTCATGTGTGCCGAGACTTTCAGTCGTGCCCGTTGCCTTCCTCTGCACGTTTCACGCCTAGATCTGGCTTTCGTTGGGGCTTTCTCTTGCTCCTGTCCGACCAACCGCGGCATCTCTTGCTCGCTTGCCATTGCCATGAAGCCTTGGGAGCGACTTTCAGGGGACTTCACCGTTTGTGGCAGTCTGGCTTCGCAGAATCTAGAGCATCACGGTCCCCAGGGCGGAAGTGACAGACGCCCCAGGATCGTACCGTTGTGGTGTTTGAAGTCCTCGACCAGGGTTCGTGGTCTCCAGCACTGATATATAGGTAGTGAGGCGCCCTCTCAAAGCGAACCACCTCCGGTAGCCGTGTAAGTCGCCCGCAGTCAGGAACTCAGCGTTTCTACAAGCTCTATTTCACCGCCTGCATTGGCTTCCGTTGGCGGGACCGAACGTCTATTCTTACTCTAAGCTCCCACAGTGAGCTACTTCATTAACCTGCATACCGCCTGTCAAGGTCTGCGCGCCTGTCTCCTCCACAGATCCTCGCTCCTCCCCGTGTCACCATGGCGTCCACGAAAGCCGATCCGCTCGACCAAAGAATAGCAGAACAGATTGAAGATGTCGAGATCATTCCTGGAACTGAGGTGATGAAAGATGTGGGCGATGTGCACTTTGCACATGCTGGCGGCGCCAACAGCTCAGTGTACGATTCCACTTGGATCGTGCATGCAGTATTGATCTCTTACTGACATTTCGCAGCTTGGTTCCCCAGCCTTCCAACAATCCCTCCGATCCTCTGAACTGGAGCCTGCCATGGAAGCTCATCACTGCCGTTTCTCAACTCCTCTACGTTTGGGTCTTGGTGTGCTCTGCGCTCTCTCTCGCGCCGCTCTTCCCACTGCTCGGGAAAGAATTTCACTTGAACCAGCAACAGCTTTCGCTGCTCACCGGACTCAATGTCATTACACTGGGCTTCGCGAACGTCCTGATCGTTCCAGTCTCGAACATCTTTGGACGTCGACCAACCGCCATCTTCTGTGGTTCGCTGGTTATTCTCACCAACATCTGGCAAGCCTTAGCGAGCTCTCACCACAGCTTGCTGGCAGCTCGTGCTTGCAATGGAATTGTGGCTGCGACTAGTGAGACGATTATGGTGCAGACGATTGCCGACATGGTCAGGATGCTCTCTCCGCAAAAGGGCACCAAAAAGCATTGCTAATCCCTTTCTAGTTCTTCCTGCACGAGCGAGCAACCTGGATGGCCGCCTACTTCACCATGTACTTCTCCGGCGCTTTCCTCGGCCCCATCATGGCAGGCAGCATCGGTGCCGCTCATGGCTGGCGAAGCTTCTTCTGGCTCTCCACCGCCATGGCTGGGTTTGTCACCATCCTGCTAATCTTCGCGTACCCCGAGACCAAGTACCACCGCAGCAGCCACACAGGAGCCGCGGGCACCGAGGCAGTGGGCAAGAATCCGTCCGATGTGCAAGAGAAGGTTGTCGAATCCGAGGCCAACAGCTACAGCGATGCCATTGAGGGATCATTCGTCAACAAGGGCCGTCCCAGCAAGGCTCAGTTCGCCCTCGCGATGAAGCCGGATAGCCGATGGATGAGCTTCGTGATCCGCGACATCACCACTCCCATCCTGGTCCTCTTCAACCCCATCGTCTTCTGGTCTGCGCTCATGCTTGCCGGTCCTGCGGATCTGCTTCTGCTCTTCAACTTGACCGAATCGGGACTCTTGGGCTCTCCTGCCTACGGCTGGGACCCTCAGCAGGTCGGATACTCCAACTTTGCCTTCTTCATTGGAGGCGTCTTTGGTGTCGTGACTGCTGGTCCTCTTTCCGACTGGTGGGCTCGTCGCGCTACGATCAAGAACAACGGGATTCGTGAGGTAAGAAATTCCCCCCCCAAACCTACACCTCGATGATGGACAGGCGCACGCTGACACAAAAACTTCTCACAGGCCGAAATGCGTCTCCCCGCCCTGATCCCCTTCTGCTGCTTCTTCCTCATCGCCCACGTCGTCGGCGCCGTCGGCTACCAGCGCCTCTGGCCCTGGCAGGCGATCCTCGTCTGCGGCTACGGCTTCTCCGGCCTCGCCGTGACGTCCATTCCGTCCATCTCCATCGCGTACGCCATCGACTGCTACAAGCCCATCTCCGGCGAGATCATGGTCGTCGGCACCGTGCTCAAGAACGTCCTGGGCTTCTGTCTCAGCTATTGGGTCTTCGATATCATGGCGCGGGATGGCTGGGTCACGGTGTATATGATTCAGTTTGCGGTGGGTATGTTGCCCGTGGTGCTGACGGTGCCGTTGTACTTTTATGGCAAGAGTCTGAGGAGGTGGACGAAGAATTCGAGTCTGCATCGGATGGAGGCTATGATTTAGAGGGGGCCGAGTCCTTCCTTGGCTTCATGATTTTTGATTGACTTTTGCGAGATACCATGGGAATACGAAAGTTCTGAAACCATCGTTTCTCACCATACGTCCGACCGGCATCACTAGTACGCCCGGCAGATCTGATTAGCTAATAAACTTGCAATTAAGATACACTTATAGGTAGAGAAGGAATAGGTCTTAAATAGCGATAGGCTATATCTAAAAGTCTCGAAGAGGTGAAGACAAAATTTTCTCTACTAAATCTTAGAAGGCGACCTCGCTGTCGCTAGAAGTAGAGGCCTACTCCGGGCGCGTACGTAGCGCCGGACCACGCGGGCCGGGCTATACCCGGGGCTGCTTCCCTAAGGTATTCAGCGACCGGATATGGCTTCCCCACACTCGGACGACGCCCGGAATCGCTCGGGGACGTACCAGTGATGCCGGTCGGACCTATGGTGAAAAACGATACACTGGACAGCGCCAGCTTTTACGAGGGGGATAAAAAAAAAGTGGTTTGTTTAGATGAGAAAGAAGTAACGAACAGGAACGATCGCTGCAACGTCACTTTCCTCCCGCAGGTTCCGTCTCCCCTACCAGCAGAATACAAGTATCCTCCAGCCCGGCTACCTTCTCCTTATTCAGTTCTTTATACACGTCCGTCGAGAGCATGTATGCATAGTGCCAAACGCTATCATACTGGACCAGATTCGCATCATCCCAAGCATTTCCAACATCGCGAACCGGGCCCATGAATTTCACGCTAGCTCCGGCCGCGTCGCCGAAAGTGTTCTTGAAACCTTGCATGTAGGAATCGTGGGTTGATCGATCGTCATTTTTGTATTTGAAGAGATTGAAGAAGCAGGCTGGTCTATCGCGGTGGTCCTGGGGAAGGGCGTTGGAGAGGAATTCGGCCATGGGGTTGTCGAGACGGAGCTCGCCGACAGAGAGAGGGGTGGATCTGGTTTCCACGAGTTCTTCTTGGGGGATGTGGGATTGAGGAGAGGTCCAGTGTGTTGGGAGAGGTGGTGTTTTCTGAGACGGGGCGGGGGTGGTGGTGATTTGTTGTTTGAGAGTTTCGAATTGCTCGGGGGGGATCGTGACTGGGATGGTGATGTGAGTTTCTATTGCAGCTTGGAATGGATCCATGGATATGTTGGATTCTGTGAGGAGGAAGAGGTCCCATTTCGATCCTAGTAGTTCGTTCGTGTGGAGGGAGCGTGGTTTGTGGACCCAGCCGTAGGGGATGCCTTTGATGAGTGCTGAGGAGGGTTTCAGTTTGCGGATGAAATCTTTGGGGTTTGGTGCTGAGGTCAGCTTGATCAGGTGGACGGTGCAGTTGGCCATGATGATTTCGGGCGGATGCTGTGGTTGTTTGAGACTATGAGCTCCCTACTGTGCTACCAATGGTGAGGTCAACTTCTGTTGCGCGTGTCTCCGCACAAGACTGTGAAAGACCTCGGCAGTGCGTGCCATGGGAGCTTTTCTTCGAAGTGAGCTCTCGATGCGCCTTACTGTCGATTCTGTGATTGATATGATGGTATTATAGTAAGGATGTCTTCCATGTCATTGTCGATTGGAAGGAGTGGGCTGGAGTGGAGAGGTAGGAAAAGAAGGCGAACCCCTGCCATAAGGTAGAATCGCGCTTTCCCGTTTGGAGAATCCACCGGTACTTTCCTCTTTCTAACCCACCCACACTCTTCCACACACACACACACACACACACACACACACACACACACACACACACACACACACATATATATATATATATATGTGTATATCTCCCTCTCTCTTTCTCATTCCAAGCACAGAGCCACTTCTCTGCATGAGCACCCGAGATCGTGCGGTTGGCAGTTGGCGGTATCTTCTCATATACACATTCTCCGCCTGCAGTACTTGTACCCGTGAGATGCTTCTCCTGTAGCGTCCAGGCTGGTACAAATCCGGCAGCCGAAATTAGGACGTTTCCGTGAATGGCACACATCCAGGTCGGATACGAGATGTGTCCAGCCATAGCGTCGGGATATGCTGGCTGTCAGCACACTATCGAGCGTTCTTGCGCGCAGCCCTACGCGACTCGACTGCACCGCATGCCTAGCACACCCGCGGCCTAGCACACCCGTGGCCTGGCACACCCGTCGGTGAGTTATGTCCACCATCTTCCGTCATTCCAGAGGCCACTGCACCTCCTCTCGTTTTCCGCCTTTCTTCCCTCTGGACAACTGCAAGACATGGACGCGCGCTCCATCGCCGAGAGCCAAAAGGGCTTGAGAACTGCGGCGAGCAGCATCCGAATGGATCGGCTGGACCAGAAAAGGAGAGAAACAGCATTCACCAAGGAGCTTACAATAGGCGAGGCCTCGAGGGATATCAGTGATGGCAGCACGCGACCTGGCCACCATAGGAACTATGGCGCCGCAGTATTCGATCTGATCGTAGCCGCATTACCGCTCTATTTCGTGGCCTTTGCCTTCCTTGCCTACGCGCAAAATGGGACTCGGGTCGACCTACCGCTCAATCAGGTGCTCCTGAAAATGGCAAGCTTCGTACGTCGTCCCTCGATGCCATGCGTGGACAAGACGGAGAGCAACAACTGACAACTTGCTCAAAGAACCCTACAGCCTTTCCAATCGTCTTCACACTCCTTTCTGCCAAGTTCATCAAATCTGTTGCCAATTGGAAGCTTGAACGAAGTACTTCCGTTGGCACGATTCAATCTTTGTGAGCCACTTGATATCCACAAGCAATCCTCTGAGATACGCTTGCTTACCGTCTATGTCTTGCAGACTCGGAAGCAGATCGCTAGCAACATCCATCATTACTCCTGTACGACTCCATCTCTCCACCAGCATCCGCCAGACTTGGAGCTAATCGAAAGCAGTTCAAGATCGGCGTCTTTAATTTCGCAGTCTTGATTGGCATTGCGTTTTGGCTTTTGGATCCGGTTGGAGGCCAGGCATCCTTGAGACTTGCCACCAGGGATTCGAATTCCACGACCTTGGACGCGAACTTTGACTATCTCGACATCAACACGTCTCCATTCGGACTTCTCGATGCGCCGAGCCGACTCGCCTCCATCAATGGAGCATTCAATGCCGCTCTGCTTAGCCCGGCTTCGAGCAAGAACGGCTCTCAGGATCTGTATGGCAATTTGCAGGTACCGCTGCTCGAGGTGTTGAAGGATTCGCAGAAAGCTGACTCCAATGGCTGGTATCGAATCGCTGAGCTGGTAAATGCAAGTGAGTCCAGCACGAGCACTACGGCGTTGGACCAGTTTCTGGGCCTCGATAACGATGCAGATCCATCTGCGGACGTGACAGCATCTGCATATGCGTCTCTTGTTGGAATGCCTTTCCTACAGGAGTCGAGCTCTGACGGCGTACCATCAACTGCCTCTGCCGTCAATATTGAGACGCAGTTCAGTATGGAATCTTCTTACTTTTATGCAGACTGCTCTGTGGAGCAATCCGGGAGCACCGAAGACAGCAATGATTTCGCGAGCAGCATCGACACAGGTAGGGGAGTTGTCTCCAACGGTCGGCAATTCTCCATGTCTTACGATCAAAACCACACCACGAACAGCACACAGCCACGGGCAGTGGTTTTCACTTCCTGGAATGGCCACAGCTCTGGATCAAACGGTGATATCACGACGGCAACATGCCAGTTGACTACCACTTACATCGAAGCAAACGTCTACTGCGCGACCAACTCCAGTTGCAGCATCCTAGCGATGCGTGCCTCTCTGCTCGACCACCCTAAACCATCTCTGACCCAGCTCGACGGGATTGCTCCAACCTGGAACGCGACATCGAATCATACGCAATCAGAGCGGCATGCCATACCTGAGCTTTTCTTCTCAGGCCTTATCAACGCAACTGGAAACGAGACCGACGAAACGGGCGGTCTTTCACCCATCGAATGCTATTTCCTCCACCCGGAAGACCCGTACAGCTGCGATGGTAACGGGCAGTACACGCTCTACAGCATCCGCAACGACCTCTTCTCCTATCGCGCCACGCAGCTCCTGAATACTTACTGGCTAGCGAACATCGCTCCTTTCTCTGTCACCGGAAACTTCAAACCCAACAACACTCGCGAATCCGGCGTGAGTCGCGCAGTGCAAGGCCAAGTCCGCGTCGAAACAACTGTGCTCCGCTGCCATACTCACTGGATGATCCTGCTTGTCGCCATCTCAATCGTCCTGTTCCTTGCCGGCATGGCAACGGCGTATCTTGACGCTACGCGCAAGATTCCAGATGTGTTGGATTACTTTGCGAACTCGCTACAGTATAATCCGTATGTGCATGTTGAGCGAGTGTCAAGTATGGAAGAGGGAGCGGAGAGGGCAAGGCGGTTGAAAGATTTGAGGATACAGATGGGAGATGTAAGACCTGACGATCCTGCGGGATATATCGCGATAGGGACCCCAGGGTATAAACAGCCCATCAGGATGGTGTCAGCTGAGAGGAGGTATCGATAGTCTTTGGTTTATGTTTCATGAGGTTTATGACAAGCGTTGTGCATTTGACAGCCATCATGGGCTACGTGTTTTGCTCGCAGTTTCGATCTGTCGGTGTGGACAACGACAAACAACGACAATGAGAGTTGCTACGATTATCGGGAGTGACAGGAGCTGCCGCTTCCACTTTCTCCCTGCTCATTAATCTTTCATATCTACATGTAGCGCCTGACATGTGAAAAAGAGGTTCGTGTTGAAGGGATGGTCCAGGCGGCGTCCGTGCACAGACAGGGGTAGGCTGAGGTGGGGTGCTCCTCTGTCACTGTTTGTCTTCTCAACTGGAAACTTTCTTCCAGACACCACTCCACCACCAGACAACTTTTGTGTGTGACCCCCATCCATCACCCACAAACGAGCTCTTCTTCTTCGCACCGCACTCCAGGAGAACATTCACAAAAGGTAAATTCATTCCCGAACCGCAGCCATGGCAGACGAGGACAAGAAGGTCGCAGTGGGCGAGGAGAGCAAGACTGCCGGCGAGAAGGCATCCGAGACTGCTTCTGCCGTGAAGGAGAACGTCTTCAGTATGTTCGGCGGAGGTCCTAAGAAGGAGAGCAAGCAAGAGGAGGACGAGGACAACGACCGTTCGGGCAGCGCGAAAGCCCAGAAGGATAAGGAGGCAGCTGAGAAGGGCGACGATGACGAGAAGGCGGAGGAGGAGGAAGCCGACGTGCACTTCGAGCCTGTCGTGCACCTCACGGAGAAGGTTGACACTAAGACCAACGAGGAGGCCGAGGAGCAGACTTTCAAGATGCGCGCAAAGCTCTTCAAGTTCGACCGTGATAGCAGGGAGTGGAAGGAGAGAGGTACGGGCGATGTTCGACTGCTCAAGCACAAGGAGAACGGCAAGACGAGACTGGTCATGCGGCGGGACAAGACTTTGAAGGTCTGCGCGAACCACTACGGTATGTTGCAGAGGTCGCGTGACATTGGAAACTGTGATACTGACGAAGAACAGTCGTTCCGGACATGAAGCTCTCTCCAAACGTCGGCAGTGACCGCAGCTGGGTGTGGAACGCCGCTGCTGATGTCTCTGAGGGAGAGCCAGAGGCCCAGACACTCGCCATCCGCTTCGCCAACGCCGAGAGTAAGTCAAACCTAACCACCCTGAATCAAGTGCTTGCTGACAGGCTGTAGACGCCAACCTCTTCAAGGAAGCATTCATCAAGGCCCAGCAGGAGAATGAGAAGTTCTTCGGCGGCGAGAAGGCTGAGTAAAAGCTCCACCACTGGCCTCGATGATTTCCACTACTGCCCGATGAGACGTTACGTGGAACCAAACTCCGCGAGCTCGAAGATGTAGCCTTGGAGAAGGACGTTTCGTCGAGGGCAGGAAAGGATACTGAAGGAGTTCGATGAAGAAGATCAACATATCCCAACACAGCATTTCTGGGCGTTCCGTTTCTGCAACACCACCACCACGTATTCCCACCCACTTGCACAATACCCACCAGCATGACACTGTATGAGACGAGCGTGCTGTGTGACGGCACGAAGCCGCCGTGATCGATGACTGTCCACGAGACAGATAGCTTTTAGATAGACCCAAAAAGACGACGAAATCACAAGCCATTCACACATGTCATTGTTCCAGCAACTCCAAGAGGGGCACGTGAAAGAGGATGGTGGCTTGGAATGTGCAGCCAATGACTGTGGGTGGGGTGATAATAATGTCCCAGCATATGATATGATAGAGTTGAAGTGTGCCGGGAGCGGCGGTTCTTGTCCCCCGCCTGCAGTCCAGTCCAACGTCGGCCCTTCCCAGGCTAGCTGCTTCCCACACGCTTTCCCACGCCGGCAACGCGACATCTGATCGTGTCTAGGACAGACACCACCACCTGCACGCACCCGACGCCTGCATCGTTCCGCCCTCTGACGTCTCGCGACGCGGTTTGCTGCCTGAAATCCGCACACTTCGACGCTCACAAAAGACGACAGCGCTTGCGACAATTGAAGCCGGCTCGTGACAGCAGCACCAAGAGGACTATTTCTACTGATATCCACCACCAGCACAATGCCTGACGTGAGTCAACTTTCAGTTACCACCCTCACTCCTTAAGCGACGGCAGCTACTTCGGCTTCGCGCACACTCGATTTCATTCAATCGATTCAACTTGCAGCAACTTCCAACACCCAACACCACCAAAACTACTACCCCCACCCCAATTTCAACACTCGACACTCAAACAGCTTCAATGCCTCCAAGACGCGGACAGGCAACTGATGCCCAGCAGGTCAAGCGGACCGTGAAGCTCGTCACCCAGCAACATGTCATGTAAGGCGCCTGCAAGCACACCCAATATAAGCGGCAACTGACATACACCCACAGCGAGGACCCGCCGGAAGTCGAGGGTTTCCCCATGCGCTCATGGGAGATCTCCATCTACCTCGTAGGCCAGGACGGCGAGGAGCTCCCGGCGAATTGCTTCGAGAAGGCAACATACCAGCTCCACGAGTCTTTTGGCAAGCGCCAGAAGCAGAGTACGTGATAGCAGAAAGAGCATGTGAGATGGATGAGAGGAGCAATTGGCTAATTCGGAGCGATACAGTCATCAAGCAGCCGCCGTTCACGATCAAAGAGAAGGGATGGGGAGAGTTCGACATGCAGATCACCCTCACACCGGTGGGCAACCCGAAGGGAGGCGATCAGGTCGTTGGACACGATCTCAACTTCCAGCAAGAGAGATACGAGAGCACGCACACGGTGGTATGTATACCTGACAGAGGGCCCATTTGCATCCGCAACATGCTGACCTCTTACAGGCCTTCCGCAACCCTAAGCCAGAACTGCTGGAACGGCTCCGGGAGTCTGGACCCGCCGGCGAAGCTGTCAATGGCGCTGCTGGCGGCAAGCCTGAGAAGAAGCGCCAGAAGGGCAACAAGAACGTGGATATGGAGAAGCTCGCCGAGGCGCTGCCCCAGCTGCCCGAGGACGACTTGCTCCAGGTTGTGCAGATGGTCCACGACAACAAGTCGGACGAGACATACACTAAGAATGACGTTGAGAGTGAGTCTCCAGAGCCGCGTGCGATGGAAGTGACCATTTGCTAACATGTCACAGATGGCGAGTTCCACGTCGACCTCTACACACTCCCAGACCAACTTATCAAGATGCTGTGGGACTTCACTGAGAAGCGCGTCGACATGAGTGTTATCTCCTAGCACGACAACACCGGAAGACTCGACGGCACGGCAAAGTGGCGGCCCTCCTGGAGCAGCCGGATGCAGTCGATCCAGGAAAACCGGCTACCATCAAACTTTCTGCTCGGACTCACGAACAGAGACGTTGAGAGGGTAGAAGATTCAGCGTGGACAGGGCACGAAAATTTGAGTGATGCTTCATAACCGATACCAGCACAGTACTACTACCACTACTACTGATATTATGGGGTTTGTTTGTCTGCTGCGATGGGGGTTTGCTTACGAAGGGGTGCGAGAGACAATGGGCAGCTGCGGGAGCGAGGCGTTCTGGCGTGCATGCGAGCGAAAGCTGGGCAGGCTGGATGGATGGCTACGATCAGGGCAAACCACGGTTGCATTTTGGAGTTTTAATCTTGCTTTGCCCACCCTAAAAGGAATCGTCCTTGCCCTCCTCCGATCCTTTCCCATCTCTGCAGTCTTCTCTTTCGATCTTCGGAATCCAGGTCTTGGCTTCCAAGCTGTGGGGCGCTATCGGAGCTCTCCCATCATCATGCAAGGTATATAAACCTCGATGTTTTGCTCCGCCTTTCGATAGCCTATCAAAACCATTGCAAGCTTCAGCTTTGCATCTCGCCGGGTATGCTCTCTTCTCCCGCTGTCAGGAAAAAGGAGTCCATTTGCTGATTCTCCCATTTATTAGAATGGCGCAGTGGTAGTAGGTTTCCCCCATCTCCCATCATAATAACACAACCCTTTCGGCGAGACTAATATCTGTCTGTCTGTTGTGTCTAGACGCGTCGCACTTGTAATGCGAAGATCCCTAGTTCAATTCTGGGTTTCGGCATAACTTTTTCCTCTTCTCTCTCTTTTCTTTCCCTACCTTTATTTTTTCTTCTTGTTCTCTTGGTGTTGTTAAAATGATGGGGAAAAAGATTTGGTTTGGTCTGTGGTTTCGTGGTTTGAGATAGATGGTGTTGAGTACGATATGATCGAAACATCATGGACCCTCGAATGCCGGGTCTGACTTGGGAGAATCGCAGCTAAAACCAGGGCGATAGCCAGTCGGCTGGCATCAGATCATCAGCGGTAGCAGCTGTCGGGATAACATTTCGCTGTGGAAACACGTTGTAGCAGCCGGCACTGCCTCTCAGATACACGGGTGCCCTCGAGATGCCATGCAGAGTTCTGTGCCGCTCCACGACACGACAGAGGCTTCTGACCACGCCGCACTGCCTGGCCTGGTCCGAGGACGAGCATGGAAACTGCTAAGAAAGAGACATGATAGGCCAGCTCACCTCCCGAATGGCCAGGACCGATGCTACGGCCACATATCCCGCGATGACATGTTCCCTTATTGGCATTTGGAGAAGCCAAAAGGCCACATACATATTTTTTGCTTCGAGGCCCGCCGCAGAGCAGCGTCCGGTCGGCGGATCTGATCCAGGTGATCCGTGAGCTGGTGCTGTACTAGTCGGACAACTCGGTTCGCATAGGGGGAACGTTCAAGTGCGAAAGACCCGCCAAAACCCATCTACTACTCCCGAAAAGAGCTTGTCGAATACCGCGGCAGACCCCACGTCGATTCGCGTTCATAGCAGTATATCGGATTCGTGCTGAACTTCCTGTACACCCTCCATGGGTGAAGCGATCGAGCAGGCCGAGGAATTCTTAGCCGCTGGATCTGTCAAGTTCCACCATCTCTGTCTGGATGGTGTTTAAACGGGGCAGTCTCATCTATGAGAACGAAACGGAGCATTTGTATCTTTTGGAGGTAGGAGATTACACCGTCACTCTGTGCGGCGAGGTCTCTAAGCTCTGGAATGCCACTCCACTGTAATGGGAGGAAGCTCGGGAAGGCGAAACGCATTGCGCCTATGCGCGCATTCGACAGTCCGCGAGATTGTCACTACGCTAGCAGCCTTGCCTCGGGCTCTACGACCTGTTGCACAGCCTTTGAGGTAGACATTGCCGGGCAGAGCTCGCTGGTCGCTTCAGGTGAGAGGCATATATGCTGTACAGCATCCTACTAAGCGCCGAGTCCTGCTCGATGCGAAGACGTTCCTTCGCCGTATCTTTCCTAGCGACGAGACAACAGGGGCTTGGTCATCTACGAGGTGTGCAAGTGCCAGTGTACTGTTTGCCGCAACAAGATTGATGAGACGCCTGACGACTACGACAACGACGTTCGAGAGATCACCAGGGCCGACACGCTGCTATGTTCGCCGACCGTGCTCGGCTTCGCACTGTCTTGACACGAGTAGGTACAAATGAAGATCAAGGACCCCTCAGAAACCGAGTGGTGCTCCGAAGCAATCAGGAGGCTAGTACTGGACGCAAAGCAAAAGCGAGTGCTGTCGAGTGCGATCAGCTCACCAGTCTTCACAGAAGGCGTCCAGGGCAATGGAATCGGATGGAAGGGCACAGGTTTGGGTAATGTTTCTGCACGACGCTCCTAAAAAATGGCAAGAAATTCACCCTAAAATCGGTATGTGAATCACTGACACGACTATTGTACGTCGTCAGTGGCGGCGAACTCGGTGTCACACCAGAGCAGGTCGAAAAGAAGCTCGAGGACATCCTTGAGCTCTCCAAGCTCGGTAAGGCGGTGATTCTGATCGACGAGGCTGATGTCTTCCTTGAAGAGCGGAGCGCACACGACATCGTTGGGAACAACTTGGTCTCTGGGAAGTCGCTATCTGGGTAAAGCGAGTATCCGACAGTATGGTCAGCTAACAAAATTCCTCCTCTGTAGTCTTCCTACGCCCGTCTCGAATACTTCGAAGGCATCCTCATGCTGGCCACCAACCGTCGAGCAATCCCACGAAGCCTTCATCAGCAGAATCCATCTCGCCTTGATCCAACCAGACTTGAATCATGGATGCGCAAAGCAATCTGGATCAATGCACTTAAACGTTTATCCGAAGATCGGATCGCCGTCGACCCGGAGTAGAACCTCGACGATATCGCCAACTTCCCAAGGTGCCGCTCGAGGGGCTTATCATCTCTCTTGCTGTCTGGACTGCGAAGGCTATGGCACATGAGCATGGTATGAAACTAACCATCGATCACATCTGGGATGTGGTAAGCGTTCATCAGAAGTTCAGTACCCGTCTGGGCCACAAGAGACGCGTGGTTGGGGGGTCGGATTGATATTATCGGCGGCATTCATTGATACGAGATGGATCTGTGCGGCTAAGTACCGTCTCGCCATACAGCGTCTTTCCACAGCGGAGTACCCTAGCCAAGATCAGGCTAACATCGAGTCCTATTAGCGGTAGTAGCCCTCGAGATACAATCCGACGTGCGAAGACGCTGTATGTACCCTACGGCCAGCTGCTCCATCAGACTTCCAACCTCGACGGACGACCTTTACACCAGCTTTTGGCTTCACATAATCATCACCACCCCTATCTCCGCTCGACCAAGGTCAAAATCTGGCAACAGAAGCGTGAACTATATGTCCGACTTTGAAGACTACAAATGGAAAAATCGAGCGGCTGGTGGTGGATTTATAATTCATGGAGCGTCCGTCTGGTCTTTGAGCGTCGCTCGCTCGCTCGGCTGCAGATTGCGCTGGCTGAACGTTTATCCAGTATCAGCCTGGTGTAAGACGGTGACATCCGCTAGCGTCAGCAATCTAGCACCCAATCAGAACGCGCGAACTGCTGGTAGGAGACTGCGGACTCCATTCGACTTGCGCTGACTTGCCATACACAAGTACATAATACATGATGCCGTATACCTCTCGACATTCTCCACCATCGACCTGTATTATCGCCGGGTATCCGTACCCACGGAAGCAGTATCCGAGGGGTTGCATCGAATACTTCTCGTCCAACCAATTTCCTCGCGACTCCCTCGTCGTCTCGTCTCGTCAGAACACTCCAGGTCCCACAAACTTCCACTTTTCAAATGTCCCAACAAGTCAAGTCACATAGAAGGCTGCAGCCGGATCAGATTGACTTTCGACGGGCGCGCGCGCGGGAAGGGATCTGCGATCTCAGCGTATCATGTGCCGAGCGGGCCTCTGACACGGGGGGGAAAATGGAGTTTGTAGAAAGTCTTCGTGTGGTGGAAGGTTTTGCGGTTCCCTGACGGGCAAGCTCACGACGAAGTATGTAGCATGGAGAGGGTGTCGTAGATTTTTTTCTGATACGCAATTCCCTAGAGGGAAAAAGAGGGGGTTGATTTTTTTTCGGAAGCCCGGATGTTTGCGTTGCTCGAGGTGGTGTAGAGCTGGGATGTGAGGAAGAAGATCATGCCTGCGTACGTCGAGGTGTTGGTTCACACTCAAGTGTGCATTCAGTCGTACTCATGATGAGGTTCCTCCTCCTCTCCTCCCGTGGAGCCTGGTAGCCACCGTCTGGATGGATTCTAGAGGCGATGGGCGAAGATTTCCGCTCTTGAGGCCAGACGCCTTGGCAAGACCATGACTGGGCGTTCCATGTAGAGTAGAGATCTGGGTTCACAAGCATCAGATTGGCGCCTGTGCCCTGACGCCGCATCTCTGCTTCTGTAGTGTAGTGGGAGGGGGCGGAGGCGGTGGACTACTGACGAAGATTTCATCCACACGGGACATGACTCTCCACATGAGTCGATCGAGCTCGGTTACTTTGATTAGCTTTTGGCGTTTTGTCTCGTACGGCTGGAATGCATTCCAGGATCTGATCCACCATGATATCGAGAGATCCCATTGAACTGGGTGGGTAAGAGGGACAGAAAAAGCGCCGAAGAATGTCGAAAGAGGGTCTTTCTTCTTCATCCATCGAATCCGCAGCGGCCTTGGGCCTACCATGGAAGCCGCAGCAATGACTGACTGACTGACTGACTGAACTGGATTGCAGCGCTTCCAGGCAGGCACCAGTAGTCGGCGCTTGCAGCAGCCACAACAGTAATGGTAGGGGAAAAAACAAAATCCCGAAAATTTTTCCAATTGCCCGGCTGCGTATCAGAATTCTGCGTTTGGGACTGGGAGGTCTTCCCGAGTTTTGCCCTGGACATGAGGAGTTTTATATGGAGACGCCGAGCAGCAGATCCGCGTGACGGCAAGTTGTTGAAAATGGTATGTATGGATCGCGATTCTACGCTCGAAAGAAGAAGCAAGACGACTCTGGAGTTCCCGTTGCTGAGGTCTGCTGTGAACGGCATGCCAGCGGCTCGGGGGGGGGGCTCGTGGAGAGAGAGAGACAGGAAGCGCTCAAACAGCCTGCTCCAACTCACTCACTCACTCATCCGTTCAGCCGCCTCTTGACAAAGACCTCGACACTCCTCGGACAAAACCCGTCGTCTTCTCCCCACCAATCTCCTCCGACCCAGATACGACATCCTGAAAGCTTTCCTTCCAAAACTCCCACCTTTCCCCGAGCTGTCTCGTCGGCTTGCTCTTCGATGCGAAGCGATTTCAGCTTGCTCAAACCACACTTGGACTTCCGCCGTCTCCTCGAAGAAGAAGAGAGGGCCAGGACACCACCCGACATCGGGGTCTTCGGGTCGCGAGGAGTCCGTTCTTCCAGAAGACTGCGAGAACAGCCTCTCCACATAGATCAGAACCCACACAAAGCGGCAGCCATGGTGAAGCGCTCTCACGCTCTTCGATCCCCTGAGGTCTCTCCAGCGGCGCGTGCGCGTTCCCAGATCGCAAGCACGGGGTCCGCCTGTTCCTCCTGGGGTCCAGATCTCGGCATACACACGAGCGAGGAAAAGCGTGAAAGTGGGCGTATCCCGTGCCGGCCGTAGCGATCGGAAGATATGTCTCTCACTTCTTGGTGGAATTTTGCTGTACCTCGGTGTTGCCTTCTGTCCAATCTTTGGGGAGGAGTCGTCAGCCCATGCAAATGCCGGCTTGCAGTTTTTTCAACATACAGTGGGAGATTTCGAGTCTTCTTCGAGAAAGTCTTGCGAGTTCAGAACGTGTGCCACGAGCTGGGCGAGGCGCGTCTGGGCTGATGCATGCATGGGTGTATGGGATCTGCGATGCGAGCTCGAGGACCGGCCAGGCAAACTCTCCGACAATGCAGGCGTGAGGGTCATTTGTGAGGGAGAAGCTTGAAGATCTCGTGCGCGCTTTCTCGGGTGGATTGCTCTGATCCGGGCTAAAGAAAAGGGGTTCAGGATGTGGAAGAAGTCAGTGCAGGCGGGCTCGCCGTCCGGGCTCCTCGAATGATGATGTGAAGGCCAAAGTCGTCGTCATGTTCCTCGTACGAAGAGGAGGAATTTGAACTTGGGAATAATGGGGAGAGAGAGAGAGGAAAGCATACTTCCTGAGGCGAATGCTATATGAGGTGGACAGCTGAGCCGCCTTGACCTGGCGCTTCACATGTTGTAGCTGTGCCGTACGGTAGTCCGCGTCGCTTTCAAGCCAATGATCACGCCCGCTCGAAGCGTTCTGTCGACGCTAGCGATCCCGTGATCTTGCTCCACTCTCAATCCATCAAGGTATGATGAGTCTCCAATCCGACGAAATACTGTAACAATGTTCAAGACTTCGGAGAGCAGAAGAAACTCCGCATCAATCTGTATCAGATAAAATCCGTCTTGAGAGAGCTATATGTAGCTTGCAAATCTATCAAACGAAGAGATCGCATCTCATCTCATCCATAAGTCCCTCCCCCATGTTCAACAAAAAAAGGCATTGCTCGAACGCTCCATCGCATGTATAAGAACATGACACAATCTTTCTTTTCATGCAAAGAAACAACATCAACAACATCAACAAAGAAATTGGTATCCCTTCCTAGAGACGCCCAAATGCCGAGAGATTCAGATGCAGAAAGCTCCCCAGCCTTCTAGAGCTTTTCCATTGGGGTATGGTATGCAAATGCAAAAACCAAATACTTGCTTGTCAAATCAAATTCTTCATGTCCCTCCAACAGGGACCCAATTTCGCCCAAGATCCATAGATCGGTTGATTCTGCCTCCAGGAGTAAGAGGAACGTTGACTCGTCCAGAACGATGGCTTTCGTCCCCGCTGTCGGAGTCGTCATAGGTATCGCTGAGGCGGGAGAAGTAATCTGCCAAACCGCTCGTGGGGCTAGCGATATCGTTGTACTGCGGTGGAGGTGTCATGAGCGGTGGTGGCGGTTCCTCTTCTTCAAAAGCCGGCGGGTTGAAAGAAGGCGCGCGGAGAAGATGGATGGGTCGGTCGACGGATTGGATGCGGTTGTGGCCCATGTGATTTGCCGCGTGCACGGTAGGTGGCCTGGCGAGGCCAGGCGATCGTATCGTGGGAGTGGTGGGCCTATTGTCTTCATTGCTGTTGCGTTGTCCATGGTTGATGGCGTTCAAGCCGGGAACAAAGCCGGTCGGGGAATTCCGGCGTCTTGCGGCACCGGGGCATCCACAGTCGAACAAGTTCGGGTTCGCCGGTGCAGCTTGCGGAGAAGTGTAGGCTGGTAGCGATATGTTCGCCTGAGTCGCACGACACGACAGGATGTGGAAGGGAGAGTCGATGGAAATCTCAAAGTGTCTTCGCTTGCTCGGGTCATTGGCATCCGGCTTCGATAACCGCATGACAATCTTGATCCAGTGATGGACCTGAATGTTCTGATACGTCGTGTCAAAGTGCAGTCGTTGCGATCGATCTCGTTCCTTCATCGTGTGGCAGCTCGGTAATTGGACACTGAATTCCATTTCGGTGGGGCCGATATTCGACTCGCCGTCCAAGTTGCCCAGTAAGTTCGTGCTGTCGTTTCCAATAACGTCGTCGCCTCGTGCCGCTCGTGCTCGCTGGTCGTAAGGAATGCCACCGCCGGCAGTGACTCTCATCGTGCTTCCTGGGAAGGCACTCGTGGGTGGGTTGTCCGCTCGTTTTTCGAAAAGCTGAACTTTTCGGGTAGGCTCCATCCGATGCACCCGCCTGTTCGAGCAGAAGTATTCAATGTTTTCGGTTATCAGGACCTTGATCCGATGACATTGCACCTTGGCCAAGGGGGTCAGCTTGAAGGCTATGGGGACCTGAGTTCCAAGTGGGAAGCTCTTCCCGGAGATGACGATGTCGTAATGCAATTGGTCCTCCCAATTTCGGCTGATGGCGATGGGCTCGACCTGTTCCAGCGAGCCCTCGGCCGGGGCGCGGATCAAGGTCACTTCCTTGCTGCCCGTCAGATTCGCTCGGAAAGCCCCCGCCCTCTCGACGACTGCTTCGAGTTCGTACTTGACGGATCCGAGTTCGACATCGATCGTCTCCGGTAATCGGCTGTCCAGAGGCAGCTCGAAGTTGTACACGTAGTCTCCCGGCAGGAACGTGCGGTATCCCTTGGCGGCAATAGCCGAGCCTGGCGGAGGATCGCCCTTTTGGAAACTTCGTGATTGATTGACGGACAGAGCAAGCTTCTTCGCCTCTTTCGCGCCAAGGTTGATGGATGATCCACTGTCGACGGAGCGTCCCAGGGAGTCCGATTTCGACGACGACGACGACGACGACTCTCCTCCTCTGAAGAGTTTGACGTGGTCTGCATTCGTCCCCTTCTCGGCACTCTCGAACTGGGCATTGAAGAATGGCCAAGTGTGTGCCATGATGGTGTCCCTCTCTTCGAACTCCACTTTCCGTGGCGGGATCCCCTCGGGCCACTTGGTCACCGCAGTCCCTTTGAATTTGAGCGTCACCGCCTTGATCTTCGCGCTCTTCTGCACTCGCAGATGCAGTGCACCCCGGAGCATCGCGGTGTTACCGGGGGCATGGTCGGCGTTCTCGAAGCCTTGGAGAAAGAGTGCTGGCTCTGCCAGATGCACTCCCATTGCAACTCCATTGCCTGATGCGATCGGTTTCTCGTCTTCGAGGTTGAGATTCGGTATCACGCTGTCGGTGACGGAGGTGTCGATGCGCGGTGAAGGCTGATGTCCATTGGTGCTTGAGGATGAAGACGGCGTCGTCGACTGGCTGCTGGAGGGATGTGTTGCTTCGCTGTTGAGGCGTGGTCTCTGCAGGTGCGCATTGATGGGACCGCCAATGGAATGCCGAAAGTTTCCTCGCATATTGGGCGCGGGTGCAGGCGCGTCGGCCGCCGTCCCACTGTCTCCGGACCGGACCGACTGCGAACGCTCGACGGGAGACCACGACCTCCTCTTGTTGGCGTTCCCGGCTTCCTGTCGGGCCTTGGCGGTGTCGGAGTTGGAACTGGCAATGACGGAACGGAGGAAGCGCTTCGCGTTCTCCCGCGTGCCGGCCAGCTTGACCTTTGCCGAAGGCCTTCGGCCACCCTTGAGCGAGTCGGAGACGGGGTGGTCGGCCTTTCGATCTTCGCGAGCGGGGTCGATGGACTTGACGCAGACGCGGCCCGGGCCTACTCGTCGGGGTCGAAAGAGTTTTTGGGGTTTGTCGTAGGCGTTGTGGTGGGTGGCAGGGTCGTAGTAGAGGAGACCGTAGGTGGAAGAAGGGTAGGAGACTGCCATGTTGGGGCGCACGGTCAGCGAGGGTATGTCAAGGGAGGAAGGCGAGGAGGAGGAGGTGGTGCAGGCAGGCGCGCATGGCCAGTGGTGATGTGGTGGTGAGGTGGAGATGTGATGAGAGGGTGAGGGTGGGCGAGGGGGGCAGAGACATGTCGCGGCGCATGATGGGAAGAATCAAGATTTGTCGCTGGTGCTCTGTGCCAGGTTGGCAGCAGCATCCATGCGGGCCGGGTGAATATAGCCAGGGCGAGCAAAGGCGCCATGGGGGGGGGAGGGGACGGCGTCATGCGGTCGGCAGCGCGAAGAAGGGAAGGGAGCAAGCACACAGACGGTGAGAGCGATGGAGGGGAGGGGAGGGGAGGGGAGGGGAGGGTGTAAGGTATCCACCGGCATTGACAGGGAGGAGCTGGTGCGACGTGAGGACTGACCTTGGTAATGTTGGCCCGGAAAGTGAAAAGATGGGGGGGGGAGGAGATATGGCAGGCGAGGCAGTTTTGGGCGGAGATTGGGCGTTTCATAGGAGGCAACACGACGTTGCAGCGTGTCGTGTCGCAGGGCGGGGCATCAGTTATTGCGGGCAGCAGTGGCAGCAATATCTCGTAGGGGGAAGGCGAGAGTGATGAGGGATGTAACGCATCCGGGCGTCAGACATGTGCGGATGGGTGCGAAAGCGATTCCGTGAGCGATTCCGTGGGCGAGGCCTGGTTTTTTTGTTTTTTTTTTCTTTTTTTCGCGGTTCGCGGTGTGGTTCAGTGGTCACGGTGTGTCTTGGGCGTGGTCGCCAATGGATGTCGTGTGCTTCCCGGTCTGGTCTCGACTGCTGGGCACAACCCTGGAGGCAGCAGCTGGCGAAACTTCGGGCGCTGGTGTGTTCGGACAACGTGACGATGATGATGATGCTGCTGCTGCTGCTGATGATGATGATGCTGCTGCTGATGATGATGATGATGCCGATGATGCCGATGCTGATGCCGATGCTGAGGGCGGACACTGTCTGTGCTGTGTTGTCGGGAGAAGTGCGGGAGGGCAGGTGAGAGCGAGTAAGGTAAGGTACAGTAGTCGTGAGGGCGACAGCGGATGTGGAGGATGCACAGCGGGACGTACAGCAAGCAGCACCGCGGCGGGATGCACTGCACTGCACTGCACAGCGGCGGGCCGGGGGTGACGCCGTCGATCCCGAAGCAGACAGGAAGCGTTGCACGCAGTCAGTCGAGCTGGCTGCTGGATGCGGATGGGCGGACAGATGTGGATGGTTCCGTTCGAGAGATGGCGTAAGATGAGGGAATCGATCAATTCCAGTTGCGAGAGAGGACGTGTAGTGGTGTATGTATCTATGCATGACATGACATGAGACTGACTATGCGCTCCTCGGCGCTGCGTCGCGTCATCCATCCTCTCCAGTAGGAAGCGTGCGGCATGGCGCAGGGCTAACAAAAGTCTTTGCTCGTCACTCTGTCATCTCCCCCGACCCTCCACTCTGTGCTCTGCTGCTCATCTCGACCCTTTCTTTCATCGTCACCTCACCTCGACGCCGTGGTTGGCCGTGTCTTCTCGCCTTCACCCTTCTAAACAACTCGGCTGCGGGTGTCGCGTGCCGACGACCAAGACAAACTCACAGCCCTTCCTGAGAGGTGCGGAGGGCTGACAAGCGGAGGAAGGCGGAGCACGGAGGCGGGCGGAAGATATCATCACCTCGTGGCCAGTGTCCCAAGAAGCGACTCCGCAACAACACTGCAGTACCTACCTACCGTACCTACCACACGACTGGCCCGTACTAGCTGGTGGGACCAGGCAGACTAGTGCGCCCTACCTCCGTGCTACTGTCCAAGTGATTGCCGGATTTGCGCCAGGATGCAGCTTGGCGATATCGCTCTCTCCACTCTCCACCTCGCCCATCACACATCATCCACGCCGCGGTCATCATCACTGCATCTCAAGACACGACCTGACGACAGACTCTTCCCGTCTGCGGATCCGGACGGGACTCTCTCCCTCATACTCCACCTTCGTCGCCGGCACATGGTCCGCTGGCCGACAGCACAAGCAGAGCATTGCGCAAATCATGATGAGGCCGCGATTCCGCGGGGCGCTGACAAACAAACATTGGACAGGTCCCAAAAAGCCGCGCGCCATACAAGCAACTAGCTCCTAGCTCTTGCTTCTCGCCAGCTAGCTCGGCTACATGGCTGGCTACATGGCTGCTTCCTCATCAAGCTATTCGAACCCTGCTTACATGGCATGGCAGACACTTGAACTTCATCCAGAGACGTCGATAGACGGTCATGCGATCCACAAGTCTACTGCTTCGAATTCGCGGTGCTGCACATGCCACGACAGCATAAGGTATCTCGCCATGACGGTAGATATTGGTCAGCAACGGGAAGCGTCGTGTAGCAGCTAACAAACCGTCCCTGCGACGCGTCACCGAAACTTACAAGCAGCCTCAAGCTACATTCACAGCAGCCAGAACCAGGGAGAGGAAGCGATTCCCTCGTGTCCTCACTTCTCTCTTCCATCCGCATCTGCCCACCTTGCGTCCAGAAGCCAGACGGGACGCTGAAACATCTGCTGTCCAAGGTACTTCGAGCAAACGGCCACAGAGCTTCGCAGTCAGCACTCCTGCAACACGTGTTTCCGAACTCCACAGAGGCGCCGGCAACATCGTCGATCAAAAACCTTGTGAAACCTGCCCTGGGCTGCTCATGTTTCCACGCGCCGCCGGAGGACTGACCACAGCCATACAGCCAACTTCCCTCTCAAACCATGATGCATCTACATCTTACTATCATCGAAGCCACCGATGAGATATCAAATCTCATTCCCACCACTGCATTCCGTCTCGTCAACGGAGCCCTGCCGGCCGAGAGTCGGGAGACCCCGGTATATTTCGACACAACATCCCACATGTCTCCAGACCCGTGACCCTGTGACAGCCGCTTCATCCGCCGGGAACTCGCTCGGAGACGGGAGAAGATATGCTTCTGGACCTGCGTTGACGCATTGCCTGTGAGCCAAGCGGCCGGTCCAAGGTCCATAGCCGAGTTGTAACCTTTCTTCTAGAAAAAGAAAAAGAAGAAAAAAAAACGACACGCGAGTTGACAGGAAATGTCTTTAGCCCAGAAATTCCATGCGTCGACCTGGTCACCGCACGCGCACGCGAATTGGAATGGTGTCCCCACGGATCATCACAGCAAAAACCTACCATCGTCGATGCCAGACCACCCAGGAGGAGCATTTGGTTGTCATCATCATCATCAGCAACAATAACAACAAGCAGGTATCTACCACAATGCAAGCAACAGCTTCATCATCCAAGCCCATCCTCGTATCGCAGCGAGCAACCCCAACCAATCATCAGCCCGCCTGCCAAGTTTTCCTCCCGATCAAGTTGAATTGCCACTACTGTCCGAATGCCGTCTCCATGGCAAGGCGACACCTTTTGGTCCCTTGGGCAGCTCTGCAGCGAAAACACCGTCCTTCCACCATCATCATCATACTCGTTGCTGTCCCGTCTCGCCTCACCCTTGATTCTGGCGGTCGAGCGATCAGCTAGCCAGCCCGCCCACGGTGAGCAGCGCTAGCCCAACCAAACGAGACAACATAGGCATCTCCAATCTACCACCCAGTGCATGCCTGTCCACCGGACCGAGACTCGGAATCCCTCCTGGTTGGTGGAATCCGAGATGTTGTTGATGACAATCGTATCTCGTCTCGTCTCGTCTCCGGGGACACCGGACCATGCGTGGATGTAGCCCCTTCCAAATCTGCATTGAGCGACATCGTCTAGAGCTGAAAGACTCCCCTCACCAGTACTCATCACCGAGGCGTGGTCATCCGAAAGTACAGGTAAGGGGAAGGAAGGCAAAGATACCTACACCATCTTCTCTCTTTTCTTCCGTCCATGTCTCTGTCTCTCTCTCTCTCTCTCTGTCTCTCTCCCCCCGGAGACGAATCTCCTACATCTCTCGTTTGTTCCCCGACTACACACACGCCATCACCATCTCTGCTCTCTCAAGACCCCATCTCATCTCATTTCCTCCTCCCACTCTTCGCCCTCGTCCCGGCACCCGTCGCCGCCGCAGCCGCCCTCCTCGCCACAATCTCCGAAGAATCCCTCACCGTCCCAACACTCCTGACCTTCCTCGCATCCCCCTCATCAAACATCGTCCCGCCCAATTTCATGCTCATCTGCCTCCGATGCGCCTCCGCGTCCGGCGCTTCATATCCCAGCTGCGTTCCGAGCGGTACATCGGCTTCATCGTGTGAAGGGATCCGATATCCGTCCGCTGGATCCAGGGACTCCGGCGGGATCTCGCATGGCAATGCTGGAGAAGCGGAATGGTCGGACGTCGTACTGAGGTTGCGGCCGAGCGGGCGCTTCTTTCGCTTCTGCGCTTCCGACGTTTCGCTGGTGGTGGTGGTGGTGGTGGTGGTGGTGGTGTTGGAGGTGACTCGACGCAGGAGACCGGCTAGTTCGGATGTTCGATCGTCTTCTACCACGGGTGGTTGAAGCGGAGCCCAAGTATCCTTTCTAGGACTTCGTTTCGCGCTCTTCTGCGGTGATGTGGGCGCGGGGTTCTCGTCTTCTGCGACTCTTGACTTCTTGGGCAGGTCGCCGTCTGGTGAAGTTCCTCGAGTCTTACGCTGCGATGTGTTGGGGGATATTTCCCGGAGAGGCTGTGATATTCGTTCCGGTGGCGGAAACTCCGCGGGGAATGGTTGTTGCCCTGGAAGAGGGTCGATAGATAGGACGGCCGGCTCGTCATTCTCATCATCCTCTTCGATGAACGGCCCAGTCCTAGGAGGCGGAGGTCGTCGGGGTGCCTCGGCTGTCGCTGGCCTCGAAGCCGTGAGCGGTAAAGATGTAGTAGCATGCCGTCTGCGAGTGTTGGACAAGCGCTTGGGCGGCGCATAGTCATCTGTCCTGTTCACACGTCAGCGCCTTTCACAACCCTGCAGCCGGACGCGCGTGGAATCGGCTGAAGATCTCATCGTACTCACCTTCTCGCTGCCTCACCTGACGGCCGAAGCTGTAAATTGCTGCTTGGAGCTGGACTGCTCGCGGAGGGCTCGCCGACGAATTCATTAGGGTCGAATGCGGGTAGCTGAATTCTGTAGTCCTCAATCGGAGCCTTTCTCTTCGACCTCAAGGATTGCCAGAGCCATTGAGCTGATACCACTGGTATGCGATATTTGTTGGCATAGTACGCCTTCTCTTTCTTGACGACGGTATCATTTGCGCAGACTAGCAATGATGATGTTGGCATCAGCTTCTCCTGATACGCAGCGCCCATCAATTTGACTGCTTCTGCTGTCTGGCGGAGGTCGACGCCTGTGAAGCCGGTGGTCGATATACGCAGTTCGGAGAATCCAGAGACTTGGGAATTGGCCAGATGTGTGCTGAGTGAATCCGCTTCTGGATCCATATTCTGCTTGTAGTGGATGCAGCGCTCCACCCACCATTCCGTTACTATCACAGTGCCGGGTGGGACGCTGGGTATCTCAACGGGCGCGGAGTGAGGTACTAGCAGGCATCGAGTCTGGAAAAGGAGATTTCCAGATGCAGCTTCCAGCTCTTCGCTCGACTGCACTATAGTGGCTCCATTCGGCTCTAGAAACTGGCGCAGCTTCCTCGCTCGTGTTGCATCAAATCCGTAGATGAGGACGTAGTGCCCGGAAAAGAGTCCTTGTCGTGAGCTCGGGCGTTCCGTCTCCGCAGGTATGGCAGCTTCATTCGTCGTGTCCTTTGGCTTGCTCGAGACGGAATCCCTCAGCGTCTGGCTCTCATTGTCCCACGCGTCCAACTCAGTCGTGTCCACCTGCACCTCGTTGGTCGCTATGCTTTGCCACAACTCTTGACTCTGCCCGTCCAGCCGCATGCTCGCAACTTTTCTCATCTTCCTGCGGCCTCCATCCTCGTTCGCAGTGTTGGACTCTGCATCTCGTCCTCTTTTCATTAAGACCGTGTGATTAGGTATTGACCTGAAAGCACCGATGCCTTGCTGGTCGCTCGGTATCTCTGGAGCATAGAGTGCCTCGTCTAGTGCCATTCCTCGGATTAAGCTGTCCCCGTACCACTTCAGTCCCACCAGATGTATTCCCCACTGCTTCGCATGAACATATTTCTTACCCTCAGGACGCGCCACCACCAGATGAGAGACAGTCTTTGTCAAATCTCCGTTATATGTGCCTCCCTGAGCAATAATAGTCTCCTCCATGCTCTTCCTATGCTCTATATTGTCGAATCCCGTCAAGCATATTTGCAAACCCCAGAAGCATGGCAATGTATATTCTCTTTCTAGCCCTTCAACGTCGAATGCTTCCCCACTCATCCATGCCACGCGTGCTGCCTCGATGAAGGCTTGATTCAAGACGCGAATGTCTGGTCGTTCCCTTGCGACGTAGCGATATTTCGGGGTGGCGATGTTGCCGACGATCAAATGGGTCACGTCAGATGTGAGGTCCAACTTATGGACAGCACCCATCTGCTCCGCGACTTGGGCGAGCTTGGTCTGCAGAAGGATGTCGCTGTAAGTCTTGAACTTGGTCTTCTCGAGCGTAGAGTTACCTACTCGTGCATCCTGCGCCAGTGATGTACAGCAGAGCACCACGCCTTTCAATGGATGGTTATCTGTAACATTATCCTGTTAGTATGTATCCTTATCAGTCGCCTCGTATGTGCATACCAGGATCAGCACTCGCCGCCATGTCTGATACCGACAGTAATGTTGACCTTGGAGTCTGGGCGACGCGTTTCGCGACGACGAAGCTTTGGAGGGGTGCGGAGTCAATTCCGCCAGCTCCATTCATTCACCAGAAAAGCAAGCACGGACCGTCACATTAATGAGAATGGCACAGACAGCGGTGTGGTACGAAAGTTGAAGGTGGTCAATGGGAACATGAAGCAAGATAAGGAATTTCACATGCGCTTCCGGACATTCCAGCTATCAACAACAGTGCTGAGTGTTTATCTGGTGTATCGCTCCCGATAGATTGCCTTCCGCCAATTGTGCTCCTTTAAATGCGACAATTTCCTCCGATGCTAACGGTACATGTCCATCGAAATGCTCCTTCTTCAACTCGCTCTTGGATATACCCGCTCTTGGATATACTGATTGATGCATCCCTGAAGTCTCCGAAATGGTGTTCGCCTAGCTGGCAGGCGACTGTGAATCTTGAGCCACAGAATCTCCGCCGAATCCGGCATGTTCGCTGTGCTTCTTGTAGTAATAGCTTCCATCCCTCGGCTTCAGTTCCTCAGAAATGCCCTCGGAAATCGTCTGCAGTATCCTCTCAATACCGGCTTGATGTGCCCCGTCTCGGTTCCATATCTGCACCAGCATGCTGTTGAACCTCACACCCAGGCTCACACCGCAGATATCATCACGAAAAGTCTTCCGCCCTGGATCCTCCACGGCCGCCTGGAGCTGTTCGCCAATTGCCATCATGCATATCTCTTTCCAGAAGTCGGCGGCCTGGTGTTTCGGCACGCGAAATGTCCAGCTGCCGCCCTTTTCATTGCGAGGGTCTTCCCAGACTGGCTTGACGCCCTTGTGGAATAGATGGACGGAGTCGCGGAGCTGGAGCTGCGAGATGTCGAAGTTGTTGAAGACGCTCCAAAATTGTTTGACGTCGCTGATGTGGGCGAGGGGTTCGAGACGATCTTCGTAGTTGCCCTCGCGTGAGTCGGCGGATCGCTCTTGTCGGTCGTGCCAGAAGTCCCAGCTGTGGACGAGCGCTGGAGCGCGGTTCTTCTGGTTTAGGCGTGATTGCAGGAAGTTGAGCATTTCTGCGCCTCTCGCTGGTGAGGTGGTCGCTGCTGCTTCTTCGGCACCCAGCGCAGGCAGTCCAGAGACCTGAAGACGAGGTGGGTTTGCCATTGCGGGCGACTTGGTTCTTGAGAGTAGGAGAGTGAGATATGGTAGGGGGAAGCTGCAAATCTGCGGTCGAAGAGCTTTGCAGTCGGCGAAGCACAGGAGACAAAGGGCTGATTTCGTCAATCAAGGCCGCTTGCGTGGAGGGCGTTTGTACTGCAGCTGTGCCGACATGTCTAATAGAGCGACTCAAGCGGAGCGCAACGTGGCCGGGCCTCGCACAACCAGCAGTCGGTGGGCAAGACAGAAGCGACTGCTAACCGCCTCTCGTAGTGTTGACGGTTGCTGTCAGGCGTTTCAGCTAAGTTACACAGGGCGAGACAGCCTTTGTGCGGTTTGGGGGCCGTGGAACTGTGCTCGATGGCACGTGCACGCCATTTACGTAGCTTTGCGCGAAGTGGGCGATAAACCACTCCAATTCTGCCCACCACGATGTTCGCAACAACACCTCCGCCTCCTGCTCACATATACGCTGGCTCGCAATGGCGGCGTCAGTGCAGCAAGACGATGCCGCGCACAAGGTGATCAAGGCAAAAAATCCGACCGAGAACACGCAGACCTTCCATGTCGGCACCCGGAGATCCATCCTAGCCAGAGTCCAGGCCGACGAGGTCGTCAAGGCATTGCGAGAAGCATGGCCGGAGCACAACTTCGAGATTCATGCCATGAGCACGACCGGCGACAACAACCAGAAGACCGCATTGCATAAGTTCAACGAGAAGGCACTGTGGACACAGGAGCTGGAAGTGCTCCTCGAAAGTAAAGAGCTGGACCTTGTCGTGCATAGCTTAAAGGACATGCCGACGCAGCTACCGGTGGAACTGGAGCTGGGGGCTGTCACTAAAAGAGAAGATCCGCGAGATGCTTTGGTACTCAAGCCCACGCTGGTCGGAAAGGTCAAGTCTCTCAAGGACTTGCCCGAAGGATCTGTCGTGGGCACCTCGAGCCTACGACGAACGGCTCAACTGAAGCGTTACTATCCTCAATTGCAATTCCAAGACGTGCGAGGAAACATTGGCACACGTCTGGGCAAGCTCGACGATCCGAATTCGGACTACTCAGCAATAGTGATTGCGGTTGCGGGACTCGGGCGACTTGGGATGACCAACCGCATCAATGTCTATTTGTCAAAGGACAACGGTGGTATGCTGCATGCCGTTGGACAGGGCGCGCTCGGAATCGAAACACGGAAAGCAGATACTAGGACAAAGGAGCTACTTTCGAAAGTCGGCTGCGATCGAACGACGAAACAAGCGCTCTGCGAGCGGATGTTGATGCGGACGCTGGAGGGCGGATGCTCGGTACCCATTGGCGTGGAAACGGAGTGGGTCCCCAAGAAGCGCCTACATGACACCCACATTGGTGTTGGAGTCAAGCCCGCCGAGGACTACCACCATTTAACCGGAGTTGCTACGAAAGATGGGGAGGATGTGAATACGGACGGAGAGCCAGAGTTGACGGACGAGCTTATCATGCGAGCGATTGTGGTCAGCCTAGATGGCAAGGACAGCGCAGAGGTGGAGACTCGACGCCTGGTCACGACGCGCGAACAAGCCGAGGAGCTCGGGTTTGACGTTGCCAGATTGCTGGTCGAGAGAGGCGCGGACAAGATATTGGAACAGGTGCAATTGAACAGGGACATTATCAAAGAGCAGGGCAACGCGTAGTGCGTCCATGTGACTGCCAAGCATTGGTCAAGATGTGCACGGAAAGCTTGTCAACACTGGTGTAGACACTTGTAACAACATGTGTTAACGTGTCCAGGGGTCATCTCGCCGCCTCACCTTCCCCGCCAGCGTGATGGTACATTTTGTCACGTTCAGCGCTGATATACTATGGTCAGCGCCGCTAGCGGGAAGTTGAGGGGCGCGAGACGACCCCTGAAGACGTTGGCGACGATGAGAGTGAATGAATCTCTTCTCCGGACGTGTCCGAGATTTCGACAGGTCTGCAGTGCCCGAGTACGACAGCCGCTCCACAGAGGCACCGAGATGTAGCAATGTCGTGGAGAAAAATTTACCCCCATCATGACTACTACTGAAGCACATGAAGATACAAATGCTTTCTGAGACACAGCATCGTCATCATGCCAGGGTCAGAGCGGACGAGTGGTTTAGGCTATAGTTCATTGTGACGTCTTCGTCTCGTCGCGTTCTCGTCCCGTCTCGCGCCAGGAGATCGCCACGAGTATACCGGCCAAAGTTCCTACACGCCGGAGCAGTCTCCAGGATGGCTCTTACCTCACTTTTGCCTCTCTCTACCCGCCCCAGATAAAGACAGGTCCCCAGCGTCTTGTCCTGCGCCACCTCCACGGCCCCGCGGTGCCCCAATTGCAGCCATATGCTCTGCGACTTGCATCCCTCCATGATCAGAAGACGATCTGGTGTACCTACCGAAGAGAGATTCCGAGTTGACGGGGCAGATACGTATCTCTACGCCGAAGAAGAGCAATCTAGAACGAACGACACGTACTGCAGTGCATGGGACGGGAGCATGATGTCAATCGGTATGGGTGGACGATGCGCCGACTAGACTGCCGGCGGCTGCTTTCGCTCACTGTCGAGATGAGACACGACTTAGCTCGGTGATGAGGTTGCTTGGCTGCTTGACAATGCCCTGTCGACCAATGCGACTCAGCCTACCGCTCGGGCCGGGCCTAGCTATGATGAGATGGATGTCTCGGGGAGTCGGGCAGCTGCCGCTTCCCACGCGAGCTGGAGACACTGCACCACAGCTGGCTGTGGCTGTTGCCCTTGGCGTCCACGAGCGAGCAGATGGATGGACATCGACATGCACAATGGCTTGGACGCGCGCTGGGCGCCGAGAGGACAACGGACGTCAGACTCGCATTTCCCCCCGAGGGAAGGGCATATGGCATGTACGTGTCATCACAGTCAGTCATCACGAACATGGAGAGAAGATGCCTGCTCGAACCGTTGGCCGTCACGTGGCCCTCACCCCATGGTGTCTCGCAGAGATGGGACATGCACATGCACACCCGCGCGCCCTTCATGACATCAATGGGGCAAGGAAGCTCCGACAGCGCAGGCCAGTCCGTCGCGTTTTCCCCTTGCAGAGCGGGCCTGGCTCCTAGATCCGAGCCAGGATGCTACATGTATGTACATGTACTGGATGTGGCGCAGACCGCACACGGCGACATCACAGTGACATGCATGGACTTTGCTCGGCTCATGCGTTCGGTGCGCTTCCTGCTGCCCCTTCGGTCTCCCTGCCGCCGTGCAACCTGAGGCTCAGGTCGAGAGTCACCCCGAGCGCGCCCTGTAGAGGCATTTCTAATGTATATCCTGTCGCCAACGCCCTGCAGCTAAGATGCAAACAACATACACGGGTGCAATGCTGTGATTCACCCCCGGCCATCGCAGCGCTCAGTCCTGTCCTGGCCTGGCCTGGCCTGGCCTGGCTGAGCTTCTACACGACCAACAAGCAAGTGCAGCTGCGAGGCCAGCTACGGACTACGGACTACGGCACGAGTGGCCTGCTGCGGACCACCTGGGCTGATCGGTGATCAATACTTAGCACTCGAGGCCGGCGGCTCTAAACGTCGCTATCGTGCCCTTGAAACTTCGACACCTCGTCCGAGGGAAGAACTTGGGGCTGCAGGGAACCCTGGTATACGAAGCTAGCTCTAGCAAACCCTGAGGCGCATGCTCGACTATTTGGAGAGGGAAATGCGCGCAGGTCACCATTGCGCAGTTGGCGGAAGATTTTGCAGAGCGTTGTGGATGCAGGCATCGCTGGCGTGAAGCTCCCGTACGCCCTTGCGTCCTCGACATACATTACCCCGGGGATGTTCAGAACCATTGACCTCAGCCCAGAGATAGTCTAAAGCGCAGGTCTGCAGAAGGTCATACTGCCCTATCGGCCCTCACGTGCCCTTGACTGGAAGCACGGTCTCACTCTCGTCACTCTTACTTCTCTGGATTCCATCCACGCTAGCCGACGACCCCATTCTCCTTCCTTTGGCAACATGACAGATCCGAGCAATGGCGCGTGTCCTCCCGCTCAGACCGGTTTTCAATCCGGCCTCCCTCGAAGCTTGACTCCACGGCGCTCATCTACTTCGTCAAGCTCGGGACTGTTTCCGATGTCTCTGGATACTTCTGGTCAATCAACTCCGATGGGTTCATTAGATGGGAGATTGGCAAGAAAGCGAGCTGCGAGAGCAGTAAGTAATTCGCCTTGCATTTCTATTGGTGTGAAGCAGCTGACATCTTCGAGTGTGATCAATGCCGACGACGAAAGTCGCGTTGCGATGGCCAGCTAAATTGCTCAGCGTGTCGCGTTGTTGGACTTTCTTGCTCGTACGGCCATGTGATCAAGCAGGCTAGAGGTCCGTCTTATGTGGCACATCTAGAGAAGAAAGTCGAAGAATTGGAAGGCCGCATCCGAAAGGCGTCTGTTGCGTCCGAGGTTAGCACAGATGATGCGAAATCGCCATCTCAGTCACCACAGTTCGGCAGCTCTTTCAACACCACTCCAGCAACCATTGCGGCTCCACCTACATCGTCAGTGCCTTCGCTATCCTTGGAGTCACTCAGTTTCTCAAACTACTACAGCTTTCACACATCTACGGTCTCCTTCAGCGATTCCATGGTCAACACTATCACCTGCGAGCCGCGAGGAAAGCCGTTTGGGGTCGACATACTAAGGCAACTCTGTAATCACTGCAATCAGATTACCTCACCACCAATATCGACTCGACCTGAATCTTCAATAAAGCTCGCACAGGCTTTGGATTGTCCAAATTCGTTGGATTTACTCCCCATGAACGCCAATGGACCGCCTCTGCTGCCTGCTAAAGCTATGGTGCTGCGCTGGATCAACATTGCCTTCTCCGAAGCCTTTCTCCTTTGGCCATTCGTCGATAGGCCGCAAGTCGAGCGAACGGCTTTCCGTCTGTACAATACCAACACCTTCGGGCAAGACGAAAATGATGGCGATGACCTAGCCCTGTTATATGCACTAGTGGCGTTAGGCCAGCGAGTTGACATGGGAAGTAGCTTGGTTGGATCTGAAAGGCAGACACAGGGGTAAGCATGCACGAAGCAAGACATGGCCTGGCTAAAGACTGACCACATCGCAGTCTTCCGTACTTTGGTGCTGCGGTAAGCATAGTCCCGCTTGCAAACTGCGATCGAAGTCTCTCTGCTGTTCAGACGGTGCTTTGTCTAGCGCTGTACCTCAAAGCCAATGCAGCCCAGATGCGAGTCCATGCGTATGTTTCAGCTGCAACGAGCGCTGCTCTACGTATGGGCCTGCATGAGCATGTACCCTGCTTTCCCGAGGAAGAACAAGCACTCAGACGCCGGGTCTGGTCATCGATTTGCATGCTGGACACTTTTGTATCGACATCCCTTGGGCTTCCTCCGACGGTGCCAATAGACCAGCCAGATTTTGATCCGTTCCCTTGCCTCCCTTCGACAAGTTCGGACGATGAGCTTTTGCCCGCCACGGCACAATTTCACTTGGCGCGAATCTTGCATCAAGCTGTCCACCAAACGTACTCGGCCAGTAGTGCGAAAAGAGCGGTGGATACTGGGACGTACTCTGTTTCGAGACTGGGTCTGAAGAACGCTGCAATCCAGCTCGATGCCTGGATCCAGGGCTGTGTAACACTCTCGACGCCCGTTGAGAACATGACGAGGTGAGTGTGCATTTATTGCTGTAATTTCAAAACTGCTAATTGCCACGGTGAAGGTCACAATTGCTACTTGCCTACTGGCACGCATATGCGCAGCTACTTTTGTTCTCTCCATGCGTACACCACCTCGCAGACCCCAACGTGGAAAAGGGTACTCCGGAGTACTACTTTGGCACAAGATGTGTTCAAGCAGCACTCAAAGCCGTGAAGCTAGCAGATCTGCTGCACAAAGGTCCCCATTTGAACGAAGCCTACTTTTCGACCATCGACGTCCTCGCATTCGCCGCCATGACGCTCCTCGTCGTCCAGTTGGGAAGCTCGGATGGTTCTCTCCTAGGCGAGGCCATCAAATCCGGCAAGCGAGCCAAGGAGCTCCTCCTCATGCTTTCGCTACAAAGTCGCACTGCAGCGGAGTGCTGGGAGGCTCTATCCGTATGTTGGACATCTTCGCTGAAGGAAGCTTGCCCCTCATCTCTGAAATCACCTGCTGATAAGTCCACTTCTGCTGCGAAGCCGGTAGATCAAGCCAGGAAGACACCGCCTTCGTCTACGTCTGCGAGGAGCATGTATCCGAAACGGCCAGAAGTGCGGAACACGGATAGTGGGATTGGCGGGATAGGGGAGAGTCCGACTGTTTCTCCTGTCATGGCGCAGTTTAGTGGGGATTTTTGTAGTCCGGCTGATGTTATGGATAGTGTTGCTTTGGCTTGAGCGTTGGGGATTCGAACAGGAACAGTTGTTGCAGGCCACCGAGTGCGACGGGGGGCTTGCCGTGACGAACACGATACGAATGGTATGGTCGGTCCTGGGAGGAGAGGCTTTTCTGATTTTGAGATACCATATGGAGCATGGATAGCGATGAGCACACAGAGTAACCTACACTCAATGGGAGAAGCGTCGTGAGCACATCTTGACTACTTCCTTCTCATGACGGTCCGTGGGTGCTTTGGCTAGTGTTTATTCTTTGCCTGTAGCGCTAACTCTTGGGGTAATGATACGGTCTTCTGGATACGCGTTGCGTTCCCAATCGAGACGTGTGTGTATACCTTTTTTGTCCTCCCCTCCTGATAGCAGGTCGGTCACCTCACATTGCCGTAAGAAGTGGCATGGATCTCGATCCTGTGGCGAGAAAAGGGTCCACGGGTGAAGCTGAAGTTCTCCCGGGACAAGCCGAGGCAACTTTAGGCGCGAGCTCCGAGTGTGCATCTCGATCTCATAGGCCCAATCCCTGCACACCGCGGCGAGAGGTCCGATACCTGCGTGGACCCTGCTTTTCGTGGCATTGAAGAATCTCTCCTCCATCTGCGTTGAAACTCATTTCTTCTTCTTCTTTCTTTCCTCACAGACGCTTCTCGATTATACTGCATCATTGTCAAGAGGATCAGCTACCATGGTTTCGAAAAGAAATTCCTCCGAAGCAGAGCTGCCTCTCCGGCATGCGCATGAGGATCGCAAGCGTACACGAATGGATCCAGCTACCGAGCTCCGTAGCAACAGTAGCGAGGAGACAACCGTCTCGGAAGCACCAGCGTTACGGTATAGTCCTGGACTCGAGAGAGCTTCAACGGATCCGAGCAGTGTCAGCTCCGAATCATCCGACGACGGAGAAGACGAAGACGAGGATAGCGAGTTGGAATTTGAAAGCGACGAGTCCGAAGACGACGACGAAGACGACGAGAGCTTGGCTGAAGAGGAGGTGCGACCGCAAGAAGAGCGAATCCGTCTCGGTGGCCCGAACAAACCAGACATTGATCCCAAAAGAGTCATGGAGGAAGCACAGAAGCTGTGTGCGAAACTGCAGGAGTTCATGCCAAAGTTGAGAGCTGCGAATAGTGACTTGGCGGAGAAGGGGGATAAGTTGAATATGGAGAATGTGGAAGAGGGCGAGAGACATATTGAGATGAGTCTTGGACTGGGAGTGCTGGAGGAGCAGAAGGGTGAAGAGGAGGTTGCTCTAAAGGACGTGCAGGATAGGAGCGAAGAAGTGACAGAGGAGGAGGAACGCGGGCGCGACGCCATGCGCGAACTACTTGGTATGGACGTTGGGGGCGTAAGACCTAGCATCGAAGAGGTGCAGGTTGCCACAGTCTCGCCAGGACAGAGGACAGACGCGGACGACACTTGAGCCGGCGAGAGGACGAGGAATTAGCACCCACACTCGGCACCACCTATATGAGCTCCGGAAGCTACAGAATCTGCCATCAGAACGAGATGCCATGTGCAGAAGTCCTTCGCTTGAATCACAGCTGAGATATTTTCCCGCCCTGGACATGATCAGCAGCAGGGATTGCCTGGAGTAGATTGAGGCTCCATACGGATCACCGTTCATTATTCAGCCGGTCTGTCGGTATATGGTGGCAACAAGCAATGCGAAGCAATGCAGCTTGACGAGCTTGTTGGAGGCGTCGGTACCGGAACATCGTTCCGTCGATATTGAGACCATATCTGTGATATCCGCCGCGACGATGCAACATATATCAGATTTTCGATTGCTTCATTTGCGGGTTTCCTCCTTGTCTCTTGCTTCCATACTCCACCAAGCGACATGTTGCCACTCACATACTTGCTGCTGATCAGTGCAGTGAGCCGACTAGCAAACGTTGGGGCCGAAGAAACCGGATAACGTGCAATACCCCATCGACATACGCTTCTTCCAACGGGACGCAGGATGATTCAACCCGCCATCAGCGCTGCCTCTGCAAAGTGTTCTCCAAACAGCATCGTGTCTCTCGCTGATGAAGGTGTCGACTCTGCCGTGCTCCACCCGACCACTGCCACGAATCTGAGCAATGTCGTAATCGTAATGCAAGGCAATCCACATTTCCCAAAGAATGACATCTAGGCTTCAAGCGCTTTTACAACACAACAGTGGGCAGCGGGAAGCTCCACCGGAAGCGAAGTGGCCTGCGTTGGTACACCTAACGTCGTGATTGGCTGGATAAACTCATATGGACAAGCTGGCGGTATGTCCTCCGGCGGTATGTCCTCCATTCATCCCTAACAACCCTCTCGCTCGCATGCTACCACGACTCTCTCCTGAGACGCCAACACAGCCAAATGGAGCCGCGGACGACGGCCGTCCGACATCTAACCTCCTCCACCCCGACAGACAGCTCCATCTCCCACCTCAAACTCTCAATCTCACCCCTTGGAACCACCGCCTCTCTAACTCCAACATCTCCATCTCAAATAGCATGGCAACACAACAGACCACCAATCCCACGGTCTCCCCCATCCGCTCTCTCTCTCTCTCTCTCTCTCTCTCTCTCTCTCTCTCTCTCTCTCTCTCTCTCTCTCTCTCTCTCTCTCTCTCTCTCTCTCGCTCGGGGCCCAAAACCCAAGCCTCCTTCGTCAAAGTTTCGAAAATCCCCATCCGACGACAATCTCCATCATCGACGCAGTCTATATAGTGTGCCCGTTTCGAATCCTGGATCGGGAGGGCCCAGGGTCTCGCGAAGAAGATAGATCACAGGGCAGAAAACAATTCGCGCTTGTAATGTTAGATTCCCGAATCTCTGAGAATGGATTCTGTCACTGGACGACTGAACAATTCATTCTACCGTCAATGTGGTAAGATTATAGAATGGGTGAATCGGACGCGTTTCATGCCCGGGCATGGGAGCTGTGTATTACGAACGTGAGTTTCTTTCTTCTTGCTTGTTTCAGGTCATACATCGTTGATGTTCTTCTTTTTTTTTTCCGATATGGCAGCCTTGCTGGTACGAACGATGTCGGCTTGCCCCATCTCACGCACACCAAAGAAACCCCATTAATCGTCGAATGTAACACGGGTGCTTTATGTCATGCGAGAACATCAGCTTCGAGAAATAATCGAAATAATACCTCAAGAGTCCTAGCGGCTCCGGGTTGTGATCAGTTTCAATGCGCAACGGCAGAAGTGAATCCTGATTTCGGGGGTTGGAATATGCAAATAGGACAATATATGCCCTTGAATGCACTTCGTGAAAGTGTTTGAAAAGAAACGGTGGCTTTATCCAACCCTAGCAATACAAGGCCGTCACAGAATATCCAAGTCTATCAGTTCGTCTTTTGTGTTGTCCAAAGATGTTCCTCGTTCGCTCCTTCATACTCTTACAGCGCCTTTCCACCGCGGAACGTTCTTCTCTTCCCAGAAATCCTAGCCAAAACCGGCGTAACAGGGAATCGGATAGCACAGAATCAGCGGTAGCAGCCGTCGAGATAATAGTCCGAAGTGCGAAGACGCTTTACATGTTCCCACCCTCTCTTCTTCCATGCGTGCCTGCTCTTCGGCAAGCTTGTCATCGACATGACTCATTCTCGGCATCGGGAAGGAATCTCTGCTCGCGTATCCATACGACGTGTCACGCTGCGCAGACGCATGCATGATAAGTCGTCTCGACGAGTAGCATCGCTGCCGCCCAATGGCTGTGGTCCCGGTGCCTGTCAAGATGCCGGAAGAAGTGGTATCTACACAGTTCCAAGCGAAGACACTTCGCGATAGATGCTATTCCAAGTGTCGTGCTGTCCAAGTGGTCGTGCTATCCATCCTGGCTAAGGGCTGAACCTGGATAAGCTTGCTTGCCATGGTTGAATGTGCTGTAGCGGTCAAGCGGTCGACAATGCTAAAGAGCGTGCCTTTAGAGCAGCATTGTATAGAAGGACTGCTCGAAAGCCATGTCACCTGGAAACGGCGCACCCAAGGCCCGTGTGAGCATCAGGGCTTTGGGAAATCCGCATATGCGTCGACTTGACGATGCCATCGACGTCCATCGGTGGTGCGAGGTCGAGTCCAGATTACACTCGCAGGCGAATGGTATCGCCTACTCGCATCTCTCCACATCCTTTCTCAGGGTGGTACGAGCACTGTGCGAACTCGATCGATCCTCTTTTGTGCGGCTTCCAGCTTTTCCAATCTCCTTCGACGGTCCAGCTCACGCTGCTCCATGACTTGCAGTCTCTGCTTGAGTATCTGATTTTCTCTCGTCATAGCCTCAGCTGCACCTCCACCGCCGCTCTCGAGCGCCTTGATTTTCTCCTTCAGCGCCGCATTCTCCTTCCGCTCGGCAGCGACCATATCGTTGGCTTGCTGGAAAAGTGTAACACTGAGTTCTTCTACCTCGAGATTCACATCTTTCACCTTCTTCTCAGCTTCCGCTCGCGCTCTTTGCTCTTTCGCGAACGAGGCCTCCAATTCTTGCTCCCGTGCAGTAGGACCTGTGGGCGTGGCCGACGGTGCAGGAGGAGGTTTGCGCATGAAACTGCCAAAGCGTGAAAGGCCAGGCGGCGGTGCCGCTGGCGAATGTTCTGAATCAGGAGTCGGTGGTATAGAGGACGCAGTATTGTGGCGTTCCTGCTGTTCGCGCATGCGGGTCTTTAGGACGCGAATTTCGTTCTCGTAATCTGCGAAGCGCTGGGCTGTAGAAATAGATACGATGTCAGTAAGATGGATCTCCACTGCCCCTCCGCGCCTTGTACGCCACGGAGGAGGGTATTCCGAATGCACGTACAAGCAGAGGTAGCCTTTTCGGCCAGTATAGCGTTCTGTTCCTCCAGATCCTTCACGCGCATCCTCATCATCTGTTCGGCCTTTGTCTCGACGTCCAGCGACGAGTCGTGAGCCGAATCATGCAGTACCCTCCGCGGTCCCGCGACGTGGTGCTGAATGTAGCCATTTCCATTGCCATTGCCATTAGCAGGCGTGGCATGGTCTGCCATGACACGGTGGAGGACAGTGTTCAGTCAGCGCGCCAGCCACAGGCGGCATTGAGCGCGTGTGAACAGGGGCCAAGGCGCAGGACTCCGTGCTTCCCGATGCGGCCACACGTAGGCGTAGGAAAGGCCTCCGAAGGTGGAACTGGTCTGTACCTGAACTGGAGACGCGGTGATGTAAGTCAGTGATGGGGGCCGACTGGGCCAGTTGGTGACGTTTCAGGGTGCAGTCGCAGGCGGGTCGCGCCGTGGAGAATGAGGTCCCGAGTCTGTGACTCCCCTAGTCTGCTGAAAGTTGTGGGTAGACCCGGAGGCGGCTCCGTCTCCGCAACATCACTTTGTTAGAGTTCAGCTGCATGCGTTGACGCGGTTTGCGCGTTCTCCGCAATTCACGTGGAGCAGGACTAGATGACGCAGGTCGCTCTGGAACGGACTGTAGGAGAATTCGCTTCATTCCTGGCCCCAAACCTAGGGGTTTAGATGATGGGACGCAATCCTGAACTGTTTGTCATTTGTTGAGATCGATCTCTTCTCCGACCTCTCCATAGACAAAGCAAAAAGCGAGTCGTCCCTTTGCTGCCCCGGCCAGGTCTCTCACTATACGACATGGAAGAAGGATGTCAATCAAGCATCATGTCGTGGTGGAAGGGAACCTCATCACACAGCTGTTCTGATTGTCGTCTGTCCGACTTCCCGTTGCCTAGAACTCGCTAGATCTACCACGAGAGAAAGCGTGTAGAACAGCGAACAAGAAACCCACCAATAGCGTCATTCACTTACCGTGGCATGCTGCATCTCCATGACGCTACAGTATTGGAGCATCTGTGAAGTCGTCCCATACCTACGGACTGATGTCATTTCTTCCCCAGCATCCCATTCGTCTGACAGGGGTGCAGATGTACCTCAGCTTCAGAACTCGGTGTAAGAGATACACGAATTGCCTCGAGGATGGGCCGGCGTTGGGCCTTTAGGTGTCTGAGACGAGATCAACAGCGTGAGCAATTGACCTGGACAAGGCTTGTGTGGTTGTCACTCCATAGCGCGCCCGGCCTTCGGCCGTGGCTATGACTTCACTGTCCATGGGTGTCGACAGACAATAGTTAGATGTATCCATCGCTGACACGCTTCCAGCAGTAGACTTGGTAGAGATGTACGCCCCACTCCCGCGGTACGCATACAAGGCGCGGCTATCACTGCGTACACGAGGCAGAGCGGCGCCTGGTCTTGGGGTCCGCAGTTATTCGCCGTATTGATACGATATACTGTCGAGAACCCGGCGTGTATGGTGCCAGATAGTCCCTAGATCCGGCAGGGAAGACCCACCTTTTACTGAATTAGGAATCGACGGTATTGCGTACACATAATGTGGTTCCGAGTGGAGGCCTTGCCGGACCGAAGCTCGCGCGAGACGTATCACAAGGCTGCGGACCAAACTCCGAGCGACTGGAGACCACTCCGTCGGTGAGTAATGTGCAACCTCAGGCGCGAATAGCGAGGGCCAATTTCTTGCGAGAGGAGAAAAAGGTGTGCACAGCCAGTGGCTGACAGCCACAGATCGTTAGTCTCGGGGACGATCGACCGATGGTGAGACTTATCCGGCGGCAGAGACCCAATCACCGCGGGGCTCGCAGGCCACCGAAGTTCGTGTGCTTCACATCCTTACCGTTGCTGCTCGTCGCCTGCCTATGACATCTGCTGGCGGAGCTGAGCCCGAAGCAGAGAATCTATCACCTCGACAGATTCAACGAGATCCCTCGCGCGTTGCTGTTAGGCAAGCAAGGCCATCCCAGATTCCTTGGAGGGGAAGCAACCACCGCGGCTCAAAAACACCAACAAGCTTCGGTTCTCAGGCGCGTGGCAAATACTTTCCTGCCTCCACCACGCAGCACAACAATACTGCAAAGCATTCGTGCAACGATTTGAGGAAGGGCGGCTTCGGTTCGCTTGGCGTCACTTGAGGCTTTCAGGTCTCCACAAGGTGGTGCGACAGGTAGCCAGCACCCGCCAGCACGACGCAAAGTTCGCCACTGCACACCAAACATCTGGTCCAAACCGCAACTCCACGGCTCCGTCACTCAGAAACCAACAGATTCCTTCTCCAAGCCGACAAGGTAACGGCCTCCATCCAAAATCACATGTATTCGCCACGTCGTGGTGAAGCCGAGTCGGCAGCTTCAGCGGTTACGGACTCCGTCTTCGAGCCACCCTCCGGCTTCATGTTCGATGATGAGACTGCGCTCGACGCCGAGGAGATTAGCAACATGCAGCGCAACATTGCCTCGCTCAATGTCATGAATCACAATGACTCCGGGTTCCCGACAATGGGTGCCATGCAGTAAGCACTCGCTCCTGCCACCAAAGAGATGGCACATGCTGACACCACTCCCAGCGGTAACGGTATGAGCGAACAGTTTTCGCCAGGTTTTGTGAATCCTTTCCTCTTTGACCAGGTCGACGTTTCGCCTGATTCGCCCTCATGGCACGCTGGTTCATCGACCATGGACATGCGGCCGCAGTCGATGCAAGAGGACATCGTCAACAGCCGCGGCGCCAGCGTGGCCCATCACTATGGGCAGGTCACTCCACCAGACGATTCCACCCCTAAAGCCTTCTCTTCTATGCCCACACAGCACCAACCCACACCTCCCGCACAGTCGATACCGAACGCGAAGTCGGAACGTGCTCGCAACGCAGCCAACCAGAGGCACGCAAAGGCAAAGAAGGCGAGGAAGGACAGCGGTCGCAGTGCTGGCACTCCCGACGATGAGGGCGATGAGGTCGAGGACAAGCGTGAGAGATATCGTGAGAAGAATCGGGTAGCGGCCGCAAAGTGTCGCGCGAAGAAGAAGGTAAATACAGACGACCTAGAGCAGTCAGCTAGAGAGGTGACGGCGAAGAATACGAGACTGAAGGCTGAAGAGAGAGAGCTTCGGGACTTATTCTCGAGCCTGCGCGATCAAGCGCTCGCGCATGACCCAACGCAGGGCTGCACCTGCCAGACGATACACCAGTACAATAGACACAAAGCCCAGGAGACAGCACGGGGCGTGATGACCGGCTTCGGCGTCCAATCGCCATCACAGCAGAGTGCAGATTCTGGATCGCCGAGCACGATCGCATCCTCAAGAACACATTCCTTCTCCGGTGGTCGGTCGCAGTCCATCAAGCATCCAGCACGGGCCCAGTCAATGGTTAGTGCCATGGGCTTTGCACCACCAGGAACAACGACAGGCGACATGATGAGGCAGGGTTTGGCGACGGCGAGCGACGGCGATGGCTTTTCTGAGTATTTGCATAGGTCTTCTGATGTCCAGCAAGGCGGCTTTATTTGATCTCTGAGTACGGGGAGTCCTTCTTAAGGCGCATTTGGTCCACGCAGGACATGTGAAAGGAAGAATGAGAAGTCACAGACTCAACCAGAAGGACGGCGTTCTTGTCTTGGCCAAAATCGAGCATGATCGACGAGTATACGGTCGATAGATTCCAGCAACCCGGCTCCGGCCCGGTCGGATCTCACTTGATGAACGCCCCACAGCATGGAGCGGAGTGCTGTAATAGTAAAGGCAGCGGCAACGGGGAACATGGCGTATACGGTGTTGATAGTTGTCCGACAGACCAGCAATTTAAGATTTAAAAGCCAGTGCATTCTCGTCTGAATTCTCCTTATGTGAGCGTTGACCAGCAAAGGGGAGTTACTGCCGTGCGGGTGACTCTGGGTCTCCGTCATTCTGACAGGTGTGCCAAGGGCTCTGGTTGGACAGGCGTACGGTATGGCCGGCGCCGCGCTTGCTGACCAGAGCGCCATCCCGCGTCGAGATAATCCTGTCGTACTTGTGCTGCAAGGCTTGCTGCGAGAGCACAGAACACGCCAACGCAGGCGCAAGAAGACTCGAGTATGAAACATCTGGTCATCTCAAGATGGCGGGTGATCTGTGTCTTCGTGTCGTCTCTATCTTTCGTTGTCCTCGTGGCCGCGATCCGGAAAGTCACCAGTGTCTCTGGCAGCCAGTCTAGAGCTCATGTTCGTGCGGGTGGGTAGCTTCAATGCCCGATCCCTTGGTCGAGTGTGGTAAGGTACCTTATGGTTCCGGTTCCACCTGGTGGGGGTCGAATTCGGTGAATTTTGTATTCCCATGCAGGCCTCAGGATTCATCCCGGCTGCTCGCATGTTCGAAGCAAAATTGGGACATGAAACGTCTCGCGTCCTTGAAAATTGTATTTCCGCATTATTGTTGTCGAAGAAATGCGTGTTCCAAGGACGCCAGAGCGTTCGGCGTTCGCGGCTGTGCTGGTGAAGCTGCTGGCGTCGCAATTTCACCGAGCGTCGACGCCGCAACCATGGGAGCCACGCCTTGCAGCCGACGGCGGGCTCTGGCGAACAACCGTCGTAGTTCAGAAAGCGTCGACAGGCATATGTATTCGTGACGATGACCTGCAAAGTGTCGAGCTGAATTTTGGATGAATTGTAGGTGGGAGTGTCGGTGGCAAGATGGACGGGCGAAGACGAGATTGCAAGACAGCAGCAGACACGGCGGAACCTTGGAAGTGTCTTGCGAGATCGTGATGCACTCTAAGACTCATGTGACTACGGTGTGGCAGGCCGCCGCCGAAACATCCGTGCGCATAGCACGAATCCATCGGAGCACCTCTGGCGTGGTGATGATGCACGAACTATGCAAGCGCTACCCAACATATTATCCGGCGCCAACGCCAACGCGACATTTGGAACATTCGCCTTCCAAGCCTGCGGTACGTGGATGCGGACAATAATGTGAGGATTCCAGCCTGAGGCACTTAGCGGCCTTCTACTCAGCAACATGATCTGGCTCTGCGATTAAGAGCAACAATGAGATTGCCAGGGTGGCCCTATGTCGAGCTGGTGCCAGTGGCCGACTGGCATTTACGGTTGTTAAAATTCCATTTTGAAGTAGAATGCCGTTCCTCAGAATCACAGATCGTCTTGACTCCTGGCGACCAACAGCGTCAGTCATGCGGGAAACGTCGCACTACACACTGGACAGTCTGGCAAAGAAGTCGCGGTACAGACTCTGATGCTCTTACATCATCTCGACTTGCAACCTGAGCACTTCAGCCACGCAACAGCAAAGCATCAACATCTGAAGGTCAATGAGTTTCTTGAGAGCTGGAAGACAGGCACTAAGAAGACCTCTTGTATCGACACTCGTTGCAGTAGGAATTGCCTTCCTTGTGTGTTATTTCGGAAACGCTGATTCGAACAAGAACCCGGCCACTGCACGCAAGATGCATATCGAGTCTATTCCCATGTGTAAGAAGGGCCATCAAGGTGCCATTTGCGATTGCTAAGGTATACATAGGGGAGGGTAGTGGTAACAACTATGCCTATCGTATGTATACCTGCTAGTTTCAAAGCGGAAGCACGAACACTGATCACAGCCAGTCGTTACGGATGACAAGACGAGGGACGCGGTCATTATCGACCCAGCCAATCCCTCAGAGTATGTGTCTTAACTTGTGCGGCGAATAGCTCATTGGCTGACTCCATCCGAGAGTGCTACCACAGTTGAAGAAGGCTGTCGACAGCGGCATCAAACTGAAGCACATCATCAACACACACCAGTCAGTGATCCTAGGTTTCTGCCACTTGAACAATTGATCTGAATACGAAGTAGTCACCATGACCATGCTGGCGGTAACGATGAGATGGTGAGACACTCTCAATGACACTCGGAGGACACCAGCGCTCACCCTGTACAGCTGCAAACCTACCAAGTACCCATCATCGGCGGAAAGGACTGCGCCAAGGTGAACAAGACACCCAGCCATGGAGAGACTTTCAACATCGGCGAAGGCATCAAAGTGAAGGCCCTCCACACGCCATGTCACACTCAAGACAGCATCTGCTACTTCTTCGAGGACGGCAACGACCGAGCAGTTTTCACAGGAGACACTTTGTTCATCGGCGGTAAGCTCTGGCCTCCTTTGTCTGACAAGTCTAGCAACTACTTACATTGATGCAGGCTGCGGTCGGTTCTTCGAAGGCACGCCAGAGGAGATGGACAAGGCTCTCAACAAGACGCTCGCCGCTCTGCCCGATGATACCAAGGTCTTCGTAAGTCTTCAGACTGGGTTCAGTGTTCCAGACACGTACTGACAGCTTGGAGCCTGGCCATGAGTACACCAAAGGCAATGTCAAGTTCGGCATCAAAGTGATTCAGTCAGACCCGATCAAGAAGCTTGAATCGTTTGCGACGGCCAACAAGCAGACCCAGGGAAAGTTCACCATCGGTGATGAGAAGCAGCACAACGTCTTCATGCGTCTCGACGTGGGTCATGGCCCCTTTTATTCATGTGAGACGGAACTAACAAGACCCAGGATCCCACGGTGCAGAAATTCACAGGCAAGACGGATCGTGTGGATATGATGGCGGCATTGAGGGAGGCGAAGAACTCAATGTAATCAGCCGGAAGTACGCTGCGGCGAATCTTAGAGTTCAATCGAGCGGTGGGCGGTGACAAGACGAAAGAAATGACTACCATCATCCCCAGTCACGACAGCGCTCATATGACTCTCTTTCCGGTCGTCAAAATTGATGCGTAATTGATTAAGCTCTCAATCAACTGCTGTGCCCCGCGATTAGACATGTAGTCGAACGGCAATGGCACAGTCATCGACATTTAACCTACAACTTGACCTTGCTCTGACCGGGTTCTCTTCTTTTCTCTCTTCTTAAAAACTCCAGAAATGATCCTACGAATACGAAAGTGAGCGCTGTCTTAAACGAGCCTAGGAATATCAACAAGATGGCAACGAGGGGCGAGCGGTATAAACAGACGCCGCAGGACCGCCGAGCAGGCGAGTCGGTATATGAGCTTCCATCGCAAGAAATTGAGGCTTCTAACTGACTGTCCTACTCAACAGGCGCTCAGCGAGTTCGCCGACTATGTCCAACAGCAGCAAGCCCTGCGAAAACCTCCCATTTCCGGCAAGGCGACAGCAGCCAATGGTGCTGCTAACGATCCTCCCAAGCAAGAGCATGCTGAGCTCGACATCCTTGATACCCTCGATCTTGCAGACGACAAGCCTAAGGTCCGAATAAAACACCTTCTTCTTGACAACTCCGAGACAAAAGATGAGAGCATAAAGCAGCTCAAGGACATCCTTGACGCGCGGCTAGAGGAGGGGCATGGAGAGTGCTTGTTCGATGTCGGTCTGGAGGACAACGGAGACAGTCAACTGTTGACTGAGCAGGAATGGGAAGCTGCCCTGGCACGGTTACATGTCGTTCTTGAGCAGTTCAAAGCGGACTGGAAGATTCTCATGACCAAGAATGTCCCGAACAGCGAGGTGGATGTGGGCAATGAGCTCAAGAAGGAACGCGGATGCGTCGGCAAGCTTATGATCAGACGGCGGCCGGAAGATGTTGACGACACGATCGAGACACGGATAGCGGTGGTCGGCAATGTCGATGCTGGCAAGAGCACGTTACTGGGAGTCCTCGTTAAGGGCGGATTGGACGATGGTCGAGGAAAGGCGCGAGTCAACCTCTTCCGACACAAGCACGAGATGGAATCTGGGCGAACGTCGTCCGTGGGCATGGAAATCATGGGCTTTGACACGAAAGGCGAGGTTGTAGTCTCCGGAGTGCCAGGCCGCAAGCTCAGCTGGGAAGAGATTGGAAAGCGAAGCGCGAAAGTCATCTCGTTCACTGACTTGGCCGGACACGAGCGCTACCTACGGACTACAGTCTTCGGCCTCCTTTCCAGCGAGCCCAACTACTGCTTGCTGATGGTTGCGGCCAATAACGGCCTGATTGGAATGTCGAAAGAGCATCTTGGTATTGCCCTCGCTCTGAATGTCCCGGTCATGGTGGTCATCACGAAGATCGACATCTGCCCTCCTCAGATCCTCTCGCAGACGCTGACGCAGCTTCAGAAGATTCTAAAGTCTCCTGGAGCGCGAAAGATTCCCATCTTTATCAAGAATCGGGAGGAGTGCGTTAACACTGCAACTCAATTCGTGAGCCAGCGCATCTGTCCGATATTCCAGGTTTCCAACGTCACTGGCGAGTCTCTGGACCTTGTAAGGGAATTCCTCAATATACTGCCCCATCATGGCAAGTACGACATCGATGCGCCGTTCGAGTTCCACATCAACGACACCTTCTCTGTTCCATTCGTAGGTACGGTTGTCTCGGGTGTGGTCAAGTCTGGTGTGGTCCATGCAGGTGATACCGTTCTCGTGGGTCCCGACAGCTTAGGACAATTTGCTACTACAACCGTTCGTTCCATTGAGCGAAAACGCATTGGGGTGCCTGCATGCTCGGCTGGCCAGAGTGCTAGCTTTGCCCTTCGCCGAGTGAAGAGGAAGGATGTCCGAAAAGGAATGGTAGTCCTACTTGCGAAGTCAGACGCCAACCCCAACCTCCAAACACCGGAGCCGAAGGTGCACCGCGAGTTTGTTGCTGAGGTCTTGATCCTGTCTCACGCTACGACCATTAGGACCAAGTACCAGGCGATGCTGCATGTAGGACCTGTCTCCCAGACCTGCGCCATCATCGACATCGACCGATCGTACATTCGAACTGGAGACAGAGCGACGGTGGCGTTCCGCTTCGTCCAAAGGCCTGAGTTCCTGGCTGTTGGCGATCGTATCCTGTTCCGTGAAGGAAGAACGAAGGGACTTGGTATAGTGAAGCAAGTCGGTTACGATCCTTCGAAACCACTGAATCCAAATCCTTTGGCGCAGGAGAAGCCTGAGGAGGATAGCCGGACTGCGGTCGAGGCGAAGGGATGAGGTTATGCAGATCATGGGTTATGAGCGATGAGGCACTTGCGTGGCTGATCATGGAAGGCACTGGTGAAACGGCACTGACAGAAGGGGGCGGCATGGGTCCTGACCTAGATTGGTTTTAATTTTCATTCATTGGATTTATGGATTTGTATACATCGGAGACTGCAACCATCCTGAGGAGAGCTGGTTGTTTCTCAATAAAGGACTAACGGAGCTTCAAATACTTCCTCATACATGACTTTATTCCTTAAATCCAATACCCAAAATATGAAACAGCGATGGTGTATCTCAATATTCCTATATTCGACCCACAGAGGCACCACGAAGTAATAGCACAGCAGCTCAAGGCACTCTAAAATTTGCCCATCCGAAATCCCATTTTCTACATATATGTAAACGCTCGCTACTCATACTCATGTCACCGCGCAGCTCAATTTCCCGCAGTTTCTGCCCAAACCCAGAGATTTTTCAACCGAAATGATTTGTGCTGCTGCTGCTGCTCTCGATGTATGCTCCGGACGCCTCGGTCATCATCATCATCAACGTTGGTTCGCTCAAAAGAACAAAACCTCGTCATCCTTCCAGTCCATTTCTTTCAACGCTTCTCGGGTACTCTTCTCCATCGGTCCCGGACCACAGACGAGTACCATGCTCTCTCCGTCTCCTTTGCCGTCTTCTGTCACGGATCTTTGGACGTATTGCTTCAGGAGCGGCCCGGCGATCCTGCCCCTCAGACCAGTCCAGTCGTCGGGCGCCTGGGTCAGAGTGTGATGGACAACGCCCCTTCCCTTGCCCGCTTCGACGAGGGCATCGAGCTCATCCTTGAGCAGGATGTCTTCCAGGAAGCGGTTGCCGTCGAGGACAACGCAGCGTGTTGCGTCTTCGTCATCTTGCATTATAGCCCGGAAGATCTGGAAGATGGGCGTGATGCCCGAGCCTCCGCAGATCATGTAGAAGGTCTTGATGTGTCGTGGCGGTTTGGCGTCGTTGATGGTACAGAGGCCTCTGCCGAGGTATTGGAATTTCCCTATCGGCCCTTTGACGTCTACAAAGTGACCGATCGGTAGGGCGTCGAGGGCCATGGACATCTTGCCCCCTTCTCTGGTGTCGGTTTTGTTGTAGATCTTGATGAGGATGTCGAGGTATCCGGACTTGCTCTCCATGGAGATGGGCGTGTAGCTACGAATGATCGCTTCGCGGGTGACGGGATCCCGGAGACGCACCATGAGATGTTTGCCCGTGGGCAGTCCGGGAACTTGTGCATCGTGTTCGAGCTTGAAGGTGAAGACGACGGTGTCCCAGGATACTTGGCGCCGGGCATGAAGGATGACTTTCTTCCAGGCTTTAGGATGGAGCAGTGTTGCCGATGGCTCAGCAGTAGCATCGGGTTGGGCTTCTACCCCTGCGAGCGCTTTTGCACCTGCCGTATCTAACGTGCCGATGTGGTGGTCTGGCATCATTGCTTTCGCGGTTTCGGAATCTAAAATGGGAGTTAGCAGAGGATAGTGGAAGAGGCAGTGCTGCACTCACGTATAGCCATGAATTCATCCGTCGTGTCCATTCCCGCGGCAGAAATGATGCTCTGCGCTCCACCAGGATGGCCTTCCAGAAAAGCTGTGCCATCGTACACTTCTCCATTGACCACAAACCACGGTTTCTCGTCGCCGTCGTGTTTTCGTAGCTCGTCAATCGTGATCTCGTTCTTCACACCTTCCTTCGTCATCTTGATCTCCACCGCCGCCTCAGTGACAGCCTCACTGGCATCCTCCCCGCCAATCTGCTCTCCCCAGTAGCCATTGGTGAGGTTGCCGCCTGCCTTCTTCACCCGTTCCATCCAGCCGCCGGGCATCAAGGCTGGTTGCGTTGGATGCTCAAAGCGAAGGTAGTCATTCTCTTTAGCTACGGTGATACGATACCACGGGTTATTCATCATACCGAGGACACTCCAGTACATGTCACGGGGTTGCATGTTCATACTTTCGTCCATAGCCCGTACCAAGATGTCCTTGCAATCAGCGAGTTCTGATACGGCAATGTCGATGTTCCAGAAGCACCAGCAGAAAGACGCTGCTCGCCAGCCAAAATCCAGGGTACCGCCAAATAGCTGTTGAGGCTCTGCATCTCGGTAGCGATCTTCGACGTATTCGATGTTAGCTAGTCTCCAGTCTTTGCCTTTGTTGATTGATATTTCGACGCGAGTGACTCTCCGACCGCCGCCGCCGTAAGCATATCCCTTTACTCGATAGTTCTCGGGTGCTCCCACCACGCAAAGCTGTTCCTCGTGCGCAGGGTACGCAATGGCAGAATTTGTGCCCAGATCATATATGGCGTATCTCTCATCTTTCCACCACTCTGGCTTCTTTGCTGATTCTTCGGGGGAGACCATGGTGGGCAAGACTCGATTATCGTAGATGTGGTACCAGTTATCGCTCGGCTCAGCCGTGACAATCAGTTTCTTCAGCCACTTCACGCTTCGACCACCGATCTGACCAGGAACGACGACCCGTAGAGGCTTACCATGGTCGGGTCGAAGGACCTCGCCATTCATGCCATGAGCGAGCATGAAGCCTCTGTTCTCATCCATGACCCAGTTGAGCTTGACTGAGGTGCCATAATAACCATTCGGTAACTTGTCCGCGCCTTCCATGGATACGTATCGTGCTCCCCTGTTTGGCTTCGCCTTTTTTAGTACATCTGCCATGATGACGCCGGTAAAAAGGGCGGTCGAGACTCCAGCTGGCCCCCATGAGAAACCCTTGGTCTTCCGTACAACATTTTGCTCCTTGCGCCGATTGCCAGCGCACGCGAGAGTGATGGGATACGTATGCTGGTCGTACTCCTTCATCAGTTGACGAACGGTCAAGGTCATTGGGTTTTCGACCATGCCTTCGATGGTGAATTCCCAATCTGGAATGTCCTCATCTCTAACTTGCGGAACCGGTCCATGATTGCGGACGTAGAATAGCTCTGGGCTTGTTAGGAACCCCTCGTTGTAGAGATCGGATAGCGGAGCTTCAACGTTGAAAGGATGTGCTCCGGTGAGACGTATTAGCCTTGGGTCTCTTGCTAGCCAGCGATCTGGTGTCTTCTGATCTGGCTCCAGGATGTTGGTGGGTATCGTTGTAGACGGTGGCAGAGGGAAGTCGACATGTGTAGCCCCCGACGGTCGTTCGCGTTCTGCATTTTCGCTGTCGCTACGCTCAAGATCCGAGTCGGGAGGAGTGAGAGGAAGGTCTGATGTTCTGCGCAAGTGCTTCACATCCTCGTGTGTAATTGTAGATAGAGACATTGTTAAGGACATGATTTCCAGAGAGCAAAGAGAGTACCCGGGTGCGCGTTGGCTACAATGAACCCAGCGGTTACAATGAATCGAGCGGTAATGTGCTTGTGGCGGAGAAAAGCAAACCAGAGGTCCAAGATATAGGCTTAGCTCAGTGTGCCATACTGGAGTTGTTTTTACAATTATTACACGGTTACACGCAGCGAAGCCGTCCAGGCCGGCATTACGTTGGTCAGACCGCTGGTTTTCCAGCCGCTATAAGGAGGGATCTGGCGAGGAGATGCATCACCATAAAGCAAACCAAGTAGTCATCATCGTACTGTGGCTGCATGGCATGCTGTCGTTGCAGGCGACAGCGACGGTATGCCGCGGAAGAACACGACCAGCTCGCCAGCGCCGAGTGTCCCGATGGCCACGATCAGGTTGCCATTTGCTTTGGCAGGCGGAGAAGTAACATGGTTGGGGGTGGTCGTCGGGCCATTGAGAGGTCGTCTCGTTCCTTATCTCTGTCGACGAAAGCGGTAAGGTGGACGGAGGTTCTCACCCGCACACCGCATGGGTGAAGGTTGTTTCGGGCTCGTCGCATACAGCCTAGACAGCCATGAATTGTTGTTCCTTGTTGCCATTGATCTGAGCCGTTCGCGTGACAATTCATGCTTGCGGCATTTTACGATTCGTCAACGTCGAGCAAGCCTCCAGGTAGATGGGAAAAGTCTGGCGGAAGCGGCGGGAACGCTATCCATGCTGATCCTCCCGGCGCGCCGCTTAAGAGTGAGGTTGAGCCTCAGGCGCGCTAGGAGCGGAGAAATGATCCTCCGTGGTCTTGGCATCCTTCGACTAATTTGGGCTTATCCTTATCCTTATCAGTGCTCCCCGCGTCCATGTTCTTATCAATAACCACCACCTTATCAGTCTCAGCAATGCCCCTCGGAAATAGGCTCGACAGGCTGCGAATGCTTTTGCTCCTCTATCAGCATCCGCGCTGCCCATTGTCTGCCCTCTCGTTGGCCCAGAGCGATGCCTGCCTCACTGGCGACAGCCCTCACCTCGCTTCTCCGAGGCAGCACGCATTGGGTAATGTCCATTGCCACGAGACAGCCCGCTCTTCTCGCCATTCGTGGGCGTGATGTCAGGTGAAGTAAAGTATATCCTGACTATGTCTAGTCCTCCATATTCCCACCTTGTTCCGTCACCCTCTCATTTACTTCTCCCAGCTCTTTCCCCTCCTTGTGTTGCTCCCGATCAGGTCGACCAAGATGAGCAACAGCGAGTGGAACGATCCCGAGGCCAATGTGCTTCCGGAGAAGATCCAAGAGTTGGAGCAGAATGGCGAGCTGCCCAAGGATACGAAGAGGAAGAGAGTCGTGGTGGTAGGCTTGGGCATGGTGGGCGTGGCCTTCATTGAGAAGCTTCTGAAGCTCGACGCGAAGAGACAAGAGTATGAAGTGATTGTGATTGGAGAAGAGCCTCACCTGGCCTACAACAGAGTCGGCTTGACAAGCTACTTCCAGCATCGAGAGGTCGAGAACTTGTACCTCAATCCGGCGTCCTGGTACGCTTCGATGCCAGAAGGCTCTCTGAACTACCACCTCAATACACTAGTGACGGACTTGGACACCGAGAACAAGACCGTGAGCACGGCCCAAGGCACGACAGTGCCATACGACATTTGCGTGCTCGCAACTGGATCCAACGCCGTTCTGCCTAGACACACTCCCGGATACGACGCAAACGGTGTCTTCGTCTATCGCACCATTGACGACCTGCAAAAGCTCATCCATTTCTCATCTTCGAGGACGGGCACGGTGGGTGCCGTAGTGGGAGGCGGCTTGCTGGGCCTCGAGGCCGCCAAAGCGATGATGGATCTTGAAGAATACAGCAAAGTGAAGCTTGTCGAACGCAATAGATGGGTACTCAGCAGGCAGCTGGACGGAGACGCAGGAGGCATGGTGGTCGAGCAAGTGCGACAGCTGGGCCTCGACGTCTTGCTCAGCAAGCGAGTGGGCAAGATCAACACAGACGAGAAGAACAACGTCACCGGCGTTACCTTCGAAGACGGAGAATCAATGGAATGCAGCACCATCTGTTTTGCTATCGGCATAAAGGCACGAGACGAACTGGCAAGGACATCCGGCATCAAGTGCGCTGATCGAGGCGGTGGCATCATCATCAACGAAAGTCTGCTCACATCAGCACCCGACGTCTTCGCTATTGGCGAGTGTGCTAGCTGGGAAAGCCAAACATTCGGCTTAATTGCTCCCGGTGTTGAGATGGCGGATGTCTTAGCATTCAATCTCACCCAGGCCAAAGCACATGCACCAAGAAAGTTCAAGCGACCCGACCTCAGTACAAAGTTGAAGCTGCTGGGCGTAGAAGTCGCAAGCTTTGGCGACTTTTTCGCGGATCGAGACGGACCAAAACAATTGCCAGTCAGGCGGCATGGTAAGAAGGAAGGGACCCAAGATACGAGCGACAAGGTCAAGAACCTTACTGAAGGCCCTCCACCCTCGCCGGTCAAGGCACTAACGTACAAGGACCCCTTCCAACAGGTCTACAAGAAATATCTGTTCACCATGGACGGGAAATATCTGCTCGGAGGCATGATGATTGGCGACACCAAAGACTATGTCAAGCTTGTTCCCATGGTGAAAAAGCAAACGCAACTCGAGGTGACTCCATCGGAGTTCATCCTTGGCAAGAACTCCGGCGACGACGACGCCGACGATCTGGACGACGATACGCAGGTTTGCTCTTGCCACAACGTGACCAAGGGCGATATCACTAAAGGCGTCAAGGACGGCACTTGCAAATCCATTGGCGACGTGAAAACGTGTACCAAAGCTGGCACAGGCTGCGGAGGCTGTATGCCTCTCATCCAAACAATCTTCAACAAGGGTATGGCGGATATGGGTGTGGAGGTCAAGAACCACCTCTGCCCGCACTTTGAATACTCCCGCGCCGACCTGTTCAACATCGTCTACGTCAAGAAGCTTCGATCGTTTGCTGAGGTGATGAAGGAAGCCGGCAAAGAAGCCGAAGCAGCAGGTTGCGAGGCTTGTAAGCCTGCTATCGGATCTATTCTCGCATCTCTCTACAACAAGCCCATCATAGACGAGGACCACCGAGGACTGCAAGATACCAACGATCGCTTCTTGGCCAACATTCAACGAAACGGTACCTTCTCCGTTGTACCGCGTGTCTCCGGAGGTGAGATCACGGCTGAGAAGCTGATCGTAATCGGCACCGTGGCGAGGAAATTTGGCTTGTATTGCAAGATCACTGGTGGTCAGCGAATCGACATGTTCGGCGCCAAAAAGCACGATCTCCCAGCCATCTGGCAAGAACTCATTGATGGCGGAATGGAATCGGGTCACGCATACGCCAAGAGTCTTCGAACCGTCAAATCTTGCGTCGGTACTACATGGTGTCGATTCGGTATCGGTGACTCGGTCGGTATGGCTGTGCGACTTGAGGAGCGATACAAGAGTGTGCGCTCTCCTCACAAGATGAAAGGTGGTGTCTCCGGCTGTGTTCGTGAATGCGCAGAAGCGCAGAACAAGGACTTCGGTCTCATCGCTACAGAGAAGGGTTTCAATCTCTTCGTCGGTGGAAACGGAGGTGCGAAGCCGAGACACAGCGAGCTGCTCGCGAAAGACGTACCTCCGGACGATGTCATTCCTATCCTCGACCGCTATCTGATGTTCTACATGCGCACTGCAGACAAACTCCAGCGGACGGCCCGATGGATCGAGAACTTGCCAGGAGGAATCGACTATCTGCGGAAAGTCGTGCTGGAGGACTCGCTTGGCATCTGTGCTGAGCTGGAAAAGCAAATGGAGGAATTGGTGGGCTCTTTCTTCTGCGAATGGACAGAAGTACTCAAGAGCCCCAAACGTTTGGAGCTCTTCCAACAGTTTGGAAACACCAAGGACAATGTCGACTCGATTGAAAAAGTCCCGGAGCGAGATCAGCAGCGTCCTGCGTATTGGCCCAAAGAGTCTGTCAAGGAGGACTTCAGGGGCACGAAGTGGTCTTCGCTTTCTTGGCAACCGATGGCACAGTGCCACCAGTTCACTGATTCTCCTACTGGCTCTTCATTGCCTATCAAGCGTGGCGACACCCAGCTTGCTCTCTTCAAGGTGAAGGGCAAGTACTACTGTACACAGCAGATGTGTCCCCACAAGCGCGCGTTCGTCCTTTCTGACGGTCTCATCGGCGAAGATCTTTCGAAGAACAAACTCTGGGTCTCCTGCCCTCTGCACAAACGCAACTATGGCCTTAATGGCGAGGGTGCGGGCAAGTGCGGCAACGATGAAGAAGTCAACATTGCTACTTTCCCAGTCGAAGCAAGAGACGATGGGCTCGTGTACGCCAAGTTGCCGCCTGTTGAGGAACTAGATTCAGTGCTTGGTACGAGCAAGTGGATGGTTAAGAAGGATGAGACCGAGAAGCCGGGTGATGGACCTTTTGAAAAGTTGGACAAGAGGTTCAAGATGAAGGGACGGAAGCCATTTGCTGCCAGTCACTTGCCTGGAGGACTGGGTGAAGAAGGCAAGGCGAGGCAGATATTGGCCGGCGGGGAGCGAGGAACTGGCGGAGGAATGGACTGGTAAAATTGGAGTTGAAATTGAAATGGTTTGATGTGTACACGATAGATGGCTTTGATGATCCCACATACAGTACTCGCTGAGAGGAGCAGATGGTACAATTGCTCGGAATGATGGCAAGACTATGAAACGTTTTCACACCAAAGCACGTTTCACAGTAAACTATGTACATTCACAAGGCTGGAGCGAGCCGGTCTTTGTAAGTCGTACGCTTCTTTCTAGTATGCTGGATCACCAAGTGCGGTAACACTTCCAGAGCATGTACGTTGATCACAGTGCCCGCTCGGTGTCAGCCATCCCCAGAGTGCTACCCTGATGTCGGCTTCCTGTGCTCAGGGCGTGGAACGGAGAGGGTGAAGACCTACCGACACCTTTCCCATTCGCGAAAACTTGCGTGGCATTGCCACTCATTGTCCCGATGGACACATCTGCAACAGTATTGCACGTGATGTTGAACGGAAGCGTTGCTTGTCCAGCTAATTCCAAACCACCAATATGCATGGCCATGTCCGCTGGGGATAGGCCCGAATAGCTGCTGCCATTATACGCTTATAGGGGACAGACAAGTTGTACCGAGAATTGCCTTTATCCGTCAAAAGATTTTCAACCTGTCTGTCCGCTGCTAGATAGTGACGTCGCAGTTGCTGAAAGCACTGTTGCATTGCATTGCAATTCGACCAGAGCAGGGCAGAGCACGCTGCCGATCAGTGAGCCAACTAGGCCATTGCATTGACGGGAATCATGGCCACAACAAGCAAGAAACTAACTAATGAATTAAGCCGAGGATTGCGTTTGGAAGGAGGGTATGATGCTTGTGAATAGACCTATTATTGTTGGCGGTGAATTGTCTGAGGCTGTCGGTGCGTGCTGTTCAGGCTTTGCAAGGGCAGAGTGGTCCGATTTTAGTAGTAAACCTACGCACCTTGAAAGTCTGTTACGCAGGGCAGGCCGCAGTGTCAGGGGTCTAGAGCATTCCAAATCGTCGAAGCCGTCATTCTGTCAAGACTCCTCTCTGAGTCCTGAAGGAGAGCATTGACTTGAGGAACAGCCTATGGCCCAGGAAAAGCGCCCGTCCAGTAACAATGAGACTCTGAATCGTCGGTGAACATAGGGCGGCGAGTCTGGGGATGGCAAATCCTTCGCAAGGGTCGCCAGTCGAAGTTCGAAACGAAGTTGTTCTGTACACATATCCAGCTTTGTTGTCGAGGGCCCGGGCTGTCCTGGACAGTACTGACGCTCCTGCTCATCTTCAAACGCCACCAAGGTAAGCAAACAGAGCTAGGTTATAATAGGAAGGAAGAAATTCGCTTATGCGTATGTGCACAGGACCCACCTATCCTCGTTGGTCCCAGAAGTCAATCATGTATCTCATCATCAGTATAAGGTAATTGTAGCAGTCCCGTAACCGCCGTAGGCGCGAGTACCCCCACACGGCTTGACGGCGTCATCATCATCCTAGACTGTAATCTGGAACGTCCTTGCGATCTGTGCTGTTGCGTTTCGTTTGTCCCGGGTCAAAGGCTGATTTCTACCTTGAGGGCCTCCCTTGTGTGATTGTATCAGTGCAGCCAGCGGCTTGGTCCGCGGACATTCGGGTCCAGAAGATGCTGACAATTGGATCACTTCCGTCACGCGGGCCTGGGTGACCATGGCCAAGGTAAGAATCTGCCGTGGAGGGCTTTCTGAGCCAGAAAGGACCAGTCAATCGTAAGCTCGTGTGGGTCGCCCTCTTCCTACAGCCAGAGGGTCTAGGCTGCGCTGAACTCGCGGTACAATTCCTCTGCCGCCGGATCTTCGCCTTCTTCAAACCTTTACTCCTTAGTTGCGGGTCCTTTTTCGTCTCTGCGAACTGGCTCTGACTCTCTGAGGTTGGGGAGAAGTGTCCATTTGGATTCATGCCCACCATCATCTACACCGTACCGTATGCTTGCCTCGACTTGTTCGTTGTACTCCTGCTGCTTCCTCGGGCAACTTGAGAGGAATTTTGGGCTTGAGTTTGAAGTTGACGGCGAGCGGGCCTTCTAACTCAAGATGGCCTTGGCGAAGAGACCGTGAATCCGCAATGTTTCCTGCTTGGAGCTATGTAGATCACATCGGCTGCATTTGTCCGTATGACAAGTTTGGCCCAATTCGGGATGCCCTCAGGCGAGCAGCCTCTCTTTGGAAGTCGTGACTTTTAGGTAACAAAGATTAGCCTCTCTGAGCAAGTACTTCATCACGGTCGTCCCAACTGACGACGTCCTCGGAATCGTCAGCGCAGGAATGTTGTGGATCACGGTCGAGACGACAGTCGCCGTCATCGCCGTCTGCCTTCCAGAGATTGAGAAAATCGCATCTTGGACGGCCTTTGGGAGATGGTGGCGTCTCACAGGCATCGCGCGCTACGACCATAAATGAAAGTCTGGTAGTCGAAGCCGAAACATCTCAAGTCCCATTCGAGATGACGAGATTGGAAACAAGAGGACCGTGGTGACCGGCACGAAAGGCACCATCACGTCGATGGAGGTGCCAGTGGCGCTTGATTGCGGCAAAACAGAAGAGATCGTAGCTCATAGCACGGTGACCGGACTTGCAAGCGTTGTGGATACTAGAGCAGAGAAGCCAAAGCTAAGACGCTTGAAGTCAGCAAAGACGCTTTGAAGTGAGAAGTCTCGTTGTCCGTATCGGCTTGTGTCGTTACATCGTTAGTTAGGAGATTTGTTCTACGAATTGCAAAACGCCCGAGCGTCTGTGAGTTTTTCAACAAGCCATTCTGTGGATATCAGCAACATCTTTTTTCAACCGTGTTTTGGCCTCGCGGGTATCATGGCAAGGGGAGAAGAAATTCCCTTGTGCTTGGCCTGTGATATCGTACCTCAACGCACCAAGCTATGGCCATCGAAACCCCAGACGATGCGGTTGTATTCACGCAACTCCTGACTAGTCGGGCTTTTGATGCACTGGGAGAGAGGCTTCTGATCAGTGCATCGCTCCAATCTGAAGCGCTCGTATCTGCCGCCTCGAGCGTTCAAAGGCTCATCGTAGCCGACGACAATATAGAGACCATCGTATCTCAGACCTTCGATTGGAGCGTATGTGCCATGGGCTTTCCAAGTGCGAAGCACACGGACAACACGTTTGCTGTTGAGGGAGGCATGAAGCTTGTCTGTGTCCTTGGTTGACGCAGCCGCCCGATTCGGATTCTCGTTGACGTGACTGCCGGAGCCGGAGTAGTACACGACGTCCCCTTCGTCCCTGTCCAGATCTGCGTATTGGCCGCTGATGACGATGGAGCAAGCGCCAGTGTCTGGGATGCCGGCTATACCGGCAACTCTGGCGCCATGCGCTGGCGGCCAGACGTTCGGGGAACCAACTTCCAACCTCGAGATTGTTGTGACCATATGTCTTGGCTGGACGCTTCTGGTGTTCGTATTGAGGATTGAACACCTTCGTGTATTTGCCAGTATTGCGATATTTACGCAGTGCAATACCATGCATGATGCCCTTCACGTCCCAGATAGGATGATTGGGGGAAGGCTGCAAGAGCGTGTACTCGCCTTTATCGGGCATACAATTCCCTCTGGATGCTGGCCGTGCGCCTCGGTCGTCTTCGTCGGTGTCTATTCCAGAATCTACCTCGGGATCCTCAGTCACGTCAGAGATAGGGGCGCCCCAATTCTCTTCCTCGAAGCGCTCGCGCAGTGCTTTCGCCTTTGCCTTGTACTCCATAGGAAATTGGAAGTCGGGGTCCGCATAGATGACCTCCAGCACACGGGGAATCTTGGCACTCTGCTTTAATTCTGGAGTCATTTTGACACCATGTTCGAGCCACGACAGCAGAACGTCGAGCTGCTAGTAGTTTGCAGCGCGACTCGGCTCCGAAGGCAAGATGATCCTCTTCTGCTTCCTGCTATCCAAGGCGATGAACCTGATCTTGGATATGACATAGTCGACAAAGTCGAATGGAGTCTTGAAGTTGATCGGTTGTTTGATAGCAGCAGTGCCGAGGGATGCCATTCTAAGAGCGTCCACGGGTGTTTTGCAACCACTGGAAGGTTAGAACTTCTTTGATCGTTTTGATGATGTTGTAGCGTGCGTACCAGGCTCTCTTTGAGCGCTGCCAACTGTTTCAACTGTATCGGTTCGATAGTGCTAGAGACTCCCGGCTTCTTGCGGTCGGGCAAAGCTACAGTAATTCGTACACTCCAAACTTGAACAACGGATGAGGAGGGAACTGAGAACGAAGGGCGCATCGAGTGACCTCTTATACCCGTCCACCAGTGGGCTAGCGGGTCTCGAGTGAGCCTTGCGCTGTCTAACGGGGGCCGATGCCATGGCGTGCAGTGTGGTATAAACCCGAATTGTTGTGGATTGCAGTGGCAGATGAAGTCGACCGACTATAATTTTGTGCAGTCGGCTCGCTTAGCTCGATTTCCACACTTAAACCATGTACAATTTGTAGCTTACCCCACGTTACTAGCTTTATCGGCCCCCATGTATAGATAGAGCTATACCTAGTCTAACGATACGATTACGTAGGAGATTTAGAAATAATATATCTTTTATATTATATTTTACTAATAAAGAGTAAATTTATAAGAATAGACTCTAATATCTAGAATCTATTATAGAGATCTTAGATAGTACTATTAGATCTTGCTATAATATACTTATAGTAGATAGTAGGGTAATAGTAGTAGAACTTAAAGCTAGAATAGTAAGAAAAATACTCTAATAATATAAATATCTAGCTACTAGAGAGCTAAGTCGTACTAGAGAATAAACTAGAATAGAGTAGTGTTAAGTCTGTGACTTAATAATCTCACAATACATAAGGATCACTTGTACAAGGCTTAATCGGTATTAGGCTCGTTAGTAGAGAGGTCTAGTAGAGGAAGAGTAAAGCGATAGAGTAGTATAGTAACTTAAGGGATTGTATTCTAAGTAGTAAGATACTATAGTAAGTTAAACATATCGAAAGCTAGAGGCATTCTTAGTGTTCCTATATAGATTTCTAGTTCGACTAACTTGTCCTACCTACTAGCTAGAAACTAGCTATCTAACTAGAGCTATAGTCGAACGGTCGAACTTGTTACGTAGTCCTCCTCGTAGAGTTCGACTATCGGCTCCTCCCGTTAGTCGAACACGTAACACGTAACGTGCCTCGCTGTACGCGTAGAGTCTCTCTTCTATTTTACTAGCTAGGAATTCTCGAAGTAGCCTCGCTCCTACTTCGATCCGTAACAAGTAGTAGGCTATACTAAGCCGTAACTTTAATATACTAGTACTGAATAATATACTAATACTAATAATTTATACTTTACTAGTAAAGTTAAATCCTAAACTATCTATCTTCTCTATTTCTCTCTAAAAATTTCTACTTTTTTCTCTATAGCGACTATATACCGAATAGATTCGAAAAATCTACTAAAAAAATTCCCTGTAGTATTATAGCTCTAAGAATAAGGATGGAGCTTAAGGTCGACTGCTCTCTAGTTAGGGGTGGGGGGCCCCCCCCCCCCCCCCCCCCCCCCCCCCCCCCCCCCCGTGGAGTCTTTGAGACAGTAAGGTACCTTAGGATAGGTTGTATTGCAGACAGGAGACGTTCCCCCTTTATATTAATACCACTTTCACCAACTTCGAACTCACTGACTCGATGAGAGAATGCCCTCCCTACGCATCAATGTCGGCGCGGGCAAGAACTTCGCTCGTGAACGCCATGTCTTGTCTTGGCAATCAATCGCCGTCACATGTTAAGGTAATCCACGGTAGTCACCATTCCGTCCTCCTCTCGCCCCAGGGGTTCGCACCAAGATCTGAGTGAGCCAGTAATTCTCACCTCGTGCAATAAAAGCGAATTGGACAGAAGTATATCACCAGAAGAATATTCGCGTTCATTTCTCTCACACTTTCTCCAAAAATCTTGCTTCCAACAGACTCCACGCTCCGCTAAGCACACCCGCTAGTTTTTTTCAATCGTACACAGGTCCTCGACCAACAACGACCGTACTCTTCTCCCAATGCTTTAGAAGTACATCGACGCTTTCCTGCCACTTCACGGCAGCTTTCCATTGGGATGCAAACATGCAAACCGGTTCGAGGAAGGTCCAGCGGCAGGCGTTCGTGAAGGTCCGTCAGGAGACTATCTCTTCCCGCCCTTCTTCTTGCTCGGCACGACCTTGAAGTTGCCATTGCCATAAGAATCCTCTCTGGTCTCTTCCGGTCGCTTCTTCTGTGCAACCTGACTCCAGCCGTCCGCGGCACCCTTATTCGCCGCGTGAGATGGAGATGCACTCTTAGGTACGGTTGTGTCAATGATGCCCTGAAAGAATTCGTCAGTAAACCATGAAAAAGTCCAAGCCACAAGATTGACTGACCTTGTCCGCAAGTCGCTTGCGGCGCATAAACTCCTCGCCAAAGTGGCGAGAGTCCAAAGTGCTGGAGACGCCATGCACAGCCTCGGTAATCATCTCCAAATCAGCCGGCAAGTTGATCAGACCGCTGAAGACGTCGTTTGGATTAAGGTCCTTGTTCAATTCCATGCGCAACTCGCCAATGGCCCACTTTTTGAACTCTTCCTGGGCGTTCATGCCACTGGAGTTGGCCGTGGTGGTGCTCCTCCCTGTAGGCTTCTTAATCGTTGGCGCAGCTGGTTGAACTGTTGGCACAACACCTGCGCTCACAGTGCGCACAGCAGAGGGAGCGGGACCACCTAAAGGAGTTTTGGCCTTGCCGCCAGCGCCGACTGTCGTCCATGCGCCGCCTGCTGTGTTCGGAAGTGGCGAGATGACCTTGCCGGCGAGGTTAGCGTAGCTCTTGCTACCGGCGGGGGCAGCGACGCCGCTCACAGCGGCTGCCTGGGCCTGCGCTGCGGTTGCCGCAGCGGCCAATTTCCGTTTGCGTGCCTCCTCTTCCTTCTGGATCTGCGCAAGTGTCTTTCCCGTAGCCGGTCCGGTAGGCTTTTGAGCAGTCTTAGCCCAAGCTGCGGGTGCAGGCCCAGTCGGCGTTGCGGGAGATCCAGCACCCCAGGTAGAGCTGGTGGGAAGGCTTGGCTGCGCAGCAGCGGAAGCTTGCGCTTGTTGCTCCATCTCCTTCTGAAACGCAGCACGACGAGCAGCGGCAGCCATCTGTTCAACCTCAGCAGCTTTCTTCGCTTCAGCCTCTTGGATTTCTTTGAGGGAAGGACCCTTGGGAGCCTCTGCTGGTTCCTTTGCCCAAGGCGCTACGGCCGCGCTCGGGGTCTCGACAGACGGAGTTTGAGAGAGGTCGCGAGATTCAGTCTGGAGCTGGTCAGCAACGCTCTGCCTTCCAGTGCGTTGGGCAGCGGGCGCTGGCAGCGGAGACTGCGACGGGGCCGGAGGGAACGGTTCTGGCATGCCAGGGCGCTGAGGCACTGGAGACTGCTTGGCGGACGCAGCTGCCTCGACTTGCTCCTTCAACGATGGTTGCTCTGGCTGTCTTGGCTGCTCCTCGGTGGGGACTTTGGTAGTGTCTTCGGGATGGGCGGGCACTGAGGCACCGGCTTGCTCCAGACGATGTTGTATATCTTGCTCGCCACGGAGCTGTTGGAATCGCTGTAGTCTTTCATTCGTTGCTGGTTGCTCACGTTCGGGTTGCTGTTGGGCGTCGTGAGCCGCTTGCTCCTGCTGTAGTCTGGCGCGATCATCAAGCATCTGTTTGACTTGCTCGTCATGGACGTCTGGTCCAAGCTGCTGCTGTGCTTGCTGCTGTGCTCCAAATGGCTGGCCTGGAGCGCCGTACTGGCCAGGTCCTGCGCGACTGCCAAGGTTTAGTCGGTCAAGAATGCCCGGAATCTCTTCCTCTCGAATCCGGCTTAGAGGATCAATACCTGCGGTGCCCATACCGCCAGCTGGGGGTGAACGGTATGAGTTGTCGAAAAACCCCTGGGCGGAATTCGATGGAGCCGCGGGTGTCGGACCTTGGATTGGGCTTGGCTGAAATGCAGTGGGGCTGGTGATACTTCCGTAGCTGGGTTGCGACTGCAGGCTGTGCGCGCTGCCATGATGGTGCAGCTGGCCTTGTGCTAGACTCGGATGTCCGCTAGACATCTGCATACGCTGCGCAATTTGTTGTTGAGCGAGATGCTCTTTCTGCCGGGCCATCAGATACTGCTCTTCTTGCTTTCTGCGCTCGAGAGCATTCTGCTGCTCTGCAGTGAGAGTGGTTCCAAAGCTAGGGAAGCTAGATGCAAACGGTGGTTGCGCTCCACTGGCAGTGCTTTGACCAGGCCAGGTAGACGGCCCAGCACTCGTCGAAGGACCGCCGTGAGGAATGCCAATCTGCGGAACCAGGAAGGGCTCGCGTGAGTTCCCAATGCGCCGAATCAGCTGGGCAAGTGGCTCGTAATCCGGGTCCTCTTTCTTCTTGACAAGAAGCTCCGGGGAGAAGAAGCCCGCCTTGTACCAGTCGTGCATTTCCAATCCAGTCCACGGCCCCTGCGTTTGTCCTTGGGGATCGCGATAAATCCACTGCATTCTGTCAGGCATCACCATAGTACGCTGCTGGGGCGCCGGAGGTTGGTTAGAAGCTGAGCTTCCTGGAGGCTGATTTTGAGGCTGGCTTTGCTGTTGCTGGTGCTGGCCGGGAGCGCCAAATTGGCCTTGTTGGAGATCCACTGGCTCGTGCAGACTGCCTTTGTCTTGACCCAGGTTGAAGCCTTGGTTGGCGAATGGACTTTCAGCTGACCTGCCGATATCGCCAAGTCCAGCAAAAGATTGCGGCACGCGATCAGTCCCTCCTTCACGGTCATGTTCATTGTGGCGCGTTTGATCTTGCAAACCTTGCGGGAACACACTTGCCATTCTGCTCCCACCGTACGCGCCACTATGGGGACTCATGATGGTGCTCGCGCCGAGCCCTGCCAGACCAGGCGACTGCAGGTCAGACATCGGATTGGAGAAGACACTTCCGCCGAAAGGAATGGAGAGGCCAGCCGTTTGCCTGCTGGGAGTCCCGAGGCCACCTTGAGAGACTGGCCACGCTGCTGATCCAGGCAGTCCGCCCAACGTTCCGAGGCCACCGAAGCCAGGAAAACCACCTCGCCCAGGACCGACGCTGGAAGTTTGACTCCTGTCGCTGGCTGGACCCTGAGCCCCAGTTGGGCGACCAAGATTTGGCAGAGCTCCAAGACCACCCAGCTGTTGCGACTGGTCGGCGCCAAACTGACCAAGACCCGGTAAATGGGTGTTGTGCATTTCGTGGCTGTCGTCGCCCATGTCTGTAGTCGTCCTGTCCGCGTTGTGATGCTCCGGCGATTGATAAGGGTTGGTGTCAGTAGGACTCATCGGCTCGTTCCCTCCGGACTGTTGACCGGGTCGTTGATGGGAAGGCGTCTGCTGGTGGAAAGCTTCTCTGCTAGCATTGAAACCCTGTCCGAATGCATGTGCGCTGTTGGAGGTCATGCCAAACGCGCCGAAGCCGAAATCATCGTTTGTGCCTTGCCGGCTTGGCGTTCCGAAGCCCTGATATCCCTGCCGAGGCTGCGGTGGGGATATCTCGGCGTCCGCGGCGAGTGCAGCACTTCCAGTAGGTAAATCTTCTTCGGCCTCCTCCAGAGTCGCGTTGGTCGGCTCTGGACGTTCCTGGCGCCAGGAATCGTTCTCATTCACTCGGCCAAGACTAGAGATGCTCGTCTTCCTTTCCAAAGATCGATGCGCGCCATCGTCGCTACTCTCTTTGTTCAGAACGTTCTTGAATCGGCTTTCTGATCTTCCACTGCCCAATCCTGGCCTCTTGTCCCCCGACACGGCTTGCTGGCTTGCGTTACCAGGGAGACCGAAGTTGCCAAAAGAGCCCATGGGAGGGAGGCCAGCGCTCTGAGGACCGGCAGTGCTCCACGGGGTAGATGGTGCATTGAAGCCGGCGGAAAGGGGTCCCGTGGGATTCCGCTTGAGTGTACCGAACGCAGAGGAGCTGGGTTTATCGTCGCCGTCATCGGTTCTGCTGTTGTCCTTGATGTCCGTTCTCCTGCGAAGCAAGGACGCAGGTGGCGAGGCCGTGCGCTGTTCGTGCTGATTGAAGCCTCCAGGAGATGAGACGTTGTTCTGCGGGAATGGATAGGACTCGCTGGCCTCCCGACGACCCCTACCGCCGCGCGCAACGCTGGGCGATGGGAGTCCAAAGCCGCCGGGAGTGGTGACACTGTTGGAGATGGAGGATTTGCGGCCAGGCAGGCCATTCGCCTGGGAGTGTTCCTTGGTCGCGGTCGGAGGCTTGATTGGCGAATTGACGGATAATGTGAAAAGCTGTAAATGAGGAAGTACCGGTCAGCATACGTGTCTGCCAAATCTGTTGTCGCATGATATCACACTCACCTCCCTCTCCTCTTCATCCATTTCAATCAAGCCCAGCGGCTCTACTGAGCCGCCTTTCTCCCAACACACATCCGGACCTGGCTGATTATCTCTGGTATGCTCAAGCCTACCCCACGTCGCGGATGTGCCATTCGCGGTGTCTGGCTGCGGAGCTCCCGTGAACAGCATGGGCGGGTGGTCGTTCGCGTCCCCGTTAACACTGTGCTGGACTTTGAACGACTCGAGAAGCTGCTCTTTGGTATAGCGATTGTCGGAGAGGGTGCCGTTACGATGCGGGGGAACATAGCGAGCGGTCTGAGAGGGGAGAGGGTCGGAAGGATGCGCTGTGGTGGGCGTGGTCATTGCGCCTGAAGGTCTCCTGAAGGTCTGGGTGCTACCGTTGGATCTGCGTGACCTGTGAATGCTCCATCAGCTCCCATCTTGCTACATGCCTGTGCTCGAGTCCTTTTCAAGGTCCCTGACGCGCGCATTGGAGGCGTCCGGGGGGGATCTCTCCCTGGCGTGTATGCGGAGACGTACCAGTCTGAAGGAGGGCCGTCGCGTGACGAAGACTGAGGGTTGCCTGCAGCGGCGGATGCAAAGGTCGAGGGAGCCATAGCTTGCGAAGACTACGGTTCGACGTGGGCGTAGTAGTGATGGTGGTGGTGGTGATGCAGCAGGGTGCGAATGGTGGTGTGAAAAGCTGGATGGGCGTCGGTGGGGGAGGAGTCAATGGATGTCTCGCGGATCGGGGGTAAAAATTTGGAGATGGTGGTAACGGTGGTTGGTGACGCTAAAGAGGATGATGCATGGGCATTTGCAATGTGTCGCGAGAGAAGATGGGAGGAGGAATATCGACGTGTGAGAAGATGCCAGTGCACCGTGCCTCTTCCTCGCCCTCGCCCGGGCCGACGGCTGAACCCGGTCGGGAGCTAGACGAGCTAGTCCAGGGTGTCTCGCTCGCTCTTGCTGCACATTTCCAGCAGCTGTCGCGTGATGAGTAGTAAGGTAGTTCCTGCAGCGCGACATGTCGTCGATTATTTATCATCATGATATCTCGGAATATATATCTATACATACCCACCTCATACACCGAATCTGATCGAGTAGGACATACTTACTCATATATATATATATATATATCTATATCTACATCCACACACGGCAGACTCCCGTCGAGCGCGATTGAGTCTGGCGGCTTGACACTTCGCGTGTCTCAGAAGACGCAACGCGGCACCTCCGAAGCCTCGGATGAGATGCCAACATTCGCACTCCAACCACGACCCTGATTGAGGTTGATTCTGTTATTACCTTACCTTATATACATTGTGGGGTAAAGCCTCATTTTCATCAGCCCAGGGCAGCATTCACTCCGCGCCTTCCCGGTTGTGTACCAATCAATGTAGACGGGAAAGTCGCGACGGACGATGCTTCGAAGCCTCACATTGTGCATGGCGAGACTCGCTACGCGTCTCAACCACGACTCGCCGCCCGCACCGAGTATCATCAGCCTCCTGGGCGACCGCAGCAGAAGTATACCACGTCCGCGGACACGGATCTCCGGACTGCCAGCACGACGAACGCCTGCCTCGACGACGTCCATATGCATGTGTGAGCGATACTACCTAGTAGGGCGTATCGATACCATCATACAGACCGACCCGTTCGGGACGGCGGTGAGCGTACAGCCATTACCGTGTTATGTAAGCGATGGTCCTTATATCTCCAGATGCTTTGATGGAAATTGCGATGCCCATCGCGATGCCCTGTGCCCATTTCGCCGCTCGACTTCCTCGGCGCGTTTCCAACTTCTTCTGCCACGCCACCAGCCTATCCCGGACTGTCAAAATTCACATGGCGCAACAACACCTCGACGTCCTATCAGACCAGGCCGCCATCGAATCGAGCACATGGCTCTCGCGCCCTCACCTGTCCCCGCCGCCGGGATCCTCGCGTCAAGAGCCTTTGTTTACACTGGCCATGGCGTCGGTCGGCGATTTGCCACGTCAAGCTGACAACTCTATAGATACCGCATGATGCCTCCTCCCAACAGCACATCTTGCATTCCCATCTGCATCTCCCACGAATGCTTTCCTAAGTCTGTATCAGTAATCCTTTCAATATTGCTTCCTCTCCTACTTTAATCATCCCCTCCCTCCTTTCACGCAACAACCATGTCCAAGCGCAGAGCCTCCTCTCCCTGCGAGAACCCCATCCAGAAGAAGCCTTCCATGTCTGAAATCGCAGCCAGAGCAGCCCTCTCCACCGGTGCCACCATTCCCGTCAAGAACGTCCCGGGGCGGAAGACGATTCGGACCGTCCATGCCTCAGAGACACAACTCCAGGAGCCCTCGAAAGCCGTCACCATCCAGCAGACCCACAAACGAAGAGAACCGCTCCGAGACTTCGGTCCATGGCAGAACGCCTCGACGAACAATCTCCGCGTCAAGCGAGCCCGTCGCTCTCTGCCTCCCGTCACCGAGCAACAGCAGCCCTCCGCGCCTTTCCGACCAGGCCTCGCCCTCTCCAACCACGCCCTCCAATCTCCTCCCGGATCCGACACAAGGGGCGGCGTCTTCATCAAGACCACCCTCCTCTTCCCCAATTCCCTTTCTGTCATCCTCCCGACCTGGCCTTCCTGCTTCAGCGTGAACCTGACCCCCCAACTCGGCCCACCACTCCCCACCCAACTAGCGGAAGACCTCTACACCAAATACGTCTGCTCTTCCCCTCTCCTGCGCCCCGGAAAACTCCCGTACTTCCACCTCGGCGCCACAACGCTCACCGCCTCTTCCGCCTTCAAATTAAACTTCTACCTCATCCTCCCCAACGCCGGCGGCCCTCCGCACGCCATCAACACCGGCCATCTCTCCGACGAAGTCCTCCAGACCGTCTTCGACCACGCCCTCATCCCCGCTCTACAGACTTCCGACCCGACCCGTACAGGCTTCACCTCCTGGATGCAAGCCATGAACGAAGCGAATTTCAAACCCTTGAAATCCCGTCGGAGAAGCCATACCTTGACCCCGGAGGCCCAATCCGAAAGAATTCACTGCTTTCACCTGAACAGTCTCTGGGAGACCATCATCTCTTCGATCCAGGAAGACGACGAACTCTCCCACGTGCTCGACGGCCACGTGCTCATCGCGTACGGGGAACACGACGAGGAGAATTCCTTTGGAGTGAAGCCCACCTGGGCCATGTTCAAGCGTGACTGGGAGAACGCGATTGACGTGAGCAAATTGGGACGCGAGAGCAAGATTGATCTCGAAATGTGTCTGGAACTGGATATGGGTGTTGATGAGGAGGCAGAAGCGGATCGGAATAAGAAGTGGGATGAGAAGAGGAGGGTGAGACGCTGAGTAGGAATCGAGCGCCTGGATGCACTTGGGCTTTTCGTCGTTTCTGCTTTTGCGACTTGTAACCAACAGACTGTACCATTGGAGAGTCTAAAAGGGAGAGGATGGATTGAAATGGTCGTATGCCGTGCTATCAGATCGTATCCATCCTATCGCCAAACGCATTGGACGTTATTTTTGGGTGGGGAGGGGGTTGTTGGAGCAGGGGAGAGCGCATGTACCATCATATCAGACTGTCCATCTTTTTTTTTGTAAGTACAAGGTGTATACCGAAGTAGAATGTGTATGTATCTTTACATCGTTATCTAAATGATCGTATGACTTCCTGGTTGCTCGGCGTATAAATTCTACAATTTGAGACAGTACATACGCGTTACATCCATAACATCCATACACACACACACACACACACACACACACACACACACACACACACACACACACACACACACACCCCCCCCTTGCCGTCGTGGCGCGATTCGGTTGTTCTTTTGTCCTCCTTCTTCTCCTGATTTGGCCTTAACTGGGTGGTCTTGGCGGCACGCTACATGTATGGAGAGGCTGACGGACGTCGGGTAAGGTATGACCGGCTGGAAGAATCCAGCGAGCACACTACACTACACTACACTACACAACGATTCAACTTTTTCCTGACGACGACTACAACAGCTCATCGAGTCGCTGATGAGGATTGTCCTGCCAAAAATCCTCCCCGCTAACTTCCTCTTCCTTCCTCTTCTTCGAGTCTGACAACCCATCGGTCCGTCCGTCCGTTTGTTTGCTCGCTTGCTTGCTTGCTCGCTTGCTCGCTTCGAATCCGCATGAAAATGAAAAGTTTGCTACCAACCGTTTGGCTGGGAACACGGCACGCAGATGAGGCGATGATCGTTGGGTACCGTTCGACTCGAGGATGCCACTGCAGCGCGTCGTCGCTCATGCTGTGGACGTGCAACATGCACGACATTCACGACATGCAACAGGAGCGTTGTTGCCGAACGGCTCCCCCCGCGAAGTCTTCGGATCCGCTCATATTGCTTGCTTGCTTGCTTGCGACTCGGGACGTTGTGCGTTGCGTTTGGTGTTCTGTGTTGTGTTGTTTGACAAGCACGACGAGCACGATCATCCAACCGAGTGAGTGAGTGAGTGAGTGAGTGATACCGCGTGAGAGTTGGTGCTCGAGTTTTGCCCTTCTCCTGCCCGCCAATGGTATGGAATCCCAAGGGTGATGATCGATCCCATCCCGGGTTTGCGAGTCTGCTGACTGACTGCGAGTCTTGGCTCGTGTAGTCCACTCGCATAAGCATAAGACAGATACCCTCTGCTTCGCAAGCTGAATCCACGTCCCCCTTTTCCCATCTTTTTCTTTTTTTCTCAGCGCTCTCCGTGTGACGCTCCTCCTCATTGGAGTTTCCCATCCCGAGGCAAGACAAATTCCAGTAGCCAGCAAGGAGAAACAGGATGAATCCCCTCTTGCAGCACATGCTATTCCAGCAGTCCGGGTTGCCCGCTGGGCGAAGGGCGAAAGGTTACGGTATGTTTCGTTCGTTCGCTTCTCCTCGTTCCATCCTCCTCTTCCTCAATACTTTCCCCGACTGTTACGATGACTCTGAGAAGAGAGAGAGAGAGACCTCCATCAAGATCCCCAATCTTCACTTCACGCATGCTTACATTCCTACTCTAGGCGCATCGCCACTAGGAGCCGGGGGCCCGCATCCTGTCCACCAGATGAACTTCATGGGCGGAGGCCGCGGGATGGCCGGTCTTGTCAACAATCCCTTCGGTGCGGGTGGGTATCCCTATCCGCGCGTGCCAATGCCTACGACTATGTCTATGCCTATGCCTATGATGATGATGGGAGGGGGTATGGGCGGCATGGGCGGTATGGGCGGTATGGGCGGTATGGGTGGGCTGGGTGGCGGCGGCATGGGAATGAACGGCATCATCAACCCCATGGTCCTCGCCCTTCTCCTCGGTGGCAGTGGCGGCAGTGGCGGCGGCGGTGGTAACGGCCTCGAAGAAGAAGAAGACTGGGATGACGATGGGGACGAGATCGACCCCTTCGTCTCGGCGTGGAAGAGCAGTAGTAAAAGTCGCGGAGGTAGGCTTTTTCCCCCCAGCCCCCATCCCCCGTGCGTTGTCGTCCTGTTTGCCGAGTTGCATTCGAGTTGGCTTGGCTTGGGAGTTTCCGTCGCGGGCTCGGTTTCCCAACGCTGGCTTCATATACTGGCGTCCCTTCCGACGAAGCTATAAGTGGCCGTATGCTGATTCGTCCCGCAGGAATGAATCCGGCCGCCGCCGCCGCCTTGATGGGCATGATGGGCGCTGGTGGGATGCGCGGCGGCAATCTGGGGGCTGCTCTGCCTCAACTCGCGGCTCTGGGCATGATGTAGATAAACATTGCATGGCCCTTGTACGTGACGGTGGTGGTGGTGGAGTTACAGAACCGGCGGCGAGGCGTTCGTTGTGGGACACCAAAATGACATTCGCCGTCTCATTGCATAGGTTGGGTGGACCTGCTTGCTGGTGTATAGCGTTCTCTCAACGCGCAGTCTAATACTATTATTGGGGACTTTGCTTTCTTCGTACTGCGCGAGGATCCGTCTCGGCTTTGATCCACGTGTCGTTCCCCCCCCAACCAGCGTCCGGGTAGATAGATCCTCATCATCGACTCCGACGCCACGGAGCTTCTCGACGTCAAGCGGTGGCTTCGCATTGTTCGGTGCTGCCACCCTGAGGGGACCGTCTGGCGGATCGGTTGGTGTAGGAGTGAGGTGATGAAAGCCGAGAGCACGAAAGCAGGCGGCAAGGAGAGAAGCGGATTCTTCAATAATACCCTACCTCCGGGGACAAAAGGGATATGTTCCATTTTGGGAGAGATTGTCAATTGCCCAAAACATGTCCGAAGACCGACCATTCATTGAGCTCCAAGTCTCTCAGAGCCATCATACAACCAAACCTCATCAACAACAAACGCTACAACAACAAGGTATCAGCGTCTCATGTATACATCTCAAGATAAACTCGGCGGTTGCGCAAACGCTTGCTCTTTCATTGGAAAAACCCCTCACCGTCTTCACGCATTCAGATCCTCCCGGACTTTGAACTCAGTCCAAGGCCCTTCATTCCGACTCATGAACCAATCCTGCAACTGGTACTCTCTTGGCTGCCGCTTCTCCGTCCGAATCTCCCGGGTGATGAACCCACTGACCCTCTGGTCCTCGCCCAACTGCATGTCAAACTCGAACAATAACCTCGCAATCGCAATCTGCAGTTCCATGTACACTAATGGCTTGCCAAGACAGGCTCGGTTGCCAACGGAGAAAGGATTCCATACGCTCATCAGGGCTTCTTTTTCCTTCGTCGAGGCGAGGAAGCGCTCTGGCTCGAATTGGAAAGGGTCCGGGACGTAACCTGAGTGGTGGTGGATCGCGTAGATGGGAACGCCGACGTCGATACCAGCGGGGAGGGTCAGACCGAGGGCTGGGATGGCGAGGCCGCCTTTGAGGACTTCTCGCGGCAGGACGCCGCCTACTGCCGGTGTCATGCGCATGGTTTCGTCGATGCAGGCGCGTAGATAGGTGCATGATTGCATCTTTGTGCCCGACATGGAAATTTGTTCGCGGGAGGTGAAGGTGCTTCGGATCTCGGACTGAAGGCGATGGAGGGTGTGAGGGTTTTGAAGGAGGTAGTAGAGTGTTGCTGCGAGGGTACTGCGGATATGCACTATCAGTAAGGGTGTCGGTCTCGCGATTGTGTTGGAACCTACGTAGAAGTGGTGTCCGACCCAGCAACGATCAGTGTGTTGCCCTCCATCCACAGCTCAGGCATAGGCATGCCGTCCCCAGATTCCGGGTCCTTAGCGTGCAAAAGGAAAGAGAAGATGTCTTTACGGCCAGTCTCCATCTGCGGGCCCGCCTTGGCGTGTTCTGTCGTGCGCCCCATCACTTGCGCCTTGCCAAAAGCGAGGTACCGGCAGCGATCAAAATACAAGCCGCGAAGGAGAGGAAGGAATTTCTCCAAACCAGTATATAGAAGGGCAGGCATTGCGGCGACAACATAGTTTCTCCGAGCGGCACGTCCAAGAAGAAAGATACCTTTTCTGTTCTCCGGCTTCTCCCCCAATGTGCCAAAGGAGCGACCGAAAACGAGGTCTCCCATAATGTCGAATACGAGCCAATTGCACCAGTTTGCCATGTCTAGTGGGGCGCTCCATGGCGACTTCTCCGCTCCAGGCCGATGGACTTCACGACGGACGCGGTCGACGAGGTCCTGTACGTGGCCTTGAACGTATTGCTCGAATCCCTTCAGGGTGGAATCCGAGAAGGCCTGGCCCATGATCCTGCGCTTGCGAGCATGATGCTGCTTCTCGGTGGCCAGCAGAGTGCTGATGGCTTGCGGGGCGGCGCGGAAGCACTTGTAAAAGACGGATTTCTGTACATTCGCGCCATGGCCATAGATGACCTTCAAGGCAGCCGGGTCGTTGATGGAAAGCGAGTTGGGGGAGAATCGTACTACGGTTCCATACTTTCGGTGGAGATGGTAGAATAGAATGTGCTTGTCTCCGACGTAGGCATGATAGACATCGTACCATTGTGTCAGTCGGCCTAGGAGCGGACCTGGGTATTTTGCCAGCGGGTGAAAGTAGAGCTGATAGACAACATACGCTGCGAGTGCCGCGAGAAGGACTCCTACAATGGCCAGTGGAGACATGCACCGGAAGGAGTTGGCACAGGTTTGCGCCAGGCCGTGAATCTGTGGCAATGCTGATGTGCTTTCTACAAGCTGCGAGAGGTGTCTCGAACAGCTTGCAGAGAATTGGTAGAGTTCATCCGGTATCCTGGGGGCCTTTTCGAGCGTTGCAGAGATGTATTCGCGCATGTCGATGAAGTTCGGTCGGCTACTCACGATCTGTTGGAGCTTCTCCGGTATTCCAGGCAGCTTCTCCATGGTGGTACGGAAAGCAGGATAGGGTGAGACGGAGGAGGCTTAAACGGGCAACGAGAGAGACAGCAGCGGAAAGAAGAGGAAAGATGAAGCCTGCCAAGTATGATTTGGCAATCCAGGAATGCCTTCAGTAGCTCAGTCGCAATCTAGGGTATGGCAGAGGAAGCATGTGTCATTGGCTGCGGCAGGGTTTCGGGGACAAAGGCAGGTGCCGCTCTCCAGCATGGCACAGCACAGTGCAGCACAATTCACACTGTGCAGGGCGGGCAGAGCAGCATCGGTGTGCGGCCTTGTTCGCGACTCGGTGCCGTGGATCGAGTGTTTCGGTGCCGATGCAGACGGGACACTCTCGGCGACGAAGCCCAGCACAGCCAGCCCAGTCCAGCCCAGGATGGTGGGATGGGGAGTGGCATGATGCGAGTGCCAAGCTATAGCTGTGGAGGGGCTGACCGGGCGGGCGGGCTGACTGGCTGGCTAGCACTGTGCTGTCTAGCTGCGCACCTCACCGCAGACCGCGGCGAGCCCTTCCTTTATGTCTTGCTCTGCCCGGCTCCCCACTGCATCGTCCGGAATGTCGTCGCTTCTACCCGTTGTGCGTCGCCTCCAGATCCGCCATCCAGGTTTCGTGTCTTGAGATGCTCCCGGGTTCGTGGTATCCTGCACCAAATGCCGTCCGAGACAGCTGCCCCGGACGTGCAGCTCGGCTCTCTCAGTATGCCGGAGATCGTCGTTTGCTGTCTGCGAGCCCGCTTGACATGCGCTCACCTCCGACTACCACGAGGAGATGAGGTGAGATGAAGAGAAAAGATGAGGTGAGATGAGATGAGATGAAGAGAAAGCCGTGGTAAACGAGGTGTTTCGACCTTCATCACCAAGGACTGGAAAGAGCTTGCGCACCGACCGACAGCCACGTGACAGGTGGGGCTATCAGAAGTGCACGGACTCATCACAACATCACCAAGAGATCCGGCGGTATCAAAATTCATGCATCCGGGTCATTTGCATCAATATGGAGAATGGAAACTTTGAACTAGCTCCACGCCTCCTGGCAGACTCTCCGAGGCACAACTATCGATTCTCTCTAGGACCGCCAATTCCATGTGGGACTAATTACAACGCTATACAATCAAGTTTCCCCAGTCTGGGTCTCGAAGAATGTCACACAGGTGGTGTCCCTGTATTGATCAACTACAACGCAAGATACATATCCATCGTGATCGCGTTCCTGGCTTGAGATGGTCGAGGTCGATGCGGTCATCCCACGTCGCCCTGGAATCAATTCAGGCGCGGAGATATTCGGGTTCAGGCGCAAGGGGCTTGCCATGGAGTGCAAGTACCATTTCTTATAGAAGCGATCTCGATCTCGTATTCTGCCATTTCGGCTTTCGCTTCGGCCCAGGTGGCTCTTCTCGCTCGAGGCAGCTTGCCAAGCCCCACTTCTGCGTCTGATTGGGTGATTTTGAGTAATAGCTCGTGACATGGTGGGTGAATGGAAAGGCACCTTCTTCATACATCTCAACGATCCCGTCGCCACGTTGCTCTGCAAGTGAATCACCACGCTCCAGTGCTGGAAGGATGCATTCGTCGTACAGTCTCCAGTTGCTTGTTGGAACGGCCTCCGGCTTTGGTTTTGCTTGCGCGCCCATGACCTAGAGCGCGTGGAAGCGCAAGATACATCCAATATACCCGAGAAGGCTTGAGAGGCTGAGATCGTGAACAGCGTAGACTTTGCTGTTCGAAAGTGTAGTCGTGTAAGAGGATCCTTGCGGGCGCGAGAACCCATTATCGATGGACGGGATAAGGATGAGCAAATTCGTAAAAGAATGAGAGTGCAAGCAGCAGGCGAAGTGCAACTATCAAGCAACGGGACGCGCTTGTGAGCAGGTCGAAGCGCGCCGTTAGCCCGATCGTACGTATCATTACTCGACCAGGGTCTTTAACCACCATACTTCTTTTCTTCTGGATTGATCGTTCGTTCGGCCGAAAAATCTGTTATATCTTGATAATCACTTTCCATCTAGGAGTAGTCGTCGACATTGAGTGAGGAGTCATACGAGTATCATGCATTGTGAGATCTGAGGAAAGCTGCAAACGTCGGACAGGCGTCATTGTCCTGAGGTCCTGTCAATACCTACGAAAGACATCCAGAAACCGCGGTGTCCTATCCTGTCTTCTCAGTTGTTCTGAAGTCGTAGTGACCGGCTGGTAGGTAGACACCAGAATGTTTTGACGTCAGCAAGGCGAGGGCATGTCAGATGATCGAGTATAGAGCGGCGAGGACTGACCATGAAGAGAGCATTGAAGGTGTGAATCCCTGTGTCCGTCGATCGAAGCATAGAGTCAGTGGGGTGAGTTAGCATTGCAGAGTTGCAGGAATGCACGAATTCTCAAGCTCGAATGCAACAGGCAAAGTCGAGAGGTGAGGTCGCTTGGTCGCGCACAACAAATCCGACCAGTCAGAAGCTTGCAAGCACCTCCGACCTCCGACGCTGTACGCCCCCTCGATCGCAGCTCACGAGACCCTCTCCTACTTACTTATTACCAGGCAACGCAAAACCACTATCACACCGCCCGCCAACTCCTTCAGTCCCCCATCCACCATACCGCACCCACGAGAAGTTCAAACCCGAGTCGTTGGTCCTGGATATCGAGAGGGAACAAGAAGGATGCGATAAACAGCAGCGCAAAACAAATTCGCCAGTATGGCCGACTGGCAAGAAATCCACATCATGAAGGGCCAGCAAGATGAGCAGGGAGGATCGGGGCAGGGCTTTGGTGTGGACGTCACCATCGTTGCGGGAGTCTTCGCGCTCGTTGCCTGCCTCCTGACAATTGCGACGATCGTGGTTCAGGCAAAGAACTATCGCAAACCCTTACTCCAACGCCATGTCATCCGCATACTCATCATGGTCCCGATCTTCTCTGCCGCTTCTTGGGCCTCGCTCACCTCGCTCAAAGTCGCCTTCTGGATCGATCCCTTCCGCGATGTTTACGAAGCCTTCACCATCTACACCTTCTTTCAACTCCTCATCAACTTTCTCGGCGGAGAGAGGAGTTTGATCATTATGATGCATGGCCGGCCACCTGTGTCACATCTCTGGCCACTGAATCACGTGTTCGGAAAGGTAGACATCAGCGACCCGCATACGTTTCTGGAGATCAAGAGAGGGATCTTGCAATATGCTGTTCTGAAACCCGTGCTAGCCATCGCTACCATAGCCTGCAAAGCAACCAGCACCTTCAAGGAGGGGGTTATCGCTGTGGACTCGGGATACTTCTGGACAGGCTTGGTCTACAACATCAGTATCTGTTGGTCGTTGTACGATCTGGCCTTGTTCTGGGTCTGTATGTCACACGACCTGCAGCCCTTCAGACCTATGCCCAAGTTCTTGTGCATCAAGGGGATAATCTTTGCTTCCTGGTGGCAGGGCTTCTTCCTTTCTATCCTGGTCTGGCTGGGCGTAATACCAAGTCTGGAAAAGCGGGGGTACACTGCGGACAATCTGGCAGCTGCCATTCAGGATGCTCTCATTTGCTTTGAGATGCCCTTCTTCGCTGCCTGGCAATGGTACGCTTTCAACTGGAAAGATTACGCAGACAGGACAATCAGCGATGCAAGAATGCCTATTCGATTCGCTCTTCGGGATGCCTTTGGCGCACGAGATCTGATCGAGGATTGCAAGGAGACCTTCACTGGGGCCAAGTACGATTACCGGTACTTCGATGCTGAAGACAACGTTATGGCCCATGAACAGTCCTCAAGTAGACGAGCGCGAATGCGAGAAGGTATGCGCTATGAGAGGAATGGTCGGGGCAAGTACTGGGTGCCCTCTCCAAATGACCATGCAAAGCAACCTCTGCTCGGTAAATTCAGCCATGCGAGGACGATGAGCCCTGGCGGAGGGAAGGATAGATCGACAAGTCGAGGACACAACTACGGCACACATACTGAGCCGGATGAGCCAGAGCTGGACGCGGAAGAGGAGCGCCTCTACACCAACGCTCGAGCGCTCGAGTTTGGAGACTGGAACTATCCGGTCATCAATACTCATTATGCAAGCAGAGAAGACCGCCTACATATGGAACCCAACATTGTGTCGCAATCAACAAATCGGAGGCTTCTGCAGCCTACGCAGGATCAGAAGCAAAGGCGCAAAAGCCGCATCCAAGATCTGCGGCAAAGCGTCCACCAACACGACCGACCTGAAACGTCCTCATCCAAGAAGAGCGACGCCGAGAACAGCAGTGGTGACAGCGGTGAGGCTTCATCCAAGGGCAAGGAAAAGCTGAAGCAGTTACCCGTCGTTGGCAATCTCGTTCGCTCTTCGTCACACGACAGCCGCGACTCCTCCAAATCCCACAGCTCCCAGCTTGTCGATCTCGTCGTCGAGGTAAGCACAAATCTTGCTCCCGTTGTGTGTCATATCCACCCACTGACATCTCTCTTTGCCACAGGACCACGAAGCCGAAGAACTTGACCGTGTGCGCGCCCGTAAGGAGGGCGGACCGGGCTGGAACAGCATTGAATCAAAACACTTTGTCAAAACGTATCCTGACGAAGATGCCGCAGAGGAAGTCCGGCAGGGCTTCAATCCCGATGAACCCGAACAGAAGATTCGAGAGGAGAACCATTCGCTCGAGGATCCGTTCGGTCTTGCTACGAACGATGACGAGACACCTGTCAATGAGCAGGAAGGCACGGATCAGACGGGACACAGACAACCTTGGGAGGAAAGGAAGATTGAGGGCTCAGAGGATAGGGAAGGGGAGAGAAATCCTTGGGCTGAGTAGGAATTGTTCTTTTTTTTTTCTTCCGTTGATGAGCGGTTAGCGTGGCGTTTCGGGTGTTTGTGTGATCTTCGCGGGCTCTTCTTTCTGATGCCTGGGAAGTCGGTCGGTGTCTAGGTAGCAGTATCACTTTGCTGAGAATGAAAAGTCGCAATAGTACGAGTAGATGATCCATTTTCTATCGCTCGCGACTTGCGAAGGCAAATCGTCTCTACTATGGTCTCGTTCTGGTCCAGTTCCCGCCGCTGCCAGCCCTCAGATCTGGCTCCGCTGAACGTAGCAGGTACAGTATGATGACCGAAAGATCATTTCTTGCATGTAGGCTATCATGGCTTTTTGGAAAGAGACACATTGCGACCCAAGTCAGAACGTTGTTCAGTGGTCCAAAAGTAGAAGCGGAATCCAGTCTATGGTGGACTGTTCAAAGCAGTGAAGTGAAGCCGGGTACAATATCCCCCGGGCTTTCTACGCTTTCCGCTTCGGGACACACGCCCCGTGATTGGTCGATGCTTGTGATTGTGTAAAATTAGCATCACGTCTACATATGCAGGTGTTCCTGCAGAGAGAACAACTCCGCTTGCATCCATCCTCTGGATGTCGGTGAGGCCTAGTAGCCCGTGCGGCAACATCAGCGATCGTCCTAGCCCACAAGTCCTATTGCTGGGTTTCGGCCCGAAAGAGCGTGTCCCTCATTCACCTCCATTTTGCAGAGCTGATCTTTCGCGCCATCTCCACCATCCTGTACTTAACGGTGGATGCGAGTGTGGACCACCCATCGAAGTTACCTGCAGCACCAGACCTCCCGTAGTACAACGCCAGCAGCGCTACCAGAACCGCAGCACTGGTCCAGCCTACTGAGCGCCGGTAGCGATACGCAAGCGCCGAGGCCCGGTGTCGTACCAGCTTGAGCTGCTCCTGTCTACGAATTTCGGACGCCTGCTTTTCGAAGAGCTTCTCGCCATCCTCGAGGGTTTGTGCTGCCAGTGCTTGCGGGACTCGCGTTGTCTTGAGCACGCTGTACGAGCTGATGCGGCTCCATGCGCGGTTGGGAAGGCGCTCGGGTGGACACTGCTTGAACAAGGCCTGTGTCCGGGTGATCAGCCCTTCGAGGTCTAGGGGTTTGGGTAGCTTAGAGAGAATTGAATGCAGCATTTCCGGCTCGTCATGGTCGATCTCCAGCAACTCCTTTTTACGGGAGATGACGATCTGAGTCAATCACAAGATCAGCTGTAATGCAACAAGAGAGCACATGGAGTGATTGGACCCACAACAGCGAAGAGGTAGACAGGCACGGCAGCCTCACTTGCCAGTAAGTAGTCAAAGAGTCGCGCAATGTCTCCATACTCCTCAATGTCATGTGCATACAAGGTCAGAGTTGCAGCCAGAGCAAAGAATGGAGTGGGCTGCGTGGCACCAGAGAGGTGCTGGTAGAGCGTCTTGTCTGCAGAGTACAGGATAGCTGGGAGAAGGTGAAGGTGGCATTCTGCAGCAGCCAAGGTTGGCAGCATGAAGTCTCTGATGCGCAGCAATGATAGGCGTGCAACAGCCGATACCGCCGCATCGGCTCCAAGGACGAGGAGGAGAACCTGTACGATGTCGTGGTAGCCCTGGAAGTAGCACAGGATTGGGTGCTGACGCAGAACCGCTGTTATTACGTTGGATAACTCGCCTTTGCGTGCATCTAGGCGCTGGCGAGACTCGTCTTTTTGCGAGCGGTTAGCATGGGCAATGTCAGGTCGGAAGCTGCGTCTTACTCTCGGGATAGTAGACAAAGGACCGATGGACGTCCAATTCCACCTGGTCTTCGTCTCTGTGCCGCTCCAGTCTCGACCAATCGACGCTTGTAGGCCGCGGCTGATGATCACATGCAAGTAATATGGGCCCTGCGTTACGGTGTAAGCCTCGGATTTCATCTTGTAGGGATTCTAGCGACTTTGCATATCTGCGGACGATTCGTTTGACGAGCACGCAACAGACACTGGGCCTGTGAAAGGCAAGGCAGGAGCAGTCTAGCGGTAGCAGGCGTGGAAATGACAGCGATACGTGCAGAGAAGCAGTGTGAGGGGGGGCGTACATGCGGCTCGACGGACTTCGTCTTCGACCAAGCCTCCTTTGGACGTGGCCAGATCAGACAGAGCCTCGAGGTCTCGATCCCGGCAAGCGGCCAGGATGCGGGCGACTTTTTTCCTGGCGGCCTCTGATAAGGGCTCGTTGCCCCAAGACGCCGACAGAGGATCTGACTGTGCGGCAGCATGGCTAGTAGACGGCATGGCCGCGGCGGCGGTGGTTCCATCACGGTCCATCTCGGCCTCGAGGCCGTCATGCGGCGTACCTGGCAGGTCGCCGCTGTCCGTCGCCGGAGGGTTGTCTATGGGTGACGGGACGGAAGCCATGCGATGGTGATGAGGTGGGCGAGCAGACGGAACATTTTGGGAGGAGCCGCCGCAATACGTGCAGTGCAGTGCAGTGCAGTGCAGTGCGGTGTAGCCAGCAGTGTCGTTCTGCAGAGTAGATCCGCTTTCAGACGTCTGTTGGTCTCGGCGGACTTGCAGGGTAAGGAGTCAGTAGTAGTGGAGGCAAGTCAAGGTGGAGAGCTACTGTAAAGGGAGCTCTGAGAGGGGTCGCTACCTATCCCACATCTGGCCTAGTGCGGGCTCAACCGAGCGACCAGTCGTCCCGGCCCGTCGTCTTCCCTTCCGCTTCCTCCCAGCGGTGGAGACGGTCGACTTCCAATTCTCGCTTTCTCCTCCACCACTGCACCTACCATACCCTGTGGAGATTGCGTTGGCATCAGACCCGCCTCATCGCACCAAGAACCGCCCTCCTTTGCTCATCAGGGCCGGTGTCAATAGCTGACGGCAACGCCAACGGCAACGGCATCGGCATCCATCGCACATCGAGCCTTCGCTGTACATCCCTGTGTCGATTGCATCGTACAACACCACGCGCACAGCGCGCGCTCCATCGAACTACCGGAATTCGAGCAATCATTTTTGACGGCACGGACTCACACCATATCGGCTCTTCCGCGCGCGCCATCATCGTCGTGGCGTATCGTAGTTTGACTCGGCTCGCAACTTTTTCTTGCTCCACGGCACGGGCGTAGACGTCGGCACGAGCATCTCCATCCTTCAGAAGCAGCTCCACGCATCCTCCGCGCACGGCAGTCGGCGGCGCAACCTGCAAAAGCTGTCTGTCTGCTGCAGGTCAATAATCTCTGAAACCGCAGCTTGCGCCTTAAAAGCTTCTGGACCTCATCCAATAATGACTTCGCCCTGCCGCCAATTGTTTTCCCGGATCTACGCATACCCATCTCTGTGCCTGTGGTGCTGCGCTACTGTGCTACCTTACCGCTAACCTGGGTCTCTTTGACGAGTCTAGCATTCATTAATATCGACCTCTACGCTCTCTCGCCCGTGCTCGGTCATCTGCACTCCAGACGTCACGACAAACCCCATCCTCCACCCGATCCGCACGTCTGCCTGTCGCCTTCCCACAAGCTTGCACGAGGACTTTTCGAGCTGCGTCTCACGCCGTCGTTTAGCCAGAGGGACCAACAATCAATTGCGACTTCCGCATTTGGACGTTGGGCTCTCGGTGCTGCTCCTCGTATTCAAGTATGAGAATCGCTTGGACAGCTGTGCCGCCCTGAATCATCAACTTCTTCGTTTTCGAATCCGGAAGACGACTGTTTCCACAATACAAGAGATGCGTACGTGATGGAGGCGGCGAGTCAAGAAAGGCAAATCCACTCCATCGGCGTGCTCACGAGGACTATTCTTCACAGCCCAGTGATACACTGGATACTGCACGCTCAGCTTCGCCATCGACTGTGTAACGAGGTCGTGTTTGTCGGGGAAGACTTCGTTCACATCAAAGAGGTACGTAAGGTTTGCCCCCAAAGCTTCAAAGTAGAGGTCCTGTCAAGTTGTGGGGTGCTCGAAGCACAACATTATTTGCTGTCTATGATTGAACGCAAATTAGACTTTAAATGTTCTGCTGCACGCTACAAGCGTAGAGCTGGCGAACATATATTGTCTGCACGCATGTTACTCTGCGGCTAACGCCACACTCGATATTGCCAAGATCCTTCCCTATGCCGTTCCATTGATCAGTTCAAACAGCATAGTCAGCTAACTCATCAGTCAGATTATCCCAGATGGTCCGGGACGTCGCTTACAACATGTAGCCTCCAAGATAGACTTCGATTCACGCATTCGCGCCGCTGCCATCTTCAACAATGAAGAAGACCCTGCGCAAGTCGACTTCCTCGTGAAGCTCGAAAGACAACGAGGCGAACTTGATGATTCAGGAGGACCGCCTCAGTTGTTGATCTTGACATTGGAATCCAATGACATTGTCTTTCTCTACCTGCGGAAGGGTGCTGATGGCACCGCCCGCTTCATTCAGCAGACGTGTCCCATGCCTTGCTTTGACCGCATGTTGTTTCAACCAGGACAGTTTCTAGCTGTCGACCCACTCTCGAGAGCGCTCGCCGTTGCCGCGAACGAGAGAGAGGTCATCATCTACTCGGCAAAACCGAGAGACCAGATCCTACGAGAAATTCGCGAAGGGTCAGAAACGTGGTGTCCAGTGTCCTCTCAGCGACCTTTGCAGATCGAGGGTGTAATACAGCAGATGGACTTCCTCATTCCCCCGTCGGACGACAAGGACCATATCGTCTTGCTGCTCATTGTTACCGATCAGCGCTACACAAAGGCCATTCGCATAGATTGGCACTATTCGTCAGGACCCCACAATGCACAATTGCACCCCGGTCAGCCTTTAGCTCGTGCGAAGACGACTTCTAGCTTGCTGATACCTCTGCGGGATGCGTCGTTTCTGCTGGTCACTGGAAACGAGGTCGTGCGCTGGAAAGACATTCTGTCCGGTTCTGCCTCCGGAACGACTCTGAGATCTCCAGAACAGCCTGCCAAATTTCCTGGCAATTCGTCACATGCGCCAACTTGGGCAGGTTGGGCAAAGCCGCGACGCAGTCAAGCCGCAACACGAGGAAGAGATTCACTCTATCTTGTCCGAGAAGATGGTCTGGTCTTTTTTATGGCAATCGATTCGAGGGGTAACATACAGACAAGCTTTGCGGGCGATCTACAATGCCACGTCGGCAGCGCATTTGCCTCTCTTGGAGATGAAGGTGACCCTGATGTCCTAGCTGTCGCGGGTGAGATGAGCACTGGCCGCGTGGTTTCTATTGGCGCATGGCCCAGCACCCGCGAAATGGAAGTGCTCAGTCGCGACGACACAATGTCTTTTGATCCCGTGGAGATGGTTCCGAACTGGGCTTCAGTGACCGACATGATCGGCACAAAACTCTATTCTAACCGCACACGCCTCAGCGACACAGACAATGTGCTGATCACATCGGGCCGTCAGCCTTATGGTGGCGTAACTGAACTTAGGCGAGGAGTCGAAGCTCGCATGTCGGCCTTCGTGGAAATCCCAGGTCTTCGTGCGGCCACAGATGTTTGGACCTTGCCTGATTTGGCTCTAGGTTCCATCATCATTGTTTTATCATACCCATCCGCGACAGTCCTGTACACTACGTCGGCTGAATTTGATGAAGATTGGAACGTGTTCGAAGACATGACCGCGTTTAATACCGACTGCAGAACAATCGCGGCTGGCATCACAATCAATCAGCGCTTAGTACAAGTTACGGATCGAAGCATTTGCGCATCGAGCTCCATGCATGTCAATTTCGAGGACACTGCGAGTAGGGTCTTCGAAGACGACACGAGGATTTTGGCCGCTTTCATTATTGCAGAAGCTTCCACTCTTGTCACGGCGGAACGCCATGATACCGGCTATGCAGTAGTCTTGTACGACCTGTCATTGCCTGATGAGACGTCTGGAATCGAGCGCCGAAGTGCCGTCGAAATTGAGCGCGAACCATTGTGTCTCTCAGCAGCTGCAGTAGACGATGGCGCCGTTGTGGTAGCAGCGACCGACAATGGAGGCGTAGCGTTGATGCAATTCGATCACGCTGGCAAGGCTCCAAGCAGTCGCATAATCAATCTGTCTTCTTTCACGCAAGGCCATCCTGTGTGCGATCAGCTTGTAATCCTGCAAGGCACCAAGAAAGCGATCGGCACGCCTGACTTGCTCGTTGTTTGTGGCCTGCGGGACGGAAAAATCATTACCTTCACACTCAGTGCGGGCCATGCGCAGCCATCAGGCGATGCACGGGTGATCGAGTTTGGCTCCAGCACAGTGAAACTCACTCCCTTGTCAAACGAGCCAAATTGTGCTTGCGCTATGAGTGACAACGCAACCTGTCTTCTCTCATGGGACGGGAAAAGTCCGCAATCCCTCAGGATTGAGAACATTTGGCTGACGGACAAGGATCGGCCACACCTTGCCCAGGGTGCGATTACTGCGATCGCGAAGCTGCCCAGTGCCGCTCACCTATCTTTTGACACTTTTGCAGAGTCTCTGGTCCTGCTATCGGGAGAAGAATTTGTTATTGCCACCCTGAACCAGACCGCGACCACTGTTCCGCGTCAAATACAAGTGTCTGGCACTCCAAACCGCTTGGTATATGCAGAAGCGTTGCGACACATTGTGTGTGCATCCGTACGGACCGAAGTGCAAGGCTCCCAGGAGACACGACGGATCTGGCCAGTCATTGATTTTGTGCCGAGCAGGACCGAAGGATCTCTTGTGAGCTATCACATGCAACCAGGCGAGCGCGTTAACGCTATTATCGAGTGGTCGTATCGGAATCCCACCAATCCAGACAAGTTGTATTCCTTCGTGATTGTCGGCGGTAGCTATGTCAGACACAATGGCACTCGCAGAGGTCGAATCACATTCTTGCAGCCTACATTTCGTAAGGGCAGCTGGGAAATTGCCGAAATGTCCGAGACGAGAAAGGATCCTTTCGATCAGGATGTCTACGCCCTAGCTTTGTACGATTCGATCACGTACGTTGCTTGTGCTGGGGAAAGTGTGCACTTGCATAGACTCCGAGAAGGGGAAGATGGAAGGAAGTGGGATCAACTCTGTCTTCCATTCAAGCTGGCTAGTCCAGGTGCACATGTTACGGTGGAGACAGACCACAGTGGAAGACGACTGATCAGCATCAGCACCATACGAGACTCCCTCGTTACGCTGATGCTTGATGAGATACAAGCAGCGAATGGTGCCGCGGCAAAACACGTGCTCAAGCCAGTAATGACTGGACCACGCGCAGATGATGCACTCAGGCATTACATCTTTGACACGACTTCTGCGCTTTACTCTCGCGGGGATATCGACTTGTTCTCATTGATGAGCACCAAGGCCGGACAACTCATCGGCATGACCTGTCGAAAGCATTCACTTGATGGCGAACCGCGTCATGCAGTCGGGGATATTGTATTCGACGCCAAGCTTCCTCGCTCTCTGACAAGACTCGAACAAATCCCTGCACCTGCTCGCAGAGGCAAAGTTCCGTCGGGAGTCTTGCCAGAAAGAGTCGTTGGCGCTGCGACTGATGGCTCTCTTGTCGGGATAGCATTGTTGGATGGGAGGCTCTGGAGACGTCTTTCGTGGCTGCAAAGACTTGTCGAATGGAGCCCTGACTTATCGCCACATTCTTACCAATCACCCAACTATAACCCAGCGGGCATTGACAGATTTGGGCAAAAGGGAAGAGTACTGCCGATTGGCTTCAATGGTCACGATGGCGACTGGATAATGCTTCATACGACGAACAGCAAAGCCAACGATATGCACATAGACGGCGATGTCCTCACACGCGTTCTTGAGAAGAATGGCGTTGAAGCAGTCAAGCGAGTCATGAGCAAGCTTGTAGAGCTGGACAATGCCACCGGAGCATGGATGAGGGAACATGTCGATGAGGAGTTGGAAGCTCTGGATGAGTTGCTTGGTCTTGTACAGCATCTTGACGCATGGATGTGATCACAGCAGAGAGGGAAAGAGAAGATGATTGGGAAGGGGCGAGAAAAAAGATGAATGCATCTGAACGTTTGAACGAAATGAAGATTGGATGTATGCAACGAGAAAGAGATACCCGGATGTGGATACACGACATCATGGCCAAGGGGGGAAAGCAGAAATGAGCGAAGCATCAACACTATCTACAAAGTATCTCTTATCAAAAGCATCCATATCGCATCTCAAACGAGGCGAAAGCAATCATCTCCTTCTCCTTTTCTCTGTGTGCCTGTGCTTCCGGTTCTCGTTAGCACAGGATACTTCTTCGGCAGGTTCGTCGAATCAAAACGTAGTAGCAAATGTTCGTGTTTTGTCTCAGAGGGGAATCAGAGTCAATGATCTTTGTCTAGAAGAGTCATTGACGATCTTTCACAACCCTTGGCAATTGCAATGGGCTAGATACAGTTTAGGGGATCTGATACATTCGTCATGGCAAAGAGCTTTTGTGGTTGTCTGGAAGGAAAGAAAAATCCATACTACGTACCTCTCTTCGGTGAGCCATTAGATATTGGCAACAGAGTTTGACGGACGATGAAAACAAGAGGCAGGCAGAATGTGCAGAGACGGATCGTCTATTATATTTGAATCATGATGCATCGTTGGGGAAGGGCCACTTGTTGTTGATATCATTGTGGACCTTTCACGGCGGACCGAAGTTGGATCGTTAGCGAAGTTCGTTCGGTGCTTGCTCGGCGCTTGTGATGAGATGTGATGCGCCGAGCATTCATCACCTGCAACGACTGACTGCCAAGACGATAATCACAAACATCAATCGTGTGAAATACTCATCTATACGTGTATGCGGAAAAAAAGGTACCGAGCTTTTCATAACGCACCCATTCCACAACTGCCACTCAACCAACGATTATGCTCTCTCTCCCTCCTTCCACTCCCCCTTCTTAGCCCTGGCACAGACTTCCTTCAAAACATTTCCAGCCCAGTCGAAATCCTCTTCGGTGAGGTAGATCTGTCCACTCAACCTCACGTAGAAGTTCTCTGCGTGGATCAACAACGCCAGGAAAGTGTTATACTCGTCCAGTAGGGTCTTGGACATCCATCTGAAAAACAAGCAGTGTTAGCCATCATCTCTTTGGGACTCGCGAGTTTGGTGGTGACTGACTGAGCAATGGAGATCGCGGTATTCATATCTCCTCCCGCCAAGTCGGAATAGGACAGAGGGAGTCGAACATTGGCAAAAGCGCAATTCCGCAGCGTCCCTTCTGCATTCTCCAGGACTTCCGTTCCCAGGATTTGAGCGGTCTTGTCTCCTCCTTGCCTCGCGACGTCGACGCAGTACTTCATCACCGCTTCTTCTCCTTTCAGTTCCCCGTACCTGACTTTCTCTCTCCACTGCAGAGCCGTCGGGATGCAGAGATAGGGCGAATTGTCCAGCGTCCCGACAAACTCAAACTGATTCACGAATTCACTCTTCTGGCTCGGGGGAAGCGGATTGAAAGCTGCTTCGGTCTCCCTCGGAACGAATCCATGGCTTGTGGGTAGGGATGAACGGATGAGATGCTGATTTCGTACGGGAACGTAGAAGACTGCGCAGCCTCGAGGGACGTAGAGCCATTTGTGGCAGTTTGAGACGAAGAAGTCCGGATCCACTTCTTTTAGATTGAGAGGGATGTGGCCGATTCCGTGAGCCCCGTCAATACAGCTAAGAGTGTTATACTCCCGACAGATCTTTGTGAGTTCTTCAAAGGGCGCGCGCACTCCAGGGAGGGAAACAATGCTATCGAAAATGGCGAGTTTCGGATTCTTGCCTTGGGTTTTGATGGCCTTGATAGTTTCCTCGAATCTGCTGCAGAGCTCTGCATCGGAGATTGGATACTTGTATTCGACGCTTCGACTTTCAGCTGGTGTGGTCTCTGTCATGTACTCCACGGTCTTGTGGCAAGCTCCATAGATCGTGGCGAAGTAAATGATGACATCTCCGGGTTGATAGACAATGTTCCTCAAGACGGTATTGACGCCAGTTGTAGCGTTCGGAACGAATACACAGGTCTGATGCTCTATCGTCAGCAGATATTACCACGCTCAATGAGTGATGATACTTCGCTGTCCACCCCGAGAATCCCAGCAACAGCGCCTCTCGCCTCATCGTTGCGTCTCGGGAATTCGTACCGAATGAACTGGTCCGGTCTCGCCTCGCAATCGTCCTGGAATTTGCGCTGAACAGCTTTGACACCAGCAGGATAAGTACCAAAAGACCCATGATTGAGATTTCGATATCCTTCTGCAAAGCCGAAATGTCTGGCTACCTCCTTGCCGCACTGGATGCTGTCAATGGCGTCGATCTCGAGTTTGGATTTGTTCGGACGGATCACCATGTCGGCTGTAAGGTCAAGATTCTTCATGTCGATCAGAATGGAAGTATCTTCTGGCATTTGGTGGAATTATTTGGGAGACTTCACCTGGAGCTGACTCGAAGGAAGGTGTGGTCCCTGAAGATTAGTCAATCTTACACGTGGTCACGCGGCGGAGCATGTGAAAGGGCGCGAATGTGCAGATTGAAGTGCGATATCGGAATAGGCAAAGTACAAGCCGTACAACGCGATACTGATATTAATAGGGCAGAGCTGTTGATGTAATAGCTGTCGTCTAGGTGAATTTGCGTATCTCAAATTCCGATGCCGCCAAGACCGAGACCGAGCTTCCGAGCTCGGCAAGTCTTCATATCGAATATCATCGCAGGGTAACGGTATTTTCCATGATGCATCATCCGACAGTTTCCACGATTGAAACAGGCTCAATCATGACACGTAATGATCCTCGAATCGTCCAGGCCAAGGCTTGCCCTCCCACAGAAGCTGAACAGCGGATTTAACGCGTGGTTTTCGGAGGATTCCACCCTTTGAGACTGGAATGTACACTACCTTCTGCGATAGTCCGTTCAAGGAAACCTCTTCAGCTGCGACGTTGGTAGTGAATTGGTGCATCAGCCCATCGCGCGATATGTAGGCAAAGGCCATGGGCAGTTGAGAACGTTGCATGGCTTCCAGGACCCCGGTCGTGGCTTTCGTTGCCGATATGAGGAGTGCCAACTTGTTCTTGACACGATGACTGTACGGAGCATTGAGGGCAGTGCCCTCCAGTTCTCGAATGTGTGCAGAGGTATTCTTTCCGGCCTTGCATTGTATCACCACTTGGAGTTGTCCGGGCGCACTGGGCAACTTCCAGCTTCCGATGAGGTCGATTCCCAGGTCTTTGGTACGACCGCGATGCTGCAGAGAAAATCCATAAGTCCGTAGTTCTTTCTGGACAGTATATTCGTAGACAGTCCCTTTATGGAGCCTCGATTCTAGATTTTTCCCACTGGCTTTTGCGAATCTGAGGTAGGATTCCAGATCATGGTGTGTCGCTACTTCCTTCGGTTTCCGCACTCCCTTTCTTGGCTCCTTTACCTCCGCCGTGCCCAACAACTCATTGTCATCGGACAGCACAACGACTTCTACGGTCACTGGCTTTCTTCTGGTGGCCTTCACTGCCTTATGAGCCTGCTCGACTAGCGGTCCGTCGGAGTGTGTCTTCCTGGACGCAGCTTTTGCCAGAGCCTTTGACCTGACCTTCGATACTGACGTTCCAGTGGGTGGCGATAGCTTGCTCCAGGGCCAGACCAATGATCTCAGGCCACGACCGGGTGGGCGAATGGCGGACTGAAATCGTGACAATCGTTCCCACGGGCTGTTGGCGGAGATATGTTGTCGCGTCAGGGTCGCGCCTCGATGGGTGAGGCCGTGGCTAGGGAGCATGGACCGGGGAGAATTCTGCTCATAGCTCAAGCCTGTGAGCCGGCCAAGTGAATGGTTGTGGAAGAAGAATAATGTCGATGTTGCTGGCAGTCCCCTAACCGCTACGAGCGGATGTTCGGCCGGCGCCGCTGCAGGAACCGATCTGAAGCTTGGGCCACCATCAACAATTGCCGTCTTCACACCTCGATAACCTCCTCCACCTACCTTCGCACCAGTGCCATCTCAAGCATGTGATCTCGCCGATAGAGGGTGGCTTGCGCTGGCGACAACTTAGCAATAACTCCCCCAACTGCTTTTTGAGACCGAAACAAGATGGCGGACCGCTTGACACAGCTCCAGGACTGTCTCGACGACGTATGTTTGCTGGTGCAATGCTGAAGAGATTGATTCATATTGACCATTAGGAAAGCTGCTCACGCAGATGTATTCGTCTTTGAACTACATCTACACACGACACCAATATGGCGAAATCCCAGGGCAGCCCAATCAGGCGCCGCAACCGGCATCACAAGAAGCTACCGCGAACGGCGTCACGCCTGCTGCGAACGGTAACGCTACGAATACACCTGCTCCCGCTCAGAACGGTACTGGCGACGCCGGATCACCTGCGCCGGATCCACCTGATACCTTCAACGCAGCCATGCACGAATTGGCACAAGACCTGGTGCTGAAAGAGCAACAGATCGAGCTCATTATCCGCTCGCTTCCTGGTATAGGAAACAGCGAGGCAGAGCAGGAGAAGAGGATGCGCGAGCTAGAAGCAGAACTACGGCAGGTGGAGAAGGAACGAGTGCAGAAAGAGGCTGAGAAGGAAGCGATGGTGGATCTTCTGGGCCAAGTCATTGGCGAGGTGAAGAGGGTGCCGTGAACAGAGCACAGGCAGACACGAGTATACGGAAGATGCAGAACCCACGCACGCAAATATGGCGCTACAGGGCGACGATAAGATCGCGAATATTACAACTGTAAGAGCGAGACTCTGGATACCTGCGTCGTTTGCCAGGCAAACAGGGCAAACGGACTGATGTCTTAGACGGGCGCTGGGACATGTCGCTTCCTGCAAGATCTCATTTACGAAATAAGGAGCGACTCACATGCAGAAAGTCCAGGTTCCGAGGCGGCTGCGCACGCAATGCCATTTCTTACAGGAGACACCGCAGCTGCCACAGCGGATCATAGAACACCTACAAAGCCGAACACCTAACAGCTCACTCCCTCCAGAACTGCAAGACGCTTCGCATATTCTCAAGCGCGCGCCTATACACCAAGGCACCGCAAAGATGGACATGGGCCCCGATTTTCTCGAGATCGAACACTCAGATCCTCAGCGCGAATCCTCGTCATCATCTTCAAAGCGCAGCAGTTCAAGCTCGAGAACAGCCATACACAATCCATCGCCCAACGTCATCTGTTGCGGAGCAACTCCAGTGCCATCTACTGCAGTACCCATTCAGCCCGTCTACGCGAACGATCCCATCAACGGTAGCAGCAGACTCTGGTATCAGTTTGCTCGGGCGAGCGGTAATCCCGACTATGATCATGCGCGACGATGCTGGAAAGCCAAACTTGCCGCGTGCAAGCTTTGTAAGCGGCATGAGGTGTGCTACTCGTCTGCCTATACAAGGCCGGCGGCGGATTTGCTGAGGGAGATTCTGGAAGTGCGATATCCAGTGCCGGACGACGATGGGGTTGAGGAAGACACGCCACTTATCGGACACGAGCGCAGTAGGACATGCTGCAGAGGATGGCTTGGGTTTTTGGCAATGAAGAGAAGATAGCACCGTCTGTTGCTATCCTGGCGGCACTTCAGGCTCTGATGATCCGATGACCATTCCGTCAAGATCACTTCACGCTGTATGGATGGACAATTATTGAGGGCAAACGCCGTATCGAGGACGAAGCCTAACGATCCGAGGCGCACTTGAATAACCTCTGTCTGCAAGTCCACCCAGGGCAACTTTTAACTACCCCTTCAATCCATCCATACACTCTTTCAATCTCTCCCATCCGTCTGTTCCCTCCCAACTATCCTTTCCCCGTCCCAAAATCCCTCTTATCGCACTCCTGGCTTTGAACTTCCAATCCTTAGCTACAGGCTCTCCAGCACTCAGCCCCTCGGTCCTTTCTTTCTCTCCCAGACTCTCGTACGCTTCACACAACCGGATCGTAGCATCGACAACTTGGTTCCATCGCCCCTCACTTTCGGTCTCCCAGCCTGGCTGAGAAGTCACAGCTCTCCAGGCCTTCTCTTCCGCATCTAGAGCAGTCGCGGGTCTCTTGCGCCAGAGGGCGAGCTTGCCGACGAGATGCCAGAGCGCCGCGGACGAAGTGATGAGCGGCACGACGGAAGTATCCATGAATTTCACGACCATGCGGACGAGACCGGGTTCTTCCGGGTCGTAGCGATCGTGCGAGGCGATGATGTGGTTCACCAATTTCGAGAGGATTTCGACGTCGATGCATTTCTCTCCGTCATTCGGACCGCGCAGGTCGATGATGCGTGTCTGCGCCGAGAGGATGGTGCCGTAGTCTGGTGGGTCGAGGGAGGCGGACACGATGAGCGCGTTCTCCCAGATCCGGAAGGAATCGTGTTTGAGCGTCGCGGCGCGCTTGAGGGCCTTGAGAGCGTCTTGTCGCAGGGCTTGTTCGCGGTCGGAGGATGAGGATGTGGCTTGCGCAGTGCCCTCTTCTTCGTCATCGTCGTCCAGTTTCACTTTCTTCTCGGGCTCGGTGGTTATCTGGGTATCTGGATCTGTTCTCAACAGCGCTGCCGCGAGATTGCTCCAAGCTTCCGCGTCTGTTTCATCGAGCTGGACGCAGCGGGAGAAGGCTTCGACTGCCTTTTCGAATTGCGCGAGCTCCAGAAGAGCACATCCGAGAGCAAACCAACTTTGATGCTGGAGCTGATTGACTTTCAGGCTGCGACTGTAGGCCTCTGCTGCTCGGACAAAATCTCTCGCGGCGAAGAAATGTCTTCCAATGGAGCGCTGTGCCCGTGCATACCGCTGATTCGAAACCTCCCATGCTTTCTCATACATCTCGATGGACTGGTCGATGTCGCCAAGAATGCAGTATAGACGTGGTGCATCCAGTGGTGGAGGGTCACGGGCAGGACCAGTCCATTCCTCTTCCTCGCTCACCTCGCCCTCAAGAACGTCTGGACCTCCGTTCGTGGCGTGGAAGAGTTGCCGTCTCACGATTCGCTTGGCCTTATCTTCACGCTCTGTAGCTGCCCAGCATAAAGCTGCTTCTGCCCAGAGTTCTAGTCGTTCGTAGATTTGCAGCGCAGAGCGCAGACCACCGAGTTGGACCCAGCGGTTGGCGAGCTCGGACTCAAGCTCCCATCGTGTTGGTGTCGCGAGTTGGAAAATGTATCGGATACGCTCAGTGACCGGTGCACTCTCCGACTCCTTCGCTTTAGGCAAGAAGGTGGAAGTAGGAGCTGAGGAGTCGGCATCCTCCTTGCCAGAGGAGCCTGCACCTGTGGTATCAGCAATCACTTGATCGACCAGAGTCTGCAACTGCAGGAGTCCTCGCTCGACTGTTCGTGACCTATGTCCCTCTATTCTGCTCCGAACGAGCAAAGCCTGAGTGTAGACTTGCCAATTTGAGCTGCCGCCGTCTAGAACTCTGGTAGCATATGGTAGAGTTTCTTCTCTTGTCAGGCCGTTCTGCGGATTGGTGTTTGTGATGGACGATGCCAAGGTCAGAAGAATGACCGAGTCTAGGGGTTGCAGTTGAGGCTGATTCGAAGGATCGAGGCCCTTGAGGGATGATGGCAGAGAGTCTTCGTCTTTGATCTCGGTTGTCTGCGAATCAGAAGGTTTCTCTGAAAAGGAGATAGATTCGAGAAGAGTGTCGTCGTTCAGATCAAGATTTGCCGGCCTAGCAGGCGAGTCCGCTGTCTGTTCCGACACCACTTTGCCATCCCCCAATGCATCGGACTCGCTGCCATCCCGACTCTTGGCGAGCACTACGAGCTGGCTTACTTCCTTCTCCTGATATTTCGTACGCTTCCCGAGAAGGCCGGTTAGAGCAAATTCAAAGTGTCGATCGCTCTTCGCCTTCTCGAGATCAGCTCGAGCACGCTTGTCCAAGCCGTGATGGATATGAATCGTCGCCCTCTCCAGTAGAAAGTCAGCTTCGAGGCTCGCGCGCTCTCCACCGTGTGAGCTGAGGTCCTCTTCCAGCAACGCCAGATCATCGTAGATTACGTCTTGCAAGGTGGAAGAGACCTCGGATAATAAGCGTTGTTGTAGGAATGCAACTCGCATCTTTGCCCATCTGGCGGCCTTGACGTTCTTCAAGATAGATGGGCATGTCATTACGGCATCAGCAAGACAAAGCAGCTCGATGTTGGGGGTCAGCTTGTACGGTGCAATACCATCGACAGTCAACCCCGCGATCAGCTGCTGTCTGACTTCTCGCCTCTCCGATTCCGTCTTTGCGGGGAGTAGAACGGTCGATGGCTGAAACTCCAAAGGCGGACCCGTCACGTTAGACTGGACAAATGCCAGTAGGGCAGCATATCCTATGCAGAAGAGGACGATTTGTTTCTCCGGTCTCGTACGGTCGCCGCACAAAGCACCCAGTCGGTGGAAAATTTCATCATTCCACGTCTTGGAGTCTTCAGGTTTGATATCCTTAAGCGCGGAGTCTTGAGCCTGTCCGAGTAGTTCTTGTGCGTCTTCACTCGTCAACAGGCTCTCATATTCGCCTTCTTCGAGGTTCTTCAAGTGGGACTCCGTCAGGCTCGCGACTTCCGGCGGCAGACCGGATCTGGCATAGCTCAGCAATGTGTCCGTCATGATCCTGATATCAGCGGTCTGCGAATGAGAGTTGTATCGACTGATGAGTCTGTCTTCTGCAATTTTTCCAAAGTAGGTGACTTACTAATGCAAGTTAAGTTCTGTGGAAAGTGCCCACGACTTCTGGTTGTGGGTCTCTCTTCACAAGACAGCGCCCCTTTTGCATTTCTATTAACTACCGTACGTTCAACATTTAACTTCTTCCCATATGCTGTACTATCGGGCAGACCGGATGATATTTCGCATAGATGACCATCGGACTCGCCATCTTCAGCGTCTCGGAACCACTCACAACGAACACCGTCTCTTTCGGCCAACAAATTCACGAGCAAACCTCAAATTGGCAGCAGCTAGTGGAACAAGCCCATTAAGACCCATCAGAAAGGCCTCCATTGTGCTATGCGAGAAGAAGAGAAGACCCATCGATACTGCCACATGCGCGGCCTAATTCTGTCACCCGAACTACGCCCCGTCAGCCTTACCGATTCATCCCTGCACACGCAGCTGACAGGCCTCAAGGCGCCCTATCCAGCTACACCCTCTCGCGAGGAAATCTACATTTTGGGAAAAGGTCGACGGCGAGCGTATGTATACTTGTCGTGGCGTATGCATAGTCTGACGAGCGCTGCGGGGCGACTGCTGTCAGCCGCCCATGGCGTGACTCGGCCAGACAGATAGTAGGCATTAGTGATATAATGTCTCTCCATCCTCCCTACTCTTTACCCGCCGAACACTCTGAATCTGTCCACTGTCCACTTCCCTGTCATCATTTCTCGTATGTCGATATTGCTTAATATAATACAAGTTCGCTCTCCTTAGCTTCCGAATTCGCCCACATTCCGAGGTCGCAACCCTTTGCCCTGTGCAACGCAAACATCGACTGCTCCCCTGACGGCTTTGGTGAAACGAAGCACGAACAGATCGTTCAGTTCGACCCCTCTCGCCAACCTTGAGGCAATCATCTCCGGCCCGTCCACCTGAACAGCGACAATGGCGCCTCTTACGCTAGCGCTCAAAAGCACCCTCGCGCTGCTTATGATCGATTCGATAGTCGAGCTCTCCCTCATCTCAAGCATGGTCTCATGGCTCCACCGGCGTGCGGGACGGGACTTCATCATCGACTACAACAACACCACGTTTCCTCTGCATGGCAAACCCCTCAATCTGCTCGTCGACCAAGGCCACACCAGCAACGGCGCAGCCGGAACGGCTTTCGTCCTGATCGGTCTCGGGGGAATCCTCGCGCTGTGGCTCCGCAACTACAAGCTGGGCAGACCGATCTACTACTTCTGGCTCGTCATGGCACAGCTATCCATGCTCCTCACGCTCGCCGCGTTGATCTACACATTCGTTCTCACCCGTGAGCATGAGGGACATGCCATCGATATAGCTCTCGCCGCTAGCCTGGACAACAAACCGTATCCGAACATGGTACCGTACCCGATGGACAAGTGGACACCAGAGCTTTGGTTCTCGGCGGTGTTGGAGTTGTCGCTGAGAGAGCGCAGCGACAGGAGTGATATTCGAGGGCATTTGAGGGTCATGAAGGGCTGGAGATGGAATTTGATACCGATGTTCATCCTGGGTCTGGCGGTTGCTGTCTTGGCGGTGATGGAAGCCTTTGTGAGGAGAAGGCAGGTCAGCGGTCGTGATGAGATGGCCAGGGAGGCCGAGAAGAAGATCTCGGACTCAACTGATACTGCGAGAAACTGACGTCCCGGTTTGTCTTTGTAGAGGTTTTGAGGGTTTTGATCATGAATTTATAGTCCTTTTCAGTCCTTTTTTCACAGTGAATCTGGCCGCGTTTGCGGGCGAAGATTAGGCCAGATTACGATCAACGTCCTGCGTTGTGGGGATCAAGAGATTATTTTTCCATCAGAGCATCGATCGCTCATGTGTGCACGTTTTGGCCGGTGGTACCGCCTCTTTCTCTTCTCGATATTCAATACTTCTCTTGCTTCGAGGAACGCCATTCCGAACCAGCTGAACGAACTTGGCCTCATCCAGTCTGCGATCTTGCCTATGTACGGGACAACACGGTAGCGCCAGAGCTTGCAACGAAGAAACAGCACCGTTGACAAGCCGTCTACCGCACGCATAGAGACAGTCGCCAAAACCCGCGTCCGAAGTCGTCAAATTTTCGAACTCGCATCCCTTGAGATCAAGGAATTTGCCCTTTTGGAAATGGACAGCATGAGTCCCAACTTCGATCCGATTTCAGGCGCGCCCTTTGCGAGTTCAGAACCTTTTTCGATTTCGCGTTCTTCTCCCGTGACTTGCAAGAGCGGAAATCCAGAGAGGATGCTTCGATGACAGATTTTCCCCCGGCAGACTATCTCCTCCGGATTCTTCTCGCTCGGACTTTTTCCTCGTCGAACCTCTCGGCTTTCAGTAGAGTGGCCTCGGTTGGCGAGCTCCAGTGTGGCATAGGTGCTCATGGTAGGTAGATGTTTGATCAGTCCTCGTCTCGCTGATCCTCGTAATCCGTTCGCTGAACAAGGTAGATATAGCTCATGATAAAAGCTAAGCCGTACCCGATGAGAAATCAAGAGAATCGTGTGGTCGTGGAGTATCGATGCGTCATCCAAAGTCCAGCCGTATTCTCTCTCGAGAGCGCTGTACCGTGCATTCCCAATGGCAATCTATTCTCGATACTGCACCGCATTTGATGAGGTCGCGCGGATCCGATGTAGGCGCAACGGGAAGGACCCAAAACGCAGTCATTGCTGGCAAGTAGGTAGAGCGCGGACGGATTCTTTTGCCATGGTGATAAAGCACAAGAGCTACTTTCCAAGACCTGTGAGACGTTGTTTGGCGGAAGGGGGGGGTTGACGCAGGCTTGAAGGCAGGGAGGAATAGAAGATTATAACCTGTGCTGCGGCTGAAGTGTGGTCTACATCGTCCCGTCTAGTCCCATGTCAATTTGATAGAACCCCAAAACGGGGGCTTCATCATCCACTTAGCTAGACATTAGGTAGTACTGGGGCCAAAATCCTTCGTTGGGTTCAGTGAGCGTCCTGTGTTCCCGGTTTCTCGGTTGCTTTTGGCAGCGATGAGAAGCCGTATTCGGGGCTGCTCTGGACACGCGTGACGTTTGAGAAAGAAGTGAGAGAGGGTTGGTAAGGTATGTGACTGTCTGGCATCAGTGATTCTCAGGATCTCTTCAACATACCAGTTAGGCCTAACACAGTCCGAGATCTTCAAATGTCTATCCAAGCCTCCACGCGGTAATCTTCGATCGTGGGTATCATCATGCTCACAACTCCCACATTCCCAAAAAACCCAAACGCCCTGCCATGCTCTGAGCCAATAGTGTCGCTGAGTCGCCATGAAAAAGGCATCACGACTTCTCCCGCTCTCGAGTGTTACTGATGATTTTGGCCACCTAGCAAGAAAAACGATTTGTAAGGTACACTCTTTCCAACAAAAAATCAATCCGCCAAAGCCAAAAGCTGACTTACCATATCCTCGATCTTGTATGGCTTCGATATCACGTCGTCCATGCCGGCAGCCAGCATTTCATCTTGCTGTGCGCCGCGGACATTCGCTGTAACGCCCAAGATGGGTATGTGGTCCAGCTTTTCTTCTTTCTCAAACTCGCGGATCTTTCTCGTTGCGCCGTTGCCGTCTAGCACAGGCATCTCCTGGTCCATGAGTATGACGTCGAATGCGCCTTCTGCTCCGCTGGAATGCTTTGGTGCATTCTGTACCTTGTCCACGGCTTCTTGTCCATTGTTTGCCGTGGTAACCTTGAAGCCCTTGGAGGTGAGTTTCCGATGTACGATGCGCTGATTGATCTGGTTGTCTTCGACCAGGAGAACGTGTGCGCGAGGGGCCTCCTCCTTTGGGTCTTCTGTCTTCTGCTCTTCGCCAGCCTGGTCATCTTGCGACTTGATTCCCTCAGGAATTTCCGCCGACGCTGGGTCTTTCTTGGGCCTTTCTCGCATCGAAGTCGTGGTTTGCTGGTCTTGCACCTTGGTCTCGATGTTGGCCTCAGGCTGTAAAACGTCAGCCAAAATGAGCATGAGATGAAACAGACACATACCTTTTCAAAGTCTTCTGGCCTGGCTTCCTCAAGCGCAGCGTGCTCGCCTTGATGAGAGTCCCACTCGAAGGGCTCTTGCGAGTTGAGATCGCCGGGACGTTGTTTACCAAGTCCTTGAATTTTCCCGCGCAATTGCGCTTGGCCCTCTTTCTCCTCTTCGTTCTCTGCTTGAAAGTCCGAAGGCACCTCCGATCTGCGGACCTTGAAGAAGAAGCCGAAAGTTGACCCTTCCTTCTCGGTGGAGCTGACGCCAATCTCTCCGCCATGGAGCTGGCAAATCTTGCGGCTGATATTAAGACCGAGGCCAGAGCCGCCATACTGCTCCTCTGTCTTGGGAGTAGCCTGTTGGAATCGCTCAAACAAACGTTTCTGGCCTTCCTGGCTGATACCGATGCCAGAATCCTTGACGGCTACCATGACGTAAAGCACCTCACCTTCACCCCATTCTTGGGTGCTGGTTGCATCCATGTTGTAGTTGTCTGTCTGGAAGAATACTATGTTGGGCGGATATGAATCTGGCCTTTCGTTGCTTGCCGACACCGAGACATGTACCAGTCTCTCTCCTTTGACCGTGTGGGTGAACTTGATCGCGTTGGTAATCAGGTTGATCAAGACTTGAGAAATTCTGGCGATATCCGCCATGACCCAGTTCAGGTTGCACGCGGAGTATGCCTCGTCTACTCGGAACGCGAAATCCAGATTCTGCTTCCTGAATTCATGCTGAAACATCCTCAGAGTGTTTTGCAGCTGGCGAGCGGGTTGAGATGGCTTCGGAACAAGCGATAGGAGCGAGGCGTCTAATTTCGAGAACGAGAGCACATCATCGACAATGTTCTTCTGGTGCGTGACACACAGATTGATGGTCTCCACGGCCTCCTGGATGAGTTCGACGTCGATTCGGCCTTGGTCTTTTCCCTGCACGGCTTCGCTGATGTCTTCTGAGCAATGCAAGACTGCAGACAACGGATTCCGGATCTCGTGGCTAATCATGTCGATGAATCTCTCCTGTTGTTCCTTGCGCTCCCGAGCTTGCTTGGCCGCCTTACGTTCCGCTAGCTCGGCGCTCTTCTCCGAAGAGATGTCGACGATACAGCAGATGAAACCGCCGTACTCGCGCAAACTCACGTGCTGCAAGTTCTCATCACCAAGCGGCGTAAGAAGCAGCAGCCGCCACGGGTACGGTTCGCCCTTAGCCCTGAATTCTGTACGTAGCTGGCGCTGTTGCGAAAAAGCATCCTGGTACGCACTCATGACTCTGTCATAGTCATCCGAATGTATTGACTGCGGCCACGAGGTGAATTGTTTATCCTCCGCGCGGAGGGTGGTCAGGTTGTAGAAGTTCTGATTGACGAAGACGGCGTTGGCATCTCGGTCCAGGATTGCGAGGCCACTGGGAAGCATCTCGGCAAAGCTGCGAAAGAAGGGATGCTCATCGATAGGTATCTTGCTATCTTCGGCAGCGTCGGCGCCCACATGGTCGATCTGCATCGACTGGGACGGCATCTGCTTCGGTAGCAGTTGGAGCAGGATACCTCGCACCTGGGACTCATCGGGCTGGCGCAGTGGGCTGGCAATCGCTGTGGTGGTCTGATCGGATGTACTGCCTGAGGACTTGGTGCGCAGTAGGTCTCTGGTGCTGATTTCCTTGGGCAGGCCTTGCTGATAGACCGATCTCAGGGTGGTCTTGGTGTCGTTGGAGAGCGAGCCCCGCGATGGATGTCCCTGTCCCTGTCCTGGAATGCCGCCCGCAGCTTCCCAGGCGGCATTGTAGAATATGGCATGGTCCTCTCCCCATAACACTGCCGCCGGGTATGGCAGCGAAGTGACTGTCGTGATGTGGGCTTGGAGGATATCTGGTAAGGGGTCGGGGGATGGTTGATGGGATGTCGGAGGGCCAGTCTCGGAAGCTGGCGAAGGGTCTCTCATCTCCTCATCGTCCTATGCGCGAGGTGTTGTACGAGGCTGAGAGGCTTGCAGAGATGGCGTTCTGGTGTATACCTTATCGGTGTTGCTGTGCTGGAGCGCGTTTGCCACGAGGGATGCATGCACTGTCTCTCCACCACAATTCGATGACGTCGGGTGAGCATCAGCGCGTCAGACTCGTGTTTCTTCCATACCACAACCTACATGTATTGTAATATATCGCAGAACAAAGAAGACTTTCCGAAAGAACACATCTTGGGGCGGTGAAAGGAAAGGAAAGAGATTACTAATAATGGATGTTGGAGTGCGCTTCTTCACTCCGGCACCGACGCGTCAACGGCATTCAGCGCGATGCACAGATACGCATAGTACCCGATATAATGCACCAGCGCCAACGTCCCCTCCTTCCCAAACGCCCGTACACTCCTCTCCCAATCCTCCTTCGGCAGAGGCCCCTTCTGACCACACAGATACTTGGCCACATCGTACGCTAGACTACAATTCCCATTCAGGTCCCCGGGTTTCCGATCCGATTTCAGCACATCGACCTGCGCTCTGCTGAGAACGCCACTCTTGACAGCGACATTCGCGTGCGCGTAGAGTTCATACGCCGCCTGGAAATGGCCACCTGCCGTGAGGATGGCCGTCTCTTTGACATCGGCGGGCAGGGGCGCGATTCGGCTGACGCTGAAGACGAGCTCCAGCGCCATCTTGCCCGTGTCAGGAGCCGCTTGTAGGAAGGGATACGGGCCGATGAAGGCGCCATTGCTCGCATCTTTGTAGAGGAACTTTTCGCCGTTCTTGCCGAAGCCGAACTCGGATTGTTTCCTATACCCGGCGAGTGAGTGACGAGCATCTACCCAGGCAGAGCACCATACGTACGAGAAGTGATCGTACTCCTCCTGCTCTTTGGGCGAGAGCTCTTCGCGCGGCCGGGGAGGGATTCTGGATCCCATATTGATCTGCGAAGAAGCCGCACGTCACTTGTACTGGATTGTAGATGAAAAGCTCTGGAGGGACGCTTTCTACATATGGATGGATACCCAGAGCTCGGGGTTTGACTTTGCCCCTGCATCATCGTACTAGAGGGGAAGCTACCTTACGGCAGCAGTTCTGAAAGAGCCCGACCTCTCAATCTCTACGCTCAGCGTAGCTCGATATCGATATCCTCAGATCTTGAATAAGAACATGTTGATCGTGGCGATAATGGAGAGGGCGCTCTACTCACACAGGAACTGAAAAGAACTTCGGTTCGGAATCAATTCCAGCACTCTCAACCAACGCATAGCGTTCTGCGATGCAGCCCAAATTCAATGCCAGTCTTCGTAATGCAGTCCCGAAATGCCAACAAGCCAGTCTCCAGCTCGAAATCGTCCTCATCTATCACCACATTCTCTTCCCGCCGGCGCTTCTTGAGGGCACGCTTGGTCTCTAGCCGTCGATCGCGCTCGACCTCTGTCGTCCACGCTTCGAACGCTTCCTCCTACGCGGTGCGCGTGAGCGACTTGGCTGTTTCGCAGTAAACGATTGCTTGCTGCTAGGTCGTAGGTATTGGCAGTGACTATGATCGGGGTGGATAATCACACCGGTCCATCACGAGAAACAAGCAACTCAGAGCCACTCGAGTCACGTACCTTCGAGTCCAATAACATTCGCATTATCCTTTCACCAAGCGTCAAAGTTGCCAAATCCACCGCCCTTCTTTGTCTTCTTCATGGGCGGAGGCTCAGTGTCGTCCCACTCTCCCACAATCTCGTCTTGCTCTGTTGGCTTAGTCGCAGCTTGCTTGAGGTACTTGCCAATATCACTGGAAACGCTCTCGCCTTCCACCTTTCCACCTGCTCGTATTCGCTTACCAGTCCAAGTCGTCCGATCGTCCTCGGCACCGCCTTCTCGCTTCAATTGCTCCCGGCGAGCCTCTTCCGCTTCCTTCTCCGACCTCTGCTTGAGGAAGTCTTCAAACGGATCGATCAACACAGCCAGGTCCTCCAAGACGCAGTCCTCTGTCGGTCGGCTTTTCTCGTCCACGGACACCTTTTCTAGCCGGTCCAGCGTCTCCAGTCCTTCAACAACGCGCCCAAAGATGGTATGCTTGCGGTTCAGATGAGCCGCCGCTCGGTAGAGAATGAAGAATTGGCTCGTGTTGGTGTCTTTGCCCTTGTTTGCCATCGACAGAACACCTCTGCCGTCGTGCGTGAGCGGGCCCTCGAATTCGTCAGAGAAAGACTTGCCCCAGCACGACTGACCACCACGTCCCGTACCAGATGGATCTCCCCCTTGAATCATGAAGTTCTTGATATTGCGATGAAATGAAACGCCTTTGTAGTATCCGCGTTTTGCCAGCTGAATGAAGTTCCAGACGGCCTTTGGCGCGTACTCAGGGTAGAGTTCAATGTTCATATCGCCAAGGTTAGTAGATAATCGTACATAGCCTTTCTGCTTCACTCTCTTCGGCTTTAGCATGTACTCCTCATCGCTCATGATCGCCCTTTCTGTCGATGTCGAAGGAGTCAAGCCAGTACTTGTGAATGAAGCTGCTGCTTGGCCTGTTGTGTATTGTGCAGCGTTATACGGAGTAGGTTTTGTGGCTCGTGAAGACTTCGCTACTTCTGCGTGCGCTTTCTTGGCCTTCGCCAACGCTTGTGCTTCAGTAGACCCGTTGCTACCATTTGCACATCTCTCGCGCTCTGCGCGAGCCTTTGCAACAGCCTCCTTCGCTTTGAGAATCTTCGCCGCGGATCCCAGATTTTGATTGTTAACACCGGCACTTCGCTCTGCTTCTTGCTCTGGAGTCGAAGTACTAGCGCCTTCCTGAATGTATTTGAAATGACTTAAATTCCTCGATTCGACATTTTGCGGATCCTGTAAAGTGATGATATCGCTACGCTGAAATTTCTCGTCCGAGACCAGATCTTGCCAGTTCTTGGCCTTGATGTTGAGGCGCTCGACAGTATCGTAGGCAAAGACGTTTCCGGTGTTTCGTAATGCGACAAGATGGGTGTTGTCCGTAATGACCTTGAACGTGACAGGGTCGACATATTCGCCTTCATCGTTCTTCGCAAAGTTGAGCTTGATCAGGTCGGCGCTTTTCAGTGGTTGTCCGTTCACTGGGTTTGTCCCGTGCTTTTTAATCCAGGGCAGAATATTTGTCAAGTCGAAGATGGTGCCGTCCACAGCACAGACTGGATGTTCGAATGGCTGAAGAGATGCGGCACAGAAGTTGAATGGGAGTCGCTTGAAGTTGGCGCCCGCGCCTGCGTTCGCTGCCTTCCGCGCGTTCGCTCCGGCGCTCGCTGAGAATGCATCTTCAGATGACCATTCGCTATGCGTGATATAGAGCTTGTCGGTTCCCTTTCCCATCTTGAAGATGATATGATGGACGTGTTGATGTATGCAACGGAAAGCGCGATGTCGCGTACTTACAGATTTCGAGGGACCACGATTTCGGGCACTCTTGACAAAAGTCGAGGATGATTTCACATGCTGCGTGGCGCTAAGATATGGGCTTGCCGCACGCCCAGGTATTGCAAGGGGAAGTTAGAAAACATCTGATCAAAGGAGATTCAAGAGTTATGCGAAGCAGCAAGTGCCTTCTGATTTATAGATGCATACATGCTATGCTGCCAAAAAGCGCAGAATAAGCCGCAATCGACCATCTTCCACACTTGAATACAGGCCCAACCAAAGCCTCCACTCATGGAATATCAAAGTGTTTTTGTGGTGCACCACCAATATTCAATGCAAAAACCATCCCGAAGTAAAGAAATATCGCATCTTGCTTGAGTCCCCGCCTTATCTTAGCTTCGCAGTCGGCCAGTCGAGATTCTGTTTGCCCTGTAGGCAGGAGCCTTCATGCTCTCAGAAAGCATTTACTGGGCAGAGCACATGCCAGTGATTGGGTGGCCAATGGTCTTCTGGACGGTGCACATGCCGGTGATGGGATGGCCGATGCGCTGGATGGTGCACATGCCGGTGATGGGGTGGCCGATACGCTGAATGGTGCACATGCCGGTGATGGGGTGGCCGATACGCTGAAGGACACACATGCCAGTGATTGGGTGGCCAATGCGCTTCTCGAGGACGTTTTCAGAGTACATTTTGATTGATGGATTCGAAGCTGGAAGCCTGGTTTGTATGTTAGTGTCTGTTGCTTGCGTTTGATCGGGTTTGACAGCTCTTACTTAAAATGAGTGTCTGGTAGTTGGTTTCTGTGTTTGGGATAGTCGGTTGATGAGGGAGAAGATGTTGATGGGTGCTTTTATGCCGTTCGAGTGGGATCGTTTCGGTTGCTTACGGTTGCTGATATTGGCTATTCTTGTCTGAAGAGAAGAAAGAATTCGTTTGAGCAGATTGCGAAAGGTAGCCTCCAAATACATTCAGATCCACAATTAGAAGCCTCGTGGCATATCTTAATATTGTTCTTCAGTCTTGGTCGTGGCGGAGCGCGGTGAAGGTGGCCTTTGTGAGTCGGCTTAGTATTGTTCGGACGGCACCGATGTCAAAGGCGATTGTTCGATGCATCGGCTCGAGCTGCGACCTAGAACACGAAATTACGAGAGAAAAATGGCATGAGTCCAAATGGTGGAAAGTGGGTATTGTTTTGGCTATCTTAAAGCGAAGAGCCAGGATGTTTGCGGCGTCGCTGGCAGGGTCAACAGGAATACGAAAGGTAGCCATAGAAAGAAGACTAAGAGAGCTCGCACCCACAGTAGTCTCCTCACAACACCAGGCATGTCATCCTCATGCTTAGGGAGTCTGAAGTGTATCTGGCATTGAACGTTGTGGTGTGGGTGCGCTATTTCAGGCGCTTGCCATGTGATAGCCACCACCTATCGCCATGTGGCCGCCACATCGCGTTTGTTCCCACGTCCAAGCCACCGCTTTCTGCTTGGCTACCGCCAGGGATAGGAACATTCGTCACGGGTTTCCACTGCCCTTCATCATTGCTCGGTACCGGTCAATGACTTCCTTTCTTGCTTCCCCCAGCTCTTCCCGACGTTTCAAGCTCCCAGAAGCTCCTGGCACGTTAGCGACGTTGATTCTCGCGCCGTTGCTGACTTTGAACTTCTCCTTTGGCACAACTTTCATTGTGGGTGGTGCTTGCACTACATCGTGCAAGCCCTTTGGCGCTTCCCGTTTCGATCTCAAGACAGCCCACGGGTCTTCGTCGTCTTCATCAACTTCGCCAACCATGCGTTTCCGCTTGGCTTTCCGGCCGGAGTTTGGAAATTGAACAGTCTGGCCTCCAAGTGCAGCTTCTTGCTCCTCGTCTTCCTCCTCCTGCTGTTCTTGCAACTCTTCCAGCTTTTCTTTTCGTCTGGCTTCTTCTTCCCTCCATTCGGCGTACATTTTGTGTAGTCGCTTCTCCGTCTTGGTCTGACGTTCCTTCGCTCCTTCCACATGTTTCCCTTTCCGAGCTAAACCAGATACTGGCAGGGCCTGGTTCACCCGCGCCGCAAAATCTCTCAAACGCTCACCAGGCATAATCCTGAGTTTCTCTGCCGTCTCTATGACGGCGTCAGACGGTTTTCCGGACTGATCCTCCTTGTCAGCTTTTCCTTCTGTCCTTCTCTTCTTTTTCAATCTTCGATTTTCCCCATCGTCCAGTCCTGATGGCCGCTTTCCGCCCGACTCTTGGTACTGCATCAAGCGCGCGAATTCCCGCGGCGTGTCATCCTGTCTGTACACTTTCGAACCATTGGTAGGCGCCTTGTGGCTGGTCGGCTGCTGCTGCTGCTGCTGCTTTTGTCGTCCATCTTTTCCTTTCTGCCCGCTTTTGACGGCTTTTTCAAATGCTGGAAGCGGTTTTGCGGTTTGTGATGGTGCAAGGTCGAAACTGTAGAGAGACCGGTCAATACCAAGCAAAATGGAACGTTTCACCGGTCTTACTTCTTTTCGTCGCCCTCGCGCCGTCGAGTATGCTTGTGGGGCATTTTGGTCAAAGATCGAGGTGATGCTGAAGTTGAATGGTGAGTTTGCGGGATTGAGCTGGTCTCAGAAAATCGCGGGTGAAAGATTTGCCGCCGGTTCTGCGACTACCTCAACTTCGTGCCCAATACTGGTTCTATCCTTCCCACAACCACATTTCACAGTCCACACAATGCCCCTACCTTCAAGTCGCATGACAAAACAGCCCGCGAAGCCGGTGCGATACTTTCCAGGCAAAGCCTATGCCGAAGATCCAATCGAGGACGAAGAATCCGACGAAGAAGAGGAAGCGGAGGATGAGCAACCACCGCCTAAAGCACCGGCACCTAAAGCAACTTCATTTCCGAAGCGACCGATAGTCAGTAGCAGCATATCGAATGATCAACCTTTACCAAAAGCACGAGATACCAAGCCCGACGTCGACCTTGAGGGATTTGAGACAGCTTCAGAATCGTCACAAGATGAAAGAGGCGAGGGGAGCAGCTCAGAAGAAGAGGAGAGCTCAGAAGAGGAGGACAGTGATTCAGACGATGAGCCGAAGAAGCCTATGCTAGCGCCCAAGTTCATATCAAAAGCCAAACGCGCGCAACAGCAGAATTCTAGTACACTATCTGCGGAGCAGCAAGCGGCAGAGGAGGAGCGCAAACGCAAAGAGAAGGCCGACGAGCTTCTCCAAGCACAAATAGAGAGGGATGCGGCGGCGCGCAGAGCTGGGAAGAAGTACTGGGACGACGACGATGTAGTGGAGGGTGAAGTGGACGATACCGACGACGTAGATCCTGAAGCAGAGAAAGCGGCTTGGAAACTAAGGGAGCTCAAACGCGTGCAAAGAGACCGCCAAGCCCTTATCGCAAAGGAGAAGGAGCGCGAAGAGGTTGAGCGCAGACGCAACCTGACTGCTGAGGAGCGCGAGGCAGAAGATCGCGAATATCTCGAGAAGCAAGCCGAGGAGCGCGAAGGCAAAGGCAAAATGGCCTTCATGCAAAAGTACCATCACAAAGGTGCCTTCTTTCAGTCTGAGGACCAAGACGAGGAGGTCAAAGCAGCTCTCAATCGCGACATTGCCGGGAGAAAGTTTGTCGACGATGCAGGCGACAAGGCTGTGCTGCCTGAGTATATGCGGATTCGTGACATGACTCGACTGGGCAAAAAGGGCCGAACGAAGTACCAAGACTTGAAGAACGAAGACACCGGCAAATGGGGAGAGTTTGGAAGCAAAAAGCGAGACTTCGACGGCCTCGATGAGCGTTTCAAGCCCGACGAGAGGGGCGGCGGTGGTAGTGAGAGGACAGGGGCGAACGCCGCTCCGGTTGCAGAGAGGAGACGGCGGGACGACGAATCTGGGCGTGATGAGAAGAGGCCTCGATATGACTGAGAAGGCTCTCCGAGGACGGTGCAACATTTAGCGAGGCGTTGGTGGATATTTTGCAATTCGAGCATGAGCGTCAAGCGCGAGTCCAAGATGGAGCGCATGTTTAGCTGAGTGCCGTCGTTCTTCTCCCTCCCTTATCCTACCGTATCCGGTATCGCCAGGAATAACAAGGGTTGCTGAGCCACAGCCCAGCTACAGTGTCCCGTCGAGACCAACATCCATGCGACAACCCTCTGCCAGTCCAACGTAAAAGGAGTGAATTTCACTGACACAGCGGGCCATCTCACCATTTCCACTTTCAGCTGCACGTCTGTGATTGGCTGGGTAGAGCCGAGCGACTCACCCCGCCTTCACTCGTCCTTTTCGCAAACTCGCGCCTTCTTTCCTAACGACATCGCACTTTTTTGGACAATCTCGCATCTTGCACCAATTCATTTGAAGAGAACGGCAATCATCGAGAAAAACGAAATGAACGATCAGAATGAGTGGCATGGCCGACCTGATCGAGCACCTGCTCTTTGAGGTGGCTCGTTCCGGCTTCAAAGGTAGGTGGGCAAAATTCCAAGAGTTCGTGCACGTGATCAGCAGCAGAAGCAGCAGCAGCAGTAGGAGCAAGCATGACGGTGGCATTCGGAATATTGGACGACGAGCGGTGCATGATTGCAACTGACGTCGAGCTTTCCAGGCCTTACGGAACAGCGATTTGAGAGGCTTGTGACAGCCTTCTATGACAAGGGAAATTCCGAGCCAGCAGAAGCGAATGGCACTCGACACGACAATGTCACCCCAAGTGTACCAGTCGAGCATCGCGGCAAGATTGACGCCATCCTGTTCGATGACATCTTCCAGAGGCTATGCGACCACCCGGACATTGGGCTGCGCGAAATCAAGGGCCAGGGCGTTGGAGAGGAAGAGGAACAAGTTCCGGATTCCATGCTGTCCCATGCGCTCAAAGCAAAGCTCTCCGGAAAGCGGATTTTCACTACCGATGAACGGATGTGGCGAGCTCTTACTGGCCACGGTGTTGACCATACCCGCATACCTGGAAAGCAATTCGAGCTACTCGCAAACATTGCTGCGTTCGGACCGGCTGGCGTATTACAGCCTCACCTAGCTCAGATGACGGAACAAGACAATCGCTCTGTGCCAACACGGACCGACACTCTTGCTGCGAAAGGCTACATTACCAAAGAGCCGGTCATTGGCGCTGGTACAAAGACTAGTCTACTTAGACTGAAGCCGTTTGTACCGCTGCAGTCCTTGCCCCAGTCTAACAGCAGCGACGGCCAAATCATTTCCGACCAAGATCCCTCTCCGCCACGCTGGAACACCAATTTGCCGATCAACAACATCATTCACGACCTAATCAACGAATCAGGCCAAAAGGGCATCACTGCGGGTGAGCTGACCTCCCGTCTCACTGGTCACCTCTGGCGGAGCTCTGTAGAGGACATCCTCGCCTGCCTGGTCACGAGTAGCCGAAGGTCACAGCCACTACACCTCAAGCACTTAGCTATAACTCGGAATGAGGAGATCTTCCAGGGCGAGCCAAGGGCGCGGTATCGCACGGTCTCAAACTTCGACAAGGCTGTTGCAGCTGGCGAGGTTATTCCAAAAACCACCAAACGTATCGGCCGTTTGTCAAGAGCCGACACGGACAACTCAAACTCTGAAGTTGATGAGTGGGGCTTTCCCGTCATTGTCTTGAGCAGTTCCGCCGAACCTACAGAGCTCACACAGGGCGCGAAGCTGACTGACGCTGCAGACACGAATGTGTCTGCTCCAAAGGCCTGGATTGGTAATTTCAAGCGCACTGCTTACGTCGATGATGACGAGGCAAGAGGGGAGGATGGAAGTCTTGGTCCCTCGCAAAGCAGCGACAATCCTGCTAAGCGTGTTACCCGTGGGAAGAGGGTACGTGTCGACGACTTTGAGGCGGCCGCAGCGTTGGGTGAGGTTGAAGGGTCTCAAAAGAAAAGGCAGAAACGATCACCCCGAGCGGACGGCGATAGGAAAGCTCGTCGCAAGCGTCGGCGCCCTGAGGGCGAGCTCGATGGCAGTGATACCAATCGTGAAGAGAATCATGCATCTTCGACCCCTGCAGCCGATGCGGAAACTCCTCGTGCGAAGAAGAAGTATCTCCTGCCAGAACTTCCTGTTGTCAAGAAGCGCAAGATTACTGAAGAGGAACGTGAAGAGTACGAAATAGCCGCACAGGCGACAGCAGAGCGACGAGCAAGAGTTGAGATGAGGCTCAGTATACGACGCAAGGCAGCTGAAATTCGAAGCTCTGGGGGGCCAACGGAACAAGCAACTGATCTTGCATCTATCTCGGTCTCGCTCGAACAAGACGACGACCACGAACAAATACCGCCAGAGCGTGTTGCCCAGATCAAAGCAGACATACTTGCCCAAGTCAAGCCTGGTGTGTATATCGACCCGCCCGAGGCTCGCAAATCGAAGTTGGAGAACTTCATCCGGAGAGGACGTCCGAGGAAATCGCTTCTTGCGGTGGTCAAGACTCCTCATCTGAAACAATTGACCTGGTTTAAAGACGACAGCGGTCCTCGATATGCGCCGATCCGTAAGCGCGCTGAGCCAAAAGCTGTCACAGCAGCCGATGTCCCCTCGTCCAAAGATAGACCAGACAGCTCTGTTCCTCAATCCAATATTGGAGTGCCAACTGGGGACACAGGCCGCTTCGATCAGCCCAATTATCCGTCAGCTAAGGGACTTATGCAACCCCAAGGTTCACGAACTGTCCAGTCAGAACAAACAGCAAGTATCGTCCCAACGCAAAAGCAACCGACACCGGAACATCCAGTAACAGCAGTATCGCCACCTCAGAGCCAGCAACAATGGCCAGCTTCAGCTTCAGTGCAGTCTCAAGCGGAGGAACAGGTGCCTGACGCCCGCCCGCCCGCAGCGGCTTCCAGACCTCTAGCGGGAGTATTAGTTCCGACCACACAGCCTTCTCATGTCAACAATGCTACCCACTGTCAACAGATGGCTCGGGTGGAACGGCTGCCCACGCAAGGTATAGATCCAACCTCTCTCAGCCAACGCGCAGCTGTGCCTGAGCAGGGTGCGTCCGGACCCATGGGATTGAACGGCTCTCCTGTTTCTTCCGCACCTCCAGGCCCCTCTTCGGTTCCGTACGAGCCATTTTCCATCTTCAACACCTTCCCTGGATCGACAATGGCCTCTCGCAGCGGCTCTTACTTACTGAGGGCCTCACCAGGCAAGCTGAGTGCCAGGGCGCCCTGGTATGAAACGGCTGCGCCTGGGAGCAAATCCAGTCAAGAAGAGTCGAATTCAGCACGCCTTTCGCAAGATAGAGTAGACGAACTCAGTGAGCCAAGTGCTACAGCTAGCTCCTCTACAAACGCCGATAGAATCTTGCCTGGCCAGTCACAGGAGGTCACACCACAGGCGCAATCTACTTCCCGAGCTGCATTCCCACTTGCTAAACCACTACCAACCCGCCCCTCGAAGGCTACTGTGTCAGCACAGGTGCAATACGTCGTGAACAACATGAGTGATGAATCAGCTGGGCGCAACTGTGAATATGATCCCACACATTCTGGGACTATTCCTGGCTCCAGTCTACCTGTAGCAGACATCATCAAATTTACACCTTCGAACGCTACGCCGGACCGATCAGCTACAAAGGCACGGACAGAGACGACAAAGACAACAAGCTCTCCGACGCTACCGGAACAAGCAGCAACTACGATCAATCATGGACTGCCGGCGTCGTACACTGCCCTTGCGCCGCCGAGACCATCTCTGATCAGCGCGAAAGCGCAGCTCCGTCAGCTGCGCTCTAAGCGAGGACGCAAGCTAGCGGACCACTGGACAAGAATTGCAGAGCTAGAACAACTCATTGCGTCAGAACCGTCAGACCTGTCGATCGAGCAAGAAGTCAACGAAGCAACTGTTACCCCGGCCACAAGAGCGCTCTTGGTCAAGCTTCCCCTACCCAAGCGTAGTTCCACGGAAAGCCACGAGGCATCCAGTGCGCGCCTGGAATCAGCTCTACAAGCCAATGGGCCAACTTTGATATTTCCGGCTAGTGATTACGGCGGCCAAAGCAGTCCTGTGAATCATGTTCAGGCCGTCGCACCATGCGACACCACTGTAGAAGAAAACAGCGAGCGTTTGAATGCAGAGTTCTCTAGCGTGCAGCGTCCAAGCGCGGAAACCCCCAAGGCTGAAGTCCATCAAGGAGCGTCCACCAGTGCTGGCCCTCCTGCGCCCGTCAATGCTGGAGAGGACGAGCCAATAACTGGTGCAGATGATGTTGGGCAGCCAGCTCGTCTGTCACCAGAGAGTCAACCTCAAGAAGATTACGATGCCGCTGCTACTACACCCACTACCCCTACCGTATCACACGATGGGAACACGTACCTGCAATCGACGCCAGCTCTCAGTTTGCATTATGTATTGCGTCACCCGAATGAGACTTTTCACCATCGAGGAGCAGGTCTGTACGCGCGTGGTCTGCCGCCAGTCACTACAAAGATGAAGACAAAAGTGTACGGTCCTGGAGCAGAAGCGTGGTATGCACGGAGGGCTGCGACAATTCGCGAGGCAGCTGAACCAGTGTCTGGTGGTATCAATGCTCCACCATCGGCTATGAGGCAGTCATCTTCGCCGGCCGAGAGCAAGTCGTTGGTTGCGAGGCTTCCTATACCACGACGTAGCATCCCTGCGCACAACACAGAGTATGACGGCCCGCGATATCAGGTACCTCCAAGCGCCGAGCGAAATGTGCTGGGTGACCAGAGAGCCTCGCCAGTGGCCGAGCCGTCTGCTTCAGGAAGTGCGAAGCCGATAGAGCGTGAGAAGAATGCTGATCGGTCTGCGTTTCCCTCACAAGAGCGATTTACTTCTCAGATGTCTCGGACGCAGGTATCGACACCTTTGGCGATCGTTCGTCCTTACAGTGTACCATCGCCGTTGGCAGTTATTCGGCCTTACCGCAGTTTCAACAGCCTAACAGCAACTCCAAACCATGCGCCGCCGACGACAAATCCAGCAGCACCAAGCCTAAGCCCAGCAAGCAGAACAGGGAAACCCGGCGGTATCAGCCAACATGCCACTGGACGTCAACATGTGTCCACACTTGATGAGGCTTACCCTATGCCGTTCGAAGATCCTATGAATATCGACACCAATACCAACAATTCCAACTCTTCCGCTCCAGCGCCTGCAAATACGAAGCAGCAGGAAAAGGAGAAGGGCGCAGGACAAGAGAAGCTCGACAATCGCACCGCGAGAGCAAAGGGCAGTGTTGCTGATCAGCGTCAATCCATCATACTTGATGCGTTGCATTCGTGCAATGGCTGCTTCCCAGGGAACGAAGAGCCTTTGTATGTCCTAGCCACAGCTTGGAAGAAGCTACATAGCGAAGACTTGGATCAAAGAACTATCGAGCTGATCATTAGAAACATGGTGGACAGCAAAAAGCTCAAGAAGATCACTTTTCAGTTCAAGACGAGCACTGGCATGCTGATCAAACGTCTACTTCTCCTGGAACCGAATATCGACCCGTACTCGCAACCAGTCAAAGATTTGCGTAAAAACATGGTTAGCGCCTTTCCAAGCCCTTTCATCCCCGCTGGCATTGAGGTCAGCAACGAGATCATTGCCAAGATGGGCAATTCGCAGAAGGGTACACGACTTACTGCTTCTGCTCCAAGTGTCGGGGCAAGACGTGAGGGAACTAAATCACCGAGCGGACTTGGCAACGATGTAGCTGTTCCTGGTGTCAAACGAAAACGGTCTGCCCTCCACAACGGCAACGGTAGGGAATCCGACGATGCCGACGAGGATGATGATGAAGAGATCAGTCCAGGGCAAGCCGCCATGCAGGGTGAGATGCAGCTTGGCAATTATTGGCACGACTCAACCGCAGTCCCCAGCAAGCTGAGGCCCTATCAGAGACTCGTAAAGACTATGCGGCTCGACCATCCAACCAAAACGACCACGGGACGCTTTACTTCAACAATGAAGGGGTCTGTCGACACTTCAATTGGCAAGGAACCACGTAGGAGCCGAGATGCTGATGGCGGTATGACGTTCGACGATATGACTGAACAGCAAAACCGTGCATCATCGGCATTACTTCTTCGTCCAAGGCAAGAGTACTATGAGACCAGCGGCACATTCAGTAGTTCGGGATGTGCGGATGTTGAGTCTACGCCTGACTCTAGGACTCTGCGGAACCGTGCTGATCGGTTGGATGGGCTCATGCAAGGCTTTGGTGCCTCAAAAAGACTGGTGACGAAGTCTGGATCTTCATCGTCTTCTATGCAAGCTCGGTTGCAGCAACAACGTGATGCTGCAAAGTTGCAGCAGCTCAGAAAGATGGTAGAGAATGACGGCGAACAAGCAAAGCTCGAAAGTGGCGACGCGGCAACGCTAAAACTTCTCGACAATCGCCGAAGACAGAGAAACTGGGTCTCCTCGGACCTTCATCGTGGCCGCAAGCCTGACGACGATGACGACACAGATGAATTTGTTCCCAGCGAAGGAGGCAATGGTGAGAATATATCTGAGAGTGACGAGGACTTCTCATCGGAGGATGCTTCCGGAACAGCTTCGAGGCGCTCTGGTTTGGTCAAGCTGAAGGTGCGAAATCTAGCATCTCTTGTTGCCCCAAGCAAACCCAAGCGGAAATACAAGTCTCGAGCGAAACAAACTGCCGCTGCAGACGAAGATCTCGGGAATTCAGACGTCGACTACGTGCCAGGCACTGCTAAGGTTCGCGTCAAGGCTGGCAGCGACATCACCAACCGTGACCGGAAATCCTCTGCGGAATTCAAGGACACGTCCCGTCTTGTCACAGCTATCGCGCTGGTCAATCTTGTTTGTGGTGGAGTGAATCAATCACTCATAAGTTGGGGCATCGTTTCTCATGCCTTGAGCTTTCGGCACGACGGTGATTTTCTTCGCCGACGCTGGTCGACAATTCGCAAGCTGCATTCGGCGACCGCCAACAGATTGCAAGATGCTCTTCGTGAGCCATTCTTGGAAGCGTATCAAAATGATGAGCTTCCCGTTCTCGACTTTCAAAACTTGAGCGCCACAGATTGGCCATCTCTGTTCCAGTGGGCTGAAGAGACCAGAGCCTGGTTGGAATCATCTAAGGGATCTTACCGAATTCCCGGCTTGGTCACGAAAAGCAAACTTGAGGAGCAGTTTGAAATACTGGAGCGCGCTCCCCTCTTCGAGCTCAGCAAGAATGAATACTTTACGACGCCGACAGACCTGGGTCGTAGACATTTAGCGCTTCGCTACAACAACAGTAGTGTCTTACCTAATCAGGTGGGGTCAGACAAAGACTCCCAATCAGACATGTTGCTCAAATCTTGGGCTCGGGCGATTGCTGTGACGAAGCAGTGGAATTACGACAGTATTGAGGCCTCGAAGAAGATCAAGAATGCGTTCCAGGCGTCTGATGTCGAGAGAGCCACACGTTCAATGGCAGACGCGCATATACTGACCCGTAGCAACAAGAGTATTTTGCCAGGCCGCAACTTCGAGCTTTCCAACGACGTGCTTTCGCAGTTCCGGAGGTGGCCGGCCAAGCCAGACGAACACACCTACCTGCGTCATGTCGCTGGTGCTTGGAGCCATATCATGCAGTATCTGGAACGCAACGATCAGTTGCAATTGATACCCGCCGCATCGGACCCGGAATATGTGATACTCACCAACTTGGTCGCTCAAGGAGAGCTGAAGCTGACTGTTGCATTACCGGAGAGAAACAACAACTTCGATGCTCCGCTTCCCAAATTCACTCCCTGGAGCTATAGCGGTACCAACTATGAGACCAAGAAGGTGAATGCGGCCATGCTCAAGTTTCCACTTGTATACACCAAGACGTCTAAATTCAACGCGCATCATGCTTTGAAGCGTGGCGTTCCAGTGCCGAGCCAGGCAGATCTTGTTGCAGGGGAGAAAGATCACCGCATTCCTTTCTGGACCGATATTCACGGAAATCTTATTGACGACATCTGGGACATGGTGTTGCGGTCCATTCTTCACCTCTTGGTCTTCCGAGCTGGCTCCACGGCGAAAGAAATGGAACGGGCACACGATCGCAAACTCTGGGCTTGGGAGATTGAGCTGGCACTGGAATGGATGGAAAGGGTTGGCATTGCGGCTCGGTGCGTCACTGGTGGTTGGCGGGCGGGCGGATCATGGTACTGTGCATTCTCGCCGGATATCGCAACCTGGAAAGCGCCGCAGGGAGCTGATCTTGTGACCTATGGCTGAATCGCGGCTTGCGAGGATGGAGCATTTGATACGGAGTAGGAAACTGGTGTTGGTGGTACCTGGTGGTTTAAAAAACAACAAAGTGATACCCTGAGCTCATGCAGCTGCGATGAAATGAAACCCGTTCAGACCGGGGATTGGCCCAGTTTCCGCAATTGTTCCACCGGAAAGAAAGGTCGTCGGTGGAGCTCGAGGAAAGACCCTTGTGTGAGACGAGTAAGGTTTCTAATGCTCTTCATCAAACTTCATGGGTTATTGGTATCTACATGCCAAACAGTGAGGATGCGCGCAAATCTCCAAATCCGGATCCCCTTCAACGCCCTTTCGCTAACCAGGCAGGACAAGCTTTCCGTGAAACGCCAACTCGGGCTCCCCCACAGCGACACTGCTGTACCATGCCGCGCCTGCTTATCGACTCCCAAAACCATCCAATCAATCATCCATTCATTCATTCATGCATAAGCCAAGGAAAAAGATCTAGCAAGTCCCCTTGAGATCCGCCAACCAGGAATTCTTCCTGCCCTTCTGGGCCTTGATGGCCTGCTCGTCCCTCTCGACCTGCGCGAGCCACGAGCGGTAGCTGCCGTACCAGGGCTCGACGAGGAGCTGCTTGGACTGGCGTTTGAATTCTCGCGACGCAAGGCTGAATCGGCTGGAGCGGCTGGAGGTGGTGGAGATGCTGGTGTCGGAGACTCGGGGGGAGCCGATGGATGGGCGGGCGGTCATGTTCTTGGTGGTGGACATTTTGATGGGTTGTTGTTGTTGTTGTTGTTGTTGTTGTTGTTGTTGTTGTTGTTGTTGTTGTTGTTGTTGTTGTTGTTGTTGTTGTTGTTGTTGTTGTTGTTGTTGTTGTTGTTGTTGTTGTTGTTGTTGTTGTTGTTGTTGTTGATGATTGATGGTTTGTTTGGTGATGTGATTGATTGTTGCTTGTTGAAGTTTGCGTTGAGTTGGTATGGTGTGGTGTGGTGTGGATGGATGGAGGAGCTTTGAAGCTGGTTGGAGGAGATTGTTGTAGATAGTGTGGTTCTTGCTCTTGGTTGTTGTGGTGGAGGAAGCTGCTTTGATGCTGAAATGGATTCCCAGTTGGTCTTTCCACGCCGACTTTATACCCCAAGGCTGCTCTCTACCTATACAAGCCGCTCGCTGCAATTAGCAAACCCCCTCGCTTGCACTGGACCCGCAGAAATTGGTTTTTGGAGAGATGATACACATTAGGCGACTCCGATGCCCATGGCTGCCGCCTGTCTAGGGACGGACCCAGCTGAGCCCTTTGACACTGCAGCCCTGCAGCCGTGAGGGAGGATCCATTGGGAACAACGTGGCAGCCTTGTCTGTGCTTGCTCATGCGCTGCGCGCGTGGTTCAGCTGCCATCGAAAGATCCACACACAGCACACACGGCCCATGGTGGAGGCTGAAGGCTGAAGAAGCGGTTTAGACTTTAGACTTTCCCCGTCACGCTGTCTCCGTCGAACCATTCCCTTCGCGGAAGCGAGAGTGGCTGCCGTCGACCAATAGGAATTCCCGCTCCAGCAAGCCACTGTCTGGTATGGCCTGAGACATTGCAAGCCACTATTTTCCAGGCAATTTGGGTGCCTGTGCTAATCCTGCAGCCTTGTGCTTCCCCCTTTGCAATCGATCTCTTGCAAGGTGGAGACTTCGAGGAGCTTGTTGGTTGTAACCATGGAAATGATCGATCGTTCTTTCGTCTATTCTATTCTCATCTCCTCACATTCTCATCAATCCTGACACATCCATTCATCCCAAGAGCCGACCAAGCTTGGAAACACTCTCCGATGCATCCATCGCATTTCTCACAAGACATTCAACCGGTCTGATCCGCGCGATAATGACGAGATGTCAGATATCGACGCACTGCGATCGACAGAGATGCCCAGATCTGTCTTCAAAATTGCGGGATGATGATGATGATGGATGCACGCAGTTATACCGATTGCAACTGCCTGCCTGCCTAACGGACGGCGGGGCTACGAGACAAATGCTGCTACCATGCCCTTCGCTTTCGCAAACACCAACCTCGTGGACAATTCGAAGCGTCTGAAGACCCTAGTTATTCTGCCGCCTGAGAAGGGGTTATGAGGAGGTACGTATGTATGTAGTCTATCTTCAGCAGCCATGAACGACAATTCCTTTTGCCGTGATATATGCCATGTCTGGATTGTCCATTTACAGATGGCCGTTCAACGAGCAGCCCTGAAGTCACATCTACATGTATATCACGCACATTGTGGGGAATCTCGTTCTTGGCGCGGGGCGACAGGACCGTGGTATTCTCTCTGCTGAGACAACTCCCAAACTCTTTCCATATTTCCATCCATCATTTTTAGGCTAAATCTCTTTTTCCCTGGATCGTCGATTGGTTCACATTTGCTCGTCGTGTCATAGTTGTCTTGATTCTTTTGCGGGGATCGGATCAGATACCATGTGAGGTGGAGCTCCATGCGCGTCGAGTGTTTTAGCGACGTAGTGATTCCGCAGTGGTGTCCCGCTCGATTGCTGCTGTGATTCTCAGTCTTTGAAACCGCCATGATGCCAGCAGAGCTCGTCCAGGTAAAACTTGTTCTGTGATGTCCAACGTAAATCCTTCCGAACTGAAGCATCTCAATACTTCCTCGCGTTGATTCATCATCACCATCCACAGACCGCTGCTCCAACGCCAACAGAAAGGTTTTGCGATCAAACGTAAAGAGCGAAACCACATCTAAAACAATCAGCTCAATGCCAGCACACAAGCTCCTGGCAATGCTTACCTTACCCCTTAGCTACCTCAGACTCCAGACCTCAGCAAGCGTCCGAGTATCGATACTCGCACTCCTTCTCGCTGCCTGCTTCTCGCCCGCGGAGAGACCATCATCGATCTTGATGGACGATTTCCTCGCACTGACGCGGCTAGCAGTTGCCTTGATGTTTTCGACCATGGATGCTCTTCGGCTTGGTCGTGAGCAGGTCTCGGTGACGGACGATCTACTGCTCATCGCGATGGTGGCTCTTGAGTGCGGAGGTGTTGGAGAAATATTCTCGAAAGTCTTGCTTCGTGTTACGGTATCGATGCAGTCGTCTAGCAGGTTGTCGTCGAGTTGCCGTATGTCGACAGAATGGTTTGGTCGTACTTGTTCGTTGCGCGGAGAGATGGATTGCGATGGTGATGACAGCGATGAGAGTCCTCCGCATCCCATGCTTATATATCCCAGTTGCAGAGATCCTTTCATATGAGAAGGACCTGTCTCTTTACTCCGATCTCACTCCGCGACCTATTCCGACCCCAGTCCGAAGGACGCGGAGTGCACCCCTGCCATTCCGATTCGTCAGTTCTTCGTAAGAATGCTTTGTAAGACAGGGAAAGGTGACAGCCCGGTGATCCACTTCGAGGAACATGTGGTGAGAGCGGTGGCCAACAGGAGCGCTCCGTGACGGGCTCGAGAAAGCCTTCTAGTCAAGTAACGCACCATCACATCCAACTCTTCCGCATTTTGCGTTTAAACTGTGCTGAATTCTCCGCCAATGCTAGTCCAATCGATGCTCTTCACCCAAGCTGCGAGGTCGATCCCATCCAAGTCTTCGCCATTGTCGGCAAAATTGTCCATATCCATCATTACACTCATGTTGTCAGTGTTGGCCTGCGTTGCGACATTCGCGTTTGATGCTGTAAGCAAGTCCGGTGTTTCCTGAAAGGTGCTTGATGACGAAGCATTCGGAGTGTCTAATATCTCGTCTAGAATGCGAGACAAGACTTTTGATGCCTGAATGCAGAGCTCATAGTTGCCGTCTCCCGGACTGCAGATGCTGTCGAGGTGAGATATGAAGACGGACAGATGTCGGAGAAGAGTTGATCTGCTCAAGCCCGGTGGCAGAGAGGACTCCGTGCCTGTGGGGGAGCTCTTTGTGACATTTTGCAGGGTGGTCATCAAAATCGCGGCAGCTGGCAAGCCGTAACAGAGCACCTTGAATTCTGTTAGCTTTGGGAAGTATCGCCGTACCGTGCGAAGTGCTTACCACGTATGGAAAATCATGCACCATGAAGATAGCTCGATTCAAATGAGTTCCAATCTGTAGTACTGTGGCCAAAGACTCCGCCGAAACTTGAAGCACAACAGTTGAGGCCTCGATGTCGCTCTTGGCGAGGAGTCTCTGGACTTGGAAGTAGTTCTGGAGGTAGTTGAGGTGTAGTACCGTCAGCATCAGGCAGATGCTCACAGATAGACCTGAGTGCCAGCACTGCGGATCGTAGCGAAGGTGAGACGGTAGCGATTCCTGCGACTCTCGGCATCGACGAGCGAGATCCCTGCGAAAGACGTCAGCGCACAGCGTCTTGCCACGTGCCAAGGTAGTTGCATTCCGATCTTCGTAGCCAGACCAGAGTCACTCCGAGTCAAACAAGAAACAAGATGAAGCCAGCCGCAGCGGCCGCTCAATAATTTTCCCCTTGTCGTAGAGGCTGGAGTAAAGGTTACCGAGGCATGTGTCTACTTACCTGAGATTGAGCGTGTTCTCCTGGCTCGAAGGCTGGATCTGAAATTCATGAATTTCTTCTCGGAGGATGCCCAACATGTAGCGTACACGCTGCCATGATGTTGGAACATAGTGCCCTGCACTATTCCAGCCTTCGATGGTCAGCTTGCGTTTCGCAGCTTCCAGTGCCGCCGGCTCGGCTAGCAGGTCGTGGTCCGCAAGGTCAAGAGGCATCTTGCAATCAGAGTATCGTTTGGGTATTCGGGGCGGTCGATCTATCAGAGTCGACACAAACTTGTCTATGTGGTAACAGGCGGCGAAGGTTCTCCTTTTGCACTCGGCTAGGAAAACCGGTGTGTCTGCCGTGATAGTCGATTCTCGATGGATGCCACATTCGAAGACATCGGTACTCAATTCCCCTAGGCGCCTGTAGACGGCCAAGCCTATTCTCGAAATCAGCAAGCAAGCACTGCAAATGTAGTTTGTACGTTCCTTGTCACATACTAGCATCTCCATCGATATGGGTGCAAAGCCTGACATGATCAAACGAATGCCACAATAGGACGTCCGTGATGTTGGGGGCGATCTCGCGCACAATGTTTAGACAAGTAGCACTTGCATTGCGCAAGGCGTGAACGAAGTCTTCTCGCTTATCGTCGTCCCATGCAAGACCCAGTAAGCATGCACGGGCAGTCAGTGCGTACATCAGTCCGACGGCTTCCAGCCGTAAGTTGTCGCCGGTAAAGAGAGCCACAAACCGTTTCCAGTCTAGATCTGGTGTGACGGATATGGGCTTCGAAGTGTTACGCAATACATCGTTCACGAGACGACATGTCTCCACTTCATCCACAGTGCCGTCAAGAGAGTATTTGGACGCGGTCTGCGTTAGAGATTCGCCGAAAGCATTAAGAATTGGCGCAGGCACATTAGCCGCCTGAGAGTTTAAGCCATAATTGACCAGCAGCTTCTGTATGAAGCGATAGTGGGATAAGTGGCGCAGCAGATCCTTCACAGGCCTGAGTCTCTCTTCGCGGAACGGGCCTTCGAAAGACGGTCTACCATGAGGCGGGAGCAGCTGACCTTGAGAATTGGGCGTCATAGGCGACCATGGGAGAGAGAGCGTCTGCACGCCATGCGAGATCGCACTTGGTCGTGACAACGGCGCTGCATTGATGCTTGTGTCAGGAGCGACAGCAGTTCTTGGAGGACTTGCTGTAGGCGTGTAACTCCTAGTGCGATTCGAAGTCCGAGTAGCTGTCGCTTCTTCGTCGAAAGTACGCGGCCTAGTCAGAGGAGCCGGGTGATAGAAACATCGTGTAACCAGTCCGCGACGCTTACAGCGTCCGCATACGGGCCGCTGATGGTCACCTAAGAGAGAGCGGAGTGTAATGTCAGTTTGTCAGGCGAGGAACGATTGCCGGTGCGCTTACACCGAATTTTGCCTTTTCTGCAAGGTTCGCAGGACGCGGCCTTGCCATTACGTCTGTGCTCGGCCACGGACATGTCTGCTCAATCGATGAGAATAGTATCATGTTAATAGAGTGACACAGTAACAGAATGCGGTGTCGTTGGGGATGTGCCCAGCTTGAGAAAGAGCTGAGGTTGTGCGCTACTCCGGCTCCACTCCGCTCATTCCGAGATCCATTCCGAGATCCATTCCGAGATCCATTCCGATCAATGCCGAGGTGCTCCTTGGGCTTCTGATTTTGTGCTGGTGAGGGTACGAACAAAGGTTTTTGATGGGGAACTTTGCTGCTTCTGATTTTCTTGCATTCGTTGAATACTATAGTGGCACCAATACCAGGCACTACGAGTTGCCCTGATCAAGTGTCAATTCCGTAAAACCGGAGTCTGCCCTTTGGTCGACGCCTCCTGTCTGCTCTTCGACTTTTTGTGCCTTATTCACTTCCTGCGGATCGCCATGACGCTAATCTCCAGACAGCGATGGAGAGCAGACTGCTCGCCAAATTCAAGGTCGAGGTCTAAAATCTGCCTCTCAGGTCTGGTCCAGATCGTCAGCAGCTTATCGCCCCAAGCAAGACGCGTGCTGTTGTGCTAGTGCTCCCACACAGGCTAAGATGCAAGTTGCACGGGAGCAACGCTTGACAGGCCACGCAAGAAGCGCGTGCAGCGGCATATTCTTGAACACGCTCGCCGGGACAATTTGGATGGACGCAGGTGGAGCCATGTCGATCGTCAACCATGATGTAAACCTCTGCAGTAGCAATGCTGCACTTTTCAGCTACTGGAAGGAGATATCGCCGTCCCTGACGGAGGTCCTCGATGCCGTCGACCAATTCAAGCGGCAGATGTAGGCCTGCGATGCGGTTGACCTTGAACGCAGCAACACGCCGACTCCCGATGACCTTGAGCAGTGGGAAGGCACGTCTCGCCGGGCATGCAGCATCCCGGTCACCATCGTTCTCAGGCGTCACGGAGCTGCATTCTCACATCAAGCCCAGGATCGGTCAGGAGCTTGGAGCTTTTCCTGTAGCTTGTGGAGCCAGCCTGAGTCATTCACTCGGAAGCGCTTCAGAAGCAATGCGATGGTCTGCAGTCTCTTCTAGGCGTGTCCGAGGGGCTGAATCGCTTCTTCGTCCCGAGTGTTATCTCCAGAAGTCCAGTAGGCCAGTACCTCGTGGGCTGTTGTCATGTTTCTCCGCCATTTGCCCATGTTGCTATCGTCGGCCTGGTGCAATTGACTTCTTGCTCGCGGGGACATTCCATATCTCTCACTGGATCGGACCAATTTTCTTTGGTTGAATTGCTATGCAAGGCAAGTGTGGCTGAAATTATGAAGGGTGAAGTGTGATGTGTGAAGTGAAGATGGATTCACAGTGGACAACCAGATGGAAGGTCCGAGCTTCGGACCCCCGAAATCTAAAGGATTGTAAGACAGAAAAGGTGTCTCAATACATGGTATGTGTCATTGTTGAGTGTCTCTAACTAGTCTGAGGGCTGCCGAAGGTAAGTGTGAATGCTGAGCTAATCAGCCGTGTACGTCACTCCTGCGTGACAAGTGCCCCCCCAAGAAAGCTCGCCGTCCCGGTGAGTAAATTGAGTAGGGTGGACGCCTGACTCGTTCCATGAAGTCCACAAACCATCAGACCCTCCAATACCTTTTCTGAAATTGAGTAGGGTGGACGCCTGACTCGTTCCATAAAATCCACAGACCATCAGACCCTCCCGTACCATCGTACTTGGCCGGTGGACGCGCGCCGGACGGCCCATCTTCGCTACTCAGCCTTTAAGCACTGCAGGCATGAACTCGAATAGGTGGTAGTTGTCGTTGATAAAGTCGGCGGTGACCTCAGTTGCGCCGGTTGTGATAAGCGGCTTTCCTCGCTCGCTGCTCTCTCGTACGTACGGGACAAGCTTGTGGGTAGCTTCGTCCCATTTGGGTCCAAAGAACTCTGCCGCCTGAAGCACAAGTGACACCGTAGTCTGGATGCCGCCTGCAGTAGCCTGGCGTTCGGCGTCGTCGTCTGGAAGTGCGAAAAACCATTCGACGATCGCTTTTCCTTAGGCTTCGTTAATGTCGTCGTAGTTCTTAGAGAGTGGCTTAGGCAAGGTCGGTCCGAGGAAAGGGCGCTTCTTGGTAGACGCCTTAGCGTGTAGAGGTGTAGGCTGCCGGGCCATACTGGCCGTAAAGTCCGCTAGGCCGAACGCGGTGTCTACATTAGGCGAAAGTTGTGCCGTGCCCTCGGTAGATATAGCGGCCGTTTGGTCCTGTAGGTTTCCGGTGATCTCGCTTTCGCCTTTGCTACGGAGCTTAGTAATAAACAGCGTAGCCAAGACTAAGCCGTATCGTAGGCGTAGAATACGCGGAATGGTTTTATTAACCCATTCATCTGTAGCGGCGTAGTCGGCCGGGTTTTCCTCGACAAGTTAATTAAAGGACTTATAGAAGATCTTTACGCCTCTAAGGATGTTTGTTACGTCTTTAGTCCCTAGGCATAGTAGTCTTAGTTAAAGAGGAATGTCTAGACCGGCTTGTATTATCATTTAAGCGCTCGAGGAAGGCTAGTCTACTTCGAATGAAAAGTCGCTTAAGGCGAGGGAAAGCTTAGATACCGCCGTAGGCGTGTATTCCTTAAGTCCCGGTAGGACCCTATACGCGTCTCCGGAGGTAGACGCTACCTACGCTAGCGTAGCGTCGTCCATCTTCGGTAAGTTAGTTACGCTAGATAACATTACTAAGACGACGAAGCTTGGCTACATAGGTATGCCGTATATGCCTAGGTAAATCTTACCTACTATTATATAGAGGAAGATTCGCTCTACGTAAATCGTAGTCGCGGTAACATAGTAGGTAACTTGACTAAGACGAGTAGCCTTATCGGGGAGCTTAGTCTAGGTAAGCTAAGAGCGGAAGGTAAGGGCGCTTCTACCGTAGAATTTATACTAGCGGACAATATCGATAATGTTTCGATCCGTTCGGGCTAGGTCGAGGGCGCCTCGGAACCTCGGAGGGATAGGTACTACGATTGCGGCTACGGCGTCTATAGTAGACGCGTCAGCCGCCTTTCCGTACAGGTTATCTAGCGTGCTTCGCTAGATAAGGGCCTCTTAGTCGACATTAAGATTCGCGGCGCTAAAGAGCGCGAGGCGCAATTCCTAGTCGTCGAAATTAACCGTACGAGGTATAACCTTAGCCGGTAGACGCTAGTGTTAGTCGTTAGCTACGTAGCTACGGGTAAGCGCCTAGTTAAGGAGGGCGAGCGCGCTTCTACCCGGGATTCTAATACTTAGGCGGAAGAACTTAAGGTATACGAGCGCTTCGACCTTATTATCGCTAGGATACGACGAGTTTAGCACTTTAACGGCTCTCTTAACGATGTCGAGGGCTAGGCCGGATAGAAATCTAGTAGCGCTAAACATACTTGTTCGAAAACGCTATATAAGCGTACCGTACTAGTGATCTTTATACATCGTTAGAGCTATCGGATCTAGTAGAGCTAGGTCGGCGTCCTTTATCGGCTCCTCGAGCCTACTCTAAGATACCGTGTCTAGCCTGTCGTAAGCTTAGACAAAGATCTGTATCGGGACGTCTGTAGCTTTAATGAAAGTCTAGATGTCTTTCCGGGCCGTAGCTACTACTACCGAGCGGCGAGTTCCAGTTAGGCTTGTAAAAGCCGGCATCGAAAATGTCTCCTACTATACGGCGTTTATACAGTTAGCTATTCCTATACGGTTATCGGGGCCCGCGGTACGGAACATTTCCTCGGCGAGCGCGTTGAATTCTATATACGCGTACGTGTCTTAGTTAATCGGGCTTTTGTTCGGACCTAGAGTAGACGCCTAGGCGATTAAGGTTGTAACTAGATCCTCGCGGGTAATAGCTTTACTAGGGTTTCGGCTCGAAGGACGGGCTAGTAGGGGTATTAGTGCCGTATCGTCTATAGGCGCCGTCTTGCGCCGCCGCGGCTTTAGGCGTAAGTACGCGTCTACTTCGGAGAGCTCGTCTACGCTTTGCTCTATAGCGTCTTGGTCCGCTACTATAGCGTCTGGATCGTTAATGTCTATCGCGTCTACCTCCGCGGGCTGTAAGGACTTTTTGGCCCTTGCCCTTAGCTTAGTTATAGGTCTGGATGCGGCGCTAATCTTCGTACTGTCTACCCTCGGGCCTTAGGCCTTAGGCTAGGCGATCACTTTAGTTTTGTTATCTACCGTCTTTAGTAAGTACTACGTAGCTACTTCGTCTCTATCCGCGAGCCTCTTACGCTAGGTACTAGCTATATTTGCTTCCGTCTTAGTAGTATCTTCTATAGAGATTGTATTACCTATATAAATTAGGCCGTAACCCGCTACGTCTTTCTTTCTCTCCGTAGGGTATTAGATTTTAGGCACCTCTAGTTAGTACTTCTCGGGGAAGCGGCGACGATGCTCGATAAAGGGGAGTTACAGTTCGCATTCGCGGGAGAAATCCCGTCTCTTCGTAGTACTAGGGGCGCATAAGATGTACCTATCGTAGAGCTCCTTCTACTTCGCGATTTCGGCTCGGAGCTTAATAATATCGGGTATAAGTAGGTTGTAGTCTAAAGTACTCTTCTCTATAACGTATAGCGTAGGAATATCCTTGTTCTCTATTCCCTAGGCGCAAGCCCTAAGTATCCGGAGTGTTGTTTCCTCCGCTCTTCCTATTACTCGCTTGACTGTACGCGTCTACTCCTTGTCCTAGGACTCTAAAGCCTTGTTATAAATAAGCGCGTATTTCTTGTCGTTGAATTTCTCTACGCTAGTCTTTTCCCGTTTCTATCCGTAGAGCTAGCAGTTAACCGCGGTGTAACTCGTATCGACGAGGTCCGTATGAACCTCCTTAAGTTTAGCGGCTTTAGATCCGAACTTCTAATTGAACTTAACGACCGCCGTATTAGTGTCGGTGCCTTCCTCGGCGGGGCCCTAAGTAGGTATTTTACGCTTTAGGGCTATTACGGCGGCGCGATAGCGGCTAGTAGACGCGGTCGTCGATATTAGGGGGTGGTTAATCTGTGGCTTCGCTA